CCTCTACAAACAACTCACTTCATGTCAGATTACATCCACATAACTCGTCTATATGACCACTTATAAAAGATTCAGTATCAATGGGTAATAGATAATTATAAATGAACGAACCGTACGATAGCTTTGTTCAACTACTCTATAGATAAACTGAGAGGCTTTGTATGCTTTGAGAAGACTGAAATCGAATAATACATAAACAGTTGAAAGCTTCGTTGCACATCCATGTATTAGTATGAAGAATAAATATTTGGATTTGATTGATCACCAATATTCGAAACTAAATGATAAATGAACAAATCATGAGACAAATGCATTCAGTGATCATTTGTGTTATCATATTCTTCTCTTATATCGCTACAAGGCTTATTGTCAAACAATTTCAGAATGACTTCGATCATTGTTCCATTCAGATACAACAATTTTTTCATTACCTGATTATGTACCTTTGTAGATGATATCGAATCAAAAGGCCATTGAATAAATCGTATGATAACTATGTTCTATTATTATTCGTGATCACGAACGAAGTTTTTTCTCTTCAGTCAAATGCCACTAATGAAGTGATACATGAAGAGGTAAGATAATGTTTGTATTCCACTATTTCCTTCGATCGTATGATCGCTTCTAGTGTATCTGAGAGATCGGGTCTGAGATCATTGATGATTGTGACAGACGACGTGAGTATTCAAATATTTCATATTGGTTGGATATCCTAGACGAGTGCTGGATTTATATACCAGAGTATTATGATAAATGATCAAGATAAACGACAGTCTCATTCAAATATTACTTTTAATGGAAAAACTTTCTTCCCTTGGTTCTTTAAATCACACAAGAAACATCGGCAATTGAATGAATTTCATCATAGTTCTATTCATTAATGTTATCTACTTTACGATGAGATCAATTCCAAACGTTGGTCTCAGTAATCAACTGTTTGATAAACGGATTGGAGAATTGTTTGTTCAACTATTCAGTTGAAAACTGACTCTGGTCTCATGTTAAACATTCTATGTACGATAAACTCATCGATGAATAAGTGATTGGGTTACCACGTCTCGGTCAGTTGTCACACGTCACAAAGAATCTTGTTGTCATCGGGTAAGAAAAACTTGTAAACACATTATTGATGAATAATCAGATAGACGGTTAGTAGTTCACTTATATCTGATCATACGATCATTGGTTTCGTTAAACAGAACACGAAGTATCAAGTAGCTTTTGAACAAAATCATCGCTTATTTCGATATTTCGAAATATGATTTCCAAAACAGTAAATAGCATGTAATTGGTCAGCGATTCATCAGCACTTGATAGATGAATGCACCATACCATTTCAATGCTCACATATTATCTTCATTAGTAAATCAGATCACTACTGGATCGATGAACTTGCCAGACAGATGTTAAATGAATTGGTACGAACAATATTTTATTCAGATATGTGACAATACACAAATGCACCATTATGAATCCTCAACATGGCTGCGCTTTTCACGTAAAACAGATAGATCACAAGAGATTGTAGTGTTCAAATACTGTATCTCACGTTGCATTTGATATTTGAATTTGCGTAGGATGCAGAAAGCCAAGTTACTAACGAACAAAACTTCTTGAGCACTATTATGCATTTGAATATATTCTACAGTGCGCAAGTAGACACAAGCCTTGTTGAAGTAGTCATTATAACAGGATATTTGGATAAAACACTTCAAGAAATCATTCAAAAATCGTCAGCAAATCAAGTTTCGATATTCACTGCATGACTTCGTTATAGTATAAAGTCACAATCAAACAATTGATAGAATGATGTATCCCTATATTTTACCAAGTCACGGGTAACGTCTTCCCCATTTCACATTAACTCAAATTGAAGCGATAGATGAACAGTAGGACACATTACGATATTCGGCTATTTGTCGAAATGGATGACTTGATCTTTGCCGCACATAATGTGATCTTCATGATCACTTGAAACTTGAACAAATTAAACTATCATTGTATTTGAATACGCCAGTTGATCCATATGTTCATACATTCCATTCAAAAAGATTCGATGCCAAACGATACATGAATAACTCAGAGAACCATCCCATTCCACTGTTGTACTGGATACAACGCCAAATCTGTCATGGAGTCCAGAAAATGTTTTGTCAAGTGATAAATGAATAGAACACAAGACCATGTTTCTGATTTGATATTGCTCTTGATGCTATTGACGAATTCCGCGAGACCAAGGAAATCTTCTATGAAGTGATCACTGAATAGTCCATATTATCATGATTGTATTCAAATATGTCATTCAATCAAACATTGAAATTCTATTATTTCGAGAGTGAGATAAATTGAATAATATCGAAACCGATTTGAACCACCTTTTGTATTCATATTTCACTACAAGGTTCGTATGTTTCTGGTACATCAAAGGAAATCTTGATGGTATAGGTGGTGAACAAAATAGTTTCTGATTTGTTAAAATACTGCTAGTAAAACAGCATCATATGTAGAACGCAAACATAGCTTCCAAGACGCGATGGTATGTGAAAAGAGTACTCCTAGTCGTGTTCCAATATATTTCACGCCAGAATATATGATGATCATTGAATTGGTAGGTCAGACATGCTGTCACGAATGAATAAGCTTATAAAAATTATCATATTCAAATATCATCTTTCCTGTATATTTTGAATATCTTTTAGCTATTGAGATGTGAGACATGACAATAGATGACTAGTTTGTCTTCTTGTTTATTCAAGTATTTTTTTCTTTACCAGATCTGATTTTTATACAAATGGAATATACTCGATTGACCTATTAATGAATACATTAAGTCATTGGAAATTCATATAGTCCATAAAATCAGCTATAATTAGCTGTCTCTACTCAGATTAGCCGCGATCAGATAATCATTGAATAATTTCCAACAAAATCTCATTCAATGGAGCCTCTCTCGTCATTATCAAATAATTATCAAATAACACTCATCATCGCCCGGACATATCAGAATACATCCTACCATCTTTCGTTCAACTACTCACTGCTATCATCATTGAATATGTACAAAATATGAATGACTTACCATAAGGTAATAGGCGAATAGAGTATGGTAGTTCATATTCAAATATTTAATAGAATACCAAACGAGTTGGCTATACACGTGAGCATTTTGATATTAAACAGTATATGGAGACGATAGTCATCAAATCAAGACTTCGTTCAAATAAATCAGTCGTTAGAAGATGCGTTTTCTATTATTTGAAAAGCTGTCCAAGCGAAAGTTTATTGAATAGTTCAGATCATCACCTATTCAAGTTTTGTGCGAGATAAAGAATGAGATTCATATCTAGTTAAAGGTCGCAATATTTGATCAACAGTGAACTGTACCTGATACGATTGAGTTCAGGAATTATAAGTTGTTTAAAATTTGTATAGTCGTTCGAAGGAAATGATTGATATCAGTCGGCAGGTGGACAGATCAAACTAAATTTGTGTTCAGGTATCTCTGGAAGAGAATTTTGGATTGATGGCGATCTAAAATATTAAATATGGAGTCATCAATGTACAGATCCTATCATTAGTTTATTCATAAATGATGAGAAGTACCCATGTTCAATGTACGTAATTTAAAAATAGTTTTTTTTTGTCGAATTATATATGAATGCCTTGGACGATTATTTATTCAAACACATGTCTGTCTTCGGTTACAATATTCTTATTCAATCTCTATAGTAAACAACGAATAGAAGATGAACGAAAGTTTTTCTATAATATTCAGAAATTTAGTCTGATCAATCGTATGGATATCATCTTTGTTATAGACCAAGCATCAAAATGTACATGAATCGATGCTGACAGATGAAGATTCACATATGTTATCTTGACTGATATTCAACTCCTCTCATTACGAGTGATGTGAAATCATCCAAGCAACGAATACGCCAAAGTATCATTCATGAAAAAATTAGCTTCCTCGTTCACCCATAAAGGTGCTTTACGGCGGCATAGAGAGCTGTATGGTAAACGAATACGTTCAGTCATGTCCCTATCCAACTACTACGATGAATTGTATATACCTAATTGAAAAAAATTGGTCGATACGATCCAATCCTTGTTGAATATATATCAAAATCTTCACTGTCCTCCATGTCTAAACGTTTTGAATAAAATGCTTTGTTCTTAGTCGAGCGAGCATCACAGATCGTTGCCAAAACGATCATGGCGAAAAGCGCTGATCCAATCAAACTTTTTCCTTGCATTGTAGTTTATTAATATTTCGTGTTTGTGTATGACCTTCTGAAGAAAAAAGTAAACATCAAACTACACGATGACTATTTGCTCTCGATAAAAACATAAGTGTTTGCGAATTGTAAAAATCGAGAGTTTGAAAACCATATCGAGAAAAAATATCACTCCAAGTAGTCATCGACTTGAAAAACAGACTAAACATGCTGAAGGTCCACTCGAAACTACATACAAAAACAACCTACGACGGTGAATAAATTACAAACAGCGCGTGTGATGCTTTTATACAGAACGAGCATATCACCCTCACACACGATGATTATAAAACATCATTCATCCGTGACGTGAAGAAGCGACACATGAGAAGCAAGTGTCGCGTATAGAGGCTCAATAAAAATCAAATATTTACATCATGGACTCTCGATTACTGGCCAACTTGATAGGCAATAACTTCTAGTCTGCCATGGACAACGAATATTTTCCGAACAAATATTAATATTCATTAGAGTTTCAATTATGAATGATAAGCACATGATCAACAATTGAAACACGAGGTTTCTTAACACGAATACTTTGTATTTATGTATAAATATTCGATTTCACATGTATTTATCTCATTTATTCGACTATTCAACGGCTTATGTAATACTCATAAGATAAAACTTCTCTTTTTCTCTTGTTGTAATTCAACTCAAGCATCAAACAAGATGGTCGAGATAAACCAAAGCACATTCATTTGAATATTTTGCTTGTTGAAAATGGCAGCAATGATCCGTTTATTTCTAACATGTGTTTTTCTTGCAACGAGTGTATGTGGTGCTAAAATGAGCCGAGCAGGTAAATGATCTCTAAATAAAATTCAAAAAAGATCATCTCTTTCTTCGTAGAAATCCAAAGTTGTTATGAAAAATCGAAAAGCTTAGAAACAGCTTGTGAATTTCACCAATGCTTTCATGAACGGTATCAATGTAACGACGAAAGTGTGACCGCATGGGCCCTTGAACTATGTCGACAATTTCCCAAAGATGTTGTTCTTCAATTTACTCCACCGGTAAGATTTCTTTCGATTCCTAATATGTGTTCAAATAAGCTTTCATAATAGGGAACCAAAATGATGATCGATATCGCAAATTGTACTCAAAATTTTCTCGCTCGAATCTTTCAACAACGGAAAACGTTGAATTGCAATGCGTTTGAATCGAAATACTTCTCTACTTTAACCAAATGTTACGCAAACGAGAAAAACTTCTGTGACATTTTCAAAACTAACCGAGCAATCTTTATGAAACAAGCAACAGCGATCATGATGAAAAAACCACGGTAATCTATGTACTTTGGAACGATTGCATAACAGACATCATCATTCTTATCATATGAAATCGATATGTATCACTGAAAAAACAGTGAATACCTAGATAAACACCATGGCATATAGGGATTAGTAGTATTATTATTCGAAAGTAACGACCTTAAAGGACATGTTTTTTTTTGTGTTTGGTGACGTTTTAAAATTTCAAGATGACTGTTTGCAACTTTCGTAATGTTGTCAACCAGTGACTCATTCGGTTTCTTCCCATTTACAAACAATGTACAATACCATGGAGACTCGTAATACAGGTTACTTCCGTGTATAGTTGTGAAGTCGTAAAAATTCTTCATTTATTTATCAGACATATGTTCTCCCCCTCTCCCCACTTGTCCTTTAGTTAGTCTGGTTTATTACAGTTGTAAATCTTGTATTTTTTATTCTATTTTAGAGCATTACAAGCATTCGCTGCTGCTGCTAAAGACTGCACACGTCTGAATTAATCTTTCTGCAAAGTACACAATGTTTGGCTAACTTCGTCGGTATACAAGCAATTAGAAAAAGCAACAAAAAGATAGTTAGAAGAATTTCAACAAATAAGAAGAATATATATTAAAATAAAATCATGAGAAATCATTACATATTAAATCATCATATATTTGCGTATGACTAGAAATCAATAGGAAGAACTTCACGGATTTTATTATAACATTGATGTTTCTATCCAAAAAATGTGTCCCAATGAGATTTACGTCCGTAAGAATAGATTGGACGATAGTACCGTTTCGTAGAACGTCGTTCGGGGAAAAAGAAGAAACCTCGTTTGACTTTTGGGCTCATATTTTCTTCGATATTAGATACAAACTGAGTACGATCTTCTGAATCTTCATTTTCGGATAAAACCAATTGTTTCAAATATTCTTCGAAGGACGACTGACTTCCGTCAGGTGGGATCGAACGTGCTTGTACTAAATAAAATCTCTATCATTCAAATAATCATGTTGATGCAATATTTTTTACCTGATAAGATGATAAACAAACCACAGAAAATAGCGAATATTGTAAGTCGCATCGTCGTCAGCTAAGTATCACACGAAAAGTGTCAAAAATAATTCGATTACAACCGATGTAGTAAATATTTATATAAAAGCGCAATGAATTTCGTATGAATAACCACGATGCTGAAGGAAAGATCAATCTGTAAGTAATGGATAAAATGAAACGATCATTCTCTTTGCTTCTCTAATGAGTCATAGAGAGAAACGAATGTTTGATGGTTGTTGTTTTCAATACATCATTGTCATTGAATTCTTCCTTACGCCTACACACAGGTAAGGTACTTTGAAAGTCAAACAACCGCCTTCATCTCTCCTTCTCAAAAAACATATATGTCTATAGATTAGATGTGTTATTCATAAGATCTCCATTCGAGCGTATTGAAAGTCAATAGAGTCATAAAAGAAACCAGTATATTTATTTCTGAGTGTCAACTTCTTTAGGTAGCTGAAGAAACAAATCTACACACAGGAATTTGTTGATTTGCGCAGGCGATCAGAATATCTTGGCTAATGGCAAGGATGAAATAGGGATGAATCTGAGTTCTTAGTGAAGCTTAGCTATGTCTGCGATTGCATTCGCTCGCACCTGTGAATAAATGATCATATAAACAACCGCCCACGATCGATGCCGTTCTCTTGTTTGCAATCATAATTGACTTTTAATCTTTTATGTTTCTCCCTCAGAGGCGTCAGAATTCTGTGATGGAAATTTTCATCATATAATTGTTTATTTATTTGTTTTCAAAACACGAATAAAAGAATCACAAAATATAATACTATAATACATGTTAGATGAGTACGTAAACATCATTCTGGTATGGAAGATTATTGCGGTAAATATGACTAGAAGAAAATGATAAGGAAGACGAGTTCGAATGCGTGCTGAATAAAAAAGAAAGAACAAAATCAACATCGTTATCACTGCGTTAATTGTCAGAATAAAATTTGAGATTCATTGCGATTGTTGATCATTTGCCGCTGCCAAATATGAAAACACACAAAGAACAGCATAGCAAATTCGATCTGCCTAGAAGAGAATCAACAAGATAAAAAAATCCAAATATCGGTTTCATAACATTCTTATCTATTGAAGCACACTGCAACCTAGCTTTGTTATACCTATATCATTGTTCTTTTTATGCAACGAAAATGGCGAGTCTTTCCACGAACAGACGATGACTTTCGCTGTTCCAATAAAACAGATACAACACGATGAAAAGCAAGCAAAATTCTATTTGCCTACGAAGCATATAAGACAAATACAACATATATTGACTACACATGATACTTGGCTTTCATACGTACCATAGAAGATTTGTATTTTCGGATGCGCAGTTGTTTAGAAGTGGAATCTAAGGAGTACAGTAGATGATATGAACAATTATTAGTTTTTTTATTTTTACCAAATTCTTCGAGAACGAAGATATCGCCTTTTTGGGTTGTACATTTTCGAATTTTTTGCAATTCAATGAACTCCTGAAGGAGAAAAAGAAATGATCTAATGATTAGATATGTAAGTCAATATTTAAGTTTACTTTTTCATTCTCAAAAGTCAAACAAATGCCTTCAAGACAAACTTGTATGAGTCCACCTTCGCCCGTACTCAAATCTTTAATTGGAAATTCTCCACCGACTTCTTGGCCTACTAATTCAAATGATTCAAATCTAATCAATCCTTTAACGACTTACCTGGTAACGTTCCTTTCATTCTCGAAGCTGCTTTCTCCATCGTTTCTTTGATTGCAAAGTACAAATCTCGACACTAGACATTCACAAAATTATTTCGATGAATCATGACAATAATGATCTTCTCACTCGTTTAGTATAGAATTTAGTTAATTGTGTTTCACCATCGACTTTCCTCCATAGACAGAGTACTCTTGTCTTCGGTGAAAATGTCATGTTTACTATTTTCTCAAACCAACAACGATCATGCACTTCACCCATTACACTTCGGAGTATAAGACAATCGTCCCAAACCTAAATAATTTCCTTGAATACAAGAAATCATTCGACAGTTTGCATCAGTTTTACCTCCATAAATAGCATGTCACCCGTATTATCAGTTCCCCAATGTACAGTAAAACTCTGCTTTTGCAAAAGACGACTTCCAACTGGCCTTAAATCCACATCATTTCCATTCTAGCGAACAATAAGAGTCTTAATTTTTTCTCAAACGCAATTTTTTACTAGATTTGATATATTATCAATCAATTCATTCACTTGTTGACTCATAGTCAGACCAATATGGCATCGGCCCAACATTCGACGAATTTTTCGACGAATTTCATCTTTACTAACACGCATCATGATCATAAATGCAGTTAAATTATAGAGCATCACCGCTAATAGACGGTCTTCGTCCATCTCTAAACGTCTTCGATCCGAATTCGATAGTGAATAATAACTAGAAGAAAAAAAAAGAGATAGGTACATCAAAACATGTTTACATCATCATCCATACCGTTCCATCATTTCCGCTGGACCTTGATCAAGTCCAATAATATCTCGCTCTTGCGCAACAGCATCGAGAAAAACATCTTCCCAAATTTGCATTTGATCCCAGAGATGACTACGAGAACCTCCCACAAGTACTTCAAACAAATATTGTTTATCGTTCGTAGACAGATTATTATTATCAGCCACTTGGATTAACGATCCATTATGAAATCTAAGGAATCACAAGGTCGGTGAGGTTCAATCATACAGACAGAGAACGATATACCTATATCCAACTGATAGTGAACTTTTGGCTGTGGATGCCGTTGAAAGACGTCGAATTCTCAATTTATTTTCGTCATCATCGGCATTCCATTGAGGCGATTCACGAGTTGAATGGTGCATACCCTTCGATCCGCGTCGACTAGATAAAGCCGACTCGTTTCCACTACCGTCATCAGTTGCTGTTGAACTGATGCGTGAGATATTGATACGCGTTTGGACGTTCTGCGAAATGAACGATTTAGCTCTTTGAAGTACCAGTCAAATGACTTACTTCATTTGTTAAACTCAATGTATCAGGTCGATCTTGTTGCTCGATCACTATACGATTCCATTCAAAAGAGAATAAGAAAGAGGCAAAAGAAATTCTTTTTCTACCTGTTAGATTTGAATTACTCGTTTCATCAGACTTCGATACAACTTCTGATGGAATTTCGATGTTCTGATAATCATCACCATTAACATCCGGTATATCTAAATAAACAATTGCGAACCCTCATTTATTTCTATCTTTTTACGGATGCTATTGTAACTACATAGATCAACGAGCATGGCAAACAGATATGTTGTTCATGCAAGAAGACAACAACAAGTACGACAATATACCGGCTGATTGAGCAAAAAGCGGTTGATTCATCATTGAACGTGAGGATTTCTCAGCGGAATTAAAATTCGATGATAATGACGGACTGACAGTTACACTGGAATGAAATGGAGCATGTGGCGAGAACGAATGTTTTGGATTCGTATGCAATTCTACACTAGGTGCAAAACCCATCGTTGCTTGAGTTGCAGATGCATAACTGCGGGCAATTACTGACTTTGATTCACGCCAGAAACTTCCTATAGAATCGATAGAAATAATCTTTTCGAGAAACAATCATTCGATTCAATTTACCTAATTGAGAAACAAAAGCTGCTGTAGGACTAGTAATACTACTTGGTTTGGATAAAGATATTGTACTTGATACCATATTCGGCGAAATAGCTGGATCAGCTGATGCTAAACTTTCACGACTACCATTCAATGGACTGTTTCGTTCTGACATTGGACTTAGGTCACTTCGCATAGTTGAATCCTTTACCCAATAGTGTGTATGAGCAATTTCTAACAATTGAAACGTTGATGCCATTCCGCCCACGCCATTGTTCTCGAAAGTTGCTTCGAGACCTTGAATAACAGCACGTAATATATTTGTCATTCCTTTGAATACTGTTTGATTGATTTTCTGAAATGAACAAATATATATATATATTAATTCAATTCTATTGCACACTTTGAGTTTTCATTCATAAAACGATTCTTTTCATCATGCACTCATCCATACTTAACGGAAAAATAGACAGGAAGCAATAAAGACCTACCACATCTTCAATATGATCATGTTCGTCAGCATATTTCTTATCCAAGTTCACATTGAGTCTACTCAAGACAAAGTTTCGATAATTTTCATCTTCCATTAACTTCTTCACTCGATTGATTTTCAACCAGCCAATGCCTAATCCATCGAGAATATTGTTGACAATTTCTTTGAGAAATTGTTGATTTTCACTGTGTGTATTGGCTTTTAACTCTACACTTTGTTGCCGAATGAAATCACGCTGCCGATTGGCGATGATTGTATTGAAATAAGGTGTATTAGGTTTATTCACAGTTGACCTATCGACTCTACGATTGGGTTTCGACAATGAAATTGCTGGTGGTCGATTAGGATGTGGTTTCGATGAACCATCCGATGTGGCTAAAAGTAGAAGAGAACATCATCATCATCATTGCGATGAGTTTTCTTAAGTGATCGGATACATACCGATTGAATCAGGCGTTTTATATTCAGTTTCGGCAGATATTTGTTCGATTTCTGGCGAGTTGATTGATATGTTACTTTCCGAATTGTCACTTTCTTGCTTCCGAATTTGTCGACGGATGAGTAAGGGTGAGGATTGCGAAGAATCAGTTTCAAATTGTGCTGACTTTAAGTCAAATAGTGGTCTGTGAAAACGAAATATACCAGATTCTCTCTATCGAGAATGACATTAGCGAGATTTGACTTACTTCGGAAAAGTTTTCGCTATCGGTGTGATGGTTGCTGAACTTGATTTCGAATCCATTTCAAGTATTGTTTCTGATAAATCACCTAAGATGGAATACTTCTCGTCGATAGGTGAATGATGTTGAGAATTAATATCTGAATTCGAACTCGAACTGATTGTTGATTCACTCATCAATGGATTCGATTCATGGGTGTTGGCCTTTGTATTTAAACTTTCCGGAATTTGTAGCTCTTCGGGTGGATTGTACACTTGGGAATATTCGACAAACGCGCTCTTTTCTTGATTCTCGGGATAAAGTTTATTTTCTATAAAATTAATCCCAATGAAAACTTCGCTTTCGATGAATATGATTCCTGATTTACCTCGAATTTCTCCACAGATTTCACTATTGCGCATTTCAAATACAAAATCATTCAACGATGAATAACACGAATTTGGACTATCATCTTCGGAATCGCTTCCGCTCTCATCTGAAGTTATAAATAGCATTATGAATAACTCTGTTAACTAGAATTCTCTCCAACCTGTTGGCGTTTGTTCATCATCGTTCGATTTTCCATTCCAAGAGTTGACTGCTTGTCCCAATGTACTGTTCTCATCCATGATATTGAACTGTATTGCTGTTAGATCCCGACTATACCATTTCGGTTTATCACCGATCAGAGCAGGATCGTAGACACCTGTTTGTACACGTAAAAAGGCAACATTATCAGGACAAAGAGACCATTCAGCAAAGAATTCCACAGCCTAAATAAATTCATTCAATTCTTTTTCTTTTCTCTGATCAGTATTTCTTTTTTTTACTTGAGTTTTTGCTAAACGAGCAACGAACGCTGATCTCACTGGTCTCGACCGAATAAAGCTTGTATATTGAAAAGCAACAACTGCTCGTGGATGTAATCTTAATGTTCTCGTATGTTCATTGAAATTACCAAATATATTTGGAGAATTGAAAAATCGAACCATTGCTACTCGTGTTGCTATATCCACTGAATCAATATCATTTCCGTATATGAAAAGATTATAAGTTTTTAATGGTAGCGTTTTCGGATTTGTAGCATAGGACTTATCATTCAATATCGTATCAAAATTTTGAATTGGTTCAGTATCAGAAGACATGCTACCTAATGCTTGTTTCAAATGATTGCTTAGGGTATTGTATTCATATTCGGGGATGTCGAAACATGGCTCAGCATGCCGAGGCGGTATAATCTATTTCATTTGTTCAGTTTTTGGAACAGAATGTGAATTCAAATGGAAATCAAACCTGATTAGCATCAAGATCAACAATCCATATATCATCAAATCTTCGCGCTCCCATTCCTTTGTAAGGAAAGAAGCTTGCAGGTACACCAATTATAAATGGAGTTGGAATGAGTAAAAGCTAAATAGATATGAAGATCAAAGATCTCTTTGTAAATGAATTGTATGGAATTTACTTGTTCAGCACCAGTCATACAAGTAGGTAGAAGTGGAATGACAGGAAACATGTATTCAAGTGGATAAAGTAATGCTACAAAGGCCAACACGCTCATTGTCAATGCATTATAATCTCGTGATTGAAAAACAACCTAACGAAGATGATGAAACCTATGAATTTTCTATTCAATAAATAACTCTACTTTGCTTTCCAACATAATTAATGTTAAAACGCGTATACCTAAGTCTACTCCTAATAATTCCAATGGTAAATGCAGAGGAAAATCAACTAATGAGAAGCGTGTATGATCAGGTAGAGCAAATAACATCGGAGGTTCATTCGGAAGTGTTTCGATCTAGATGAAGTAGATCAAAACTGCATTCGAAAAAGTAATGAATCAATTTCATACTAAGATTTTTGTTTTGCCGGGAATGGAAACTGGTGCACTTAACAATCGTAATATCCACGTTTCAATTTCTCGAAGTTCATGAGCTACAATACTTGACGTACATTCATAAGCATGTCCTGTTAGAACACCCCAGACAGTTTCTCTACAGAATGGAAAGACAAAGCATTAATTACATCAATGCAGCAAAGTGTGAAGTTTCTGACCTAGACGTTCCTCGCGATGCACCAGTTCGCTTTGCGCATGACCGTTCATTACAAGCATCGATAAGCGTTTTTAATGTAATAAGACATTCTCGAAAACGCGTAAAAAATGGATGGTGACTGATCAAACAAATGGATGTTAATGTATTGTTTTTTACTCGTCGTTTACGTTTTCGTTCGATATTTTCGTTTCCATCATCACCAACTTGATCATTCACTGTTGAATTTTTACTTTTATCAGCGCTATCATCCGACGAATCCGTACCGTCAGTCTTATGCTGCTGAGAATGATTAGAAGTTGTGCATGTTCGTCGAGAAAAATGACGATAGAAATTGACACAAATACCGAATCGTTGCCGATTAGAATCTTTCTCAGTCAATGTAAACACGAACGAAGTAATTGGTTGTATACCAGTCCGTTGATGGCCAATGTTAATACAGCCTTCTGGTTGACAAAAAAAGATCACATCTGGCGGTAGAGCGAAATCTTTATGATCTTCTAATGGATAGCGTCGAAGTAATTCAGGTGTTTGAGTAACATGATTGTATTTATTCGGATGCCGACAACCAACTATAATGACATAATCAACAAGACGTGGGGAAAAGTATCGTTTGGTTTGTTCACACATCGTCTCGTTTCAGATGTGCAAACATTATCTGAAATGAACAATTTCTCTAGATTAGGTTTAAGCAGCTTTTGTTTTGTACAGAAAAGTACGAACAATAGAACGAGAGAGAGAGAGATAGAAAAAGAACGCTTTGATTGTGAGTAATAGTCAGAAAAATTGATCGATTCTTTTCTGCTTCAGTCCTGCAAGAACATGAACGATTCAATGGTCGACGACAAGCGTAAGTATTGCCGGTTGATTGCGCTTGTTGCGCACATCAGAAGAGACATAGAAAGAAAGAGAAAAAAAATCGAGAAGATATATGTGTGCACAAAAGAAGAGAGGAAAATCCAGAAAAAGTAGACAAGAAAAAAAAAAGGAAGAAAGAATGGCAAGAAAAAAAGAACTAAGATGATTGTTCTTACTCATTGTAATGAGAATTGGGAAATCATTTCATGAAAATAATTAATACATCGGAAGAGAAATATCATCTTTTCTGTGCATCGTATTTATCAAGAGTATTTCTACGCAAGATCTTCTATATTTACCATCTGTTAAGCAAAAAAGAAACGATTCGAGTCTTTCTGACAATGAGAAGCAAAAGACAATGTATATTTTCCTTCTTGTCTTATTTGTTTTTATGTAGATACAATAAAACTGCTTTTTACTACTAAGTGAACAAAAGTTTATGCATAGGTTTGAGTTGTTGTTTAATATCGAACGCCGTGGCCAGAACCATCCTCTTTCTCAAATGAGTAATGTACTACACCAGGTTCGACCTTTGGTGAACGAAATGTTGGATTCATGAATTCAAGCTCACGCAAAGCATATATAGCCAATATAATCGAAACTGGGAATATCAATAATTTCCACAATTCTTTCGTTATGACTGGTTGATTTTCTTCTGCGTGTCCAAGACGTGTTTTTTCGAATTTGATAAAATCACTCGGATGACGCGGTTCATTCCAGTTTTGTCTATCTAACGGATAATCATAATCTTCCCAGGGACTACGTTCGAAATATCTTCCTGATGGCGCAACGTCTGGCATATCACCAGCATTGTATTCGGGTGGAAATGGTTTGTAATCTTCTGGTAGCATGTTATATTTACGAGCTGTTGCAGCGCGGTCTTCAGGTGTGACAGGAGCTTCTTCATTTGGACGCCATTCACGATTATTAAGAACGGTACGAATGGACGTCTGAATGGGTAAACGATTGGTTAGGAGAACCGTTCGTTTCGATAGATTTAGTAAATGATTCATATCTAAAGAAAATACAGAGTTTCAATCTGTTCTTTTTCAGAAATTAGAATATTTATTTGTATCAGAAGTTGAACGAAAAAAAAGAGAAAGGGAAAAAACAGATGAGTTCGTTTCTCGAATAAAAAAATGGTCTTCCTTTATTTTCAAGCAGGTGTTTGTCTATCACAAAAAGAAATGCGTTAATTTAACGACCGTATTTTTGAAATTCCCATTCACGATTGCATAGTGGACAGACTTGCCGCGTTTTCAACCAACGTGATATGCAATGGAAATGAAAAGCCTAAACACAATTACAATGATGTCAAACATGAACTTTTCGTAATTAGATCATGAAAACATCAAGTTATACTTACATGATTACAAATGCCCCAAGCAACAGTGCACTCTTCTGTGGTAGCTGCTCCTTGGTTTGCTTGACACTCAATGCAAAGATCCATAATATGATTTCGACATATAGCACAGTTGTCAACAACAATGTCCCACGCCCAAAGAGTAACGGCATTCCATTTTTTCACCTCGAATCTTTTTGGTGGATCGGTAGATGATTTTGATGTTGTTGTCGCTCCACTCGGAACGTCTGTTTCCATTTCTGCTGCGTCAGACATTTACAATGAATTTATAAATAAAACTCCGTGGAATAGATTACTATCTTAAAGAAAAAAAAGCTCCATGAATGTGGCTGTTTTTTCTCTTGCACTATTTAACGTTTTGTGTCGGGTTAGTTTGGAAATTGCCCGTCTGAAAAGATTTTCGTATTTGACTAAACATTAAAGGAATGAAAAGTCTTGCCAAATCATCACGTAACTTTCAACACATCTGACAAATTCGTCTAACACGATGTATTTATGAAAGGAAGAAACCTACAAATAAATAAACATAAACAACCTGACAACACATATATATGAAGAAAAAGAAATATTCGTTTACTATTCGTCTATCGTCGACCAATAAATAGAACTGGAAAGAAAAGAAAAGTGTAAGTAACCAAGCAAGAGCTCTGCAGCTTTTTCTGTCTATGCAAATGCAGATATATATATATATATATATATAGTCTTCTGATCTATGAATCCGATGGCAGAAAATAAGAATAAAAGGTGTACTGAATAGTATATATCCTTCACACATGGCTGCAAATACCAACAGTCGAATTGCCTTGATCACTGGTGGAACAAAAGGAATAGGTTATGAAGTAGCACATCATTTGGCACAAAAAGGTATTGAAGTCTTAATTGCTTCGCGCGACGAAATCAAAGGTGAACAAGTAGCTGAGCAGCTCGCCTCGGAGAATCTTTCCGTAACTTACATTCAGATTGATGTAACAAACCAAGCTACAATCGATCTCGCTGTTACTGAAGTTGCAAATGCTTACGGTCGTTTGGATATTCTGATCAATAACAGTACTCTATATTTGAAAGAACCGCGTCCAAGTGACTTACCATCGGAAATGATTCGGCAAAATTTCGAAGTGAATTTTTTCGGTGCAATTGCTGTGACAAATGCTTTTCTGCCCCTACTTCGACAATCTTCATCAGCTCGTATTGTTAATATTTCGAGTGCTCTTGGTTCACTTGATTTCCATAAAAAGAATCGCGACTCCCACTTCCATTGTGCGTACAGTGCATCGAAAGCTTCGCTTGATATGTTCACACTGCAATTAGCAAGGGATCTACAGGGCACGAAAATCAAAGTTAATGGTTGTACATCAGATTTGGCAACAATTGAATTATATTATGATCACGATCACGGACATGGCATGGACGCGGCCATCAGATCAATTGTTCATTTGGCAACCTTAGTTGATGATGCGCCAACAGGAAAAATCTTTGGTCTCAATTTCGGTGAACATAAATGATCGAATGTCATCAAGAAAACCTGTGTGAAATTTTGTACATGTTAATTAGTCATCTAGTCAGCTTCAAGTCCAATATTTCATTCCATTTTCTTTTTTTTATCGTTGTGTAAATGTTGTTTTTGAATCGTAATGTAAAATACATTTCATTTTAGATTGATCTATTTTAATTTCCTTTTCGTGATATTTTTTCATGGCCCATAAAATAGCTGTTGTAAGTAACTCTCAAGAGAAGTGAACGAAACGTTTTTAGATGATTATTTTTTCCTTTCAGGTTACCGGAGCAAACAAAGGGATTGGCTATGCAATTGTGAATAAGCTCTGTTCGGTTTTTGACGGAATTATCTATTTGACGGGTAAGTTGCTGACAAGAGATTTTCTATTTTTTTCCAATGGAATGCTAATGAATTAGTTCGAAGAAAAACCTGCTGCTTTCTTCAAATTATCTTGTCAACAAAGATGACAAATGTCAAGTAGAAAATCAGTTTTGTAAAGAAGGACGTATTCATCGTTACCGCGCACAGAAGGTACTAACCAGATGTGACATTTTTCTTCCTCTTCTTTGAAATATACACTCAGTGTTACAAAGCAAAGTTCGATTGTCTGCTGAAAAGAACTTTATTCGCGTATTTCTTTGAGAGACATTAGGAATGTCTCGATATTCGATCCGAAATTAACATCTAAGATGAAAATATCTTCATGCTTAATAATCCTTTCGTTATTTAATACTTGAGAATGAGTGTGCTAATTGATATTTAAGGTAATGTGAATGAGTATTATAAATATTTGATAAAAGAGTCTTTTCAAGCATACAGAATTTCGTTTCCTTTGTCCGGATTTCTGCTTCTCTTGGAGATGATTTGTCTTTACATTGTTCGATTCATTTTTAGCACGAAATGAAGAACTTGGTCTCCAAGCAGTTCGACAATTACGGGAGACGAACAAAGATGCTGGCGACAAAGTACAATTTCACCAGTTAGATATAACCAATGTTGAAAGTATTCATCGGTTAGCTGAACATATCAAAAAGAATCACGATGGTTTAGATATCCTAATAAATAATGCAGCAATGGCATTTAAAGTAATTTCAAAACGAGTTCTGGTGTGTTTTCCTATCATTACAAGGAATATTTGATCTATAGGTGAATGATACAACACCGTTTGGCGATCAAGCAGAAATCACCGCTCAAACGAACTTCTTCGGCACAATTAATGTCTGTAATGCACTCTTTCCTTTACTTCGAGATCATGCACGGTTTGTTTACGACTTCTATAGAAATCCACTAAGGTGTGAAAATAATTCTTTTCTTCTAGAGTCGTCAATGTAACGAGTCGAGCTGGAATGCTCGAATCCGTGAAAAGTGCTGAAATTCGGCAGAGTTTAACATCACCAACTGCAACGATTGAAAATGTTTCTGATATACTTAGTGACTTCATTCGGTAGATGTCGATGATCTATCTTTCGTTCGAATTCTTTAATGTTTTATAGAAAAGCAAAACAAAATTCACATCAAGAGAATGGTTATCCGAATAGTGCCTATGGGATGAGTAAAGTTGCTTTAACAGCAGCTACGTTCATTCAACAACGTTTATTCGATCAAAAACCCGAACGAGACATCGTTGTGAATGCTTGCTGTCCGGGCTATATCAAAACAGATATGTCATCGAACAAAGGAATAGGTTCACCTGATCAAGGTGCTGATACACCTGTTTACTTAGCAACACTAGAATCGAACGTCAAGTCGCCACGCGGAGAATTTGTTGCTGAACGAAAGATTCTCAAATGGAAATGTTAATAGAAATCATTTCATCCAATATGCATACGATTGACTCTGAAATATATATATATATATAATGTGTCATGGTGCACTGAATTATCCCAGCCTTTTAATGATTTCACTTGAGTGATAGTATTTTTTCCTTGTTTTCTTCTTTTTCTCAATCTTGCATTCTTTTTATTTTTTTGATGTAATACATGTACGCATTTCTTTGACGAAACACAAATGAAAACGACGAGAAGTCTTTGGGGAAAGTCATTTGTCGGAAAGTTCTTGATACGTGAGAATAAAACCAGTCTTTACTTGGCATATAAATCTCGTGCAAATCTTCAGAGATTGTCTCACATACGCACGATGTTTGATACAACGATAGATATAGTTGGTATAATATGGATAATCTTCGTTGTTTTACTTTCGCTGTTTCTTTTTACGGTTCTGCATTTTCGTATGTTCAAAAGGAAAGTGAACTTCGGAAAACGGTACACGGCTTTGTTAATCGATTCCCAAGAACAGATCGCATTGAAAATTCCAATGAATGAACAGAAACAAATACCAAATGGTTTGCAGTCTACTACCATTGATACTGAAACTTTAAGTCCGTACGACGAAGCTGAAGAAAATTATTATCAGTCAGTTTTATCCCTCAACGATCTGTCATATTTTCCAGTTCATGAAACAGTGTATCAAGTATATCCGAAAGCTCACTGTAGTCTGATTACCGATGTAAAACAAGGGACTGTTTCAAGTGCGACTGAAATCAATTTTCTTTGAGTTTGTATGTTATCCAATTCAAATAAATATCAATTTCTATTAGATTCAGTTCACCTCACCTAGGTGAACAGTGTCAACATATTTTCTTCTTTTCATTCTAATCTAATATTTATTTTTCTTACAAGGAGAGAATACGCTGCATATTCCGCAGTTAAATAAATGCCATCCAAAAATTCAATAGTTTTCAAGCAGACAGCAACATGACAACTGAACAGCAACTTGATCGTGCCATTGAACATGCTCGCAACGGACAATATGATGAAGCTGCAGATGAATTTACTGCCTTTATCGAGAAGAATCGAACAGATTCAGATGGATATTTTTATCGCGGCTGTATATATCTTCATCTGAACAAATACGAACAAGCTATTCATGATTTCACTTCGACGATCTGCTTGGAGAATTGTCTACATGCTAGACGATTGCTAGCATTGTATAAACGTGCGTTTGCCAAGTTTAAACTCAACCAATTCGAATCGGCAATGGATGATTACAAGTTCTATGTTGGCCTATGTAAAAATCACACACAATTATACGTGTATAAGCACAAAGGATTGTTCCAAATCGGAGTGATTTACGCGATACTGTCCCAATACGACGAAGCAATATTCCATTTTACTGAGGCGATCCGAAGCAGTTCAGGCAGTGCAGAAGACGAACAAAAATGGTATCATCTGCATCGTGGACGAGCGTATGCCTGTGTAGAGAAGTATTCTCAAGCGCAGAAAGATCTGCAAATCGTTTGTGAACACACTCAGGATCACTTTCTCAAAGGTTGCGCATATAGTGAATTGGGTCGACATCATGATGCACTTGTTGAATTTGATAACTTGTTGAAACCAAATGCGAACAAGTGTGAACTCATACTGATATCAACAGATCAAATTCGATTTCGACGAGGTCTTTGCTATGCAAGTCTCGATCAGCATGACAAGGCGTTAACTGATTTTAAAGATGCATTGACGGATCGAACACAGCACACTTCATCAGCAATCAAGGATCGAATTCTATTTCGGCGAGCTTTGTCTTTTATGGCTTTGAACAAAATGGAGAAAGCATTAATCAATCTGAACCGATCGATTCAAATGAATGACAATCAACCGGATGTCTTTTACGCACGTGCAATGATGCAATATCAAGTGGGTCGTCACAACACTGCTGTTGAAGATCATCGTATAGCTGTTGAATTGAAACAAATGTCACATACGCACAAATCGAATTCTCGGAAGAAATTGAATATTTATTTTACCAACAAAATACAAGAAACGGAGAATTTTCTCGCTCTAAATCATGACATGATGACCAAAGCTAACATAATTCGGATTATCACTGAATACTTACAAAAACAAGCATATTATTCAAGAGATCCTCTGAAAATGTATGAAAATGCACGTGAGCGCTTGTATGCGATTTCACAATTGCAAAATGTTTGGCAAGATGAAGATACCATCGCACTGGCTGTCAACAGTTTAACTATATGTTCATATGTAGCTGATCGATACTCAAACGATCATTACACATCGAAATTCATGGCTGAAAAGTATATTCAACATGCAACTGATAGTATCTTGAAAACATGCGACATTTTCGATAAATACATTACTCGTCAAGATTTGAAACAATTACGCGGTATAATGTACGATGAACGTGTGAAATCGAATACGTTACACGAATGTCTGGTAAATGAAGTTCGTAATACCTATGTCGAGTATCAACTGAAAAAATGTGACATCGTGGAAGAGAATATGAACATATTCGTCGAGTCACCTGCACAACAGAAATTTTCTCGATACTTTGCTAGTCAATTATGTAATTTATTCGATGGAATTGGTATGATAGATACGGACGTTTGTTCATCATTATCGTCACAAGACAATCAGTCGATGGCGTTGAAACTTGTGGCAAAATTAAGTGGTTTGTCGGCCATCGATTTAAGGGACAACAAAAAAGGTATCGAGAATACATTATGCTACCTCGCAAGCTTTGGCAATCCTGAAATGTATTGTGAGTTAGCTTACAAAATCGTCAACGAAATAACTATGATATATGAAGAACAGATCAACAGACTTGTGATCGACATGGAAGAGTTAGATATGATGTCGATTTCAACTCAACCAGACATAGTAGATCTTTCTGACGGCATCCCCTGTATAAAAGGATGTTCGCGTAGTACTCGACCACGGCCGGAAGACGTCCTGAATGATGCTCAATATTCAACTATTCAAACAGTTGTTCGATATGCAATGAAACAAATACTGAGATGTTTGACAGAAGTAAATGTAAAGTGGATTTTTACAATGAAAGATGTGCATGATCTACTTATCGATACCGTATGTCGGCCGTCATTTTTGACTCCTGTGCAAATCCCATTACAAGCAGAGATAGTTATATTGAAAAATCGTGCAGAGAAAATAGAATATTGGAGTACGTATGAGTTCTATCGACGACCAGCAATCAAATTTGATGATGGAGAAACACGTGCGCGACGAGAGAATGACGAAGAAAAGTTCGGATGTCGAAAAGCAAATTTACAAGAAAAAGATCTGTACGCAAATGATCGACTAGATTCGTATGGATTTATGAGATTCTCCCCAAAGAATGTTTTGTGATAAAGATTTTCATTTAATTGCTAATAAAAAAAATCAAACTAGATCCAGTTTTTCTTAGCAAACATATCAAATGTTGGTAAAAACTCTGTGTAAGGCATAAACGTCTGGGGATCATTCGAAAACGAGGTATCAATAATGAGATTTTGATTTGGTCGATCAAGAGCTGTTGGATATGAGCTCACTGTTGTCGCCCGTTGTTGATCAGATCGAATATTCGTATTATTATAGGTACTCTCTACTAATCGAGCGAAACGTTGAACTCTGCTTTGAGTAGGTATTACGGGCTGAGTAATTTTTGGTTGAATTTCCAAAATCTTAAATCGTTGATCAATTTGAATAAGCTTATGTTTGATATCGTTCAGTTCTCTTTGGATGCTATTCAATTCTGACGAATGCTTGACTTCCGATGGGTCAGGGGATTGTGAACGCGAAGCAGGAACACTTTGAAAATGAATCAAAACTCAACACAAGTTCCACAACAAATTTGGTATACGTACGAAGTCGAAAACCGAATACTTTTACTACTTTTATCACGTTCAGTGACCTGTTTCGACTCATTCGATTCCTGAAAGAGAGAAATTTGTCGGAAAAGTAATCTTTTAGGCTAGTAATGATACAAACAAGTAGACTTCGACCATCGTGCGTGTATCGGATCGTAACTGGTTGTACTCGTCGACGGTATTGCAACTATATCAGACAAATAAAGTTCAAGAAAATCGATACGATCATCATTTACTTCAATACGTCGAAATTGATGCATCAAGTTTTTTTTCATGTCATCCATATGATCACGTGCATATGCCCAATGCTCTCTAGCCATGTCATTAAGACTATTCAAAATAGAAGATATACTTATATTAGGCAGGAAAATGTAAATGTTCTATACACATCCACAATTGCATCATCGATTTTTTGTTTATTGTCACGTATGATAGTCGCGTCTTTCTGAATACTTTCATATTCTGCTTGAGTAAGGATTTCTCCATTTTTATTCAACTAAGTCAAACAAACGAGTAATAACAGTACACGTTTAAATGTAATTGATCGTACTAAGCCTGCTCGTCGTAAATGTTTTTGTATACGATTCCGAGTAAAGAAGTGCTGGGTATGCGAATCATCTAAGCTAATGTAGGACCTAGAAACACAATCGCTTTAGAGATTCGATATCAGTATAGTAACGTACGAAACTGGTCTTGAAATAGTTGACATTACTGATTGTATATAATGATGTTGTGACAACAATTGAGAAGAAAAAAGCAAATGAAACTGATTGTTAATGTTATTGTTTGACGAACGTTATGCAAACTATTTCTTAGCGATTTCTTTGGGTAAAAATTAATGCTATTAACAAAATCTAGGCTGCATCCTAAATATTGGACAAATGCAATTGCCATTATTGCACTGCTTTTTTTGTTTACATCGTATGTCTCCTAGTTACACAATGGTTTCATTTCATCATTACGACAAACTGACCCTTAAAGTTAATTATGTTTATTTTTATGCACAACATCATCAATCTCTCATTCATTGCTACAATGTTAAAGTCTTTGTTTGGCTGAGTCAGTCGAATTAGATTTATTGTTCATCAATTACGCTGCGATGGATCTTTGAGGATTTCCAACAGTAACTTCTTGTAGTCTCCGCTTGTTTCCGCACTGACATCCCGTTCTAATTCTCGATTAAACTGCTGATTAAATGCTGCTTTAATTTGCACAAGATCGATTTCTGAACGTGTTATGATAATACGATTCAATGTTGATTCTTTCGTACCCGCTCCCTATGAAATCGACATAGATAGATGGAGAATTGTTTAATGTATACCTTACCTTCATTGCTTTACGTAGTTGTTCAGCGAAAAACACGGGACGACTTCGCACGCATCGAATAATGGCGATAATACCTTTTTGAAGATCGCCACTCGTTTCACTTTTCACTGTTTCCTCTATTATACAGAAGAAAATTGAACAAACAACGAATAGAATCATTGAAAATAAACAGTCTTACCAACAGATTTTCCTGTTAGTTTTGCAAATTCATTAAAAATCGCTCGTAATTGTGGATCACTGCGATCGCAGAATAGAACATTAAATCTTGCTTCATCTGTACCGAATTTAGCTTGACCGGCATCGATCAATGCTTGAGCGTCTTCTTTCGCTTTTTCCACATTGACTTCGGTTGTTTCCGGACGATTGCCTTGCATCAATGAAACAAGTAATCGACGGAAATCTCCGCTCGTGTCCGATTTGACATCTTTCTCCAATGGTTTTCCATACACTAAATACACAAGTAATCACAAAATCAAAATCTTTCTCAAGATTTCAAACCTACATTGTGGATACGTGGTAACAATCGCTTTCAATCGCTCATTGCTGCGACTTGCTAAGATCTCGATTAGAGTTTCTTCGTCAGTACCTAATCCTTTGACAGCTTGTTTTAATTCAAAACAATCTAATTCAACAGGATCCATCATCAATCGTTCGAGTAACTTGGAAAAATTGCCCGATGTTTCAGATTTTAAGTCATGAACTAAATCCTGTTGATAAAAACAAATGATTTACGAGAAGAATCTCACCTATGTAAAGACTTACTCGGCCCAGTTTGTCTTTAAAAGCTTTTTTGATTTGTAACCGTTGATCGGTGTTTCGATTTCCTAAAATATTGATGATAGTTTGTTCATCGGTGCCCATCCCTTTCATCGCTTTCCGTAAGGCATCAGCATCGCGTCCAGCATCAAAATTAGATGCTGCTTTCATTGTCCCTTGTTGCTAAAAACAAATATTTCACATACATCAACTGAGAGGACAAATTAGGCAAATGAATTACAATTGTATCTTCTTTATAAATAGCCGGTTGTTCATAACCAGGTAGAGCCACATTTTCATATTTTGCTGCAGTAAAAAACGTCATTTTTCCAAATAATTCGTCATAAAACACCTGTTGAACTTACCATTGCCAGCTGATTGGTTGCGTTGGCTTGGATCTTTCAATAGTTCCATCAGAATTTTTCGATATGAACCACTCGTATCGCTCTACAAAACAAACTTCACATCAAGAAAAGCAGGTTATCAAAAAAGCAGACGTCACATACGTGAACATGTTTTTCTAATGATCGTTTCATCAATGTTTCATATTCTTCTTTTATTTGAATCATGTCCACTTCACATCGTGATATAATAACACGATTCAACTCATCCTCATCTGTACCAACACCCTGAAAAAGAAAACATAACATTCAAATCTCCGATCGATCCTTTCGACATGAATTTCTCTTCTTGAAAATCTCTCTCGAACAAAATATAATCTAAGCAAGAGAGATGTTCAGCATGGGATGATTTAAAGCTATAACACGACTGAATGTTTATATGCAAACAGATGCACGGCATGTCAACGATTATTCTCGTGCGTTACCTTATATCTTCTCTTTTAAGAATACCAACTAAAAGTAGCGTTTCGGTATTACATAGATCGAGATGCAAAGAATAATTTGATATGAACATACCTTCAATGCTTTCTTCAATTGTTGTGCGAAATAGGCTGGCCGATTACGCATGACACGAACTAAATTTAAAAAACTTGAGATTGTTCCCTTTTCTACTAAGAATCTATACATACCAATAGCTAATAAACTTCGACAGAGGTTTCCACTTGTTTCAGATTTGATTGCTGCTTCAATATCTTTTTTACTGTAATGTCCATAAGCTTCACAAACAGCCTTCAGCTGTGCATTACTATGAAAAAATGAGGTCGAATTAGAAGAAAAGAAAGAATGAAATAATCAACCTTCGACTGGCAATAATCTCGACAAACTTGGATTCATCTGTACCCCATTTCTTTTCACCTGCTTCGTACAGAGTCTTTGCATCATTCTCAGCTTGATCTTCATTTACTTCGTTGGTTTCCGGTCGATCTCCTTGTGCTAATACCATTAATATTTTCTTCAAATGTCCACTTGTATCACCGACAATGTCCTTTTCTAACGTTCGATTGAATACTAGGAAAACAAAAGAATATACATCACTCGAGAATAGAAATATTTACATTGTTGGTAGAGATTGTTAATTGCTTTGATGCGCGTATTGGAACGACTGGCTAAGATTTCAATTAGTGCTTCTTCATCTGTTCCTGCTCCACGAATAGCTCGTCGCAATTCATGGCAGTCATATTCAACAGGTCCATACAGAAGATTTTTCAAGACTTTGCCAAAATTTCCGGATGTATCGCCTTTAATGTCATTATGCAAGTCCTAAATGTTCAGATAATTTTTTTTCAATTGAAAGTACTATTCGAGGAATTTCTTACTCGACCAAACATATTCTTGTACTGGTCACGAATTTTCACTCGTTGCTCGCTACTACGATTACCAAGTATATGAACAATCATATCTTCATCAGTTCCCAAGCCTTTCATTGCCTTACGAAGATTCTCACAATCTAAAAAAAAATCATTTCTTTGGAATTTTTCTCTCGAAATAGCCATACCTCGCTCAACATTGAACTCAGCAAATGGTACTAGTGTTCCTTGTTGCTAAATTTGTAGAAGAGAATAGTTCAGCAGATTCTAAAATATATACGACATTTTTTACCACAGTTTCTTCGACATAGATGCGTGGTGTACGATCCGTATGTTCTTCATGCATCGACTCATCATGTTTATTCGAAACGGGTGGTGGCGGCGTCGGTGGTGGTGTGACGTCTCTGGGTGGAATCGATTCCCTTTCACTATCAGGTGGTGTTCGAATACGTTTTGGTGGTCGTCGTTTTGGAGGCGGTTTTTTGACCGGTGCTGGTTCTTCATACGTTGTCTGTTCACCTAGTGGCTTTTTAAATCTCGTGATGATTTGATAGTAACCACCTTTGTCAGTCAATTGTGCCATTTCAATCTAATGCAGAAAAAGAGTATCGACAATGCTATAATCATCCGAATTTCGCATTACTCGTCCGAATTTCTTCCAACCGAAAATCTCACGTAGTTCTGGTTCATCTTTGACATAGTTGTAGATGTTTAAAAAGAGATGTTCAAGCGTTTTCTTCCAGTTGCCATTGCCAGAACTAAAAGCAGTTGGTTTTCGATCCCAAAAATCATCTTCCTGACTAACGTCAGTTATTTTCGGTGGTGCAATCGGTAAATTCCTCGATGGTTGGAGCCGCTATGTAACACACCATTACAGCAAAGTGCACAAGATCATAACAAAACAAGCTTACTTCAAGCATTTGTTCTGTCATATATCCATAGTTTTTACCCGAATCAGCAAGATGCATTAATCCATCTGTCATGTTACCTCCTGGTGTACCCCAAATGTTAATTTGTGTGCCTGCATAGTTTACAGGTGAAATAGCACCTTCGATAGTGCTTTGAACATTGTATCCATCGTCCCATTGAGTTCGATCGATATCATTTCTTGCTTGATTAGCTGAAGTTGATCGACGATGATCCGTATTATGATATGGTTTTTTCTTTTTGTTCAAAGGTGGAGTTCGTTCCTATGCAATGCGTTGCAAAAGTGAAATATAGAAAGCAACAAGACTCATCTTACTGGACTAAGATTGGCTTGATCGAATGATTCGTTATTCTCGGTATCTTCCTGATATGCTTCCGAATACATGTCATTCACATCGAAATATTTTGTTGTTATGTTACTTTCCCGTAGTCCATCACTAAAATTAGCAGAACCATCAGTGAAATCTTTTTAAAGACTGTTCATTACGTTGTAACAGCGATTGCTTTGACCGTACGTCGTCCTGGTCCAAGGCGAAATGCACCACGATACAGAAACGTCGATACATGACCAGTTTTAAATACTTGAAATGGATCAGGTTTGGTTCCATCTACACTGAAGTAGATTCTCACATGTGGAATGTCTAAATAATAGGGCAAGATTTCGTATCGAACAAGAAAGTCTGATTTTTCTCCAGTGTAACAAACCAGTTCGTAATTCAACAAATGTTTGTGTATCGATTTTGTTTTTCGAAGCTGCTAAACTCGATGATAATGCAGAGATCGTCGGTGATGGCAATAAGCCTGCTTTCAACATGATTGATTGATTTGATTAACAACGACCTTGCGGTAACAATTCATCTGCCTGTTGCAAAAGAGAATGTATACATATATATCGTTGCTAGGCATTTCTCACCAGACATAGATGACGCTTTATGCATGACATCATTGCAGGGGAAAAGAGGATAGTTGTCATAGGAATTCACTTCTGATGGTTCAATTTTTCTTAAGTCATTTGATATATTGTTGATCTGCACTTAGAAAAACATCATGTCGAAGACAAATATTCGTCGTCCGCAAAAGAAAACGACTTTGAAAAAACGTCAAGACTGGGATGTGAGAATGAAATTTGTTTGGTTGAATCGTGTTTGTGAACATTTATTTTAGTCATCGGTCGGTGATTTATCTCAACATCGTCTTAGTGATGATGAAGCTGTAAAATAACGAAATTTTTTGTTTGATTTGCAAGAAAAACAACTTGATGCTATTGTTATGTTTTAGTCACGACGAAAACAAGCGTATCAATCACGAAATCTGCAACTAATTCAAGAAGAAAAACAACGAAAGATTTTAGCAAAAGGTATATTGCGTTGCCTTTGTAATTCAGATAGAATACTAAGCGATTGATCATTCTAGCTGTTCAGGATGCAAAGAAAAATAACAATAGTCAATTGGGTATTTTACGTGAAATCTTATTTAACGAAAGAGATGTAAGTATTGTCGATTTTGATAACGATTCTTTCGATGGAAATGATGAAAATTTAGATTGATGAATTGATGCAAAAATCTAATCATGTTTTACAATCAAGTCGATCGGAAAAATTCGTTCCGAAAAGTAGTGTTGTAAGAGTTCATTTTCAATTTTTGAGTAATTCAATCCATAATTTCATCTTTACAGTTGCGTAGTGGAAAGAATCATTATACAAGTTTAACTGATGGTCGAGCGAGAAAAACATCATCATCGTCAGCAAGGTATACGAAGAATTGTCGTTCTTCCTGATTTGATCTACTTTATCTGTTCAGACAGTCTTCGATAAGGAATTTGAATTCACCAGGTGGAGCTGATTGGAATCAATCCGAAGAAGGTAGGTGTACAGAAATGTCCTAATGAACTTAACTAATCTTTCATTTGGATTTAGATAACATTTCAGTCAGTTCAGGAGGAGGTGAAGAGGAGGATGAACTGGAAAACGAACCAGTACGTTTAAGTCGTTCGAATATGAAATCCAATTCGAATCATCATCGTGACTCGTCGAATGAACGTGATCCATCACATTCAATAACAAATCGTAATCTGAATGTCTATTCCCAATCTCGACAGCCATCAAACGGTGTTCGTTCAACTAATAATGTCTCCTTCATGTCTGATACATCGAAACTAGGAAGTAAAACTACTCCCACGACTGATTTAACTAATAATACTACGTCAACACATCAATTGAAAATGGTAATTGTTGGATTTTCTTGCAGATCTCATCCTTATCTTCTAATCTATTCAGCTACTTGATCGTCTATCTCATGAATTAAACGACCTGGAATCCATCACAGGCTTCAAATCAGATAAAACAAACTCATCATTACATAACCAAGCAAATACATGCAGTACTGCCCTTGTAACTGCTCTGATTTCTTTGACAGGCCATGTTAAACAAGTAAATACGAAATTTTCTTGTATTCAATTGTATCTTTTCTTGTTCAAGTGCGCGCTCGCTACAAAAAATCAACCAAATCAAGACACAAACAACCTGAAAGATCAACTTTCAGTTGTCATCAAAGCTCAATTAGATTTTCAACAAAAAGTTGAAAATCAGATATCAATGTTACAAACAATGATGCAAACAGTTTGTCAACTTGTGAATAATGAAATTATTTCTTCGAAGAAGCCAACAACTGCAAACACAGTTCCTCAACAACCACCCATGAATTCTGCTCGAGCACATCGAGATCGAGTAGATTTTCAAACAGCTGAACCAAGACAAAATTGGCCAACTGCTACTAACAATACTCAGGTTCAACGATCAAAAATGAGTTCTGCCGATGAATTACTCAGTTATACTCAACGTATGAACACTGGTATATTAGGATTCGATCAGTTTTGTTTTTATTGATGTCATGTCATTCTGTTCTTGATTATAGCAACCCCAACAGACGTGAATCAGTATCGTTATTCGACATATAGTGAATCGAATGACACAGCCAAGAGATTCTCTCGACCTGCATCAACTATTTCGATACATGATGGGCATTCCAATGATTGCTCTCGACCGATTTCTCAACGCCGAACATTCGAACAAGAATCACGTTCGTCAATGATCAGTCCAATCGAAATCCCGTCGTCCTATGATATGTTTGAATCAGGCCTTCCAAAGAGTAATTCAACGACCAGTATGCTACGCAGTGCAACAACTACTACATCAAATAATCTAACAGCAACAGGTTCAAATGTACGTTTTCTTTCTTTGTCGCCTGAGAAAAAAATCGGACTCATTTTGATTCGTTTCTAGAATGAAACCATCTTAGAGAAAATCTTGCAAGAACGTCTTCTTCTTGTTCAACAGATTGCTGAACTCAATAAACAACATGAAACGACTCAAGAAGAATTAGCCAATCTCGAAGCAAATGCTTTACAAAAACGTTCCACATAAACTCAGTGTCAGCTTCTTTTACAAATACTCTCATAATTAGTTTGTCTCTTGTTGATAGTTTCTTGATTCTGCTTCTCAACTTTGTGTACGTGTATTTCTTGAAATGATATGTCTGATCTAATAGAATACGAATGAATTCACATTTGTCTTTACTCATTTCCAATGCGTTACCTTTTTATCAAATAGTTTAGCATACTTTTTCCGACATTAATTCAATTATGCATACTTGTAGGAGTATTGCGTGTTGGAAGTAACGATTGGAAAAAGAAAAGAAAGTATATCTCGTAGTCAACATTTTCTAATTAGATATACATTTGTCTAACCTGAACAATGAATCGATTGCATCGAAAGTGAGAAAGTCTGTCAAGCAAATTGTTTGATTGACAAAAGAGAACAAATGGTAAAGACTTTCTCGTTGATATGTTGTACATTTTCTCCATACGACAAATTTCAATTGATCAATCACAGTTCATTTCCGGATCTCGTCGTCATTTGCTATTACCTTTTCTTTTCTTCTATTCTTATGTCTGAAAAAATAATACTCAGGATTGATCTGATTTAATTATTTCTACTTGTAAAAGCATTGCATGCTATTCAAACATCATCCGTACTAATTAGAAAAGAGAGGACCAAAATACATCAACTTATATGGTAAATCCTCGAATATGCTAACTAAGACGTCGAACCTAATGAAACTCTTTTCCTTTCTTTCTTTCTCTTCAAAGCATATTAGCAGAAAATTAACTAGGGAAAAGACAGCGCGCGCGCGCCAGAGAGAGAGAGTGAGTGAGAGAAGAATTTTATCGTCCAATGAGGATCAAGTTTTCTCATTTGAATCTTAATTTGCCCAATGAAAACTCTTCGTTCTCTCCTTCTTGTTTTGATTGCTCGCAATTTGTTATGGAAATTCTGGTCATTCGCATTACCATTGAGACACACACAAGAGAGAAAAAATGTTGATGAGCATCTATTATCACTTGATTGAAATCCAAACATAACTATGACTGCAACGATCAAGAGTAGCTTTTTGATTGACGATTTGCTCTCCGCTTTCAAGCGACCCACACCAATCGTACCGACTTCAACACCCTCGAATCCTCCGATTCCACCGAAAGACTCTGCTCCAACCTTATCAAATGATATTTCGCCAATATCACTGAACTTTTTCCAACCGCCTAATCAATTCAATCAATATGCAGCTATCAAACCTGAACTGCATCCATTCTTTTTCCATGGTACGTATGAAATCAACAGAAAAGTAGACACTCCTGTTGAAGAAGAAGTCCGCGGGTGGCCGTCATCTTCTTGTCTTTTCTTTTTTCGTTTTTTCTCGTGCATGTCCACTAAGACGACAATAATGTCGTCGTCGAATGATGATGAGGTGACTAATGAGTATGACGAATGGTTATTCTAATGAGACTATTTTCCTAATCGGCTCAACATCTCTTTTTTTATACAAGAAGAAAAAAGATTTCATTCTTCTTTTTCAATGAACATTATCTGCCTAGTGATCTATTCAGAAAGTAATTATTTAATCAAAAGAAAAAGTCACCCACCTGTTGTTAGGAAAGAAACAGACGGACATACCTTTCTCAAGGTCAGACAGGGCGTGGCTTGCGAAAAGGATGTTACGTCGAATGACCATCTGTAATGTCTGCCATTTTAGGTTTGAGTTTTCACGCCTATCTCAACAGTGAACATTCACTTAAGCATTGCCGACGACGTAAAGCTCGTACCGTATTCAGTGATCATCAATTGAACGGATTGGAAAAACGATTTGATGGACAAAAGTATTTAAGTACACCTGAACGTGTAGAATTAGCTAATGCACTTAATTTATCCGAAGCACAGGTAAACATTCGCCTTTATCTTTTCATTTTAACATTTTCTCTTTTCTATTCTCTCTTCGTTGGTTGATCAATTTTCAGGTCAAAACATGGTAAGTCTTGTGATCTTTTACAATCAAAATTCTTGATAGTTTCATTTAGGTTTCAAAATCGTCGCATGAAACACAAGAAACAAGTTCGTCGACAATTACAAAATACATCGGGTAGTCCATTATCCGAAGGTGTCGACGAAGATGAGTGTTGTGAGGAGAATGATATTGATGTTGTCAGTGATGATGAATGTTACAGCAATAATTCTTCTTCGAAATAAAAAAAAAGGAAACCGAAATAACTCCCATCATCAGACATGGGCGTCACGTACACTTCTCTATCTACTCTCTTTATGCTCAATCCAATCAGCAGGAGGTACATCGGATAAAAACAATTAAAGCAAGAGAGAAAACGACAATGAGTGAATGATCATGATTGAATTGAAACAAGACATGGCAATAGAAACATATGTCACTAAAGAAAGACAATACAAGGATAATTTGCACATCTATTTATTCATTATTAAGCGAAGAACAAAAAAAAAGAAAGAGAGAGAATGAGAAGCGAAGAAAAATGTTGATGAGTGATTCAACCACTGGCAAATTTGAGGAGAGATTGAAGATCGCTCAGATTAAATGAACTGAAGTCAGATTTGCCTTGTGCAAGATTTAGTAATTTCAGAGCTAATTGAAGATTATTGGATGATGATGACGATGAATCAGTTTTCTTGAAAAATCCAAGTAAACGATCTAATTTTGTTGCCGATGACGTTGCCGTGTTTTGTTTGTCTTCTGCCGTGTTGCTCAAGATTTGAAAAAGCTTGTCAAGATTACTATTTGTGCCACCCGATGACGATAACAACTGTTTTAATATCGATAATTTACTGATCGAATCGGAATTTTTGTCTTTATTGGAATCTTTCGATACGAACGTATTGTACCAATCGATTAAGCCACGTTTAAATAAGAAATCCACCGGATCGTCACGCGGATGATTGATTGACAATGCCATTGTTGATATGAAAAGCATTGTCACTAAGAAAACTACGAAAAAAAAGTCGAGAATCTCTTGTTTTTATGTTCGAAAACGCTTCCGTACTTGTCGAAGAAAATCGATTCATTCTTGCCAATAAAAAATTCAAATGACGAATAGTTTTTATCGATACGTATTAATCGATCTGATGAAAGGAAAGAATAAACGTACGAATTTATACATCGTACAGACGGCGAGTGATATTATTCATTCGTCTTTTCAAACATAATAATCCAGGTTTAATTTCGAGAAAATTACACTGGAATTCTTTCTTTCTCTACAAGCGATACGTCCATATATTTCCTTTTTTTTTATTATTGCAAAAAACAAAATCATTAATAAAAATTCACAAATAAATAAATACTGAAAGAAAGCAATAGATTGTCACTTGGAATGCACTCAGAACTAACAGTCAAAATGTATTAGAAAATAGATTCTCTCCCTGTAGAACGAATACTATAAACTACGATCATGTTCATTCGATTATTTGCTTATACCACTGGTATAATATTGAAATGTGTCATAGACTTTTGTTGTCAATGAGTTCAAACTACTTTCCACCATTTTTTCAACATAGAATTCTAATTGTTCGTCTGTCATGTTTAGATGAAAACGTTCTTTCAATCCTGATGTGACATTTCCTTTCGAAAAGCAGTTCAATTGCGAACCTGGAAGAGAAATACACATGAAATGATCATTTGTAACTAAAAGATTTTCTCATACCATGCTGCATGATTTCGACGATCGGCATCAGTTGATCCATATGTTTTCGTGCAGCGATCAAGCCCCGAAATATTAAGATTTTATAATATTTATACATGTCACTTTCCAATCCATCCATAATGTCGACGAATTCTTGAGTGATTTTAAATGCTGAACTTTCGAAACCGAGATTTTTTGGTGTCGATGATAGCATGAAACCAAAATCGATATGAATGATATGACCTTCATCGTCTAATAAGATGTTTCCGTTGTGTCTGAAAAAGATGTAATGAATGATGATAGGCCTGGTTTGAATGAACTCACCGGTCTTTGACTTGTAGTAAATAACAAACAATCGAATAAGCAGCACAACTTTGTACAAAATTTCGAACAGCATTGAGAAATTGTTCACTGGTTTCAGTACCAAACTCATGTAGAAAATAATCTCGTAAGGATAAATTTGAATTTCGTTTAATCTGATGAAGAGAAACAGCATTTAGAATCGGTTCGATTAGACCTAGAAAAGCCACAAATGTTGAAATGAATTCGCATGAACACCTTTTGACTTACCACTATTATTTGATAGAACAAGGATGTTACTGGGACGCACAAACACCGGTACAGATTCATTTTTCCAAATTTCTTTTAATTTAATCATGAATTGGTACGCGAGCAATTCATGACGAAGATCATCACCACATTTAACAATTGCGGCAACGAGTCGCCAGTTTTTCATATGGCCGTAAGGTGATGACTGTCGAATTCGTTGTTCTTTCTTATCCCATGGTTCTTTCAGCGTTGCTGCAGATGGATCATCTGGATCACGCTGCAGCAAAAAATAAAATCAATGAGATCGATACGAAATAATTCTCTTCGTTTGTTTTTCTCTCACATCGAAAGTAATTGGACCAGTCAATTTCGCCTCACTCAATCGTTTTCGTATATCGGCGGGCATGATTTCTTGCTGGCTGGTATGACTTTCCACAGAACGTATGGATTGTGTATCTGAATGATACGAACTTAATACTAAATGGTGAGATCGATGGCCATTTCGTTTTGGTGACGGTTGTTCATCGCCGTTGATTTCTTCACTAGTCGACCAAATATCTGTATATTCGTCGTTTATAGACATTCGATATGGCTCAGTGGATTCAGCATCTAGACTTTGAGTTTCACAGTTATTATAATCAACATTGTTACCATTGGCGGATATCATTGGATGGTGAATGTTCTCCTCGGATCGTGTCCAACGTAACTTGGAATCAGATTGCTTTGGGGGTAATGGAGATACGAAGATATCATCACAAAGTACGATTTCAATGTAGACGATATAAGGTGCCTAATGAACAAATGAAGATAATGAGTGTTTATAAGGTTGAAGATGACCTACTCGATCACGAGAATTCAAGACCGTAGCTTCCGTATATGCAAATCTCACAATATGGTGCGGAAGTGAACAGAATGGGATCCAAACTCTTGCTGGTAGATTCATATTCAGTCGTTTTATTTCGCTTATTAAATGTTGAGCTAATAAACACAAACCAATCGAAAAAACATGCAAAAAGCACAGTCAATCATACTTTTCTTCTCTTTTGTTGGTACTTGTGGTAATTGTTTACCAATGTTAATCAATGCAGCGAGAAATTCTCGTTCAGGTGAAAGCCTTGGAGCCTATTTACTTCTGAGAATAGCAAACAAGAATTTAAAGAATCGAAGGGCTACTCACATTGCACGTACATTCCGATTCACGAAAACCATAGCCATGTTCGAAACATGTACAATTATTATCAAAGGCATGGCCTGAATTCAGATCACCTAAACATAATTTCACATGTCGGCGATGTTGTCTATTTGTCTCGTCAGTACTAATCGATGCTGAAAATTCTAAGAAAACAGAACTGATTCGATGCGAACCGTAAAACCAATGAAAGTTCACTCTACCGGAAATGTTACTTCGATGTTTTTGATTCGACCGTTCAGTTCCTTCCTCCTCTTCATCTACTGGCACATGGTCACGATAACCAACCGACGTTGAATCACTCGGCAATGTCGGTTTGTAACAAATTTTAGGTTTATACTTTTCATACAAAATATCGAATAGTAGACGGACGGCGTCATTCGGTTTCTTGGACAATCTCATTTGATCACCAATGTATGCGCTAAGTAGCCAAGCACATAGCAACGAAAAGTTCACACTTGCAGAGCATCTAAACAGACCAGAATAATTTCCGTCAGATCAACAGCATCATCATGTTACCTAGCTGTTATATACTTCTGAATAACCGCTGACACTGATGGAATATGAATATACATATTGATCAATTGTGGTAAATAAAAATCGACTTCTTCATGGGGATATTCAAATAGTTTCTCTCCAAGATACTGTTGTACAACAGGTTCTTTCGAACTGAATAAATAAGATATCGCAATCGAGACTGTACAGACAGTTGAACCAAATAGACGCAATAAACCTGGATGTTTTTGTGCTAGATATTCACTAGTAGATGTATTCGCACGATTAGCTGTCGATGAATCTTTGTCACCATCGGGTACGTTTTCTTTCTCAGCTACAGATGTATTATTGATTGCGGCTAATGGTTTTGGATTACTTCTACGAAGGAACATCATCTGTAAGGAATAAACACAAGAGATTTGTTCAACAAAATGATCATCTAGAAAGAAATTTAGAATTTCAATTGATCTAGTTTGTCGAGCATCTCGATTTTATTTAGGTTAAAAGAAAAGAAAAAGTAACAAACGAAAAGACGTTGTGAAGTCTATGCTGAACTTTGTTCTTTGATTGTCATCTTTTTTTTGTCTTCTTCTAAAAATCATCTTCATCATCAGCCATTTCTTTGGCATATTCCAATTCTTCTTGCTCACGTTCTCGCCGTTCCTAAGTGAATAAAACACGATTATTTCAGACAATCATTCACAAAACCTTACTTGAGCAGTTTCCAAATCTTCGTTGTATTTCTTTGGTGGATAACGCATAGCTTTAACTGCTTCATTATGAACTTTGAGACAAAATTCGATACGTTGATGGAATGCATTCATTGGCTCACGTGTTGTATAGACATCAATGATTTCCCGTGATTGTACGTAGCCTTGTTCATGATTTATACTCGCTTCTATAACACCATCACGAATAGCCTAGAAAATAAGAATAATCGTGTTGATTTAGATAGATTACTGTCCGTTAACTGACTTTTGCAACGATATACTCAGCATCTTCAGGTGAATCAAGTTGGAGCTTTTGAGCGACATCAGAAAATGATATTTTCGCATAAGATAAACTAATCATTTTAATACCAGTTTTGATGACATTATGTCGTAACCTAAGTGGATTTCGTTGGACATGACTACTTCAAGTGTTATATCATGTCTTACCGAATGATCAACGACCAAGTTTTCTCTTGTTGGAATCGATCAGAGAATGCCTCAAGGACTTCTTTGAATCGACTTAAGTCACCAGCACGAACAGCTAGAAATATACGATGAAACTGAAAAGGTCAAGAGAAACTTTTCGTTATCTACCCAATGTCAATTGATAATATGGGTCTAATGAACGTTTGAGCTGAGAATTGTTGAATGTTGCTTTATCTGGAATGTCACCAAGTAGCAATTCAACAGTGATCAGAAACTTATGAGCCTGAAAATTGAGAAAATCAACATCTATTCTTCATCTGAAACTGGTTAATTACGTTCTGTCGAAAGCCAACTGCTGTTTGTTGTGGTGCTTTTCGAATAGCCGTTAGCAAGTGTTGATGAGCTTTAGTATATTCCAATTGCATAGCACGTATACGACCTACGAGAAATGATTTGTGTTGATTTAGCATTGCAATCGAAAGATTCTTACCAAGATAATAAAGATATCTAGCCCACTCGTTATTCGACGCATGGTCGGGAAAGACTGATTTGAGAACAAGTTTTTGTGCTTGACTATAGAGATTGTAATGAAGGTAGTTTCGTAATAATAAATTAATTAGTACAGCTGTTCCTTCGAAATCATTTCGTAATGTTGCTGTACGTAATCGGCTATGTAAAAATCTGAACAAAAAAAAAAAAGAAATTTCATCAAAATTTTGTAAGTTATGTCTGAGGGAAACCTACGGTCGAATGGAATCCAGCATGTTATTCAATTCGAAGATGCGTGCGTAATAGAAATAACATTTAGCTGACAATAAATCCAATGTTCGACGATTAAGTACGCTTGTTTTATCGACTAAACGTTTGGCACAATCTAACGCCTAGAAGAAGCAATTAGATTTCCATAGACAAAAGGCAAGTTCTGGCAAATTACCGATTTCAATGCATTTCGATCGATTAGATAGAGAAGAACAATTAAGTGTATGAAAAGATCAACTTCCGGTAACGAAGCAGCGCGTGCTCGTGATGTTTGAGGACGTGACACCGAAGGTTTTTCACTTGTAACGGGTGCTGGTGAACTACTATTTTTGTCCATGTCGACATCCATCGGCTAGACATGATAAAGAAGTAGACGAGAGAAAGTTTCGAGCGAAAAATCGATGTACTTGGGAAACAGATTGGGCGAAGCCGAGAAGAATTTCTCGTTCACTGGAATTCGAACCATAATAAAATAAAATCAACCGACGAATAACGTCTTCATTTAAACGTTTTCGTGTCGATGCAAGTGCACGTAAAACACGGAGAATGTATCGAGGTTCTTTCAAATTAACTGCTTTCTCTATTGTCCGAACTTGTTCTTTGATATCTATCCGAAATCAAACAAACATTGTGGAAGAAAAATGCACATCAATGAGAAAATCTAACCGTCAAGTGTCAATGTATCCGCGTCTTTTTTTTCATCTTTCGATACTGTTGTTGGATTTGTTGTATTGGATCCATTTGCTGGATCGGTTTCTTTCATTTCTATGTCATGTAATTCAACCATGATTGATTAATTCGTTAGGGTGGTATAATTGCAAATAAAAAGAAAAGTGGTTTAAGTTGAAGAACGATAACGATGAGTCACCGACGAAGTTCTAGTTCGAATTATTGGTTCGTTTTCGAATATCACTTGAAATTTTTACAAAAGATGTCGTTAGAAAGTCGAAGTAAAAGACTCTTTTTTTTTAAAATAAATCTGAAATCTTTTTCAAATTTATATGAAAAGAATTTTGATATTGACAATACACTTCCAAACATAGAGGACATTGAGACGATCAACCATTTTCAAATGATTCGTCAGATGGGTCAGATGGACATGTGCTTATCATTCATTAGCAGCTTGTTTTCAGTTGTCGTGTTTGTTTATTCGACGTGGTTAGTTGAACATTTTTTGTTTTTACTATTGAATAACAGCTATGATGAGTTAATTTGCGTTTGATCCAGTCGAACTCTGGACACATGCCTGCGTCCATCATAGAGGCGATTGTGGCCTGAAAACGAACACTATCTGAGCTGTTTAGAAGAAAAATACCCAATTTGAATTCAGTCGTTCTTCTCACTCATACACCAATGAATTACACTTTTTCGTATCTTAAACAATGAGAATGACTCAAAGATAAAGTTTTGTTCTTGAAAATTGCGCACTTTTTCACGCAACATGTTTTTCTATGATGATGAATATATGAACTCAAAATAAAACTTGACTGTTATTTGAATAAAAGTCGTGCAACTGTAAGAATAAAGACTTCTAATTAAATATGTTACTTCAACTGAACTCAAGAAGGTGAAAACACGAAATAATTTATGACTATAACGATCGCGAATAAGAAGCTACTTGCCGTATTTTCCGAATATAAAACAATTGAACATCTACGAAACCTTTTCTAGATGACTAACACGATATTTGATAAAGTTAAAATCCAGTTTGAACAAGTCTGTTGCAGAGAAATACTCGACAGAACAATCGACTTTTCTTCTTGTTTAGTTTCTTACATCTGTCAATCGTGTTCTCGCAAATGACAAAGACATTCACATTCTCGAAAATAAACTCCGTCGTCATTTTAACTCAGCATTCTCATCCTACTTATGTTCACCAGACTTTCAATCACAACTCGATCGTCTCCAAGACGTGTTCAATCAAAATGATAGATCTACAAGATATTTCAAATTACTAAACTCACTCGATCAACAACTAAAGAAACATACTATCAAGCCCAAAGAGTAATAACACGCTGAACTTTTCATCTGCAGTACGAATTGTCATTTAGATCTGTTCAAACATCGGCAGCGTCATCAAGTTCTGTCGAAACAAGAGTATCATCAAGTACAAAAACGATGATCGTCTCGCCAACATCTTCCACAGAAACTACTGTACACCTATCGTCGTTGACGTCTGAAGAACAAACAGTTGAACAACTTTTGAGATCTTGCAATGATGTATTTACAATATTTGATGAAAGTCGACCGTTAAGTAAAAGTGTCGAAAGAAGAACGACAACTGAACAACGAATTACGAATGAAATGGTACTGCAAAGAAAGAAAAAGATTAATAAATTAGAACGACGATTGAGTCGTCTATCAAGACTAATACGACGATTAGAGAAGACAGATATGTCGTTAGATGAAATGGAAAACTGCGATTTATACGAAGTCGAGTCCAAACTGAAAAAACAAGCATATGAAGTAAACTTTCAGAGATATCTTTGCCGTATCTTCACCCTGACCAATTTGTTTAGATTTATCTTAAAATCAGCCATTTGAAGAATGAAGTGTCGTCTACGAAAAGAGTTCTTGAGCAATCCATCACACTTACAGAGACCGATTTCGAGTATCCAATTATAGAGAAAGCTGTGGAAGAGATGGTTAATCAAACAAAATACCTACCGGCATTTCATGATGTTCTTGCAACAGTAGATAAAGCGAATGATAGATTTAAATTAAATCTTAGGTAAGATATATGCTAACTCTTCGTAGATAATCGAACCAAATGGATTTTTGTAGCATGGAGAAACGAAAAAGTCTCGCAGAACAATTGTTCAAGTTGATTGGTAGAAAAGTAAAAAATCGCCGTATGGCAGATTTCAATGATATCATGAACAGTCGTCTCCCCGAAGACTTTGAGTAATGTTAATTATTTTTGTAATATCGAATTAGTTTCTGTTTGATTAGTATTGAACAGAGTGATCCCGCATTGAACAGTAGTGAACTTGAAAATACGTTGATTGAAAATGAACGTGAAGCTGCGACTAAAACAGAAAAAGTAATTGAATGGAAATAGATATATTGTATTTGATAAGTTTGATTTGATTGAAGATCTTCGAAGAGTTTTCTCAAATTGATACTCAATTAGAACCCGAAGAGAGTATTGAAAGTGATGCAGACGAAGATGATGAAGTCGAACTTACCGTTGAGTCGGTGAACGATCAATTCGACGATTATTACTATGATTATACTGACATTCTTCCATCTTTTTGTAAGTGTTTTTAACTGGATGAAAAATCTCAACAGCATTCTATCTTCTTTTCAAATAACTAGCACCTCAATCTACATCTCATGTGCAACAACAACCTTCCATCGATGATGATTCCACAAAACTTATAGATAATAATCTATTTGATGCTTTACCAACTTCTACAACAGAATCAAATACTTATATCACTTTGGATTCACAAAATACTCAAGAATCTCAATCTGTCACAACAACTGAAGAACATAAAGTTCAAATACTGATACCACGACGGCAAGTACAACGAACACTGCATGATTATTATCAACGGGACACAGTGAACAATAATTCATCTAGTGTACCGAAACGATCCACTTCGAATGATACACAGTCATCAAATTCAAAAAAAATCAAAGACTCTCACGAGATTATTTTGCTAGATTGAATGTGTATAATTAAATCTACTTATTTTTTTATTCGTTTCTTCTTGTTTTTGTATATATTCATCGCATATTCACTTATTATAGTCAATCTTCAGATTTTTCCGTTTTATATCGTTTGTATTTATTCTAAACTGTGCATGTGTGTTTATTACTATTATCATCGGTGTTTTTTTTCTGTTGTAGGAAAAATCAATTTTCTCAGCAGAGAAAATGATTTACGATCTTGTTTTTCTCAATGGTCGAGTTATGGATCCTGAAACCAATATCGATGCCATTCGATCGATTGGTATTCAGAATGGATCAATTGTGAGCATCAGCGAAGAAGTTCTTCATGGACATGTTGAAGTCGACATTTCAAATCTGATTCTCTGTCCTGGTTTTATCGATGTTCATTCTCACGAACATTCGGATGAATACTATGCATTAAAATGTCAAGATGGTGTGACATCTGTATTTGAACTGGAAGTTGGAACGAATGATATTGATCAATGGTATGCCGAACGAGAAAACAAAACTTTGGTTAATCATGGAGTGGCGATTGGACATATTCAAGTACGAATGAAAGTTTTTCACCATCCATCTGGATTTCTACCGCAGAGTGATTCGCCAGCGGCATTGCGAGCAGATAGAATCGATCAGATAACAAAAGAAATAGAGTATGGTCTTCGGCGTGGTGCCATGGCTATGGGTTTTGGAATTCACTATGTACCAGCAGCAACACGATGGGAGATTGTGGAATGCTTTCGTCTAGCAAAGAAATATGATGTTTGTTGTCATGTTCATATGCGTCATTTTGGTGCACAAGAGAAAAATGGTAGCTTAGCTGCTCTACAAGAAATTCTCGCTCTTGGTGCATGTACCAAAGCAGCAATCAATGTTTGCCATGTTCATAGCACGTGCTTAGCGGTAACGAACAAAGCTCTTGAACTTATTCATGATGCCCATCGGAATGGAATGGACATAACAACGGAATTCTGTAAGTGAACCTTGCTTTCAGACAGATAGGAATGCTGTTTTTGAAATTTTTTTATTGTAGATCCTTATCTAGCTGGTTGTAGTTCGATAGACTCTGCCTTATTCAACGATGACATATGGCAAGAACAATTAGGCATCGGTTATGACAGTTTAACCTATGTTAATACAAAAGAGCAGTTAGATATTAACAGTTTTAATAAGTATCGTAAAGAAGGCGGCTTAATTATTATTAATTCCATTCCCGAACAAGCAGTGATCGATTGTCTTCAAAGTCCAATCACTTTGATGGGCAGCGATGCACTCCGTGGTCATCCTCGTGCAGCCGGCGCATGTGCACGTGTACTTGGTCACTATGTTCGCGAACGTCAACTGATTACATTGATGGAAGCCATTCGAAAGATGTCTTTACTTCCAGCGCAGAGATTAGAAAGTGCTTCGAGTCAAATGAAAGTTCGAGGACGTATCTGTGTAGGTGCAATTGCAGATCTATGTATATTTGATCCCATGATCGTAAAAGATTGTGCTACATACGAAGAACCGAAACTTCCTTCGCAAGGAATTGTACATGTACTAGTCAATGGGACATTCGTTGTACATAATGGAAAGTTAGTAGCTATGGATAAGAATACAAAACTACCAGGCCAAGCCATTCGTGGTGTGATTCGCGATTAATTTCTAAGAAAATCATATGTTGATTAGTAAATTCTGTAGTCATATAAATAATAATTGTCTTAATAAATTGTGATTTTAATGTTTTGACAGATTTATGATAGAAAGAAACATATGCTTCTATTTGTCACTAACTATTGTATTTGTTCATTTGGTAGACGATGTACGACATTGACTGTCAGTTGAGATGATGTTGTTGTTTTCACCGGCGTGATTATCACTGATCGAAAAGGATTTCTCCCATTTGAACACGTAGCAAATGCTGAGTTTAAAATAGCTCGAAATTGCTTACGAATCGTACTGCTAATCATTAGAAAGAGATAAAAGTGCATGGCATGCGTAAACGTTGATAGAAGACCGAACGCATCATTGAGAGTGTACAATGTTCGATAATCATTATTGAGGATATTCGAAAAATTAATCAACAGATTTAGACAGCTGTATGGACTTACAATAAATAGCGAAACAATCGATGTAATGACAAGCATGATGGATAATTGAGTTTCATGCCGTTTGTTAATCGTATTGATCGAGGTGACACGTGCTCGTGATTTTCGAATGTAATGCAATATCAGTATATCACCAACAAGCATACAAATACATGGTATAAGAGCGTAGATGCATAAGTCGATAATTGAATAGATACGAGTAAAGTACGGGTCGATAATGACACAATATTCTTCATTATTTTCAGGTGCTTCGATCAGTTGAGAACCGAAAAGTAGAGAATTCAATCCGATAAGCATAAAGAAATATACACCTAAACAAATATGTTGAAAATGTTGTCGACGCGTGAGCACAAGACTATTGAAATAACCATGAGCTATTTTAAAAGTTGTATACAATCGATCGAACATGGCTAAGACTATCATTCCGATCGACGCTTGCGACGAACTGTAATAAACAACTGCGAATAGTTTACACAGCGCTGTCGATTGATTTCGAAGTGCAGTCTCAGTTAAATGACTAGTTAAACGATTAGTTATCCACCAAATTAAACTTAATTCATCGAATATAGCCATGAGGGAAAAGTACAACGAACACGAATATTTACGCATGGAGTAGAGCCGAAATAAAATCAAACCAAAACTGTTTCCGATTGTTCCCATACTCAATAAAAAGAAAAGATACGGAACCATCCAATCTTCATTAGCCCAAGTTTCCTCAACAACTTCTTCTAGTGTAGAATTCATTGTTAATAAATAAGAGCAATTCGATGAGAAAACTAGTTTTAATATAGATTATTCAATGATTTATGACACAATCGAGGGTTTTTATCGTTCAATTATAGACTGAACTGCTTGATAATAAATCATACTTGAAAATGATTTATTCAAATATTCTTGTTTCTTTTTTTTTCATTTAGTGATCTTAACTTTCGATTTTTTTTTCTTCATGTTTGCATCTGAATTCAAAAAACCATGGAAAGAAAGTTATTCACTCTATGATTGGTGTACTGCTGTTCTCCAATTGGAGTTGATAGTAGAGCCTCTTTATGTATAAAATAAATGTCACACATATCGTTTTGATCAGTTCGTTTATCTCTTTGTTAGTAATAAACATTATTGTTTTTGTTAAAATTTTCCATGATTTTCTTCCGAATGAAAAAAAAATTCGATTCTTTTCCGTTTTTAGTAGCAAATCTGATTAAACCAATAAATGAACTAACATTTTTCCATCAAGAAAAAACTTCATCAATTTTCTTGACTTAATCGCGAAAAAAACCGTATTTCTACATCGAAAATTTTTTTTTCAACATGCCTTTGGCTATTGATGTTGGCCAACGCGTTCTTGTTTACAATCCTTCACACGGATGGACCATGGCATATTTCGTTCGAGCACAACAAACAAATGATAATAAACTTCAAATATTAGTGAGTCTAATCAGAGAATATTTCAATCGAAAATGAACTCTGTTTGCCTTTCAAGACATGTCGCTTAGCCAATTGCCACCATAAACCAACGTCACAAGATCATTATCGTTACCCGCCCGAACGTGTCGCGTTGAATGATAGTATCAATGACCAAGTCAGTGTCGGTACACGGGTACTTTGTATGCCAAGTGGTGACGCAGATACATCGAGATATATTGATAAACCATTGCGAGGAATCATTGCTGAACAACCATCGAATGATAATGATCAGCGTTATCTGATATTTGCTGATAGCGATTCGCCGTTCTACTTACGTTCAACTGCTATTCGACTGTTACTTGAACCTTTATCAAATTATTTATCAAAAGTTGATTTAGGTACCAAACAATACATCGAAAACTATGTTCTAACGTATCCCAAACGACGTCTAGTCAACGCTTCTGTTAAAGATCATATAAATATCGAATTGAATGGGCAATGGATCGATGCAATTGTCTCGAAAGTCGATGCTAGTCTTATGCGTGTGTTTTTACCTGTGTTAAATAAACACGAATGGCTCTATCGTGGTTCACTACGTCTTCAACCACTATTCAATTCGTTATCATCATACGAACCACCATGTAAACGATTGGCAACGGAAAAACCATTGACACTTACCAATAACAAATGCCATTTTCTTCTCGTACCATTGAATTACGGCTGGAAACGACAGATAAGGAATGATCTCGGTACTATTGTCTATGTTTCACCTTGTGGACAGATGTTTACCGATGGTGAACGTTTACATGCCTTTCTCTATCAAACACAGTCATTATTATCGATCCGACAATTTACATTCGATATGAACTGTCGTGTTACACAAAAATTTATTTCGCCAAATACTGCTTTTGTTAATCTCGAAGATTATACGTCAGGAAAAGATAATGTGCCCATAATGCTTGTCAATGAAATTGATTCAACATTACCAAAACCGTTTGATTATGTTACTGAACGAATACCACTGACGTCGGACATTGTCATGGAGAAGGAGAGTATCAAAGGTTGTTCGTGTCTGGATGGATGTATTGATACGACAAAATGTGCTTGTTGGCAGAAAACGTATGATGGAATAATCCAATCGCATTATTATGAAGATTTAATTGGTTCATTGAAGGATTTATTTCAACAATCGATCGATATCGAAGATGATACGATTGATCACACCGAAGAAATGCGATTATTTCTTTACGATGCATTATCAAAACGAAATTTCGGTTATAAGCATGGAAGATTACTGGAAAAGATTCATTCAGGTATCTATGAATGTAATGGGAAATGTAAATGTGATTCACGTTGTATAAATCGTTGTGTGCAATTCGGTTTAAATACTCTGTTGCAAATCTTTAATACCTCGGAGAAAGGCTGGGGTGTACGAACATTATATGATCTACCAGCTGGTACTTTTCTCAGTTTTTATGCCGGAGAAATACTTAACGATGAAGATGCTAATCGACGTGGTACAGAGAAATCCATGGGTGATGTCTACTTTACAGCATTGGATTTTATAACATCGTTAAAACCAACATTTTTACAGAAGAAATCAAGAACAAGTATTGAAAAGCTTGTCTAGCTGTACATCAGTTGAATTTCAGTATTTTTAGGTCAATCGGACGAACATATGAGTATGCTGAATGAAGATCATCAACTAACTTCGAATGAATTATGTAACGTTCAATTGAATGGGAGTATGTACTGCTTATTCTTTGTCGAATCGGTCGGATATCATCCCTGATTTAGATAAACAACCATCGACAGAGGAGAAATATCGAGGTTTATCCAACTATGATTCTGGTGTGTATGTGATGGATGCTCATTATAAAGGAAACGTGTCTCGATTTTACAATCATTCATGTTCACCGAATGTCTTCGTTCAAAACATCTTTGTTGAAACATGGGACGTTCGATTTCCATGGGTTGCGTTTTTCACAACATCTAGTATTAAAGCCGGTACTGAACTCGTTTGGGACTATTCCTATGAAGTAAGTAGAAACATTCGAATTTCTTCATCGATTTTTCATTATTGATATCGCTGCAGGTTGATACAGTGGAAAATCGTGTGTTACATTGCCGTTGTGGTTCAGACGAATGCCGCCATCGATTACTTTAATTTGTTTTTGGTTGTTTTTCTTTTTTTTTTTATAGTTATTTTTCTTCTTTCATTTTGTTGATGTACTGTTGTCTGTCCTATTTTGGAGAAAACTAATTCTGTTCTCTCGTCTTCTTCGTGTGAGATATTGTATAGAGAATGCATTAAAACAAACATACATGAAACAAAAAACGGTTCATCTCTGCGAACAATCGATACTGTAGGACAAATGATTACGATAGAGATGTTCGTATCAATCAAAATTCGAACTTTTTGCTTTCTATGAGCGATAGTTTGAATTTTTGTGCATTGGCAAGCAAACTCGCATGATCTGATCTGACAAAACTTTCAAAGACAAAAAAAAGAAAATATTTTCTCGTTAATAAAACAAATACACTTGAATTAATGGCTTGAGACGTACTAAATTTCATTCTTCTTGCCTCTATTTTCGTTGCGAATAGATGAGAAAATACATTGTTTTTCTCGTTGCTCAGTGACCTTAGAACATCTCAAGCTCGGAGAGTTCTATTTGATGTGCACAGAGATTATCCGAGCTGAGCTGCTGAAAAGTGGAGTTAAGTGTCGATCAATTTAATGATAAATCGAGAAAGAAACGTAAGAATAAATGCGTTGTCGTTAACAGCCGATTGTATTGTTGACAAGAAGGCGTCAAAAATGTGAATTTTAAAAGAAGAAGAAAAATGCGAGAAGAAAAGTAAAACAAAATCAGAGAAAAGAAGAATCAAACATTTCAATCATTTGACGTCCTGTTGTTGTTAACTTTGAGTAGTTGAGGTGTCGAAGAATAAATGAGATCTACAATGTCAATCGTACCGCCAACGACTGGAAGAGCTCCTTTATCGGCGGTAGGACGCCGAACGGCGAGTACTACTAAAGTAAGTCAATTAGAAGAAGAAAATTCAGTTATAAACTGCCGTTCATTTCTTCCAAGGGAACTTCAAAGTCGGGTGGATCACCGGAGAAACGCAGCGGACAATCGGCACGATCATCTAATCAAACTCAACAAGCAAACGTGGGAAAGAATGTTTTGAAACCAATGAATGAAATAGATCTTGATGTCTCCGCACCACCGCGTCCACCTGATCCGACATTGTTTATTCGAGCTGGAACATCGGGCAATCGACATCTTCTTCCTATTCATCTAATCGATGATGATGTGAATATTGGTTCATTTATTCGTCCAATATCTCGTTTGAGTTCTCGAACATCAACAACAGAATTGTGCACAAATGTAGATATGATACGCAATGTTTGTTCGTCAATAAAAACGCTGCAACATTTCGATATCAGCAAGAATGACTTGAAAGATTTATCATCGGATCTCGGTTCATTAATCGAACTTGAATCATTGAATTGTTCACATAATCAATTAACTGATATGAGTAGTTCGTTCGAACAACTAGTACTTTTAAAAGAATTGGATTTATCATTCAATCAATTCAATCAAATACCCAATGTCGTGTATACGTTAAAATCACTCATTCGATTGAATTGCGAACACAATTTTATAACAAGTGTTAATGCAGAATTGATCGATTTAAAACGTCTGAAATTCTTAATCATGGACCATAATCAACTTGAATCTCTGGCAACATGTGACTTCAGTCAAATGAAAAAATTGGAATACATTCACATAGCACACAATCAACTATTGAAATTTCCACGTGGTTTACATCGTCTACATCATTTAAGAAATGTCAATCTCTCCCACAATCGTTTAGCAACGTTTCCCATCGATCTACTCCAAGTCAGCACGCTTGATGTGCTTAATCTCAGTCATAACTTAATTGTCAAATTGCCGCCCATGCCAGTTACGTATAAACGTGTATCGTTAATCTTCTCCATAGATTTGTCATTTAATCAATTGACAAAGTTTCCGGAATATTTGTTATTAGTTGCGAAGAAAGTCGATGTCTCGAATAACAACATCCGAGTCGTTTCAAATGATTTGCTGAAAATTTTGAAAAATGAAATTATTACAACACGACAACTCATAATTCATACGAATCCAATCGGACAACCGGTCTTCCCACCTGAGGTGCTCAATGAAGATGTCTCGAATACAATGAGCGTCCTTCGAATAGTGAAAAATTGTTTAGATGAACAATTAACCGATGTTCATGTTCGACAAGGTTTTAAAATCTGCATAACCGGTCCGAAGAGTAGTGGTAAAACAGCATTAGCAAATTGCTTAGAAGAAAATGCGCCGTTAACTATCAATGAAAATGAAGAAGAAGTCGAAGAACGAATTGTTCAGGGTAAGTAAATAAGGAGAAATACAAGAATGGTTTCTTTGCTTTATTGACAGATGATTTTACATAATCAAACTAACACATATTATAGATTGCATTTTAAATAATGAAATTGATGTCTCACCGTCGATGTTTACTGTTCGAATAAGTAAAATAAAGCGTTTTCGTCCCACAAACATTATCACTTTCTCCTTCAAGAGCACAATCTTTCACATTTTCTATTCCGATGTGAAAACACCTTCTATTTCGCAATGAACTGCTTCTTTTCATTTTCTAGTTCATCAATATTCATTTCGAATTCACGCAGCGCCTGAACAGACATCCCCACCATCACTTCCACCTTCGTCAATTGCTCCAACAGAAAAAACAAAACCTTCATCAAATAAAAATATTGTTGAACTGGCTAAAACTCAACCTCAACGTTCAGAAATTAACACACGCATGCGAAGAAATTTGTCTGCTCAAACAACCAAACAAACTACAGCGGCAACTCCACCACCTAAATCACCAGTCCCACCACCCTCAACACCTCCACCGCCTGTTTCTGTTGAACCAATGAAATTTCTTCCATTAACGATCTATGATTTTAACGGCTCGTCCGAATATTATGAGCACATGCCTCCATTTATCGATACAAATGCTCTTCATCTACTTTGTATACATGCATTTGATTTTCAACAGACGACGCCTGAAGCTATCGAAGATGTATTCAATGAGACGTTCGATAGATCATCATCACCGATAATTACACAATTATTTCAATTATTACAACTTTTATGCGAAAAGACAACTCGAACACGTGCAATTATGATTATACCACTTGCGACATGTATTGATCTTTACGATAAGCACTCTAATGACGAGAAGTAGGTGATCGAGTTGTTTGAATCATTATCAATCTTTCAAATATTTTCATTATAGAACTGCAGCTTTAGAAAAAATCAATAAATTCTTTCAACTTTATCTTCAACATCGCGTTGATCGAATTAAACACAACATGGAATTAATTCATTCTCTTTCAACAATCTCTTCGTCACTTTCCGATCGATTAAAAACCTATTCTTCTCTCCTCAGTATTCGCCTTCAAATCGAACCATGTCATTCAGTCAGTTCATTGACATTTCATGGTATTGACGAGTTGAATCGCATTATTCAACATCATATTTTAACACAAAAGATAATCTTTCCCCATGTTGATCGAATCTTGCCGGGCCTTTGGGCAGATGCTAATCAGTATATTGAATCTTTAGCTGATCTATTACCTTTTCCCTACCTTCTTTGGACAAACTTTACCAGTCGTGTGATTAGTAAACATGGTCTTTCACACTTGATTAACGATATTACAATGTCCGTACGTGATGAAGGTAAAATTATTGTTTTGAACGAGATCGGTACCAATGATCGAGTGGTTTTCCTTCGACCGTCCTGGTTAACGGATCTGCTGTATAATCTCTTTCGTCATGATATGTCAAGCACGTATCTTGACTATGAAAAGAATGATATTTTTGCTCTCAGTAATCTTCCTGAAGCACGTTTCCAAACGTGTAAGACGGAATTCTTGAAAAGTGGACTTTTACATTCGGATTTACTTCGATCAATATGGTTTAATCTATTGTATAAAAAGGAAAGTTTCTATCATCTATGGTTTACCATCATGCGTTTCCTCTTGGTTGCTTATCCAAAAATGAGTAAAGTACAACTGAAGCGGCTTGTTCATGTTGAAGCATCGGATTCACTTTCTAAAGGTGAACGTAGTTATACACGTTTAATCGATATGAAACAAAATCCCGATGACAAAGAAGAGATTAAATTCGACTATGCTGTTGTGCCTTATTATTTACCGTTCATCAAACCGAAAGAGCAACAAGAAGAATTCAGACGTTATAATAATCGATTGAAAAATATCATTACTGTTCGTTATACAAGTCAATCATTACCATTGGGCTTTTTCCATCGGTATTCTGTTTCGGCTATTTTAAGATTGGATATTATCTATAAAAAACATTGGAATGACTTTATTCTTGGTGAACACGAAGAACGAGAGACGAGGTAAGGAGAAATGCTTGTCTGTTGTTGATTTTTCTCGCTAGATTTATTCTCGAGACGGATCATCGAACATTTATCAACTGTCATTGTGGGACATCGATTGCAGAGCAATCATTCGAAGAGATTTGGAATGTTCTCATGCCAATTTTGAATCATTTTGAAGAAATGTTCACACAATTAGCTCCAAGTAAAGTTCCACATACAATCATACTGTTTGTTATGCTATGATTAAGGTAATCAATTCGAGCGATTTGTTCAATGTCCTCAATGCAAAGAGTTTTCGTTTATGGTATTTCACGCATAATTTATCCTTCACATAACAAGACACTCGATTGCGTTTCTTTTGTAGGGTGAATGGACAACACCGAAAGAATTACAATGTATCAAAACGAAAGCATGTTCGTTATGTGGTGAAAACATCGATACGGCTCGTCTTGTTCAACCAAACGAAAGAAAACGACGAAGTAGGTTTGACTTGACGAACGAAACGCTATTTCATCGATAACATAATCTAGGTGAAGAACTGTTGAGACGAATTCGTGAACGACATGCAAAAAATGCAACGAAAGTTGCTGACAACGCAGCAGCATCTCAGCAAGAACCACCGTCACCGTCAGCAGCAGCAGCAACAACTAGTACACAACTTTTAGTACCACCAGTGTGATAACTTCGTTTTCTTTCTTCGATAACGATTCGATCTTGCAATCAAATGTTTTAATCTTTATCTGAACTGCTCGGTGTGTTTATATGTACTTTTAAAATAATGAATAAACGAAAAGAGAAAAAATCCGAAGTGATTACGTGTATATGGTCAGTCTTGATACTAATGGTAGTCTCGTACTTTTTCTTCTCTCTTTCTCATTCAATGTATACGTATATATCCCTATATAATAATAATACATGTACTGGGTCAGTTATCGTCCATCGTTTCTGCGGTTGAGTGGATGGTTAGGGTGGTATGTTCGTTCAATCTCTCTTACGCGGAGTTTTTTTTCTTCTTAACGCATTGATGATGATACTCGCCTTTCTTCTCGTCTATTCTAACGAAAAAAACGACGGAGTAAAAGAACAGAGAGTCATATCTGGTCATGAATGAACGCAATATCTCTACGTTAGTATAGACGTTCAACAGTCAGAAGAGTAGTAGTGGTGAGAAAAGAAAAAAGCTTTTGTGTCTGTGCGTATTACGCGAATAGAAAGAGAGCAAGAAATCAATCTTTCGACGACGAAACCACATGCCGTAATCAAGACTAGTGTGAACATTAACACTCCTTATTCATCTTTTTATCGCATTCGAGGCAACAATGACAGTGTGTGGTGTTTTTACAATAAACAGAACGTTTTTCTTCCTATGTTTAATTCTTCTCGGTGAACTTTCCAACGTTTCGACGCAGAAAAGCGGATCGCATTCGAAATCCGCGTCACATCGTTCGGCAGCAAAAAAAACGACAACGAAAAAGCCAGTCGAAGTTTTAACTCCTCCACCCATTGTAGTTGAAGAACAAACCTGTTATAACAAATCAACTGGTGATGCGATCCGTTGTCTTCCTGAATTCGTCAATGCCGCTTTTCGACGGCCAGTCGTCTCATCGAATACATGCGGTGAACGTTGGAAAATTGACTCGACAAATCCTGGTACTGAATACTGTATTCAAACAGGCCCTCCGCAGAGTGCTCTCTTCGGCGACTATCTTTCGGGCAATGAGCAGAAGAATTGTTTAGCATGTGATAGTCGAGATCCAACACGAGCCCATCCACCTGATTACCTGACTGACTTCAATCAACGTGGTAATCTGACATGGTGGCAAAGTGAAACAATGCTCGAAGGAACTAATTATCCAAATACAGTGAATCTAACGCTTGACTTAGGTAAGCAATTTTCAATTTCTTAATCTGATGATATCATTTTCGAAAAATAAAAATTCTTTTGTGCAGGAAAAACGTATGACGTAACGTATATCAAACTAACATTTCAATCACCCAAACCAGAAAGTTTTGTTATTTATAAACGAACACATGAAAATAGTTCCTGGATACCGTATCAATATTATAGTGCATCATGTATGCTCACATTTGGATTACCACCAAAGAAATATCCTGACTTCGATACAGAAGCTATTTGTTCAGAAGATTTCAGCGATTTGACACCATTACACGGCTCTGAAGTAGCATTTGGTACACTTGACTGGCGACCAGGTGCAGTAACATTTGAGATGCGTAATGATCTTCAAGTATGGAGAATTCAATCGATGATGAAATCAAGAAACTAAGTGGATTGTTTTTCTCTTTCAAGGAGTGGGTTACGGCATCAGAGATCCGTATTCAACTTGTCCGAATGAACACGTTCGGCGACGAAATGTTTGGCCAACCTGCTGTGCTTCGAACTTATTTCTATGCTATTTCAGATTTAGCTGTTGGTGGACGGTAAAATTACATCAAATCGATGTTGATATTCATTAAGGATATCTGTTCTTTTCTATCGTCTCTTAGTTGCCATTGCAATGGTCACGCAAACAAATGTACCAAGAAGGGTGGTGAACATAAAAACGAAACTCGATGTGAATGTGAACATAATACAATCGGTCGAGATTGTGACACATGCCATCCAGCTTACAATGATGCCCCATGGAAAGCAGCTGGTGTTCTCGATGCACATCCATGCAAAGGTTTGATTGAGAAAACCTGTTGATTTCAAAGTAGGCCTACTTGTTTACTTTTTGTTAGCTTGTGTTTGTAATGGCTTTGCGAAAAACTGTACGTTCAGTCGAGAACTATATGAACGTACAGGACATGGTAGTGTATGTATTGATTGTGCTGGTAATCGCGGTGGACCCAATTGTGAAAGTTGTAAATTGGGTTTCTATCGACTGCCCGAAAGTGAAGGTGAATGTTCCGCTTGTGGATGTGATCCAATTGGTAAGTTGATTTGAATACGAATGAAACGTAATCATGATGTTCAATGAACATAGGTTCGGAAAGTGTGCAATGTTCAGCGGACGGTCGATGTCGATGTAAACCGGGCGTTGTCGGTGATAAATGCAATCAATGCGCACCGTATCATTATAACTTTGGACCTAATGGTTGCACGTATGCATGCCCATACTTATTTGTTTGGTGTTCTATATTGAATTTCATTTTCTTTTTGCAGTCGATGTACTTGTTATGAAGCAGGTGCATCGCAACCACTTCAATGTAATCCTAAAACAGGCCAATGCTCCTGTAAAACATTTGTCGAAGGACAAAACTGTGATAAGTAAGTCCTCCTAAGTGGAACTTCTAGTAAATGCACTCTTCATTTTTCACATGAAACAGGTGTCGAGCAGGCTACTTCAATTTGGATGCAGCCAATCCCGATGGTTGTACAAAATGTTTCTGTTACGGTCATGCTTCAACCTGTCAATCTGCACCAAATTATTACTATAATCCTATACGATCATCTTTCTCACAAGGTATGAATTTCACTGGTTGATTACTAGAACTTATAATGAACTACTATCAGGTACGGATGGATGGCGAGCAATAAATCAAACGGGACACGCAGCGCCTATCTACAGTGATACTGGCAGCTATATATATGTGCAATCATTACCTGGCCAAGATCTTACATTCGAAGCACCAGGTAGACAGATCTGGTTTCATTCGAATATTTGTTTTAAAGATAGAAATTCTGTTTTAGAACGTTACTTAGGCGATCGCACTTTGTCGTACAATCAGTTTTTAACATTCATCCTAATCTTACGTGCACCCGCAAATGTCAATCGCATGTATACGCATGCAGATGTTTCTATTGAGGGTGCTAACGGAGTGAAAGTTGGTGTGGTTATTTATGGCGGTGCTCAGCAAACGGTTCCATCCGAAGAACCCCTTACGTTTCGATTCAGGTAAACAAACTACTGACTCTATGGTTATTATTCGTTAATTTTCTCTTAAAGATTAAACGAACAATCGTGGTCACCGACATTGCCTTTCCTCGAATTTATGCGTCTTCTTTCCAATGTCACAGCTATCCGTATTCATGCAACGTTCGGTGTTGATAATGCCGTTAGTTTTCTCGGAGAAATCTCCCTTGGACATTCGACGCCGTCCGTTGGCCTTTTCCCCATTGGTAACGTTGAAACTTGTGCCCCGTGTCCACAAGGTTACTACGGAGAACGCTGCGAATATTGTGCTGTTGGCTATCGTCGAGAACCGTCATTTGGTGGTCCATTTGCTAATTGTGTACCTTGTGACTGTCACAATCATTCGTTCTCGTGTGATGTGGAAACAGGCAGATGTGCATGTCAACATCATACAACAGGCGACAATTGTGAACGTTGTTTACCGGGACACTATGGTGATGCTGTTCGTGGAACGCCGGAAGATTGTCAAAAGTGCCCGTGTCCTGCAGGTGTTTCTTGTACACAAATGGCCTTACCGGAACAACATGTCGTCTGTTTAAACTGTCCACCCGGATATACAGGTAGGTCCTTGCGGAAGACGTGATGTTGTTTCATAAAAATACTTCTAGGTGATCGATGTGAATATTGTGATGATGGATACTTTGGTGATCCAGAAGGTCTTGTTACTGGCGTACGAAGACCTTGCGAATTGTGTAGTTGTAGCGGAAATGTTGATTCAAATACAATTGGCAACTGCAATACGTAAGTTACTGGATGATTGGTTCATCCTTTTTGTTCAATGTAAGGAATAATCTGATAGAACTACCGGACATTGTTTGCGTTGTACACGAAATACTTATGGTGTTTATTGCGAAAAATGTTTACCTGGACATTGGGGTGATGCTTTACTCGATATCAAATGTCACGGTAAATAATCTATTAATGATCCTATCACACCTATACGATTTCATGTTTTACAGCTTGTAATTGTCATCCCAAAGGCACTCAACGTCATAGTGATAACTCACTTCTTCAGTGTAATCTACAAACAGGTCAATGCTCGTGCAAATCGAATGTACAAGGACGTCAATGTGATCGCTGTGAGAATGGTTACTGGAACCTCAACTCAGACCGAGGTAACATTGATTACTTCAATTAGATTCTATTTGCTTGTTTCTTTCGTCGTAGGCTGTGAAACTTGCAAATGTAACCCAATTGGTGCTTACAACATCTCGTGCTCAGTCAACACGGGTCAATGTTACTGTAAACCAGGTGTGACAGGTCAATATTGCGATCGTTGTCTACCCAATCATTACGGATTTTCACCAAGTGGCTGTTCAGGTTCGAATCTGAGCATATTTTCGTGTCTTTTTCATAGAATAAAAACGATTCATTTCAGCATGTAATTGTGATCAATATGGATCTCTCGATGTTCAATGTGATATTACCACTGGTCAATGTCCTTGCAAAGAAAATTTCATGGGGCAACGATGTGATCTATGCGAAGAAAACAAATATCGAGATGGTTTCGAATGTCCAAGTATGATCTGAATAGAATCAATGTTGTTTTCAAGTCAGTTATTTCTCTTTGCATCGAATTTAGATTGTCCACCATGTTATCGAGAAGTACAAAAACGTGTCAACCGTTATCGACGAGATCTTGATCTCCTTCAAAATGCAATATCGACTTTAAATTCATCTCAGACATTGAATTCCTTACGTGAAGATAAACGCTTAACAGCTGAACTTGATGCACTAGCGAAAAATTTAAATAATCTCAAAGCTGATTTGAATCGTACTGATGAAGATTGTTGTTTTTCTTCTTCATAGAAATCTATCAAGTACTTTTCTATTTTAGGAGCTGGTCTTGTCTATCGAAATACAACCGATTACGAACAACAAGACGCTCAATTCAGATCGAATGTCACTGAATTCGAGGTGCGCTATCGTCGGTTAGAACGTGAATTACCTGAATTCATCGCCCAAAATGATCGTATTCGTGATCTCCTTCAAAAAGCCAACGACACCTTTTTGATTGACACAACATATCAATTAAGTATGAAGATAATTGTTTAATTTGTTTTTGTTTCCACTCAAGCAAACATGTCTTTTCAGCTCGAATAAATAAATTATTACAAACCATCGATCCAAATGGTCGCACCACCGATAACCAACACGAATCGGCTATTAATAAAACTGTTATTATGCAAACACATATTAATTATCTTCGAGAAACGTTAAAAATGATGCAAAAGTCGTACGATGATGCTTTGAACCAAAGTCAAACAGCGGAGCTCCTTCTCAATACAAAATTGAGTATATCCGAAGCATTAATTCGCGATCAACTGGAAAACAATATGAAACAAAGGTTCGATTTAGAAATCAAACTGATCAACATTTTCCATTATTTCATATTTCAGATTAACATCACTCGATCTTCGCCGACAGAAATTAATTGAACAATCAGCAAATCTTCTTCGTCGAGTAGAAGAAGTCAAATTATCTACAACTCATTGGAAATCCAATATAACAAATATTTCAACTGATCAAGCAGGTTTAACTGTCACATCATCAAGTAATCTTCGAGACGAAGTCACACGAGTTACAAAGCAAGCGAAGAAGCTTGCAGATGACATGAAAGTATTTGTTAATCAAATGTATAAGTTACAAGACATGTCGAAAACTTTCGATCGGGAAATCCAATCTCTCCACCTGTCAGTTCAAGATGCTAGTCAAGTATGTTACATTCACTTGTTTGTCATCAGCTCTCGATCGATCAATTAGGAAACACAAAAACTCTTCGCCGAGGTCGGTCAAGCCGAACAACAAGCTCAACGTGCTGTAGAAAAGACTACAATGATCGAACGTGACGTTGAAAAAATTCGAGAAAATCTCCGCGGTAAGTTTTCTACTTAATCTGTTATTCAACTCATCGAATGTTTTTCATAGCATTTGTCCAAGACAAAGACACTCAAAGTAAAGATGCAGAAACCCAATACAATCGTCTCGATACCATGCAGAATCGTACAAATGACATTACACGACAGTATTGGATTGTCGAAGAACAATATCGATCGTTGAATACAAGTGCGTTAAACGCTATTGATAATCATGAAAAATTGAAACTAGCCTATGAAAATAATGTAAGAACCAGTCAAGTTCATGTCATAGTTCGTATGGTTTGTTTGCTTTTAGAATATTGTTCAAAATTCCAATACGATTAAAGAACAAGTTGATGCTAAACTAATTCCATTGAAAGCGGAAACTGATTCGATTAATAATCATTCGTCTATTGCTTTGAACAACATCGAAGACATCAAGTCTCAAGCGGATATTCATGTCCGTCGGATTGAAAAAGTCTCTGACATCGGTCAGAGTTTAACGCACGATATCAATTCCGCTCGTAATCAAGTCGAGAAACTACTTGAACAACTGAAATCTTTACAGACTTCGTTGAGTATGCCGACTCAAAAGCAAAAGCTACCGTTTTCCTAATGTTCACTTGTCATTTTCAGATTATTCCACACAAATCAATATTACACATCTGGATGAAGTTGAAATTGAATTCCGCGAACTTTCCTTAGACGGTATTTTCACTGCAATTGATCAGTTCTATGCAGGTGCTTATGTAGTCAAGGATCAAACCGATCAATTTATACTTCAACACGATCAACTTGATCAACAAGTAAATAATCTACTCAACATCGCTCAATCATTGCCAACTGGCTGTTTCAAAACTATCCCTATTGAAAATAGTGATGGTGCACCCAGCGAAAGATAAAATCAACACGAACTTCATTTTCTTTTTTTCTCTTTCTTCTGCCTGTTGTTATTTGTATTAGATATTGTAGTGTATTATGATTTTTTTCTCTCCGTCATTCACTAAGATTGACAATGTATAAACATGCTGATGATAATATTAGTAATCGTCCTTGAAAATATAACATATGACGATGAAAACTATCAGAATTATCGAATAGAATACGATGTAGAACAACAGAATCTGACTCTGATACGTGTTCTTCACGTTCCGACTAGACGACGAGATGTACACTAACAACGAAATAGGTTTTTTCTCTCTCGTCTCGTTTTTACTATTAATAACACTTGTCAAAATCAGTATTGATGGTTATGACTGTATTGGAGAGGAAGGGAAAAAAAAAGAACATGGAGAGAGATGTTGCATAGTCAACCTACGAATGACAGTTATTGGTATCGACGAATCTTTTAAAGAGAAAATGAAGATCTATCGATGTGGTCGAAGACAAATCTAATCAATTGATTATATATTGATACGACAATGTACGTTAGTTGAACAAATATCGATTCCCTATAGCAATCATCAGGTTTGTTCGCATTTCTTTGTTTATTAGATTTCATCAGTAAAATTGAGACGACATTGATTGATGTTATCAGAATAGTTCTTTTGATATTGTCAAAGACTTCAACAGATACGATTGTCATTTATAACATGTGATGAAAGATCGAAAGTATTCGTAATTAGAAAAGGCAGACATGATGCACAGATTCTTGCCATTTGTTTCTTGTGGATTGATCTAGGAAAATATTGTTATGATCTTTTTGTTTGCGCTGATCGTTCTATTGAAGATTTTCAATCAAGAACTTGATTGTATTAGTCTGAAGTTCAGCAAAATAAAGCAGGGATCAAGGGTAAAGGACAACGCGAATGTTTAATGACATTTTCATTATTCGATTCTTTCTTTGTTCACTTCATCGACTATGCTAATCTGTTCTTAGTGAAAGAGACTTCAACTAACTATTGCTGAGTCGCGATGATCGGATAGGATAGGAAAGAATTTCGCCGTAAAGTCGTGAGTATGTTATTTCAGTTAATTTATTCTGATAGTGATCGTTGCTAGATAAAGTATTGGAACAAGGGGCGAAGAAAAAAACGCAACGTTTGCAAATCGGTTGTGACACAGAGTAATAGTGCCCGAAAGAAAATTGTTCGAGATATTCTTTACTCGAGTGACGAAAACAATAAATGAGAAATTAAGGGCAAAATCAATATGACACTGCTTTTTCAGTTTATTGCATCAGTTAATCTGTCTTCGACAATGATGTTTTTCTGATCGAATGATATATTTGACTTTACGATAATAAAATCATCTAGTCGGCCAGATTACGAGTGAATGGCATATTAGATCTAATCAGTAAGAGATGTTCTGCCGATGTTATACTATCCACTTAGTCGCCATTATTAGGCCATTTAACAGATGTTTCGAGAATTTCCATAACGGAAAAAACAAGAAATCATGATAAATTATGTTAGAAGATTCGACTTTTTTCTCATCGTTTGTCGGTGAGAAATCAGCTAAAGCAGCATGCCTATGAATCAATTAAGTCAGAAGAGAAAGATCGAACAAATGCATAAGAACATGATAGATCATGTCTTTGGTAATGGAACAACAATAAAAAAATTATACAAGAGAAAATAATGGAGAGAAGGAAAGACAGCAAAATATCATTAATAATATTGTCAAACAAAAGAGACTTTAGATATTTATAAATATCATGTTTCGCTGTCGTTTTGTATATTAGAAGTTTGCCACACACGCATTCAATAGGACAAGCATGTAAATCGTTCTAGATTACTACATCAAAACGTTTGAGATAATGAGAAACGAGCAGAAGACTGGATAATGATTACAGTTTACATGTCCTCGTATTGTCGTTCTCTAAGTTAGTAGTCGAAGCCATATATATATCTACGGATAACAAAAATAGAAAAGCGCGAACAAAGTGTAGATCGTTTATTAGATGAGATCATAGTGTAAGATGGCTAGAAAGAAGGGAAAAAAGGAAAAAGAGATGTCTCAAAGTCGTCTTCTCTTCTTGTCGTCGTTTATTTGATCTGCTACCGAACCATAATGTCAGTCAAATAGTCAGTCAGTCAGTCAGCAAATATGATACAGGCATACACATGACAATCTGACTTGTTCTTTACTTGTTGTCGCTATGTAAGTAACCATTATCAGAAATTGTTCCGACTAATTTCTTTCTTCATCAACCTTGGAATTCTAAGTAATATCGGATAAGTCTAAATCGTTATCAGATGAGAAGACATCTCGTTAGTTAATGGCGAAGAAGATCCTTATATACTTCTCAGGAATCAAAACACAAATTAGTATCTGTCAAGAAGAAAAGAAATTCGAGGATGAAAATGAAAGAAAATTTCTTTTCGAAACTGAATGCCTGTCGGTTATTTCATCAAATTATATAGTTGAAGTAGCTCTTCGCGCGGAGTCCTTTTTTGGGATGAAAAACACATCATTATCAATGAGTACATCCGCTTTTGACTAGATTAAATTGGAAATTGAGAAAGAAAATGAAATCCCCGCGGAGATTTGTTTCGCTGCTTTCCTTTTTGCGCGCTGCTTGCCGCGAAGAAATTTAGTTTTTAAACAATCATTGAAACTCTGCCTATGACAGAGAAGAAATAGATCTCAATGTTGCTTAACAGCATACTTTATCTGCCTAATGTATGCAGATTATGTATAGAAAAACAACGATACATAAATCTTGTCTTTTGTACCCTTATATAAGGAATCATAAGCTTTTCGAAAACGCATATCGTCGTTTCCAAAAATGTCTGCTTCTCCGTACGGTATTGTTGAGGGAAAAGACAAATTACATTTACCGATAATTAAAGACAATGATTTCGCGTGAGTAATGTTACTCATTTTTCTTCTCTTTTGCTCACTTTCGAATGGTTTCTAAAGAAAGCTAAATATGACATTTTCTTCTTTTTCCTTGCTCTATTGATATCAACTATTGTTAAGCGAAATCCCAAATGATCAGCAAGTATGGAAATTTTCTTTTTGTCTTTTATAATCTTCTATTCCCTTAAGATGGAATCAGCGATATGTTTTTTGTCAAATATAGACCTGCAGAGAAAGAGACTTTTCGATTATATTATATCATACAAGCTCGTCTCGCTATTTATAGGTGACACTTCTCCCGCAGAAACCGTGTTCCTGAACTCGTTTTGTAACGAATTCCTCTCTTTTTTCTTTTCAATGTTTATATATATTGATGTCAACGATGTCGGCACATTAATTACCCAGAAAACATAAACCAAAAGAGTACTAGAAAAGCTGTAGTAGTTGGTTTCTATCAGAAACAACAACATCGACACCCTCACTAGATATGCATATGCGTGTCTTGCAAGTAGCCCTATTAGTTTAACAGTTGACAACTTGTCCATGTCGTTTTTCATGACGTCAATGTGTCCTTTGTCATGTTTCTCTTTCCTGTTTCTCAACGATCTCGTTTTTGTCTAACATCGTCATCTGTCATCACAGGCTAAACTTGCCGGTTAAAACATCAATATACTCGTTCGTTGATTGTGCGTATCGATCGAGAAAATACATGAATGATAAGACGTTGTGTTGATCGATGCCACTTTAGTCGATGAGATTCCATGTATAAATAAGAAACCATATTCAGCATAGATTATCTTTCATAGAAACAAGATTAGATTTCCGAGAAAAAGACTGCTAGGCGGCAGTTTTGCTTTTTTCCATACGTAGTTGATTAAACTTTCTAAACGTCTGAGATAGGATTAAATCATATTTTGACAGTGACAATTGAGCATTATTATTGAAATACAAAAAAAAACGAGATCAGTAGGCTTCACAGAATCGGCAAACACTCAGCAGTCCTATTGTATTAGTTCATGCATGTTAAATAAGCTCATTTATTCACACGATAGTTTCATCTGAAAACTTCTCTTGCCGGCTGTTTTTTTTTCTTCTTGACGAATCGACTTATATTTATAGTAAACATTGCACTGAATTACATCTCTTTATATCTTATAAAATAAGCAAAGAGAAGATAACAAAACATAGTGTATATTATCACAAATCTGCTATCAATATTGTCAGTGTTATTCAGTGAGTGGGTGGGTAACGGCTTGGTTTGTTCTCGGAAACAAACTAATCAACCATTTCCATTTATCAAGAGAGAGATAATTATGTATCTCTAATGAGAATTCACGTCTTTCCCTCCTTGTCTATATCCTCATAATCGATATATCCTATAGATTAGCTCGTATTACATATATCCGTTGATGACTTACCACAAATGAGCTTTATTTTTCTCTTTGGATCATTATCGAGACTAGTGAGACGCTCAGGTATCTCCTCCTCTCATCTTTAATCTAACGACTTAGTCGACAGCCCACGTTGCCGAAAATTTATTCAGTGAATAAATGGGAAATTAACACCCATACGATTAGTTCAGGTACAGCAGACGAAAAGATAACACATTTTACACGTAGATTAGTTGAACACCTGGGAAAATATTTAATCTTATTATTGCTAAACGAGAGAAAAAAGGCAGACCAATGGAGTCGCTGTATCTGATGACTTCATCGTAAATCGTGAGCAGATTTTAATTTGAAAAATAACTATTGACAACATCAAGGAAGATATTTTTATTTGTAGAGATAAATGCACATTCATGAGTTTTGATCCCTCGTCAAGAATTTGCCCGAGTTTTGGATAGTTATGTCAATAGTTGATAAACGTATACACGTGCATCTAGGACATAGATCATTTTTCAAGCTAAACTGTCAAAAACGATCCAGAAGCATAGAAGCACAAATCAACTTTCCGCTTTTCCTCCTTTCTACTATCTATCTCTCTATCTCTCTCTCTCTCTCGCTCTTCTTTTTTTATTGATACATCAACTTGATCTTGTTTGACATCTATCCTACATAGAATTCTTTCTCTCTTTTCACTTTACATACTATATTAATTTGTTGTGCACGGTACCGTGCCAGAAAATTATTTTCTATATCGCACTGCCATTCTCTCTGGCATTTTCACTCATCAGTCGCCGATTTATTACCATTACCAACTATTTATTATATTAGGAGAAGAGTCAGATGAAAAACAACGACAGATACCCGTTTAGGTCCGCATCAACATTTGGGAATCACATCAAGGTGTATGTGCGTATGTATATACACATAAGTCAGAAGCGAGGAATATAATGAATGAATGAAGAGAATAGAGGTATAACGATGTAAGAATGATTTATGGTTTCAACCATCTTTTTCTTAACATCGAGCAAATTACACGAGAATGTAATTGATGACGTTCTCTCAGTTATTCCTGTCTCTTTCTTCCTGTTGAAAGAAGTGCCTGAAGGGTCGAATGTTGTCGAACACTATCGTGAACATTTTTCTCTTACTTATCTAATCTCTCTCATATCTTGCATTCATATCGTCTATGTCAGAGTGATTCGCGGACACTCCAGTTGGTTTTTATTTGCCTACATCTGTGAATAATATTAATAGACGTAACCTGTTTCTTTTTTATTCGATATAATGCTTGATGGTCTTGTAACTGTTTGATGATTTACAAAAATCATCGACATGCTAACTAGATAGAAGAAGAGAACTTCAGACATCGATAATCTCCACACTTGAAAGACAACTATTGTATAAAGCATTCGTAAAATCTTTTCTCCTCTCGCATTAATGACATTCATTCTTATTCGCTTGTAGAGAATGGTTTGATACCGGTAACAACGATCGAATAATTGCATCTCATTATCCGTGGGATTCCCAAACAATGGTTTTGACATCCAATCAGACATTAACGACGCGTGTATATCCAGCTCCCAATGGTTATCATTGGTACCCGTATAGTCCTGACGATTGCCCTCCGACTTATCAAACTATTCTACAAGGTGTTTGTGCCCCATTAATCATTATTATATCCACTGTGTTAAATTCTTTGATTGCCGTTGTTTTGCTTCAGAAACATCTTCGGTCACCTACAAATATTCTATTACTCGCTCTCGCACTATACGATACATTGACGGGACTATTTCCTTTTCCAACCTATATTTATGTATTTACATTTCAAAAATGCGATGATTATATGCCTTATAATTATGGTTGGTTTCATCGAATTAATTGTGATGTGCTTCCATTTATTTTTCATACATGTTCGATCTGGGTAAGTTAGATGTATTCATGCGTTATATGGCTTTAATAGCTTGTAATTGATTATTTAAGAAGAAAGAAGAAAAATGTCGTTATTTTCTTTTCCAACGGATTTTTAGTCTATAAACTAATCATTTCTTTATATAAACCTTATTTAACAAAAAAGATGCATTATTTATTAAAGATAATTGAATCTCCTACAGAAGAAAACAAATTTGCCCTAAGGATTAGACTTTCTCCTTCTTTCTAGGTAACTGTTGTTCTAGCCATTCAACGATACATCTATGTATGCCATTCAGAAAAGGCCAAGCAATGGTGTACAGTTCCTATGGCATTGAAAGCCATCGTTGCTGTTAATATTTTAGCGTTAATCGTGGCAATCCCGATGTTTCTCGAAGGTGCATTTTATCCACATCCAGTTCAGTCCTTATTCGATTCCAAAGTTGTCTTTGATGCATGTCTCGTACGTGATTATTCAGAGCATGAAACCTATCGTAGATATTATTTAATATATTTTGTTTTACGTGCTCTATTAATTAATGTTGGTCCATGTACTGTACTTGTTATATTGAATGCCATCTTAGTTCAGCGGATGAAAGAAGCCAAACAGAACCGAGATCGACTTATTGTCAAACGTAGCCATGAAACTCGGGCACAAGAACAAACGAGTGTTACATTGATGCTTGTAAGTGTTAGAAGAACACGAATGATGGATCGAGTTTTGTATCTCATTGTCTAGGTCATTGTGGTCACATTATTTTTGATTGTCGAAATTCCAATGGCATTGCATTTGATCATATCTGGTGTAATCAAAACTCTACAAATCATCTCCTTAGCCGAATTTTTAAATGTTTCCGCTCAAATACTTAATTTTACGGTCTTATTGTCATATCCAATAAATTTCTTTATTTATTGTCGAATGTCGCGAGCATTTCGAGATGCATTTACCAAACTTCTCTGTCCTTCAATAAATCAACCTCGACGAGATCGTTTACCTTCAGCAACAACGCAACTTCTCTCCAAATCTCAGCATAACAACAATTTCGAACTTAGTAAAACGAACTTTGAAACGAGACATACTGACTTTGAGATTCGTCCGTCGCCAACTGTGATATTAAACTCTATGACGGCCGAAACTGCAATATCAACAGCACCTTGTCACACGAACGACGATCGAAAAAAAGATTCAATCGTTTCTTTAGATCAACATCTTTCTTCTCATAACAAACTCGAGTCAACAACTCATGCAAAATCGACTGATTTGTAAACAAAATAGTGTCGTTTTCTTTTCTTTCTTGTTTAGTATTAAACTCAAATAAAGTGTATGCAATGTTTATCTCTGCTCCTATTTCATTCTTCTTCTCACAAGCATCATTTAAACAGCTCGAATGATCATCACGTTCATCGTGAAAGGAATTCTATCTTGCATACTCTGTTATCAAGGGTCTTTATGACCTATGCCAGTGTGTTTTCAAGTCGATATGTGCATACTAATCAAACGCTTTGTTTAGAAAAGAGTTCATGACGTCGAAACGATAGCGTGATAACGTATCTACACGAAAATTACGAGAAGATGTCTGGGTGTCATTTTTTATATTAAGAAAAGAGAACAAAATGGAATTTTCTCATCGAGAAAAAAGATTTGTTTGTCGCATCATTCGAACGAATTCTTGACGATCGATACGTGCATCACCATTACGATCGGCTGCTTCCATCATTGCTTGCAGTTCAAGTTCACTTAAATTCAAACCTGTCTGTTGACTAAGTTTTCGAAGCGTAGCTAAATCAAGGTACTTTCGGCCCTCTACAGAATAAGATTCTAGTAGAGATGTTTCAGATTACGATGAAAATTGCTTTACCAGTATCAAATAGTTGAAATGCTAAATTCAGTTCATCATAATCATCTTGTTCACCATCTTGGTAATGTGCCAGTAGATGAAGAAACTCGCTGAAACTGAGTGTTCTAAAAATACATACTGTTCACCGAACCTTTTTTCGATAGATTTTCTTTTTTACGTTTTATCTTGACTTTCTTTTTCTACATATGTTGTACATTGTTCCACACTCATATTGATACCCAATGTTCTCATTACATACACGATATCCTTCGGTTTCAAATTGCTGAAAGTATCGAAAATATTTTCCATGAAGCAAAATCCTATTCAATGCGTTTCCTTACCCTCGACTTTTATGATCGAAGAAGTCGAATACTTCTTTCAAATCGCGGATTTCTTGCGCAGTGAAATGCTTATAAACAGCACGTGATAGACGAACACCAGCAACACTCCGTTCATCTAATGGATTGTTTTCCAAGGAAGCTAATAACTTCAATGAGAAATGATTGTGTCGAATGAATGAAATCTTTTAGTTCGATTACTTGAGTTCCAAGCGCAATTGGCGGTGGTATCCAATCAAGACGAGATCGAGATTTACTTTTAGCCGTCGATTCATCCGATGTCTTTTTCGATTTCTTTGATCGTTTCATGCTCGTGTCAAAAAAATCGATGTGAACGATTATTTTTATTTGTTTTTCTCTCGCGGTAACGTAGGCAATTCTCTCAACCAATCGAGATTGATTCAAGACATCTACACAGACAACAATGCCAATTCAGTTTACATTCTAAAAATGAATCAGTTGATAATTATGTTTTACCACTTCTATTCTCTAAATCCAACAACGAGTCTTAGGAGATTAGCGCATGGATGCGAAAATAGATCTAACTTGATAAGAGTATATCACTGCAAGAGTTTTCTCTTGCGACATATGAGTGTAACTGATGTTGAAGAGCAAACGAATTGTTTAGTGTATCTCGAATTACAAACTTGATTGACAGTAAGTGATAAGACATCAAGAGTAAGGTAGTTTGTTGAGTTGAATGAGAAACAGTAACCAAACTCTCAATCGTTCGGTGCGTTACGTTTTGTGAATGAATACTAAGAAATTTCGTAAGAAAGACACTCTTCTTATACAACATACACTTATTCATGGCAGTCATGCGAACCAAATCAGTAAATATAAAAATCTTTTTAACGAAAGTCAAGTTTCATTTTCGTTCTATAGAATATCAATAATGAATTATTTCATCAACGATTCACTGAATTAAGTGACGAAGTACGTGCGAAAAACAAACGCGAAGATCGTCTTCTCGAAATTCGATTGAAATATCACGAACGGGAGAAAAACATTCGTTTGAATATTCTTCGTAAGGAGCAGTATCATCTCGAATGCACACGTTCAACACTCATCGATCAAGTCAATAGAATTCAGTTGGAAAGATACAGAAAGTTCATGCCATCATATCTGCCTGAAAAAAACAAATTAGAAATGCCGCCGTTAGTACAACTGTCAACACCGGAATTTTTCAATACCGATTGGGAACCAGTGTCCAATCCAATTCCAGTGGTGGCCAAAGAAACATCAATTACACCGACAAATCTCGTCCGACCTCATTCAGCGGGCTAGAACGGAAGATTTATTTTTCAATGAACTATGTACAAAAACAAAACGAACTGCTTTTTTTTCTTCATGCATTTTCGGTTAATGTTAATGCAAGTTGTTCTAAATAATTTAGTTTTAGTTCGAATTGATTTGCGATTTCTTCAACTTTTTCAATGCGAGCACTAAGGCTCAATTGTCTTTTTTGCTCATCGGATAGATACGATGCTGGTTTACTCGTTCCTAATGCTAAATCCAATCGCCGTTGGACATCGTTCAGCATACTTGTAAGACGATTGTTCATTTGAGTATTTTCTTTCACGACGTCTTTTATATCAATTGGACGTTTGGCTTGTTGAAATTTCTTACAAGCAACAGAATATCTCAGTATCCGGATGATTTTTATGGCGGTTACATAACGTTTCGGTAAGTCCTCTATCGTCATAATTGACTTACGTCGAATCGAATTTATTTTCGTTGTTGGAATAGTGGAATGTGTAAACATAAATCGAGCTGGATTCACTTTACCTGTGACAGAACTAGTGACGGGTGCTGATTCAGGCTTTTCTTTAGCTGGTGAAACACGACGTTGTATCAGTGTATGAATTCTCCATGTGGAAACAAAGCGATCGCCATGATACGTACACTGTAAACGCCACCAATTTCGTATGACACTGGCAGCAGCTGGCACGAGACGACTAAGTGCCTCATCACGCTTTTGTTCTTGAACTTTGATAGCCAAACCCTAAGACATACGATAATGATTATTTGAAGAAGAGAATATGTTTTTGCCTACATACACTACCGATAATACCTGTCGGTAAACACCAAAATGCAACACCGAGAAAACAAATTGTGGTGGTGAACATCTTAGCGACATAAGTTGTTGGATAGAGATCACCAAAGCCAATCGTTGTCATCTGTAGATAATAGATAGCTATATTTGGAAAGAAATTACAATATTCTTCTCGTGTACATAAAATTCAAATTAAACGGATAGGCAAGACGTGCATTGTTATTTTTCGTTCTCATTATTATTCGGCACTTTTACTGAATTGATTTACAAATCTCTCCTGTCGAATGAATACGGTCATAAAACACAATAGAGCTTGCGTAGTGATGGAATATTTTCGAAAATCGCTTACCGAAATAATCGAAAACCACATGGTATCTGCAACAGATCGAAACGGTCCTTTGTTCAAACTCGGATCGATCGGTGTTTCAGCAATATAAACCAAATAGGAGCCCGAGATAAGAAACATGAACGCAATAACTAATGTAACTGTGAGCTCTTGTCGATGAGTAACAATAATACCTTTTAAAATCTTCCACGATGATAGTTGTCGATCAATACGTAGAAATCGAATCATTTGTAATGGTGGAAGAAATGTCAATGTCAACGCTGGAAGTTCTTTTGTTCGCATTCCTGATCCTAATGCTAATGCAAATCCAAATAGTGTTAGAATATCCAGAACAATCACTGGTCGACTAATAAATTTCAATCGACCGAACCATGTTCGATATTGCGAAAGACATCCAGCTGACCAGATACGTAATAACAATTCAAGAGTGAAAAAGACACATAAGAATAATTCACCGTAATACAATGGGGTATCTAATGTAAGTCGCCATTCTTGAATGGTGGATATCGAACCGAATACAAGCGAAATCAGTGTTAACACGAAAACAAATAAATGATAAGCCAATGTTTTCGTACCTTCTTGTCTTTCCAGAACGTGATAGACATCAATCTTGTGAATACTTGAAGTTGAAAACCATCGATGACGATGATTGCCATGATGATGTTCATCATCGTGTGGATCAAGCGCTGAATAGAGCGAGACAACGGACGCACGCGTATGATTCAGTCCATGCGAAACGATACTTTTACGGCGCGCGCTCATATCTAGATAGAAAATATTTCCACAGGTATGATATGATTGTTTTTAACCTTTATCGATTCATAGACAAGTTTCTTTTCTGCCCGACTTGGAAAGAAGAGAAAGGAGAACAACAGAAAAAGAATATGGTCTTTTTACGGCAGAAAAGAACGAAACGTCTTTTTATATATGCATATTGAAGAATGATTTATATTCATCTTATCAGTGAATTTGTTGATAGAAGAGTCATTTAACTATGAACTCATTCTAAAATTGTATTCATGATGAGAGTTTGCTTCTGTCGAACTCGTCATCCAGTGACCTCTGTTTATTAGCTATTCTTACATACACAATTGTGAGGCTGTCGTCATGTATTTTATTATCAGTTAACATTTCTCATGGTTGTTCTCAATTGTAAAACAATATGTTCTCATAATCACTTCTAGAGCAACTCTTTCATATTTTGAATTAATATTTTAAATAAACAAATCATTGAAAATATGTCGGAAGGTACAGTGAAATTCGTTGACACATGTTGATGACGGTCGAGTTTCTCTTTTAGGAGTTGATACACATATATTGAGATATTATGAAATTCAAAAACGGTTGGGCAAAGGTGCTTATGGCATTGTGTGGAAAGCGACGGATAAACGAACCAAAGAAATTGTCGCATTGAAGAAAATCTTCGACGCATTTCGAAACCAAACTGATGCCCAAGTAAAAAGCGTACGAATATGAATGCTCATTTTAGATACATATTTATTCTAGAGAACGTATCGAGAAATCGTTTTTCTACGAGAATTCGGTGAACATCCGAATGTCATTCGATTACATAATGTTTTACGTGCGGATAACGATCGAGATATCTATCTCGTTTTTGAATCTATGGGTAAGAAAAATCAACAAGATCGATGATTACTATTGAGATATTTAGAGGCTGATCTTCACAATGTTATACGCAAAGGAAATATTCTTAAAGATACACATAAACGCTATGTGATCTATCAGCTATTAAAAGCAATGAAGTACCTTCATTCGGCAAATGTTATTCATCGAGATATGAAGGTAAAACGTGATTGTTTTGGAAAACGATGATTGAATTATTTCATATTTAGCCGTCGAATGTTTTGGTCAATCAACAGTGTCGAGTTAAGATTTGCGATTTTGGCTTAGCACGATCGTTAAATCATGTTTACGAAGATGTTCAACATCCGGCCATGACGGAATATGTTGGTCAGTAAATTATAATTCTTCGTTTTCAGAACATCGACTGTATCTCTTTAGCTACAAGATGGTATCGTGCACCGGAAATTCTTCTCGCTTCATCAAAGTAATCTCGGAAGTCTTTTTTTTCCTCTATCAACTTAATCGATTTATATCTAGATATACTAAAGGTGTCGACATGTGGTCGATCGGTATGAAGATGAGCCTTTTTTAACAGTGATACCGATGCTTTCTTCTAGGCTGTATATTTGGTGAAATGTTACTTGGAAAGCCATTATTTCAAGGTACATCCACTTTTAATCAATTAGAACGCATTCTTCAACATATTCCAACGCCAAGTCAATCGGATATTGCTTGTATCCCATCACAATATGGTCCTAGCGTGTTAGAACGTGCCTCATCAGGGTAAATCATCATACCGAACGAAATATGATTTTTATGGTGAATGGTTCGTGCGTTTTAGACCAAAAAAATCACTTGATAATCTAATTCCACATATTACCGATGAATCTCTAGATTTACTCCGTCGTCTTCTACAATTTAATCCTGATAAGAGGATCACAGCACAAGAAGGTCTTCAACATAGTTATGTTGCTTCGTACGTTCGATGTTTTTCTTTTCTCTTCTCTTCTATGTATTCGCATTATTTGTAGATTTCATAATCCAAAAGAAGAAATCACCAAAGGTTACGATGTTGTTCCACAATTGAGTGATGATATACAACTAACTGTTGATGAATATCGAAGAAAACTATATGAAGTAAATTTCCTTCTCGACATGCGTATCGATCATTTCAAATATATTCTTTAAATTCTAGTTCATTCGCTTACGTGAAGTTTCAGCCAAATTACCAACAAATACAGCTTCAAACTCTAATTATACTACCGATGCTCAACCTACCAAATCACGTGATCCTTCTACAGATCCACCCCAACGCCATGGAGCCAGTGCTTATATCGATCAGCCTGAAAATGAAACTTATAAACAAGCACCCACAACTAAACAAGATCCATATAATCAACAACGAGGAACGTATTCCAATCAACATCAATCAAATACAACTGAGAATAACAAAACCCGTCAGGTCTACAAACAAGATTCAACTGACAATAACCAATATCCAAATGAACAACCAGAGTATTCCAAGCCGAGTACAAATTATTCGGGATTGCTTGGACGATCAAATAGTTATACTGGCTCCCAACCGAATCTAGCGCAACCGAGAGTCATGAGCGGAAAGCAACGAAATTTGCCAACTACTTCTACTGCATATCAAGTACGATAAAATCTATGTTCGATTCATATTTTATTATATTGATCTTCTTGCAGAGAACTAACAATGGAACTGTTTCGCGCGAAAGAACATCGGTGGCTAATCGAGCTTTTCGTTCTGGCTCAGCTCCGACACCAACTCCACCAAAACAATCACAAAATGGATCCAATAATTATTATATTCGTCGTCCAACGGTCGTATTCAATGATGAACGTTCTGGCCCAAGTGAGAAAAGCACTGGTGCACAAGCAAGAGTTAACCAAAAATTTGTAAGTTTATAATTACTATCTCAGAATGAAAAACCATTGGAAGTGACTTCTGAAAATAGATGTCAAGTCTTCGTCCAGGTTCAGCAGCTGACACGCGTTCAAAATCTCGTTTACAGTCTGCATCTCCTGCTCCACAATCCTATTTGAACACATCACCTTCAGCCTTTGGATCAACATATGGTCATCAACAACAAGCGCGTCGACCAGCCTATTCCAATCAATCCAACATGACATCGTCGATGATGGCACGAGATAATTTTGGTGGTTACAATCAAGCCATGGGTACGATCACTCAGAATGGACTTCGCGTACTCGATGGACTACTTCATAATTCATAGAAGTTTAGTTTTGCTTTTCGTTTGTTTAGTGTCTACATGAACCCTATTTTCTTTTCTTTTTATTGAATACAACTAGGAATGATCTAGTGTACAGTTCATTACTATTTTGGAAAGATTGAAAATACAAATGTCATTGATCTGCTTCTGTTTTTACGATTGGAGTTTCTTCGATCTCTTTTTGATCTATCATTATCCATTTTCGATTTGTGAAATCATATTTGGATATCGGTATAAGTTCTTCGTCTTCTTCAGTCGTAACTTTATCGGATATAACCAAGACGTTATTATCAACTGAGAACACATTCATTTTTTTAAGGTTTGGTATACTCGACAAAAATATCCAATCTTTTGTTGATTTATCATAACATAAGATTTCCGGAACAGGAATTAAGTCTCCTGTAGGTGATTTATGATATCCGCCGCACGCAAATAAACCACCATCGGGTGGCAATACATCATCTCCACACGCAACAAGTAATGCACGTGCGCGCGGCAGAACAGTTTGAGATTTATCTTCGATATTAAATGTATTTTTCAATTTGATCCATCTGAACACTCGAAATGAACTCGATATCAACAGGAACTGTACTACCTTTTGGCGGTTAGATCTTCAAGTTGCAAGAGATCATTTCGAAATTGAACATTCCCTGAAAGTAAATCATAGCCACCGAAAACATACAAAGTATCCTTCTCATCAAGTGTCACGGCAGAACCTAAACTATATTCTATAGAAAATAAATCATAAAACTGCAAATTCATCGTACCACACAATGGATTGGGCAGTGACGGTAACATCTGCCATTGTTCATCATTTTGTTCGTAAACGTAACACGTCTCAGTGGGTCTACGTATTTTCAATACATCGTACCAATTCGCATGGAAAGATATCTCACTTATTCAAGATTGTATTTCCTCCAATAACAACAACTTTTCCTAATAATACATACAATCAGAGCACATCAAACATGAAATGATTTCCTCACCGTTGTTTGCTGCTATACCAAAATTAATTCGTCCATAACCTGGTATCGGCGGTATTTTCTCTAGTTTTTTCTCATCCATATCCCATCTCCAATCATTGCCCGGTGGTCGACGCTCCTTACGAAACGGATCAAATAGATAACCTCCTACCATGCTCATTCATCAAATCAATGAAAGATTAGCCGAACAATTTATCATACCAATAACATAGACATGATTCGGCATATTGACATAATACGCACGCTTTCGTAATTCCAAACCACGTAACATCTCGCTTATCTCGACATTCATCTTATCCAATTCGATATCCGCTACAAACATAGACGTATTTTTTCGTGCTAAAATCTATTTCTTCTACTTTTCTCATTGTCAGAGGACGAAATAGCATTTATCGATGTGAAATCATCGGCTTTCTCCTGTCGTGGATCTTTAAGAAATCCATACTATAAATACATGTCGCAACGAATAAGAAGTTTTTCTCGATAGGTTTATACTTGATCTCGAAAAGCGAATTTATCAAGAAATAATGTCGTACAACGGCGGTTCGTTCGTTTCAAATGAGCCATGAAATAAATAAGACAAAGATTTAACTAAAATACAAATACGCGCTTAGGAAATTTTTCTTTTGAAACAATAAAGACAATATATAACAATTAGAAAAAAAAATGAACAGTTTCGTTTTCGTTAATATTTTGTTATATAATGACGTCATATGTGATCGTCCTTACATGACGTCACTACATATACATATCTTCTTTCGTTCCGATCGTACATATATATGACGTCATAAAATCATACGTTCATCCATGAGATCAGATGTTATCACATGATGTCATCTGTTTTATCCATGATATATGTGTCATGTTCTTTTTCCCTTTGAATCTTATATATAAGCCTGGTCTTTTCATAATAAAGATTCGATTGAATGTGAACAAACAAATCTTGATAAAGTCATTATTCTACCGCTGAACACTAAGTAGATACTGCCTTCTATCAATTTGTTAACAGAGCACCATAATTTGTTGTTTATGAGATTATAATCGATATCAGTGGAATGTAAGAAGATGACAAATGTTATGTGCATATGACTAGTGTAAAATGTCATTCTAGGAGAAAGTTTAATGAAGATTTTCTGCACTTGTCAATCGACCTCGTGATGGGGGAATAAATTGTTGTTTATGTTGTTGTTGTTGATCGATCGAACATCGATTATTCAATGTTCGATTTGGCTGTTGTTGCTGTAAGGGATACGATGGAGAAACATGATTTAGAACAGACATAGATGATGCACGTTTCATAAGTTGATTTTGTTCTTGAAATTGCATCGAGTTCAATGATGGTAGATTTGTTGGTGTTCCGCGAAGTTTTTGGACCAGTTTTTCTGAACCACGTCGGATACTTTGACGTAATTTTTGAAATGAACCACTTCGACGTAGTTTGCCGTACTCTTGAGGACCAGATGGTTGAGAACGTCGCATCGTGTCACTGGTCGTCTCGTCATTAAATCGAATCTGTCGAAGAATATTCAATGCTCCATTGATTGCCTCCGAAGCATTTTGTGAATATCTAGCTGAACACGAATCGAGTGAATCAGCTTGCTCGTGTAGACCTTGTCGGCGACAAAGTGCTCCTGAAAGAAATCAAATAGAAATGAAGTATTGAATACTGAACAGGAGAACGTGTCTACCGAGATTTTTTAATGTTGAGATGATTGATGTCATGTCACGATTAGTTGATAATGTTTGACATTGTTCATTCAAGCCAGATAAAACATCTTGATATAATTGAACAGCTTGTTTATACTTTCCTTCGCGTAGATAGACGGATGCGAGATTATTTTTTGTTTTCAACACATTCGGATCATTTTTTCCGTAGGCCTTGACATAAATGTTAATAGATCGTCGGTAATATTCTTCAACTTTATCGTATTTATTTTGATTTAAACATAACAATGCGAGATTATTCAGTTGTTTACCAACATCTGGATGATTCGCACCGAAAATCTTCTCTCGAATTTCCAATGCACGTTTACACAACGGCTCTACAAAAGATTCTATTTAGACAATTCTACTCCAACGGAAAACAACAGAACTTTACCTGCTTCTTTGTATCGATTCTTTTTTCCATAAAGTACCGCTAAATTATTCAATGTTGCAGCCACTGCTGGATGTTCCAACCCAAGTGTTTGTTCACGTATGCTTAAGGCTTCTGTTAATAATTGCAATGCTTCTTTGAATTTGTTTTGGTCGCGATAGACCAAAGCAAGAATGTTGAGCATAGTCGCGACATCCGGATGTATGTGACCATGCGTTTTTTCGAGATCTTCAAGTGCTTGTCGACATAGTGGAACAGCAACTTCGTATCGACCCGCTTGAGCATATTGAATAACGAGGTTATGTAACGTACGAAAACGTGGTGGAATATCGAATTGATTTTTTGTTTCGAGATTTGAATTAGAAGTGATTTGCATTTGTTCGCGAGGTTCAATGGGCATTTCTTTATCGATATCGATCGAACTTGAGAGATTGAATTCATTCGATATCGATGGCGATGATGCTAATGATTCATTCAATAGTCGAATATCACGTTCGTAATCTAATCGTAATTGTGTACTTGTTTGTAGATGTTTTTCTGTAACAGAAAGTTCGTCACGTAACCAATTATTTTCTTGTGTTAACCTTTGAACTTGTAACATCAATTTGTGTGTTTCGCTATCAAGATCGTCGAAATGATGACCGAGTTGTAACATAACTAAACCTTCATCGATACCCAAGTCAACAGATTCGAGTGATTGTTGAAGACATTGACGTTTATCATCGTCGATAGTCGATGAAAGTAAAAGATGATGATCGTGTCGTAATGTTTCAAGATTTGAGAGAATTAACCGCGTTTTACAAGTTAAATCAGACGTATCATAGGTGGTACCCATCTGAAAGAAAAAAGAAATTTTCAATACCAGATCCAGGCTTACTTAGTTAATCAATTGAGACATGTGACATACGATCGTGTCGTTTGAGTCTCATGATGAGCAACGAAACACAAGTAAAAGCAAATGTTAAGCATGCCGTTCATTCAACAGCATTCAAAATCTACTAGATGTCTTTCTTTTCTCTCTCTCTCTCTCTCTCTCTCTCTCTCTCTCTTTTCTTCTTTCTTCGTTATCAGCATCTTCATTCGTAATCGAACACGAAATATACATATATGTGTGGTGTGTGTATGAAATCAGCTGTTATACAAGAAAAAAAAATGCGATGTGATGATAAAAATTGAGTGAATGTACGAAATCGACACATTACTTTTCGTGATGTTGCAGTTAGTTGTCTACTAGTTCATTGTAAAATTATTCAGAACATAAAGAAAAGGTTGAAATGAGAAATTTGTTAGTTGTGGTAAAAATGGTAAACGAAGATGGTTCGACGACATATTAAGAGAAGGAAAAAAACGAAGAAAGAAAGGTGTGTATTTTTCTCTCTCTCCTTTTCTGCTTACATTCGCCTCGTCGATGTTCAACATCAGCACGAGGTCATAGAGCCATAAGTCAACATTGAACAGCACAGCACTGGCCATCATCAACTGTTCTCTTCCCTTTCTTTTCGCCTGTTGATCGTTCCAAATATATAGAGAGAAAAGAAAAGATATTGAACTCAAGGTCATCAGTAATCTATGTGTCTTTTCTCTCTTGATTTTACTGATGTTTTAATCATCGACTTTTAACGAGCTTGTTGATAGAAGCAAAGCGTGTCTGTTGATAGTTTATTTATATCTAGATAAATCAATGCGTCCCAAACAACATCTACAAATCTATGAATGATAGTAATGACTAGATTATTGCGCAGAGAAACATTCAAAGAACGAACAAAATGAGGGAGAATGAAAAAAGAGCGAACGACGAACAAATATGATAGAAAGTGTAATTAGAGGTTTGTCATAGCTGTTGTATGTTCAGCAAGCATACGTTGTTTTGTCTCATTATCGTCCTCATCAATCGGTGGATTAAGATCGATTGTCGGAGTAGTAATTTTTTTCCATCGCTAAAAATCAAATACAATAATTAATGAGTTTTATGAAGAAATATTCATTTACCTCGCTTAATGAACCAGTTTGTCGCGCAAACAATGCAATAGCATAGATGGGAATTGCTAAAATTGATGATAATGCAATACACCAACCGATATACTCAGCCCATTTAGGAAATGAATAGGATTTATATTTCACCGGTTCATATTCAATTAAACTGAATATTGCGATACTCTAGATAAAAAGAACATCAAGCGATAGTCGAATAAGAGAATAGATTCTTTCTTCTTACAGTACAAAGAAATGGAGTAAAAGCAATCCAACACCATTTCCAAAATCTTCCCGGATAATAACCGATCATGTTTTTGATATCTTCGTAGAATCGATTGGCACCATAGAACCATGATACACTGATGCATTCGAAAAAGAGTAGGACGAGTAAACACCAACCACTCGCCGAATAGTAATCAAGGATCTTGAAAACATACATTCCACCCTGGAAGGAAACGAAAATCAATTTTGTTGATTTGATTCATATTCTTCTTTCAATAGAATTGATATTACTTGAGTAACGGTCGGTAGACCAATTAGAAACGAAATGAAACAAACTACAGCAATGAATAGCTCCTTTCGACGACGTAAAATTGGCCATTCATCAACACATGCGGTGATAAAACCTTCGAGAGTGACAAACTAAAATATTTGAGATTGCATTTCACGAAGTTATTGTTGGAAAATCATACTTGACTATCGAGACCAATAAAAATCAGCATGATAAAGAAAAGTGCTGACCAAAATGGAGAAAAAGGTAATTGAGCAACTGCTGCTGGATAAGCAACAAATGCCAAACCAGGTCCTTGAAATTCAAGACATATCTTTCGTTAGACTTCAACTAAATTTCTATCGAGATTACCTGAATCGGCGACTTCACTGATTTTTTTACCTTCAGTCTTAGCCATAAACCCAATAACCGAAAAGATGACAAAACCGCTAATTAAACAAGTTCCTTCATTAAAAGCAGCTAATATCAACGTATCCCTAAAACATTATCTCATTCAACTTCTACACGGAATCATTAATGTCGTTTACTTACCGATAGCAATTTTTATGATATTTATTGTAACTACCTAAAGCTACGAGTGCACCCAGGCCAAGGCCATAGCTGAAAAAGATTTGTGTTGATGCTTCGATCCAAAGCTTAAATATAAAATAAAACGGATTAATTAGGTGTCTGAGCTCTTGTAAAAAATCTTACCGCAGATGTTTTCAACTTCGATAGATCGGGAATAAACAAGTATTTTATTCCGTCCATTGCTCCTTCGAGAGTTATACCACGAATCAGTAAAATAAATAGGAGTAAATATGGAAACATTGATGTAAAATAAACCACTTTTCCTGTCCATTTGACACCTTTCCAAATACAAAAATAACAAGCGATCCAAGCGATACCTAACGTAATCACCAATGGAATACGTAGGGAACCCGGTTCATTTATGCTATGAGTGATTTGTAGTGCATTACGCCTGACAAGAGACAAAATTCGATTTCTTTCTTTTACTCTCATTCGAGTACATACTCCCAGTATTCTTTCACTGGACTTGTGTATTGTGCGAGATGATCAGTTGTATTTTGCAAGCATGCAGCAATTGATGCATTACTTGTCAAATCAGCCGAGGTGCACGATAGTACCGATGAATAATTCCGCATTTGTATTAACGTGCGACAAGATTCCGTATTCCACCAATTGTTACATGTTGACCAAGGTAATAGCGATGAACTCAAGATTGAATTGTACACGTAATACAAACTCCAAGCAAGTACAACTATATAATAACAATTTAACCAGAATGCTATTATTGCTGCAGCATAGCCAACGCCTATAGAGAATAAAAATCGACGCTTTAGATATGAAAATAAAGTACGACCATATACCTTTGAATATTGGACATATTTTCCATATACCGAGACCGCCAATACTCGTATATTGACCAAGCGCCACTTCGAGGAAAAATAATGGTATACCTCCACAGATTAATGTTATATAATATGGGATTAGAAAAGCTCCTAGAATACGAAAATGAACTTCCATGGAAAAATGTACTAATACCACTAACCTCCACCATATTGGTAACATAAATATGGAAATCGCCAAACATTTCCAAGACCTATTGCGTAGCCAATGCATGAAAAAAGAAAATCGGCATTACCTGACCACTTCTCTCTTTCTTTAATGTCAGCCATGATTTGCCTCGACGTCTATTTCAAAAATTCTGAAAGCATAATTCAAAAATATAATGTTGACTCATCTCGAGGGTGTATATGTATGTAATATAAATACAAAATTTAATTAAGAAAAGTCAACCGATGTAGCAGCTGCCACTCTACTCGAAACGTTCGTTCTATTTGATATAAGACTATCACGAAAAAATCTATTGCTTACTCCTTACACTAATATCATCTCTTTTTTTCTCTACTATCCTCACCAATCGACTTCAATCAGTAAAATATATTTGATAATCATTTGTCGACAAATTATATTGATCTAGGCATTGGTTTCTTTTTCGTCTTGTCTCTCTTTCTGCGTTTTTTTTCTTTACTAACGAAGATACCGATGAAAGAGCGTCCAAAACACATTTGTTTTTAAATCATCGCGAATGTTTTTCTCCTCTTCCACACATTTATGTCGAAACAAAAGACTAAATACCACATTTCTGCCGTACTCTGTAAATATAGCTTGCTTCAAAAGCACTGATGCATGTTCTTATCTCTCTTTTTTTCTAGCTCTCTGTCACTGCATTGTCTTATTCTCATCTATATATATATTGAAATAATCAAGGTTATTTCTTTTTATTCTATACGTGTAATTGAAACCGCGAAACCTGTCTGTCTCTTTTTTTTTCTCTCCCTCTTCAACCAGATATGAAAACTACACAAGGGCTTAATATGTTTCGTTCTTTTCTGGTAACATTTTGCTCCAAACTTCACCTCTCTATTTATATCCATAATTATTAATAGTAATTGCATCGACAGGCTGTAGGCATGGATCAGTCTTGCTTTGCTAAGATATGCCATTCTTTTGTCAGCTCGCACACACTCAAATAGAAAAAAAAAGAAACGACACACACAATGATTTGCTATTTGCAAATTCTTCGAAACATGATGACGATCGCCTGTTCTATCAGAAGAAATTCAAGCAATGCCTTTAATTATAAAAGATCCTTTTAATTCAGCATGCGGTAAACTATCCTATTTCGGTACGATAGATGCTATTAATGTTTCTAAGTAAATCAATCGAAAACATTGACATAAATCTTCGATGAAAATAATTGAATTGGTGTGGAGGTTTCCTACAATGTCAAATGTTCTGATATTCATTCACTTCGTAGCAGAAAAATGATAGGATACTTCGTAGTTAGTTGAGTGATACTAGCTTAATAACTTAGAAAAACGTCAGATTACAGGAACGCAATACTCTTTCTCAGGTTAAATGAAGTCCGACACTTGGTTTCCTCTCTATCTGATTAAAATTTCTACCATAATTAGAACTGCCATTCGCAATCTTATCAGTAAACACTCGTTCTCAACTATCGTCGAAAATAATCAGCGTAGCATGCAAGAAAAGATCAAGAGAAACAAATCGAATTGTGCCCTATGGTGATGGAAATGAAACAGTATGAGAATCATCGCGATAAGATTCTCAATCAATCAGCAACGTTAATGTCATTGTTTTCATAGAAAAACATATGTTAACCAGATAGCATCCGATAGAAATCGATGACGTCGTTTGCAACATATTAATTAAACATAAAAGTACGCCAATTTAATGCCAAGGCTACTGCAACACTCTACTGCTCGTCAGTTGATTGCCGACGAAAATGTGTTTTCTCACTCTATACCCATGTGTAGTGTTAATAGCAGAAATATGATCTTAAATTATTGATGTATTTAACCGAAGTTTGCGGGAAGTACACAAAAACCCGATAAGCATCTCGAGGGCGGAGTAACTAATTACGAGAACAATCGATCTCTTACAAAACATTTATTACAAGTTCAATCGGTAGTATTCATCTGAAGATGAATTTATTACATAGAACAAGTGCATATAATCTTTCATAGCTGATCGCAATTGAAGAACATTCATAAGTAGTTTGAACTATTTGTAAAGGTCGACTCATTATTTAAATGTCAAGTTGAATTCGATCCGGTTTACGAATCAAAGCAAAATTAATTCTATACAACAACAATCTCGTCGTATGCGAAATATAAGGTTTCTATAAGGCATCTATGTTAACTAATTTAGAATTCACGGTCGACACAACACAACATAAGATATGCATGAAAAGTAAGTTGTGCTGTTTTGAGCATTTCTGATCCGCCCACCTCTCCTCAAATATTGGGATGCTTCAATAGAAGACCGATTTTTTAACCATGGCACGTCGACTTCGACTTCCATGCGTGTTTTATATGTTAAAATAGCATGTCATTTGCAAAGTAAAAGATCATTTATTTGTGGCTTCTGAGAAATATACGATAGAATTGAATGTATAAGGGGAAAAGTGTTCTCTCTCTGATCTGAATTGACAATATATTCTTGGTTCAAGAATAGTTTTTACGAACAGTGAGTGCAAGTAAGTAAAGATCAATGTTCGAACCTTTAGACCTATTCGGTTTTTTGATTTTCTCTTGTTTTTGTTGATCTTTGCGAGATGCGTTAGGAAAGGTTTAGAAATTTCCAAAAACTCATGAGGTATTTTTGGGTGAATAGAATATTTGCATATCATCGAGAGAGAAAGCATTGTCGAATCGAGTAAATCGACGCCTACGATATATTGTTTTCTAAAAAAGAAAGAAAAAATACTTCCCGAAACAATATAATTATAAACTCATACTTTAACGCGTTTTCATATTTATAACCTTTTGTAATAAACCACTGATGCTATATTAATAGTTATGCAACGAAAATCCTTTACCATTTCAACTTGTCGAATTCGCTAGACTTATTTCCAATGACGTCATCATCGGAAAAGGAAGTGTATAGAAAATCGTTCGTGTAGAAGTATGACCTACGAGTAACATTGAGGTATTGCGAACCTTTCATCGAATTTCATCTACTCATGACACATTTCTTATAAAAATTTCATCAGTATTCTACTTCGTAAAACTGATATTTGTTTTGCGTAGAAGTCTTCTAATGTCAATAATATTTTTTACGCTCCGTCAGTAAACTTCAGGTGTGTAACGATATTTAAATAGTTGATGGAAGAGTAGTTGCTTTTGATTTCGTTAGATATTTTTAGTTTACTTTATAACAGTGCTCCTTGTTACTGAATGCACGTCCGACGCGAACATTCTTTTAGTACTTTACTCGGAATTATATTTTGGAGTTAACTGTAGAGAACTATTACTTCGTTTCCTTATTTCTTTTTGGAGTATTTCCGATCTGTGTCGGAAATGTAGGAGACGGCCATGAAGAACTATCATTTGAGTAGGTTGTCAAGTCAGGCCCTTGTACAAGGTCCATATTTTATAGGTACTTCTGATCTGCTATTGTCAAGCCGAAATCTTCGCATTAGTTGGCCCGTAACAAGATGTAATCAAAGATATTTCATTCTAGAATTTGAATGTACTCAGTAAGTATATGATTTCACATTTGACGATGTTCTTCATTTGACACAATCAGGTATAATATTTCATCTGATATGAACTTTTTGAACGTATACTCATATTTATCCGTGTGAAGTGACAGTTTATTTGATAATAATGATTAATTAGGTAACTGAACACGTAAACGAGTTTAGAGAAACACTTTTACTTTTTCATTAATTTGGAAAATATTGTTTACATCATTCATTCAATTCCCATATGAAATTTCTTGCATATTTACATATCATTCATAGGCAAAGTTATGCTTTTCATGTCTTCGTTTTCGCAGTGAAATCTCGATTCGATCAGCTAATGTGTTTGTGCCGATAACCTCCGATATGTAGATTAGTTCTTGTCTTCCTCGAACTCCCACAGCCAGTCTGGACTGTCTGAATTTAGGACGTGATCAAATGCCATACTGAAACAACAAAGGTCCAATTAAGTATAATGATTCAGGGAAACAATACATTATTAATATAAGCAAACGAACAAAAGCCTTATCCCAACTCAATCAATTATTCATTTTACCTTTTTTGCGGAGGTTGACATATGAAAAAAAAGTTATGACACGTTCAGCCGTTCATTCATCTATCATTCTGTCCCCTACCTCATATACTTCCTTCTTTCTTAATAGCAATCTGTCAAATGATATATATATATAGAGAGAGAGAGAGATGCAAGGAATAGCATGGCTGATAGCACTTACAATATTAATGTATTTTTTTTATGAGGACACAATCATCTCTCCATGGACAGGAGTAATGTATTGATTGATTGAAGGATTTCTTTAGTAAATATTCGACATGCAGCAATATCCGTGGGTACATATTGACAACTCAAAGGTAATGTTATTCATCTGTTCTGCAACATATAAAGACTAACGATAATGAGTTTATAATACGAAAAAGGACAGTCTCGATTAAGACGAACCATTCACCTATCATCGAATGTCAAGGGTAAGATTCATCGTACGGAGGAGTAAAATACCTGTTACTATGAAATTGAAACAAAATTTTGCAAAAGACAGACAGGATGTGTACACGCTGACTCATTCCTGCCTTCGTGTCATATTCTTGAAATGAGAAGAAGTACGGGGTGTTGTTTTCGGGAAGTGAATCAAAGCAATCGAATTGTCGGCAAGTAATCATATACAATTGTGTGACTTAAGAGAGACCAAACAAGCATTTTTTCAAAGTGTTTCGTACGACTTTTTAGTTCTTTGAGAAGTTGCATCATAGAAACAGCAGAACACTAAAAACATTGACGTACGATGAATCATGAGAATAATAGTTCGTGTTTTTTGCATATATATACAAATTAATTGTGTTTGTCACACAGTAAGACGTTGTTACGGAGAAGTTCTCAACCAGTGAATGTCGCTTTGATCAATATGTGCTGAGAACGTCGAAGGAAATGTAATTTTCTTGGGAAATATATGTCCAGGTTTGTTAAACTAACGTTCACATATGCTTCTAACTTCTCAATCTTTCTCAGGCGTAATTTTCATCTGTTGTTGACAATCCACCTCCTCCACATACTTCTGGCCGATCTTTATATATCCAGTTTCATTTATATATTCTAGATTCTCTAGATACTTTTCTACTCCAATTAAAATGAATATTTCACATTTGATATTGTTTACCTCATTATTACTAACTGCAAATGCTCAATGGTTTATCAAAAAAAGTGATCGAGCAAAACAAATGAGTTACCCCAATCCAGGAAAACGAAACGTGCCCGATCAAGAGTCCACTTATCCAACAATTGACTGTTCAATACCCTACTTGCAATTACAGACATACGAACAAAGAGCAACATGGCTGTTGCTATGTACTCAAAAAGCGTCATTGCCATCCGATTTTTTGGAAGATTTGATGGATTTCGATTTGAAGCCAACTCCGTCGGAAAAAGTTCATTTACCTAGGAAACGATCAACTTATGTGGTACCACCTTACTTCAAAGATGATGATTTTACTTCGAACAGAATGATGAGAAAAGTATTGCGGCGTTTCGGAAATGACAAATAGAGAAAGCGGAAAGCAATAAAATATCTCTTCACTTCTTTCAATACGATAGTCAATCCTATGATCTAAAATCTTTTCAGATTTTTATAAAGATTGAAATTCAATAAATTCAATGCTTCAGCATTTTATTTTTGTTGTTGTTGATTTTTGTTGTTGAACGGTAAATATAAAACTATTCGTTTTTTTTTATTTTATGTTATTTAAAACTTCTTTTTCGCGCATATGTATCTCACGGAAAAATGAATCAGAGAATGTTCATCTATTCATAGTCAAACCAAGTGCGTGCAGAATGGCGAAGTGAAGCAAACGGATGGTATGGTGGGAAATCGGTATCGTCATAATCTGTCATTAAATCACGACGTTTGCCCCAACCTAAATATGCAAAATTACACAATCAAGCAATGATAAAACATCGATTGTTCGTACCAGCTTGTCGTTTGGATTCGAATTTTTGATGGAGCACATCATCCTGGTAGTCACCATTGGTTGAAAGTGGCCAGTAGCTTTTACTTAGCCCTGTTGCACGCGCATCAATGTGTGTTTGACTAATGATGTAACAGTAGATAATGCAAAAAATAGAGAAGAACTTCATATTGATACGAAGATTTGTAAACGAGATTGATATGAGGACTGATGATGAGATGAGCAAACTCTAAATGACGAGAGCGAAAGAAAATCACTTCGAAGGCGGTAAACGTCGATGAATTGACCTGTTTACACGTCAGAATCATTCAAAGTGGAACAAATCAAGAGAGAAAAGAAACTTGAAACATATATATTTAACTATTTCCCGGAAATAATCATTAACCGAAGCATTCGATGGAAATTATAGCACGACATCGATCATGTCTTGTTTAATCATAGATAATTCTCAACAATTATTGTCATCGTTTCATTCCCTAACTATGCTTATTAGCTTTTCGCTTTATTGGCTTCGTTTATTGATAAGTTTCTGACAGAAAGTTTTCTTTTTATTTTCACAACCGATTGCACACAAGATTAGGAAAGTGCGAGAAAAAAAAAACAAATCACTGTATAGGTTAATCAAAATCGAGTTTCAACTGTTTAGACAACTACTGTTGTTCGATAATCATTAGCAATGGACATAAAACCAAACGATTGCATTAAATCGACATAATCGTCAAATAATTTCTGTCCCATTGTACCGTCATCAATGCCGAATTGTTTGCAGCATTCGAATAAACGTATTGCTAATTCAATGGCACCTTGATTGTGCAAAACTTCAATCGCACGCCGAAATTGTCCACATGAGATTAAGACAATAGCAGAAGTTAGTTTCGATGTTTGGGAATGAAGACGAAGATGCTCTGACCATCGTTTAAGAATATCGATATATTCAGTAGAATTCGGTTTTAAACGTAGTTTCGCTAAACATATTGAATCTTCCCATTGATTATGATCTTGTAGATATCGACATGCTTCAACGCATAGATCAATTGTACATAGAAGCTGTACACCTTCATTGACTTTTCCATTCGCAATTAGATTTGTCGCAACTAATTTCGTCACCGTATTCTTCGACGTTTCATTCGGTTGCTTTTGCATTGTCGATATGAGACAAGCTTTGATACAGTTGAACGCGTATGTATCATCATTTGGATCGGTGTCAAGCAACAATTGTACAGCACGGTCGCTTTGTTTAAGTGCAATGTAGGAATCAATACATTGCGATAGGACGGCTGGTGATGATGTGGATGTGCATTTAATATCGCGACGAACTGTTCGTTCTAGATGAAGTTGTTCGAAGGTTTTTGAATCGAGAAGTAAATCATAAGATGGAAGAAGAGATGTTGAATCAGATGAATTGCCGTTCGATGAACTGTATTGATGAAGATAGTATTTGGTTAAATGCCAGAAACGTTGTTCCCATGGATCGTTGAATAGATTAGCGATCAATAAACAACGATCAATAGTCGATTTCGTTTTTACCAATGAATCTTTGAATTGTCTAGAAGAATTGAGCAGAATAATGGCTTTGCCAATGGAAAAATGAAACTTACTGGTCAAGTTTTGATAATTCCTTTTCGAGTAACCCATTTAGATTCGTATCCTCACATTTTTTCACCAATTCATCCAATGTACCGTTATTTATACATAATAAATGTTTCAACAGATTGGCATTACGGGCAAGTATAAAATATGGTAATAATGTTTTTTCTAAAAATAGATTCAATTTATCAGAAACAGTCTGCCTCCTGTTGACGATCTCGTTATCAAGGATGAACATACGTTCAATGGTTTGAAATTCTAATGAACTTGATGAGTCAACTAAATTCATTTCATAGACTCTTATGCAATGATCCGAACAAGCCAAAACCACTTTATCCGAACTTGCCCATTCGCCATCGGTGACTTGAATTGTATCTCTTGGAAATTTCAATGTGCTAATACGGTCACGCTAGAAAATCAATGTTAATTGACACTGAAAGAGACACATGGATTGCATTAGCTTACGTCACGAATGTCCCAGATGTCAACGCCATCGTTGAATAAAACAAAGGCGCGAAAGTTGCCTTTACCCGGAGCAAAACGAAGTTTACGAATCGGACTTCGTCTCGTATTAAACGATCTTAATGATAATCATGCTGTATTCATCAAATAAAAACGAATTCACTTACTTGTTTTGTTTTAATTTGATGTTGAAGATCTGTAGAATACCATCGACGTCACCGGAAATCAGGTAATCACCTTTCAAGACTAAGAAAACAAGCAGAACGTTTCCGGCATAAGAAAGAAAAAAAAATACAATACCAAGATCAGTTGTTGCCGATGATGAATGCTGAAATCATAAAAGCGAAAAGCACATTTTGATAAGGAGAAAAACATCAATAGATATATCAATACATCAGGCGGAACAGTTGCCACTTCTTTGATAGTTCGTCCTTCGACATAAAAATGATACAATAGATTGTATTCATCAGTAAAGATGAAGTTTTCTCGCGATGATTTTTTATCAAAATCAACAGAACTTGTTCTAAGCAACAAAATTCATATTTTTACAGTGAAAATATCCGATGTGGAACGTACTCGACTTCTGCACTATTGACTCGATGCAGTTCCTGTTCAGATTCAGTGCTACTATTCACTTTCGTTTCTCCGAGTGGTTTTTTCATTACGAGAACATTCGGCGACCAATCCTGAAAATAAATTAAAATAATGGTTGATTCTGAGGGAATGTTCAAGTACCAAAGCTAAGATTTTTGGACATTTTTTCGGTAATCGTCGAATCAATGTAAATGATTTCAAATCCCATAATTCGAATGGTTGATCACGAAATAGAATAATCAAGTAATTTCTTTAGAGAACAAAATATATCAACTTCAATTGAGAACATCTTCCTTTTGACAAACTTTGTATGCGAAACTTTGAAACTTTCTATTGGAGATTCATCATGATTGATTTCTGATCGGAACGGTTCTTGTCGTCCTAAACAATACACTTTCTTACAAAAGATCATATGAGAATAGTAGCAAAGAAATAACCTGATGAAATGTGAGTCATAAAGATTTCATTACGCACTGTTGTACGACCATCACTAGGTGCCTGATATCCCCATGAAAGAATGATGTGAGTTGATATCCAAGCTATCCCTCTGTAAAGAAAAAAATTCATAACGTCAAACTTCTTTTCGTTTATTCACCGAACAGGACAGGAATGAACAGCCAATTGTCGTTGAATACTTCCATCATTGAGATCAAAAATAACAATATCTCCATTATGACAACCAACAGCTAACAATGGTATCCAGTCTTTCCAATTCTTAGCCGTCATTGGCGAACACATTTGAATTGTATATGGAGCAGGTGGTGATGCAAACATCACCCCACCTAATGGAATATGATTTCCATTGTTTCCTTCATTATTCATTTCGACCGTTGCCGATGTTGATAATTCTTTTTGATCAATATTCCAAAACAAAACTTTGCCATCGGTTAAAATGACACTTATCACTGTTTCATTCTTTGGTGACACACAAAACGAACATATACGTGTATTCTTCGACAATCGGAATGGATCAGAATAATATACAAGATCATAAGTTATATCAACAATAAAATCAGTCAATGCAGCTAAACAAAAGCAAATTCGATCATGATTACAAAGAGCAATTTGACATCATACTATTAAATGATTGCAGTGCTGCGATGCTGCTGTTTTCTAAATGTCGATTTCGTACACTGATCGTTCCACTTTCATGAAAACATATAAATGCATCACGTCGAGAACATCCATAGATCTATTTGGAATAGAAAGAAAAAACTCAAAATGCGCACATGCGAAAATTCCAACTAACCTTATAAAATGCTGCGGAGTTCTTTTCACATAGAATCGTGCCAACAGTTTGCAAAATTTGCAAATCAAATATCAAAATCTCACGTGGATAGACAATCAATATCAAATGGCGATGTATCGGATGAAACAAAACTTGGATACAATCATTCAAGCTAACGATTGTCGACAATAATTGATCATCTTGTCTACAAAACAAAGAGTCACATAAACATCTTGGTAGAAGAATAGAAAAGTATTACTTTGTATGCTCAGCTCCTTCGATAATCGCTTTTAAACGTGTTGTTAATTGCGAACTGGTTGATGATATCGAATTCATTGATGCACTTCGTTTGTAACCATGTGATGTGGGTTTATTGTTATTATTGTTTGTATTCGATATGTAAAATCGACGAGATTGTCCACTTGGTGCATTGACTGGTGAAAAATCCTCGACAAATGTTAAACTTGACTGACCAAGTACTAGGAGATGGAGAAAAAGCATATCAATATTTGACTGTTTCCGACTTTGAAAGAAATTTACATATGATTCGTTGATGATTGAAAGGATCTTGAATGATTTGTAGATACGATTCTGTTTCTCGTTGTCGTTCTTGATCATAGACAACGCGCCAAATCTTGGCTCCTGTTTGTGTATTCCACAATGTGACAATATTCGGCGAATAAACAACAAGTAAAAGCTGAGGATTACTATCTGTAGAATACCATAACATATCTATGAAGTAAATGAATGGTTTATTACGAAAGGAAAACGATCAAAATGTCAACCAGCTATCGATTTGTTTCCATCACGAAGTTCGGATTGAATAGAAGATTTATAAACATCCCAGATAAGAATATTGCCAGTCGAATCAGCACTGGCAAGTTTTAAATTATAAGCATCATCAATATTGTGATAAAAATTGTCCGGAGCCCATTTAACCTAAATACCGAAAAGAAATTCAAACATTTCGTTCTAAATTCTTTGTACTTTAACAATTGGCTCATGATATTTCTCCATACATTGTAAAACCTAAATACAAATCGGAACATGTGTTGTAGAACAACAGTTATTATGATTTTGTTACTCGAAATGACTGTGGATCAAGCACGACTACACTCGATTGGCAACCATATGCAATCAGACCATGATAATTCCAATCAATTGCATCTTTGTTGGCATTATTTAATGCTCCGGGAATGATACGAGATACGAGATTCATTGTTTTCTTTTGAGTGAATAGTTAAACACAACAAAAAACATGCCTTGAAGAGAAGGATCGATAGAGAAAAAGAACTGCTCAATGAATCATATTCAACCAGTCAGATTTCGAGCGCTATGTTCGCAGAAATAATCACTTGGAAAATGTGTTTTTTTTTCTTTTCTAGATCTTATCGAATTTTGAACATGGCTCTGACGAGAAAAAATCGAACGGCTATGGATATATTCAAATCCAATGTCGGATGTATATCAACATATTCGAAAAAAATCGACGATATGCTCGGTAGAGATACAAAAAGCCTTTGTTTTATACTGCATTTTTTTGTTTATAGATGGTGGTATTCGTTTGGGTGTTATGACTGAATTATGTGGAAATCCAGGAAGCGGAAAATCGAATTTATGGTTTGTTCGATCGATTGAATTGTTGCTGTCAGTTTCACTAATTTGTATATTAGTACTCAATTATGTGTTTCCGTTCAAGTGAAATATGGTATCAATTCAGATAGTACAGGAACAGCAATTTATATTGACACAGAAGGAAGTTTCGTACCTATACGATTACAAAATATGGCGATGGCAGCTGATAATCATTATAGAAATCATAATCAAATACCGATGGATACAAATTCAGTTGAACATATCCTTAAAAATGTGACGTATTTCCGTTGTATGAATGTCGCCGAACTGATCGCTTGTCTCATTCAATTAAAACAACTTATGACACCCGAACGAAATGTTAAATTAATTATTCTCGATAGTCTTGCACATCCAATTCGGAGTATAATCGACGGTGATCATCTAACTCGACATAAATACACCGTTCGAATCGTAACCATTTTACAAAAACTAGCTTCGGAACATAACTGTGCTGTAAGTGTAAATCAGCATCGGAAAACATTTCTTTGTCGATTTTGGTAGGTGGTGATTGTCAATCATATGATAGCCAAAGTCGAATCACCGAGAAATGAAGCCTATTGTGCTCCAGGCAAGTTAACCTATTAAACGAATCAGCATGATTTCAATACGATAGTTTTGTAGCGCTGGGTGACGCATTTGGTCATATGTCACAACTAAGGATACAACTATCATGGAAAATGAATAAACGAGAACTTCGTGTACTTAAATCGCCACATCTTCCTGAAATGTCCACGTTTTTTCAGATAGCTGTAAAGAAATTATCTCGACTTAGTTTCTACTAAATGTTTGTCACCTAGGATGATGGCATCCGCGATATAAATGAAGATGAACTGATGGATCAGGATGAATGTCTTGGTACGTCGCAAGAGAATCTACATTCAATTTCAAACATGTAATCAACACGGGGATGTAGCTCATATGGTAGAGCGCTCGCTTAGCATGCGAGAGGTATTGGGATCGATGCCCAACTTCTCCAGTTCTCTTTTTTTTTCTCGTTCTTTTCCTCGATTAACCGTGCAGATATGTTTTTCTTTTCGATTATTTTTATTATGATACTAACGACAAAAGCTTCGAATAATAACAGTAACATATCAGATAATTTGCTTGTTCACGATTTTAGTAACAAATACCATTAAACCAATGAGAGATTAATAGAAATTTATGTTAATATGTGATATCATATATGATTAGAATAGAGAAATATTGTTTATACGGTTAGACATATTCGTATTTATCGACAATAAGATTCGTTTCGTGAGAATATGACACAGATTTGTTTTTATCAGCAGTTTTCACATCAGCAATCTGGAATAGAATGAATTTGCAATGATAAAAGTCAAACTCGATTTGTTGTCTTCTTACTTTAATATCACAAAAGGGTGTTTCGGCAACAAAATCTACTTGAATTGGAAAGAAATCAGCAGTTTTGCCTCGAATGGAGAATTCCAAGGAACCTTCCGAATTCGTCTCATCGATAACCGGTAAAGACCAGTTTAATACAGTTTTTCGACTATCAAATTGATAATCACCATCAATTTTACCAATCGATGGTGTTTGTCCACCACTCCTACACGGAACCAAGTATGTCAACAAGGATTCTTACATATAGAATATTTTCATACGGTAACGGAACACTGATTTGAACATCCTTTAGAATCAGATTTGGTTGTTGTAGCTCATATTCAATGTTCACGTCACAACCACCATTAGGTGTTTCATTCGGCCAACAATTAACTAGAAGATAAATATAAATTATCTTTCTCCAAGAATTCATAGTTCTCTTTTACGTGTAAGAGGAAGGTCTTTTGAATCCGTGGATGTATATCGCCATTTTAATACGCCAACTTCTTGATTAGCTGGAAATGGTCTATCGGCGTTTTTCAGGCCGATTAGCGATTCGTTAGTAAAGAGTTTCTTGTCAACGTTTGGATGAGTCTAAAACCCAAGGGACATATAGATTTCATATAAATCAGAACCCAAAGCCAAGTTTTACTTGTAATTGAACATTTCGAGACTCTTTGTTATTAACAGCAACAACAATGCGTCCGTACTCCTCGGATTTAACACGTAACATAATCATACCATGAACCTCGAGATTTTCCACACCACCATCACGTGTACAACTAACCGTCAGTTTTTCTTCTTGTTTCAAATGAACACTGTAAAAGAACCATTTAGGCAAATTTGAAATGTTAACTTCGTATTATCCTTACTCTCCCTTCTGAGCTTCAGAAAGAGAAATACTTTGTGTTTTAATTTTACCAGTTGCACCACCCGCACCTGATGCCACTGGAATTGTATTTGCCACAATTTCACCTTCAGATTTCAATTGATCGACAAACGTATCGACATTTTTCCCTTTAGTACCCAATTTCATTGCTTTGCCCGATGTACTTGGACGAATACTTGAACTGTCATAAAAAATCAATTAGCATGAACAATTGTTTATCAATTTCATAGCACTTACGACGGTGTTTCCGATGGATATGTTACAGGTGTTGGTGTTACATCAGGCTTATTGTCTGCTGATGAACTGCTATACATATTTGAAGAAATACCTGTAGAACTTCCGAATGATTTTGATCCACCAGAACGTTGTGAACGTTTTTGCAAATCCAATTCTTTTGCTTTCTGCTTCATTCGATCTTTCGCTTCACGTTCTTGACACTAAATCGATTAGAAAGAATGTTTGTTTTCTTACATGAGAAAAATGATGGTCAATCCAACGAACCAATCTCATTGCGTCATAAACACGTTCATCATGAGAATCCATATCCGTATATGTACGAATCTGTCCTAGATTCACACTTTCTTTGTAGCCTAGTGCAACAATTTCATCAAATGCCGATAATAATTCGAATGCATGTGCAAAGACTTCTTTTTCATCGACTGATTTGCAATATTCAGGAATCTTATAAATACAAGAAATAATCAAATTCCAAATCAAATGTAGTTGATCAACAATTACCACACGAGAAAAAAGTCTTAACGTTTCGAGATCTTCTAAAATATTACTGGCTTTAGTTGTCAATAAAACCATATAGAGTTTATCGAATGGTTGATAAACATATCGGACAGTATCGGTTTCGACGAACGTATGTTGTTTACCGGTACCAATTAGCTTAGGAAATGCAGCAAGTAAACCTTCGATACGTGATCGAGTCATTTCCACGAACTGCCGTGAGACAAGTGCTAGTTAAAATAAAATCAAGAACTGATTTGATTTATACATAGAATGTATTTACGTTTGCCTGTTTTGGTGCAGATCGATGCGGCTAGTAGAACCATGATGAATGATTAAATTAACGTGTGCCTTATTGTTTATTTTAGTAATTCAGTGTATCTGTTATTGATCGACTTCGGGCATTCGAGGAGTGACGAGCCAACCAAAAACGAGACACTTTCTATTCATTCACTCACTCAATCATTTATTCTTTTCATTGCTCTTCAGATTCAAACTCAATGTACTCTTGTTTAATGACAGATACAAAAGAATTAGCTCTAGTTCATATACCTGTGTGTTGATAGTACTTTCTGATTAATAGGTTTCGCTAGAAAATAATGTTATTTTGTAATTTATGATAGTACAATGCTATTAATACAAAAGTTTAACAGAGTTTTATGATGATGTTTTTGCTTCCATAGCCATAGCCTCCGATGATAATATCCGTGACATTATCTCGATTCATATCTGCTACAGATAATGCAAACGGTCGAGAATTAAAACCGATTGAAAAGAGAATTTGATTTGAAAAGTTTCCATTACCATATCCAAGGAAAGCGCCAACTGTATTACTTCCATAGTTGGCCACAGCAATGTCTAACATGGTGTCATTATTAAAATCTCCAATGCGTACGGTTGACGGTTGAGATTGAAGACCAGTTGAATAGATGCTTTGATTGAGAAACATACCATCACTTTTGCCGAGAAATATGCCGATATTATCGTTTCCAGTATTCGCAACAACAATATCGGAATAATTGTCTCGATTCAGATCAGCAATCGCAATCGAAGATGGATGAGAACCGTTTCCTGTCGAATAGATCTGTTCATTGACGAATATCCCATATGAGGATCCGAGAAGAATCATCAGGTTGTCAGCTCCAGAATTGGCAACAGCAACATCCAATTGAGTGTCATTGTTGAAATCTCCAATTACAGCGGACATTGGTTGAGAAGATATTCCAGTCGAATAAGCTGGTAAACTCACAAAACTGCTACCAGAATATCTCAAATGTATACCAAAATTATTACTTTTAGTGTTGCACACAGCCATATCCAGTTGACGATCGTCATTGAGATCAGCAAAGATAGCTGATACCGGGTATGTGTTATAACCTGTTGAATAAGTGAGTTGACTGAAAAACGTTCTATTGACGTAACCGAGGAAAATAGCAACTTCACTGCTTTGCGAATTCACAACTGTGATGTCATCGCGACCATCGTCATTAGCATCGACAATAACAACTGTTGACGATTGAGCATCCTTTCCAGTCGACATTGTCATTCGATCATCAAAAGAATTGTTAGCATGTCCAAACATCACAGTTACACTACTCAATGCACTATTGAGAACAACGATATCGGGCCATCCGTTCTGATCGAGATCACGAACATCAAGAGAAGATGGTAATGCACCTGGAAGAGTTGGTACAGTTTTTCGTCTAGAGAATGTGCCATCACACATGCCATACATTATTTCAATGACGTGAACTCCACGTTTGGTAGCAACAACATCTGAACAATTATCATTGTCAAGATCTGCAATGATGACACAATTTGGTCCGCCTTGATCACTGTTTGTAGACACTTTTGATACAGAAAATATACCATTACCAAGACCAAGAAAAACCGATATTTGTGCACCACGAAATTGACCAACAACGATATCTAGTTGAGAGTCATTATTTAAGTAGCCAGTAGAAATCGATTCTGGCCAAGTGTTAAATGAGGTGTCATAAACCATTGACACAGTGAAACTTCCATTTCCAAGTGATAATAAAATGTATACAATATGATTCGCATTATCAACGACGACAACGTCTGACATGTTGTCATCGTTGAAGTCACTGGTAGCAACAGAAACAGGAAGGAATGAGCTACTTGGGGTGTAGAAGATTTGATCAGAAAATGTTCCATTGCCTTTTCCAAAGAAGATGCCAAGATGTTCATTCCCATTGTTAGCAACTACGAGATCAAGTCGACTATCATTGTTAAAATCTCCAACAGCAAACCCATGTGGATCAGAGCCCGGACCAGTGGAATACAATGCTGGTTTTCCAAAATTTCCCGTATTAAACTGAATGAGTACTGCCACGTTGTCACTACCATAATTAGCAATCACAATATCTTGTTGATTATCTTTGTTGAAATCTCCACTACCGACTGAATATGGGTTAGAACCAGCAGGAAGCGAATGGCTGGTTTGTTCTTGTAAACTTCCATTGCCATAGCCATACAAAATACCGAAAGAATCAGTGCCTGAATTGACTACAACGATATCTCGATGATGGTCGTTATTGAAATCATTGACACTGAGAGAAATGGGAGATGAGATTGAACCAGTGGAATAATGACTTTGGAAAGGAAAATTTCCACGGCCATCACCTAAGAAAATTCCAACATTGTTGGTGATATAGTTAGCGACGACAAAGTCCATCTCATGATCTTCATTAAAATCATCAGCAACGATAAAACGGGGCCCCGGAGACGATCCAGTTGACAATGGCATTGCGCTCATAAAGTTGGCGTTTGCAAAATCTAGAAAAACACCTATATTACTATCATTTGAATTGACAACGATAACATCCAACAAAGTGTCATGATTCAAATCAGCGACAGCTGCTGATGTTGGACTCGTGATAGCACTAGTTGGATAGGTGATCAGATCAGCAAAGCTTCCATTGCCGTAGCTGGGATAAACAACGACAGCTTTCTGTAATTGCGAATCAAAAAGAATATCCACAATACTGTCATTATTGAAGTCGCCAACAAAAACAAACGATGGAGCTGAGTCAAGGCCCGTGGTGAAAGTTCTTTGTACCTGAAAAGACCCATTTCCGAAGCCAAAGAAAATGCCTATATTATGATTCCATAGGTTGGCTACAACAAGATCAACATGACCATCACTATCAAAATCGCCAGTAGCGATACCGGTTGTTATAGGATAGTACCCAGTAGAATATTGTGTCTCATTGAAGAAAGATCCACTGCCATCTCCAAAAAGTACGCCTATCGCGCCGTAAGCGTTTATGTAAGTTGAATACGTAACAGCAACATCGGGTCTTCCATCATGATTCAAATCAGCAACGGTGAATCTAGAGAGAGAACTAGAAGTTCCAGATCGAAATGCCGATGTGAAATTTCCTTTTCCTTCTCCTAAAAATGCATATATATAGTAGCTGTCAACAGTACCAATCACTATATCAAGGTAAGTGTCATTGTTCAAATCATAAATAACAATCTTGAGGGTGCCGATACCTAATTCAAAATTTAATGTACTTAAATATGAAAAGACACCATTACTGTTTCCACAATGAATTTCAATTTCTCGTATTGCAGAAGATTCATGATAAGAATAGTCATCATACGTAGTAGAGTCGGACACTTCATATTTATCGATTACGATATCATCAAATCCATCATTGTTAAAATCGCCTACAGCAACTATAATCGGTTGCATGTCATTGTCACTGAGATAAGTTCGCAAGTTTGAAAAAGTCCCATCACCGTTGCCCATAAAAATTCCAACAAAACTGTTAACTATGTCACCGACCACAATATCAGAATAACTGTCATTATTGAATTGACCAATACCTATTGAGTTTGGCTGGAATGCTGAGTCAGATGTGTAAGTCTTTTGTTTCGAGAAAGTAGCATTTGAATAAGCAAGAAGAACGACGATGTTGTTTGTAGCATAATTAGCTACAGCAATATCCAATCGTTGATCTTTATTGAAGTCTCCACCGATCACAGACGATGGTTTGGAGTTTACACCAGTCGAAAACATCACTTGATCCATGAATGTTCCATTTCCTAAACCTAGGAAAACACCAATATTGTTGGTACCACTATTGCAAACCACTATATCGACTCGATCATCATGATTGAAATCACCAAGAGTAACACCTGTTGGCTTCGAATTATCACCAGTTGAATACGTTCTCTCTTCGATGAATGTTCCATTTACACTTCCAAAATAAATACGAATGTTGTTTGAAGTTGAACTGATAACAACAACATCTAAAAAATTATCATGATTGAAATCTTTAACATTGATTTCATACGGATAAAATCCTAATCCTGTCGATGTCACTATTCGATTAGTGAATGATGCACTCACATCACCGAGGTACAATTCGATATTGTGAAGACCAGAATTAACAATAAGGATGTCAAGAAAATGATCATTGTTAAAGTCATCGACAATAACCGATGTGGGTAATGAATCGTAGGTGGATGACAGTTGAATTTGACTCTGAAACATAGCATTGTCAGATCCAAAAAGAATTCCAATAATGTTTGTTCCATTATTAACAACAACTATATCAACAAATGAATCGTTATTTAGATCACCAAGTGCTACTTTTAACGGACGAGATGATCCAACTGGATACGTTATCTGATCTCTGAATGTTCCGTTCGCATTGCCAAGGAGAATACCAATAGTATGAGAGGCATAATTAGATACAACGATATCTAAATATCCATCGTTATTCAGATCAGCGACTGCAATCGATGATGGATGAGAACCAACGCCAGTTGAAAAAGTTACTTGCTCAGCAAATGTTGCATTGGGTCTTCCAAAGAAGATTCCAATATTGTTCGTACCAGAGTTGACAACGGCAATATCCATCAAAGTGTCACTGTTAAAATCATATGTAAGAAGAAACTGTGGATGCGAATCTTGGCTCACAAATTTATCATTCACTGTGTTCATGATTGGTTCGCATGTTTTCTCTTTAAAAAATCAAGATATATTGAAAGCATTCAAGATTTAATAGTACTACTAGTTTCACTCGACGTTGTAAAACGAACAACTAGAATTCCAACGAGCATACTTATAATCGTGAAGAGAGCAAATGCACAAAAAAACTTGCAACTACGATATTTGAAGCTGAAGTGAAAAATTGTAATAAAGATGTGTCAAATGAATACAGATGACAAGCAAATATACCTAGTCTGATATGACCAATTATTACCACCAGTAGGGTAGTATATGTTCCGTGAAACTGGCGCTTTTCGTTTGGTCCGGACATAATTGTTTGAACTCGAAGAAAGGTGTCCAGGATGTGTTTTCTCAACTTTATCCTTCATAATCGTACCACCTCAGGCTTGGAGTGTCTGGTAAAAGATGAAAGATAAAAGTAGTTTTTTAAGAAAGCTGGCTAAAAAGTTAACTATATTTAGACACAGCTTATATTCGTCTTGTGTTGGATTGGTCTCGAAAGGAGAATTTTCAAGATTCGTATTGTACCAAACAAGTTGAGCGTCTTGAGAAAATAATGTCTACTTGATATTTATTCGTACTGTGTATCAAAGAGTGACGAAAAGCAGTAATAAAGGCCGAATTAAAATATCTGTTCACCTGCGTTGATTATTTTTCTTTCTCGTTCTTCTTGTTTTCGTCGTTTTCTTCTCGTCTTTCTCTCTTGTTGTGTTGTGATGATTTTTGATTTAATAAAGAAACTGAAGTCACATTCTCCTTGCGTCGCCAACACCAACAACCCGTAGATAGGAGATGTTCGAATGTCAACAAATGCAAGTGTGATTGACGTATATTTTTATTGGTAATGAAATGGGATGATCACTTATCATTACTTTCTTTTGTAAACCGTTATAATTTATTCATATATGTTCACGCAAGATTGCACTTGTAATCAATCTTTTATTATATACAATGTAATGGAACATTTTACCTGATGAAAACAAATGCGCCATATATTCTATCTAGTCAAATGTTATAGTAATAGAGCCAAATATTTTTTCGGTTTATAACCTTGATGAATATGTTTGCACTTTGACCTGTCAAAAATGGATAAGTGGAATATCCACTTCGACATGACTAGTAAACTACATTTTATGTGAATGATCAACACGTCCAGTCTCAAGTATCAGGTTCTTTTACGATAAAAATATTTGATAATAGATAGTTGTTTTGTAACAAAAACAGAATAAGACACTATTGATCAGCAATACAAATATATCAAGTTCAAATATACTTGAAAAGCAAACGTAAATTCGAATTACATTAGTTGCCGTACTTTCGCTTTTCAATAGTCATCTACTTCTAAGCTTATCGCATCTTGAACACAACAACTTTTTATTCGTGGTTATTTTCGAGATAACCGTTGCTCGACCGCGATGATATATTACATATAATTGATAATGTTTTTTTCTTACTCAAGAAAAAGAAATATGTTCATAGAAACCATCCAGTCGGTCATTTTGAATGCAACTGTTTTTCAGAAAGAAAGTGTTCCTCGATTTTATGCATTTTATTTTCTCGTTTAAAAAATTACACGGTAAAAGTTCGTATGTCGTAATGGATGATAAGAAAGGCAATTTTTCCTAATAATTACACTGATGTAATGTCAGAAATTGTAGAGCATGAAGACAGTCTATGGAAATATTCGATAAAATATAAGTCATTTGCATTTCTATGACAGTTGAAATAATTGAAATCAGATATATTTTTTTCTAGTGTAGGCCTATCATATCAAAGACACGAAGAAGCACAAAACACGAAAACAACCTCGTTTGTTTACTGATCGGTAAGCAATCAATGAGAACATATTCTTCCTTGATATACACGACTGATAAATTAGTCAAACAAATGCGTATGCAGAAAAGCAACTGATTACTTCATTTTTTTCTCCTATTTGATAATTTGTATATAATTTAAGTGCAGGTCAGTTTCATTGTATGAACTGAGATCGCAATAAAGGCATGATATTATTCCTGAAGTGAATCATTTTCATTTGAAAAATAAACGATCGATTACGAATATTTTCGATCGGTAGAAGACGAGTCATCATGAATAATTCTTCCTAATGAGAATACGCTGCTGAAGGAAGAAAAAAACACGCTTGTCACGTTTCCTCGGTCGATTGATCATTTGCATGGACTATTAAATTAGTGCTGAAGTTTGAAAACTAATATGTTATTTCTTGTTTAGTTCTGTTTTTATGTCATGAAAAATCCATTAGGACAAAAAATCTTTATTAATCGAAATTTCACTCTGAAATACGCGAAACTTGAGTAATAGATGCAACCAATTTCAAATTTAATTTCAGATCGTTCGTTTAGATCTATATTTTTTCTTTTTCTGTATATATACGTAAGTAACATTTGTTTAATTTTCAATCCGAGCCAAGTTTCATCGATATTTTGATACAATAGTAAGTAAACATCAATATCGTCAGAACTATGACTTATAAGCAAGCTCTTTCCATTGGAATCAATGATTACTCACCCAGTTATTTGAGATTACGGCCATGTCTGAATGATGCAACTGATATGCATCATGCTTTACAATCAATTGGATTTCATACCCAGTGCGAACGAGATCCAGATTTAAAATCAATGAAAGCCGTGACTCAACGCTTTGTTAGATCTATCCGGCCCGGTTCTGTTGTTCTGTTTTATTTTTCTGGTCATGGCGTTCAATCTGATGGGAATAACTATTTAATTCCAAAAGATGCAGTTGGTATATGTGCAGAAAATATCAGATCAACTGCTATCGATGCTCAAAAATTGATCAATGAAATGCATGGGCGACGTCCAAGATTGATTATCTGTGTACTAGATTGTTGCCGAACTGATCCACCAACAGAACCCTTAGATGCCAGAAGTCGTTACAAAGCGGCATTGGCTGGAACTCGAGGAGGCTTTGCACCGATGCAAGCTCCACCTTCGACCATTGTTGTTTATGCTTGTGCTGCAGATGATACTGCTTCGCCTCGCTCACGAAATGGTCGAAATAGTTTATACACTTATCATTTACTTCGTTATCTCCGTACGCCGAATACTGACATCGAAACTGTATTGAGATATGTTGCTGCTGCTGTTCAGAAAGATTCGGAAAATAAACAAATACCTTTTCGCTATAGTAGCTGTAATGAAATGATTTATCTCGTGACCAAACAGGGAGTCAATCCAAAAATGATATCTCATCCCATGCACAGAAAACCTCACGCTCGTAAGTGCTGTTCAAGCATATTTTTTCATTACAAGAAAATATTCTTTCTGTTAAGCATATCTCGACGCATCACAATACAGACATCGAAGAGCAATGTCTCTCTATCATGCTCAGCCACCAATGAATCATTATCAGTATCCATTGAATGGTTACTTTGGCGCACCGGTCTATCCGCAGTTTCACGGAAGATATAATGCGTCACCTATGCCAAGAGCTCCTTCACGCTACGATTCACCTTATGCGCATGATTTGCGATATTATTGATCTTGTGAAGAACGCAAAGCTATTTGAAATGACATTTCCTTTTAATAAAACGATCTATTCAAGAATGTGTTTTTCAAAAGGGATTCAGTTTTTCTGGAGTAATGTTTCGATATTTTTCTCGATGATTACATCATTTCTTGTTGTAATTGCACATTCTTTAAATAGACCGAAAGTTTTGTCTCACACGAGTCAATTCCACCGTCAACTAGCGACAATATTGCTCGTTGTTGATAGATGACGTTCTTTCAATGTTACCATACTTAACATACAGGTCTTGTTGTCAGTTGTTTGTTTGTGTTTGTTTATCTGTTGATATCTCTTGACATGAATTAGTTAATGATTAAACAAGAAATCATTAAATTAGATTCAATGGATTCCTTTCTCTTCAGCCTCTACCGGTTTCAATTTAGAAAAACAACGCATTCATACGTATCTTGCGTAATTTTGTCGTTATTTTCAAATAAATAATCCATTCTTTTCTCTTGACCTCATATCATATATTTTTTCTAGAAAAAAAAACAAAACTATTTCTTGATTACACGATGGGTATCTTGAAAAATTTCGAAGGCGACATACATGACAATGAAAATGTCAATTCAGTTGCACAAATTGATTCATTATTACAACCTCATCATTTTGAGTGAGTAACATATGCACAGTTCACACGAACTAATCATCCATTATTGAAATCAACTTTTCTAGCGGTTCATCATCATCATCGAGTGAAGATGAAGAAGTGCAAGAAAATCCAATCGCTCCAGCAACAGTTGCAGCAGCTGTTCCTGTAACAAGAACTCGAACACCCAAGGTCAAAAAACCAGTTTCGAAAATGCCTAAACCTATTTTACATGTGAAAAACATCGGCGGTAAAAAATCTCAAGGCAATCGACAAAGTCGCCGACATGAAAATAGTTGGTTACAAATCTCTGTTCTTCTTTCTATCAACTCTATTTTCATTATTCTAGTGTGCTTCTTATTGAACCTTGCTCGAGATTTGGATGAAGATTTTGCTGAAATAAGTATCAACGATCTTGTTGAAACGACCATCTCAGCATTTGCACAATTGTTATTGAATAAAAATAAGATGAAAGTAAGCGCTTTCGATTCGATCAACATGTTCGCTCTATATTCATGCTTTTTTTACACTTTGCAGTTCATTTGTTCCTTAACTAGAGGTCCTCTCTAAGCAAGGGTTTTATTCTTTACTAAACTTTTCATGAGAAAACACAGCAGTTCATTTTCATATGAACATTCGCCTCTGGAAAATCATATACGTCCATGCGAATAATGCTGTTCGTTTGAATTTTCTTCGAGATAATTGATAAACCTTTTCATTTATCAGTTAGTGTAAGTAGAACATACTTTGGTTTGGCTGATCGTATTAGAAAAATCACTTAATCAATCATTAGAAAGAAACGATATAGATGAAGTTGAATTCGAAAATCAAATCTCATCATTCCCTATTGATTAGGTGTGGCATGAATTTATTGAATTACCGGAACGGCAACAAGAACATATTGTGAAATTAGCAACTGATAAGAAGAGCAAGAAAAAGAAATCCAAGCTCGATACCACGTCGAATAGTTGCAGTAGCGATGACACTTTGGAATCATTCGTACTTGTTGAAAATCGTACGACGACTAACGATAATCAATGTGAACGTCTTGCACATCTACAAGGTAATATTCTTCATAAAAGATCTGATCTCAATATTGGTTTTCTTTGGTAGAAGAAGCAACTACATGCTATCGTCGTATTGATCCAAATATTCGTTCTACATTCAAGAGCATGTTGAAACGACATCATCTACCCTTCGTAACTATTCAAAGAAAGTTCTATCAAAAATGTGAAATGAACTATATTTCAGGATCGTATAAGTTGGTTTGAAGATGATGTCATTCCTTTTTTCAAGGAGAATGCCGATTCGGTTTATTTACGAGATTTAAACAATTCTTTCGATCGAATGTTGCTTCATGCTGTTTGTCAATATTTAAATTTGATTTCGAAAAGTATGAATCAACATTTATTTTATTCGATGACCTATTGGTTTTTTCGTTGAAAGGTTTCACACGTGATGGTGAACGATATACTCAAGTTGAAAACCGTCGTATCGAATTCGTTCCGCCGATCATTTTACTATCTGAATATGTTAAAACCATGCAAATGAATCCAACTGGACTTGTCAATGATATACTTTCTAATCATGTTAATAAAACAGTATCTTAACTATTCAATCACGCACATAATCAAACACTATACCTTTTCATTGTTCATTTTCTCTATGTAACAGTTATACGAAATACTCGCCAATATAAAAGGAGACATTTATTCTTCCAATTTTTCATCCTAAGTCATGAGTAGTTACAAATCCCAAAAGCCATCTTTGTAAAGTTTTGTGTACATTTCGAATATATTATTCTGGCGTTGGTTTATTTCTATCTCTATCTATTCTTACTCTTATATATGTATTAGATAGATTCTTCCTTTCTAATCCTGGTGTTCGTGTAAACAGAAAACAATGAAGAGATTCTACTGAAACATTTTGAGAGTTAGTTTTGATCGTGATTTTCGTCGTTTTTTAGATGAACGCACCGGCAACATTCGAATCGTTTTTATTATTAGATGGAGAACGAAAGATCATCGTTGAAAAAGATTCGAAGGTACCCAATGCTGTCGTTTTCACAATCAGTAAAGAAGATCATACCTTAGCCAATATGCTTCGTGCGCAATTATTAAAAGATCCTAAAGTTATCTTTGCTGGTTATAAAATTCCTCATCCACTGGAAAATAAAGTCATTCTACGTGTTCAAACAGCTTCACATGAATATTCCGCAGTGAATGCGATGGAAAATGCAATTAAAGATCTGATTTTTGAAATGGATATGCTTGAAGATCGAGTGAAATCTGCAATTGCCAATCGTCAGAGCGCGGAATAATCCTTTATTTCCTTTCTTTGTTGTATTTTGTACTTGGACACAAATAAAATCTTGTTTCTATAACTGTTTATTTCAGATACAGTAGTAATAAGTGTACTTTTTTCGTCCTATTTCAATTGATCGATATTATGTTCGATCAATTAATCTAAGTAAGTAATTCGTTCCTGTTGACATTGAGTAAAATAACAAAAGAAGAACTTTTGCGTTTTAGAATATCAATGAACCATTCGAGTTGTGAGCAATATTGTGTAAGAATTCATTTACTTGTCTTCTCCTTCTTCTTCTATTCAAATATTTGTTCTAGACATTTGATAATAATTTACTTTTATTTGAAAATGCCACATCAGCACGAACAAGTGTAACGACGACGTCGAATTATGCACGAAATCTACTAATGAAGCTTTCAGCAATGCGTGATAATGTCGATTCATGTGATTTTCGTATTGATGTTAATGGAAAACAATTTCGATGTCATAAATTCATCTTAATAGCAACATCCGACTATTTCAAAGCCATGTTTAATGGTTCGCTTCATTGTTTTCTCATGTATAAACGATAACTTTCGGTATTTTGTTGCAGGCGATATGAGTGAAAGTCATGCGGATTATGTCGAACTGAAAGGTTTCGAAAATTCGTCGATCGGTATCGAATCTATGATTGATTTTTGTTATTCTGGTTTACTTCATATCACTTTTGATAATATTGATCAATTATTACATGCTGCAACACATTTACAAATCCCTAATGCAATTGATCTCTGCTCAAAATTTCTGATTAATTCATGTTTGATAACCAATTGTATAGACATATATAAAATAGCAGATTTATATTCGTTGACCAATGTCTTCAAATACGTTCGAATGTTTATATCGAAGAATTTTCTTTCATTAATGTTTCAAGCGCGTGAACAATTCGAAGAATTAACCTTCAAGCAAGTATGTGAAGAATTGTCGCGTGATACGATCGAAATGCAAACGTACAGTGAATATGATTTGTTTACAATGATTTGTGCGTGGATTGAAGCCAAACGTACAGAGAGAGAACGATATGCTATCGAATTATTTCGATTAATTCGATTTATGCTAATGACACCCGAAGAACTATGTGATCGCGTTCGACAACATGAGATGATCAAATTGAATGAAGAATCGAGAAGATTAGTTGAAAATGCACTCTGTTATTATGCATTACCAAAACGACAACCTCTGTTAAACGATGTACAATGCCAGATAAGAAACGAATCGGTCTTGGTGGCTGTTGGTGAAGTTGAATTATTTACATTGAATACAGCATCCAACAGTTGGGATCCACTTTGTCATGCTCCATTAGAAGAAAACTATCCAGTATGTAGAACTGCATCTGACTAAAACCACTTCCATTTTTTCGTACTTATGAAATGGTGAATTCGACAATGATGCCATGAACCTATGTATGCATTACATTGTATCTCCTAGTAGAAAAGTCCTATAAATCATTCATAGACTTTTTTGTGATTGTCCAGAACTTCATCTAGTGAAATCTCATGAGAATTCGTCGGTAATCTACGGAACACGATGATCTCATCGTGATAATTGTGCTTGATAGACAGATGTTTTGTAACTATTTAGCATTCCAAACATGGCTTTTTTTTTTCGTTTTAGTATCCATTTAGTGCAATAGCTGTAAATAATTATTTATACGTACTTGGAACACGACGCTCCTCGTCTGAAGAATATAAATCATGCTATCGGTTTTCAGCACGTACATGTGAATGGATGAAATTAGAAAATCTTCTCCACGATCGATCGCGTTTCGCTGCAGCTCATGTTGATAAATATATCTATATGTAACGTAGAAATGAATGTAAAAAGAATGAGTTCTTTTCGTGTTTATTTCAGTATGGGCGGATTTGAAGGTTTCAAACGCACAACACGCATTTATGTCAACACAATCGAACGATATTCTATCGAGAATGATCAATGGGAACTATTTTCGAATGACAGTCCTCAACTCTCCTCGCTTGCCGCATGTACATATGAAAATTTTATATACTTAGGTGGTGGAAAAAATGGACAATGGTATGTGAAACATATTTATCGAACTGAAAAGGAAAGAAAAGAATATATTTTTGCTCGTTCTAGGTCAAAAATTGCTGATTTTTATTGTTTTTCAATCGACAAATGTCAAATAGAGCGACGTGCATCAATGCTCAATGCTCGCACAACTCATGCATTTCATGTATTCGATAACAAAATTCTTGGTAAACAGAATCTCGACTTCCCATTCCGCATTCACTCAAATTCTCCTCATTTAGCTATCGGCGGTTTCGATGATGATGGCAACGGTATGCTATCAATTGAAAGCTATGATATCCAAAGCGACCAATGGACAATCTTAACGTCTATACCTGGTGCTATATCGAAAACATGGCCACAATCACTTGGTACTGTCAGTCGTCGGATATATATCTCCGTCTTTCACACGTCAAACTCGTTCATGGTCATGCAAGAAGGTTACTTTTTCGATTTGGAGACTCAACAATGGATCAAAGCACCTGTTGTACATGAACGTGCTCGCTATTGTCCAACGGTGCAACTTCGATTTCCAAGAAGAGTTCTTTCAGCACCGACTATCACATCAGCGATGTCAGCATTGAATAATTCGTGATTCCGATCCATTGCTTTTTTTTTACGTATACAATTCAGATTTTTTTTAAAGAATTCATTTTTCACGTTGCTTTTCCGAGGAGAGGAGAGAAGATTTTCGATTTTCTAGATGATACTTTTTTCTAATTATATCAAAAGAAGAAATCTTTAATGACATCTTCAATATCATTGCATATTCATCCTTGTCTATCAACTTTTATTACTTCTGTCAAATGGTCATTAATCAGATAATGTAAAAGTTCTCTAGTAATTTGCTTTGTAAACAAACCTAGACATGTTGTCTTTCTATTTTTCTTATTAGATGATGGATAATCATTCGTCTTCGTCATCACCGACCTCGTGTTTTCTTTTCGAAAATACCAATGGTTCGATTTATCCGAGTGATTTAGTTTTAACATTGATGGAAGATGGTTCATCGCCATCATCATTAAACTCATCGACGAATACAAATGGAAGTTTGTCTCCTTCATCATCCCATCAATCACTTAGCATATTATCATCTAATCAGATGTCCTTTCCCTGTTGTGTATTTCGTTGTCGACCTAATTCACATCCGTTCCAAGAACGTTGCATTCCATTAAATGAAGCAGTTAAAATTGGTCGAGCTGTCGCTCGTTTGAAAGCTCTTCCAAACAACGCGATCTTTGATTGCAAAGTTCTCTCGCGTCAACACGCCAAACTGTGGTATGAAAACGGCAAAGTATGTCGTCGAAGCTTTTTCCTGTACCGAAGGAAATCATTTTTGCTTTTGTAGTTTTTGTTACAAGATACAAAAAGTTCGAATGGTACATTTGTCAATAATCAACGATTGGGTAAATGTAATGAAGAAAGTTTACCATTTGAAATCTTCTCTGGTGATATTGTTCAATTTGGTGTTGATGTTACTGAAAATAATCGTAAAAGTAAGATGCCGCATTTAGTTTTTTCTTTGATCAACCAGCTTTATTTATTTTAGCTACTCATAATTGTATTATTACTGAAGTCAAACTTTATCATAGTGACGGAAACGAAGCTCTACCTCGAAAGTAATGAATTAAGCCTGACTTCATATTTTACTGAGATTTTATTTTGCACTTCTCTAGTCCTACTGATCGATCGTTTGGTCAAGTTAAAGAAGTTGATATCAATACTCAAAGCTTATATCAATTAGCTCAATATCTTCAAGTAAACTTTCGAGTTTCTTTTGAAAGATCGATGGGTAACCGGTCTCTCTCTCTCTCGTTTAGGAAGCTATGCATCGTGAGCAGATGCTCGAACAAAAACTAGAATATCTGCAGGGAGTTATTCGTGATACGCAACAAGCATCAAACGAAGGTTGGCAAGCCATTATCGATGAAGATCGTCTACTAGCACGTATCAGTTCACTGGAAGATCAAATTCGTATCTATCATACTAAAGTACGAAGCATTTGTATTGTTTTTCTTTAACACGTAAACGCTAATATTCATTTCATTTGTTAAGCATCCGAATGAAGATGCTCCAACACAAGAGATAGTCCAATTAAAACAATCACACACTAGATTTGAGAAAGAATTAAAAGTAAGAATATGACTGTGAAATGCTTTGTTGATCTCTAATGAGGTTTTCTCTTGCAGGAAAAACTCGAGAAAGCAATACTGGAGAGAGCAGATGCGATTAGTCGTAGTAAATCTTTAGAATGCTCATTGCAAATGGCTCAAAATGAACTGAAACGATTTGTAGAACAATCCGAACAACATAAACAGGAAATTCAACAACTTGTCGAATCTCTCGATGAACAACGTTCTCGACTCGCTGACTTCGAACTCAAACATAGAGTACAGAATTGATTCATTCTTGTTAGAACACAGATTGATTTGATTCTTCAGGATTCACAAACTCGATGTGCTGATCTGGAAAATGAACGACAACGGATACAGATCGAATTCGAAACTTATTACCAGAGAATGCATCAACTGGAAGAATTACAAGCGCAACAGCAACAACAACAACAAAAAGCTCTGCTGAATAACAATGCCGAAGAAATTCATCAGGTAATCTTGAGATTGTCGAAATATCCTTTCCTAACGTGAGAATAAACTATTTTAGAACGGTGTGAATAGTATTGAAACACACGGTCGATTTCAAGTACAATCCACATCGAAAGGTGTGTTACCATCGAAAAATCTCTCATTCGAAATCGAAAATTTATAATTGCTTTCTAGAACTTATTGTAAATAACGAACATTCAAATAATCTTGATGAAAATTCAAATCCGATTGATGATAACGGATCAGAAAAACCAAATCGATCTTCGAGTTCACCTGAAGAACAAGAAACTAATCATCAACGTCAAACAATCATTCCAACAGTTCATACCGATGCAATTTCAAATCATAATCACAAAGAAGAAGAAGTTGAACAAGAAAACAGTCAGTATTCGAAGAGATTTATAATTGACCTAACTCTCATTCTCTATTTTAGATCAATCAAACGTTGATAATGTTATTAACACAGATGAACAAGAACTAGCGACTCCTTCTTCTTCTTCTACGATTCCTCTCCTTAGTGAAGTATCACCAGTAAAAGATACAAACACTGAAAGTAAGTCAATTAACACTAAACACAACAAGAAATTTGAACGTTTATCTAGATGATTTGAAACTAATCGAAGCTCAAAATCAATTAGAATTACTTCGTGAAAACTTAAATGCAACTAAAGGTAACGTCGGGAGAAGTAAACAAGATTCAAGAGAGAAGATTTCTTGTTTTAGAGCGGCTAGCTTCTATGGAAGATGCACAACGAAGTGAAGAAGAACGTTATCGTTCTTTAACATCTGAGTACGATTCAATACGTGATGAACTTGTTCAATTAAAACAGCGCTCGACGAAACAAACGAATGATAATGATCAATTAATTGAACAGCAACAACTCGAACTCAAGCAATTATCAAAATCGATTGTCTCGAAACAGAGTGAACATAATCAATTACTTAGTGTTTATCTCTGTTTTTTTCTTTCATGTTATTTGCTCATTTTCTTTCTTTTCTTTTGTCTTTTATCATGGTGAGACTTTCTTTTTCGGGAAACCAATACTGAACTCTCTTTTTCTTCTTCTTCTTTGTCCTTTATGTGCTAAACCAACACACAAAACACGAATAGAGAAATGTATATGTCTGTCAGCGTCTGCCTTGTACAAATAGAACTGCAGTTTATCACGTTTTCTCATCTCTTTGCTCTTCTTTATTCGTTTCTTACAAAATTAACTTCGTTCTCTTTTCTTTTCTGTCACACATTTTTTGATTGAAGTAGTCGAAACATTGTTGATCATGCAATTTTTTGTAGCTGCTTTAAAACCGATATGAAGAAAATAATGCACGGTTTGTTGTCTTTCAGACAAAATCAAGAAAGATCTATATGAAATATTTCGAAACGAATGTGTATTTCTATCATTTAGAAAGATACATGTTTTTCAAACTTTCATATCGATTCACAACGGATCAAGTTTGTATAGTTCCCAAAGATCATCCAGTAAATCATTCATGGTCACTAAATCGATATTCATAGTTAATAGCCGCATAACAACAATTCCATCACATTGGAGATAACGTTCACTGAAACCTTTCGTAATCGATTGGTATTCATAAATTTCAATCATGTCGTTTTCTTCATTTTCATTCAAGGAAAATTTCGACAACGTTCGACGAACGCGACGGCGTGTCTCGAACATGTTGTCCGGAAATACGAGGAACAACATCCATTGTACAAACAGATTGTAAACGGCGCAAAAGAGTAATAATAGCAGCCATAGATAAGCGAAAATGAAGATTTTCTCATTGAAAACGTTGATTGGTAGAACGCATTGAACCGTATGTCGGTGTTTATTTTTGCCAAGAAAACGAACAATGAAGTCACATAGAACATTGGTTGGAAATTGCAATGACGCGTGACGTACGGTGTTACTGTATATAAGAAAACGTCGAAGCAAATCTTTGATATCAAAATCGAATTTCATGAAATAATGCAGACTGAATAATTGAACGATAATGTTGATTAAATAGATGAATTTGATGAACATATAAAATATAGTTAATTTGGCCGTTTTGGCTTTTGGACGTTTACGAAAATATTGGTCAAGACGAATAGCAACATTGCGTATCATTTGTCGGCGATAAATGAATGGTTCAGCTAGTGATCGACGACTCATATGAAGTTGATCTAAATGTTTCTGTAAAGACATTCCAAGACGTGCTGACCCACTTCGCCAGCAAAACCCTGGGAAGAAGAATCCGAACGTTTGTAACATTAGTATAAATGGAACGTATTGATAAAAGCGTATCGTTTGCGAACCTTGTCTTGTTTCTGTATGATCGATTTCTGGTATTTCAGCGTCAATCGAAACGAAATATGTATCCGAGATCCAACAGACAAAATCAGCATAGATTATATGAGCATCAGTAAATGAAGCTGGAGTAAAACATGATATTGGTTTTCCAACAAACTGAACTGAAGAAACGATTAAAACGAATATGGAAAAGATAAATACAGAATAATGTCGAGACAATCGATCAACAAAATCATCATCGTATCGACCAAAGCCACTGTAATAACGCAGAATGGCATAAATGTCAAATCTAATTTACAAACAGATCGAATTACAAACTATCACTGACCAAAATCAAAGTTCTTTACCTCGGATAGGGTCGTTTAAAATAGCCTGACATCATTTCTGTTGGCAATTGACTTGCTCGACTGCTAGTTATGTGCTTGCATGCTCAATTATTCAGCACATACTCTTCTCTCTCTCTCTCCTATCTATTTTCAAAGCACTCTAGAGATTTCACAAGTATATGTCTTTCTCTCGTTTTTCTTTCCTTCTCTCCTTTTCACATGCGTTCATTCAGCGAGAGATGGATTCAAATCTAAGTTTTCATACATCTATTCACTTGAGAACAATTAAATGAACCGGCTTCTTGTTCTCTCTTCCACTTCATTATGATGAATTGTTCTATCGTCATAAATGTCTTTGTTTAGTTTATTCTTTTGCTGCTGTTCAAGTAATGATGTAGAAAAGAAACTTGTCGTCGCAAGCAATCTCTGTCTTGTCTCGTGTCATCTAACAGCACTTCGACCGATCCTACACATCCAGATCGATGTATGTCAGGGGAATTTCAATGAAATAAATCTTTGATAATAAATAGACTGTCTATGAAACATTCATTTTTACAGTTATTTAACTCTTCTCTTCGCTCCTTCGCTTTTTTAAGGAAGTAATTATTTGAATTATTAAATAAGAAATTTGAGTTGACATTGTAATGTAAAATAATTTCATGCCCTTTTTAGCTTCAATCTAATACAAAAAAAGTGTTTTCGAGTAGACATGCTAATTCTTTCTCGTTGAAATTAGAATAATTGATCATAAGTAGAAGAGATGTTCTGCTCATCGACACTAACTTATTTCCAATGCAATAGTTCCATTCTTCCATGTGATAGATGTCTTCGTTTGAACCTGATATATTTCATTAATAATTTTAATCAAGAAAAGAACACATTCATCGAGAAGAACATCCAATTCTCGGGAGAATCTTTCAATAAAACAAACACACATACGCATATACTACACAATCTTTTATTCAACACGCTAGTGATTCAATTTTGACACCTAGAATTCAACAGAGTTAAAGATACAATTTGAAGCTAACTGACTTACCACGTATCATTTCTTCTATGCAAATACTTTGACTTATTACTAGGAGAGTCACGTATCAACCTTGTATTCGTTTCTTTCTCATTTGTGCATCATTATCATGTGTAACAGGTCTTTGTAAAAAAAAACAGCAAGGCATTCTTTAGAGTAATCATGGCTTCATCGTTTGCAAAAGTATTTGAACAAGTTGGCCAATTGCATAAAACTGACGATGATCTGACTGATAGACTCAATCATCGGTACACAGTTGTACTTTTGGTCATATCCATTACATTTATTAGTGCTAAACAATTTGTTGGGTAGGAAAGAACAACAATAGAGCAATGTATTATAAATTTATATCGTTTTCTTTTCATTCGATAGAAATCCGATTTCTTGTTGGACTCCAGCACACTACTCCGGACCACAAATTAGTTATACAAATAGTATATGTTGGTTGAAAGGCACATACTATTTAGAAGCCGATCGACCAATCATTCCTCAACATACACATAACCCAGAATTTCACGTAGCCTATTATCAATTTATTCCCTATATGTTGATTGTTCTGGCTGTTCTATTCTACGCACCGCATATGCTTTGGTAAATGAATTGAGTTTTGAAAGTAAAAGCACAACAACGAACGTTTTTAGGCGAAATGCAGGTCGATCAATAGGTTTTGATCTTCGTTTACTGATTCAAATCAGCAAACGAAACTCCGAAGCAGATATTAAAAAAGCAGCATCACAGATTCATACATCGTTGAAGTATAATTGCTCAAAACATACTTTCCGCCAGCATAGATTGAATCCACATCTTGAAAATTTAGTTCAATGTTCATTTTTACGTCGTAAGAACGAAACGGATTGATTCTTCGAAATTCTGCTATCTATTTTTAGAAAATTCTCTTTGTACCTTATATCTGTTTGTGAAATTACTTTATATGTTAAATTGCATCTATCAATTCAGTTTGTTAACGCAGTTTTTGCAGTTTTCTTTTCTTAATTTTGGTTATGAATGGTTAGTCAAAATCACGACGATTATTCACAGAAAAGCCAATATCGAACCGAATGATTCAAAATGGTTTCCACGCGTTGTCATGTGCGATTTTATGATACGGCAACTTGGCTCGAATCAACATCGAATGTAAAATCCATTTTCGAACGCTGATTTCTCAAGTGAAACTCTCTATTCTAGGGTAGTGCAATGCAATCTGCCAATAAATTTATTCAATGAGCTCATTTTTATGATTCTATGGGCATGGCTTATATTTCTAACTGGTCTAACATGTCTATCGTTCATATTATCGTCTATGATAGTTTATAGTCGTTTCGGTTCCCAATTTCTTCATAAATATTTAAATAAGGATAACTTGAAAGTAGAAAAACACGAACGAAACAGATTCATCAACGAGTACTTGGGACGAGATGGTGCACTCGTTCTTCGAATAATTGCTCAGAATACAAGTGATGTTCTTATGAACACTCTCGTTTCCACTCTGTTCAAAATCTATTCCGAATCATGTGAACAAAATGACAACGATGATGACGATCACGGACGAATTTCAACAAATGGACTATACAGTAGTGTGGACAATTAAAGACAGAAGGATATCTCCAATGGGATTGTTAAGACATCTGTTTTTCATTAATAAAGTTGAACCAATCGACTTGTTTTTACCTATTCGAAAGAGAAATTCAAATTCTCAGCAAAAGGCAGAAGCAAATAATGATTTGACTTAATAGTGTTCGTATGTTATGTTACTATATTTAGTAATAGTACATGTCGTAATGTCATTAGCATAAAAATACCTTTTGCATATGTATATATCTCTGATAACTTCCTTTCAGTTCAATTCGCCTGCATATGCACTTGTACATTCTTTGAAGAAATATTATTTTTACTTGAAAGACAATCATAATGACACAACATAAGCCAATGGAATGACTGGTCCGATAGAATTCTGGCATTTATTCAAACATTTCATCTCGCCTGACTTTCATCTAGTTCGATCAACTTTTTCTGCTAATAAAAACTTTGTTGGAAGGCTTCTTCACATCTTCGATGAAATTTTTCTCTTCTCTCTCTCTCTCTCTCACTCACACGCATTTATTTTTCTTTTCAAAAGTTTACACTACGAAATAACCGTGATCCAAGTGAATGACATTATTGATGTTCTATATCACAGACACGATCAATCCAATCCATTAACGAGTAGAAACGAGTCCAAAGAAAAGTAAATCAATCGAGCATCCTTTCGTATATTAAGTCCTTCCCTTCATTCGCATGTGACGGAAAGAACACTAGTATTTGTGAAAGTATTGAGTTTACTTTGATTAGTATTTTGTGCGGCTTCGAATAGCACTTTTAAACAACATCAATAAGTAACCGCAATTTTCGATAAAAATGAATTGAATTTTTCTCGACACTCGAATTATTTTTATTGAAAAATCGAGCAACTGATGGCATTGGGAACTGAAAGGGAAAAAGCGCATCGAGACATCCATTGCAAAACGACGTGTCACTTCTAGACGCACTCAACTTCAAATCCAATATTTTTTTTCTTCGTTTTTCTTTCGATTTTTTTCATCGTTACTACTTTCATAACAAACATACCTCACACTTCATTTAACAGTGTTGCTACAAAGCGGACATATATAATAGCTGCAAGAGACGTTGAAGAAAGAAGAAGTAGATGTGTCATTGACAAGCAGAAAAGAAACCAACAAGTAGATGAGAGGAACCGCACAAAATCTCAAGTTTTGTATACTTTGTTCTTTATATGCTGATGGACAAACGAAAGCAAAAGAACACGGCCAAAGGAGAGAGAGAGAGAGAAGGGAGAACGAGTGGCAGAGAAATACACACAAAAAAATGTTAAAAAAAACCAGCGTCATGACGATGGAAATAAAATGAAATAATAAAAACTACTTCGAGTCACATAAACATCCATAGTCGGACGAAGTTCGTTGAATATATACTGCAATTGAAAGGTGTTTTCCGCGATGGACAAGCTCCTCATTTCCGAAGAACGTTATGGACGAAAAGCGAATCACTTCGAAGACGATGATTTCGTCGATCGTCTCAACAGTCGATATACCGTCATGGTATTGATGCTGTGCATTTTTCTCATTACAGGGAAGACTTACGTTGGCGATCCGATTAACTGTTGGACACCTGGTAATTTAGTACAAGGTTTTCAAATTATTAATTCTATATTGAATTTATAGCACAATTTACCGGTACACACAATGCGTATACAAATAGTATTTGTTGGTTGAAAGGATCGTATTATCTACCGACAGAAGAAAGTAGGCTTTGTTTGTATGATTTTAGTTCGATTAAGGAGAATCTTACGATATAGTAGATGTTGAGAAAAGCTTTTGATATGAATAAATTTTGAAGGGTCTTTTGCAATCTAAACAAATATACATACTTGAAGATGAAACAATCTTTTGCATCATCATTCAAATCGATTCTCGATAAATTTTAGTCACCATTCCTGATCGATCGAAACCAAGAGTTTACTATGTGTAAGTCATATTTTACTCGGAAAAGTATATTGGTAGATTTATTACACATCTCTAGATCGTACTATCAATGGACTCCGTTTATTCTTCTCGGTATGGGTATGCTCTTTCTCATACCTAAGTTCGTCTGGCATACTTTTACTCGACAAGCTGGTATTAACATTCGTCGACTCGTTCAGACGATTAAAGATAAACCAAATGATGATAAAGGAGTTGATTTTGTTAAACGATCACTCAAATCCTATCTCGATCGATTGAACAACTTACACGGAACGAATTGTTGCGGTGCTCGTTGTAATAACTTTTATCTGGGTTATACAATTACATATTTCATTGTCAAATTGCTCTATGTGATCAATACACTCGCACAATTCTTCCTACTCAATGCATTTCTTTCATTTCATTTTACTGGCTATGGTGTCGAATCATTAAACAAGTTATTCAGCGGCGAAGATTGGTTTGAATCACCTCGGTTTCCCCGTGTGACAATGTGCGATTTCATGATTCGGCATTTAGGATCAAATCAACATTGGTATGCAATTCAATGTAATTTACCCATCAATATGTACAATGAAAAGATTTTTCTTGGTATCTGGATTTGGCTATTAGTATTGACAGCTTTAAATATCGCTTCAATGATATCTTGGATTATCTCATTGAGTGGGAGTCGTCGATTGTCTACAACAAAAAAATATTTGCATGTTAGTAGAGTGACTTCACCCGAGAACGAGTCCTTATTATCCACGACAGTGAAAAGCCGACGAGCAGACGATTTGGATTTTACTGAATATATGCATTTAGATGGATTTCTTATCTTCAAAATAATTGCTCACAATACGGACGAAGTAGCAGCTGGACAAATCATCGAACATTTATATCGAAATTTTGAACCACTTAATAGAAATCATGTGAGCAATGTTTGATACCATTCCTCTTCTTTTTCCTCTCGTTTCTTTCCCCTGTATGTCCCGACATTTTTGTATTTGACTGTAGAATTTCTAGTAAAATTGCACTTATATCTACACTTTATGTAGCTCAGATCCCTCGTAGGACAATTTTACTTTGTTTTCAATAATCTGAACAAAACGTCTCATTCTGTTGACAAAGAAATCATTTATGATCACAGTCTTTTTTGACACTCTCAATGTGAATTGCAGTGAAAGTGATGAAATATGATTTAAGATCGAATCATTGATATGCACGAAAAATAAGAATAATGTGACAACATCGATTTCAAACGAAATGTGACGATCGACTACTTGAGACGTTCTGAAAGACATTACTCTTTATGAATTTACTGTATTACAAGTTCAATGTCAAACAAAATGTGTAATGTGTCTCCTACGGATTTTCGAATCGAGTGTTACGTAAGAAAAGAACATAATCAATAGAAAACACTTGAAAGTCGAACGAATATTTCATTTTTCACGTTAAGATATTCGATAAACCGCAGTGGAATATGTTCAAGCAGAAACAAAGATTTTATTGGAAAACTAATTAAACTTTTATCCAAAAAACCGGCTTATCATAAAAAATAACATTTCTTTTCCTCTTATTCAACCAGACAACAAAGATTTAAAATTATGCACAAGACATTGAAAATAAACAAACAAAAACGATTTCTTTTTTGTTCTATTTACTTAAGTTTTATACGATGTCACACTCTTTCCTTCCTCAACTGTTGGATTATCTTGCACAGTAAGTAAGGCTTCTTGAACATCATCTTCTTGGATTTTAACATTCTCATTTCCATCCGGAAAAAGATCAATTGAAAGTGGCAACTGTTTTATTGATGTTACCGGCACTTTCTTCTCGTAACACGCAGGATCATGTAACGGTTCATCTGTCGATTGCACCAGACTTGAACGACATTTGGCTGTACTTGTTCGTCGTCCTTGGGTATCTCCAGTCGACAACCTTGAATTGGCTAAACCTTGTGATTGAATGGAAACGATCGAACCATTCTTCTTAGCACGATCAATAGCTTCTTTGCGTTTCATAGCTTTTTCACGACGTAATTGTTCCTTATAGTATTCCGCGAAATTATTAACTATAATTGGAATCGGTAGGGCAATAACAAGTACACCACATACACAACAAACAGAACCAATTAATTTACCCCACATCGATTTCGGATAGATATCACCATAACCAACGGTTGTCATTGTCTTTCGGAAAAGAAGAAAAAAGCTCAAAATGAAACAATGAGACTTTGACTTACAATACTCGCCCACCAAAAAGCATGTGGTATCGAACGAAATTGAATCGCATTACCATCTTTCTCAGCAAAATAAGCTAAACTTGAAAATAATAAAATAAATATGGCCAGAAACATCAATAGCATCGATAATTCTTTATAACTTCGTCTCAAGGTATAACCTAATGACTGAAGACCTGTTGAATGTCGTGCTAGTTTGAGTATACGCATAATTCGTAGCACACGAAACACTTGTACAGCTTTTCGAACCGATTTTAAATTTTTCAGATTCCCTGTATCTAATGTTTCAAGAATAATCGATACATAAAAGGGAACGATGGCAATTAAATCAATAGTATTCAGGACACCTTTGAAAAATTTACATTTATTAGGTGTAGCATAGACGCGTATTAGATATTCCATGGTAAACCATGATATACACAATGCTTCAATAATGAAAAGTGGTAATGGTTCACGGCAATCACTTTCAGTTTCATGATGTTCTGCTGTTAATTCTCGCGCTGCAGCTTGGGCAGCTATTCGAACAGCATCGACATCAGCAACTCCTGCCGCTTGTTCCATGGAAACATCTGCTTCGGTAATGTTTGGAGCACAGCCAATACCTAAAAAGAATAATGTTTGTTTTTAATAGTATGTCTTTCACTCGGAACATTTAGTTTCTTGTCATACCCTCGATTGTACTTATTGTCAGAGTGAATGATGATAAAAGAATAAAGGCAATGCTGACAAATGCAATAACCTAAATTTAGTTAGAAGATAAGTTTTCTATAGAAATCAACGAAGAGAAGACGATGACATACTCGTGCTGCTTTCGATGTATGTGGATGTTCAACGAGATCCCAAATCCTTCGTCGAGTGTTCGGACAACAATGTTCACCGAATGTTTCTCCTTTTTCAACTTTCAACAATTCGACCTCTTTCTTCATTTCTTCAAGCACGTGTTCCTTTTTCTGATGATACTTATTTTGACAACATAATTCTAAATAATACTCATCGATGCCCCAGTAAACTAGGTCGTCGTGAAATGATATAACGCAAATATCATCGACTAGATGGAGTTTGCCTGTTCGATAGAAATTAATAACGGATGTAAATGAGCGAGGATGACGATCGAAGAAAAACTCTCCATTCGAGAGGTCATAGTCATCACATAAACGCATTATTTCATCATGTGACATCGGACGTGTTGACAGATTCGTTGATTTACGTAATCGGGCTAAACGGCCGAGACGAGTACTCGGCAAACGAGCAAGCGTACGCCATAGTACTAAACAAGAATAGAGCGATTTAGATTAGGCAAACTGATAGAAGTATTCGTCTTACTTTCGTGTCGAACGCCACCGACATTTAAAATCGCTTTGTTACCAGACATAAGATTCGGAGCGATACTTGCCGAGCATTCAGTGGGTGTACGATGCGAACGCGCGCTACCTCGAGGTGTATCTATAGATGGTGTGATAGATTTAGTTGCTTGTTCTTCACTTGTTGTTTCATCATCTTCGATTAGAGCAGCTGCGGCAACTGGATTTGCAACTGGCAGAAAAGAACTACTTAATCGAGTGCTTCCCATTGATGGTATCTTGGGAGTATGCGAGATATCATTTGTATTTGTTGAATGTATATTTGTCATTAGGGCATCACGAATCGATGACGTTATACTGGTCGGAAAGCGAAAGCGACTTTCTTTTTTACTTGGATGTCGCGCAACTGGACAAGAAACACGTCGACCACTCGCAGCTGATGATTTCACAGAGGGTATTTTCGAAGGTGTAGGTGATAAATGATGAACTGTTGGACGAGAGGGTGAAGGGAGAGACGGAGAATAGAACCAATCTTGATCTGGTAGTTGAGAACAACGATTTTGGCTAGTAGATAAGAAACGATTATCTTGTGGACCATTGCTATTATGCGTAACATTGTACGATGTTGAGACAGCACGAGGTCGATTGTCAGTGCATTTAGTATCGAGTACCGAAGGTGTATCTGATGTTGGTAATGCCGATAATGACGTGTCGGCCTTTTCAGGAGATGATGCTTCTTGCGCAGGACGTGGCAGAGGGGGTGTAAACAACATTATCCAACAGATATCGGATTAAATGACAAAGAAACAATGAAATTGACTCGCTGTTTGACACTAGCAACGCTATGATTCTATACAAATCTATACATACATAGACATCGTTGTGACAAATAACAGCGTAAAGAGGGTGCACGTTGTTCTGATGGAAAAATAGAGGACACCGAATGATTTGTTTTATTATTGATGATCTTAATAGAATCGTCGGAGTTATTTCAAACTTGTAGCCGATGTTGCGCTGTTTGTATTGCGCTCGATTACTTTGATTAGTTCTAAAGCAAACAGAGCAGGCGACAATGCATGTCAACGAGAGTAGATAGGGTGCATATAAAAATGATGCTTCTTCGTTAATATGCGTGTCGTCTCTTATACTGACTGTTTCTGTCATTCTCTCTAGAGTATTCCCTTGGTTTTCAAATGTGTCACAGGCATCCGTTAAAGAAGAACGACACATTATTACATTTGATTGTATTATACGGGTAATCAAAACTTTATCTTTTTATACTTTCATATTCCTTACAAAGAAAAAAAAAAGAAGCACCTGTTGAACTATATTGCTATCTCGTCATTACTCGATTATAAAACTCGATCCAACAACTCATGTCATATGTCTGCGTGCTTTACATTTATGTCTCTTGTTATTTCATTTATTTCTTTTTTTTTCGTCATTGTCTACGCTTGTTAGACAACAGGAATGACAGTCGGATGACACAGATGCTCTTGTTGACTGACAGACAAATGCTCCGTATACAGTTATTAATCAGTACAACAAATAGCTAATGGAAGCGTGTCGTAAAATAACTTACCCGTTATAATATTAAAAGCTAGATTATCTTTCGTGCTATCTTCTTCGCCTTCTTTTTCTTGGATATAAATATATGTGTCTTTATTTATTCATTTAATTTTCTTTACGCACATTCACGCACGATTCGAAAAGAAAACCACTTGAGAGATCTTATTACGCTGATATCGATAGTTAAAATCATTCAAACATCTATGCAAGTACATCTCGTCGAGTGTCTATCGGATTTGTTCGTTGTTGTGTTTGAGAGTGATGATGGGTAACATCTTGCTTGCTCATCTATTGTCTGTCAAAAGAAAAAATGCAAAAGACGAACGAGAATAGCGAGAGACCAAGAAATATAAAGTGTACTCAAATAGAAACTTGAGAGCAAAAAAAGAAAAATAGTTAAATCTGAGAAAGAAACAAAGAGGAGGAAAATGTCACTATTATTCTCATCTTCATCATCACCGACAACATCTCTTTTCGCTCTCGTTCCGCTACAAAAAAAAACTAAAAATAAAAACAGATATATACTCGTGTATAATAATAGTGTCTCAGAGAACAAAATTGATTGACACAAAACAGATATATATATATATATAAGAAAAAAAAAGAGGAAAGAGAAAGAAAGAGAGGAAGAAAATGTGCTAATCTGCGATGAGTAGGCGGGTACCATGTGTTTTAATAGAGAACATTCGGCATGGCCATATTACCGATATCCGATCGGGCCGACTAGCCTCGATGAAACGGAAGAATGTTCATGTGTTCGATGATTGTTTCTTATTCGGATCTTTGTAAGAATATGCTCCCTTCAACTTATTCTTCTCTGCGATTTCTTTTGCGCTTCCTTCCGATCAAAAAGGCAAGCTCATTCACGAACTAAATCTCGTCTCGTTTTAGTCGACGTCATCATCTACTCTCTCTCCCTCTGTCTTTCGTTTGTTCTTTCACTCTAAGGGAATAAAATTCTAGAAAGAATGTTGTCAATTCTAACTACTAATGAGAACTTTGTCTTCAACCAATCTTTTCCAGATGAATGAGTCGCATAAACAATCGAAGATCGATTTCTTCTTAATCAAACCGAACTCTTTCGTTGTTTGACATTCTATCTACTTACTCGAAGATCGAAATGTGTTTCTCTTCTCCAAATGTAATGTGATACTTTATCCGGACGCACGAGTTGTTCACTTAAAAATCTTCAATATTTTCCTCTCGACGAGAAATATCTAGCTGAAAGATACTTCATATAAGAAAATAAATAAGTTACTAAAATCGAACAGTACTTTACTCGATCATCAATGTGGGGAAAAGTGTCCTTTTCTGTTTAATTGTCGCTTTGTATTCAAATTTTGAGTAAATACAAGCAAACGAACAATCGATTTAGGTCATATCGGAAAAATTTTGGCGTTTCTCTCACTCTTCTACCATATCTAACAAAGAAAAGAAGAAGGTTTTTTCTACTTGCATTTCCTCTTTTTTTATGTTTAATTAAAGTAGAAAACACATGGTTCGGTGGAGATATTTCCTGTGAGAATGCCTGTCGATGCAAGAATAATCCACGCAAATAGTATAATAACCTTCGATAAAGCGATGGTAGATAAATGAACGGGGTATGTTGACATTTTGGTTGAGCAATATGAAACAAAGACATTCTTTTCAAGTAGCGAAATGATATGATCATGAATTGAAAGGAAATTCATGAAAAGAACGTTATTTTAAGAAAACAAAGTGCCATCTCTCCTACGCCCACTAAATAATATTCATTTGCTATATTACAAACCTACATATAAATTAAGATTGATGAGAAGAAATGATCTATTCGAATGTTTCCATGATATACTTTCACTGGAAACTGTTAGTGTGAAAAATGATGGATTGAGTGAGAAACTCAATAATAGAATACAAATGATCTATGGAAACAAGAAATTCTCCGATTCTTTGGACATTATCAAGGAAGAGAATTCAAGCAATTCATTTTTTATTCTACGAACAGATTGTTAGATTATATATATTGTTGAAAATCTAATAATAGTTGACAATGTTGTAAATCTTCATATCAACGAACTCATTTTATGAATAAACCTCGATGTTTCAAAGAATGTTCTACGTTGATAATATTAATCTCAAACTATATGAAAGTTAATCATAATAAAGTTATCTTGTATATGATCGAATCAACATTTACACGAAGAGATAATTCTATAGAGGATAATATCAAGTACTGAGAAAAGGTCAGATTTTATTATGAATACATCTGTAGAAGTTATTCAATTGATATTATATATTAATATGATTATGAATAGTGATGAACTAGATGGATGTCACATAAATGAAAGTGAGCTACGGATTTACATCATTCCGAAACTATTTTAATGTTTCGTAATTATTCTACAATACAAATCGCGTATTTAAAGTATCGATCGTTATTTGTGAGAATTAAAGTATAAGAGGAAATGAGTGAAAGCTTCATCGATGACTGTTATGAATAAGAAAAAAAAAAGGAAAGTAGACGAGAATATAATCAAGATGATTAATGACTAATACTAGTTGAGTAAACGAATAACGTATGTAAATGACATTCTTACGATATATGATGCTTGATTATGTATCTTTGAAGAACTTTTGGCATATATTGACCAATGAATTGATTCGATGATGTTTTGATGTCTTCAGAAAACGAGTGTCTGCTGGTTAGAATCGTTATCAGTATGACAAATCAATAGCATAACATCCCATGATAGTACTATTGAGAATACGAAACAGAATATCGAGTGTTTTCGTCTGCTAAGATCTTGTTCTAAACAATAAACAAATAAATACTTTGCTGGAAATAAAATTTATGTACTAAAATTACATTCAGTAGAGAATCCATGTAACCATATCAAGGTCAGATGAATTCTCTGTCTCTCTCTTTTTCTGTGTTGTTTATTTATACTTAGATATAAAGATCAACTTTCTCCGAAGAAGTTAATAGTTATATGTTCATTGTGTAATATCAGATACACAAGTAATTATCTGTCTTTTGCCTTGAATGGAACAGATCTGGCAGGAATTCGAAATAATAGAAATGAGACAGAAAATAGATGGTCGAAAGATGAAGCAATTCTGCTAGCTGAGAATATGATTATCTCGTGTACCAAAACATTCTCAAGATGGAAATTACGATGTATTCAGCGAATTAGGACTAGGTTTTCTTCTCATTAAAATATTGTAGTAAAATAAACTTTCGATACATGTTTTTCTCAACATCTGTCACATCTGTCAAGCTAAAATGATAGACTGACAAACAGAAAGTCGATATTATTCATTTTATCCGTTGTCAACATATTTGGATGTCAAAAAAATTTCGTTTCCAATTAATAATATTCGAAATATTCTCTTCTTGTTGATTCATCTCGCAAACAAAACTCCATCTCCATTGACAACTTCATTTTACGTACATCAACGCAGTCTGGACTTCTTCTCTCTGTAATGTATGCAACATGAAAAGATCGTAACATGATACTTAACATTACTGACTATACTTTCCCTTAATGTACATTGTCTGTCTTTACTGATCTTCGATATATACATTTAACTCATATTAATTACGAAAACAACAAATAGATGGAAAAACAGTATGTTGTGAAGTACAATATTGGTTATGAAATGTTCTATAGAAATGATATAATGGAAAGAGTGTCTATTTTCGAGAGTACTTGATAACCTAAGCAGATTTTTGAAGAAAACAGAAACAAGGGATGTCGTATAATATTAATCGCATTCTGTATTCATCAGAATTTCTCTTTGAGCTCAAGTACACTTGAATAGAAAGCAAGTGATCAGATTTGCTGCAGATTGATAATCAATGTATTTTTTTTTCTGCGTCGGCTACGTTCGAGAATGTTGTTGTTGTTGTGCATTGTTGATTAGAGGAGGATCAAAACTATTTATTAGCAAAAGATGTGTTAGATTTAATCAAATAACATAACTAAGTTTTCTTTTTCTCATTTTGATATTCTTTTCGCGCTTCGTTGAGAAGTACATTGCTTAAAATGTTCGAATAATTTCTTGGATCAGGTATAATTCGTGGATATGGATTATCCTTCATTTCCAAGACAATATTCTGACGTTGTTTAAATGGTTGTTGAAATTTACCGTATTCGATGGGTAAACGATATGACTAATAAGAAAATCTCGTATTATTCAATATGAATTTAACAGAGAGAAGAAAACTTACGTTAGTATATGGACCAATAGTGTTGGCATATCGAGGAACAAACACTTTGAATACTTTATGAATGAGATCTTTATCGATAAGCCAATAATCCTGAATTAAAAATATAATAACTACAATAAGAAAAACGAAGAATTCAACGTGTTTTTACCATTAACTGCATTGTACCAACATGGCTAGAAGATAAATGAAATGAAAACTACAAAAATAACAATACAACCTTACCGATCACCGTATTTCTTTGCTAATTCAATCAAACGTTCAGCATATTGTCTTGCCTCGTCATATGGTCGAATATAGCCTTCTATTCTGAAAAAAATGTCTTCATAGAATCAAATGTAGGCACAAATTGTGAAATCAACCTCTCCTGTCGAAATAATTCTCCTAAAACTGCTTTGATTTTTTCATGTCGAGCATCTTGACCACCAACAACTAATTTCGATCGTATCGCATGTGGTACGGTGACACGAAGAGTTCTAGACAAGACTTGAATGACAAAATCAAACCGAATGAGATTGATTTCTTACCTAGTACTAAGATTACTCATAATATTCTCGAACAAAACTTATCTAAAACGAATAACATCTGCTTTTTCTACTAAATCAGAAAACAGTACATTTGTCGTTTATCAAAAATAATAAAAGTTCATTTCGTTTTGCTCGATAGTTTCCGTAGTTGTTACAATTCGTATGCGAGAATTTACGAATATACTTGGGGTGTCTCACCCTCGCTTCACTATTGGATATTATGCAATCAATGCCGGATTGGTGCTATCACAAAAAAGTTTACAGTGTTTGATAGATGGCAGTTGCGCATGAAAATTTTCGAAAAATGGAAGAATAACACAATCAGTAGACACTATTTTATTTGTTCAGCTACAGCAAGTATCCGACGCGAAAGAAAACTGTTCATGTGAATCACATAGATGTAAAACTCACTCAGGACATCTCATACAAGAACTTTTTGTTATTCATGATGAAAGTCCGAACGAAAATTATTATACTCGATGTTTTCCCTCTAACGATGCTCGTCACGACTGCGGAAAACATCGCCAACACCATAGTTATATTCTTGAAGTATTCCAATTTATCTTTACACACTTTAACAAATGAACGCTTTGAAAGAACTTCATTCGATGTGTCTTTCGACTTCGCAAATACTGACAGTTCGATAAGAAAACTGAATTTCGAAGATGGGATACCAACAAAATCAACGATTTACTCATTTTTTTTATTTTACGTAATAACAAACACATCCATATGAAAAAATACGACATCCTCTACGCTACAGAGGACTCTCATGAATTAGCTAAGTATTAAATAAAATACTATTTCGGCTTTTTTTCAGCCTTCTTCGATGTTTTGGATTGTCCAGACCATGACTTTTGTCGTCAATTTCATATTCTATTGAATACCATCGTTCCACATCTACAGCAAGCACGCCACTGTCAGATCTTTCGATTCATATGGATGATCATTATGAAATGATTGATCGTCGAGATAATTATCTAATAAGGACAAACGAAAACGTGTCTTCCGCTTTGGTGTAGCAGAATTTTTAGATGAAATTTCACTGGACGTATTCTCTTTGCTATCGCTAAGATCAATACGATTTGAAAGACGAGTTAAACTATATTGAGCGTTCATGTGACCTAAATCAGCTGCCCAACAATAGTAATCGCATGCCTAATTAAGATATCATTAGAATTTCAGCGTTTACACGAAATATTCTACCTTAGCTCGATCTTGTTTCACACCAATACCTTGCTCGTAACAAATACCAAGGTTGTATAGAGCTGCGGCATTGATTCCATTTTTTGCACTTGCTTGAAGAGCTTCAAAACCAAGTTGAACGTTACCGGATTCGAGAGCATCGAGAGCAATTTCAAGATTAATCATCGACATAGTCTCTTCATGCAAGGTATTTAATTCTTTAATTGTTTTCATACAAGTTTCGTCGGTTTTGAGTAGTGAATCAAGCGTTTGTTCAGATTTCAAATCTGATTCATCCTGGTTGATAATAGGTTCTAATTTTGGAGCCTCAACAACTTTAACTACATCGATCTTTTGTATTGGAACCTTTTGTAATGAGATATTCTTCAACTGATCTTGCAGTTTTTCAATATTTTTATACGAAAATTGATTGTTCGCTAATATTTGATGAATATCATGTTTTCTTTCCAATAAACATTCTTGTTCGCTAGAAAAAAAACGCATTTAAAATACTCTATCCGATGGAAAAGTAACTTCATTCCTACTTTTTGGTATTCGAATCGTCATCTGTATTATAAATAGTTGTTATTGAAACAATAGCATCTTGAGAGCAACGATGAGTAGCTGTATTCCGAAAAGCACGGTATACCGAATTAGCTAAACGCCACATGATTAACTGTGTTTCGTGTTGAAGAAATACTGCTCGATAGTCTAAATGGAAAGATCGTTTGTGAGAGAACGATTATCCATCTTTACGAGGAAAATTCGAACAGGACAGATGAAAACTGCAACAGAAACAAAAAAATTCAATACAGAAAGGCATTTATCACACTTAGAATTCTCACTTTCAACGGGTAAATCGATGAAAAACACTTATTTCTGTGTTGATTTTTCTATGCGAGACAGTACACAACCAATGACGTCAGATTTTGCTTTCCATCGTTGTTTATTGGCCTTCCATTTTTTCTCGTTCTGTCCATGACTATACAAAAGGCACAGGAAAGAGAAAAAAAAGAGGTCCTACCCAGATTTGAACTGGGGTCGCTGGATTCAAAGTCCAAAGTGCTAACCGCTACACCATAGGACCACGTTACATTGTTTTCTGGAACAGATCGTCAAACTGTCCGTCAGGAATTCCTCAAATAATCAAACTGATTTTCATATCCGATGACATTTTGACAAAAAGACAAAATCATTTAAGTGTATTTGTTCTTCTGGACTAATGACGAAGATCACATTTTATCCTTTTCTTTCGCAAAATGAAAACAACCAAGAAAAAAAACGCAAAGATGATAAATAACACTTAGAGCAAAGGAAAATACTGTACATATATGTATGTTCGACTATGGTAACCGTTTATGACCCACACGATATTCGTAAAATGTAACGATCATTTGAGTGAAATTCCATTGTACAAGAATTGAAAGAATATAAACGAGAAGAAGACCCGTCAAGGGGTACAAAAGCACATGGACATTGCGAAGAAATGGAAGTGCTAAAACAGAAATGAAATGAGAATCTTAACAGATTGAAATTCAGTGTTATCATACCACTAAAGCCAAGAAATAATATATAAACGTAATAGCCAGTAGCAATAGCCCATACAGTATTACCAAACAGACAATAGAAGAATCCAGTATTCACCGCAAATGCTAAATAGAGACGTGAATTTCATACATTGAATTCGTTTCTAACACACAACTTCGACTTACAGTTAAGAAAAGGTAGTTGACCAATATGTAAAATAGTAAGTAGAGGTAAGACAGCATTGAGATGAACATCAAAACAGTATGCCCATTCAACATCGAGATTAGATTTCGGATTTGCAATCAAATATCGATTGGCAATATACCTATACAAGACAAAAAGTAAAATCTTACTTCGTAAATCATGTTTACAAATGTGCGAAGTCTTTTTTGGCTTCAAATATCTATTAACATACCAATAGATCGTCGATATTAGAAGTCCAACTAATACACAATCGACTAAAACTACCCAAAGTACAAGTTTGATAATACCGAAAAATCCCATTCCAAGCACAAGTCCAATAATAATCGATGAAACTACAATCAAGAACAGAAGGAGTCATTCTTGGTGTTTTATTCATTCAATATTCTTACCAACAAGGAAAACCATGAGAAGAACGAGAAATGCTGGATCATCTCTTGCCCATTGATTCTTTGTTTCTTAAAAAAAGGAGAATTTCGTTTAGTAGATTGAATTCCATTGTCAAACATACGTTTTCGATATTGAAATGCGCGAAAGACCTTTTGTGGTGCTATGAACAAATGAATGATCTGCCAGATAGCAAATTCAAAATCCATTTGTCGAAATTTTAACAAACGTCGAAGGTATTTGTAGCGTTTCGCTGCAGCACTATGTCGATCGAAGATCGATTGTGACGATGGATTATCTCCAACATTCAATGAAGTCGAATTATTTGTAGTATTTGAAGTCAACACAGGCGGAGGTGACATTGGAACGTACATTTTCTTCTTTTTACTACAATGATACTCTTTCTTCTTGATCAACAATTGACTACGTATGAATATTTCAAGAGAAATAACGAATAGGAAAGAGAAACAGATGTCACTTGAGATCCAGTTCGAAAGTGTTCAGTTTCTTGAAAATTTCTTTGTGTAATCTAAACGATTTGCTCCATTCAAATCGTTGTGCACGTTTTCATCGATGTTCGCGAAGGATTACTTATTGAAGTCTGATCAATACTTCACATATTCGAATCAATTAACTGTCCGTTAGTTTTCAATGTTTTATGTTTGTTATGGATACATTACACTAAGACCTTTTTTTCTTTTTCACTTCTATAAATATTCATAAAAAAAATTGAAGGAAAGAAAAAACGGAGAGAAATATTCTATACATTATCATTTCTTCAGATTCAAATATGCTCTCATCGCCCTTGCAAACATCTGCATCAACCATGGTAAGAGCAATGTTCACTCGTTCTCCAATGATTGAATTGTGATTCATATATTCTCCAGATTGACGATCGAGTTTTACGAGCATATTTGCAACAAAATTCAACATGGAGTTTGAACGAAAGTGGACATATGGATCATTATAGTTTATCATCGAGCGGAAATGGAGATAAATTTTTGAATAATAGCGTTCATTTTCCAACGGAAATGAGGTAAGAGAAGATACTCTTCGACGGTAATAAGAATGAAGATTGGTGGTTATGTAGGTCAGCTAATCTCAATCAAATAGTATCGAATATTGTCGAAGAAAGTAGCGAACACCAACCACATGGAATTCTCTCAACATTTATATTGCAGAAAGACGATCAACATATGTATCGCGCGAAGAAGTACGATTGTTTTCTTGCGAATTACAAACTCAATCTCAGCATTCTCTCGTTTTAGTTCATCATTCGTATCTGGAAGTGGTTCTCTACGTAATATTCCAGGTAGGTCTATTTTTCTTCTTCCTACTCGACATAACATCTTCGGTGCTTCTTTTTTCTGAATATCAAGATAATTACCCATTCCAACATTACTCTCCAAAAGACGTCCAAGTTTTATTACGTAAAGGTGACAATCATAGTGTGAATTCCCTTGTTCAAAATATTCCATTGCAAAAATTTCGTCAGATGATTGGCTTACAACCTAGTTCGGGTTCATTGTCTTTACATGAACGTATAAATCGTAACAATAATGATTGTACTAATCTTAATCAACAATTCTTGCCATTGTCAAGTTCCTCATCATCATTACCGACATTCAACCAACAACAAAACTATTCTCGACAACAATCGTCAATGGCTAATTTATATCTAGATGATACAATATCGATGAATGATGTCAATCTACCATCATCTATTACTTCAAATCAAGAAATGAAGTATGAAACTCATCTGTGTTTTCGATTGAATATTTTTACATCATCTTTCATTTAGTTACTATCGATCTAACAGGTATTGAATGATTATTGTTCCCACTTCGCTTGTTTAATAGTCTAGTCTTTGTTACTAATTCTCATATCGAATCTTCCTAATTCATAAATGAAAATGTATATTCATTATTTCAGACGAACTGGTGTCACAAATACACTACGTAAGTCAGAAGTCATTCTCGATATTGATATCATTTTCTTTCTGTAGATATTGCTATTGAGAAATGTTCCGAACAACTCAATTACATACGAGATAGTTACGCTGAAGTAAGTTGATTGAACATTTCAAACAAGAAACGAACGTGTTATTTAGACTGAATCCAAAATTGGTATTCAAATTTTACATAAGACTTCATCATCTGCCACGGATGTTACAAATACAACTGTTTTAAACAATCCATCACGTGTGGATCGTTTGATTGCTGAATACTATTATGAATACAATCGAGTAAGAAGAACGTTTCGTGTTCAACAATTCGACGTTTTTCTTGTAGATTATTCGTTTACATGAACGAATCAAAGAAAATATCAGTCTTCAAGATAGTGAAGCAACACGACAAACTCTCGATGAATGGTTTACTGCTATTAATACAGTTCGAGATCGACGTCGACAAGAAATTAACAATGCTACAGAAAAATTTCGCATTGCTGAAGCACGTTTATCAGATGAAAAAAGTAAAAGTCTTTACCGTCTTTCGTTGTTCGAAAGAACAAAAGAATTTTTTCTCTCTCAAAACTTAGATATTTTACAATTAGCCGAATCCTTACGTGTGTTACGTATAACGACTCGAAAAATTCGAACTATCCTCTGGTGTTGGTTGTACTGGTCAACAAACAATATAGATAACAAAATTACATTGGTTGCTCGTCACGAAAGCCAATTCAATCATTTATTTTCGACAACATTTGACGTCTTCAAATCCGATTCGATCATCTCAAATGCCAATTGTAAAGAAAATCAATGCAACAAATAATTTCATTCTTCTTCATTGTATATTTTCTCTGTGATGACACTTGTGCATACATTTTGTGATAGAAACAGTTATACATTGCTGTTCTTGTTATTGCTATTGCACTTCACTAGTCGTTTTCTTTCTTTTTATCTCCTATATTGAAAGTCATGCGTCCGGTGATGTGAATGTGATATTGATTTCGTTTCTTATCTATTTCTCAATGAGTATTTCTATATTTTGTTTCTACTAGCCAGATGATTTACGTAGTTTTCGCATCTACATAGATATCAATGAATGAACCATACAAATCAGATGATTACAGTCCACATAGTTTGCTTTATCTCGAATAAGCATTTTCAAATTCACGAGATTAATAAATTGATGAAACTAATTTGAAACATCTGGTCCTTTTCAACTTAATTGGTATCTAAAAAGAAACCATAGCCAATCATTTTCTCCTATGTCTCAATGATCTTCACAAGTGTATGGAATCGCTTCTTTTTTTAAACATCAAATATTATCTTACCTTACAGAAACGCGCAAAACAAACGCTGGTCATTTGCTTCTTTTTTTTTTCTTCATCCGCCGCGTCCGCCGCCGTCAAGCTGCGAATACGTACATGTAGAACAGAAAGGAGAAAAAAAAGATGAAAGAGAACAATATACAGAGGGCATGTAACGGTTGTCCTATTCATTTCTATCCATTGTTTTAATCCAAACATTTGTCCGATTGCATTTCAGACATACATACACATCGACAATTGTCTTTCTAATGGCCAACAATCCAAATCAAACGAAAGGTAATGAGAAGTTGTTCTCCAGATTTCTCTCAACGTTTTGTTCAATGTTTAGTTCTAAACGAAGTCTTGAAAATGAACGATTCGTTTCGTACATTTAACATGTATGAAAATATAGAACCATTGTCAGATGAAATCAAAGTTTTTCGTTGCGAAGAAGCGGATGAAACTTCGTCGATTAATAGTGCGCTTAGTGCAATTTCTTTACGTTCAATATCAAGTAATCGTTGCAATGAAAATCTTTCGACGAACGATGATGTTCAACAAAGATTAAAACGCATCCATAAGCTAGCAGCGACCAGAAAAGAAAATAAAGACAATGAACAAGACACAATTCCAGTAATTCATTTGTTCTTTCGCTTCAACTCAATTCTATGTCGAATATTTTAGACTCGACTTCAACAAAATAATAACCATGACGATGAAGAAGAAGATTATGACGAAGAAAAAGGTAAGATCTCTCAAAATCAATTGTTTCGATATGTGTACGTCTCGTTTTAGGTGCTCAATTATTACAAGAAATGATCGCTTCAGTATTGAAACCCAAGAGTAGACAGAAAGAAGCTTTCATTCAAGTAAGAGTGTTTAATGTTCATGTAATAGAACTGATCGTCTTGTATTTGATTTAGAATATGAATTTCAAACCAGATATAGTGACAAGCACAACAGATAAAAAGTATCGTGTTCAACAATACGATAAATCGGAGAAAAATACTCGAATCTAATAAGAATTCTTATTTTGTAAATGTCAGATCTAATTTTTCTTCTTTCTTTGCCTGTGCACAATGTAAATTTTCTTTTCTTCGGAATTTGTTTGCTGCTTAGCAATAGTTATGAATGTTGAATGTAAATGGTGGCAATTTTGTCGTGATTGGTTCTGGAAGAAAAGAAATAAAATTTCAAAAAAACTTCAATCTTCGTTTGACTTAAAAAAGCTATGACGAGCGACGAAAGTGATATCATCCCAGAGAACTCACAGACAACAGTTGATGAAGTCACACCAGCAGCGTCTCGTGCTCAATCGAATTATAGTACCTATAGAACGAAATTATCCATAGCACCAGTGAAATGGGGTGAAAATCGAACGCAATACTTGTGGAGATTGTTACGATGCTCGATACGACGAACGATTGATGCGGTTGCACGTGCAGATGACACAGGTACACTTTGCTTAAAAGTCAATTCGGTGACTTCTGTGAAATATCGGATTTGTATCTAGACATAGAACGATCTCATGGTTTGCATTTCATTCGGAATATGAATCATGATATTCAAGTCAAATGTATTGCGTTCAATATTAAGAAAAAGGTAAGTCTGTGTGTATGGGATTCCTGACGTTGGTTTATATTTGGATGCAAATGTAGGAAATCGTTAGTGTTGATCATGATCAAACTGTTCGCGTGTATTACTCCGATGGGCGAATATATAAAAAGTTTAAAGTGAATTTTCAATTTGATCAATTATTCTATTGTATAAATGAAGATGAATTTGTTGCCTGGACACGTGATGGGAAAGAACTTCATGTTTTAAATGCAAATATAGAAATCTTATCGACATCGACTTGCGAATATCAGATTACTGATTTGAGCTATAATGACAAAACGTCTGATGTATTTACTTGTGGAAAAGGAGCTCTTACTGTATGTAGAAATGTTTTTCAAATGCAGATGAATGAAAAATAGGCGTTTGTATTAGGTTTGGTTATTTCGTTTCAATCGAAAACATCTCGTACCGAAATTCGAGTGTCAAAATGTGCCAGCAGATTTGAATTTGAATATCTTAGCTGCTGAACAAACAGATGGTTCTATGCAACGTTTGTTTGCTACAGCTGGTTTTGATGTTTTGGTATTTGTTAACGATTTTTCTTGCTTTCTAGTATTTTCTTTTTAATGAATGTAGACGTACAATATCGGTGGAGAAGGACAACTTATTCATACAAAACAGGATCTACATGTTCGACCAATTGTAGCCATGATATACATTGATCAACGTGATGTTCTTGTCACTGCTGGCCGAGACGGCTCAAGTTTGTTTTCATAAAGACATTGCTGAGATTCATTGTGGTTTGTTTTTTTTTTCAGTTAAAGTCTGGGATAACCGATGGTTTATTATATATGCTTATATTGGTCATCAAGATCGAATATTGTACTTAAGTAAACATCCCTTTGGACCGTATTTGATTTCCAGTAGTCAAGACCGGACAATTCGTGTATGGAGTCTTGAATATGGTGATGTAGTTGATGTGTAAGTTGATCTCTTGTTAATGATAGATGTATTCGTGATTGGATTTAGAATTCATGTTCCTGAGCCGATAGCGGAGATGAATGTGACATTGAGTTATGAAAAGTTTGTTGTTAAATCAACGAAATGTTTGCAGTTGTGGTGTGTGAAACATTATTGTGATTTTTTAACTTTCGTCGGGTTTGTTGAGAAACAACAAAAAGTAAAAAAGCCCTAACTTGAAATCTCTGCGTTTAGTGCACCGATTTTTAAAATTCTATGCACAACACATCCGGATTACCCTGTTCGATCGGTCCTCTTATGTAAAGATTCAACTGTACGAATAGTTGCATGTGCTACTGGTGATGTTTTAACAAGTCTAATTTACAGTGTGAATTTTGAAGCAACGTCATGTGCATACGCAATTGCTCAGAGTAAGACTAGGTTTTAGAAATTGTCAACTTCTCACGGGTAAATGTCATTCGATTGCAGACACCTTGTTCGTGACTAATGGTACAACAATACTCAAAGCAGATACATCGTTAAATCCATGTAGAATCGTTCAACAGTTCGAAGCCACCGAGTGTGAGACTCTTGTAATGCGTTGTATTCATAGAAAATGCATCTTTTCCATATATTCAGATACAATTAATGCCTTGGTCATATACGAATACATTGCTCAGGGCAGTATGGATCAATCACCGGCGTTTAAAGCTTTAGTGACAAAACCAAGTATCGATCTGATTCAAGTTGGTGTTCGAGGTTTTAGTCGAACGTTGCTAATTGCTGGACTAAGCAATGGCCGAGTGGCAGTATTGAAATGGGATACTGGAGAGATTGATTTTTCGTTGGATGTATGTTTAGATAGAAAAGTAAGAAACGAAATTGAACGATTTGATTTAGATGCATTCGAGTCGGCCAGTTGTTGAAGTGATCGCTAACTCCAGTGCCGATCAAATTATCTCCTGTGGCGTTGGTAATATGACAGATTTTCTTCAACTACTGTCTAGTTTTGACTAATTTAGATCTGATTATTCGCATTTGGCGAGTATTTCCCTATGCTATAGAATCGCTTGCTGTCACTCGTTCGATCTTCTGTGCTATACAACCCATTCATTTGACTGTGTTGAGAAATTCACTTGCTGTAGCTTTTCGAGATGAAACAACTATGACACATTCGTTAATGCTGTATAGTTTGGATAACAACGGTAAGTTGATTTGCAGGATGATTGTTGATTGGAGATTTCTATATAGAACGATATGATCATTCGCCGGACAATGATCATTGTGATAAAATAACTGCAGTATCAACTTGCTCGAAATTGAAATTATTAGCGACGGGTAGTCTTGATGGAACGTTACGTATTTGGAATGGTGAAAATCAATTGATCAGGTTTGCAATGATAAGTTTGCGACTTGTGCATATATTAATTCACTCTCTATTATCTTGAAGAATGATTATTATTCACGATAATATCCATTCGTTGCATTTTATCAACGACTCAGGAGATTTAATTATTGGTATCGGTGATCATCTTTACAAGATGTCGCATTTATCGTGTAAGTACACTGAACGACATGATAAAATCAATGACAGTATTGCATAAATTCAAGATCTACCGAAAGCAATTGTTTTCAAAACGGTGTCGATGCAATTTGCACCGACTAAACCAGAAAAGAAAGTAAGAGAAGACGCCGATGAAGCCCAATTGATTCGTATGTCGTCCGAAGATCTTATTCGTTTGAAAAAAGCCCATAAAGCCGATCAAATGTTTGTAGAATTTCATTTCGCTCATCCAGATAACATTGTTTCTGTTGTGAGATAGAGCGATTAGTACGAATCGTGAAAACGCGGAACTTGCGGCATTCCATGAAAAACTAGCAGAGCAGATGAAACGCAAGAATGAAGTAAGAAGCAGATGAAGGAGATTAATAAATGCATTAGATGTTTTAGGAATTAGAAAAATTGGAGAAACGTGATGAAGAGATTGTCCAGATTTCTGAAGGAAAACTTCAACGGACGAAAAAATACAAAGTATCATCAAAACTGCGACAGGAAGCATTTGATGAGTATATGAAAATGTTTTTAAAAGAACCTAAACAAGGAGTAAGTTTCTATCTTATATATGACTTTCGCTTTCCATTAAAATATTTTTTCAGTTATTGGATGAAGATAAATATAAAATCACAGAAGAAGAATTATTTGGTCCGCCACCCACAAGTACACTGAAAGGCATTTCCATGACTGTTGTGTTTGACTTTCAATACTTGATTTAGAACTTGAACCATATATGATTGATACAGATAATGGATTCTTCCGCTCATTGAAGGAAGCGAATTCAGATCCAATCACGAAATTGTTCGTAGACCGAGAACAGAAACTATCCCAACTTGAACAGCAGTATCGAGAGCCGTTGCCATTTCCAGATGATGATATACGTCTTGCTAAATTAGAACAAGATAGATACGAAGCGAAGAAGCTTTTGGAACACAATTTACAAAGAATCACCTTACCATCTCAACGTCCTCCTCATTATGGTCCTGGTACAACTGTTCCGAATTCTGTTTTGGTACGAAAGAGACAAACGAATTCATAGTAAAGATAAGCACTACTTTTGTCGAACGTTCATTTAGGCAAAGTTACTTTGGCCTGAACCAGTCTTAGTTAAAAAGATTGAGCAAGAAGAATGGAAACCAGCTGTCCTCTCCGATCAACAATTACATGCCATTGAAGAAAATAAACCCGTGGTATGTAAAATGATAATCTACACAGAGAGGAGTGTTGTATCTGATTGTTATTCAGGATGAAGAAGCCGAATGGCAGGAATTGATGGCAGCAATGATGAAAAAGAGACTTGGTGTTGATGACGATGATATATCTGATCGTAAGGAGAAACAAAAAGATCCGAGTGAATATATGAAGCAACTCACTGGCCTTGCTCAGCAACCAGTGGAACAACTATCCGAAGAAACATCTGCGGAACAAGACACGAGCGCAGCGAAAGGCAAACGAACGGTAGAATTCCAGTTCCTACATTTGTTTCCTTTTTCATATAATTTAGTCTGTTTTTCCAGGAAGTTGCGAAACCGTTAGGTTCAAGAGGAGCACCTCGTGCATCAACTCGGCAAACTCCATCACGACATTCGCCTATGTTGCCACCTATGTCACCAGCTAAACCAACTCCAATGCCTGCTTCGCCAATAAAATCACCACGAACACCTGGCTCACCAATAAAATCAGCTCAGAAACCTAGTTCACCAGTGAAATCAGTTCAAACACCTACTGGTAAACCAGTCACACCAGTTGTACGGGAACCAACTCCGGTCATAGATGAATATACCTCAACTATTAACGAAGCAACTCAAACAGTTGAAGTTCGTCGAAAAACTCCAAAAGAATTCTCGCCTTCATTTCTAAGTCTGATTGAGAAACTTGTGGAACTGAATTGGTTTGCCGAACAATATCCATTGATTAAAGTTGAAGTACGTTTTATGTCTCTTCATATATGAAATTCAAAACTAAATTCATCTCCTTCGTTGAAATCAGATATTTCTTGAAACATGCGACGAAGATTTGTTTCCTGCTCATGTCCTACACCGTCTGGATATGGTTAGTTCAGTCGAAGATAGATATGCAGTTTTACATGAACTTGACAATTATTATCGTTCAGCGTCGATTACTGCGCAGGCACGAGATTCATTAATCGACAAAATTTTGTTTCAACTGACCAAATTCAATCCTCCTTTTTACGATACTTACGATGTCGAATTCATTCTGTTGTACCTTAGTTTATTGACTTTCATCAACAAAATGACTATGGATGTGGTCGGAGAGTTGATCTTTTGGTATTTAGAAGGCGGAGATCAAATTAGGTAAATACCTCTAATATGCAAATTGTTTTAGAAAACTTTTTCTTCTATTAGACCAATTGTTAAAGAACTGTTCGATCAATGCGGTCTGCAAGACCCATTTAGTTACTTCTATGCAGAGATGGATTCCTGGAAACTATGGGAACTTGATGTGAACCAACCCAGACGAACAGGGATAAAAACATTATCACACGAATGGCTTCGACAGTATGTTTTCGAAATCAGTTCAGAAAGATAGATTGAATGTTTTTATTAAAATAGGTGGATACAAGCATTTCGCACTCATGTTGAAGACATGAATTTTCGATTGAGAAATGGTGATTTAAAAGTGAAAATTAGCAATGCAACATCGAGAGCATTGATTGGAAATACTTCGTTAACGGTAAAATCCTTTCCAACAATTTTTAAATTTAATTTTAATACCTATTTTATACTTTAGAAAAAGTCCACATTGAAAGGCAAAAAGCTGACAGTCGTTTTGAATTCATTACCACGTTTGAATCCAAACAATTTATCATCAATCGAAGCAATTAACTATTTCGTAGAAATGACACAAGAACAAATAACTGAACGTAACCAAGCGAAAGAACAAATGGATAGCAACACAATTGTTGTTCTACCAAAATTGAATAAGTAAAATACTCATCCGTATTGATAAATACTTCCATTTGATTGTTTCTCCTTTTTTCTTATCAAATAGACAAGCTGCGCTAGGCCGTTTGGGTGAATCACATACAGTTTTCCATCGACCTATCAAACGAAATCGTAAGAGTCAGATTGCAAACGAATCATCCCATATAAATTCCTTCTACTTTCTCTTTCAGCAATCTTTGTTCCGCACGAACATCGATTTGAACCAGGTGAACTTAGTATGGGCCGTTATATGAATTATCCTATGCGCAAACTGTATCTCGATCCATTTCGCCGTCAAATCTTTACCGAAGATATCGAATACGAAGATGATGAACCTTATTTGCTTACACTTAAACTCGCACCAAAATTTTTTCTTCCAGTACTTTCACAAGTAGCGAAAACTTGACATTTCCTTTCATTTTTGTAAAAACTATCAACACAACGATAAATAAACCAAAGTCTTTTTTATCAAACCTATACGAACATCTCAATAGATCTCGTATCATTTAGCGACATCTATCCAATGTTGCTATGAATGGCGCAAAACTTTTAGTCTCTATTATGTATGAGGGTGTACCTGATACTCAACTTTCGTATGCACTTATTTATATCACCTTTGTAGAAGGATCCTGCTACAGATTTACGCTTACGACTATGTTTTAGATGTTTCGCGCACTTACCAATTCGGCTTCACCAGTTAGTGGTGCCTGCCGATTACTTTTCGTACAAGTATGTTTATTGTTTTCATTGCAATGTAAACAAATCTATTTGATAATTCGTCTAGGCTCGAAATGCAACTGCTACGGCTGCTGCATCGAAAACAAATGCGCCGGACTCGAAAAAACCGGACATGGTTCATCAAAAACGGGAATCAAAAGCACGTATGAAAACAGTTTCTATCTATCGTTGGGTAAAAGTCCATTTCTTCCAATTATAACAATGTTTTGATTGTGATCAATTTCCTAGAATCCTGAGGAACCAAATAAAAAACCATTTTTGCAAGACTATAAGATAGATTTAAGCGAGTATGTTATTTTTGGTAGGGAAAGGTTCTTCTATTAATTGTTTTGTTTCCTATAGTTGCGGTCCAATGGTTCTCGACGCTTTAATCAAAATAAAAAATGAAATCGATCCAACATTAACATTTCGTCGTTCATGTCGCGAAGGCATTTGTGGAAGTTGCTCAATGAATATCGATGGTCGAAATACGCTTGCCTGCATTTGGTTCGTAGCATACGTCGATCTCTCGAAAAAGATCTATTCGAAATATTTTCTCGTAGCAAAATCGACGAATCAGATAAGCCGTTGAAAATCTATCCACTCCCACACATGTACGTCGTCAAGGATCTTGTTCCGGTATGTTGACACGAAAGGTTTGGTGCGTCTTCATTTCATTGTTGGAATTGTTTCCCTGATTAGGATTTCACCAACTTTTACATGCAATATAAAATGATTGAACCATACTTAAAACGTAAAACACCAACAAAAATAGGTGATAAACAACTTTTTCAAAGTGTCGAAGATCGTAAGAAATTGGTAAAGTTATTTCAACAGTTTAACAGACAGTCAAACTTAACCATCTATATGCTTATTTTTTAGGATGGTATGTATGAATGCATTCTTTGTGCATGTTGTTCAACATCGTGCCCAAGCTACTGGTGGAATGCGGATAAATATCTTGGACCTGCTGTCCTTATGCAAGCTTATAAGTAGGTAGAACTTGTCGAGATCGATTTTTATTGCAAATCTTGTTTGAATTTCTAGATGGATCGTTGATTCACGTGATGAATATACCAAAGAACGTTTGGATCAATTTCGCGACGCGTTTTCAGTCTACCGTTGTCACACGATTATGAATTGCACAAAAGCTTGTCCTAAAGTATGTCAAAGGAAGATGATTAACAAATAAGTTAACTGATATCGTTTTCATAGGGTCTCAATCCTGGTAAAGCTATTGGAGAAATGAAAGTATTAATGGCAAACGTTGGATCCATGCCATCGAAAAATTCTGCAACTGTCGGTGTCGAATATAAATGAAAAGGATAACCAATATGAAGAACACTTAACTAATTTAACCACACATTTTTTTTAAAAGACAATTTTGAGTATATGCATATATATGGATCTGTATCCTTTTCTGTATTTAGTTTATTCCTATGTTTCCACTTCTCTTCTTCTCTAGCAGAATAAACCCAACAAAAAAAAAACGTAGGTAGAGAAGTTATCCTAGTAGCTATCAAGTATATTACTAGCAAAACTGGGAAGCATGGTTTGTTGACGAGACTTTACCAGATTAAGAATACTCTTATGAAAGGATTCAATGAACACCATATTACTATTTCGTCTTCTTTTCCATTCAGTAATTTCATTACAGTATGTAACTATTTCTTCTCTCCTTATAATCTGCACGTCTATGAAAGCAGCTGTACTGTTGTCGATGTGTGATAAGCAATCATCGCATTATACAGAACATGACGCAGGATGAATCATTCGTCTTTGCCGAAGGTATATATTAACGAGTATTTCAACCAGATTTTATGTTTTTCTCTAAATATATTATTTCACAACGTACAACATGTATCAACAAACTTATTCTGGTGCTTCATTGACACAACATAATGATGTTTGTCAAAATGAAATGGCTGATGCCTACGAACTTGGCTCAGCTATGGCTCGCGAACAGTTATCAGCTGAAGATAGAAAACTTCTCGATGAAATCGGAGATGACACAGTAGTTGTAGTTCCAGGCACATATGATCACATTCACCAGGTATTAGGCAGCTTGAAAATTCCATTTAAAACAGTTCATCAATCGGAACTATTAACATATCCATTACGTCCAGCAGATCAAACTGTTTATGTCAATTGTGCAAGTACATTTCCTCCCGACGCTGCACACCGTTTACGTCAATTCGTCAATGATGGCGGTCAATTGATCACTACTGACTGGGCTTTAAAAAACGTTCTTGAAGTTGCTTTTGGCGAAGTAAGTTAATCATCTACTTCAATTAACTATTGATTGATCTTCTTTCTTTAACTATTAGTTCGTTCGACACAATGGTCAAATGACTGGCGATGAAGTAGTTGGTGTTCAAGTAAACGATCCAACAAATCCCATTGTTGCTGGATTTTTACCAGCTGCACAACACGTCGACCCACAATGGTGGCTTGAATCCTCATCATATCCCATTGAAATAGTCGACGCACAACGCGTTCGTGTTTTGATCAAATCAAATGAATTGAATCAAAAATACAATTCTTACGCCGTATTGGTGACATTTGACTGTGGCAAAGGTAATGTCATTCACATGATCTCGCATTTTTATTTACAACGTTCGGAAACACGTGACGAACGACACAAGATGTCCACTGAACAATTCGCTCTTGATATCAATGCTTCTGAAGAAGTCAAAGCCAAAGCAAAACAAATGTCCAATTTGAATTATGCTCAAGTGCAATCAACAGCTACATCATCTGCTTTTATCTACAACCAATTAGCTGAGCGTTTGAAAAAGATATAAAATTCTCGTTAAAAATTGAACTTGAGCGATCGTATACAAACTCTAGTTTTTTCCTATGTTTATAAATAAATAAATCTCGTGGAAGTGAAAGCAATTACTTTCGAAAGACGAACATAAGATTAACAACGAAAAGGGACAAATCAATTTGTCTCGTCACACATTTCATATTTTTATTTACCTTGCTTTCGTTTTATCGTACAATCATACATACATCTATGTATACAGACACAAAAAAAGGGATTAACTAGCTTTTGTATGTCACTTTACTGTTGGTGATTGAATTATGCACATGAAAAAATAACAGAAATGTCTAAGATATAAAGATCGTTCTTTTATTCATATAACCATTTGACGATTGTATAAAAAAAATCCTTGATTACAAAGGTAAAAAAAAACAGGTAAAAGGTTTAGTTTGAAATCGATGTGATATGTATTTATATTTTGAGTTAGAAAAATGAATTCAAATCTGTATCGAGCTCCGATATTCAAGCGAATCGATGATCCATGGATCGGATTACTTGTCCTAGCTGCTTTTATGTTCGTTTCATCGATCGTTGCACTGATTATTCTTTGTTGTTTCTGGCGTCGTCACAAACAACGCACACGATTGTATAATCAAAGTTTCATCTTGAGTAATAAACCAACTGGCAGAAAACAAGTTGAAGATCAACAACCAACGACTTATGAAACACAAGTATTACTTGAAAAAGAACTCAATTACCTTTTCCTATACTTTCTTTTTGGATAGAACGTGCAAGTATTTTCTTCTTCGAATGATGAACCACGTTTTCCAAGTTATTTAACATCTCCTGATGAATATCCACAGATTCATCAGTTCTATGAAAGGTTTGTTAATGATTGAATCATTTTAGTTCATCTATTTTGTCATGTTTTAGAACGACGAAAGCGTATTTTTGAACAAAATTATACAATTTATGTCGAAATGTTAGAATTGAAGAGATTTCACAATAAAGAAATTTAGTTGACGAAAGTTTTTAAATAAATTTGCTTGTTAATGTTTTCAAACCACTTGATTTCCAAATACTTAACAGGTCATCTTTCATAGTTACAGAGTCCATCATTGTTTCAGTGATTGGCGCTTTAAGATCAGCTTTGGGATTTAAAGTCTCGGCCATCCATTGAAAACCTTCTTGAATACCTTTCTTCTGGATAGCTATTGTAGGCTGTATAAACCATTTGCGTTGGCTTTTGTCGAATTTGGCCACATCAAGTTTTTCTTCGAGTTCCTTCACAGATAAAGCGTTGGGTAAATCTTGTTTATTCGCGAAGATGAGAACAGGTACTTCTCGTAGCAGATCTTCATTTGCTATTTCATGTAATTGTACCCTTGCTTCATCGATTCGCTCTCTATCATTAGAATCGACAACAAAAGCAATTCCTGATGTATCTTGATAATAGTGACGCCACAGCGCTCGAATTTTATCTCGACCACCAACATCCCAAGAGACAATTTGTATGTTTTTATAAAGGACTGTTTCCACATTGAAACCAATAGTTGGAATTGTCGTAACGACTTCACCAAGTTTCGCAGCGTAAAGCATAGTTGTTTTACCAGCAGCATCAAGGCCACTCAGTAGTAATCGCATTTCCTTCTGCTTAGAAAAGATAGAGGCGATTTTGGACATTGAATAACCCATTTGCGTTTTTCTTCAATTGTGTTATGGTATGCAAAAAAAGTGAATCAACGTTTACAGATTATATATATTTACGTGAATAATATTTTTCTTTTTAAAAACTGCGTCATCAATGAATGAGGTAGTTTTTCTTTTCTATTTCTTCTGCCACGCTATGACTTTATACGTGGCAAATCTTGCACAATAACAATGTAATATAGTAGATGTGTCTATTCATTGATTTTTCAGTCTTTGACATTGATTAGTATGTACACGACGATGACAAAGATCTTTTATGCATTGTGATTAAATTATACGAAGATGACATGTCAAAGAACAACGTAAATAATCTAATTGAATTAGTCATATTTTCCAAAGAACCTTATAACAGATTTAATTGTTTTGTCAGATTTTTATCTGTGTCATTTGAAAAGATCAACAATGCCAGAACATTACTTTGCGGTCTTATTAGTAAAAATTGCTGTTTGGTATCATACAGCAAATGATTTATACACATGAATTGCTCAATGTGTGATGATTATGAAACATTGGATTGAAAGGTTGATAATTAACGAAAGCTAAGCCACATGGGTAAGAAGAAAAAGAAAGGAGAATAAGACAAAAGGAAATAAAGGCGAAAGTGATCTTGGAAACAAAACGGGAAATAGCCTGGATGCTTTGCTGTAACTCTCCTAGCTTGACTTGGTCGTCGACAAGACGATGTGAAAGGCGGAGGCGGTAGCAACACTATGTAAGCATAGAACAAGAGAAGGGAAAAAAACGGAGCGAAAGAAAAAGCGTTTTTTATTGATGAACAAAAGAAACTTTATCTTTTGCCTCTCATTCACAGCGAGTCTCACAACGTTTCTATTCCGCTTGTGTCCCATTCTTTTCTTGCTACAATTTACGATTGCCTATAGTCTTGACAAGGCTACGGAAAGAAGAAGGGAAACAAGGAAAGCCGAAAGAAATGGAAAAGAGAGAAAGTAGAAGAGAAAAAGAAACGAAAAGAATTCCTTTTTCATTGCTTTTCCCATTACAGTCATCACTTGTTCGACAGCTTGCATTAGATTTAGACAAGAAAAACATGTGTTTTAGAATGAACACAGAAATTGAAAGAGAAGATAATACGAACAACAGCCAGTAAAGAGAGAAGCAATCGTAACCGTAATGAAATACTCTCCGCTTACTTCTCTCCTCTATTCTTCTTGTCGTTGCCAGAATTGTTCTTTGTTTATTCACAAGCGTACACATGTTTAACACGCTAACATTTAGTAATGATGAACAGAAGTACAGATAAGTATATAAAGAAAATCATTGCATGATGCTACACGAAGCGACATGCTCAAGTAAGTACAATTCTTTTCTTCTTCTTTCGTTCGAGACATGCTGCTATAAAGACGTTTGCTAGTGAATCATTCTCATTGTCTTGTCATTTTTATTAATGACATCGGCGACAGGATATTACATGGACCTAGTTGTTAGCATTATTCTGAAATAGTCATCTTGATATATCTATTTTCCTTCTTGTCTTCCTCTTGCGCTAATATTATTAGATGTGTACAAGATTTTTCTCTTGATTATGTTTATTTCTCGTTGTTTTCTTCTATTGCCATTACAATTGCTGCCTGTGACGGAGTTCTTTTTTGTCCATCAACATNTCACATTTGAAATTATTACAAGATTTATAGTATCACCAAAGAAATTTGGCTTTGTTAGATCACCCGTGAATATCATTGATTTTCTTGCAACATTATCATTCTATTTAGATATCTTATTTAATAAAATTTTACCAAAATCATTTACAAATACGGAGTTATTTGAATTCTTCTCTATTACGCGTATATTTCGTTTATTCAAATTAACTAGACACTATGGTGGGCTGAAAATTCTAATCCACACGTTTACTGCGTCGATGCGTGAACTAATCTTACTTATATTTTTTCTTGTTCTATTTATTGTCATATTTGCTTCATTAATTTATTATGCCGAACGTCTACAAAACAATCCGGAAAATGACTTTACATCCATACCCATCGGCCTTTGGTGGTCCATTGTCACAATGACAACTGTCGGCTATGGTGATATGGTGCCAAAAACTTACATTGGGATGATGGTTGGTGGTCTATGCGCATTGACGGGTGTATTAACAATTGCTCTGCCCGTACCTGTTATCGTGGCTAACTTTGCCATGTACTATTCTCATACACAAGCACGTTCGAAATTACCGAAGAAACGACGACGAGTTATGGCGGTTGAACCAGTGCGACCGGCGCGAGGAGCTGGTGGCGCAGGACCAGGCGGTGGTACCGGTGGTGGAGCAATGAATAAATTTGGTATGGATACTGGAAGACCAGGTGGATCGATAAGCATGCAAGGAGCACCACCTGGTGGAGGACCTCGAAAGAACCTTATAAAACAGGGTGGCGGTGGTATGGCTGCCAAACTTGGTATGACTGACAGCAATGCTGTTCATAATCGAATTGGTAAGCACATTGTTTTATGTCAGTGAATGTCTTCTTTTTTTTTCATATGAAACTTAAATTCTAAAGCTTCTCTCATGTAATCAATGATAGCGAGAACATTTCCTTCATCTTTCTCCATTTAGTCACTTGTAATTTTCAAGCCTATCTCGAAGGTACAGCACTCTAAACAATAATTTCTTTTCTGCCCCACTTCTTGTTTTCTCAGACATATGAAACTTCAGCTGTTTTCCTTTCTTCAACATCCCACTCCTTTCCATTTTTCATGTATATATATATATATATTATTCATCGCTTTACTCAAGGCGACTTACAGCGTATACCGCTATAAATATATATTTGGTCACATCTGTCTATGTTTACGGCAAATCTTATCTTCAAATACGTCGCCTTCCCTCGATGATATAGCTCTATTTTTCTTCGAAGAAAACCTAATCAATCGAGGAAAAATTCTTTTTCGTGATATATTTGTATGCATACTTGTGTGTCATTCCTCTCGATGTTGATTTCATATGTCTGCCTGCTCATTCACTGACATTCATTTTCTCATCTAGTCTAGTAACACAATCTTCAGGCGACAAATCTATTTGTTTCCTTTTCTAATTAGTATTCTTCATCTGAATATTTATATTACAAAATTCTTCTATCCATATTTCATTCATACATATAGGACACGACGATAAAGAACGTACACCAATGATTCGTCCTAGTCCGAGGATAGATACCCCTCAATCTCATATGGCAAAAGTCTAAAAAGAAGTACATACATCGGAAAATTGATTTCCATGGTTTTTCAACCATTCGAACTTTAGGTACGAAATTCTTTTGCTGTTCGTTGCCATCAAAATACATATATATATATATATACTCATATTGAACACTTTATCTATGTATTTATATATCTATATATTATTTCTTTGAATTATTTTGTTTTTATGAACATACATGCACTATATAATTTCCTATTTTTGAATGATATAATTTCACTTCATTGAACTAAAAGAAAAGCAAAGCACGCGAGACTTGTCAACAAATATGATTTTAACAAGTACATTTCTTTAGAGGACCATCCATTATGATGACTGGAATGAAAACTTGTAAGTTTACATATTAGAATATCATGAATGCCATTTACATCACTATCCCGTTCAACGTGTTTTCGTCCTTCTCTCTCTCCCCCTCTATCCTTATTTGTATTCCACAACTTGCATGATCCATCGTTATTTCAGTTGACATTCAATTTATTTTATTTGTTGTAATATTAATTTGTTGTTGCTTAGTTGAATGTTGATTTTCATATCCATATCATTATTACTATTCGAATATATTGTATTTGAATCTCTTCTTTTGTTTTATAGAAGAAATGGAAATGAAACTTGGAAGTTTAAATATATCACCGATAACTGATAGCACTAGTACAATGAACACACAAGATGATAATCATAATCTAGTCCAACTTACATCATCATTATCATCACAAACAATTCGCACAGACGTTCTTACTTGATTAGTCATTGACGATGGTTCTAGTTAAAAGCAATTCCTTCTATGAACATGTGAATGCCGTCCTGTACAGCTTATATAGTTCGATTTCAGTTTTTTTTCTTCTCTTTTTCTTTCAAGTTCCTTTTTATATTGTTGGCAATTGTGATTGAATTCTTCTTTTCCTCTTTTTTCCTCTTTCTGTCTCGACACTTGTTTTCATTTCATACCACATTTGTTCGGAGAGCAGCCATGAGAAATAAACGAAAGAAACTTCTAATGAAAAGCAAACTAAATATGCATAAGAAGCTCGATCGATCGTTCGGCTAACCGCTAGAGAACGGATACTTAAATTAATTTACTTTCGCCCATGTATGGAATAATCAGACAGCGACTTGGAATATTAATACTAATAGATAAATAAAACTCAACGGAGAAACGATTTCCCTGAAGAATTCCAGAGAAAAAGAAATGATGATGTCCTTGACAGTAGAACCTGTCCGGGAATTTCATTTATGTATATGAAGAAGGAAAAGAAACAATCAAACAAATTGTAAATTCAGCAAAGAAAGAAGAAAAGTTAATGATTATATTCATGTGCGCAAGTCTTTGCCAAAACTTGCATCGATACGACGGATGTATTGTTCACACCAAGCACGTAATGATTGCTGAAAAGAGAAAAAGAGAGTGTAAAGACGATCGACTCGATTTCGAAAAAGGAAGACAATTTACTTCACATGTTGCTATAACAGGTTTAATTTCGGAATTTTGAGTAATGGGTTTAAGAGCTGCATCGTTGTGTAAAGAAAGACTCCATTCATGCGGCAAAGCCTGAAGAAAAATAAAGAAAAAATATTCATTTCTTGACTCTTCTTCTAACATACTAATATTTGTGGGGAAGATTTAACAGCGCGTCGACCAACGTAGAATAAAACCGATGCTAGCACTTTGAGACTAGCCGCTTGGTTCGGTGTCAATTGGCCAAGTAATAATCGATATTTAATCGGTTTAGTAAGAAGCTGAAAATGAAAAGCGATGAAGTTTGATCTCAACTAGAAAGTCGAACCTACCGTTGTTACTAATGATCGAAAAATGAAACAACCGATGATTAGAAGTGTTGCACGCTGTTTGGTAATATTAACAAGTCTTGTCTTATTGAACTCAAGAAGTTCCTAAATGTGTTCAACAAATGGTTTTAATTTCCTCGAAATTCCAATTGTTAACTTTACTCTTTCACACTGCCAAAAGTAATTCTCAGGAAATGGATTACCAGGTTGGATCAAAGCAGCTATCGCTGACGTCTTCGATGTTCCAAGGATACCATCTCTTGGCTAGAAGCGAATTTTCAACGTATTGTTCAATTTTTTTTTCGAAAAAAAAGTCTACCATAAAATCAACAATCCGTGCAATAATATTTTTCAAAGCGTCGGCAATAACAAAGATGGCTTGATTATAGGACTTCGATGACGGATTTAATGCACTCTTCAATTCAACTGGATTAACAATCGCTTGGATAAGTGCATTGTAAATGGGGCCTTCCGGTTCAAGATAAACACGATGTAGAGCGACCATAATTTCTTGTAAACGAATTTTATGAATTGTTGCACTCAGTGATTGTCTGGAACTCTTCTGAAAACAAGAAGATGCTTTCGTGTGTTGGCAAGTTCTTCTTACGAAAGAAAACGTATGATCTTTCGTCTTACCGAGCGGCTTCTACTAGCACGTTGTTTGAGAACTTTTATAAAGAGAGCTGCAATAATTGCTTTTCGAAATAAGCGCTTACGATGTTTTGACTTCTTGTTCGATCGTTCACGAGGATTTCTTTCAGTAAAAAATCCTTGTTCATCTGCAATAAGAATTGATAGATAGAAAAGTCATATTTCGGTTTTATTAAATGTTACCTTGCCGGCTTCTGCTTCGGTGGCGGCGGCGATTGTCTCCAAATAAACCATCGTCCACATTATCATTGTCATCATCGTTATCATCGTCGTCGTCGTCATCCTCATCTTCTTCTTCGTTCAGTGATGGTTCGGTCTCAGTATCTTCCGAAGCACTTGATTCTAATTAACGAAAAGTGTAGTTTTCCTTGAAAACAACTCGTTGAATACATACGAGGTCTTCGAGATTTACGCTGTTTACTTTTTTTAATCTTCCGACGAGGTATTGGCGTATAGAGTTGGTCTAGAATTGAATAAATAAAAAGATAGAATCCAGTTTTGGTTAAAAACAAAGATACGAAGTGCACAAAAACAACAGAACACAGGTTGGTGAAAAAGAAAAGTGTTTTTTTTATTTTTATGGTTAAGCAATGCGGTTAAGTTTATTTGACATTCAAACGATTAAATTCACCTCTTCTAGCTGTTAGAAATATATCACTTGGTAATTCGATCAAATGTTCAGTATGAGCTGGTAAATTCATTGGAACAGTGTGATAATTGGAATAGCCTTGAAGATTATGTTTGGCTAAATAAAGTGTCGAGTTCGATGCAAGTCTACATAAAATGCAAGCAAATAGATATTCATGCTTTTCATTTGATATTTACGATGGCTGATTGAGATGATTGGTATCCGTTCCGAAGGGTATTCGAGGAAGTTTAATCGAGGAATCATTACGCATCGAATCATTGGAGCTTGACTATTAAAAAATACCATGAACGTTTATTTTTTAATGAACAGATCGATGAATGAATACAAACATGATCCACATTCGATAGTTGAGGCTGGTTGGTTGACCCACTTCCACCTCGAAGTGTCTCATTAAAAATCTCTGGGCTCAATCGAATTATATCTGAAATCAAAATACGATCTTAACTGAAATTTGATATTCCGGTAACAAACCATGCTCAAGAAAACTTGTTGGTGTCTTATTTGCAAAGTAAATATCTTCAGGTCGTTGTTGACTTCGTAACGTTATTCGTCGGCCAAGTGGGGAAGATTCTATTACATAAAAACGATATCACAATAAATACTAGAAACGAAGGAAGGAAAAAAACCGATTGAATATTACCAAAATACGGGCTATGGCCTCCAACGCCACTGTGCCGTTGGTTTGCCGAGATCTAAATGGATTGAATAATAGAAGAAGAATGAGTTCATATTGATTGAACGTACATATCGACGTTCTGATAAATGTCGGCGTGCCATTGAATCGATTAAATCATCCATATTAGTAGTTGCAAAAGGCTGCCCTTCAAGAATGTCTAAATACGAACTTCGTTAACAGCTCAAAGCTTTATAGTAGGGGAAACTAACCACTAAGTGGTTGTACTGGAGCACGACGAGGTTCATAGCCATAATCAGATAGTAATATTGGTGGTCGCGAGCGACGACCACTATTTAACGATGCCTTCAAATAGAGAAAGAAATAATTTGCTAATCAGTAATAAAAATAGCTACCTGAATTTTTTGTATTTCTAGTTCTCGTTCAAGATCCATTTGTGTTTCTGGATCCGTTTCCACGCCTATGCGATCTGAAGGAATCCACAAAAAACAGTTACAAGTGTTGAATAAAGAGAAGCCACATACGTGTTCGTTTGATATACTCGTCTGTAGTGCGACGTTGATGATTAAGTTCCTGAATAGAAAAAATCGTTTCGTTAACCGCTTGTCTTACAGAAAAATCTTTGTGATCATTTACGGATTCAATGAGACGATGTCGAAGATCTTGAATGCTATTATCCACAGTCATATTCATTGGTTGCGATAGAAACTAGAGAAAAATATATCGATTCAGATACGGCCATTTAAAATTTCTATTCATAAGGGGCGAGAAAGATTTTTTTATAAATTTTTTGCTTATTAAGAACGTGTCACAGAACGTGTCGTTTCTATTGTTGAAGTTTTATGTTGTCGTCAAAGTCGATCGTTGCTGTTGCTATCAACGTCAAACTGCGATCTTTTACTTTACGTTAAATGATAGAAAACGAAGAGAAAAAGAATTCTCAATTGCTGCTCTTATTATTTTATTTTGCGTACTTTTCTCTCGCTTTATGTAAATAATTTGAAAAAATTGACATTTTTAAATGAAATAAATACTTACAGTAACATCAAATGGAAATCGTGCGTAGACAGGCAGATGTTTCTTGTTCATAGATACCATTGAAAGTGCATCATCATCACTTACTGTTCGTATACCACTCGATATATCTCTCTATGAGAAAGCAATTGGTGGTTATTGAAAAAAAAGTAGATATTAAACTTCACACACTTCATTGAATTTCGAATATGGTAATTCGTTCGATCTCTGCAGAAATGGAGAGGCAGTATTTGATACGGAAGGCGGTAATTGTTGATCACCTGATGGCACCCGATTAGATGCTGGACTCATAACTTGTGAATGTTGAAAATTTGAGTTAAGATTACTACCAGGCCCATTTGTCATACCTGCAGGTGGACCTTGGCCTGCAAAATTTGAACCAGGAAGAGTACCAACTTGATGCGGTGCTTCAGATGGTCGGCGACTAGGAAGTTGTGATGGTGGCTGACTACCAATTTGTGGGCCAGGCATTCGCTGACCTATTTGAGCTGATGGATGACCGACCATTTGTGTCGATCCTGGTGCTGGCGGGCGATTCACCATCTGTGTTTGTGCTGCTACTGGAAGGGGTGGACGAGTACCCATTTGTGTTGATGCTGCCGGCGGTGGTGGACGATTCATCATTTGCGCCGATACTGTCGGCGGTGGTGGACGATTCATCATTTGCGCCGATGCTGCCGGTGGTGGTGGACGGTTCATCATTTGTGGTGGCGGGTAAGCACCACTTTGTTGAGGAGCCATGGGTCGAGCAGGTGAACCAGTATATTGTCCTGATGCGTTACTTGGTGGACCATATTGTCCGGCAGCAGGTCTTACTGGTGATGACTGGAAACGAACAGCATCAGGCAATATAGGGATCTGCGGTGGTAGCGGCTGTCTCACTTGTGCCATAAGTTGAAACTGATTCGATCAACTTTGATTGACGAAGAGAAAAAATTCATGTAATTTTTTCAGTTCTTTTAAGCCATTAAATTGTACGAATGCAAGAGCGAAGGAGACGAAGTGAAGAAACAGAAGAAAACGAAATACGTGTAAAAACGACCGAACGTAAACAAAAAAAAATGATGGAAGAAAACAGTTCAACAATCTATATAAATGGCAAACAACGGGTTGTTAAGATAACAATTAAATTTTCAAGTTCGGATACATTTTCTCTTCTCTTTTTTTTCAAATAAAAAGAAAACGAGAGCTCTCATCATTTCTACTTCTCTAACTTATACGCTTCGACGCCGGCACCAAATATTTCCACACCGATCTATTCGCAAACAAAATCAATCCAATATTTAATTTCAATGTTGATTGCATAAAATAACATCATTCTCATCCATTCAAGTATTCGTTTGTTTTCTCCATAGAAACTAAAATAAAAACTGTTGAAGATACCAAAGTAACGTTAATTGTACCATTTTGTTTGTTAAACATCAACACAATAATGACACACGCAGATCTCAGCAATCGTGCTCGGATCGTACATCTTGTTGTGACACATGGTAGCAAACAACGTTTCTTATATTCGTACATCATCTTCAACAATATTGTCGCTTAGGTTCTGATCAATATGACATTCATTTTCATATGGATCGGCCACCATTGGTTCGAGATCTTATGGAACAATTGCAAGGTAAAACTCATGTTACAATGGTAAATCAACAAGTGTTCTATCGTGGTATGTTTGGTTGAATAAAAGTCAGTGTGTGGTTTAAAATTATATGTTTATAATTCTAGGTCAACGTTTACATGATAGTCCAAATAAACCTCTAGATCAGTTTGGTATATTCAATGGAAATCAAATAAATTTAGTTGGAGAAACAGTTTGTTGATGAAATAAAAATAGTCATTGATTCCATTATGACTATATTTTAGATGACTGGCTCAGAAGAAGAGCACTTTCGACATCTGTCGAGTATAGGAAAAGATGTTAAAACTACTGATATTATACTCGAATGTATATGTCATGAATTGGACAATCTAAAACAAGTAAAAAACCCGTGTTTCGATGTTTCATCGATATTCTTTTCAAATACTCATTTTAGCGACAACCACCACGTGATCAATGTGAACAATATCTTCGTGATTTATACGCACGCAACGAACAGTGCCGTTTAAATTTCCAAACTTTCCAAACCCAAGTGATGAATATCACTGCATCACCATCCGAAAAAGAAGCATATAGAGTAAAAACTGAACTCAATGCATTGATTCGAGTTAGTTTAACTATTTCGTTTGCTCAAAGATAATAACTATGCTATTATTTATACTCGTATGATTTTTAGGATCGAATAGACATTGTGTCGAATGTTTCATATGCAATATCATCGTATCAAGGTGGACACAATGGATATCGTCTTCCTACCAATGATGATTATCTTTTTCATAAACATTAGAATAAAATCTTGCTCGGAATAAGTTTGTGTGAAATAAATGTATGACAATCTCAATGTCGTCGCTGATTTATTTTGATAGCGAAAAATAAATGAAGGAGAGAGTGAAAAGCTGAGATATGCTTGAGTGATTCGCATGTTTGAATATGAATGTAATGAGCGTACGAAACGAACAAGCGACAAATATATGCGTGGTGTATAGATCATATTCGTGAGTCTATTCTCTCATTTTTTTTCCTTTCATTATAAAAGGAAGAGTGCACTGAATATTACAGTTTTTTTCGCGATTTTTTCTCTTCGTTGCGAGTTGCCGAAGACAAATATTATAAATACGTAAGACAGAAAGGACAAGTGAAGTAATTAAATATAAACAAGCAAATACAAGATAAGTATATTCGCATAGAAAGAAATGGGTGCAACGGCAAGCAAAGAGCAAGCAGTAGCAACAGCTCTCGAAAATCAAGATGCGGGCGAATTGCGAACAATCTTGAAAGATTTAACACCAGAACAAATTCGAACTCTATGCAAGACTTACGTTCCTTCAGATGAAAATCAATGCACAGTTCTTCATTATGCCGTATGGCAAGGTAATACGAACTTTGAAAATCGTTTGACTCCAATCAAATTGTGTATTTCGTATAGATAATCCAGAATTGTTGGCTCCACTATTGGATTATGCAGATGAACTGGAAGTTCGTGATGGTCTTGGTTGGACACCGTTAATGACTGCTGTCAATCGTGGTAGTAAACAAAACGTGAATATGCTGTTGGCACGTGGTGCTCAAGTCGATTGTGATTGGGTCGGTGGCATGAGTCTTGTAGCTGATGCTATGAATTTCAATGATGCAGGTTAGAATCGATAATTTGAAGAAAAAATGAACTTTTTTTCATTAATCTACCATCATCAAATTTAGAACTTATCACCATTCTCATGGATCACGGCGCATACGTTGCACCAACAGCGGACATGCTGAGCAATAGTGAAGACCAAAGTTCATTTTATCTGCTACATTATGCTGTCGATGATGGCCTCATTGACATTGCTAAGTTATTAATTGACAAGGGACGAGTACCGTTAAACACACTCGATCATTCAGGTTGGAGTCCACTTCATTTAGCTGCTGGGCATAATAATTTAGATATGGTGACATTGCTTCTGTCTCGAGGTGCCGATGTCAATATAAAAGTACATAGATAATTGAATACTGAGGAGAGATTGAAATCGAATGTTGTATATTTTTAGGACTCCATTGGCAATACTCCATTAGCATGGGCTCGGGAAATGAATGCTACTGATGTTATCAATGAATTAGAAAAACGTGGAGCAGTTGCGGATAAAGAATGGCATGGAGAAAAATTAGAAATGAAAACCAATGAACAGCGTGCGGAAGAAGGTGCATTTGATGAAAACGACCCAAATGAAGAAGAGGGTGACTATCAATCCGAACCAGGAGATGTCAACGGTATTCAAACAGGTCGATTCGAAATTGAAGTTGAAGATCCTAAAACTAAACGACAAAATTCCAGCAAAGATTCGAATATCACCGATGCACTCCAACGACAACGCCCAACTACAAAGATCGTCTTTTAACTTCTTTTTCTACTTTTATTTTTCATAAATTTGTTAGACACAAACTTTTTGTTCAAGAAGTTTTTTTTTGTTTTCAACATTTGATTTGAATGATCTTCTGACTTCAAAAGTGCGAGAAGGCAATCATCTGCCTAGTTGAATATCAAAGTACACAATCTGCTTGTCCACTCGATTCATGACATTTGATGAATCATACGAATATGTGCAAATAGTTGCTAGTGTAGTTACACGCTCGTTAATGTTGATTCAATTTCAAGTATATATCTGTATTTTTATTGTGAATATATATCCGAACGAATTTTTACTGTCGAGTAATCTATATACAACGATCATACAAGACACACACACACACACGCACGCACATGCATTACATCAAACGATAAAACAATATTAATCGAAAAACAGAAAAAATTGTTTGTCAATGCTGTTGAGTTAGATAGATTGGTTCTTTTTTTTCACTTCTACATTTTAACTGTTGAAAACTGTAGCACCGGAGAATAAAAGTGAGAGATCGTTGAGAATTTACCAAGTTTGCTTTACTGAAAGCAAAATGAGAAAAGAGTCCGAATTGGAAATGATTCAGCTAGAAATAGTCTTACGTTGAATTTCTTAAGGTTTTTTACAACATGAATTGCACATATTGTCAAAATTAGTCAGTAGATCACGTGGACATGGCAGTGCATCCATTCCAGCAGGCCCTGGTAAACCTGGCCGACCACGAAAACCTCGTGGACCTTCTCGACCTTCATCTCCCTAAAATCGTACATATTGTTTTTATTTAGATACATATAGATCATGTGCACATACTTTATCTCCTTTTTCTCCCGGCGGACCCTAAACGAAACACGATAGTATCATCAATTAGAATTTCGGATCGAAAATCTGTTCTTACTCGTATACCTTGCTCACCTCGACCGCCCTGAAATGAAAATAAATAAATATCATCAACGAATAATCTGTCATTATCGCTTTAGTATGAATATTATTATTATTATTCGATTTGTAAGGCGTTAGGAAAAGGAAACCAGCAACGCCTAATATATGCTGAGTGATTACAATACACACGCTAATACCGAAAAAGTGACGACATCATTTACACAACATGCAGTCAAGGAACACTAGCAATAACAGTAATAATAATAAACATACGTACCACTGAACGTTTCTTCAATGATTCAGGCACACTCTACAAAGCATTCTATCAATACATTCGAGATATCTGCTTTTCTTACCAATGAATAGCCAGGCAAACCCATTGGACCTCGATCTCCTTTTTCTCCTTTGCCTTGATCACCTTTTTCGCCCTAAAAAACGAGAAAATGCATGCATTACAAGTAATCGACTTTCTGTTACAATAGTTTACTTTAAAACCAGGAGGACCAATATCTCCTTTTGCTCCTACTCCACCCTAGAAGCAAATAGTGACGAATAAGTTTCTTTTTTTGTTAAGACATTGATTGATTACCGTTGTTCCCGGCTCTCCTCGATCACCCTTTTCTCCATTGAATCCAGGCTGACCAGGTAGACCAATGCGTCCCTGATTGATTCATTCATTCGTGAAAAAGATAGGTACCATTTGCAACGATTATTTTACCTTTGGCCCAGGAAGACCTGGTGGACCCATCATGACGATATGCGTAGAATTGAAATCAACTTTCTGAATGTATCCAGCTTCGCCTTTAACACCACGATCCCCCTTAAGTAATCAAACAGTGTATAACAGCAAGGATGATATGTTTGATTCTCAATGATACACTTACTTTTCTTCCAGGGGGACCTTGTGGTCCCAGTTCACCTTTCGTTCCATCAATACCATCGCGACCATTTTGTCCAGGCATTCCTGGACTACAAACAGTAAATATATCTCATAGATAAACAGAATCAAATATTCATAGCTACTTTACCTTCCGGGTAGTCCGGGAGCACCACGATCACCCTTTGGTCCAACAATAGAATCGCCACGTTCTCCTGTATTACACAAATGTTGAGCAGTAAGAGACAATGAAATGGTTTACCTTTAATTCCAGGTGATCCAGGATCGCCCTTCAGAAAAACAAATCGACGCATTTTCGGCCGAAGAGCAGCGCCTCGATTGCCCTTTTCGCCCTAGTTTTCGAAATAGATTACAACAAAAGAGAAATCGCAACCATTGCAATAAGCGCAAAAAACATATAGCAATGGAAACATGCAACCGAAAAGAACTGAGAATACGACTATGCTTGATGCTGAAGCGGAGGGGAACATCAATGAAAGACAAATGAGAAGCTTCACAGAACTGTATCAAAGCATATCAATATTAACACGAAGAAGTCAATAGTTACAGATTAGGCGTTACACGGTTCCCCTTTTGAATTCATCCTTCTATTTTCTCATGGTACGCTAAGTTCGTTTTTTTATTGCTCATATTCTTTTCTCAATACATACCTTCTCGCCTGGTAAACCCTAGAGAAGAAAGAAAGCAAAAATAAAATTCAAATGCATATGAACATTTGAGTACATACATCTTGACCTGGCGGCCCTGTTTCGCCAATACCATTATGTCCAGCTGGACCCATGTCACCTTTAACTCCAGGTGGACCAGGAGGACCTGCCGGGCCCGGTGGACCTTGGATATACTTCATATGTGATGATGACTCTGCTATTCCTGTACGATCTGCATCTCCACTATTTCCTGGTTCGCCTTTTTCGCCCTAGATCACACGAAACTCTTATCTATTTATAAGAAACCATCGAATACTTACTTTAACGCCATTCCATACAATGGATCCTGGAAAGCCTCGTTCACCTTTCGGTCCCGATTCACCCTAAAAATATGGAATCAGATCATTTGGTCTGATACAACTACAAACATATCATATCTTACAGGAAACCCAGCAAAACCTCGATCGCCCTATAATATATACAAAGATATTATACACGGAAATTCAAATCTAACACATACTTTTTCGCCCTTAGGACCTATGTTAAAGAAATACAACAATCAGTTTTGAAAACAAATCAAAATAATTTTACCTGCAGGACATAAACAATTATTTGGTTGTGGCTCTTCAATGTGTCGTCGTTGACGTATAGCGTTCTAACGAAGAGAAAAAGAAAAATTTTAAAGACTTCGTTTTCCTATGTTTTTCAAATTGAAATCAATCTTATGTGTCATTTAAAATGAACAAGCAATCGATAAGATTATCATTGGATGAGATTTATTCAACAAATTGAAAAAAGGTCATTGCAACTCTATCATTATGTTGTTTGTAATTATCATTATTTTGTCATGTTCGTTCTGATACACTACTGTATAAAGTGTGTTACATCACACATTGAACATAATGCTCTCGATAACAATAACTGAAAGAATACGCGTGATGAAAGAGGCCTCTAAATCGGACTTCTTTTCTTTGATGGTCCGATAAGGTCAAAAGAGCCATTAGCCGCTCCATTCGATTGCTCTCTCGCTACTAGAGTCCAGGTCAGTTCATACTTGTCAGAATTACGTTTATGAATACGAATTTCCACACGAAAAAAAATCAAATGAACTTGAACAGACGTATGAAATTCATTTCAATGTATGACAATTCCTATTGTTAATTTCTAGTCTGGTACTTCTACTTATACGATTGAATGCAATTCACACCTTGTTCAAATACATGTGTGAACAAAGAATATAAATGAATCAAAACACAATGCAAAGTGTCTCTTGCTCTTTATATCCTTCATCATTTGTAAGAGAGATAAATTTTCTTCATTACGGGCAAAGGTGAAGGCGAAGGTTCGAAACAATCGAGTTTGCCATATTGTCATTCAAGACTCCTTTGATCTTCATACTTGAACAAATCACACAATTATTGTTCAGGTGTTCTAAGGCTACTAACTTTATCATACAAAAAAGTCAAAACAAAGCTCGATCTTTGTCAAAAGTCTTGAAGTGTTCTCGTTCAATTGGTAGTGTATCTAGTTTCATTAGAAAAAGATGTCATAATTGAATTTTTTTTCTCACAAATTAGAGGAAATAATAGAAGTGCTTTTAAGGACGAAATGTCTGTAAGGTGAGAGAAGAAATAGCAAAACGTTTGAATCTAACATTACAACCCTCATAATTAGTTACGTGAGTCTTGGAAAATTAAAAAAAACATAATCATCNTCAATGGATCTCAAACGAAGAAGAAGATGAAAATGAAGCAAAAAAATAGCTATTAGCAGTCCTTAACATAATGTATCAAAGTTAGAGCAGAAGCTTTTCATCGTTAACCTTTGAAGTTCGACAAGCAGAAGCACTTAGTGAGCTTTTATCGTCGCGTTTAATTTGTTATGCATGTTTGAAATAAACGAGTACGACCTTGACAAGAACCATACATTGATATATATATATATGTGCATACATAGGCAAGTGTCAAGGTTCTCAAAGAGCATTTCCAAAACAAAGTACTCACTGTACTGGGTTGAACTACAATTGGACTGCTACTGTTAGTCGAGTCATCGTTGAAGGTGAATTGTTTGAGCAAAGCAAAAGCGCTTGTCATCCATTGTTTGAACGTTGAAGATGTTGGTATTTGATTAAATGATTGCAAGGATGAAGGTGGTAAAATTTCCGCTAGGATATTTTCGAACTTGAGTTGTCGTTCAGCTAAGATTTGATATTGATGAGTATTGTAAACATTCCAAGCCAATGAAATAAATATTAAAAATAAATAAAATGCATTCATTGAGATATGTATTGACGATAACCATGTTGGATAATTAGCAACATTGGTTATTTTTCTCTTATCAATTGGCATGTCTACTAATACAAGAAGATTAATCGATTGATGTCTAAATAGGCGTATGAATGTATGATTGTTGGTCAATTGAACACAGTAATAGAGCGCAACTGTTCGTCAGATATATGCTACGTTAATCAGCGTCACAACAACAATAATATAACATAGGTGTTGTGCTTCCGTGACCTGAAAAGAAAGAATACAAATTATACGTCGGGAGATATAAAACTGTTCTGTGAGGTGCCGCACAAAGAAGTACAATATTACGTATGTGTCTACGATATCATATAGGTAAGTTCTATAGCTAGGTTCGACTTTGGCGACGACGCGTCAGTATAGAAAAATGTATATAAAATTGTATATGTGTACAAAGAAACCGCAATAAGAAAGAGAGGAAGAAAGCGAGAGCAAGTCTAGTATTGTTAAAACAGCGGCAGAGAAGGAGAGAGACGCACACACACATACAAAGGAAAGAAAAGGGAAGAGAAAAAAGTGTGCAAGCTCTCTTTCTCTCCCGCTTCTTCTTCTTCTTTGATGATGACATGAGAAAGAGAGAGAGAGAACTTTTAAAAAATCCCACTTGATGAGTTAGACCTTAAGTAGGAGATATCAATTTGGATTGTTTCCTTCTTGTAAGTAATACACAAAGAAATGAACCTTTGAAAGACAATACTACATTAACATACAAAGATCTCACCACCCACTTTGTTCAATACATCATCATATTGTTCATCCACATCTACATACGTATAAAGACGATAAGACAAAACTATCCCTGTGTTGTTGTTTTAACAAAAGTCATTTATTATCAGATTATGAAAGTTACATCGTATTAGAAAATCGTTGAGAGAATACTCAAGAACACTCATCATTCAATTATCCATATGCTATGTGTGTGTGTGTGCGTTGAACAAGAGTATATTATTTCGCGTAATTATCCAATGACCTTTGCTCAAGATGGATTCTGCTATGATGTCCATCAAAAGAATCCAACTGCTGTTGTTGTTATCATCATCATCATTCTTATTATTCTTGACGAATCCTTATTTGCTTTGTAAATTTTCTTGATGGTTTTCATCATCATCATCATTTAAACCTAGTGTTGTCATAATCCATCGCGTTTTGCTAATGATTTCATTTCTAATTTTGAATAATCAACTTATTCTTTTGTCATTCTTGAAATGTGAAATATAAATAGAAAGAAAATGAATATGAGTGCAATCTACTTACAGTTAGTTTGTTTCATTCTAACTGACATGAGCAAATGTATAATAAAGTAATTTAACTGACAGATGTCTGACTGAGCTTCTTCTACCTATTCTTTCATTTCTATGTCTACTGCAGATGATGATTGACTACGGCGGAATATACACTAATCGAAGAGAACATAAGAGATATATGTAAACTGCGAATTTGGTATTTCGATAAAGCAAATGAGCAAACAAGACGTTCTTTTACATCACGATGAATTGCTTTCTAATTACCAAGAAATTGATAAAATAAGAAAAAAAACTGTAGTGACACAATGTACAAGCAGTTCCTTTGTTATATCGATCAATGTTGGTCGAACGGCACTGAATTTTTAGAATACTGCTTGATGATTGTCTATATAAGAAAAGCTTTGTTTGGTCATTGTTCAACGATGACAACGCGTTATGAACAAAAGATCTTATACTGGAGATGAGGATGATCGTGATGAAAGACAAATCAGATTGATTTGTTTCTTTTCTTCAATGTTGTTTTCTCCACTAAAAATCTTTTGTTCGATATGATAGTGATGGCAACAAACGATTTCTTTTCTTTCCTTAATCAAATATCTCAACAGTTTTATTGTTTCCAAAAATCAAAATCTCGTTTAGTGACCTAAATCCTATCAAAACTACTATTTGAGTCATTGAGTTATTCTAAATCGAATCAGACAATGATCTAATGTCATACATTTTCGTAAAAGAAAAGCAGTTAACGATTCCCAACTTATTGACGCTTTATCATTTATTTCCAGCGCGATCACAAACTAAAAGAATGCCATTATCTATAAGGAGTAATATCATATTTATCCCTCGTGTTTTGATAATTATTCGTTCTTTTCGAAATATTTGCACTGTATATATATGGACAGTGCGTTTTAAAATCGTTACAATTTACATCTACATGCAGAGCTATTAGTATGCATTTTCCCACTAGATACAGAACCACGTGTGTACTTGATTCGTGATAATTATTTGATAAAAAAATGTATAAAAACAAGATAAGGAACATGATAAATTGATTAAGAAGGAGACAAGTTCATACAATGAGAATAGCGAATATGAAAGCTCATCATCTCGTCTTGGATGGGTGGAATCGTCATTGTTTCATTTACTGTTTTATTTATCAATTAGACCGACTCTTTCTGCAGATCATAAAACGAGCGAGGGTTCTTTTAGAAAAAAAACCTATGCATTCTATTACAATCTTTCAATGGTAAAAAAATCAGAATTTGAAGCCAGCCGATTAAATTTCTATAAAAAAAACCTGGACAGATCTATTTTCGAAAAATCATTTCACCATCCAGCTTTTTTTCTAGCGTTCTAAAATAGTTGTATCAATTGCTTTGCTTTCTCGATACTCTAGAGTCCTATTATTTCATCCTAGTACTCCCAAGCCTATTTTCAGTGATAAAAATAAAATGCATTTCGAGAAATGTATTTTTCTCTTTCCAACGAACACCTAATTAAAACTGAGTTGTTTCTAAGTATTAGTCAATCAAAAATGACTAAAATAATAGGTTTTACTTTTTTAGAACAATTAATACAAAACACGCGTTTCACGCTATGTTGTTTGTACACAGACTCTGAACATCTGTAGCATGCAGAATCTGTGGTACATGTTTCGAATTCTGTTTCTATCCGCGGATAACCAAATAGAGCTAGCGCATTTTGAATATCTTCGTGCAATGTTGGTGAGATTTTTTAGCGAAAACCTAAAAGATAGAATGTCAGATGTGTTCCTAACTCTTCTAGAAATAGACGACGTTTTTATTTTTTATTTGCATTCCAATTTGGATTTTTCTTTTTCCATAAGATTAGTGCATTGATAGTAGCAGCATCAATCATTCCACAAAAACACAGAGTGGCCATCATCTTGTACCTCTTTTTACAGAATACTTGTGACACATCTCGTCAATAGTTTCAACAGCACTTTTGATTTTGTTATAGTCCAGAACAATATTCGGTTTTCCAGTTCCAGTATCTGCTTTGTTATCATAGTGCATTGAAGAGAGCAATAGGACAGTTTTGTTATTCTTTGGAACGTATGACACCAGTGTTAGATTGTCGCAGAAACCGAATATCGATGAACCAATGCGTGGCGATTTTTATTTGACTGAAACTCGATAGGAATCTCGGGCTTATTTTTTCTCAAAGTTCCTACCAAAGTAAGTTTCTTTGAGTATAATTCTTTCGTTAATTGATTACTGGTAAAGAAATTGTCGATCGTAACATCTCTGTTCGAGCCGTACGTTGGTTTCATCAGCTCTAAAACAACGTTAGCACCAACACATCACTGTAGTTGTTCATTAGGTTGTCGTCCGATATAAGGAAATGCATCGAATATAAAGTAAGAATTGACATCGACACAACACCAGAATTTAATCCCATATTTATCCGGTTTAGATGGTATATATTAACAAAATGAACACTTCCCTCGAAATCCCAAAAGCTGTTCATCAATTGTAACATGCAATCCAGGGTTATAGCATTTCTTTAAATTTTCACGAAATGTAGCGAATTTGTCTGTTCGTTTCCTCTCTTCTCGTGCTGTTCTATCGTCAAACCGAATTGATGAAATTATTGTTTCAAAACGATTTCTCGATATGGTAGCTGTGAATATTGGAGATTCTAGTGGGTTTCTATTCCACAAAGATTTAACTCTTTTCTTTGATTTTCCCATTAATCCACTCAACAATAAAAGTCCAATAAACGCTTTGAGTTCAATTAATATTATTGGTTCTCATTCATCATTAGATGCTGTATTACGATTGCCTTCGATATTTGAATAAACCATTATCTTGTTCAGAATTTCCTCTGATATGAAACACAGAAAGGCGTCCTCGACAGAAGTTATGTTTTTACGAAATTCTGTAAGTCCAGACTTGTCCGTGGCAGTACTGGAAAATTTTGTTTCGCTTGCATGTGATGGAATTGAGAGCCAAGTCATCCCAGATCTGGAACTAAAGAAAGTTTTCTTGGTAAAATCTATATTTGCGTCGATTTGCAGGCGATCAAATTATAGGAGATCAATTTCACTCTCATATTTCGATGTTTCCGAACGATTCTCGCTGTCCACATCAGAACAATCTTCTTTATTTTCTTCTGCAAACCAAGTTTCTTCTTTCATTATTTTATATTATGATTCTTCTCGTTTCTGTTTGTATTATATACGAATCCAAAAGAAAGAATGGAAACTTCAGAAATAAAATGACGTAAAAAGAACGCCATAGAACATAGTTGAGTCATGAAAGAGAGTATTTCCCTGACTTCATGAAAAGAAATCGAGAATAGTGATAGAAAATGTTCGCTTTATTCATAAATACAGAAGATAAGGAAGGAACGGGAAGAAACATATGTGCATAGCAGAATGATATTCTATCAAACATCGATTTCTTTCACACGAGACTCCGTTGTTTTAACACTATTTGGATTTTTATCTTATAAAACGTTTGGTCACATCTAATGTATAATCGACTCTGGATGGTATAAGATCATAAGTATTTATTTTATTTTCAACTAGCAAGGAAAATAATCTTTCCAGTCAATGAGTAGATGTGAGACTTTTATCAAGGTCAAGGGACGTATAATATCGATATGAACGTACTTGGATGATTAAAAAATAAGGGTAAGACGGAACAAGGAACATCGATCGGAGTAGGGTGACATACTGGAACGCTTTGGACACAAAGTTAGAATTTATATTATGAAATATTTCTCGGTGTTACAAAAGGTTAGGATGAATTGAATATCAAGCACAGTATATTTTCTGTTTAAGGAGCGCTTTAAGAATCACTGACATTGCCAATCGAACTGAATCAGTAAATATTCGTACATGTCCCGTATTCACGACGAAATCAATTTTATTTCTAAAATTGACATCTGTAATGTTTTGTGCTGCAGCGAAGGATAGAAAATGCGAAGTTGGTATCTCGATAAAAACAAATGCACAAGCAAGACGATGTTTTAGGATAATGTTAGACAGCCGTCTATATGAAATGGTTCGTTTGATCATTGTTCAATGCTGACGAAGTGTCGTGAGCAAATGATATTGCTGCTGTTGCTGCTGCCGACGACGATGAAGAGGACGATTGCGATGAAAGACAGTCATGATGGATTAGTTTTTTGTCGTCATTACTGTTAAACAGTTTTAATTTCAACTGTTCCCAACTGCAATCGACGTAATCTATTTTGGATAGCAACAATCGATCTATTTGATAGCAAAGCCACCTGTCAACTGATTACTTTCATCTAAATATTTCACTCACTTTTAAGAGCTTTTCCAAAAGTATTCTCATAGTTGGAGAATGTCTGAAGTGCAGATTGAGCATCCATAGATATGTAATCATGTTTGGTGACGTGACTAATTTGATGTTTGAGACGGATGTGATGCAGCATATCTGTTTTCCAATTTGATCGATAAAAACATCGACGGCATTTGTGTGGTTTATACAAGGATCCACCAGTGACGACAGTAGGTGTAGTTGATGTAGAAACTTGAACTTTTACTTTCTCATCTTGATCGTCATTATTACGATCATCATCGGCATTGGAATAGTCTGTGTTACTACAATTGCTAGCCACTCGATCAACCTATCCGTCGTCACAAAAGCTAATATTCGTAGAAAGCACTTTCTATGTCAGATAACTGACTTGAATAGATTTTTTTCGTTTCGGAAGGTAGATATTAACTGATAGATGAATGTCTGCAAATGGCTTCGCTGAATCACAATCAGGTTTTATTTGACGAACAACAACCGGAGCTTGAACTACGGTGTTCAATGAACAGATCGGCTTCTCTTCAGAATGTGAATCAACTTTATCTTCGTCATAGTCGATCATTAATCTGTCGGTACTATCTTCAGATTGATTGTTGAATTCATTTGATGGATCATAATTAAATGAATGAACAGCTTTGAGATGTCGGATGACATTACTTGGATGTTGTGCCCGATAGTTGCATAAATAACATTGAAACACCTTCGATAGCTCACCATTCGATGAATAGATGTTATGAGTTGTCTGAAATCATGTTGATCTATGATTGTTATCTATGTGAAAAGAAATCTTGCTCTTTTACCATGTATTTCGAATTAGGATATTGCTCAGAGTCGTTGACTGAAAATGATTCTACATATTGTTCGACGACGGATGATGAGGATGATGATGCTGGTGAAAATTTTCCTATATCAGTAGAGGTTGGTACAATATTAACAGATTGTGCAGTTGATGGTGACTTATCTATAGTATTAGCAAACCCTTTTTTTAATAATTTCAACACAGAGAGTTTACTGTCTAAAATTGGGGCAGGTGATTCTGCAAAATACACAATTTGAGAATAGTGAAATGCAAGAGAAGAGAAAGATATGTACTTTTCACTGATTTTTGTTCAAGTATGGCAATGAGATTTCGTGAATTGGAATCTTCGGTCGAATACTTATGTACAACTTTTGGTAGTAAAGCATGTTTACGAGACTGATGTTTATAGATTGATGAAGTTGATCTTGTCATCAATGAACAATACGGACATCCGTATCGTTTCGGTTCAGTCGATGGTGGATTTGTGACCGTATTATTGATCGAGGTTGGATTAGACATCTTTTGTATGTATTGTGAGATAGATCCTGAGAAAGGAGACATCGTCCGATCTTTATTCAACGGTTTTCTTTCATGTATACCAGTAACTGTACTCGAATGTTTACGTTTCATATGTGTCACGCAATCACGTCGATATTTGTACCTTAAAATGATAGGAATGTTGTAGAAATAGAAACTAGAACTAAGAATAATCACATGCAGTTGCATAACAAACATCGAAAATTTTTTTCAGTATGTTTAGCCACATGTGTTTGAAATTCGAGAATATTTGGCGTCGAATATGGGCAGAATGCACATACGAATGATTTCGTAATTTCTTGGTCGGATGCCTTTTGTACAAGCGAAGTTGATTGGTAAAGTGTAGTAGAAGGAGAGGAATTGATTTGATTGTTTTCAACTGGATGAAGAGCTGTTTTTGTACAAGTTTCATCGAGATAATCAAAGATTCGATCAGCAAAGTCATCGACATCATGTTCTGAGAGCAGAAGAAGAACAAATCAATCGATTTCTATGCTAAAATCTCTCATCTAGTCAACCTCGATTGAGATTACTTGTCGAATTTGCAATTGACTCATTGATATTCGCATTTCTACAGCATATATCATAAGTCAATTACATTTGAAAAAAAGCGACATTCATACTGATATTTTGGCGAAAATTCTGTTGATTTGACCATATCGAGTTTTTTCGTTGTTGGAATCGCACTGGTGTAGTTATGTGTGGAAGATACTTTTCTTTTCATTTGATCAGTTATTGTATTCGAGAGAAAGTAGATGTTCTTAAATGATGAATCGTTGCTATGATTGTTCTACTGAAGTGTATGACAGGTGGATAAGAGTTCGCGCGTCTGAAACGATTATCTTGCTGATCGACTCTTTTGCGCAGATAGATCGATACGCATAGCAACCATGAGATGAAAATTGATTTTTTTCGAATAAAAATTCACTGATGAACTTCAGTCAAGAAAGAGACAGCTTACACTTGATGTCAATATTAGTCTTTTATACTAGAACAACATCAATTGTTTGTTGAAATTGATTAATGTTGACAGCACTCTCTCTTGATGTCGAAAATCCTTTTTTTTCATCGAGAGATACATGCACATGCATTAAATTCTTAACAATATGCTTTCAGCATCGACTTGCCTTTTACTCATGCTGTTGTATCGACTAGTGAGTAAGTCTTTCTTTCATGATGGAGTATATAAACGGCACGGTTGATCACTAGAGCTCAAAGCTGATGGCAACTTGTAAAATTGAGTTTGCGTGTGAATAGAAAGAAGGTTCTTTCTCTTTTCTTTTCCATCTGTTGATTACCAGAAAAATGAATTAGCTACACTATTCTTTTCTTCGTCTCAACATTGTATTGCCTACTTCATTTTTCTTCCATCATCTCATTTATTTTCTCTTCTCTTTAGTAGTGATTAAAACTAATCCTCTTTTATATGTCACAGTGTGTCGACTATACGAGGAACCACAACGTGCTGGAAATCTTAAGTCTTCAAGAAGCAGATCTTCATTGTAAATGAATAGTAGCAGAGAGACGAATAGTTATATAAATTCATAATTAATTGGTGTAGTTGTTGTCTTCAAGAGCAAGATGGTGATGGAAGAAGAAGAAGAAGAAGAAGAAGCAGAAAGAGAAGGGAGGATTGTATTCAAAATTAGACAAAAGAAAGAGAACAACTCGAGAAAATTGTGGCAGATATTACAACCACTAGCAGACATCCGACGTGTTAGTGATAGACATGGCAAATAGCAAAGATACGAGTGAGAGAACGAGAGAAAAAGAGAACAGCAAATGGTGAAGTGTAAGATGCACGAAGATAATATGTAGATATATATCATTCTATAGAAAGTGCTGTTTTATAGGTCGAAGTTTGAGAGGTATTTGATCATTAGAGAGAACATGACTATCATATCCAAATAGATGAGAAAATATTTTTATATTCGTTGTTATTTTCTTTTTCTTTCTCGTATTACATTAACAGTTCATGGGCGCATACATTCTGTATGCATGTTCTTTCATCTCCTGAAACCCAACGGGTATAACTTCTCATTGTAACGTTAGTTCCGGCAACAACATCAGCAAGTAATTCACCTGCGCTCTCGTTAGATGTGCTAGTTTGACGCAGTTATAGAATAGAGAAGAAAGACCGGAGAATGGCATTGAATGGAATAGATTGAGGTATGAAGAGAAGTCAGAGATGATTAATAATATGAGAGGAGGAAAACGCAAACGACACTCGCTATTGCTGTTGTTGATGAAAAAAAAGTGTAGTTGTTCATGGAAAAGAAGGGAGAGAGCGAGAGAAGAAAACTGAACACGACATGAAACATTTATTAAGTCTCACACTCACATACACTAGTTTTTTATGATGCGATCCATTTAGTTACCGATCAATAACAAAAATAATATTTCATAAAGAAGGAAAAATAAGAATAGTCTAGATTAAATTCTCTTTTCAGATTATTTACTTTACGATACTCTATTTTCATGGCTCGTTATGAACGATTTGATGATGATGTACCGGCACTCAAATCAAACCCGCTAAGTAGATCGAATATTTCAAACGATCCAGAAATAAACGAAAAAATCGATCTATTTGTACCAACGAACGCGTCACTTTCTGTCGAAGACGAAAGAACAACTCGACATGCTCTCATAACGTTAAATATTATTTCAATTGTTGTCAGTACTGTCTGTGGCATAATTACGTTTTTCTTAGCTGTCGAGGAACGATCTGTCTCGGCACTTGGCTTTGCTGTGGACACAATTCTTGATGTCCTTGCATTTCTAACTATCATATGGCGTTTTACAAGTTCTCACGATCAAGTGAAGAAAGAAATCTACGTCTTAAGAATTCTCGCTGTTCTATTTTTTGCATCGGGTTTCGGTGTCTTTATCGATTCAGCCATAGATATTCGTCATAAAATACATCCAATACCAAATCATTACCTCGTTGTTGCTGTCGCCATTCAAACAATTGTCTTCTTCTGTTTAGCTTTTGGCAAATATACGGTAGCAAAAAAATTAAATGTTATTTCTGCATATTCTGACGCATTCAACACATTTATTTCTGCATCAATGGCATTGTCTGTTGCTTTTAGTATTACGATCTATAATTCAAATCCCAGTGTTTGGTATTTTGATCCCATGGTAGGCATGGTTATATCTGTCACAATTATGGTCTATGGCGTCTGGATGATGTTTAAGTCATTTCGAGAGATCTAAAAATAAATTCCTCGTCAATGTTTATTTTTATTCTATGTGTCAGATTATTTTAGTTTTTTTCTTTCGAAAATATATTCCATTTATCTATGTCTATACACCACCATGCTTTTCTCCTTCTTTCTTTTGAGATTCATTCAATATCGTTTGAATATGAATATATTGCAGTGATCATGATCAAATTGAAAAACATTCTAACGTCCTGGTTGCCATGGAATGATGGGTCCTGTTGTTAGGGTTTGATTGGATCCAATTTCGGAGTTTTGCTGGTGATAATCATATCGAAGCATAACCACGGTTATAATCACACCGATCATTAATAATGTAGTGATGATATTCGATACAAATGCACGTTTCGACCATTTGTTTGCTGTTTCATACCGATTTTTGTTTTTGAATTTGTGAACTTGATAGGAAAGATAACAACAGAGTAACCCGAATGGCAGAAAAATAAGATTGAATATTGACCAGAACTTCCACGTTCGAATTTTATTTAGTGGCTTTCGTGGTAGTATCGATTCAGTATCAGCTGGATGTGGATTGGTTGGAATGGCAAAAGCAAGATTTCCAAGTGTCATTTTCCCCTGATTCTGTACTGTTTGATGTGGTTCTGTATGAAATTGTTCAAACTCTGGTGGCATGTCTGCGAATATTGCTATCACAAATGAATATTTTTACTCTCGTATGCCTATTTGGATCATGGAAATAATAGATATTGTTTTCTGTTAGCTTTTGTTAAATAATCGCTTCAGCGATTTTTTATTTACGAGACAAACGAGTACAAACAGTAGAATATAAATATATAAAGGAAAAAGACGACAGCTAAGGACAAATAAGCATCAGATTATGACGCAAAAAGTAAATATGTATATATATTTGATCACTTCAGTGCAGTGCGTTGTCGATTTTTATTCATATTTACGTTATTACTATTATTATTAACAGGTGTGCTTTGACGAGCTCTCCATTCGTTTTCAATTCGACAATAAATTCCACCAGATGGTATAAATGATGCAAAGTTTGATTCTTTTAATGTTCGATTCGCCACTGACTTTGTTGCATGTTGAATAGACTGTACGTGACGAAGCATCTCGTCGAAACGGCGATGTTCATCTTCGCGTTGTGCATCTTGATTCCAGCGAGTAGATTTTGTTGCATCCCACGCGTATTTTATCTCGGCTCCATATGGATGTGCGTCAAGTGATGGCGCCCATCGCGCGCGTAATGCGGCTTTTTTAACATCAGTATTGATAGAACCATAAATAGACTGTTCAAGAACTTTCGTCGTCGTCAGATTAGTTGAATTTGTATAATGAAGTGAAAGCTGCAGTGCAGGCTGATGTTTAATAAGCTCTTCTTTGTCAAGATTTTCGTAAATATCTGAAAATTGGTTTTGCGTTTGACATATGTGTTCGCGCTGTTGACAACCGTCACTGAGAATATTCACTTGGAAAATATCAAACGGACTAATAGACTGCGAACAACAATCATGTTTGCCATCGGTTATCGACGAGAGTGAATGGTAAGAACATGTTGAGAAGTCAATAAAGCGAAAGTATGTATCACAACGAACACATTGGTCACCATGTGTAACTAACCTGAAAAAGGATACGAAAGAATTTATTATACTACGGAAGTGAAAGTTTATTGTGAACTAGCAAGGACGGATATCCGAATCGATAACATGCAATGGCAAACATCCTTGATAAGAAGAAAGTCACGCGAAAGAAGATCTCATCAATGAATGAAAACTATTTACCAGACAATCCAAAATGTATTTCGGAAAGAGCTTCCTTCTCGTATATGAATATCTCTAATCCAATCGTTAATAACAAATTTGGTATCGAGCTTATGTTGAAAAGAAAGTTTTCCATTGGATTTTAAGATGAAACGATCGATTAGACAAGGAATGAATTCCATTTGTTCGATAGTCATTATTGTTTGACAGAATTGACAACGAATGATTTTTGTGTTTGTCAATAACTCGATTAAATGACATTCAAATAATTTCCCTCGAATACGATTTCGTTTATCATGTAACTGTTCGATTTCATAAGGGTTGGAGAAGTATTTTGCTAGTTTATGGAATAACGCATCGGATATACACGATAGATTACAATTCATCGTCAGAATTTCTTTGATATGCTCGTGAATGTATTTCATGGTTTCAATAACAAGTTTGTCCATTTTTAAGAAGTCCGACGATACTAATATTGAAATCGCAATCGATGGTTCCAATTGTGGGATTTCGCCGGATAAACTTCGATTAACAAATGACATTAACCATTGAAATATATTGATATCACAATGAACGCTGATATCCACTTCTTCGGCTTGATCAGGCTCATCTTTTAGATAGTCGGCAAAGTAGCGCATTTCACGGATTAATAGTAAACGATTGCATGAAAATTGACGTTTTTCATTCTTCTGTTCATCGCAAACGGTGATACTTATTTGTGATGATTCGTGATTATCTTTACTCAGCACTATGTCGTCATTTTCCTTTATTCCGTTCGGTGTGAGATTGGTATTTGGCGATGAAGATTGCTCGGTTGCTTGATAAATCTTTTCCAATGATGAGAGAGCATTCGATGATTCATGAAGATTTGGTATTGTTAGTTGAGACAGATCGATTGCTTTTGAACGTTCAGTTAGGTAAGCGTTCAGCAAGAAATCAAATGTGTATGATTGCATTTCTTAGAAAGTAGAACGAAAACGTCTGTCTGAAATCAAGAAAGAAGAAAAGTACATAATGTTCTTAATATGTATAAGAAAAAGAAAAAAGATTGTTTGTACATTGTTTCTTTTAGTTCTGTGACAAAGAAGAAGAAAAAAAAACAATGAAAATATGGCTTCATCTTTTCTGTCGAGGAGGTCGATGGGCTTTTTGGGCAGTTGGTGGAAGGCATTCACCGGCAGATGATACAGACATCATTGTCTCTTTGGAATAATCTGTTTCGGAAAGGATTTCATCGATGTATGACATCATTTGTTCATATGTAATTGCTCCGTCGTTTTCTGGTATGGTGATATCTCCTGCAAAAGATGTATGTGAAGATCAATGGAATGGATAGGTAAACGATGTGTTACCTGTTTTAAGATTTGAGAAAGTATTTGATGACGAAGATTTGGTTAAGAAGTGAAAGTTGAGTGTTCTTCGTCCGACCAATGAATCGATTTCAATAGGATCATTCGAATGATGGGATAACTTTATTAATTCACTTTTTAGATTGTGAGATGAACTTCTAGAAAATAAACTACGACAATAACGATCAACTAAACGTCGCTGTTTATCAGTGCTGGGTGTTGGTAAGAACTATAAAGATGCTTAAAACAATGAACAGAGGAGTTTTCATTTAAATAGCACATACACATGAAATATAAACTATCTTATGAACAACGTCAAGTAATTGAGTAACCGGATCGGTTGGCCGAAGTCGCGAATTTGGGATACTGATTGGTCCAGATCCAGACGATGGTCGTGATCGATTAGATGTTGCACTTGATCTAAGACAGTCAGTCAAGTTCATACATTAATGTTGAAGTTTCGTTTGCTGAACATACTTTCGTTCTATACTTGACATACTAGACGAAGAATGAAATCTTTGTCGTAGTTGATTACTATCATAACCACTTTCGAATGATGTATTGAATGATTCCGGTAAGCGAGTCTGACTGTTGGCATCTATCACAATTATAAACAAGGATAACAGGTTGCAAGTCTTACATGAACTAGTCGTACTTTCATGTTGCCGATTGTTATTCGATTTTGTCAAAGTACTCAGTGCATTATCGATTGTTTCACAGTCTGAGACTAGAGAGAAGAGAACTTTGTATAAATATCAACCTGATTTCTTTCCATTCGATACCTAAAGTACTTGAATCTTGTTTGCTCGTATCATGTTGCTCGTCTATTATTCCTTCGAAGTTCACACCTTGAATTCCACTGCTATTATCAGCTGGTGATTCTTTAACACTTGAACAACTCATACACCTTGAATGATATTGTTTAGCAAGATAAGAATCCCATTTCATTTCTCGTTGCTGTAAGCGCTTTTCCAACGATTGTATTGTACTACATGAACGATCCATGTAGCACATCAATTCTTCTGTGCACAATCGAGCAATGTCAGATATGTCTGGACGAAGGATCGGATCAACGATTAGACATTCGATGACCGTTTCTTGTAATCGTTTCGAATGCTGGCGTAATGGCGTTCGATCATAGTCACCTTTACATACTTTTTCCGCTAGTAATAAGATATTTGGAGTATTGAATGGTAATTCTAAGACGATCATGTAGTAAAGTACACAACCTAAACTCCAAATGTCTAAAAAGGAAATCGATATGTAAACAATGGAAAGTGGAAGAGTAAGGGCACTAACCAGCTTTTTCGTTGTAATTGCAATGTTGAATGATTTCTGGGCAGGCATAGTACAATGTACCGACTGCCGATGTCATCTTACTCGAATTATCATCACGTAATTTAGCCAAACCAAAGTCAGCTATAAAACAAGAAAATCAAAACGAATGCTTTTTTTCTCGTGGAAGCGAATGCTATGATGCGAAATAACCTTGTCCAACTCTGACTAGTGCATATTTAATGATTACAACTTGTAACTACAATCATTCTCTAATTCATCATCTTTCTCGACAGATACTTACTAATCTTCACTCTATATTCATCATCTAGCATAATATTATTCGCTGTTAAATCCCGATGAACAATTCCTTTTTCTTTATGTAAATATCGTAACGCAAGCATCAATTGGATGAACACTCGCCAGATATTTTCTTTTGATATTGTTTGATTTGTTCGTTTCATTAATACAAGATGTTCTTGTAGTGTTGATCCAATGATCAATTCCATTCTCACATATATATTATCATCTAGAAATGACTCGTATTAATGAAAAACTCATTTGAATAAAAAAAACTTTGTCTGATTACTTTCGATGAATAATTGATGGTAACTAACAATATTAGGATGACGAGGTTTTGCACGAATGATGCTTACTTCACTAATCATATCTCCTAAACTACGTTCTGCATCGGTTTTTAGCGAACGTTGATTGATCTACGTAAACAAAACATATAATTATCCAAAGTTTCGATGAGTGTCGAGTGAAACGAACCTCTTTCAACGCGTACATCGTTGTTGATCCACGTGTCGCTACTCGATACACAGATCCAAATGCACCCGATCCAAGACATTCATAAACACCATAATCTCGAATGTATCTCGTTGGCTCTTGCTTTGGATTGATTGCTAGTAAACGTTCAGCTTTAATTTGATTTAATTCTTCGAGAGGGATTGCATTCCAAGCATGTGTTATCGCTTGGTAAGCATCAGGATCACGCTGAAAATATCCAGCTCCGACAAATAATTCGAATATGTTTGGTGGAAACAATCGTTTGTACTGTTGCCGATGATGATTTTCATTGGATGGATATAAAAATCGTAAAGTTTTGAACACTGTTCGCTATTTTCAGACAAAATTTCCAAATTAAGAGAGAGATATGTAAACTTAATACTCACTTGTAAATGAATAAACGTTTCTAATCGTTGAAGTTCCTTATCTTTTGGGAAAAGAAGCACAGCTAAGATATAAATTCCATTTTGCTCGATAATTGTTTGTCTATTGGTATTATCGCATGATAATTCAGCTAGGCAATTGCAGCAAGAAGATTGCATATCATAAAATTGATCCAATTCCGAATATTTCTATAATGTTTATTCATGGACATGCGAAGCAATCCTATTCTATTTCATTACCTTGGTTTCCTCAAGATCTCCTTGAGTTTTTCGTGCCGTACTTGATCCTGATTGGATTCGATTTGTTTTGGTTGAAAGAGATGAATAATCAAATCGTTCTCTAAAAATAAATCAGCAATCGGAATTCTATCGCAAGTAGAAAGGAAGCAAAGTCTTTACCCGCTTTCTAACAATGAAAGTAAGAGTGGAATAGCACCAGTTAACCGTATTCTTCGTCGTTCATCTTCATTCGCAGCACAATGTGCTAAACACCATATTGCATGTTCAAGAACTTTGACATTACTATGATTCAAATAACTACAAACACAAATTATTTAACACGAAAATCATCTTTGGCGGTCTACTTTGTAAACGTGTATAGATAGTCGTCTGGAATACGTGGAATATACTGATGTATACCAGGATAAGAGAAAAAAGTTGCTAGTAGATGGAAAGATAGTCTAAGAAAATGAGACATATTATTTGAAAATAGAGAAAATCCAAACTTGACATACTGGGTCGTTTCTAGATCTTTGTACTCTAATAGATGAAGAAGATTTTCGATGATTTCTGATTGAAGAAATTCATTCATATATAATTCTCTAAAATTTTTCAAGATAAAAGAAAGCATGAACATCAATCGAGCCCTTACGATTTGTCAATCATATGTAAGATCAATCTCAATGTTTCGTTTAGGAATGGAAAGTGTCGATGATTTAACAGGTATGTAATCGATGCAATTATGTTACTTGATATCAAAGAATCTTGCTCAGCATGATCCGATGAACCAATCAGAATTTTTTGAAGAATTCCTTAAATGGAAAAATCAAAACATGCCTTTGCTCATTCCATGACAATACTTACTAAGGATATCTCCAAGTGCATTAGATGTGACACAAGATACTTCGTTATTACTATCGTATAAATTTGGCGTCAAATAATGAGCATATAGGTCCATTTGCTAATAGAAGAAACAGAATTGTTTAGAAAGAACAGAACTGGAGAAATAACTTACCTGTTTCAAACCCAGTAATCCATTTTCTTCAATAAAAACAAGCAAAAATTCATATTCACGTAGAAGAATTCGCAAGGCATAGAATGTAGGTGATATGACGGCCTTCTTTGTACTGAAAGATTGTACATGTATCACAAATCAAACCAAGTTCGTTTCAGTACTTACGGAGCGAGTAATCTTTTCTTTATAAGAAAATGTAGAATCTAAAGAGGAAAACCTTCTTATTCTTTTAACTTAATTCTTCAAACGCACTTACATTTAAAAAGTATTTCTGATCACTGGTACCAACGAATTTCGTTTGATTACTATATTGTGAACTAAATGACAAGTAAACCGTCACAGATTCCAATTCATATCAACGAACAAACTAACTTAAATTGTTTGAGAACGTTTTCTTCTAGTTTTTGTTCATTCACTTTATCAATACGTTCTAATTCCTGATAAATTTTACTTGCAGTATAGCGTTCTATTGCACTGAAAGATGATTGTTTAGAGAATTATGAACTTTACTTGTTCTAGTTTAATACTCACTGCCGTTTTATTCGGTCGTTACTTGCCATTCGACTCATATATAGCGCGAAATATCAAAAGAGTAATGTAAAAACGTCGCAACATATGTTTGTTCACGTTAACGCCAAAAGACGAATGAATCATCAAGTAATAGGAGAATTCTTCTAAGACTTCTTTCTTTTTCCTCTTATCAAGAACTCATAAAAATGAATCTACATTTCAAACTTAACTGTTTCTTTTTTTTTCTAATCAAATCATAAATTTTCATGGAATATAAATGAATCAAATAAGTGAAACAAGAGAACATATACAAAACAATCACAATTGTCTTGAACAATGCCAGGTGTTTATTTACACCTTTTGTTCTTTCATCTTACCCTCGCCTGAACATTCAGCATTGAGCGACATCTATTTTGCTTAAAACAAACAACGATCTAAACTCAAATCGACGAAATAGTTTTTAAAAATCGAGGAAATTTTTCCAATTTTCCTGAATTTTTCTTCGACTATTCGCAGAGGTTCATTCTCATCTGAATGGCATTCTAGACAAAGGACACCGTTCTTTGTCTGTCAAAAAAGACATGTCAAACTTGTTTGTTTCTTTTATACGATCAGTTTAAGCATGCGCAGAACATTTCCCTTAGCTCATTATTAATTCTTTCAGATTTTCTTCTATGTATTAGTGTGTGGTGTGCGGGTGTGCCAAACTAGTCATCGTTTTTCTTCCAATAATTATTTATTTTTTATTTATCTATTATTAATTCTTATCTGTGAAAGTTATTTCAATGGATCAAGAACGTGCAATGATGATTTTTTTGTCTTATCAAAAATTACGAATGCCAACATTTAGTGTCCGGCAGCGACGCACTGAAAATCCCTTACGCGAACGTTTACTCGTTCGAAAATTCATCACCCAACTAGAAACATAGTAAGATTCAAACATGCCAACAACAAAGAAATTTTCTCTTTTGTTTCAAGTTACTTCTATCAGCAACAACAACAAATGCAATGGCAATACTACAAAGAACAAGAAGCTATGACATCGAATAATGCTCAAGTCAATCAACAAAATGAACAAATAAGTCAGATGGATGTCGATCGAGTATGTCAACATAGTATTTTCGAGTGAATATTCTATGCGAGAATTTTGACACTTAGGAACTTGATGAACAAACCGAACATGAAGATGATCCATCGAACATCAACGATGAGTCAAGTGAAGATGAGGATGATTCGGTCTGTTCAATTGTTATGTCAACAAGCGATGATCATACCAATTGTGATTCACTTGATACATCGGATTTAATGAAAAATTATGCCTTAATGCTTGAAGTTCCAACAACTTTGACAACAACAAAAGAACAAATCTAAGAGAATTTCGAACACAGTATTAGTTCCTTGTTTTCTTCTCGATTCACTGTGCAAATGTGACCATCGATATATATTTTTGTCATACAAGCGCTGTTTGTGTGTCATGTGGTTTTTTTAGTCATGTCTCTCCTTCTATCCAACGATGACGTCAGATATTCTTTTGAATGAATGATTCTCTTCATTAAAATGCTAATTTTTTTTCATAATAATCCTATTTTTCTGCTTCTCGTGTGTATCAGATGTCACACTTACTAGAGTTTGTGTGAAACTTCTGCGCTGCGAAGTCTGTGGTTCTTCTCACATCTCTTTTTCGTTACAATAAATTGTGTTTTTTTTCTGTTTTTTTTTTGCTTGTTGTATCTCAAAAATCTCTTGGTCTATCTATATTCCTTTTTCTTTTTCTCTCTCTCTCTCTTTTGATAAGAAAATAGCGAATTAATATGTTTGTCAAACACGATAGACATGAAGAAAATAAAATCAAATTCCATAAATAGATTCATTGGATATGAAAACTTGCATTTGTTTATTTGAAAATCCATAAAAATGAGATTTTTCTCTTACGATTAAAAAGTTAGGTAGTTGAGAAAGAGAAAAGAAAGAATAGATTGTTTAGTATTTTTGTAACTTCTCTTTTTCATTCTGTTCTGAGAATACGGAATTATACTTGCATATTAACTCATAACATATAGCTAATCGACAAAAAGCATATTCCAGTGTTCATGTGCTTGTGACTTACATTCAATTGATCAGCTAACTGCGAATTGAAAGTAAACAATGACAATAACTGCACATTCATCGAGCCATCGTCGACTTCATAATCAATCTCACTTGTCCAATGCAAATTCCAATCCGAATGTTTCCCTGGGTGATTCTTCGAACCTCTCTGATTCGTTTTCGGTATCGTCTTTGACAATGATTCCATTGGTAACAATCACCTATTGTAATCCATTATTATCCCAAGGTATATAACAATAGTAGTAAGAATGTCATCTGTCTAAATTCCTATAAGCAGTAAATCCATTACCTGTTACTATTGCTCGAGTATAGTAAGGAAAAGGAAAAGAATATACGCGTGTATATGGCTCGTGAAACGGAAGAGAAGTTGACGTCTACGAAGAAGAAAGTGAGAAAGAAAATGATTTGCAAACAATAGAAAAATGAAACAAGTTTATGTAGTAAGCGTGAAGAGAATAGAAAGTCCTCATTTTAATTGAACGACAAAAAGACAAGTGAATATATCGACGATTAGAAAAGAAAACAAACCATGGAAACATCGAGGAGGAATTCATCTGTTAGTTCGATTTCGGCACTTCGGACAATGGAGATAAGGAAACAAATTATCATAACACCTTGTACTTTCATCCGGATCATATACGGTGATAGTAAGTCTCGACAAAATATGCCGATAAAAAACAAACTTCTTCAGCTTTTCCATTCCATTTACTTTCGCTATATTTTTCCATCATAGATAATCAACAACTTCTTGTTAACAGTTATGCAACTTGTCGGCGGCTGCTTGATCATATGAAATCAAATATCGGTATTCCTTCTAATGGTATGTTTTTCTTCGCTCACGAAAAGAGCTGTTTTTCTCATTGATTAACAAATAGAAGCCATTGATCTGATTGATCACGAGGGAAAATTGAAAGAACTCAGCACACATTTAGACGAATATGCCACACAATTTCTCACTGCAAGAAGCACTTACTACATTCTCAAAGTCGAAAGTAGGCCGAAACGACTATGAAAAAGGAAAGTTCATTTCATCTTCCTTTGCAGTCGATACTACAACCGGTGAAAAACGTTATACACCTAACTTTAGTCTCGATCAGCTCGATCAGAGATTATGTATTGTGTTGACAAGTAATCATAACTTAATTTTATCTCAATTACTAATATTCGATTATGATTTGTAGATACATTGAATGCATTGAATAAGTCTTCAAGTAAACCAAAACGAATATCGGGAACCGTGCGACAGTATATTACTTCGTTACCGACAACAGCGACGAATCAATCGAAAACAAAACGAACACCTAATCGAAAATGATTATTCTATTTCTTGTATAAAGGAAACTTTCTTTCCATAGTTCTTAAACAATTTAGACAGTCCAGTAAAATGTTCATGGCATAATCATGTACTTGTGAGTATTATTAGTTCAAAAAAAAGTTACGTAATCAAGTATGCCATTATTTAACAAATTGACACTACTTTTACGTGTATGAAGCATTTTGATATTGCAATTTCGATTAACAACGACATGAAGTACTTCTAAGAAATGAGTTTGTCCACACTCGATTGTGACCTGTCATTATCAGGAAAAAAGGCGCTAGTTGGATTCATTATGGCCTTGATATTAATGGACCAGACTTGTAATAACAACACTTGTTTTTAGTTATGACAAACTAATCTAATGGCAAATATTTACTAAATGATAACATATTTACAATCAGCAGTGATTTCATACCAAACAGTGTATTCAGCATTGAGTAAAACGATAGAAGTATATATAAAGTCACAGATTATAACAGGAGGAAATACAAACATCAGCTAAGCTATGTAATATGTATACAGCAGAAGCGAGTAGGTGGTACACTAATTGAATCGATTCGCGTTGAATAACTTTATTTAATTAAAAAGAAATTTTGTCAAGTAGATACATTCTCTCTCGAACTTCAATAAATGATAAACGATCTTTAGTTTCATAGCTCCAACAGCCTTGTAGAAATAAATACAAATCATTCGGACAATCAACGGGTTGTAAGTGTGTCTTTCGTTCTTCTTTAACATATTTCGCTACGTCACGTGTAGAGGCGATCTCAGGATACGGCTTGCCAGGATCATCGAGAAACATTTGTATAATAACAATACCAAACGACCACACATCGCTTTTTGACGTGAACTTCGCCCAAATACTCGCTGGATTATTAGTAGATGTATTGTCTTTTGAACATGCCAAACATTCAGGTGCAAGAAAACGATGTAAGAACCGATTCTCTTCATCCACTTCTGTTTGCCGCTCGAGCGTGTTGCGTCCTTCTTCTCTTTTGATTGCATGACCAAAATCTGCGACTCGCACGTAACCCTGCGAAGTAATTAGTACATTACTAGCGGTCAAGTCCCGATGAACAATGTTTTTCTTTTCCAAGTAAATCATTGCATTGGCAATTTGAAAACCCACCTTTGAAACGAATTTCATTCGTTCTGTCATGCTCTCATATTTCAATGGGCAACGAGATTCTAATGAGTCTGCAGCATCTTCGAATACTAAATGATTATAACTACCATCAAAATATTGCCCATAACATGCGATAATTGAAGGGTGACATAAGTCTTTTAGTAGAGTGAGTTCTTGTTTGAAATGTTTTTGTATCTTGTCAAAACGTTTAATAAACACTTTGATGTCGTTTTGTCGATGACAGTGTAAAATTGCTTTTGTTATACCAGCATTATTCTGGCCACTCTTTGGCAGTCGACTGTAATCGATGTCGGCAAGCTGTTTACTGTTCAAATACCAAATCCCATCGTCTGGTGGTGGCACAAATTCTGTTATTAATGGAGGGAACTGGTTACTATTGGATTTGTAAAGTCTGTTGCTATAACTTTTCAAGAATTTTCCAACATCTTCTTTAGTATTCTGTTCGGAGCAAGGTAAACGATAGGTTTTTATGTGAACATCATAGACCGTTTCGTCGACGCGTACGGACAGAGCGACGCAGAAATGATTCGATGTATCTTCCTCAGATTTTGCATTATAATCAATTGAAACGATTATGCTGTCATTGTCTGTTAAACGCCGAATAATATATGTACCATTAGGCTTTTGAAGTAAACAATATCTGGCGTATGACGGAGAAATATCTTGTATGGTGACTGGCATTGAGAAAAAAGCATCAATCTGAAATGCAGAAACAAAAGGAGACACGAATCACAGTGAACAGTTTTCAAGATGCTGTATACAAATAAACACCTGTTGAATGGACATTCCTTCGCATTTATCTTCGCTTAACTATGAACCCTTAGATTCGTTACAATCGTTATACATAATTTTACATTGTCATGCTCATCAATCACGCGCTTGCCCGTTCCTCATCTCATACTTCGTTTGTAAAAATTCGATGTCTGAAAGAATTTAATCGTATTGTAAGAAATTACCAACTAGGTCAAAAATTACTCGGGTTAAACAAATATTGATTGATCCTGTCGTCTAAAAACCGAAGAGATCCGAGTATTTGTAACAATAGTAATAGTGAAATTACATGTTAATCACAATTAACTCGAGTACAAACCATTTCTCATTGTTACGTGATCATCCGAATGGATCATCTTACGTAATCTAGTTCTCATTAATTAAATGATAAATTTCGAGAATCAATATGAGAAAGTTCGAAATATCGCAGTTCTAATGGACTTCGGTGCGTCTATTTAACTAATCATAAAAGTGAGAAACAAAAACTAAGATAACAATCTTACAGTTTATTGGATGGTCGATGTAAGCAGCACAATTTCTTCAAATAAAATTTATATAAGGATTCTTTCATCACGTGTTGGCAACAGATGCCTCGTGTAGAGTGGTGAAGTATTATGCAGTCGAAACGGGAACCATTTCAATTAGAAATTCATTCGATGAGTTTTGCCAATAACGGTTGTTACAACACGAGCATCGTTGAATGAGAAATATTCACCTATATAAATAGCAGTATGCTTGACTTTTTCTTTATTTCACAATCATTTTTTGCGTTCTTTTTCTTTTGAAATCATGTCTGTAGTAAATACTTTTTTTTTCTTACCGCTTTTAAGACACTACTTTTTTCATCTTCGCAGAACAGGCAAAAAGTAAAATACAAAAGAACAAGAATCATGAGTATGCAGTGCTCCATGCATATATTACCTGGATGAAGTCGGGTCTCTTCCAATAGGAAAGGCGTGATCTCGGACTTAAAATCAGTTAATTATAAGATTGAGGCATAGAGTAAACGTAAATTGGAGTTCATACGCCAAGTACGTTTTTGTTTCTGTATTGATTTTCCATACGATTGGTAAATATTAGACTCAAGTATCTATGTAAAAAAATATCTGAAAGGCTTGCTTGTTCACCTTTTCCGGGATAAAGAAAGGTGGAAAATATTAGCTCGAAGTGTTGGCTTCTCTTGAACGGCAAGAGAGAGACGTGAGTTCTGTCAAGAATATTGTATCAGAGGATTTTTCGATAGCAGTTCTAATAATAAAACGATAGAGAGTAAACAACAAGCTCTCCTTTCGATTTAAAGCGCTGTAAAGAAACGTGATCATTATCGTGATAGTTGTATGATTCGAAAACGGAAGATGCAAAGGAATAGATGCTTCGTCGTCTCGTTGTTACAGACGTGTACATTGTTTTGGAAAAACATTCTGTGCCGTTTTTCTTCAAAGCAACAAATTCTAACGAGAGAGAATGTTTTTTTTCTGAATCCAGAGAAAAATCACGTGCTTTTTCGAGAATTTTGTTCTGATGCCTATGAAAATATAAGTAGTGTTTACTCAGCGATCAATTTAATTTATTTCTGAATTGCTCCTTTCGTGCACCTATTTTCTGCAAACTAGTCGAAAGAGTTCGATTATTCGTTGATTAAAGAATGTTTTTATACTCAAATAGACTGAACAATTAGTTTCAACCCTTTGGTTAGTATGTATAACCGTTTTCACAAATTAATTAAATATGCTGACGTTCTACGCGAATATGTCTGAATTTGAGAGATAACATGCTAAACATTACAATGAAATCAAGCTGATATAATAGATTTTAGAAAAGAAATGTTTAAGCACATTCTTACCATAGAATTTTTATAGATTTGTAATGATGACTAAGCAAGACATATTCGATATCATCCTCTTTATTATATTATTAATCGTTTCGACCCTGCTGGTATTTGAAAAGACACCGACCCATACGATAAGTATTGCACCACAACGAGTGACAATGAATTTTCATTTATACGCTCAAAATCTTACCATCAATGGTACTGTCGATCCTCCATGCAATCGAACTCAGGATATTTATATTTGTTCAGGCTATTGCCCTTGGTCGAACACTCACAACGATAAACTAATTGCCTGTTCTTTCTTACCCCGGATTCTTCATCCAGATTTTGTGAAACTCCGTATCTATTGTACTCCTGAACCAGATTCTTGTCCTACATATGATGCATGGTTAAAAGATACTCTACCTCCAACATTGGAACATATTAAACGGATACCATATTCACTCTACGCTAATTTTACATTGGACTTCTCGATTCCAGTCCGCTATGGCTTACAAAACTTTCTCACGGATGACATTTTACCAAGAAATTGGACAAACGAAGAAATCGAAAAGTATCGTATGCAACTACAACAACGAATGAATTATGGATTAAATAAAAATAAGGATATTTATCTTGCTCTAGATAAATACGCTTCCATCGCCGTCATTAACAAATCGTGTGCCGTTATCGGAGCCGAATACCCCTGGATTGAAGCGGCGCTGCTCGAATACAATGCATCTATGGTAACAACCATTGAGCATGCAACTATTTTTTCGAACGTCACTCGCTTGAAAACAATCACGCCGAGAGCATTTGCACAAAAACAGCAAAGTGGTACTCGTAGTAGAGAGTTTTTCGACAGTGTGTGGTCGTACAGTAGTTTGGAACATGATGGTCTTGGTCAATATCGTGATCCGTTGAATCCATATGGTGATCTGCAAACGATGACGAAGATAGCATGCATTTTGAGGCCAGGTGGATTTTTGTTTCTTGGCGTACCGCTCAATATAAAGGATCACTTGCAGTACAACTTATATCGTCTGTACGGACCAATTCGTTTGCCATTGTTATACCGATATTTCCACATTGTAGAAGTACTCGGTGCTACTGTTGGAAAAGACATTTACAGCAATGAAATACAGCCATTTGTAGTGTTGCAAAATAAAGTAGGATGTAAAAGGTCTTAGTCGAATAGGGAACATGCCCACTTGTCAGATGCTTCTGTATTGTTTGATCTGACCGTAAACAAGAAATAGAAAAACCCGTGCGAATCCATAGATGTGATAATACCATTACATCGGGTATCGACAGCCAAACGTCACGGTACCCTGATACCATCTTGAGAGTGTGGGAGATGGTGTTGGAGAGGGTGCAGCCTACAACGGCATAGTCTGGGTCAATGTGAACGGGATTCGTTACCTTTAGTTGGCTGATAAGTCATAGTCATATAGTAAATAAATGATTAAGTAGTATTTAATAATCAGATGCCGATTGCTTGATAGTCCGTTGATTGATAATAAGTAATCGGTTGGTTAATATTTAATTAACAGTTAGATAATAGTTAATAATCAGTCACTCAAGGGCTTACTATCAATCACTTACGAGTTGGTAAGCGGAAAACTCGAAACTTCGAATTCTACATTTAGAAGTTGAAAAGTTGAATAGTTTAAATCTCGATTATTCGAACTCTAAAGTAAAAGATTTAGAATTCGAATAAAGTTTTAATACTCGAATCAAATTAACGATTTCTACACTACTCTTTCTTTCATAGGAATATTTGAAGTTAGATACAGTTTTTTTCAATTAATATCAAGAAAATTAAATAAAAGCTAATGAGACCTTGTTCTCGGGCGGATTTTTTTATCATCATGCATAAATCAAACAGAATAGAGGAAAGAAAAGAGACAGGGATTGAAATGAAAAAAAATTGAACATAGTGTGTCTGTAAAAGCAGCTCGTAGTGCTTTATTTTGAATGATCTGAAGTCGTTTCTATATGCGTTGATTAGCCTCCAGAAGAGCAGAATAACCATAAATAATGATTGCGCGCATAATTTATTTGAAAATATTAACCATTAACTTCCTGTTGGATTCATGTGCATATTCTTAATAGAAAGCGCAGCAGATAGATTCGAGGACCGATTTTGCTTTCGGTATGATTGAGATGTTTTCGCCAGTGTAATCTCTTGTCAATAATATCATCCAAGTACTTTTTATGCTTCACTGTTTGATGGTGACTTTTTAACCATTACTTCTGCCGAATGCCTGTACTTATTTCTTCAGCGTATGCTGAAATGGATCAGCTAAGCTTTTATTGATTGCAATTCAATTTCCATAATTTTCACTAAATTTCGAAGGCATCGATCGACTGTTGAAATTTTGCATTTGGACCTGATGTGCTGATGTTGATGTCCTTACAGCAGTATCATTGGCAAATAGCTCAGGCTCCGTATGAGACGGTATATCATTCATGGAATCAGCTGTGTGTAGGATGTAATAGAGAAGACGAAGATCATTGAGCTTGCAAATTAATCCATTATGCCATATTGAGTCAAAAGCAGCTTTCATATCGAATAAAACGACTGCTGAATGGCGCTTCGCCCTTTCGGTTCTGACCTATTTTTCAGTATATTTTCGAGTCTGGCGACATCGTAAACTGTATTCCTATCTGATCTGAAGTCTGCTTGCTGTTGTGGTAAGATGTTACGCCCATTTAGTTCAGTCATCAGACGTTGTTTGATGATTTTCTTCAGTTGCTTAAGCTCCAATAATGTCGAATTGCTATCTGTTACTATCTATTTAATACAAAAGAATCAATCATTATACTAGCTAGTTTGTAATCTTGTCTACTTCAAAACATAGCATGGCAGAGAGTAAACGAACGACATGTTCAATATTTGCTTTGATTAGGCCGGGATTATTTCTTTGTATTTTTTTGTGCAAGAGAAGTGGCAAGATGTTTTTCAGACGAATATTCTTTGAAAAATAAGGCAAATTAATATGAAGGCTTTCTCTTTTAAATCTGAAATTGATCAGAAAGAATTGTTAGTTTGGAAACACTTCAACAAAGAAGATGAAACTTGATTCTAGGAAATGACCACGCTGTAAACTAAAGGGCGATTCGAGATTTTCTTTTCATTTCTGACGGCTTTCATGACGAGAAGTAAGATCAATGCATTGTGTAGTTAATATACCAAACAACTATCGAATTGTTGAAGCACTAACTTCAGTTTGATATTCTTTATCATCGACTAGAAAATGTCCACAAAATATAAGATCAGATGATCTTTTCTTTTTCCTATCTTACTTATTAGCTTAATCATGATTAATATACTCTTGAAATGTTCTTCACCAGTTCCAAACAATGCTTTTTCCATGATGACCAGGTTGTATATAAGTACGCAATACATTGAGCATGATCTTGTTGAGCACCTTTATAAAACTACATATTTCAACGTAAACATGAAACGATATAATTCTATCTTTACCGAATATTGTTTGAAATATTTACTATTAATGAATTGTTAATGTAACGGAAAACTGGTTGAGTAGCTAACTGTCTCTCACGATATAGATGCTTATTGATCTTACTTACATATCCAGAATGTGTCTACTCCACAATAAGACATGCGGTTATATAGAGAAGATGAGATATAGAGGTAATATAGAGAACAGCAGGAGATTATATCATTATTGTTAGGGAATATGTTTTGCGGTCAGTAAAATAATTGAAATGGTCAGTAAATATATTAATTGGTCAGTTTCCAGGTCGACAAATCCCATATCGGATTTCGTCGGATGGTCGGATCCGAACGGTTCCCATCGGATCCAACGTCGGATTTGTTGACGTGGGATTTAAGAAAATCAGTGAACAATTAAAAAATGGTCAGTATACTGACCACTTAAATGGCACCCTTATTGTCACAGTTAAGAAGTATCAATAAATGATACTTTGTAAGTAGTTCATCAACTAGTGTGGGATTTATATTAGGTGAAATTTTATCGAATTAACATTTGATTTCGTACAGATTATGCCAGTACATCTTACACATACCGTATCTTTACAAAATAGCAATCATATTTTTCATGACTGGAATAGTTATGCATCCTCTAAATAGTTTGAAAAAAATCCATACGAATCGATTAAGTTGTGACAAGCAACAATTCTTTCTTTTCTTGACGGCAGCGCACATGTTGCACAAAACTGTTGATTTTTTGTTTCTCGATTTTGTTTGTAAAATCATTGTTTTTCTTAGTGGTGCTGGTTTTCGGTGGTTATATCGTTCACCATCTTGCTCAGAAATAGAAATGTTTGATCATATAACGAGCTGGAAACATTCAAAGCGTCAACCGGAATGATAAGGATTTATATATGTATGTTGCAAAGCTTTGTTTTGAATATTATTGGTTTATAAATGAGAATATTCTATATAATCATAATATTTGTGGTTTCATATTATCGATAGGATAGAGCAGTCGGCTTATATTACATATCGCTATGTTTCTTATTGATACCGTTCTTTTGTAGATCACAGTCATGAATCCTCAGAATAAACGTTATTTCGCAATGCTAATTGTTGTCTCTGTTATGACAACGCTATTCTGCGTGAAGAAACCGTCATTAGCAATAATTAAATCGATTGTCAATACAATCATAGTTCCAACATCACTTGTAACTATGCGACCATTGCCAAACACAACTGTCGATGCTTACATATACGCTCAACATCTTTCTATCAATGGTATCGTGGATCCTCCATGTTATCAAACTCGAAATATTTATGTTTGCTCAGGTTATTGCCCTTGGTCGAATACTCCAAATAATGAACTCACCGTGTGTTCCTTTCTACCTCGGACTCCTCATCCGGATTTTGTGAAACTCGGTATCTATTGCATTCCTGAATCAGATCATTGTCCCACATATAATGCATGGCTGAAAGACGCGCTGCGATCAACATTTGAACGCATTGCCCAGATTCCTGAGAATCTTTTATCTAACTTTACACTGAACAATTCAGTTCCCATTGAGTACGGTTATATTGATTTTCGTCAGTACGACACTTGGCTAGTTGAATGGACAGAGAAAGAAATAGCAAAGTATCGTATGGAACTACGACAACGAGCTGATTACGGATCCTACAAATCCAAAGATCTTTTTCTAGCGTTTGATAAATATGCCTCCATCGCCGTCGTGAACAAATCGTGTGCCGTTATCGGAACCGAATACCCCTGGATTGAAGCGGCGCTGCTCGAATACAATGCATCTATGGTAACAACCATTGAGTATGCAACTATTTTTTCGAACGTCACTCGCTTGAAAACAATCACGCCGAGAGCCTTTGCACAAAAACAGCAAAGTGGTACTCGTAGTAGAGAGTTTTTCGACAGTGTGTGGTCGTACAGTAGTTTGGAACATGATGGTCTCGGTCGATATCGTGATCCGTTGAATCCATATGGTGATCTGCAAACGATGACGAAGATAGCATGCATTTTGAGGCCAGGTGGATTTTTGTTTCTCGGCATACCACTAAACCGGAAAGACCGCTTGCAATTTAACTTACATCGTATATATGGCCCGATTCGCTTACCACTGATGTATCGATACTATCATGTCGTAGAAGTGCTGGGTCTAGGAATGCCGAACGATACAAATAAATGGACGTTTCAACCATTCGTTGTTTTACAAAACAAAGTTGGATGTAAAGATTCGTAGGACATGTCGATCTGTACAGGAAAAATTCTTTTAAAAATGGGTAAATTATTATCATTATACATGCGTGAGCTTTTCGTCTGAATAAACATTACAGTCAAAGCAAGGTTGTAAAATGTTCTATTTCTGCGCGGTTCATTAAAGACTCGTTGGCAAGCGACATCTAAATATGATAGCCTAACAATTAGTTTCAAGAAAGCCAATAGAACAGCTAAAATAAAAAGTATATTTCGTTCGTTCGTAATTCACTGACTGGCTAGTGATTAACCATATTATTTTCTAATCATGTCTACAAAGGATAAGAAAGATACTTTATCTTCCCCTCAATTCCTTATTAAAGAACACCTCGACAGAAGAATCGAAAACAACAACATCGATCGAACGGCAAACAACGAGGAAATTCAAATTGACGAGGTACAAAATGAGAGTTTATCTCTGAATTGTCATTTGTTACAATATTATGTTCTACAACTATGTTCCTATACAGAAACATTCTTGTCTTGTATAGGTCCATACAGTCAACGATTGGGAACATGCTGATCTAGGCGATGAACAACGGAAGCAAAAATTTCTCCGATTAATGGGTGCAAAAGTAAATGAGAGAGAGAGTCAATCCAGAAATGTGTACGCATCTTGTTTTAGAAACATGTACTTGAAGATCGAATAGAAACGAAAAACAATACTCAATTATCTGAGAAGAAACATTGCCGTTCGAGTCAGTTCCTCTCCTGCCACATATAAACAATCAAGAATGCCAAATTTGATTTATTTAGAGGTAGAGAACGAAGAGATTGATCGTGATTTAGAAAAACAGTTCAATGAAAGTTTACAATCGAAAATTCTTCATACGCATCATGAAGGCCTTGGTTTTCATGCAAATGAAAAAATACCACATAATTCAGACTCAATTCAGCCAACGTCGACGAAATTTATTCCGGCGACAAATCAAATCTCTTCGTCCATATCTGACCAAGAAAAACACAAAAACGCAGAATGATTCTCATGATAGTACTTTTGTTAAATATTGTTTATTTTAAAAAAAGTAATGTTTCATATATAATGTAAAAAGGATGGCCGGTTTACTACACATTTTATTGTCAAAAAAATCTATAATTCGACAGTTTGATTCCACGATGACAACAACGAAAACACATGCTCGAAGAATTTGTCTATGATTTTGTAATCGTTGGCACTCTGACTGATTGTGTTCGATATCGATAGGCTCTTCCAGTTGTTGTTGATTGAATAAACTTTATCAATTCATTTGTATTTATACAGCGGCAATGCATCAATCGAAAAAATTCTTTGCGAAATTCTACTAATGTTATGAAATATAAGAAAAAGCCAAGGGAATGATAAGTATATTTAACTGAATCAATTAAACTCATCAGATACTCTTGAAATATCCCGGCGCGAATTGCTTTATAAAAAAATGCCCAAATGAGGGCTGGTGGTGTTGTCATTAGACAGAACAGAAACGCCGACAGAAGAATTGGAATTGAAATTGTTGTATGTCGAATGCGTGAATGTCGAATGGTTGATGTTCGTTGAATTAAAATCAAATGTCGAATGATTAATACATTAAAAACTAGCATGAGAACGAATGGTATGATGTTGTACAATGCGAGATTAATATAATTCCATGTTGGGTAAAGAGGAAAATGAAGTGATCCACCAGCAATTCTCGTTTGATTGTGATATTTGTATGCATAGCATGCAAAGATCGGTAGATGGAGATTAATCACCATTATAATGATGAATGTTAAAGCAATGAGGAGAAATACGCGACGATGTTGGTGAACAGCACGACGTTGCCGAATTTGATTCAATGCACAAAACCGGTCTACACACATCCACACTCGCAGCCAAGCTGATGATTGACTTAAAACATGGTTAATATATGTTGATAGTTTACAAGATAAAACAGACAAACGATCGACTTCGAAATCATATTTTAGCCTAAAGAAATGATCTAAATTCCAACCATAAAGAAGAAACATATCGACGAAAGCGATGACGAGCATATATCGCATGGTTGGCCTTTGACGGAATACTTTTTGAGAAAGAATTATGATAATAAGAATGTTCAAAACCGTTGTTACACAAGTTAAAGCAAGAGGATAGTAAGTGAATAACGAGGCGACGACCGATAGACGACGTGTAGTCATTATTTTTGAAGATCAAATGCTAATACATTGTTCAATCACATATATATATATATCTAGTTAATCATCAAATATTCAATTATCTTTCGAGTGTGGGATGTTCAGATCGTTTGTTCAAACACGTTCTCAGTGCACTCCGGTGCAATCAGTATTTTATTATAAAAGACTACATGAATAAGTCAAAATACGAACGGTATGATGGAGATTCACTCTGAACTTTCGAAAATATCGCGAAACAACGTATATCGTTATACGTTGTGTTTGTTGAACTTTCTTTTACGAGTGACTTCGCTCGATTGTTCGAGCGAAAATTTTAATTGACAGTAATATCATATATCTTTATTAATAAAAATATCCTACGTGGAATTATGTCTTTCAGTTAATTTCTTGATTAACATGTTTTCCTCGATTCTCAATTCTGGATAAAAATAGTCTTGTTCAGGAACTTTATTTTATGTAAAAAGGATATCTGCTTTTATCGAATAAACACATCTCATAAAAAGAATGAAAGACACAGCTAATCAAACAAAACAAAATCGAATACTCTTTTACGTCATGTATCGTTTTTCATATGCCTTACAAACGAAAACTGGATCTCGTCTCCTTTTCTCGGCATCTAACAAACAAAATCGGCTTCGTTCATAATCCGTAAAATACAACCGAGGGCGTCGAGCAAATTTGACGAAAACATTGATAATCGATGAACATGTCGTTGGCATATCTGTTGCTAGAAATTGCAACATATTCGATTTTTCATCAATTGTATTCGTGTTCAAATGATCCAAATGATACTGTCGAGCAAAATCTTTCAGATTTACTTTCTTATCATAATTATAAGAGAAAACTTCATCCGGGATGTCAATTAACGGCTGACCGTTGTTAGCCTAAAAGTTGCGATGAAGATTACTTTATAATTATCAATATTAGAGAGTACGCTCACCTGTCGTTTAAGAACCCAATAGGTGTGGATACTTTCAACTACGTCGGGAAGAATTGATGTTTGCTGTTTAATTGCATCAAGGTCAACATAGGACTCGAACTGCTCGAATCTAAATCAACACCGAAAACTTCATTGATTAAAGAAGAATCATCTAATACCTTTTCTGTTTAATTTCAAGAGATTTGTTCATTCGCATTCGTTTTTCTACTAAATCAAGTTTCTCCGAATGTCGACAACAAAGTGCCTAAAATCTCGAAATCGTAAAAAAAACATCAACAAATCGATCCCAAATCATACCAATAATCGAATAGAAAGATTGTCTTCACTTTCAGCAATGAACATATCTTGTTCCACGTCGAATGCACATCGTGTATGAAATCGAGTCGTACAATTCTTCCAACAACATTGTATTTTGATACCATTTGCTTTATCACAGATCGAACACGTGCCTTCATCTTGCTAGAATAAACAGAATTTTTTGTTCGGAAATGAAGAATCTTTCATACGAGAATATCCTTTGAACTTGGTGACATTTTTTCATCGAACTCAATACTTGGGAACCAAAATGAACATGAAAGATGTACCCATTGTTGATTTCTAATGAAAACTTTTCAGATTTGAATCAAGTGAATATTATTCAAAAAGATTACAACGATGAACATTTCAAAATCTTGAATATTCCATCATTTTCCCCACATATACAACAAACATGCTGACTATTATCACATTGACATGAAATACACAACCATTGATCTTCATGTTCAGCAATCCCATAGCATTTCTAAAAGCACAAAGTCGATTCCGACATCCTGTTTCAATTTCCTCACTTTGTGAACAATAGATTTACATTGTACGCATTGAATCAAATCATCAACATCATCGATCTGAAAAGAATTCATTCATCGCTATTCAACACAGTCTCCATCGAAAACATACACGACGACAAGCATCACACTGAATGGTATCTTCGTAACTCTTCTGTCGAATAGCTTTTAAACATTGTTGCTCGAGCAATTGCATGATATATTCAAATATATTCTCATCAATTTCAGGTAACTCTATCAGATAATCAATAATTGTTCAACGAAATAACATGATTAAGTCATCCTTACGTTTCTCAATCCGAAATTGATTGTACGTTATGAGCCATTGGAAATCTTGCTCATCGAGATCGTACTCTTCGTATTGATTTTGATGATTATTTATGAGAGTACTACAGAAGGGATGAAGTAGAACAATCATTCTTCAGAAGAATCATACTTTGCAAGATGATTTTTAATTGTGTTACTCATTGATGGAATGGTTTGATATCTAATTTGAGATAATTTCGTTTCGTTCAAATCTTGAAGATCATGATCATCGAGATTCCAATCACGATTTCGAATACCAGTGATAATAATATTTGCGCTGGGGTCGTCATTGAAATGTTTCGTTGGTAGTTGAATATTCTAGAACTGCATTTGAAATGAAGAAATTTGAAGATCTTTCGAAATACCTGATTTATTTTCGACTCTCGAGGACGATTATCATTGGTATGATCCTCAATTTTCAACCGACGACCAAAACGAAACGCATAAAAACGAGGTATAGGTTGAATAATATTACAACTCGCTTGTGAATTATTTAAAAACATGTTTCTAAAACAAGAAGAGATAATTCTTTTGTTCATTTTTTCGATTCACATCGACATTCATAGCAAATCGAGTGTTATTTCTATAGATAACATAAAGAGCAATTTCTACTATGTTAAATAATCCTTTTAAAAATCCCTTTTGATCCATCTTTTGAACAATAAGACAGGCAACTGCTCTAACATTTGCATTGTTATTTATGAGAAACAAAAACAAACGTATTGCAATCAAATTTTATTTTTACTTTTCATTAGTTTGGTTTTATTGGTATATTTTCTCCCTTCGTTGATACACACACGTTCTTTTAACCAGACAGATATGAGGAAAAAACAAAGAAGATCTAGTAAGAGATGAACAGGGGATAACAGAAAGTCTTAGATTCTTTTCTTTCTTCTAACTATGTACACGAGGCACAAGAAAAAAAGGTAAATCAAACGAAAAAAACACAGAGCGATTCAATGATAAAACAAAAGAAGTTCAATCGATGACTTTTTTGCTTCGTTCATCAAATCAACACGAGAATAAATAATCAGAGACAAAAAGAAAACAAAACGTTCAACTAATCTTTATCAGTTCGACGACAACACAAGAAGAAACAAAGTTATACAAGTATATATGCCACATAAATGCTAATCTATTATTCGATATTGCCATGCTCATAGACATAGAATGAGAACGAACAGAAATAAATGCCAAGAACCAGCCGATATCTGACACACAAAGACAAAGACAACAGACTTTTTCGTAATATGTCACAAAAAACGACGTGTACATGCTCATATGAAGGAAATCTCGAAAAGAAAACAAGATCTGACCAATGAGAGAAGGAAAAGAGAGATGAAGCTTTGAGCAGTAAACACCCACGAAAAGAAAAACCGGTAACTAAGTTCGCACATAAACATTTTGCTTTTCATTGATAAGCACCTGAGTTAAGAGGAAGAAAACATGCACAAAAGAGAGAATAAACGGAAGAGAAACTGAGCCCTGAGATATAGACGTACACAAACAAATCTAAGTACTTGAGAGCAAAAAAAGTATATATCTCATCATAAGATACACATAAGAAAAAAAACGAGATTATTAGCTACAATGGGATATATCAAAGCTTATCCCATGCAACTGGCGATGGAGGAAGTTCGTGAGCTTGTGCTACTTGTGATCTAGAAGTATAACATAATGAATAAGTTTTGTCGAAGCACTTTCGATTTCTTACGTGGCAAATGTTTTATACAAGGGTGAATCGTGATTCAGCCTAAGTGGAACAGTATTAGCTTGACTAAATTCTGTCAGTAGTTTGTGCATGTATTCTAAAAGCAAATCACTTAAAACAATCTTTACCTGAGTCAATACACTTACCTTTTGCTTGCCGTATACTACAGAAGTTCTCATCGGAGTCATCATATCGAAAACCTCGAACAGGTTCAAGATTAACTGTATATTGTCTTCCGCTTGGTGTTGAAAAGCAGCAACGACACATACATGAATGGTATCGAATACGTCCTTCGTGAATATAATTATGTTCTATGAAACAGAAATATCAATCAATGTGCTGTTCTATTCAAAGAAAAATCCTTACCAAGTGCTTGCGTTATAGTTATTCTTTTTCTTGGATCCCATGTCAACATTCGTAATAGGAGTAGTACAGCTTCGTGTGTGACATTTTTCGATAGAGAATATAGTGTATTTACTTTAGCTGCACGCCAAGTTTTCGATAAGATATACGATTTAGCACCATCACACGCTGTCGAAATCTCTTCCAATGGTGGAGTACCGAGCAGATTAAGAATTAAATCGAGCTAAACAAACCAAGGACCTTCACATGTAACGAAAAGAAAAAAAGATCGAATCTACTTGTTTCAGTGGAGATGATGCTTGAAATAGGATTCTTCTTCCAAGTAATTCAGCAAATATACAGCCAACACTCCACACATCAATAGCATAGGAGTAATGCTGAGCACCAAGAAGTAGTTCTGGTGCACGATAGTATTGTGTAACAACTTCTTGTGTCATACACTTCGTTTTGTCAAGTTCTTCTGTGCGAGCTAAGCCAAAATCACAAATCTAAAGGAAATCAAAGTCGACCTTGTTTGTCATTCTATTGAAAAATAAAACTCACTTTTAATAAGCAATCGCTGTTCACTAAAAGATTTCCAGGTTTTAAATCTCGATGAATCACTCCAGCTGAATGTAGAAATTTCAATCCTGAAAAGCAACAGAATGATGCTGGGAAAGCTTTTCACCGACAACTCTTTACCTCGTAGTATTTGATACAGAAACACTTTACAGTGATCAATGGATAATGCTTGTTGTGAGACAATGATCTTGTGTAAATCAATTTGCATTAGCTCTGTTAGAATATACCTTTTAGAAAAAAACGCAGTCCAATGAATTTTCATAACACGTCGTCACTTTCAACTTACACTTCATTAAATAAATCTATTTGACTAGGTGGTTGAAGAATATCAACAGCTTGAAGAATCTAAAAAGATAAATACTAGAGTAAAGATCGAATTTCGTCTGAGCAAAAATTTATTACATTATCGTGTCGAAATGTGCACAGCATTTTTATTTCACGAAAAGCTCGTCGAGCAGCAACAACTGATTGGAAGACATTCGGCATCTTTTTCAAAGCAACACGTCGACTTGTTCGTGGATCAGTAACCGCCCTACCAAAATGTTGCCTATAAATATAATCATTTTCAGTAGATCTCAACATACCATATAACACCAAATGCGCCATAGCCAATAAGGAAATCTAATATGAGCCAGCGAACGAGTGACTTTCGAAATGAAAGGATTATTTTTTTACCTCCAGGTTCCGTTTCGTTGGTAGAAGAAGGGACTGCAGCGGAAGAATTCGACGATGACGATGTACTTGATGATGAGTAGGATGGTGTTCCTAAAGTGTTTGTATAATATGGATGATGCATCGATTGTTGCTGTTGTTGTTTAGTCGATGTTCCACCATTCGTTTTCGCCGTGCTATGAGACATCGCAATCTAATATACAAGAAAACGACTTTCGACACGAAAATATCAACGATTTAGAACAAACCATGGTTGAAAATCTTTGTATTATTTAATTAATTAAAATGTTGGCGATAAATATCTGACCAAGATTGAATCAAGTCCGCACGACATATCTGCCAATGTCGCTGTTGTAGTTACTCTATGAGAGACAACAAGAAGAAAGCAAATAGAAAAATGTTAGAGAAAGAAAGAAAAAAAATGATGGAGAGAGAACGAGAAAAGAATTTAACGATGAAAAGTGCCAGTCAAGCAATCGACATCAATACAATAAGAAAAAAATCATATGGACTAACAGAACGAACGGACGGGCGAAGAAAATCGACGGACGACCGATTGTTCGTTCACTCGGACGCAAGGAGAACAAAAAAAAATAACGTTTACATACCTAGAGCCATATTGAACCAATGGTTTTATGGCCTCAGATGTAAAGAGAAAACGATCGCAAAAACGATTATCCAACTTATTGACGATGATCTATAGGAAAAAGAAATATGCTCCAATAGATAAATTTTCTTGTGGTTTTGTGTCTTGATAGCAGTTAGATTACGAACGATCAGAAGATTCTATGTGACAAGTAGCGACACTTGGGGTAAACTCGATCAATAGATCTAATATGACGTAGTTATTCATGATTGATATCTGTTAGAAAAAGATTTCGTCTACAGAATGAAAACTACACGTATGCGAAGATGAATTGTACTATTCAGTGTGTATTTCTCACGTACTCGTTCTTCTATCTTTTTCGAAATTATATCTCAAAAGCCCTGGATGAATGTCATTAATCAAATATATTCCATTGTGCACGGTACCTGTCTTGAGACAGCTCTTCACACAAAATCGATTAATGAAATGGAATACATCTACTTCAGTGTCTTGAATATGCGATAGTACTTGCACATTCGACAGTTGGCTAAAAAACCTTGATGTTTACTTATCTTGTGAAAAAGAGTTTTTCAATATTTTCAACAGTGTGTCATATTATTATTATTAAATAGAAGCAAAAAAGAGATGTAACTACGTTAACAATCTATACATAATTTACAGAGATTGTAGCAAAAAGAAAGAATCATCGAAACAATATTTCTATCTGACTAGTATTTTTTATCTTGTTGATGAAGTCGTTTGTTTTGTTGAGCTTGACGAAGACGTAGATAGGAAGTACGTGTATGATGTATTGTATTCTCCTAAAGTAAACGGAATTCAAGATAAATATTCTTCTGTCAGAGAAAGAGAGGCAAGATTTACCCTCTGTTTATTCGTTTGTCGTTTGGAATCATCGACACCGGTTGATGAAGATCTCGCTGGTGAACTTTGACTTCGCTGAGGTTGGGAAACAGAGTTCGATGATCGATTTGTGATACATGTACACGATCGCATGGAAGCTGATATTGAACTCGAAGAAGATGAAACACTACGTGTTTCTGTGGTCATCGGTGTATTTAACGGACAGAGTACACATGATGTTGAATGAAGATAATCTGTCGGAACAGATCTGAACGAGAAAGATAAGAAAGTTTAGAAGAAAAAGAACGATTGCCGAAGTTTATCATTACCGTCTAGCTAGAGTTTCTTCAATAAGACGTTGGATTAATTCGCGACCCTTTTCGTCATCGTACTCATCGTCATCTTCATCTTCATCATCGGTTTGATTTCCGTCGTTGCTATCAAAACTAAGACTATTTGAGGGAATAGTATTTTGTACAAGAGGATGAGGTCTGTTTGCTAATTGTTGATTATTGCTAGATTTATTTGTCCAGTGTGGTTTCTTAATGAGATCATAGAGAATTTTAATACTATTTGTTTCATCATTAGAATTCATTTCTTCAATCAGTGAAGATTCTTCTGTAATAACACTAAGATTTTCATTTGAAGGCACAGTAAACGAGGCATCGTATTGAATTTGATCATCGATGAGCGAATCGTCATCACCATCATCATTTTCACTATTAAACACGCGAGGATAATCATCATCAAAGCAGAGTTCATTTTTCTGAGAAGAACTATTCATACGATTTGCATTCCAATCAGAATGTTCAGATGAGTAAAGTGGATTTCCATCGTAATGCTCTTCATCATTATTACCATGTTGATTAAATGTAAGTGTTTTTTCAATGACTGTTTCACCTAATATTGTCATTCGACTGTTATTCGATGTTGTATTCATTGTCATTGTCATTGTCAATGTCCGATTATTTGGTTTTATCTGCTGATGTTCTTCTTCTTCCTCTTCGATTACTTCCGGTTCGCATGGTGGAGAATCAGGTATGTCACTAGGTGAAATGATTCCCGACGGTTTCACCGAACTGCATTCAGATGTATACGAATCATTACAGGATGATCGAATATCATAACTTGCCAAAGAACCGAGCGAAGTGCAACGAGAGTACATTAATGGCGAGTTAACAGCCGAATGTTGATGCATCATCAAGAAATGAAGACGAGATGAACGACTGGTTACACTAGAACTACTTTTCGAGTTTGATGTTGATGATGATGATTGAAATGATTCATCGTGAGCACGAATTACAACCTCTGTTGTTGTTGATTCAAGTACTGGAGATGAATGCGCAACAAGAAAACGATTTGATAATGGTGAAATTTGTTCATTGTTTGTATTGATTTCCAATGTATCTCGCTGCCGTTCATCATTCGTATTCAACATGATTCTGAAAAACAATGTGAATCGAACCTGTTCTTAACGTTCGGATAAAACCCTTTGTTCGATTTGATCATAAGCTTTTAATCTTCGGTTCCGAAAGGAAGAAACAGCTGATTTGATTGCTTCGCAAGACAAAAGAACATATTCGACCATTTAGAAAGCCTCTCATGGCGCCCTCTTTGATCCAAGAATAACATCGATCATGGCGTCTGTTTTCCCCATGTATGCATATGCATGCCGTGTCAAGATAACGGCCGTAGTTGAATACAAAGTGTATGAAACGCTTTTCCCTTCCTTTACTTCGACTAAAGCAAGTAAACAAAAAAAATCAGTTGCATATGTTTCGACGTGCAAATCATTTTCAAGCTTGATATAAGCAAATACAGCATGCTGAAAGAAAGAAATGTGTTTTTTGGTATGTCCGATATGTGTATTGCTGAATGCTTCGTTTTTTTGGCCATAATTCATCAATCCATTTCTTTGATGGTAGCCTTGAGGCGAGAAAAAGACTTCGAAATGGTTTTTAAACGTTAAGTTATTAATATTTACTAATAGGTTAAAGATAGTCCTATTTCCGATTATGAGGTAGTTATACAATATTCTATTTCAGTGCTGTAAATTACGAACACATCGCTTTCTATTTACCCTTAGTAACATAGTGCTTGAAACGACTTTCACTCGAGAGAACAAATTACCGCAACACAAATCAATGAGTTTTGCTGCCTTCCTGCGAGACTAATATGTACGTCATGAAAATATTTCGTAATTCCTATGTAAATAAAATTATTCTTGCGACGGTTATTTTCGATTTTATTTAAAAAAACACAAAACATACTGAATAATTTTACATCGCGATTCATTTTACCTTATATCTTTCTTTCTTTCAGACGTTTGATTTCATCGAACACGTTCCTAAGAGTTCCAACTCTATGTTTGACTATTGATGATACAACAGATAATTGTACAGAAATATCATTGGCATTACATGTTCTCTATTGGTCTTGGCGATGATAATGGCTAACAAAGAAGTAAGAAAAATCTCTCATTTTTTTTCTATTTTCCATTCTCATCTGCTCTACGGGAAAATCTTATTGACTACATACAAAATAACTGTGTCTTCTTCTTTTTCTTCGTCTTGTTTGAGTTAATCATCGTAGGAAACAGGAGATGTTTGCGTGACTTGGTTGGTGATAGAAGACGAAAGAATTCTCCCTTGAGTATAGAATCCATATTGATAGGAGAAGGCATGGCAAAGAATGACATGCTGAATAGACTTTATGGGCATTTAGTAAGACACTTGATTGTTTTCATTATGATTAATTAATTAAAATGTGTTATAAATTTTAGGTAACAATAAACGATTCCAATCTATGTATGATCTTTTTCCGACGACGTTGCAGAAAATTCATACCTACAACTCATGAACCATCTCGTTGTTATTGTGGTCGATTAGAATCGGAACATAATAATAGTGCTGAACATCGATCAGCGTCGCGTATTAAACCACCTAATCGTGCTTTAAAATCAGTGCCATCCAAGCTTTTAATTACTAATTCTGCTCATGATTCATTTGAGCATGAGTCCGAGCGATGGAATGTCGGTAAGCACACGATACTTTATCCAACAAACGCTTATGGCATTATTGAATTTGAAAATATGTTACATCCGGCGAAAGCACATTATTTACGCTTAGCATACGATACACATCCATCTCAAATTGTCCATCTCTTTACCAAACAGTGGCGTTTGCAACTGCCCAATCTCGTAAGAAAAAGATCATGTCACAATACTGTATCATTCGTTCATTTAGATTGTCAGTATTCATGGTGGTATTCAGAATTTTGAATTACAGCCTCGTCTTCGTCAAGTGCTCAAACGTGGTCTATTAAAAGCAGCTAAAACAGCTGGTGCATGGATATTTACATCTGGCATTAACACCGGTGTTGTAAAACATGTTGGTGATGCACTTTATATGCGATCGAAAATTCGGTCGAATATTGTAGTTGTTGGTATTGCACCATGGGGTGTTATTCAAGGGCGTGAACAATTAAAAGGAGAAAATGTAAATATTATTAATCGAATTCAAATGCGATTAGTTTGTGTTTTGTTTTTCTATTTTAAAGCAAACAATTTCTTATCATTCAGCAGCAGTTGTCACGGAAGAAAATTGCGCAACGTTAAACAGTTCACATAGTTGCTTTCTACTAGTTGACAATGGAACTGTCGGGAAATATGGAGGAGAGATCATACTTCGTAAACGTTTTGAAAAATATCTTTCGCAGCAGAAGATCTCGTTTCATGGTAAATCAATTGCATGTTCTTTTGTATACGTCAACCAGTTTTCCATTATTGAATAGGTCATGTGGGCAAACAAAATATTCCTGTCGTTTGCGTCATTGTTGAAGGTGGAAGAAACACAATTCCAACAGTTATTGAATATGTGACAGAAGAGCCACCAGTAAATCGTTTTCATCTCCATTCATCTTCATAACATCGTCTTCTAGGTTCCTGTTGTAGTTATCGATGGTAGCGGTCGTGCTGCAGATCTTATTGCGTTTGCATACAAGCATGCTCAAAGTGATGGGTATGGTAGAATGCTAATAAATTCACAGATTGAATGGATCTTTTGTTGTAGAACAATGTCAGTTGATTTGCAAGAACAATTATTACAATCGATTGAAAAAGTCTTTAATTACAACCGACGACAAGCAGAGCATGTCTATGTTGAATTGATTATCTGCGTCAGCAAACGACAGTATATAACTATATATAGAATGGATGATGATGATTCGAGTGAACAAGAAGATGTCGATCAAGCTATTCTAAGAACATTACTCAGGTATATTGAAAAGTTCACAAGGAAATATGAGATAGTTCAGTTAAACGAATGCGAATGAAAAATATATTATTGACGGTTCGACGGTAATTGTGAAAAGCTAAACAAATAGATAAGATGGTCTATGCAGATTAAATAATTTGCATTTGTAAAAGAACAGAAAACAGTCAAGTTCTCATTGAGTATGAGACGAATCGGAAAGAATATACAATGCTTCTCAGATAACATCACTAGAATTACAATTAGAAAGGATTCTTTCGAACATAAAAAATAACATATTTTTGTTTTTGTATTATTAAAGAAATCACAAGGCAAGTGCACTTGAACAATTTCGTTTGACACTCTCATGGAATCGACCTGATATCGCTCAAACCTGTTTATTGACAAAACGCAATGAACTCACACAAGCTCAATTAGATGTTTGTATGTTCGAAGCCCTTGTTGACAATCGTGTCGAATATGTTAAATTACTTATCGAAAACGGTGTGTCAATCAAAACATTTCTTACATTCAATCGTCTGCAAGCATTGTACAATACGTGTGGGTCGAATAGTACATTGCATTTGATAGCTAAAGATGTTATTCGTGGTGTTACGCATCATACTCAACATCGAATCTATTCGTTATATGAAATCGGATTGATTGTGGAAAAACTTATAGGTCAAGGTTATCGTTCATCGTACACGCGTCGCATGATACGTCATTTATGTGCACGACAGACTGTTAGTGAACGACAGAATTTCAATGTTTATACAGATGCCGAGCAGAAAGAACAGCATTCTCAGATGAATGCCAATCAGGGGGAAGAAGATGTGAAAAAGAATTCGATATGTGATGATCCAACATTTGGCTTTCCCTATAATGAATTATTAGTTTTTGCTGTGTTAACTAAACGACACGAAATGGCGTTGTTCTTCTGGGCACACGGAGAAGAGGCATTAGCCAAAGCATTGATTGGCTGTCGACTGAATAAAAATTTAGCACGTGAAGCACAAGACGATGAACTTGATACGGAAATAGCTGACGAATTTTTATCCAATGCAGAAGATTTTCAACAGCGAGCATTAGCACTTCTCGATCAATGCTACCAAGAAGACGATGTCAATGCTACCCAAATTCTGACTTGCGAATTAGAAAATTGGTCCAATTGGACGTGCCTTGATCTCTCTGTTACTGCTTATCTACGAGACTTTGTCGCACATAAATGCTGCCAACAATTATTATCAGATTTATGGATTGGTGGAATGAATGTTCGCAAATACTTGAAATGGATGGTTCTATTTGCACTTTTCTTTCCACCTGCACTTCTGCTCATCGACTTCAAATCATCGAAAGAATTACAACTGATGCCTCAAACCGAAGAAGAATACTTTCAGAATGAAGAAGATCTGATCGACAGCGATAACAACGACGATGATTCAAGTGATGATAGTTCCGATGATTTTCGTTCATCTTCATCAGATGAATCACCTGAATTGGTTATTTCGATGAATAACACCGATCGAGATGATGAGCAAACTAATGATGAAATGCAGCATGAAACAAGTACACTACGACGACGTCGAAAAAGAAGTCGACGAAAAAAACGAAAGAAACAAAATAGCAGCTCTGCTCATCCAGACGACCAACCTCCAGCATCTCCGATCAATTTAAATAGTATCAACACAAATCATCGATCCGACGACTTAAATTTACATACAATAGATGATTTAGTCTCGAATCATCACGCATCATCATTATCAATGACACCCGCCACAACAATACCAATTAACGAACAAGAAGAAATCAACAATCCATCGAATCTTGACAATCCAAGACGATTAGTTCGACGATGTCTTGCCAATGCTCAAGTAGCTATACATCATTCCATAATCAACCGATTCTTTGATTTCACTTCACGTCATGTACGACGCATCGTTCGTCGACATCGTTGGTGGAAGAAAACCGATTCTGATACTGATTCTGGCGATAGTACTGATCAGATACCATTAACGAAAAAGATTTATGAATTTTACAATGCACCTGTAACGAAATTTTTCCAAGACTTAATTTTCTTTATGATATTTCTGGGAATGTTTACATATGTTATTTTAATTAAGACTCCACCGAAACCATCGGTGTGCGAATGGATATTGATGTCGTATTTAACAACAGTGGCTATGGATTTAGTGAGAGAGTTGTTAATGATGCATGAGACACGATGGAAAACTTGGCTATCGGTCTTTTTTCATGATGTTTTACATCTATACGATACATTCTGTTGTCTAATGTTTGCTTTTGCATTCGGATTAAGATTAACATCAACTTTTCGTGTCGTTGGAAGAGTATTACTATGTGTTAATTTAAGTTTTTGGTACCTTCGTATGTTTCATTTTTTGGTTGTTTCCAAAGAAGTTGGACCTTATATTCATATCGCGGCACGAAATGTAAGTACAAATTTATGATTATCAAACATTTTTCTCATGCATGTCTTCGATTTAGATTATTGACTTACTTCGTTTGATTGTGATCGTGTTAATTGTATTGATGAGTTTTGGCGTATCGAGACAAGCGATCAAGTTCCCAAATGAAGAATGGAAATGGAGTTCGGTGAAAGAAATTTTTCTCGAACCTTACTTTATGGTATGTTAAACATTTTTCTATTGACTAGCGTGTGTATATATTTCGTTTCTGTCTGATAAAGATATACGGCGAAGTGTATGCAGAATCAATCGATCCGCCTTGCAATCGAACTGAAAATCCGGATAACCCATCATGTCAAGCAGGGCATTTCATAACACCGATCACGATGACCGCTTTCCTTCTTGTTTGTAATATACTTCTATTATCGATGTTGATGGCTCAATTCACGTCCACATTTATGAGATTGAGTCGATTGTCTGACCAAGTAAAGTGGAATCGTTACGAATTCGAAATCTTATCGATGTTTGCTTATTTTAGGTATGGAAATTTCAACGATATCATACGATTCTTCAATATGAACAAAAGCCATTGTTAGCTCCACCGTTAATTATCTTCTCCCACATATTTCTTTTCTTTAAAATCGTCTATCGTATCTGTCGTCACCGCAAACGCACTTTTAATCGTGGTTTGAAACTATTCTTAAGTGCGAAAGAAATCGAAAAACTACGTGATTTCGAAGAAGAATGTGTTCATGAATATCTTCTGGCGAAAGAAGACAAGGAAAAAAGTACTGTCGAAGAACGAATGTCTACTACATCTGACAGGTGAATATACATACTTGGATGTGCATTACAAAATAGAATGCAAATTTTGCTTTCTTCTAGGGTATCTCATATGTTAACTCGTGTTGAAACATTGAAGCGAAATGGAGCACAGCAAGTCAATCACTTCCGTAATTTTGACGAACGTTTACAACGTCTTGAAGAAATGCAAGCCTCAACAATACAATTATTAAATGTTCTAGTTCAAAACATGCAAACAATGAACAGCGATCAACAAATCGTGGGCGAATCTATTTCATCCACAGCCTTCGACAAGAAGGATAAAGAAGGTAACGACGACGAACTCTTCAATTTTACGGCTGTATCAACACCAGATGAAGTCATACCATCTGTTTCGTCATTACTATCATCATCGGGTGGAAACCGACCAATGCGTTCAGCAAGTTTCACCGGTCGAAAAGTTACAAATCCTGTGGCAATACCAGTTTCTGCTCCACCTCAAATCGTTGTTGGAACATACACAAGTCCGTCTGCGTTTGGCCCCACTAATGAACGTTTAACCGTTGCAGCAACGACACGAAGTGCTTCGTCATCGTCAGTCAATGGGCCCGATGAGACAAGTCAATCAGCTCTGCATGCTGCGGAAGAGACAGAAAATAACATATACGGAAAACTGATCAAGGAACGCTTTCGAAAACTGTCCGAATTCGTTGAAGACATTGAACGAACATTACCAAGCCACCAAGCACGTCAAGATGAGAAACATGATACAACAGATGATGATGAAACCATATCAAATATGGATTGGGTGGATACAACTGCCCGTTCAACATACAATAGTATACGCGCATCACAATTTGATATCAATCAAGACGACCAATCACAAATACTCGTAACAAGTAAGACAAGTTTTCAATGATTTGAGAATAATCTATTTGATTTGTGTCTAGCTATTGAAAATATTGAAGACATCGAACAAAATCTCATTCCTGATGTTTTAGTGCATTCATCGGTAGATGAAACTACGAATCCAGTTTAATATTTTAGCGCACATCGGTTATTCAAGTATAGAAATCAAACGAGAAAAAAGAACTTCAGATATACATTAGTCAATATATTAGTCTTGGAGTCGATATTTTTTTCTTTGACAAAATCCAACTCGGTGCTTTATATCACAGTCGGCACAGCGAACGAAAGAACAAAATTCAATTGAAAATTTTCCATACTAATCATTTATTCAGTAATCTCACCAATATTTTTACTGATCAGTGCGCTTCTACTTTCTCTTTCTTTATGTTCTTTTTTGTTATCAGTGATGTTCTGCACAAATATATTTTTATATATTTAACTCGAAAGAAAAAATATAGCCTTCGTGTTTCGTTTTACATGTTTTCTTTTCTATTTTCTACGTGTGATGCTCGAATATTTGTTCAAAGAAAAAAGTAAAATCTTAAACATCAATGAACAACAGTCATTTGAAAAGTTTTGTTTCGATTCAACGATGAAGAATGCAAAAGCAGAAACACACACACACACGCACACACCTATACACGGTTGTCAGTTTTCTACGTTTCATAATGTATGTTACTTGGATAATCATATGTTTTTGTATACGCATGTTATTCACTGATCGAGTGAGAAGGTGAGATTCAGCACTAGATATATTTTTATTACTATATATGTTTGTTATTCCGTCTCTTCTTTTTGTGAAGGTCCCAGTATGACAAGGTATCTTGTAGCACACATTAACAATGATCAAAAAGACAGACCAATTCTAACACTACCTCAATTACTCAATACTGATCAACCCTATCGAGATTTGAAATATCTCTATGATCCGGAACTAGACGTTCATGATAATGACATTATTCGTCGAATCCAAGGCTCATTGGTGGGTCTTGCCGTCGGTGATGCTGTCGGAGCAGCTGTCGAGTTTCGTCCGTATGAATATCTGAAAGAACATCCAGTCGTAGATATGCAAAGTGGTGGGACATGGGATCTACAAGCGGGTCAATGGACAGATGATACATCAATGGCACTTTGTCTTGCAGCTAGTCTTATAATAAGAGGAAAATCGAATAGCTACGATCAATTCGCACGATATAAGCGTTGGTATAGAACTGGGTATTTGTCATCAACTGGAAAATGTTTTGATATTGGAAAATCAACGCGTCAAGCTATCGAAGAGTTCGAAAATCGACAACGGCAAGTTATAAACCTAAAGATGCAACAGAATTTTTCTAGTAATAGTAGTTTTGCACTTGCTGACGATTTAATGGAATACTACTATCAGCAATATGGTTTCGATATCAAGTGTGGAACAGTAGATTCGGCTGGTAATGGGGCGTTGATGCGCCTAGCACCCATACCTCTATTCTATTTTAAATCGTACGATAGTGTGCGACAATATATCGAAGAATCAACAAGGCTTACACATGGTGATCAACGAGCGATTGATGCTTGCCAATTTTATGCTGGTCTGATTTGGCATGCGATCAATGGTTTTACGAAAAAACAACTTTTACATCCAAATTTCTATCAAGAACATCTTCACATACCGTTACATAAAGATGTCCTTGAGATTGCACGCGGATCGTATAAGCAGAAAACGGGCTATGAAGATGGTATTCGTGGTCGAGGTTACGTGTTAGAATCATTGGAAGCAGCTCTGTGGGCATTTTACAATGATGGCGATTCGTTCGAAAGAGGTGCGCTTGCTGCCGTCAATATAGGCGATGATACAGATACAACAGCAGCTATCTATGGTGAACTGGCAGGTGCAGTTTACGGTATTCATAAACTTCCTGAACGTTGGTTGAAGAAATTATTCGAGCGAAAATTTATCATGACTGTAGCGAAGGGTTTATACGTCTATGGGAAAAAGCACGAGAACGGACAGCAGAGATCTGAGGGTACTGAACGACGTTCTCAATTGAATCTGAGCACTCTTAGACGTGATACTCGACGAATCAATGACAGTTATAATATGATATTTCCAGGACAAGATACATATAGATCCGGTACTATCTATTACGACCATAATACTGGCTCAGCAACTGCAGTATATAGCCGTCAATTCGCACATCCAGAAGCGTTATCTTATCGGTATCAATCTTCACAGATGAGCAGTCCGATCTATTCTCGTCGATCTGGAAACTCGACTGGTGCACCTCAAAATGGTCTACCGCCAACTATTACGAATCCGTTCAATCAGCGTCAACTTACATACTTAGATAACACATTACGACAAGTCACATATGAAAATTCCACTGCGACCTTACAAAGTAGTAAACCACCAATTAAAGTGATTAGTGAACATTAAACTTAATCTTCTTTTCTATTGGTTTTTGTTTTTTTTTTTCGTAAATATTCGCAATCTTTGGAAAATTTCTCCTTTTGCCAAAACCTATATTCTCTATGTTTCTATGTCTCATCTTTTTTGCATTACCATCCGATTATTGGAAGTAAGTATCGTTTTTTATTGAAAGATTAGTGCAAATGGTTGGTTAATTAAACAAGCACAAACGATTAAAATGAGATTACAAATATTTAGACCTGCAGAAAAAGCGACCGAGCAAATACATGAACGTCACTAAGGTTTCCGTCACAAATCACAAAATATTTCCTAACAGTCGAATAGTTAAAAAATAAAAACAAGAACAATACATATGTATCTAAGTCAGTATCACAGATGAAATTGTGTGTTCGGCTTAAGCCGTTGGATTTCTTCGCATGAGCTCGATATCGGCTGCAACCATCTCTTTAACCAATTCCTGAAAAGACAGAAGTCGTGTATTCAATGAAAAAGATGTTCGTAACATACACCAAATTTAATCTTCGGCTTCCATTTGAGTTTTTCTTCTGCTTTTTTCGGATTACCGATCAACAATTCCTTTGAAACAAAGCGAAAGCCATCGGTTTAACTCTCGAAATTATTCTTTTTTTGCTACTTACAACTTCAGTTGGTCGAAAGTATTTCGCGTTAATTGTAACACGAAGAATACCTGTCCCTTTTTCTTTGCCGACTTCGTTGACGCCTTCGCCTTCCCAACTACACAATATTCAATATAGAAATGATCTGTCAACTGTACTTGAAACATTTGTCTTACACAATTTCTTTTCCAATTTCTTTAAATGCTAGCTCAACAAATTCTCGGACACTGTGTGTTTCGCCTAAACAAACATTCATTTTGAGTCTCCTAACAATTTTTCGATATCCTACCAGTTGCGATGACAAAATCTTCTGGTACATCTTGTTGCAACATTAACCACATGGCTTCAATGTAATCTCGGGCATGTCCCCAATCTCTTTTTGAATCGAGTGCACCAAGTTCAAGTATTTGTTGCTGCTCCAGATGAATTTTCGCAACTGATCGAGTGATTTTTCGTGTGACGAAATTATCACCTGAAGAGAAGTGTTGTTTTATCGATGAAATTTCTTTTCATGACAAACCTCGGCGAGGCGACTCGTGATTGAAAAGAATTCCATTAACAGCGTACATGTTGTAAGCTTCACGATAATTGACCGTAATCCAGAACGCGTACAACTTGGCAGCAGCTAGAAAAAGAACAATCGAGAGTTCAGTTCCGGTGGGAGAAAAGTCATCGAACCGTAAGGCGAACGAGGATAAAATGGAGTTGTTTCACTTTGAGGAATTTCCTGAACTTTTCCATACAGTTCCGATGTTGATGCTTGATAGAAACGTACGGAATTTGTCAAACCACATATACGAATAGCATCTAGTATACGTAATGTACCAACAGCATCAACATCTGCTGTGTATTCGCTCAAATCGAATGAAATCTTAATTAGAACAAGAATAGGAGGTTTCGACCGGAAAAGAACGACTTACTTTAACATGACTCATTGCACCTAAATTATAAATTTCACTTGGTTTGACAGTGGAAATGATTTTGACAAGTGATGAACTATCATTCAAATCTCCGTAATGTAATTTCATAGCTAAGAGAGTAATATAAATTACAAATAACAAGTTCGTAGCACAACAGAGAGCATTTCACACCTCCTTCTTTGTGTGATTCAGGATTCGCATACAGATGATTGATTCGTCCTGTATTGAAGCTACTCGAACGTCGAATAACGCCATGGACCTAAAATCACGTCATTCTTTTATTCTGTATAAATACTATCAATAAATTCTTACCTCATATCCTTTTTCCAGTAAAAATTCAGCCAGATAACTACCATCCTAAAGAGAGAATCATCGTTATTAAGTTCGATCGATGCGAAAGACGTGTTCGTACCTGTCCAGTAATACCCGTGACCAACGCAACTTTACGTGGATTCCAAGCTTTTACAACGGACTCTACGGCTTCGTTAGCTTTTTCAGAGACAAAGTCACGAACGTCGGATAGGATTTGTGTCATGTTCGATAACTACAACGATATATTTTTAAATGACAAGGATGAATGAAAAGACCTGTAAATACAATTATTTCACTTGGTAATAATACTCTACCAATATGAGAATGAAAGAAAAACGGAGAATACGGTATGAAAAAAATCGAGAAGGAAAAAAAAAAGAAACGCACATCACCTACTCAAACATATACTATAGATTGGACTTGATTAGAAAAGAAATCAAAGGTCGTAATATATACTGTGATAAATGAAGGAGAAAAGGCAGTATATTAGATGTGTATATTATAGACTGTATCGATAAATATCAGAAGAAATACATCGATTTCGATTATTTGTTATAATATATACGGATATGAAAAGTAAACGAAGAAAAAAAGACAGAAAAGAATTTCCTATATAAATAAACTATATATTTATTTTTCATTCGAAAAAAATATTTGCGTATGAATGTTCACACCTATCGAGTATATCTCTTTGCTCTACAATGCTCATGATTCATCGGATGATCTGAGTAAGGTTATTTGACAAGCAGACGGAACAAGAAAGAATAAGACTGCGTGCTATACAAGTCATGATGAATTGTTAAATTCAAAGGCTTCGTGCGTCGCTCCGATTGGTTGAAACACTTCTCCATTCCTGTAGTGTGCGTTTTTTTGGGAATATGAATACGTCATCGCATGGCATGAATGATTGTCGATACATTTAAAAGAATTTTTTTCATTCTCATACAGTGATTCAGACAGTAGCATTAAAGCGAAATGTTTTGCATAGTTAGAAAATAGATTTTGTTTTTATTGTAGAAAATGGATTCAAATGGTTCGACACATTCATCATCGTCGGGAAAAGAGGATGGGCTATCTCAATTAAGTATGAGTGAAAAGTTCATCGATTAAAGACAACCGTCTCTTTAGGTCGATCTGCAGAAAATGCAAAGAGAATTAAGAATGTTCAAGACAAATTTGTGAATGGTCAAGTACGTTCATTTAGTTTTAGCCTTTTTCAAAACGTTTTCGAACGATACGATAGTCTTTGGCGAAAGAAGGTCGTGCGCTGGTTGGCGAAGGCGTTCTGATGAAAGTGTGTCGAAAAAAGCCCAAGCAACGAGTTTTCTTCCTATTCAACGATATTCTCGTGTATGGACGTGTAGTTATGAATGGACTTAAAGTAAAGATTTGAGATTCATGTCGATAGAAATCATGATATCTTGTATTTAGTATACTCAACAAAAAATTATTCCTCTAAGTGAAATTAAAATCAGTACCCCAACCGATTGTGAAGGTGAGACTTAACGCTCTTCTTCTCCTTCACTATTGCCCTTTAATGGTTTCGTTTGATATAGAAAATCCATATTCGTGGTTGATTAGTAGTCCTAAAAAGTCGTTTGTCGTTCGTGCTAATTCCGATCGTGAACGTCAGGAATGGTTGGCTCATCTTGATCGGTGTGTCTATCACTGTCGCAATACAAATCAATCTCAAAACAATGCAGTTGCAGCGCACTGGGTTCCCGATGATAGGTCCGATACTTGTATGCATTGTCATACAACAAAATTCTCAACATATAATCGTAAACATGTACGAAATTGATTGTTTGTGTGTAACCATTGACACTAAATGTACTTATTTGAATAGCATTGTCGAAATTGTGGTTATATCGTCTGTGATGGATGTTCAAAGAAACGTTTTCTCTTGCCGCACTTGGATTCGAAATCAGTCCGTGTTTGTGATGCTTGCTACTCGAAACTCACAAAAAACTCAACTAATGGTAAGTTAACAAACGACGCATCATGTCGACAATCACTTCTCTCTTGTGTTCCTATTTACAGAATCTCGTCCAACGCACCAACGTGATAGCAGTGATAGTGAAGGAGAAGAAAACAATGGTCATTATTCACCCGTACCAGTATGTCTATCACGTCATATCTTGATCACTATCTCATCCCACATTTGCATTGTAGGCCACTTTTTATCAGAACGTCGAAAGTTTCTAAAAAAAACTCAATATCATCGTGAACTGAATGATTAAGTATCTGAATGAAGAGGAAAAAAGCGTCGAATGATTTAAACACCTTTCTCTTTTTCTGAATCTTTACAACACATACAAACATACTAGGATTCGCATTTCTCATCATATATCTTATGTCAGTTCGAACAAAAATCCTTGTTTCATTGTCAAATACTGCTGAATGTACATGTACTATAAATAAAGAAGCAAACTATTTCTTATCCAAGCAATACATTCCGATTGTATGTCAACTCACAACAGAGATAGATATAGACGATAAAGATGTAGTATTAGATGCAGATAGGATTAGTTATGGAGCTGAATACGTTGTTCTATCTGAATCGATATGCCGACCATTATCGGAATGATATTGATACATGTCCTTGAAATGCTTAGCTTTCCATTGAATGGATGCTGGGTCTGATCCAATTTTAAACTTCGTCGATTGAAAGAAATATATATATATATATATATATATATATCAGTATTTACATATGGATCAGATTATTAATTGCATATGTATGGTTATACGTATTCAAACTGACGAATAGGTCCTTTGATGAAATATTTTAATCAACTAATATTCAATTCACGAATCTCGTTCTAATAAAATAACCAAAGAACAGAACACACGTGAGAAGAAATGCTTTTCCCCTTCTAATCACCTAGAGGTCATCTAAAGTTCAACAAAAATAACTTCTAGTCATTACTACCAGCGTTCACATAGTATAGGAAATTGAATTCTTTTTTTTTTCTTCTTCTCCTTTCGTTCGTTCTTTCCGTTCTTGGTCAAACATGGCATTGTGCCAACATCTTATCATTGTCTGTATAGCATTCGTCGACGAGGAAAAAACGCCCGCCGCCGCCGCCGACACATCGAGGACGACAAACACTGACCAATACAGACCTATGGCTATAATAGAAAAAAGAAGAAGAAAGGAAAGAAATGAAAAAAAACGAGAATTCTCGTTCGTTCGCTTTCGCGTGGAATATATGCATACACATACATAGACGCTCACACCATTTATGTTGTTTGTTGCTTAGCTCAACTGAGCAATAATAGTCCATCTCATATTGAGCTTTCTCCCCCACTTCTTCTCTGTTTGTTTACAATCAAGTATGTTCTACAATGAGAAAATATCAATTAAGGAAAACATCTTCATTTCAAGTTTAGAATGATTTTTTGAAGAATAGAAGCAATGGATGACAACGAACTTTTACACGAACCATTCGATTACCATGATTTTTTTGGGGAAAATACTGATGATTACCATACATTGACATGTGCAGAAACAATCCATGTGTCGACAAATGAAAATCTTGGCCATTTAAATTCAAATCATGGGCATACACCTATAAAAAATCGACCAACAGGTAGAACATTTTCGGACTTCCTCGATATCAATGAAAGAAGATATTGTTATTTAGGAAGTGTTCTAATGGCTACGACAACGGATGAATATTTTAGCCCGGGGCTCAATGTAACAAATGGACAAGTAATTAAAGCAGAAGGAACTATTCCAACAACAACACAATATTTCAATGGTAACGCAAATCAATTTAATACCAACCAGCAACAAACATTTACATTTGATAATATTGTTTACAATACATCAAGTAAAATCTCGAATGTTTTCAGAATCACAAATTCTTTTCTCACATCGACAATGTTTTAGTTGTACCTAATCAGCCGATGTATAATATTCAACAAATTAATTTACAAACAATTAATAAACCAGTGATCACACCAGCGAGTGCGTCACCACCTCCGCCCCCAAGAGTTTACAAACCTTGCGTAGTTTGCGGTGATAAAAGTTCTGGATATCACTACGGTGTATCAAGTTGTGAAGGTAAAACATCTGAGAAAACTTTTCGTTTAAATATTTCTACTTCTGCTTGGATTTCGTTCTAGGATGTAAAGTGAGTTTTGTGATCACGGATGGATGTTCGAAAGACGCGTTTTTTTTCAATTAGGGCTTCTTTCGACGTAGTGTTCAGAAAAATATGACATATCAATGTCATAAAGATCAAAACTGTGAAATCAATAAGATGACGAGAAATCGATGCCAATATTGTGTAAGAAAATTGATTTAGTCTGAAAATTGTCATTGAATTTGTGCTTGTTCTAGCGTTTTCAAAAATGCTTTTCTGTTGGAATGAGTAAAGAAGAATTACGTTTATCAAATCAAGCGAAGAAATTATTGAACGAAGCAGATCCGAAGGCTGCGAATACACGTGTAGAACGACCTGCGAAAAAACGACCGGCAGCCATTGTGAAACGTTCGATTGATGAAGTGCATCATATTCAGTCAGCAGAATATCTACCTGTTCTTGCGCCTAAACTACCGACGACACGCCTTATTGTTGAGAACAACTCGGACGATGAAAAACTAATTAAAATTTGTGTTAATCTACACAAATCAACATTTAATTTCAAACCATCACAAGAAATCGACGTAAAACCGTGACGTTTATCATCTGAACAATAGTTGATTTGTTCATTTTTCAGGAAAAACCAGATCTTCGTTGGCAAACTGCTGATGAGTTTAGTCAGAAAGGAATTATGCAATGCATACAATTTTGTATGCAAATGCCTGGAAATACAGAATTGTCTATCCAGGAACGTGCGCATCTACTCAAATTAGGTGCGCATGAAGTTGCTCTACTTCGTTTAGCTTATCGATATGAACCAGAAGAAGACAAACTATATCTATCGAATGGTGCTTGCGTCGATGAACATACACTTATGACGCAAGGTTTTGGATGTTATGGACACACGTTTTTACAATTTTGTCGAATCTTCAGTCGATTAGAATTAACCATCGAAGAATTTGTCCTACTTTGTTGTATTGTTTTCTTCAGTTATGGTAAGTTTTTCTTGAGTAAGCTCATGAAAAAACAAACCATGTTGATTTCGTTTGTGTTAGATCGTATTGAAGGACAAAGCACAAGATTGAAAGTAGAAGAACTCCAGACACGCTATTGTGAGGTAGAAAGATTGCATATATCGAGAAATCGTGGGAATGATCCAATGCATTTTACCAAATTACTCTTATTACTATCGAAATTACGTGCACTTGATGCTCTGAGTAAGATCTTTGAGGAGATTCATCTCTTCATTAAATGTATTATTGGAATTTAGTTGCTGAACGTCTCCTCTGTTTACAAATGAATACCGATGGACAAGTACAGAAATGTATTTTCGAAGTTCTTCATCGTGAAGCAACAAACGTCGTAGTGGTATGTGTTGAAGCACTTTCAATGATCAAATAGAGAATTACATGTGCTTCTTCTAGGATATGGAAATTGATTTTCTTGATGCTGTTGATACAAAACCGGATTATAGCTGGCTTGATTACTCTCCTAGTGAACAGCAGCAGCAGCAGCAACAACAACAACAACAAACGACGACGACGACAACTTTAATTTCGTTGGCATCGCAACAAACGATAATCAATAATCATAATTAAATGCCAGATAGTTTGCCGGTGCAGTGCCATTGTGCTATTCTTCAGCTCAATATTCCCGTCTTGATGATTCTGTAATTCACATTTGTCAAATATTTCAATGTAAATAAGTTTCCTGGACGGTGACTTCTCTCAGGTTTTATTATTAATTATGTGTGCGTGTGTGAATGTGTTCAGTATTAGTGTTCTATATTCTAATTGAATTTTTTTGTTATTTTCCTTTTTCTATTAAATATCATCATCAATTGTCGACCGTCCGGTACTTGATTGAGTTTCCTACTTTTTTTATGTATCAACAATCTGTCTTTTTTTCTTTCTGTCACGCTTTATTCCTGCTGTGTATGGTCAATTTTCTTGTTCTATTATATGTACAATGATGGCGACAATGCTCTTCTGTTTCTTGTCTTTTTCGTACAAATTTGTGTATGACACACATCAAAGTTTTCTTTTCCTTTTTTTCATGTATTAAATGAAGAAAAAAAAATCAAGTGCTAAGCGGCACTCTTTACGTCCGATTTGCCGTTTTTGGGTGATAGTTGATCACATAATTCACGTAGTGCCTTCTTTGAGCCGGGAGTGTTCTCTAAGTAAGAATGGTAAACTCGAAGCATATTGTCTCGGTTTGATTTATGATATGCATCGACGTTGTCCAATTGCATACGGTACAAATCGTTGTGCGTTCGTTGATAATCTTTCTCACGTTGACTATCCGCTTGACTGGTATAACGAGTTCGAACTAAGTTTCTAGTTTGTAAAAAGAAGACTAGTGTGGAGAAAAGTGGAATGAATGAAGGAGATTCGTTTACCTGATCTTTGGAATATCGTTTACAGTCAATGGTCCTGAATATTCAGCAGGTTTTCGCATGTCAACACGAGGATACGGTGGTAAATGTGTTGAACCTTGCTTGCGATCGGTTGAGTTATCAGGTTTCGGTGGTCTAGAACGAATAAAGATGTCATCAGAGAAAGCATATATATTTGTACCAGTTTATTTCATACACACAGTTATATAGACAAACTGATTACTAAGCATAAGGAAAGAAGAAGTAGCAAACAAAATATGATGGAAATGTTATGAATTTTTGTTCATAGCTTTGTTAGTATCGTGTCTTGTTAGAGATCGACGGTTTAATAGACGTGATCGTTCTCTGCTAAGACATTCCAGTCTGTTAGTATCAATACGTCTGATATAACCACCAAAGGGTAGAGTCAACGGTGGAATCATAACCATACCGGAATGTGAAATAGGTTTACTAAAAAGAATGACAACAAACGGGAAATGAAGTGCGAACAAACACGCGGGTTATTCGTGCAAATGTGAGTGAAAGATTTAGGTTTTATGACATGTAATCAAACAAATAAATACTTACGGTGGTTTACCACTTAAACTACGAGTTTTACGATGTCTTAAATATTCGTAATTGACACCATAGTCCATACCATACGCTTCCCATGGCTCAACAATACGAAGTGCAGTCACACGAGTATAATATCCGGGTGGTATGTTGACATGCTGAGAAAAAGAAATCAAATTACGATATATCTTGATTTTTGTCGATAACTTACTGAATAGATTGCTCTTTCCACGGAACTCGTATCGAAGTAAGGTCGTAAATCATTGAAAACAAAAGGTTCGTGAGGTTTGCTGAAAAACAAGCAAATTGCATAGTTCATTTAGTTCAAAGAAATGAACGAGAGTCAACTAACTGCTGTGGCCGATGGAGTTTCGATGATTCACAACGAAGGTTTTCTCGTAATCGACGTAATTCACTTTGTACATAATCATCTCCTGGACGGCCATTGACGGCATCGGCCGGATAAAGATTAGCTTTGTTATCATTTCGATCGAGACGAACATTCGCATCGAAACTGAAATGAAGAACTTATTACTTTACAAAAACATCCACCTTTTTCACTTACTTGTACTCCTCGCTTCCTTTCTTCAGCTGCACTTTCTTCAGATGCCAAACAACATCTTCGCTTTTCACAGCAAGTGCGAAGGTAATATAATAAATTTTACCGACATCCTTCTCCGAGGATGTGAATTCGTTGATCGATTTCGATGGAAAAGATGTTTTGTCATCTTTTCCTTTCAATGGAATATCAGCAGAACCTTTCTCTCCATGAACTTTGAGCGAAACAGGCGTGTCAGTACCTTGCTCGCCTGTTTCGATAACAATATGATAATCGATCTCTAAAAATAACAGATTGAAATCGTTTTCACCATGAATTTTCTTACTATATGATCTGTCTGACTGGAGTTTGCTCATTGGAAAGAATGAATTGTGAATTTATGTTTTTATTTTTATGCGGACACACTTATTGAAAAAATATTCAGTTTGCTTTCGTTTGTTAATGTTTCTAAACGTAACTATTGACTTTATTTTTCTTTCATTTTTTCTCCCTCTCTCTCTGTGTTTCTTTTTCTCTCAAGGGACAATTTAATACAAAGTTAACAACAAACAATTGGTTTCTTACTGCCTACCTTTCATTTTAGCAGCTGTTTTGGATATCGGATCTATTATTTTCACTGTTCTACGTGGCGATTCTAAAAGAATCAACGGATTTTCGACGGAGTCAGATGAAAGGTTGGACAGTAACCTGTTTGTTTTGGATTCGCTAATGGAATTAGCTCGATTTCAGTTGTTTTCATGTTTTTGCGTTGAATGTGAAATCTAAAATGCGAATTTGGGTGTCATCGAAAGGAAAAACAAAAACAAATAATATGTTACGTTGTTTTCTCATTGTTATGTATGATTGTAAGGCGATCAATATGCCATTGAATTCCTTCTTCGTGAGGATTTTGACTGAGAATGATTTTGGAAATCTGAAATGAAGTGTGAGAAGCGAAAATGGCAAGTGAAGAGAACTGACTTTTCCAACATCGTGTGCTTTGAATTCAAATTCGATTTCATCATCAGTTTTGAACGATTTTCTTCGAGTTTTGCGTGTTGTTTTATTTAACGCAAATTTTGTTGTTTGTCCATTCTTGCCGAAGATTGTTAAATAGATGTTACTTGCTGACCCTTCTTGATGGTATGCGCCAGTACGAAGAAGAACTTCGTATGTAATCTCTGAAGATATGAATATTCTTTGTGAAAATCTTTGTTCTCGTATTCTCACTTACCTGTTTTCTTTGGAATAGTCGATGGACGTAGTTCGAGTTCAGAATTTGGACCTACGGTTTGTTCAGCATTGAATCTGAAAAAGATTAATGAAATTTTATATTAGACATCAAATAAGTTTACGTTATGTTTCCATTGATAATAACGTGATCGATATGCCACGTGAACTGTTTTTCAGAGTCATTGTGTCCAATAACAATTTTGGAAATCTAGAATGGGTTAACAATATGAGAGCGATTTGTTTCGTTTTTGTGTATAACAAACTTTGCCAACATCAGTCGTTTTAAACTGAAAATCATTTCGTTCACCTGGTTTGATCGTGAAGGTTTCTGTTGAATCGTTTAGATATAATCTTTCGGTTTGATCGCCTTCTCCATAAAGTGTGAGATAAACATTCGCTAGATCTTTTATTTCATCTTTCTGAGTTGTACTTGTTTGAATGGAAACTTTATAAGTCATCTCTATAGATCGATTGAGATGAACAGATAGATGAAATAGAAACAGAACCTTACCTTTGATTGGTGTCATACTACGAGACGATTTTTGTTCAATGGGCTCGGGGCTTGGCGTTGATTCTAAAGGAGCATGGTTAATTAGAAAATAGCAATCGTTTTTTTTTCATACTTGTTGGCGTTGGAGTTAGACTGAGCAATGGAGTTGTTTGATTAAGAGTTTGTTTTGCAATAAAACTAAAACAAAATAAAGATACTGCAACTGAACACGTATACAGATAGGCGTGTTTTCACTTGTATTGGTCGGATCCTTTTTGAATTTGAACCGATTCCAAATGCCATTGTGGATGATCGCCTTGACCATCGTGTTCGATCATAATTCTATGAATCTAAATGAAATATCCTTATAGAAACTGAATGAAGAAGTTCATCCTTAACATACATTTCCCACATCGTCGAGTTCCATTTCAAATTCATTTGTTGTACCCGATTCAAACAGAGCTTTCTCTCCTCGCTTCGTATTTACTAGTTGAAATCGTTCTGTTCGATCTTTATCACCCTCAACTACCATGAAAACGCCGGAATCAGTGCCAGCATCTTTTCCGGAACCTGTCACAATCGTTATTAAATACTTGGCTTGATCTTGGAAACCGAACGGAACGAAATGAAAAATCATTGACGAAATGAAAATTTACCTTTTTTCGATTTCGGCTCATCTGGTACGAGATCGATATAAGTCTTCTGATCATCTTTTTCCACGCTTAACCATCGATTAGCTTGAAATCTAAGAAGGCATGTTTTCCTCTGGTCAAATTCTGCTGAAGTGATACTTACGAATATTGTTCATCCTTCTTTTCAATATGAATCGACTTTAGGAACCATTCTTGTTTACTATCATTTCCATCATGTCCGATGTTAATCTTTTTAATCTAAGAGAAAACTCTTTTGTCTTTTCAAATGATTTCAACAAAAGTCGATTTTACTTTTCCAACATCTTCCGCTTTTATGTCAAATTCGAGTGTACTATCCTGATCGAATTTTGCAGGTGATCCATCCTTCGCCGTTCTCAACGGCAAATTCGCTGTCGTGTCTTTCTCGCCGAAAATACATAAAATCGCATTCGCATCGATTCCCGACTCTCCAGTGACAATAATCACCTTGTAATTAACATCTATGAAATAGAAATCAGAACATTTTCTGGAACTTTCACAGAAAAACAAACCTTTGGGAGCCATTAGCATACGCTTTCCTTTCTCCTCAACTGACTTCAATTAGCGAACTGTTTTTTTCTTTGTATAGATTAGTTTATATGACGACAAAGTAACTGCGATTTCGAACTTGAACTCAGTAGACATGCAAAATGTTTTCTTTTTCTCTTTGCAGAATTCTCGATGTGAATAATGCTATTGTTGAAAATAAATGAACGTTAACGGGCTACAGGAAAGGAATGAAGCCTCGAATAAGTCCTGCTGCGATAATTAGAAATAAGAGAACATAATCTGTTTTTTTTGTAAAGCTTCGACAAATAATTTTAACAGCATACAACATCTTACATCTATTATTTTCACCCGGTTCGACCGTTATCCAACTGAAATTCGAACCCAGCCGACTGGAAAGCCAGCACTGAGGTTGAAATCTATACAAAAAATGGAATAGGATGGTTATTATCGAAAAAAATACAAACTGATAGATTGTTTCTTGGTACTGAATAATGATGGATTCCAGTAGCCAAGCTACTGTCTGTTGACTGTCGCTAAAACCGATAGTAACACTTTCAATCTAGTGGAAATTGAATAAAACAAAAATGTTACGTGTTAAAATGAAAGTTGACCTACTGTTCCAATATCCGGGTGTTCAATTTCAAACTCATCGATATTTCCTTTTTGAAATACTAATTCGTCTTTCATCTTTGCATGGTCTTTCAATAATGTCTTTGGGATTTGCCCATTCGATCCTCGTACGATGATTTCTACACTATCTGTAGTAACTGCTTGAGGCACATCACTTGTTTGAATAGCAATCAAGTATTTCGCAGGAGCTAAATCGTTCAGAAATAGACGTTTCATACATTCAGTTCACTTTTTCTTCCTTCTCCTTACGAGGCGATGGCGACTGCGGTTCTTGAATCGGTAACTCAATAAATAACCGCTTTTCGCTCAGCGTTGGACTTAACAGCGTATCAACGGTATATCTAAATGGAATCGTTTGAGAAGACGGAAAAGCTAATAAAGACGAACTTTTTCGATTGAGATGAAACAAGAATTTTAACAGATTTTAAATGCCAATCATTGATTGTACCTAATCCTTCGTGGCCGATGACAATGCGTTCGATCTGTAAACAAACGAACGAAATAGTTTTTGAGTAAATCCTTCGTGATTACCTCTCCGACATTATTACTGGATACGTTAAATTTGGATATCGAGTCTTTTTTAAAAGCAGCATTTTTTGCTTCTAAGAAAAGTTTCGGTGTCGCGGTCGTAGCTCCATAGACTTGTATATAAACTGGAGAATCTAACGTTTCTACTTGCTGTTCACCAGTTTCGACTTCAATATCATAGGAAACCGCTGAAATCATAGACAGTCGTTTCAAATGCTCATATTCTGTTTGATATTAACCTGGTTGCTCTGATCCAAACAACTCTGCCTCTAATTTTCGATCATTTTTCGAATGACTTAACCATCGATTCGCAACAAATCTAAAACATAATTACATACATTTCCATTCAAATCTTCCTCAGCAAACATTTACCGAACAAGGAAATTATGAACCGATATTTCCACATAATCGATATACCATCCAGTCGCTGTATCTTCATGTCGAACAATCACACGTTGTGGTTTGCCAATATCGATCGCAGTTATTTGGAATCTTCGTGTACTTCCTTGTAAAAATGACTTGTCAGATGCAGTTAACAAAACATCACCCGTCTGTTTGTTATCTCGACTGAATATATTAATATAAACAGGCCCATTAGTTCCAGAATTCCGAAAATCACCAGTTTTCACAGTAATCGAATATACAATTCCTATTTCGACGAAAAATACACATATCAAATCATGCAAATCTCTGACATATTCGATAACTCAACTGGGAATGGTAGGTTTACTGACTTGAATAATAGGTCGATTTGCCGGTGATTCGGATTGATCAGCTAAAAATGAGATGAGTTTAGTACGAAGAACGGAATTTTATAACACGTACAGATAGACTTTTGTGGATCTTTGCCCGTGGTATTTTTGCCGAAACAACACGACATCGTTCTTTAATGAAGATTATGACACAAATGTGCAAGAAGAAGAAGAAGAAAAAAAAAGAATGATGAAGAAAATCCTTTTTTTCCTGTCTGCCGACTTCTGATTAGAGTGTAATGCTCACTCAATTTCCAGCTTGTCTTTCTTTCTTTTTATTTTTTCATATCGTCTAACACAATTTCAAAGGAGAAAGAATCTAACTTCTTATGCACAGATTCACTTATCTCTTCACCAATGAAAACGAACCTTTGATGAACACCGAGGAAATAAAAAATCTTGTTCTCTCACGTTCTATACCGAATTATGCTTTTAGATTGAATTACTTCATAGATGTGTTAAGTAATCGTAGACATATATCGTCCTTGATTTCGAAAACTATCAACGAAAGATGTTTTTATTTTGTTAGCAGGATGCATTTATCCTGGGAAATACTCGACTCGATATCACGACAAAATAGTTCGAAAGAACCATCTTTGAAAATAAGCACGAAGACATGTATACTCTTATGCGCATGTGACACAGTTCAAGGAATTTGATGATATAATGGTTATGTGCATATTTTTGAATTCAATTGTGAGAATAGAGATCGTGATTTGTTATGAAAAGCAAAGTTTTTCTATGGTGAAAATATTGTGAAATCTGATCTTTTGTCATTACGATCAAGTGGGTAATTGAGTCGAAGTTGAGAAAAGATCAAATAACAAATTGCTATTGATGAGAATGGCGTGAACAATAAATGAATGTTTGATAATTGGCGCTATTGTTAATATAGAAAGACATTGTTTTCGATTACGATTTCATTTCCATTTTCACGTTATGTCCGAAGAGCAAGTCAATCGTCTTGAAACTGTTATTAGAACTTGGTTAAATGCCGGTGCACAATGTTCATCTTCGCTAAAACCTTATACACGATCATTGTATCCAACGTATAAGCCAGGTATTCGAGTAAAACGTACCCATCGACGTGAAATTCGAAGTAGACGCAGATCGAGTGCGAAAAAATTATCCAAACGCGTTCTATCAACTAAATCCAGTCGAAATTCGATGATTCAAATCTGCGAAGATTTCCTTCGAAATCATCGTAGACTATTAGACATTTGAAATGTCGTCATAACAATAAATAGTCTCTATATATTAATTTCATTAGAACTCTACTACGAAAAGGACTATCCTCTGATATCTCTAAGAATTCTCATTCTGTATATCATATGCTACACTGCTATAAACCACGTCATCGCGTAATGTATTATCCAGTCAAGCATGCAAACCATTTTCTTTTATGCAGAACTTTGGCTAATAGTAATTTGTTGCTTGAATAACAAATGTTTTTCTGTGCATTAGTCGAATGTTTCGTGAGATCGATCAAACTACTTGTGTGAGTCATTTAATCATTGATACAAACATTTCAAATAGTTCTCTTTAAAGCGATCTCCTGTCTGCTCGAGTAGTCCTTTCTCAAACACTGATTTTCCAGGTGCTACATTTTCCTGTTCATCCTAATGAATTTTAATAACAATCTCTTCGATTGTTTCCATTCAATATAGATTGTTCAAGTGTACTTCCAAACAATACATTCGATGCTTCATGAATTTGTAGAGCCGCTTGTCGTGATGTCTTTCCATAGAAATCATCGAAAGGTTGAGTGACAAAGATACTTCTCTAGTCTCGTCTTTTAACAAGTGAACTACATGAACAATTTGTTATTTCAGTTCAAATATTTTCCTACAGAATCCTTGTTTGACAACACTTAGTCTTATCAATGTAAATCTCTAAAATCAATATAATAACACAAGTGTATTTTTGTTCAGCGAAACATAAATACGTCTTCATACGCATTTCGCAAATATTCAAGATCTATTCGTCGTTTCTGTCAATAAGATTGAACAGGTAAATAGTATCTTCTCTTTCTTGACAAGAATCACTCAGAATTGATGTTATGTTCAATTTATGGAAAATCTTGGTTCTCTTGACGGTAGCTATCGAGGTTTACACCCATTTTAACCGGCTGACGGTTTGATTTGTGAATAGGAGAATTCTTTTTGTCATCTAACAAGTTGACATATTCATATCCGTTTTCGGTAGATAGATAATAAGTAGATAGAACTTAATCGGAGTAGAAAATAACGAGTTTTGAGTTGTATACGTGTTGAGTTATTCTATTATCGAACGACGTCAGTTGTGCTCGGTTCCATTGATTGAAGAAAAAGACAATATTTGCTCTTTGTTGTGCGTATTTCATCTGAACTCATAAATATTAATATAACTGAAATAGAAATGGTGAAGTAACTGAGAAAAAATGACGACATATGTGTATGTCAATAATGTATCGCACGATGGTTCTTATTAATGATGGGGAAAAAAAAGAAAATTAAAGCCATGAAGAATAAAATTTGTTGTCTGAGGCGTAAAGAGAACCTTTTCATGTTTCTGCTTTTCCTTGCGTCAAACATTGGTGGAGAATAGAAATTAACGTTTTTATGATTTAAGTTGTACTGAGGTGACGTGAGACAGAGAATTTCTTTCTAAATAAGACTGACAAAGGTCAGAAGTCTTGGCAAAGTAATAACACGGTGAAGGAAAAAAGAATTCATTATTATTAATTTACAGAACATTTTTTTTATTTGTTCAAAGTCGAACAACGGAAGGATGGATGCTTTTTAAAAGAGGCATCTGTCATAAAGAGGTGTTTTATAGGGGAAAAAAAAGTAAAGAAAGATTTCTTCTCTATATCTACTGTCTTGAATGATTATACACAAAAACAGAAAAAAGAACAACTAGGCTTTTCTCTGTGATGATTTCGACGCATTATCTTCATGTGTTTGCCGTAATTAGCTTGTCTTTGATAGAGAGGCAGGAAGAAAGACAACAGTGCAGTTCAGCGATGTAATCAAGTAAAAACTGAGAAGATCTAAAGATGTAGTTTAGAAGAATTATTGTCATTATTTTGATTGCAAGTAAGTAATAGTGAGGCCAAAAGTATTGCGAACTGTAGAAAATCCTTCTTTTCATGGGAAAAATGCGCAGGGATTCTATTTTCTTGTCATACACACACGCGCACATATATGACACATGCCTTTTATAGAATTGGCAATGTGTATGTGTGTTTTTTCTCTGAGTGCGCAGGAATAGTCTTATTATATGCGAGAAAAAAAAAGAAAAATATCAATAAAGCTATTCAAGTAAAGAATACTAATGGAATATTCTTCTGTGAAATTCAATCTAGCATTAAATGGTTTAGAAATAGAGTTATCATTTCCATACTGAGATTTCTATCACAACAAAAAAAACACATACAAACAAAATGCGATTATTTGAATACACAATCAATAACATTGCGTGACGTGTTCCTTTCTTCTTAACTAACTATCGATGAATTGTTGTTTTCAACGTTTCCCCAGTTCTTCTTTTCATTTCGATAGATGTTGTCGGACATGAGCAATGATGGCCAGACAGGATATTTTTCTGGTTTCAATGCCACTGATCTATCCTTATATAATGACTTACAAGAGACCGACTACAATAAGTATTTATTTTTTGCCGTCTGTTCAGCATTGTTTGGTTTACCATCGAACATACTTCTACTAGTTATTCTCATGCGAATCGGTTTGTTTAGTCAAAATCGAACGCGTTCACCATACATTACACGACCCACGACCGGCTCCTTCGAACGCTTCTTATTCGAAGTTGTTATTATTGATACACTTTTGATTATTTATCATTTTGTTGATAATTTTCTAAGTTATATTCAAGGGGATCGATCAGCTGGCCAACATTATCTCATTCATGTGTCGGATTTCTGTTGTAAATTTTTTACATACATTGCAAAAATGAGCGTTCTTTTAACAACATGGTTACTGTTACTTTTAATTATTAATCAAGTGATTCTTTCCTTAGAATATACAACGAATCGTGGTTCATGTTGGAATCGTGGTTTATACTATATCAATGCAAAGTATTCCACTGTTCTACTTGTATTTATCTTTAGTGTTACGAATATTTACCCAATTGAAGTTTTGAAGTATCAAAAAAAGGACGAATTACAAGATTATCAGAAAGGTAGACTCGTAAATCAATAGATGAATGTTTTACAATAGAAAAATTTCTTCTAGAGGGTGTGCCGGGCGTGTGTTCAACTGTTCTAGAAGGTAAAAGTGGGAGATTATTGAATGCATCAAATTATGGTTATAATCTTCTTGGCATTGCTATACCTTGTGTGTTAATCTTAGTTCTTTCAATGATTATTATCTACCGAACATGTCGAAATTCGAAACATCTCAGTCGAGAATCGCGTTCATTTCATTACATAGCTGGTTTGATTGGAATTTTACATTCATTGTTTAATTTACCCAGCCGTTGTAGTGACATTCTGCTAATGTCATTATCACCATATGTGTCATTCTTTCCACATTTGATTTATTTTAATCATGAAGCTAAATCCGTCATATTTCTCTCTTATGGATATAAACTTTTTGCTTGTATAATAATTAGTCGACGGTTTCGTTTACATGCCAAGAGTATCTTATGTTTTCTGATTGAAAACAAATATGAAGATCGACATACAACGGAAATTGTGAGTACCACGAACGATTGGCAACAATTGAAACGACATCATCGACATCATCGTCGAAATGAGTCCATCTTCCCCAAGTTCTCTGTAAGTCGCACCGCCTCGTCGCTGCTAAAATTACCCAGATAATTAAATAAACATTTTTGGTTGAAAGGAAAGCTCACTTTTTTCCAATCAGAAAATGCATGGTGACATAGGACATATCGCCTAGTACAAAAGATCTTTCCGTATTTATAAAACATGTCAATTTTGACAAGATTAAGCTAATCCTAATCTTTGTTGAACATTGATGAAATCTCTTTTGAAATGCAACTTGTAGACTTGTGCCTCCGTCCGTTTAGCCCGTTCAAATATGAGCTCTTTTCGTGAGAATATTTTCATAGAATATAGTATCAATTATTCTAGTTTTGTGTAAACAGAGGGTGTCCATCAGAAACGTTTCTGGCAAATGTTTCGTTTTTCTTTTCTACTTATAATAATATTCAACAAAAGAAAAGAGGAAGTCTTTGAAGTAGCCGTTTCGACATTTGCATTCTACATTTCAACAAATTATTCGCCAATCTCCCTCGTTCTTGTCCTCTTGTTCTCACTTTTTTTGCATGCCATATGAATAACAAAAGAAAGAAAACATGCCGAGTGTGTTTTCTTTCTCCAGTCTCATCAGTATTCTTTTCATTTTCTTTAGACTCACAAATTATTATCGAGAAAATTTTCTCCTTCACATATCAACCAAGAGGACTTGCATCGGTTTAAAACATCAGATACTACGTCATGGATCCGGCCATACTTCGCTCAATATGAGAAACGTTCTCTACTAAGACCTTGTGGTCGGGCTGTTAGCTGTCATCAAATAACTTGTTTCGCCCCTCCCTTGTCGATTGACGTTATCAAGCCGCTCGACCAGTGTACTCGGACTGAAACCAATTCATTGTCGTCGCCATCAGCAGCAGCAGCAGCAGCATGCATTATGAATGTCCCGTTACCAAGTGGTGAATATCTTCCAATTCCATTACCGCAAAAACATGTCCCACAAGTTCATTCAATATTGTAAAAGCAGCTATTAAATCGATCAAGGTGACATTTCAAGGAAAAGAACTATTCTCTTGATCATTAAGCTGCTGAAAAACGCTATTTGTGTATGGCATGAGTCGTTTCAATCTCTCACTTGTATACTGTTCAATATTCTAATGAGAAGAAAAGAATATTGTCCAATACAAACGAACTTGTGTGTCCTTGTCGTATTTCATAAAATTAAGGAAGAAGTTATTCATAGAGAAGCCTGCATTTGTATCGTAATAAATCATCACCGGTAGGTTGAAATATTGAACGTCTGAATGCGAAAAGAGCTGCTGATATTTGTTTTTACTCTTGTCAAGTATTACAAGAGAAAAATATGTTGAATAGAGAAGAAAAGGAAAGAAGAGCGTTTGCTCTACTTCGAATGTCAATAGTTTCTATCATGTATATTCTTTTTTCTCTCCTTTTCAGCGAAGTAAAATGAAGAACAAATTTACCTTAGGAGAAAGGAACGCTTCTACTTTTCTCATCGTCAACTCCTGAAAGAAAAAAAGAAAGTTTTCTTATTCAAACTTATCTCATCAACAAATAGATGGCACATGCAAATAATTCCTTTGATCACTCGACAATGTCGATTGATTATAATCTGTTAGGTAGTCGCATTACTACAATAACTTATCTTATCATTTATATCTTGGGTTTTATTGGCAATACTTTTGCATTAATAACCTTCTCCAGTCGACGTATGCGACAAATTTCAAGTAGTATCTTTCTACTTGTTCTTTCAATAAGTGATATTCTCGCACTTGTTACATCGATATGGTTTTTCTTGGCCGATGCCTTTGCAATTCAACTACAAAATTACTCAGCACTTGCCTGTCGTTTTCGTACATTTTTCGCGTATGTTTTCATGGATTTGTCCTCGTGGTGTATCGCAGGCCTGGCAATCGATCGTTACTTACGAACGAAACTACCACTAGGTTCGAGAACTTTGTGTACGCCGCGAAATGCTTCGCTCATGATTCTGACATTCTTATTCTTGCTATGTCTCATCAATGGACATTACTTTTCGCCCGGTATTGGTCAAGAGCGCGGAGAAAATCGTACAACGGCGCATTGCTTAGAAAATCGTAATTCATACCCGAGATATTATTATTTTTTGAAAATAATCTGGCCTAAGATAGATATGCTTGTTTTCTGTTTTCTCCCCGCATTTGTCATGATACTATGTAATGCAAAAATCATCTGTCTTCTCAAACAACAACGACGTCATTTAGAAAATAAGAATAGTACTCGTAGGCAAGACGCGCCGAAACCCTGCGTTAGTATTCATCAGACACTGAGCGGTGTTGCACTGATGAGAAATTCAACTGCTATCAATCGGAAAGCTCTCGAACGACAAATGTCATTGATGATGGCAGCGCGCGTTATCGTTTTTCTATGTACAACTGTACCTGTTACGATCTATCTTCTTATTCTTGAACGAGTCATCATGAAAATACCGAACTTTGCACGAGATAATCCTTTTTGGACGTTCCTATTTCGTATCCTTCGATCTCTTATGTATGTTCATTTCGGTTCGAATTTTTATTTATACTGTTTGACTAGTCGAATATTTCGTGCAGAATTTATTCAAGCAATCACTTGCCGAAGACTTGGTCTGTCATCCAATCCAGAGCACTCAACAAGCTTTATGTTGAACAAAATCGACGATGTGTAAAAGTGCAATGATGAACAGCAAGAAAAAAAATCAACGAATTGAATACAACTCGGTGTTTTTACTATTTTCAGCATCACATCAAGAACAGAGATCACACTTTTTTCTAATTATTAATTTATACTTCAGCACCTCGTCCGGTCGACATGCAATGTGAAGAATTCTTTTTCTGTTATTGCCATCTGTTAACATCAATAATAAAAAGACAAAAGTGGAAAGGATTATGAATGATAATCATATATTTCATAAATCAATCACATGTAAAAAGAAAAAGGCAAACAGTTCGTTTGATTCTCGTGGTTCTTTGCCGCGCAATGTGAACATCGATTTGTAAAGTTTATGATGATAATGACGAATGATTCACACAAAAAGTACATAAATGTTGATCACCACCTTCATGTTCGCCATGATTATTATCATTATTTCTCATTTTGATAAAAGCACAATGATTGTGAGTAACATTAGGTAGCGTTAGCACTGAATGAAGATGGTTGATGTAACTAACAGCGAGACGAAGTGTTTCGATTTTGGATAATTTTCGATCGGCTGGTTCCGTTGGAATCAGATGTCGTAATTCAACAAATGCGGAATTGACCGAATGTGTTCGATCACGTTCGCGTTGATTTGCTAAATAACGAGGTTTAATCCACTTCAAATTCGATGATAGTTTATTACTTGAATTTGTTGAAGGCATTCGACGCTTTTGACGATTGTTATTCTCAAGATTCATATCCAAATAAATCAGAATTCACGTCAGTTCACGTATATATGTGAAATGAGATACAGTCTTCTCTTTTACCGTCTAAATTATACGGATCGGTCTGTTCTGTTCTGCTAATCAATCGAACAATTGCCTTCTTTTTTTTCCCAATGCTGTTCGATAATGACACATGAAACGACGGAGCATCAATCGAGTTCTATTTGCTAATGATTCGAGCAGATTGCACATCGACTCGAGTCAACTAATCGGAATTGCAAAAGAGCATATTGATATCTAATCAACGAAGAACAACACGATTCAGTTGTTTCTCTGCTGATATTGATCTTAAATAAAACAAATTTTTTGTCATTCCATCCGACCACTCATCGGTGAATTCAATGAACACCGAATGAGATAAAAAGATTTCATAGAGAACAATGCATTGAATCACAACTCTCATTAAAGAATGGTTAATATCTTTTCAAAAGAATGCTTCATTTCATCTATATTCAATGAACTAATATGGATAAAGATATTTACAAAAAAAGAATTGAATATCTCATATTGTAATTATTTACACAGTGACTTTATTTTCAAACGCAAGAAAAAGATGATTACAAGAGTTTCTTCCCGTTCGACTGCGAACGATCGATTAACGAATGAATAAGTTTGACACATAACTGAAATATCGGTGTATAAATACCAAGAGCGACAATGACCAAAGCTTCGCTCAGTCCACCAGCAAAACAATCAGAAAACCAGTGTGCACCACTAACTAAGCGTGCGATGGAAAAAAGTAGACTCACGAGCCATACAGTGCTGTGCATTGAGAGTCGTTTAATTCGGGGCAGTGCGCTTGAGGACCTATTTATAATACTTGATAAAAATAAGGACCAAATGAGGTTCACTGCTGCGTGCTCACCGGGCCAACTAAAAGTGAAAAGGAAAATGAATATCCGTTGAACTTAATCGAGTAAGAATAGATCTTTTCACTTAGGATAATGAAAAAGTAATATCTCACACATATTTCATAGATAACTTAATCGAAGAAAAGGAGACGAACGGGGAAAGTCATTTCCTACTTTGACACGAATCCACTTTTCAAAGTTGATAATTAATTTACGGACTATGTCAGAATTTCATTTGCAACAGGCACGTGTATGTTGCTTTATACATAACTCCGAAAGAAATTGTCAAGTACCTGTCATGAGCAATTTCTTTGACAAGATCACGTTTTTTCGCTTCTTCGAATAATCGATTAATACTGAATGTTTCCGATGTTGACGAGATCGCTTGTTTTTCTGGGTTAACCGTTGAAAAACGAAATACAACAGATGGCGATGGTCGTTTGGGACATAAATAATCTCTGGATAATTTCGACAGTAACATTTGTCCCAACATTCCATAAATAATCATGGCTAATAAAACTGATATTTTGAACGAACGTGGTCGGTTTGGGAGAACGCTGTTCGATGAAAAAATGACACAAGTGACTAGAATCAAGGTGATGTTGGTGATGAGTTCGCCAATGACTGCTGAATTTAGTGCGACGAAAACCCGTGCGATGAACGTATGGTGTTCTCGTGTAAGTAACCATCGATTGAAAAATCGAAATGCGGAGAGATCGAGACGATTCCACATGGAGATTTGGAGAGAATGATCATGTTTGAATGTACAACATTGTGAGCCGCATAAACGCCAGGAAGCTACGAGAGCGAAAGCGAAAAGGAGAAAAACGATCAATCGTTTAGGATTGAATTGGTAAAGTTCAGGAATATTTTTACTAAGCAATGGCATATTGCTTTTCTATCTAAAATTTAACATAAAGTAGACATCAACATTGATTTATCTCTCTGATTTTTTTCTAGGAAAACTAGTAAAGAGAAAACATCAACACATACGTATACAATATACACAAAAGGCAGAACGATACGGACAGTAAAAATCGAACGAAAGTGTTATGTGTTGTTTTTTTAATATGTCATGCTATCATCATCATCGTCGCTATCGTGATTAGCTCTTCTTTCTACAAAATCAACTTGTTCTTCATCCTGACTGGTATCCATTTCCGATTCATCGTCATCCATATGTCCCGTTTCTTCTTCATCAGCGCCCGTTTCATCTAACCATTCCGCGTCATGTTCATCATTATCATCGTCGCCCATATCTAAAATGTAAACACACATTTCAAGGTTCAACTGGATAACGGTGTTTGCCTCATACCTATTTCTAACTGCGCAACGGGCGTTGTTGTTGTTGTCGTTGTCGCTGTTTTCTCATCGGCGCTATGCTTCTTTCGTGAACGATGTTGCGAATATTTTGGATGAATTAGTGCGCGAATTGGTTTGGTTATTTCAATATATTCTTCATTGACATCCATGATAAAACATTGCGATCGAATGGGGAACAGTACAATGGAAAATGCGGCATGATCAGGACCTGTAAAACGAGATTAAAGAGATTTTCAGTTTCATGTGAGCAGAATTCCTTACGAAGCCAATGGTGATGTGAAAATGTGATCTTTGAGTCGATTCGCAACGAATTATCTTCGGTTAATGTTCGAATATTATCGTCGGTAATTGGTAATAAACACGATTTGCCATCGGAATACGAAACCTAAGCAGAAAAAGTAAGGTAAAAACATTGCTTCTCGAATAATACGAAAATACTTTGATATTAATTGTTTGTTGTCGGTCAAGATTTTTCGCATTCATTAAGCAAGAAATGGACACGGATAGACCAGGTAGAAATTCTAGAACTTGCTCCACATCTACCTCCGGCTCCAGGAATGTCACAGATGTCATACGAATTGGATCATTTGCTTTAATAAAATTTGTTTTATTGAATAAAGGATGTTTGGAAATTTTTGAAATAAATTGTTGTGCGTAAGAGATAAGGTTTGTATGAAGTAATTTCTCGTCCGAGTCGATTTCAATTTGATTATCTTTCATCTTCTCTCGTTGCCACTGAATATGCTTGTAACAACGTTGACGAACGTTGGTTGTCAACTTCGTTTGGAGTGAAACCAACAACAAATGACAATAGAGATGTAATTGTTGAAAGATAAATAATTGTTCTTTAGAATAACCATGAAATACAGTCAATAAACGTTTACATATTGATAATGCCTTAAGAAACAAAAATAACGAACTGTGTTGTCGGAATACAATCGATAAACCTTAAGACAAGTTCGAGTGTTACATTGATATGTGATAATAGCGAGTACTTGATAGTAAAGTGATATACATTCAGATATAGCTAGCAGATTAACATCCATTTCAGCGACTTTGTGTAGTTCTCTAAATGTAGGAAATGGCGATGATTGTAGGAGGATGGTCAAATTGAACATACGCAGCAAGATTTCGATAGAATTTCTGTCTATCACTAGCATGAAGGTCTTGGCCTTGTTCTGAAAGTTTTAAAATACGTTCGAATACGTCATGCGATGATGGACTAGCGATAGAGAGAGACGTGTCTGCATTGAATGTTGTGGTTGTTGTTAGATGACTATGTGAAAAACTCTACATAAAAAACAGATTCTATATAATGATGGAATTTCAATGAAAATCTATGTCACCTTTTCAAGATTGGGTGTTAAATCAGGTTCTTTCGTTCTCAGATATCGATAATGTCGAAAGACGTAGTCGGGAAGAATCGAAATAATCGATGGATGATACAGCGCGGCATTCAAGACCACAATTAATGCACAAGTATCTGGAGAAAATACAAAAGGAGTTGTCAATTCAAACTTCTTATTGGATACAAACGATCAATTTTGGAAAATTGGGGTTCTTGAACATCTAAATAACTGTGCATGGGTAATAATTTTGGCAAAAGAAGGGCGATAAATGCACTGTTATTCTGTCCTAGTTCTCGAAGACATCTAAATGAAAAGAATTCTAAAATCTAACCCAAAGCAAATAACTTCATCCAACCTTAGCACCGAGTGGGTGTCAGTTTTAAATCGTTGAATATTTTCCACCAAACGATGAAAGAGTTTATATAATGTATCGGGATCACCAATCCGTACAACTCGTAAAATATCATGAAGTGCTGAACGAATATCATACGAACGACTCTACATAATACAAACAGATTATTCATCCGAAAAGAAAAGCATATATCGTCTTACAAGTAATTCGGTAAGAATTGATAAGACTTGTTCACCGCGAAGAACACGGCCTTGCGCTATTTTACCTAAAACACGCATTGCTTGTAGTCGAACGTGTTCAATATCATCATCAAACATGGAAACAATATATTCAACGAGTTTCGATTGAAACACATCATGACAACATGAAATATCATAACAAGAATCAATCGCAGCAGCACGAACATCTGAAAAGGCCGAAAATTTACTACGAAGTCGACATGCGGAATATTTACCAGAATATTCATCTTCAAGCCCACTGATCAATGCACCACAAGGGCCTATGGCTGTAATCGATGCTGATTGAGCATCAACAGTAACATCATGTACAGTAATATCATCCATTTCACTATCTAATTGTTCGACTTTGGCAATAAAAGCTTTCTTTTTCGTTATCTAATAGCAAGCAAAACTAAATATGAAAAGAAAAACAGACAAGTCTACTCTACCCGCAAGAGTTTTTTATCTAATGTTTGATGGATTAGACTGATATCCACACCATTTCGACATAATTGTCCCTAGATCAATAGATTTCCCCGTACATATTTTCCCGATACACTCCGAATACATACAATCATTTTCATGGCTTGTACTCGAACGATCTTTGCTTCGTCATTTGTTAAATCACAGATAACTCGAAAAATTTGATTGATTAATTTTGACGAATCATCAGTTGATGATCCTGTTGGCACCGGACTAGAAGGAGTCAAATTTCAAATCTCGAATCCCTTCACTCATCCATACCTGTCTGGTGCATTGACAGCAAGAAGAAACAAAGCTTCACATGCAGCTAAACGTACTTCTGCGTAGTAGTCTTGTAAACATTCAACAAATAAAGTATAATGTTTCGAATCTAGTCCCACTTTGCATTTAAATAGATCCACCTAGGTAAAATCCATGGAAATTCTTATTTTAGCATTCGCAAACAAAAGACAAACTTGCTTACAATAGTTCGTAATGATTCCGCTCGAACACGCGCATCATCATGATCGATCGCTTGAAGTAATTTATTGATAATTTTCAATTGAAGTGCTGAGTCAAGATCAGGTGCTCGACCAAGTGTACTAAGTAGTTTAAACGCACATAACTGTACTCGAACGTGGATATTTGTGGAATACTAAACAAAGCAATAGGTGAAATCGTTAAAAAACGAGAAGTACAAATTTACTTGAATAGCATAATGAACGAATGCGTTCTTATCCAGAAATGCTGATGTTGGTAAGATGGAGAAATAACTGAGTAGACAAGCAGCTACTTTAATCGATTCTATTTGTAAATAAACAAGGAAAGATAATCGAAGAAAAAGATTCGTTTAATCTACTTGTTTGTTTGCCAAAGTCAAGTAAATCATTGACGTATTTTATTGAACTATTTGGATAACGTTGTTCGACAATGGTTAGCGTATTAATGAAAGTAATTTGAATTAATGGATCAACTGCTTCAAGAATATGCTGTATTAATACTCTAGAGGAACGAATTCTAAGTGAGATTTTCTTTAAAAAACTTGAACGATCGTCATTTACGTTATACAATCATCAATACAATTTCGAAAGAGAATCAATCGATCAGTGAAGTCTGCGAGAGCTTCGTTATATTCTCGAAGCGTTTTCAATATTTTCAAACGTTTTGTAAAGTCAGTAAAACGACGATATGAGGTGGACACTTCCACAAGACGAACTTTATGAGTCAATGGCGGGATTGACGGGTTTTTACTATCAAGAATTAGCGTTGCTGTCGTCGGCGATGTTTCTTGAGACTAAAATATAAGTAGAAGAATACATTTTCCTAACTCCTGATCTGGATACATACTTGCTCTATTGCGTCTATAGTGGTTGTTTGGCTGATGTTCTGTAAAATTCGTTTTTTTAATGTAGCCATGATGGTTTTATCTGAAAAATCGAAGAAGATTAGCAAACGATGCATTCTTTTTTCGCGCCAGCACTGATTTTCTATTTTCAAATCATTGTCGTTGTCAAGTAGATAGAAAACCTTTTTCTTAATTCTATTTTGCTTGAAAAATAAATCATGACAAACAAATTATTTATGATTTGTCTTCTTACTGGTTTGGTTTGTGCTTATTGTGAATATTATTGGATGCGACATGGCTATCGATCATTAGCGCTCGTCGCTTCAAAATGTCCGAAGCCAACAATGCCATCTGTCCGAACACCAACGGACGCTCAACAAGCGACTAATCAAACTCGAACATATTCGATTTTTAATTGGTTTTGGAATCTGTTTTCGGCATCAAAAGATAAATCTACAGCGCCTGTGCTTTGCGAAACATTTGAAATACACACAGATCCGCGTTCAACATTTATTCTGATAAAAACATGTTGTTTAATTGGTTTGATATTTAAACTTATTTCGAGCTTAAAAACAGTTCCGAACTTGCTTCGGGCACGGCGTCTGACTACGAAAGAATCGAGTTATAGTTCCTCAATGCCTAAAGGTGATGGATTTGTCCAACAATCGAAATTATTCGAAACTACAAATGGAAAAATTGGACTGGTTACAACAACGATTGACAAGCGAAATTTATCTGTACGATAAGCCTGGACGAATTTTCGTTTTTTTCTGTTGAGTGTTTTTTTGCGCAATAGTAGCGCGGGTAGAGTTCCGAATGAAAATTAATAGACAAACAAATTTTCTACACATTCATCTGAAAATAATTTCGAAAAATAAAAACAAGAGTGTTGATTTTGAAATCGTTTATTCAAGACATAAAACGCAACGGATAACAACGAGAAAACTTATTTTACTTTGCGAGCATTCGATCGGGCTTGATCGTATATGGTTTTCAGATCAGCAACAATCCGATTGTAATGCAGAACACCGCTTTCGTCGAAATAGTTGCCGACAGATCGAATAAATGCTCCTGATGAGGTCATCGAGCCGTCTTTACCCTCATTGTATTCCAAAGTCAAACAGTATTTATCATCATATCTAACAAAACAATTCCGATGATCAAATGTGAGATCTCGGATAAAGAGTGCCTACTTTTTCAGTTTCGATGCTATTGTGCAGCGTGATTCAGGACCAACACCGGCTTTATCCACTAAATTTCAAACCACATGTGTGTGACTTTAGATGGTTTATGAAAGTTTTACCAAGCTTGCCGGTATAGAATTTGCCACATTCAATAAACTGCATGTAGAATGTGAGAATGCCCATAAGAACAAAATAACTAAAGGAAGCATTAGGCTAATAGCTGATAGAATTCATTCCTTACCCGACAGCACAAATAATTAAAACGGAGCGAGATTTAGGAAATGGATTAAACCAATCATAGACAAGAGCAAATAATGAAAACAAACATGCTACGAAAGATAAGTAAAGACGACGATCCATTAATGTATAAAATTCAGTATAATTAAGGGTTTCGTTGAAGTACTAGAATACGAAGAGAAAATCATGATGGAATTCAGACTTTTCCGAGACAAAATCTACCTTTTTACAAGCATCATCTAGAGCATTTTTAACTGCATTTGTATCCCATTTGTTTACCTTTATAGGTTTACTCGAAGCATCATTTGTTCCTACCTGTACACTCGACATAAACAATATTTTTCAGTATGACAACTTGATCAACTTACATTTTCACTCATTTTATCAGATCTGAAAACACAAAAGAGAATGAAGGCAACCGTTATATACGTTAAGTGGAGGAATTCCATAAGAAAAATATTCTACTACATCCAAAAAATACGTTCTTTCTTTTTTACAATTACATAGTAACAACAACAACAACAAAAATAGAGACAAGAAAAATAGTATCCATCTGACAAGTCTATTGGTAATGAATATCTTGTTTTAGTTTTCAGCATCTTCAATTTTCGGTGCCAAGTAGAAACGAACATGACCCATTTCAGCAATTTTGAATTCGCACACTAATTAACAAAGCACAAATATAAGACTAAGAACCAAAAAGGAGAATAATATGTACGTACTTAATGGTGTATCTTCGGATAAGCTCAAACCAACTTGTGGTGAAAGTGGTGCTGCTTTGCAAAACATGCTCAAATATCGAACAGCAAATGTAAGTGCAACAGCTTCTTTCATTTCGATGATAACTGCTTCTTCCTCTTTTTCGATGTTTGTTGTTTGAACAAGACGAATGCTACCTAAAAGTTAACGTCATAATCGATACTCAAGTCTTCGAAATACAAATAAACTATACCTTGTCCAAGATCGCCTTTGGCGGAGAATTTCACACCTTCTTTTGTTGTACAAACAAGAACGGAATCGCCCATGATACTCATATCACGACAAATGCGTGAAAATTCGCTGCTTGGCATTTTAATTGTACACGAATAATCTGTATCGGGGATACCCAAATGTTCGCTATCGAGATCCATTAAACGCAATTCATAATCAGCGAATTTATCTTGATCTAAAGTAAGCCGTGTTGAACAGTTTCAGAAGACAGAAGCGAAAACTGTTTACTTTGCGATTCCATTGCGATGATAATCGAATCCGAATCATCGTTGACACGGATTGTCAATGAATCATCTTTGCCCATTGTTTTCAATACTTTTGACATACTAAAAGTATCATTCGTTTATCTATCGGTTCAAGTGAGATGTCTATTTTCCAAATACCTGACAAGACTAATACCGAGACTCATATTTCGATCACATCGATATGATTCGAAACCTTCCGAGCGCATGACAAGTGAAACTAATGCCACGTGAGAACTATCCATAGCTTGTAATGTAATTCCGTTGCCACTACATTCCCATGTTGCTTCATTGACCAACTCTCGAAGACCTTCGATAACTTTTGCGAAAATTGAACCGTGTAAAAGACGAGCCTAAACAGATAAAATGATTCAAGATACTCATAGATGTTCGAACTCATGCTCTTACTTCAAACATAATTGAATTATTTATTGAGAGAGTACGAATGAAGAATCAGACTGATTCGAAGAGAAAATACTGTATGAAAAAAATCTGGAAATGTAACAACGATTTAAATAGATGAAATGAATTGCAACATAGCTATGCAATGACAATATACGTTCGACGAATTCATTGTTGTCGAGTCTTTTTTTCTCTTCTTTCTTTGTAGCTTTGTGTTGGCATTCGATTTCGATTGATGCATTTGAACCAATACAGTACACGCACATAAATTTACTTCTTGTAGATGGCAGTGGCTTACGTTAACACTTGCCAGTCTTCGTATGAAAGTTAAATCATACGCAGCTGTTGAATGAAACAACGCTACTGCGTCGTGGGATAGATTTTGAACTAGTTCTTTTCCTTTCAAATCAACAGATTAGCTTAATTTCTTTATTTAAAATGTTTTGTTTTCAATGCATAAATATAAAGAAGCGATAAGAAGATAAGTGCGAGATCATCCGCTAACAAACACAAAAGAAAACAAGCTTGATTTCCTTTCTTTGAACTGAATAAATCTATATGATGACAGAAGACCCGGCTGCGAATTAGAAGACGAGGAAGAGGAGCAGTAAAGAAAAAGGTTCATTCCGTAAAAAGTTAGAAAGGAAACGAGCCAAAGCAAACAACACAAAGAAGAGCAGTTAAACATTGTTCACACAAGATTGAAGACGGCATTATAACGACAAATGCTTGGACCTTTTTCTTCATATTCTTTACGTGTATGACAGACTTCGTAAAAATTAGGCTAAAAAGTTCCGAAAGATTGATAGAACATGTATTTGTCCCGAATATGATTTCTTACCGTGCTTGCAGCTAAACTACCACCAAACCAGACGGCATAGCGTTGCATTGCATGTGCAACAACTTTTACATCGATTGGTTCAGGCTAAATAATCGATTTCTAAAGATATGGTTATCTAATTGTCTGAGACGGTTACTTTATGTTTGCTCAGTTCTTCCGATTCGCGAAGTCGAGCATCTACTAATCGTTGTACGTCACGTTTTAAACGTTTATCAAAACCTTTGAACATTGTGCTACCACCGGACAAGACAATATTCTAAACAAGAAGAGGCTAACTCCGAAAAAGAGAAAATACTCCATTTACATACACCATAGAGTTTACGGCGAACGTCTACAGGACAATCTTGTATAATATCATCAATCAATTTCGATAATGATGTATTGTATTCTGGATTGGAAAACTAGAATAAGAAATATCGATGAGTCATTGATCGGCGATGAAATGAAGCGGTCGTCATACTTCAGGACTGAAGAATATTTCCGGTCCAAGAAAACGTTCATGTCCAACATCAACATTAAATGTTTTTTTTGTGACAGAATTGGTACCCGTATATTGCAAATAGTTTTTTCGTGGATCTTCATCATATTTAGAAAATTCTTTTGCAATATCAGGACACACATAGCAGTATCGTTCCTAAAATGTATAGGTAATTACAATTGGACGGAAGAAACTTTGCAAATGACATACTTTGATTGCTTTTGCTGTTTCCAAAGATTGTTCAGGTGGAATAGTTGGTTCTCTTTCACGCAATAATGATTGAACAAAGTAAGTTATATCACGACCAGATATTGGAATATGTTTGATGCTACTGCCTAAATCAACCAATTGGTAACTTAAAATAGAGAGAAGAATGTCAAATACCTATAAGATAACCATCAGCAACGGGAACGACGTGAGTAACACCATCGCCTGAATCAACAACAAGACCAGTAAGCATGTTTTTCACATCACTAGCAATCCATGATGCATACAATGCCAGAGTAGCCTAAAACAATGGGACATTTTCTTGAATACTCGAAGAAACAAATCTATTACTCACTTGCAAAGCAATGTATAAGCCAGGTACATTAAATAATTCAAACATGATTTCTGCTGTATACTCTCGGTTCTCAGGCGTGTTCAATGGCGGTTCCGTCTTTAAGTATACAAAAAAAAACCAGGATGATTGTTACATTTAACAAAAGTCTACAAACTCACCAGAAGAAAATAGTGATCCTCTGAAACAAACAGAAAAGAAGGTATAAAAATGGATTTAACAGTGAAAAATTAGACTAACCCGGATCGCATCGAAGGTATTTAAATAAACAATGTTCCCAATATTTTTCCATGAGATCCCAATCTTCGACGATACCATGGCGAATTGGATACTTCACGGAATAACCTGAAAATTACGATAGCAGTTTAAGCTTTCTGATCCATAGATTCTTCAGTACCTTTAGCACCAAATGCTTCATCACCAATGAAAAAATCTAAATCTTCTCCTGACTGACCAATGCGGCTGCCACCAGGACGTTCACGAACAGCAATAGCTAAAAAGAAAAACACCATTTTAGTCATTTAATTCATAAAGAGGATTTTTTTAACCTGATGGAATGATAAAATGTGGTTCATTATTGCCAGCATAACCTAATTTTGTGTAACCCGTACCGTTATCGATGACGCAGGCTGGAAGTCGCCCCGTCATATTTATGAATAATCTTTAAATGGAAACGAATTTCAAATGGTATAAGAGTTTTGCTTGAATATAGAAACAAAACCACGGTTTTATTATCTTATCGTTTGCTTACAGTTTACTTAACAATAAAATAAAAGTAAGTGATTACAACGAGAGAGAATAGAATAGCAGAGTAGTCATATATATATATGATTCATCAGATTTCTCCATTGATTCAACCATACAAATTCTCCGCAAAACAGCATTAGCTAGAAGCGACATCTCGATCGATTAGTATATATACGAAAATAGTTAATATTTTTTGAGAAAATGAGAATTAAAGGTATAATACAAAATTGAAGTGTTTATTATTTCTTCTTTCCACTTTTCTTTTTCTTCTTTGATCCTGACTTTTTGCCACCTTTCTTCTTTCCACTTCCTTTTTTCTTTTTCGGTTTCACGTACGCTCCTGGCATCGGTTTGTCATCCTCATCATCAGTATCGCCACCACTAACTTCTCCACCTTCAGAATATTTGTGCAACGATGGATAAACATCGTCCGCGCCGAGTGCGTAATCAAGTGGCGTCAGTTTGGTTTTATTCGTAAGCATCGTCAACGACGCCGGTTGGCGTTTGGATAACATTTTGACAATCTTGAAAATCTAAAACGTTATTCTCTCGAGTTTTACAAGAAAATTCTTACAGGCAATTGCGAACTTTCAGCTGCATAGTGCAATGCACTTTTTCCACCACGATCTACGCGCACTTCTTTACTTTGTGGGTGTTCTAGTAAGAGTTTCATAATATCATTCCGACCATACTTCGCTGCCTATGAGGAACAAAGGGTAAATAAAACCTACTCTTTACAATTATCACCGACAATCATGAATGGTGTTCGACCATAAGCGTCTCCAAAATCTAAACTGATATGATTTCGCAAAAGTTTGAGAACGATCGATGTGTGTCCTTTTTCGATTGCATCCAAAAGAACTAACTGATGTTCAGACATCTGTAAAAAAAAGAAGAATAAGAACGAGAAATTTTGTTTACAAAGTTTCCAAAAGCACATTCCTTTTATTTATAACAAGTAGAAAATAAGTTTTATAACATTGAAGTCGCAAAAGAAAATAAATAAACCGGTTAGAACTACCAGTATGCATCATTGATTAATGTTTCCTTTTCTTCCTATCGGTTTATTACTATTGATTGTTAGTCATTCACATCTTGATAGGATTTATTAATGACATACGATTGTTGGTTAGTGTTTTGGCACACACGTAAAGATTCTGACGCGTCATTCTATAGAAATATGTTAAAATAGTGAGAATGCCAATGTCTAGTTTCGATGATTTATACATAGTTTGCTTCTACTGTAAAGATTTGATCATTTCGAAGATTACCGTTTGCATGATGATTGTCTGCACCGTTTCCTTGTAAATCCATCACTTGGTTGTTTCGTAATTTCTATAGGAAAGAAAGAAATATGGATTTTGAAAAATGTCGAAAACGAATTCGAACCTTGACCGGCAGAAATTTCGACGCGCGTGCTGGTTCTTCCCTTGAATTTTGAGCGAGCTGATTAAATTGTGTTAACGTCTGATCAATGGTACGATTGTGTCGTCGTTTCATTACAAAATCATACGTCGAAAAGCCATGATAACCTGATCATAGAGAGAGAGAACTTTCATCAAAGTAACACGAACATACGAGTTCGAACTTACATAGAAAGATATGAAAACCAAGAAGATATCCAGCCATTGCAAATGTAACCAAACAAATTATTGCTACAATTCCTGATATCACTTGAAATGCAATTTGAGATGCGGGAATCATCAATACTGCATATCGATCTAGAGCAAAACATATATCATGATGTCATTTGATTCTCAAGGCTCTAATGAATGACTAATATTTAGTAACCCGGAAACTTTTGCCTTTCAAGCATGGTTTAATCTATCTAAGTCAGTAATTTATCTCTTTTGACTGAGCTCATATAAACGTAAGATTATTATTATCGGTTTTACCTTCAGATAATTCTGAGACACATCTTTACCTGGCGCATAGTATGGATTCAAGCTAATTGCAGACGGGGATGTCAGAAACGATCCAATGAATTGAAGTAAACTATTTATGAAAACAAACAATGTTCCAATAACTAGTAAGGTTAACATCGTAAGAAAACGACGGTAATTCTTCCCACCGATACAATTATTGAGCCATATACAATGATGATCGAAGGCGTATACACATTTATTACAGGACGAACAGTGTTTGGCTTTTTCAGTCACGTTCGCATCACATATATTACAATAAAAATTCGTTATGACATGTTGGTGTACACGTCGATCGAAATCAGTTCGTGGTCCACGATTTTGATTCTTAATTGAATCTTCGGCTGGATCGCTGAGTATAAGTACGATGAATATAACTGAAAATGGAAGAATAATCACCGAGGAAAGAACAATACTCAACCATTGCCACGGATGTGTTGGAATGTTCACACATAATGTTAAATAGTTCATCAGAATAATAAATACAATAAGTACTAAAGCGAGTATTTGCACATAGTACAATGGTAATGAAAACCCATTTCGACGACGTCGACCAGCATCGGTTGGATTTGCTGAACTAAAACTGATTACTGCCATCCATATATTGCTAAACTTGTTTTATCTAGAAATCAAAACTAAGAGGAGAAAAACTCGAAAACTGTTTGCGTAGAGATGTAAAGTTTTCTTTTTTTTGCTTTGACGATCGAGTAAGCAACGTGCCCTGCAGCGAACAACTGATGTGTTCTGTGTTTTGAATACCTTGCATGATCTGTTATTATACGAGAAAAAGAGAAAAAAAGTTTTTCTTATAATTTATGCTACGCAATTATCGTGAAACTTCTTTGTGTGTTTTTCTCTTTCCTTATAATGCTAACTACGAAACGATCTCTATTTTTCCTTCTATCTGTTTCTATGAAAAATATCAAAGAAGAAAAATCTTACTTTTCCTTTCGCATTATCGTGTTAGCATCAGCCATGTTTTGCCAGGTAACTATGACTTTTAACATCAACATGTGAAAAAAACATCACATTAGATGCCGCTACATTACACATATGAATAAAAAACGAAGATTTTATTTCTTTTTGTCTAATAATTTTTTTAAATATTTTCAAGAAAAACACAGAGGAGGAAGATGCTGTCAGTCTGGTATCCAGATTGTATCATTCCATAACCATCGCCGTGACTTATCTACTTCAACACGATGACTCCAACCGGTTTGAGGCTTTTTTACATGCAATCGTTCAACTGATGGAACTCGGCCGAGAATTTCTTGTTTGAGAAGTATATCTTTTTGAATGAAAAATAGATTGACACCATTTTTTTCAGCATAAACTAATGTGTAATTGTAAGCACGACCGAGTGCAGCCATGGCTAGAATTCCCGCACCATAATGTGTCGTACCTGTCCATCGGCGAGTGTCTTGAAAAGGATCGGCAACACGATTTTCATTTGGTGGAATTAAGTAATTATATTCAATGACAACAACACGTGCGTGATAACGATTTGCTTGTAAAATTGATTTCCATACATAGTAATCATCAAAGCTGAACAAAGAAAAACACAGAAATTTGTCTAAATTTAATCAAGAAATCGTACTCTAAGTCAATCGATAAAAGATCTATTAACGACGGTGTTTGATATTTTTCCAATAGTTGATTTATATTTTCTGCTGTTACCTTTTCCTTATAAAGATTTATCGATGGAATATCGTGATTTCCATCCATCATCAAACCTTCCCAACCTAATTGTTGTCGAAGGAAACGTGTGTTACACTCATTACCATTTTCAGTACCAAATTCAACAAAGCGTGGTGGAGAATTCACAGTACCGATATTAGCAAATATCCATAGAAGCACTCCGTCTTCACCGTTTTGTGAGAAGATTTTAAATTCTTTTTCGTGAAATTTTCTTATCCAAATTGAATGAACGTTAGACGCATTTCTCGATACACTTCTCGTAGTTGATATTTGTTCGGTTGATGCCATCGGTCGACCACAAGGTTTACATTGCCATTTGATAAGCAATAAACAGCACATGACGGCGATCGTGAAGTATGTACATAGCACAGTTTTGCTACTAATACTCATCACTAAAATTAATACAAAGATTATTCTTTTTTAGAAGACAATGCAGCTATGTAGTATAAAGGTTTCGAAAAAGTTTCTTTTCTTATTATGTGTTAAGGACTGGCCATACTACCTAGTAGATCCACAGAAGTACGTTATTATCCAACCAATGTATATTTCACTGTTGGCTGAAGGATTCAATTGAGATTGAATTTGATTTCGATATGAAAATCAGTCCTTTCTCTCTATGTATAGTGGGACTGATATATATATAGACGTAAAGTTGGTAGGCGTGAATGTACCCATTTCAAATACAATGGTTGAATCATAGTTTGTCTACGAAAACTGTGGTAAAAACGCTTATAATTTCATTTCTGTTGTTAATTTGGAAGGCAGATTTCAATAGAATACAAAGAGGCAGTGTTGTATCCAGCGGGAGGCGCAAGGGATTTTTTGTCCTTCCTCGAAGCTTGCGTTTGTCGATCCTCCGCGCCGGAAGAAATGTTTTTAATTGTTTGAGGTATATATATACATCTAAAAAATATCTTTGTGAGCGATGCACGAAGAAATTGCCTATTAATATGATATTTTTGAAATGAAACTAACTCTTTTTCTAACATAATCTAAATACTATGCGCTATTTAACCACGTTGTTTAGCAGTTTGAATTATATAATACAAGTTCATGTTCTTGTGATATTCATTATTTTTGTTGGTACTTGTTCATACAAAGTTGTTGTCATGTATTTATTCTTATTTGTTTTTTTTTGTATACTTGTGTTCGCTTTTTCAATAAATGAAATGATAAAACTAGTCCGTACACAACTCGTACACTTTACATCTTATGAAAACATGAATATTATAAACTAAATAACATTTAAATGATTTGTCGCTTGAAAGTTTTTCTAACCCTCTCCCGAAGAAAAAAGCTGGATAAAACACTGCGAAGAGGAAGTGATATTTCGCTTAGATATGCTTGTCTGATTATATAGTTGATTTTACCATGGGAATATGTATAGTATTCAACGACTAGTTCTTATTTTTTTTTCTCGCAAAAGTAAAAAATATACTAATCTTTCGTTTATCAAAAGAACACGAATCTATGTGATCGCAATCAGATAAAATAATCGCAGAATCGGTGCGAGAAATGGATCATATCAATTGAGTTCGAAAGAGTTATTAGTATTACTACAGATCGTGACATCCGCAAACAAATATATGAAGAAGATTGTTAATCATAAGTAAATAGAATGCAAATTCAAATCAGCGTATTTCATCACGTTACTGATCAATTTTGATTCTGACTGACATAATTGTAGCTGGAAAAATCCAGATCTAATTGAAAATAGTTCTTTATATAATACAATGGACGTGAATTCCTGTATTTTGTTACGAGATTACGTGCTATCATACCAAGCATAGAACTATCTCCTTCCGCGCATTTCAAACTCAACTAAATCTTAATATGAACGATGACGCATGCAAGCGCCACATAAATGTCACACGATGCCGTTTTATATTCCTTCTGCTTGCTGCATCAAACAGATCGAAGCATTTCTAAACTCTTTGCTCTCCTTACAGTTCGAAATTTCAATACTTATTTCGATGGTTTAATGATAAGTGAACGATCGAGATGACACTCTGCTAAGAACAATTTTTATCAAAACAGAATTGTATCTGAACACACCGATTCGAATCAAGTTAAGTAACCATTATTCACTATAATATAAAAGCTTTCTCAGAATTCTCATGCTTCATGGACACTTAAAAGTGAGTGCTAGACGTACATCATAACAATGTTGGAAGTGGCACACGAGCAGACATTATTTTGATCGGTTTCTTAACATTTTACATGAATGAAACAGTATTTCTGTTACTGAGGCGATAAGTGAGTATAAACTGAGCAACTACTTGTAAACTTTCAATGGCAAACATTACGCATGGTACAAAAATCAAATAGAACCATCGATATACATACTGACGAATCAGACTTGAGTTGGTCTAATTTGACAGATATCGTAACAAATAAATGGCGCCACACGATAGATTCTAAGATATAGTGAAATAAATTGATTAGTTCATTTTTCTGTGTCAATATGTGGCAATCTTACTCACGAACAAACCACATATGAGTCGTGAAAATACAAATTATGAACTTACTTGTGATATTTATATATGTATATAATGAATACAAAATGTCATTAGGCGTTCGTGCTCACGTATGTTTTTCATTAAGCGATTGTTGTTGACAAATGCACAAAAAATATTAACAGTTAAAGCATCTGACTGGAATGTGAAAAGAATTGTTTTACAGGACACACAAAAAAAATGAATGTTTATCGTGGCGTTGATTTGATCAAAGGAGAAAAAAGTGTTTTTTCTCGATTTCTATTAAAACCCTGAGGACAAGATTGTGCTTGTGCCTTCAACACTGAATCTACCGAAACAAAACCACACATGTAGTTCTGTTTATAATGATGAATATTGTGAAAGGTAGTAAACGTTTATTTTTATATGGAACGTGAAAGTTTTCTTTTTTTTTTTTTCAAAAAATGTTTCTCGTCGACTTATGAACTTTTTTCTCATTCATCGTTTTGCGATGAATTAAACAAGACTTCCATAACATTCTTGATCATTGCATTCTTTCACTGGATAAGTATCTGGCAAAATGAGGGCTTCCGTTGTCAAAGTCAATGTTGTAGATTGACGACCAGTAAATGTCGCTTGAACAAACGTCGCTAACCAATGACCGTCTGATGGAATCGGAATGGTTACCGAATAAGAAGCAGTTGAAGTGTTTTGTCCCTAAATCATTGAATAGAATAATACGTTTCAGGAAAGAATACAAGAGATTCTAGAGGACCTTATGTTCAACGGCTATATTGGCCCATATGACAGGATTTGCCACAATATTTCCAGAATTTGAATCAATTTTTGCTCGACGAAAATCACGTCTTAACATTTCGAGAAAACTGTAGATTCTATCAGATAGTCTTTTGTCGCTTCTACCTTAGTGTATCAGCTGTACGCGCTTGGTAAGCACTGACAGCATTGGGTTTGGGCATTCCAGAACTGAAATCAATGATAACATCTATGACACCATGTGTTTCATTTATTGTTCGGGTCCATTTCATCAATGGTAATGAGCTTCTCTAGATTTGAAAATGATCAACAAAAACGAATGATTAATATTGACTTACATCTGCCACACTCATGTAAAAACTAGCCAGACTTTCTTCATATCCTTTTATATCGTGACCAGTGTTAGGTACGTATCTAGTCGCAAAAAAAGAACATCTTTGTGTAAGATTCGCATTGTTATTCGATTGTTTTACCTTAGATAGGATCCACCAGTTGCTAATTGTAAATCTTTCCAGAAGTAAGCCTAATAACGATCAAGATGCTTATAATCATTTTATTACAAAATAACACAATAATCATACTTCTCCGTCAGGAAGGAAAAATTCATCACTTGATGCTTGTAATTGAAAGATTTTTGTGTTATTATACCGATTTATAAACGCTTTGAGAAACGAACAGATCTTTGAAAAAATAACAAAATAGTCTATTTAACCACTCACAGTATGGATCAACCATTTGAGCCAGTTTATCAAGTAGTGAACTATTCATATAACGAGTAATATTCATTTCATAATAATCATTAAATGCGAATGTCCATCCACCAAGTGACTAGTGAATAACAAAATCGTGTTTCTGTTCAGGTACAAGGAGTACCTACTCGATAGTGTGACATCATGTTCTATGAAGAAAAAATGATCAAAATATTGACTAATCTATTTATCTAAATAAGTATTTTCTCTCTTACGGGTCGAAGATTCAGTAAATCCATGACAATGGGAACTGCAGCCACTACTCTTTTATTGTCTATTGCCGCTGTTGTCCATGCTAAAATCCAAAATAGAATAGAGAAAATATTACCTTAAGATCAAATTACTAGTCCATCCACGCTAAACAAAGGTGAAATCCACAGTTACAATAGTAGATATATGAACAGAGGAAACTGACTTTGGAAGCACCACCAATGACGAATTCTTGGGGTACTGTAAGATGTTCTTGCTGTAAGAACTGTTCGACAGTATCCATTGCCCGTACAACTGCCTATAGTGATAATCATGTAGAGAATAGCTTGCTGACTGTTTCCGGACTGTACTTTGGTCATAGGAAAACGAAGAAGTATGTTCGGATCGGTGCCATTCATATCTATATATCTTTTCCATGTCCAAGCAATCAATGCATCTTCATCACGAGATTTATTCAATGGATCGGCCTGTAAGTAGACGTTCGTAGCAGAAAATCACCATATAATCAAATGTAAGTTACCAAAAACCGAAACGGTTGATTTGGTATTTGCCAAATGGTAGCTGTAATACTATCTGTAGTCGTTGCCAGGGATGTCATTGGATTGCTTGTCGGTACTCTGAAATAAATCAGAGAATATAAATGTAATTCAGGCAAGTTCATTCGAAGATTTTTATATATCTGCATGTATACATACGAATCTGTATTATCGCCCCCATAGATCAGCAGAAATGCTGTTTTCGAACGGCGAATATTTCTGGGAACTGTGACAGCCATGTAATGCCACCAAATCGGTTGCGTAGACACTGAATCTATGAAATCAAAACAAATACAGTTGAACATCCAATCGAAACTATCAATGTACCATCAAACCATCGCTGTGAAGTCATATTTAATATGTAAATCGTATGAGTCGGTAATGGATAAGTCTGAAGACGTTTCCAACTGAACATTGGATCGGGTGTATTGACATAATCATCGAGAGGAGTAGCTTGACAATAATTGAAGATAATCGCAGAAGTAACAGTAAGAATGACGCTAGTGATATGCATTATTGCTAGAATGAAAAGAGATCGAACTTGTTTTCAACTTGTTTTTCGTTGAAAAAGTCAAACTATACTCGTCATTGTCGAAAAGTAAGCTCTATATTGATTTAAGTTGGTTTTATTTTAATTGCAAATCATATTATTTGCTTTCTTCTTAAATATACTGTATATTGACATTCAACAGTTTTATTTATCCTACTTCTTTTCTGTTCGATAGAACCTATCGTACGAATCATCAACATATTTCATCAGAATAGAATATCGTACATTGTTATGAACATGTTCGTTACAGTGCCTGTACACGATACCGCATCCATAGCTGTTCCTTTCTGATAATTACTGTCATTGATCTAGCAAAAAAAAAGACGAATAAAAGTTTCTTTTGATTGGACTTAACCAGTAAATGAAATTTGAGATGTTCTTTGCGGATTATCATCGTATCCATTTTGATACCATTCTGACGTTAAATTACTTTTTTCAGTACAAAATAATATTTATCAAAAGAGAGGCTTATTTCTTTCGTGGATGATGTCCTCATAAGCCAACAATCAATTTGATTCAAAGAGAAGAACAGTTATGAGCTTTGCAGTTCTAATCAAAAAGACAACAAACTGTGCTTAAACACATGAGAAAAAATGAGCTGTTTCTGTTTTCGTTTAAGACGATGAATGACGAAATTGTATTTTGCCATAGATAAATCTTCAGATTAATCAACCATCATATTTTTTACCGAATAACTGTCGCGTTTCTCGTCAAGGACGCGGCAAATCGCGCTTCTTCCATTTTTCATAGCAAATATAAAACAAGCCCTCGACGTATCATTATCTTTTAATTTGTGGAATATCGAATTGAAATGATAGACTTCGAAACTTAATTACAGATCTAGTGATAACATGGGCGACACACTAGTTTTCTCTTTAGACAATGATTGTACAACAGCAATGATCGTTCCGTCTTCATATGCAATAACAATTTCACGTTCTTGACTTCTCAAGCGTAAAGTTTTCACATCGTCATTTGGATTGATATTTAACGAAAAGTCAATCGCCATTTCGATATATTCTCGACAAAATGTATTGAAGTCATTTCGAGCTAGGTTATTCAAGCCATACAATGGAAATATATCATTCGTTTGAATATCTATCGCCATTGCTGATAGAATATCCGGTATTTTGACAATTCGCTCCCACACTTCTTTCGGATCAACTTCGTTATCTTCGAATATTTGCTTCGCTGACAAATATCTTTGATATCGGCGACCGAGTTTTCGTTGCATAGTGGTCATATCCTCTTTATTTACTCTTAGGTTAGTTGAAAATAACTAAAAGGCGCAAAAGATACATTCAAAATATTCGAAAAAAAAACAAGATACTATATCAATTAGATCTTGATACGTTCAGAATCTGTATGTATAAAACCGAGACGAAGGTAAACATCAGTACCAATTCGTGGTACTTGTGCCAATGTTAAAGACCCACCGAAAAACTGAGCATACAATGAGCAAATGGGAAGACCAAACCCATAGCCATACATTCGCTTTGAACTAGAGAAAAGTTCGTATTATTCTCAAAAGCAGATCGCAAAATCATTTACGTACAATTGAATTGTGGGATCGTGGAAGGAATAAGGGAAATAAGTTGAATTATGTTCTTTTTCTTCCTTCGCTATCTCACCTTAATCAATGATAAGACAGAAGAAATATTCAAATTCATTCATTTCGTTCACATACCAGTAAACTGGTATTGAAATATATTCTCTATCGGTTCATCGACCCCACCACCACGATCCTGAATGGAAATTGTAAAATGCTCGTCCTCAGGATCAGCACTAATTAGAACTTTACACAAAGGATCTTGTCGATGATCTTCAAAGAATGTTTTCACATGTGTCAGATCATTGAACAATACTGTGTGATATTCAACCAGAGCCCGCATCGAGTTTTTCAATAATTCGCGGACGATATACTCAACTATATCAGGAAAATATGGAATGGGCTGATGCAGATGGTTTTCAACATGAACTGGGGGTACAACACCATAAGTTTCAAAGCAGACTGATGAAACATCGGCAATACATTGCTGAACGAGTTTCGCAGGTGAAAAGTTCATACAAATCGCACCTCGCCATTGATCATTTGGTTTCTGTTCCTTTTGTTGTTTGTGCAATTCGCGATAGTGTTCAGAAAGCAAACGCATTGACAGACGAGTTTGTAAAACATTGTCAAGGAATGTTTTCATAATATCGTAAGTCTTGAAATATTTCGCTGCTTCTCGACATCCACTCGATAATTGTCCAATGATATCATTATTTTGAATTTTGAACAAATTTATCAACTCAAAGAAATTCTCTTCGTCCGCCTCACTTTTGATCGTCGAAAAGTGTGCTAATTTCTCGAATAACTTCCAGTACCGTTCGTTTATGGACAACAAAATTGGATTTGCAGCCGGTAGAAACGGTAAATACTGAAAATGACAAATACAATGTGCTACACGTACTAGTAATTGTTCATGAAGGTCAGCTGCAGTTTTTATCAAACAGATCGGCGTCGAATGGTGTGGCGAACATGCTTCTATCATACGATTTCCATAACAATGGTCAATCGGACGTTGAGAATATTCAATCAATTCATCATGCGAGGAAAATCGCGATAATTTTTTCACAACTTCTGAAAAAGTATGTTCTTGCGAGTTTTTCTTGACAGCTTTGCCTAATGTTGACAAACATCGATAGTAGGACATGCGGCGTTGAAAATGAAGATCCAAAATAGAGAAAGTAGATTATGTTAGAAATGATTGTATTACACTCGAAATAAACAAAGCTGCTTTTTTCCCTTTGATGTTTTTGTTTAATTGAAAAAGAAAACAATATTTTCGTTTGATTTGACAATGATGATTGCGCCCAGAGGCATGGAAAAGAAAACTCAATAGTGAATATTGAAAGCACATCAAAAAGAAACAAGAAAGGCCATTTGATACCGTTTATACACGCATAAACATAGATGAATCCACGCTAAAAAGAAGATCTCTAAGGCTAATGTTTTGAAATATCCCTGATAAAGAAGAACAACACATATGATAGAGCACAAGACAAGAACAAAGAAAAAGAAAGTGAGATCATCTGACACGAAGGAAACAGAATAAATGAAGAGATGATTGCATTGCAACGCAATAAGAAATGACTTAGAATAAATATACAAACAACAGGACGAGAAGAGAATGTCATTCATACACAGAAAGAAACAAACAAAGAAAGATTTATAATTTGTCGAGAAGAATTTTAATATCTTGGAGGATTCTTGTCATTTGAGAGAAAATTGTAGTTTCATCACGATTTTCATCATTATCGAATAGTGGTTTAGATGTATCTTTGATATTTTGAATGTGTTCACGTAGTTTAAATGCAATTTGTGGTGGAATGACTTTCGATAATTCTAAACATCGATCACCAAATAAATTCAGATCATTAACTAAACTGATCGTCGTTGGCATAGATGATAAAGTTTTTCCATTTATCGTTTCGTTATCATCAATCACCATGGTTGAACTGCTCATGATTAATCTACTTTGTCGATTTTTTTGCACTTGACGAATGTATTTGATTAACAACTGAACTGTTTCAAGTAGTGAACGAACCGAATCGGAAGGCTGATCTGTGTCAGATGTAGTCGTGGAAGGAGGTTTTGTATCTTGACATCGGCTCGATGCGTATTCTGAAAATAAACGAATGGCCATACCAACTGATGACGGAACAGATTCGCTGGTCGATTCCGATTCCGTCGAGGTTTTTGTATTCGGTGTAGCACCTGTTTGTCGAAGATGTATTCGACAGAATTCGGGAGTTGTGGCGGAAGAATTTGAAGATGAATGTTGATGTTCAGAAGTTTTCGATTCAGTAAAATTGGTACTTGATGAAGATGTTAGGCTATCAATGGATGCGCTCGATTTTGCTCTAGAATTAGAAGTCGAAAAAGTAGAGTTTGGTTGCAGAGAAGAAAGAGACTGGCTACTTGTTCGCTTTTTTGTTTGTTTTCATTTTGATTGATCCATCTCGACTAGGTTTTGATGGTGGTGTTGGGCGTTGAACACTGTCGCAAACAACATTTTGTAATGGCTCGATGCCATTGGTTGTTGAGGAATGATTATGTGTGACAAATGTTGTTGTGGAAGCTGAATTTGGAAGAGTTGTTGAAACAGGTAATGAGGTTTGCTTTTTACTGAATGTTGATAGGCGGGCTTCGGGATTGAGATTTCGTGGCCGATCACGTAATTGTTGTTGTTGTTGTTGAACGATTATAGGTAGGGTTTGCTCATTAGATTCTTCGAGAATTGTTACTTGCTGTTGTTGTTGATCGGTAGGAGCTTTTGGACGAGGTGAGGAGAGAAAACGTGCAAGTATTGATTGATGGGCTGCTGCTGGTGGAGGTGGTGGGGGAGTTGAAGATGTAACGCTTGAGAATGAACATGTACGAGCCGGTGGGCGAGGAGGTGGAAGTGATGGACCCGTCCTTGCACGATTCGCATTTGCACAATAATCATTTGCAGAGAGAATTTTTACTGATCCTACGAGCATAGATTGAATGAACAGTTGCAAGTTTCAACTGAAGAATGAGTTCTATACCATTTTCTTGACTGTTGAATCCAACAGTGGTCATACTTTCAAGTTCTGCATGGATTTCCTTGAACGCTGGTCTTTCATCTGGATTCCATCTCCAACCTAAGATATGGAAATAGAATCAATCGGTCAAGTGTAATCTACGTACATTTTTGCATTAGATTATACACATCCGTTGGACAACCAGCTGGACGTTCCATTCGATTTCCACTCTTCAAAGGATACAAATGATTATGTGCTTTTACGTAAGATTTCATCAGACACTTACTCGAAGGTGATCAAACACTTGACAGAGTTCTATCTTAGGATAGGGACTAGCCCCATACGTCGCAATTTCCCATAAGAGAATGGAAAAGCTAGAAAAACAGTCATTGTGCAAGGCAATATAAAATCAAGTAGAAGTTACCTCCACACATCTGATTTTGTTGAAAATTGATTTCTTTCTAATCCTTCCGGTGCTATAAAGAAGAATTACAAATGAAAACCCATAAATGTATTACTGATTATCTACCTGTCCATTTAATAGGAAATTTAGCACCATGTTTAGCTGTGTAATGATCCTCACATTTAACTAAACGAGCTAAACCAAAATCTCCCACTTTGACTACATGGTTATCTCCAACCAAACAATTTCGTGCCGCTAAAATGACAAAATTACACGTAGACCATCATAAATATCCTTGGAACACAGCAGATTTCCTACCTAAATCTCTATGGATAAAATTTTTCGCTTCTAAATAAGTCATCGCTGACGCTACTTGTCCAGCCATATACATCAAAACTGTTGATGTTAATTCTGTTCGTGGTCGTCGCTTCAAATAATCCAACAAACATCCGTGTGGCATAAATTCCGTGATAATATAATAAGGTGGTTCAAGTGTACAAATACCGAGCAGTTGAACCAGATTTGGGTGTTTTAGATCTTTCATAACGTCTGCTTCTTCAAGAAAATCCTGTAAACTCATCGTTTCTTTCAGTGTTTTAACTGCGACAACTTTGTTGTAACGTTTCCATAAAGCTTCGTAGACTTCACCGTATTGTCCGCCTCCTAATTTTTGTTTCATGGCTATTTCGGATCGTGGTATTTCCCATTTATCATCAATTTTGAACAATGCTGGTTGAATTTTATGTTTACTAATGGGATAGAGTAGCAGATGAACAAGACCATCGGTTGTCACAGAATGATGATGGATCAATTGTTGTAATGTTGCAAAACGTAATTCCGTTGAAACATAATATTGGCCATTTTCATCTGTATTTATACGATAATGGTAGATTCGGCCGTCGTACCGAAGACTAATCGAAAGTTGACCTGGAACAGTTTCGCTGTCTCGAACCAAAAAACCTTGAAAAAAAATAAATAGAAGAATATAGAGAAAATTGTAATAAAATTCTTACGAATTTTTCGAGTCATTTCGAAAAGGAAGTTACCAGAATGCTGCTGAGTGAATGAATGAATGAATAACTAATCGAAAATCATCCTTGAGCAATTCTCTCTCTTTTTGACTCATAATTAACATAGAAAACATTAACCTTGTTCATGGTCAAAAGTCAATGCTATCTCTAATAACTATTAGTTCCTTATCAATTCATAACTCACATTCAGTTTTCAATTTTCTCCCCTTTTTTGTCTATGTAAATAGTCCTAATAACATACTTCCATTAATTCCTTGTGTTAATAAATATTCGGCTTCACATCTTGATACTTTGCCATGAAACCAGGAATGTCTATCCAATGATGATAATGGCTTGATAAATACTTGCGGCACCCACCCAACTTGACCTTGACTATTGCGTACTTCGACCCAATCATGATTTCGATCATGATAATTAACAATAGTTAAATGTTCACCGACCGCTAATGATAATTGTTTGTCGTCACTTGCATTAAATGGCAAACATGCGATGTAGATCCCATCGTTAGGTGTGTTCGTCCGATGGTGATGTAAAGGACAGTTGCTCGATGTTATACTAGTTGTGTTAGTGTTATTATTATTGCCAAGAAATGATGTTGATGCTGTATCACATTGTGTTAATAATAATTCTCGTGATAGCCAACGTTTTTCTGCAGTTAAACAATCAAAATTACCGTTGTTATGTTGTTGCGACTGAATATGTGCCAGTGTTCCACAAGGTGTTGAACGAAATGAACCTAAAAATAGGTTTGAAGTTTTACTAGACGAACGTTTTTTTCGTGACATCTGTTGAATGTGAATATAAGTTAGAAAAAAAAAGAGCAAAGTTATGGAAACTATTCTTCTGCATTTCATGTTGGAATGTTTTTTAGAAGATTCTTCTTGTCTGATAAACAAAACATAGGCATTTTTACCTTGACTATGAATTGATATATCATCTACATTTGTATGTGTCGTTGCAAGCGATGATGTTGATATTAAAGGTGAATCAGTATGTGAACCCGAGATATTGAGAAATGGCTTTGATATTGAACGACGACTTTTTAAATTGGGCGATGCACGTGTACTGGAATCTTTTATCGTTTGATTGCCCATTGGAGTGAAAATAATTGTTCAGCATTAGATTTGGTAGATGCAAGAAATATCCATCGAAAAAACGTGAGTAGAGAAAAAACAGATGAAGAAAGAAAGACTCCTCTGACAGGATAAATAAACAAAAATAAGCAATCGCGATCGAGGAAAGAGAGTAGCGAGCTAATTGTCTGTTTTTCTTTCGGCCTCTCTCCCTTGGACAATCAGCTTTTCGAGAGTGTCCGAAAGCAAAAGAATATGATTCACATGCTCTCTTGTCACTGATGTCCAATGGTCGAATCAAATAGTTCAACATTCAGATGTCACTAAACAACGATCAACTTTCACTTAACAGACGTCGTTCATTCTGTGCTGCTGTTTCTGTTAGATGTAGACCAACCTGTACATGAAAAATATAAAGTTTTAATAAAATAGACTGATCTCGCCGTGTTTTGAAAAATGAACAGTTCGACATCATTATGTCTCGTCATTGTCACGTAGAACATTCTAATTTTCGGTTTGAGTTTTCCTGTGCTGATTCGCCTTGAAAATCTTCTGAAATACTTTCCGAATGCAGCTCGGCCAAGTATACAATTTGGTAATGGTACACATTCCTTTCGCAGATCCCTCCTTCCGCTTGAAAAATGCTGAAATATACCTAGAACTCATGAAAATGAGTCTTTACCATCTAATGTCGTTCAAAAACTTCCCCAATGAGACAAACGTTGTTTCCAGGTAGGTTTTAATGACTATCGTGTGTGATTGCTCAGAACATAATATAATTTTGTATCTTCATCAACGACGGCACGCAGCATGTGTCTGTCAGCAAATCCTTTTTAGGTTTAGCAGATTTCGAAAACCATTTTTTGAACATGTTGCCACATTTGGAAGCTATTTGACACCTACGGAGGCTTTTCAATGGGTTTGGTAACGTACCTTTTTTAATCTACAGTGTATATAAAACACGACAAAGATTCTTTCAAGTAAATGTAAAAGATTGATCTTTTCATATATTGGCAGAAATATTTATCTACTGTGGACGAGCAAGCACATAATTCATTCCGTTTTCTACATAAGAATAAACATAAAAATAGTTCATTCAGTGCTCAGTCACAGTCTCAAATTAATAGTTTATCATCATATGGTCATGAACTTGTTTTCATTGGTGCGATTTTTTGCTGTTGGTAAATTCTTGATCCTTTCACATTTCTTCTTATTCAATTAAACTTGCCAAGTGAAATAAACAATATGTAAATGCGACTTTGGGACGCTATTAATATTTCTAGAGTAACGAGTGATAGGGAATGATTTTGGCATGTATTTTTTTGCGCGATAAAAATACTTAAATGTGTAATAATTAAAATACGAATTGCAACTATTTGAGCAATTTTTATTACGAAATGAGCAATAAATAATTCATCAAATAGCAGTTTTTATTTCCGCAATTAGGCATAAAAAAAATGAAAATTAGCAATTAATATACTATTGCAGCAACAAAGCTTTTCTAGCTTTCTATGGCCTGCCCTTTTTCCTTTTTGTGCCGACTTCTATGTTCTTAGCTTCTGGAGGAGATGTACAATATTTTATTTGGATAGACATACCGATACCGATGACATGCTAGTAAACATAATTCTCAAGAAATAACCCAGGTCGAAGAATCCGGCCCGGAACTGACTAGTTCCAGGACCTTCCGGGGATTTCATGGAAGCAGTATTCCGGCTACCGAATCCTTTCATCGCATTTAAAAGGTTTTATCGGCAACTAGGGAGAACCCGCCATAACCATTAGTCGGATACGGTTACCGGTTCCTTCAGTGGGATTCCGAGTATTTTCTCGTGGTTTCCAGCGCGGATACTATAAATATCCTGCGGGTTTTCACGGGAAATAAGCGGAATACTGCTTCCAGGAACGATCGTCCTGGGAATGGACAAGTGCACATTGTTGTTCTCCATTCGTCAGGATTGTCGGATAAACATTCGTATCATGTGTTGAGATATACAGACTTGCACATATCGTATAAATCAAATCTACAATTTTAATAATACTTTACTTCTTTTTTTGAAAGTCCAGTGTCTTCTCCAGCAGGTATATAACAAATTGTTCGATTATCTCTTAAAATAGATATAACATCCTTGTTTATAGCTGAACCTAGTTGTACCATTCAGTCCAATATGACAGTGTATATATGCATATGCATAAACAAGAATAGGAACTTTCAAAGATAGTGAGGGAAAAACTAGGAGAAAAAAGGACTTCAACGAATCAATATTTGGAAAATAACTAAGGGAGAAAAGAAAATATATCTAAATAGCGTACATACGCCTATGTATACGATACGATCGAGAAATCGAGAGAAAGAGGAGAAATATTCAACATAGATCAATGACATTATAACGCCTGAATTTTTATTGCTCCTTACACATACGGTTTACTGCTATTTTCAATCAAATCATTGCTCATTTAAATGAAAGTCAATGACTTTTACATCGCACCTACCACATACAAAAGTACCCTTAAAATTCTCCATTCCAGAGAAGCACGATAAGTTACACATGATCAAAGCTATGTTCGGAATACAGTTGATAATTCTCTTTCTAAAAATACATTATACATTTACGAAGTGTTTTACTGCATAACATTAGAAAAGTGTTCAAAAGAAAGTCAAAGCTTTTGCATTGATACTCACATAGCGTAACCACAGCATACTGGATAAAGTCTTTTAAAAATACCTAATAAAGTAACAACATCTGCTGTTATCTGACCAATTATACAATGGCATATGATAGAATGTATCTTAAATAAACAAGTAGCACTCCTCCTACAGATGAATCTATGGTTTTTATATTTCAAATTGAATTTTAGAAAAGAAATTAGCTTCCTCTTATCCGAAAAGCAATGGGGTTACGGGTATAGGAAAATGTTGCCTTCCGTTAGATGAGGACAACTTCTGAGCACTTATTCAAGTGAACAGACCTAACAAATATGCGATACTTAACGCTTGAAATGTTATGATTTCTCAACGATAATCGTCTAAATGGAGTTTCATATCACTAGTCACAGTCTTCCAGTCTATTCAGTCTAGATAATCCATATGTATTTGCTTTGTATCTTTACCATAGCTATATGATTACACTTAAAGTATCAAGAATATTAAGCTAGCATGCGCAAATAGACGAGAACAAAAAGAGATGAGATATAATATCTCCCATGGTTTAGGATCGGAGTACAAATAGAGGGCATTGGGGGGGTATTCGAACGCTTTTCCAATCAAACCAGATCCCACTGACACCATCTCGCACCCTCATCGAGAGAGATGCCTGTTGCCACTCTTACCTCACGCCCAAAATGATAAATGCTAGAATTTTAAAAACCTTACTAACAATTTTAATACATTAAAGTCTCAATACTTGCCTATACTCCCTGTATTTCCTATATGATCTCGCCTCTTTTTATGATCCCTTTACCCCTCATTTCTGTTTGAATTAGAATCCTTTTTTTCTCCCAAAATTCAGTTCAAAATATCATAGACCGTTCTATGCGCATTCAACACGAAAAGTACACAATTAAAATAATTTCCCTAATTTAGATTATAAAACTTTCTTTGCTGTGTCTTGTTCTGTGTTTTGTGTCGGGAAAAATTGAAAGATTTTATTTTCTATAGATACTGAATCACCTGAACAGGGGTAATATGACTAAATCACAAAAACTTGTCATTTTTTAGGACTTAGAAATTCATCATTCTATACACGACGGAATAGAATATGCTGAGCATACATATTCTAATGCCATCTATTTGCGCACGCGAACGATTCGTAACTACTGAAATTATCATACGTCATTCGTTCGCGTCAGTCAAAAACATATAACTAAATCACCACCGTGACCTACTACTCATAACGAACAAAATCAAATATTTTTCATTGCTTCCAGTTTCTGCGGCACGATCTGTTCCACGACTGAAATACAACATGTACACATTTTCTACATTACCCGTCGAACTTGTTTATCGAATTCTGGATCATCAAACTGACCTGACGCTATTTTGTTCAATGCAAAATATTTGTCGACGGCTCAATCAGATCCTGAGCACTTATGAACGATACCGAGTAAGTTTGCTTGATACTCTACCACTCTTGTCGGTTGTGCTACATATGAGCTTAATGATATTTCATGTCGTAAATTTTCTCATAGGAAGTGGTATAATAATTTCATACTCCACAGCCAATTCCATAGAATCCCAAAATCATGATACAAAGTCAAACGAAATCAAGCATTCTTCCACTCTCGCCTTTCTTCTATGTACATTGAGCACGCATTCGACCGATACGCGACCATTAACTATCAAACCGCATAGTTATGCGTTATTGTTCGTGTGTTCAGCTACTCGATGCAAACAAGTTCATCAACTATAACTCCTTAGGAAACTCATTAAAGGAAGCAAACTGACCTCCACAATTGCTACATTTGACAAGAGCAGCTTTGGATTTCATTCGAGGGTGGCTTCAAAAGACGAATCTCATTCTAACCGATAAATATTGATAATAATGTACGATCCTCTCCATTCCCTCAGCACGCAGTAATCTCCTGCCTTAACCCGCCCTCCCCTTGCCCCTCACAGCAACCCACCTCTGAGCAGTATTTCATGAGCAAAAACAACCACCATTGCCCACACCAGAAACTCACCTCTAGACCCAACCATTCCCTGAATTGCGTCCCCACTCATAACCATTTCATATCACATATATCCAACCAAAACTACCAACAAAGGTTCTCTTTGCTACTTCACTGCAGACACTCACCACACTACATGTCAGCGGGAGTCGAATCGGTGATAAACAAGCACAACATATTGCGCATGTGTTGCGAACGAACACGGTACTATTGATCTCATTTTTCAACAAATAAAGCACTCAGTCTATCTTACCACGACAGACAGTCACCACACTAGACCTCCGCGGCAGCAGAATCGGTGGTGAAGGAGCAAAATATATTGCGGATGCGTTGCGAACAAACACGGTAATATTCATCTCATTTCACAGAACATGAAGCACTAACTCTATCTCACATCCATAGACACTCACGACACTAGATCTCACAGTTAACAGAATCGGCGCCGAAGGAGCACGACACATTGCAGATGCGTTGCAAACGAACGCAGTAACATCAATCCCATTTCACAGAAGATGAAGCACTCACTCTATCTCACACCTACAGACACTCACCACGCTACAACTCGATTCGAACGAAATCCTTGGAAGAGCAGCACAACACATAGCGGATGCCTTGCGAACGAACAAGGTATTATTGACCTCATTTCTCAAAAGACGAAACACTCGGTCTATCTCATATCGACAGACACTAACCGCACTAGACCTCGGCGGCAACAGAATCGGCAGTGAAGGAGTACAACACATTGCAGATGCGTTGCGAACAAACACAGTAATATTGATCTCGTTGCACAGAAGATGAAGCACTCACTCTATTTCACAACGACAGACACTCGCCACACTAGATCTCACAGTTAACAGAATCGGAGCTGACGGAGCACGACACATTGCAGATGCGTTGCAAACGAACACGGTAATATGGATCTCATTTCACAGAACACGAACCACTCATTGAATATCACATCGGCAGGCCCTCACCACGCTAGATCTCCACGGCAATGGAATTGGTGATGAAGGAGCACGACACATTGCGAATGCGTTGCAAAAGAACACGGTAATGTCGATCTCATTTCACAGAAGATGACGTACCCAATCTATCTCACAACGATAGACACTCACCACGCTAGATCTCCACGGGAGCGGTATTGGTGATGAAGGAGCACGACACATTGCGACCGCGTTGCAAACGAACAAAGTAATACCGATCTCATTTCACAGGAGATGAAACACTCCGTCTATCTGACAACGACAGGCACTCACCACGGTAGATCTCCACGGCAACGGAATTGGTGATAAAGGAGCACAACACATTGCAGATGCGTTGCAAACGAACACGGTAGTATCGATCTCATTTCACAGAAGATGAAGCACTCGGTCTCTCTCACAACGACAGGCACTCACAACGCTAGATGTCCGCGGCAACAGTATTGGCGATGAAGGAGCACGGCACATTGCGAATGCGTTGCAAACAAACACGGTAATATCGATCTCATTTCACAGAAGATGAAGCACTCGGTCTCTCTCACACTTACAGACACTGACCACCCTACAACTCGATTCGAACGAAATCCGTGGTAAAGCAGCACAACACATTGCGGATGCGTTGCAAACAAACACGGTAATATCGATCTCATTTCACAAAAGATGAAACACTCGGTCTATTTCATATCGACAGACACTCACCACACTAAACCTCGGCGGCAACACAATCGGCGCTGAAGGAGCACAGCAGATTGCGAATGCGTTGCAAACGAACACGGTAATATTGATCTCGTTGCACAGAAGATGAAGCACTCACTCTATCTCACAACGACAGACACTCACCACACTAGATCTGCGCGAGAACGGAATTGGTGATGAAGGGGCGGGACACATTGCGAATGCGTTGCAAACGAACGCAGTAATATCGATCCCATTTCACAGAAGATGAAGCACTCGGCCTCTCTCATACCTATAGACACTCACCACGTTACAACTCGATTCGAACGAAATCCTTGGAAGAGCAGCACAACACATAGCGTATGCGTTGGAAAGGAACAAAGTAATATCAATCTCATTTCATAGAAGATGAAACACTCGGTCTATCTCATATCGACAGACACTCACCACACTAAACCTCGGCGGCAACAGAATCGGCGCTGAAGGAGCACAACACATTGCAGATGCGTTGCGAACAAACACGGTAATATTGATCTCATTTCACAGAAGATGAAGCACTCACTCTATCTCACAACGACAGACACTCGCCACACTAGATCTCACAGTTAACAGAATCGGAGCAGAAGGAGCACGACACATTGCGAGTGCGTTGCAAACGAACACGGTAGTATTGATCTCATTTCGCAGAAGATGAAGCAGACACTCTATCTCATATCGACAGGCACTCACCACGCTAGATTTTCGGGGTAACGGAATTGGTGATGAAGGAGCACGACACATTGCGAATGCGTTGCAAGGAAACACGGTAATATTGATCTCATTTCGCAGAAGATGGGGCACTTATTCTGACTCACATCGACAGACACTCACCAAGCTAGATGTCCGCAGCAACGGAATTGGTGATGATGGAGGACGACACATTGCGAATGCGTTGCAAAAGAACAGGGTAATATTGATTTCATTTCGCAGAAGATGAAGCACTCATTTTGACTCACAATGACAGACACTCACCACACTAGACTTCGGAGTTAACAGAATCGGCGGTGAAGGAGCACAACACATTGCGGACGCGTTGTGTAGGAATGCAGTAAGATTGATGCAGTGCTCGAAGAAGTTGGGAATTTCCGTTTTGTCTAATTCTTAGAGCGTCAAGATGATGTAGTTTTGGCGGTGTTTGGAATCGGAGAAAAAGTGGTAGTGGATCTGATGGTTCATCTCGTAGATAGAATTTTATGGATTATGAATTTAGCAGATATCATTGGGTGTGTGATTTACGTGATATTGAGAAGTAGTGAAGAAATAGAAAAGTGGTTATGTTGTGAGAAGTAGACGTGAGCTACATGATAATGCTTTTATTTTTGTGAAGAATATTTGTGGATTAGTAAAGGTGTAACAGAAAAGGGTTTGGTGAAAGGTGGCCATGTTATCATGCGTTTACGAGAGATTATGTTGGTTGGGAGTTTGATGCTGATAGTATGTGATTGACAAAACAACATCGCTGTAGGTAGCTGGGCTATATTGATGATTTAGCGGAATGGAATCAACAATAGTACCGCACGCCTATCCATTTCGAGATGTCAGTTCTTTTAACGGCAAAGTGATCGGGCCGTGGTACACTGATTAGCATGAAGATTTTAGTATAAGACAGCTTTTTGGTGTTTTAATCCAAAGCCTTGATACATTAGATGTTCGATAATGAAGCTCTATAGTTGTTTGTAACTCATTGTTGGAGAGAGTAGCATTTGTCCGTTATGTATGAGTTCTACGGTGTATTTGGAAGAAACGATATGTTATGAAGCGGGTAGAATGGCTCAGTGAAGAAAGAATAGTTAAAAAATTACGCACCGAATCGTTCTATCACACGAATCACTTAATACCATTAGCTGGGTCGAAAAGAAGCTATTTTGTTAATTATGATCAGGTCTATTCACTCTTGGTGTTGATCTGTAGAAAAATATCAAGGAACCATTTCTTACAGTTTTTATTATCACGGAGAAAGCATGGCAATCTACGCTCGAGCTTGCTTGTGTATTATTCTGATGACAGGGTGTTTTGTTTGTCGGTTACTTACGCCGAAAATCTCTACAGTATTTGAAACGCTAGGAGGTTAGATGTGGTATAACAATGCGGAGGATGACCAGTTCTACAAATTTGCTCTGCCTGATTCGAACTAAGTAGTATATTTGGTATCTAACAGTGACGGAGCCAGAGGCGAGGGAAGGAGACTCAGTCCCCCCCCCCTAGCGAAGTTTTTGAAAAATTTATTTTTTTTTCGTGTTAATAATCATAATGGTTTAGCTGATATAAAGTATGATTTAAACCCACTATTGATTGGTTTTACCAATCTTTAAGATCAAATATTCTAAAATATTTGCCTATTTCTATTCAAACAAGGATGAGAATTGAATTGAAATTATGAGTTATTGTCACAAATTCGCTCTATTTACAACATAAATCAAAGCTGCAGGACTTTCACTAAAAAGTATATAGTTTTTCGAATATATCTACTCATGCGCTCGAATAAGCAAATTCAATTGCAGGACGTGCAGGCCTAAGTCAGAGTCGTGGGAAACATGAAAATAAAACGAGCGATATTTGGACGAAAAATCACTGTATTTATTTTAGCTAAGTAATATGATTGCATAAATAGCTGGATAAAAGTAGACTGTAGTGCTTGTAGCAAATGTTATATAGTTTTAAAATATTTAAAAAAAATCTTTTGTGATCACATTTTAATCTCGATGGATTTCCATAAGTGATGATTTTTGCGACTGTCCATTAGAAAAATGAATATTTACTAGTTAAACAGTTGTAACGCGCTGACAAGACGCTTTAATGGTTACGTCATGGAACTGGAAATGTGAATAAGTCTACAAGAATCTGTCTTGATATGCAACTGTTCGAGCTGTAGTAACGAAAAAAATTTCGGCCGCCTTCGGTGACTGATTCGCTTCCTATACTTATTTACGATCCTCGTTCATCGTAAGCTGAGTCCTTTGAACAGAGGAATCATGTGCCACCAGTAATTGTTAAAATACTCTTACCGATCGGAGAGTAAAAAAGAAACTTTAATATTAAATCTGATGGATGAAAAAAAACATTTAGGGGGCTGAGCCCCCCGTAGACCAAAATCTTGGCTCCGCTACTGTTATCTAATAATAGATAGCCAGCATACCATAATTAACTTTCTTTGCTATCTATCTTTTAAATGATAACAAAACTGAATCCAATAAATTACGCATAATTCAGCATCATAGTCTGTACGCTAAGATATTATATATTCGTAGCGTTCTTTAACATTACAATTGGTTTGGATACTTGTCTTCGAGTTCTCTGCATGTATCGGTGATTGAAAACTCGCACAAGATGATGATCATGGGACAGAAGTAGATTTTGACTATCTGAAGCCATTTTAGGCTAATTTTATACCTGTATTACTGCCCAGTTTTGAAATGTATCCAAAATGGTATGTATATGCCTCGCCTGTTTGCAAAGAACTATCAGCACTTAGTCAAAAGACACTTATGTAAATTGAGTGGGCTGAGAGTATGCAAAGCAGCATCGCCTAAGTAAAGATATTTTTTTAATTTTTAATCAAGGTATTCGTGCACATTTAGTCCGTGGTTATTTATAAATAGAACAGCAACAACGAGTACAACTTCGTGACAACAGACTGTATGTGTTGTCGGTAAACAATGGAATCTGTAACAACTAGCAATGTGGCCAACGGAATTCTATGTAACTGTATAGATAGAATTGGCATATACAGATATATAAGGCAGTCAAACATGAACTTGAGCATGCTCATATCAGCTATTTAATCAAAAAAGGGAAATAAGTGCATTTTGTTTTCAAGAAATGAAATCATGCCGTGCACAGTGAGACTTATGAGTAATCCCCGTCCGATAGATTCACTGATCTGGTACTAAAATGGTAGAACTATATCGTTCAGCATTCTTGGAACAAGATAAAGATTTATTTTTAATTCATAAATTATACGACGTATATATTTGCAAGAAAAAAAAACGTTTCTGCCTACTCAAATTAATGTCTAACCGATTTTTAACACTAATCACAGTTTATTTTATCTCATATGATTTTTTTCTCAGCACAGAAGAGTAAAATATTCACGTATAATTATAATAGATCGGAAAGATCTCATTTCATAGTATCACTCCTCGCTGTTTATAATCAATAGCTAAGCTCTAACAGCTAACTAAATCGAATCTCAAGCAAAATACGAAATAAGACTCGAAAAAGACATTTCAGTCTAGTATTTAAGTACTGTGTAATTTCTCCTTTCAAATAAGGAGATAATCAATATAAAACAGAAAAAACTTCAACGATTTTTTTTTTATAAATTCGATATATTCTCAAAATTATCCTTTTGTCTTTATATCTATTTTAACAGAGTTAATTGCAAAGAGTTATATAAATAGAAAAAAGTGATTGCAGTAGAGCAAAAGGGGTGTCGTTTGTTTATGACAATTTATAATGTGCTGCTTAGTCATATCGTTCATGAGATTCAAGTAATCTATGCTATAGAAATTAAAGAAAATTTGAAAGAAACAAAAATATTCTGTTGTATTTCTTGCATCACCTTTATATTGATTTTTTTTTCACAAGCATATGCTAATCATTGTATTTTGTTATCAATTGCTTGACCATGTAGATAGGAACGTGCGAATGAGAGACAGTCAACCATATCCTTGTCTTACATATTCCATGTATGTTGTTCGTTCTTCGCTATTGTTTATCTTCGAAATGCAGAAGAACTTGCACATAAAAGATAAAACTTTGATAAGATAGAATGACCTTTCCATTTCGAAAAATGATGAGTAGAATGAGCAAGCGAATTTTACGTCGATCGTCGCTTAGAGTTATCTGCTGTGTTACTAAAAGGGACAGTTCGACATCGGCAAAATTAACCTCAAGTTATTATCATAATGTCTCGTCGGTACCATTAATTCATAAAACATTAGGTCAAGTTTTTGATGAAACAGCAAAGAAATATCCTGAGCATGAATGTTTTGTTTTTAAAGGTATGTTATATCTCGTCTTTTTACACTTGTTTCTAGTCAATTCGTGCAGGTGAACGAAAGCGATATACATACAAGTCGTTTCAAGATGAAGTTGATAGTATTGCTGCTTCGCTACTCGAATTAGGCTTAGAAAAAAGTGATCGCATTGCTGTTTGGCTTCCGAATACATCCGAGAATGTAACAATGTCATTTGTTGCATCAAAATTAGGCCTTATCAAAGTAGGCTATGTTGCAGTAAATCTATCGTTCGCACGCTTTTCCATAGGTGAACATAAATCCTGCGTATGTTGAGCGTGAACTCGAATATTGTTTGAATAAAGTCGGCTGTAAAGCTCTTGTTCTTGCACCAACAGTTAAATCCATTCAATCTCTAGCTATTCTTCGTCAACTCCTGCCGGAGCTCGATCAAAGCTCGTCATTCAAACGTGTACCTTCATTGGAACACATTATTCTGACCGGTAAATCATCTTCAACAGTACCAAAAAGTACACATTCATATGAGCATTTATTAAAACATGGTGCAAAGATTTCGCATTCGAAACTTCAACTATATCAATCTACTATTGATCCACATGCACCTCTTGCTATATTTTATACATCAGGAACGACGGGTCAACCCAAAGCAGCTACGTTAACTAATTTCAATATGATTAATATGTCACAAAATATATCCCATCATGTGGGCAAGCATTTCACCCGTTTATGTGCACCTATTCCGATGTTCCACATATTTTCGGAAGCCGTTGGTGTATGCAACCCCCTCGTAGCAAAATGTCAAACAGTTTTTCCGGCTATTCTCCCTAACCCCGTGGCAACAATGCGCGCTATTGACGAAGAAAAATGTACCGCTTTGATTGGTGCTCCTGTAATCTTTCGTGATATACTAAATCATGTCGATCGAAAGAAATATAATTTATCTTCGTTGGAATATAGTGCACTAGGTGCTTCACCGGTTCATGTGGATTTCCTACGTCAATTAGAACAAGAAATACCTATCCAACGTGTTGGTCAAGTTTACGGAATGACAGAAAACTGTGCTATTCTTTCTAGCAGTATGTGGGCAGCTGACGGTGACACACGGCGCTATTCATCGATAGGTCGAGCTATGCAACATATAGAAATGAAGGTTGTCGATCAACAGGGAAACCCGGTGCCGATTGGTGAATCAGGTGAAGTCTGGGCACGAGGTTTTCCCATTATGTCTGGGTATTACAATGATACGGATAAAACAAGAGAAACTGTAACTGAATCAGGGTGGCTTCGAACAGGCGATGAAGGTCGAATGGACGAAGATGGTTTTCTGTATTTTATCGGTCGTCAAAAAGATATTATTATTCGGGGTGGTGTCAATATTTATCCGATCGAAATTGAAAAAGCTATTATGGAACATCCAAGCGTTGCTGAAGCACAAGTATTTTCCATTCCCGATGTCCGACACGATGAGGAAATATGCGCATGGATTAAACTGAAATCTGACGCTGCCCGATGTCAACCTGAAGATATGGTCAAATTTCTTTCGACTAAACTTGCATTTTTCAAAATCCCAAAACACATTCGTTTCGTGGACAAATTCATTGTGACAGCAACAGGTAAAGCGCAGAAGTTCAAGATGACACAATCGATGATCGATGAACTGAATCAAAAATAATTACCCATTCTTTTTTTTCGATTATACAATGAAACAATCATATCCTAACAGCAGATATAGTGTAATTTAAATAAAAGACACATATCTTTCTTCTTTTTTAAAAAAAATCAAACAAACAAACACACACAGAAAGATTGTTATGCGCGTCAACAATAACGTATCTATCTCAGTTCTCACTGATTATACACTCGGAGAGAAAGAAAAGATAGAGAAGAATCATTTACACAGAATCAACGAAAGAAAAGGAAAATATATCTTGTTATAGAAGATTATCGTTTGGTCGACCAAACGGAGTTGTTGTAGAGAGTATTGGTACACCTATCTTATTACTTGGTGCACTATTTCGTAGTAAACGTGGATCACGTGAAGAACTTGTGTCATTATTCAAGGTCTGCTGCTGTTGTGTTCGTAATGGTATTGAGTAATTATTCGGCAGTGGGATTGATGTTTTGAAACGTTCCAATCGGGCTTGTTCAGCCCATTGAGACATTTTTTCTTGGTATTTATGAACACGTGGATCTGTAGTTGGGTCAGGTAATGGGTATGGTCTGAAGGAACAAAGCACTGGTCGTAGAATGTAAACTGATGTTTGATTCGATGAAGTGCGAATTTCAAGTGAATCATGAGAATTATCACTGAGAAAGAAAACAGAGACACGTGAACAAATACAGTTTCGTCAAAAGATTGTTTCGACTTACTTGATTTGTGCCTGTTTTGGTTGTTTAAGTTGTTCCAACATAGAAATGAAATCAAATGATGGTCCAACTGTTGGATTTGTTGTCGTTGGATTAGATAATGTGTCAGTAGGAGTTGGTCTTGTACCACGAAACACATCAAGAGTTGCTTTATTTTTCAATGAATCGTCATTAATGATCATTGCGGGTGGTGAAGAAGATGTGGGTGAATTGAGATTAGCAGTTGGAGTTGGGGTTGGAGTTGCTGTTGGTGAGGTTGTTTGTAAAAGACCAAGGTTTGTTGTCGGACGATTGTAAACTTCCGAAGGACGTTCGTCGATATCGCCGCGCATTACTGTCGATGATTGACGATCACGTTCATCGATATCTCGACCTAGTTGAGGACTCGAAGATTGAGATTGATGATGAGCAGGCTTAGCTGTAAACTGATTTGCTACAGCAGCATTAACAGCAGCAAGTGCAGCTGCTTGAGCTAAACAAAGTCAAAGGAAAAGTGTGAAGGAAATCGAAGATTACTTTCTCTTACCTAAAAGTTTCATGTCCAGTAGTGAACCTGGTGGTGGTGGCATTGGTAAGCCATTATTTGTTGGAAATAGAATTGGTACTCGGCCTGTTCCGAGAGTGTTGATTGGAAATAGGCCAGCTGGTGGAGGTGGCGGCAAAAGTGAATTGGCCGGTCGAGTCAAGTTGGGATGCGGTAACCGATTGAATGGTGATGGCAAATTCAGATTTGTATTAGTTGGTGGTAAAGGCAATGGACAAGTTGAATTAGAAGCTGCTGTCGTTGTAGTAGACGTTGTGTTTGTAGCTGTAACTGTCGCTGTCGTTGCACTGTCATTGGTTGATGTTGTGCTTTGAACAGAAGATGGCGATGGACTTGTACTACTGTTCGTTGTAAAAACAGTTTTATTTGCTGCTGATTCGTCGTTATCAGACTTTTCGAGAGTGAGTGTATCAGTGAACAGATTAGGTCTGAAATAGAGAAAGAATTCGAGACGTGAAATTGAAAACTAGAAAAAAGAAAATGAACCTTTGCATTGGAGGACTAGATTGCGAAGGATTATTTGTTGCGGAATCTGTATTGGTTGATTCATTTGTAGTTGCTTGAGTTGATAATCGACCATTTTGTAAGAGAAATAAATCCATTAAGTTTGGTATCAAGGGAAAATTCGATGGATCAGGTAATGTACCTGGAATATGTGACGGTGGTGGTATCGATGAAGCACCCATGACGTCAAAGTTTACAGGTGGCGGATTATTTGAATGATGAACGTTATTGTTACTTGAGCTTCCACGATTTTGTCGATTCATTTCATCAGAATCATTGAGAAACTAGGCGATGACACAATAAGATATAGGCTCAAAGACATTTGATTGAACATTTGAAACTTACTCGTTCAAATGCAAAACGAATGTCATCATTCATGATTGGATCATGAGAAAATTTACATCGTTCGCCTTGCATGCAAACTTTTTGACCGGTATGATAGAATTTGCAGGGGAATTCACCATGCAAATATGGGCATGAATCATTTTTTTGACAATAACCTTTATTTTGAACATAGTATTTGCATACTTCCATCTTTTTCTGTGGCTTATAATCATGACTGAAGTTACAATCATTACCCTTTGAAGGAAAAAAAAACAAAGAAGTGGATTTCTTTAGTTGAGATGTCCTATGTGAAACTTACTTTCATACAACGATTTTCAATATAAAATTTACATAATGGCGGACCATGATTACCTGATGATCCTTGATCAGACCGAAATCGTTGATTGTTATTGGAATTCGAACTGGAATTGTTTCCACTATTGTTGTTACTATTTCGATCTTGCCATGACGGTCGATCACGGTCATTCAATCGACGATTATTCGTATTATTATTGGAGTTGGAGCCTCCATCGTAATACCTTCGACCGCGGTTTTCAATCGACATTGAATTCTGTTGTTGATTATTGCGTGTCATTCTTGGTCGATTTACCCGATCTTGTTTGTCATCCGAATTCATATTTTCATCGTCGTTTGGATCGTTAATCGGTGAGGATGTTTCGTCACGTGCCATAGATTGTTCACTCTTCGATTCAGAAGTCGGATTCAAAGATGATTGTGGATCTCCAGATTCGATTGATTCAGAATTTTCATTCGAAGCGTTATCAGACTGTTGCTTACGTTGCTGACCACGATTTTGTCCTCTCGGTGGCCACTGTTGACCCATCATTTCATCGTCTTCGCCATCATCAGGTAAATCCGGCATTGGTCTACCGCGAAATCTTCCACGCTAGAAAAACAAACGCTCAGATCGTTCGAAAGCAATTCTACTATTTCGTACTTTAAATTGTTTTTGCATTCGTTCATCTCGTTCTTCCCCACTATGCCGTCGCTTTCTTCGTTGTTCATGTTTATTTCGTTTATCTTGTTGTCCTCCCGCGCTATTTAGACGAGGCGGTCCTATATGATGATGAAATTCTCGCCGTCGGTACTTCTGAGAGCCCATTGTAGGTTGATTATTCGTATCATTGGGGTTATCTGGTTCATTAGTTGCATCGTTTGTATTATTGGTATCACGATTATTTTCTTTGGCATCTGTTCGTCGAGAAACAAGACAATAGTCATAGTTTTCCGTTTGCGTATACATACCATCTTTTTGTTGGGGCATCTCATCGAATTCTTCCTCAACTTCGCCCTCTTCAAGTTCACCATCTAATATTCAACGAAAACTTGTTATCCATTCGAAATTTGATTTCGAAATCCTACCTTCTTTTTCTTCGTTATCACTGTCCGTGGAATCACTAACATGCTTGTCCAATGTCTGATTCGCCCTGAGAAAAAGAATCACATAANCCGTTTGCGTATACATACCATCTTTTTGTTGGGGCATCTCATCGAATTCTTCCTCAACTTCGCCCTCTTCAAGTTCACCATCTAATATTCAACGAAAACTTGTTATCCATTCGAAATTTGATTTCGAAATCCTACCTTCTTTTTCTTCGTTATCACTGTCCGTGGAATCACTAACATGCTTGTCCAATGTCTGATTCGCCCTGAGAAAAAGAATCACATAAGGAAAAATGTTTTTTACAAAAACTTGTCTCTTCTTCTATGGCCAAGCACACACAAATACACATTCACTTCGATTTTCTGACCTACCAAGGTATCTCAAGTGTCAACATGATATATTTGTTTTAACCTATATGCTGTTGTTCGGTATACACACACAAATATGAATTTTTGGTATTTGAAAAACTGATTAGAGATTTCAATGATATTCGACGTGAATTTTTTGTTTAAATTAAATTTTTCGTATGAAACTTTTTTTCCATCTTCAACCATGAAATGTACAACACACGCTCACAAACACAAATATAGAGAAAGACATATATGTATGTACGGATCTAAACACGTGTGATAGAGAAAGAATTAGAAGAAAATGATTCTGAAATTGGCGCGGAAAGATAACTAAATGAGATACGTGTATACTTCATCGTTTTCAAGTGTCTTTATCATACTGAAATATCATTACCATAATAAATTAATTATCTCTAATTGTTTTTCTTTAATTGAAAATGTCAATTGATGAATAGTAAACTCGGTATAATCGATGTCAAAATAATCAATTGATTCTTCTCATCTCAACATCTTTGATAGGGTAGTATAGTCATCACTCGAAGGGTAAGATGTAGTGCTTTCACAGACTTGGAAAAAAACCTATCAATTAAATGAAATTATTCCGTTTCGGTGGCAAAGAAAAATTTCCATTGATAAGTTTTTTGTGTTTTTCCTTTTCCAGATAAGAGTGTAAGTAAATTAAAATATCTTTTTTACATTTTGTAATCAATAACAACACTTAGCATTGTTTGATTCGTCCAATGTATTTTGTTCTTAATAATACATGATGTATTCTTCCCATCGTTGTTTAATGGGGCAACAATTTTTCTTTTCTGTTGGAGAAGAACAGATAAAGAAGAGAAAACCTTAAACGGGGTTAAACTATTCGAAGGGTAAGGAGAAGAGGAAAGGAAAAAAAATGCGCATAAAGACAAGCATCGTTGTTGATTCATGGGACATACTGCTTGCTAAAAGAAGAAAAAAAAAGAAACGAGAAGGAAAAGATAGAGCCCCTTTGATGAAATAATACTTTCGAAATAAAAGAAAAATCGGGAAAGTTCAAGGACATCAACAGAATAAGAAAAGAGATCTGTGTATGTATGTGTATGTGTGTGTGTGTTTTTCAATCATGGTTCCATATACTCACAAGACGATTCGTTTCTTTTGACGACGTTTGTAATTTTCCTTTTCTTTTTGCTTAACTCTTTCTATTGAATTGAAAAAGAGTACGCAAAACAACTAGTTCTTACAAAGTCACCCATCACTAGACGGATAAGACCACTGATCGAATAAACTCTCTACTAGAAAAGTCTTTTCTTTTGCTTAAATAAAATTCTCATTTCGCGCATTGTGTATATATGTATGTGTGTGTGCTTAGCCAGCAAAGTTTCAATAGAGACACACGATTTGTCGTTTTTTAAAAACCTTTCAGAAGATGTCATCATTTTGTCCATGCCAAATGCTGCTGCTNCAAAGTCACCCATCACTAGACGGATAAGACCACTGATCGAATAAACTCTCTACTAGAAAAGTCTTTTCTTTTGCTTAAATAAAATTCTCATTTCGCGCATTGTGTATATATGTATGTGTGTGTGCTTAGCCAGCAAAGTTTCAATAGAGACACACGATTTGTCGTTTTTTAAAAACCTTTCAGAAGATGTCATCATTTTGTCCATGCCAAATGCTGCTGCTGCTGGGACCGTTGCTGTTTTACTCTTTGTATGTAGGAGACGAAATATATATATATATATGTATATGTATATATAGGGTGTCGAGCGATACTCTACTCTTTGCTGCTGCGCGCTGCGCCTTCACATCTGCAGCTGCTGCATGTATGCGTGTGTTGTCGTAAAATAGTTATTTGCGTTTATGATAGAAAGAAGTAGTGCGCTCGCGCTTCTACACTCTACGTCGACGAAACGGACGGGGCAACGTGGAAAAAAAAAGAAGGAGTCTATTTTTTTTTCTTTCTCTCTCTCTCTTCTCCGTTGAATACATGGTTAGTAATGATAGAGTTACATACAATAGACTGACGGGGTAACGACGACGGTTGCTCGTGCTTGTTCATTCGTTCTCTTTCTTTCTTTTTCTAGCGCATCTCATTAGAGGAGAAGCATAACCGACCTTCCAATCAATATACATATGTTCTATAACGTCTGTATTGATAGCTGAATAGAAAATATTCATTATTCTGATAGCCTCGTTACCATTTCATAGCATTCAGTGAAAAACAGAATGATAGACCAGTAAAAAATACACTGTTAGTCGAGTAATTTGAATGTTTTCACCTAATATTTTGATAGGAATATTCAATAGACGATGTATCTATTACAGAAAAGGTTCATTTTAAATTGTTTAATTGATCGATGAAAGATAAGAATGTTCATACATTGTTAAACACACTTTATGTTTCTCAATACTCATTCTGTTCTACTCAATGTACGAATTTGAAGAAAAAAAACAGATAATTCATGATATACTGAATGGCATCGCATTTAAAGATCAAATTCTTATAAACATATACAATATAAACAGCAGTTTCGTTTCTTCGAAGGTTCATTCCATCTTGGATATCAAAAGCTAAGATCATATTTCTTCGTAGTATTAGTGATACGTTCATAGAAAAATAGTGAATATTTATTCATCATATCTAATTATATAAGAACAACGTGAAGAATAACAAAAAAATATATGTATCTATGTTTCATTTCTACACACAAGAAAACTAAATTGAATATTTGATCAAAAACTGGATTCACCTAACGTAACAATACGAATCGTTTGATTGGTTGCAACAAGAAAACCTTCTTCTTCTAATGCTCGAATAGCATCATCGAGCATATCGCGAGTAATACGTTCATCATTTCGTTCGCGGAGTTCATTAAACAATGCATCCTTTTTTATTACACTTGCACTAGTCGTTGATTTACGTTCTTTAAGATGACGTTTTAACGTTTGAGCGAGATCAGCACGAAGACGACGTTCTCCAGCACTGATGCCAGTCGTCAGAATAGCTACGTCAACACGACCTGTTTTAGGATCAACTGCCTGAAAAATGAGATTAATTGAAGATCGAATACGAACATGAATTCATCGAGAAACTTACCGCTTGTTTCAGAGCTTCGCGATAGAGTCTAGAAGATAGAAAATAGTTTCAAAATTTGACGAGAATAGATGATTTACCGTTTTGCTTCTTCAACATCAAGTTCTTCAACTTTATCAGAAAGTCGAACTTTTGCGTGAGCCTCAGCTAATCGAATTAATGATTCTAATTGTCGTGGGTATGCAGAGATTTGTCCTTTACCACTTCCCACTTTTCGCATTTCAACATACCTAAGAAAAAAATCACTTTCTCTTCTTGCAATTCTTTCTTTGAATTACTTACGAACTGACGAGAAGTTTGCCGGCCAATTCTGTCAATTGTGGACTGACAAATGTTCGTGCATACGATATGTAATCTCGCAGTAAATCGGTATCCTTAAGCAGTTGTAAACGACTTTGAAAAAAGAAAAAATAACACGAGGACACATACCATTGCATCATGAGCGCTTTCACCTTCTTTTCCATATTGATACCATGAAGCTAAGTGTTGTGCTAATCGGCGATCGTAGGCTTCGTCCTGGGGATCGAGTAAGAGAAAAATCAAGTCAAAACGAGATAATAATGTTGGTGGTAATTGTATATTTTCGATGATTGTCTTCGATTTATTCCATTGAGATTCGATCGGATTTGCCGCAGCCAAGATCGATGTACGAGCATTCAGTGTACAAATAATTCCAGCTTTAGCAATAGACAATGTTTGTTGTTCCTAAAGTGGAACAAATCAACGTTGCACTGAAAAAACCAGTGGAAATTGAACATACCATGACTTCATGGAGAATCGATCGTGCACTCTCGCTCATTTTATCAAATTCATCAATACAACAAATACCACTGTCAGCAAGCACTAGTGCACCACTACAAAGAATAAACAAATAGGTTTCAAAACGAATAAATTAATTCGTCTTACGTTTGTAAAACCAGTTGACCCGTCTCGGGATCTTTTGTAACATAAGCTGTTAGACCAACCGCACTTGTACCTTTACCGTTTGTATATTGTGCACGTGGTACCAATCGAAAGATATATTGTTGTAATTGTGACTTAGCGGTACCGGGATCTCCGCAAAGTAAAATATTGATCTGAGAACGAAAACTTTTTCGACCAGCATCAACAAAACTTTTCTTGGTTCCACCAAATAATTGTAAGAGAATACCTTTCTTGATATCTTCATGTCCGAAGATACTTGGTGCTTAAAATAAATGAGACCATTGAGAGTTAGTTTCCAAAACATTCAATCTTACCGATCGCATTAGATAATAATTCGTAGATGTCTGGACGTTCAGATAGATTTCGAAATTGTGCTAAACGTTCTTTGGAGAATTTCGATGCACTAATATACCAATAGTTTTTGACAAACTATTCGAGATAGAAAAAAGGTCTTACCTTGATTCTTCATCATCGTTGGCACCTTGCTCTGCTGCTCCACCTTCGGCTGTAAACGTCTTTTGTCGACGAAAATGTATAACATCAATGTAAGTACGATAAACAGATCGAACGTTTCGCGTTTTAGGATTCATACGAACTGGTACTGCACGAAATATACCAGTTACTTGTACACTAGATATCGACACGAACGTTTGTCAGGATATTTTTTAAACAAAGTGAGATACATACCGATCACCTGGTTGGACAGCATCCACCAGATCATTGTGTGCCACCACAGTGACTGTGACTGGTGTTTGACCAGCTGGCATTTCCTCTAAACACGAAAGAAGACCAATTTGATTCTGGTAAATCGCACAGATCACTTACCTGGTGTTTCTTGTAGTTTAATAAACTGTTTATCAGCAAATAGTGATCGATTGTGAATCAATTCAAACGAATGTGCTGTATTGCACGATGTACACACAGTTGGTTCAGCAATTCTTCCTCGGTCAATTTCCACTTGAACATGAAAACCACATGTATTACATTCAAAATGAGCAGAGCGCATTTCTGGCATGATTAACGACGATCGAATAACCATACCAGTAAGACTAACTAATTTATCAATATCTAAACACCGGAAAATAGCAATTTGACTGCCTATCGACAAGAGCTTTCGATTTATTCTAACAAACCTTCAGGATCTAAGCAACGCATATTACGAAACAAATCGACATTGTAAGGTCGTACTTGAATCTGATGAGGAAGTGTATCATCTTCGTAAATTGTAAAGAATAATTCATTAACAGCGATATCAAAGATTGGAATGACTTCTTGTGGATAGGCAAGTAGTTGACTTAACATTGTTTTGTCAATTTGCTTCACATGAGCACAGTCAACATTGAGAAATGGACGTTCCAATAAATGAATTTCCTCCAATTTTTGCATGTAAAATGGTTTTGCCGGATCGACACCTTCGAGATTGGCTTCTTCGACATTCAAATGAAATTTTTTCAAAAATGCAATAAATCGACGTTTACAATCATTAACATGCACGTCTGTACCCCAAATAACCACCTGATTATCAGCCATGTTCACGTCGATATCACCTTCCTAATCGGCGAATCGTTTGGCTTTTTCAAATCTTTAAATTCGATTCTACACTTACTAATTCATCTTGTTCATTAACTAAACGCAGTTTTCGTACACTACCGAGATCGGATCGTGCGCGCGAAGGTGTTGACATGGGTGTTCGGCTACTAGTACCAATATTGCTATGTGCCGGAGATGTCATGAAGGTCATTGGCGAGAATGCCATCCCTATAACAAAGATGAATATTTCACATTTGAGTTGGATAAAATTCTACTTTTATTTGGTGTTCGACCGGGTGTGAAAGGTATTTGAAGGACAGAACTAGGTGCTGGACTTGTAACAGGATCATCTTCTTGTAATGCTGTCAGCGGATTACGTCGTTTGGCAGCTGAAGAAAATAAGATTAGATTTTCGCAGAACGATTTAAAGAGAAGAAATTCTCTTACGGGTCCGTTGATTCGAACCGGGTGTTTGTTTCGCCGGTGTGCGACGCTGTTTCGATGGAGTATTATCGGATTTCGATGGAGTAGTCATCTAGACAAAAGTTTGTGAAATAGAACAAATGAATAGGTGATGCGAAAGAAAGGAAAATGAATGAATGATATGATGCGTTCCATCCTTTTGACATTGTTTCGTTTATGATTGAACAATTGGATGAATGACACAATAACCGAAATAGTAGGATAGTAGCCATTCAAATCGAAAACAAAACAGAAGACAAAGACATTAAATGTCTGTTGTACTCCTCGCAAAGTCGATTTATACTTATTCGAAAGATTATATTTAATTCTTCGATATATCAATTAGTTTAATGAAATTTTTATAAATATGACCACGGTGAACGAAAGAGAGAGGTCGCTCCTTGTCTTTACGCAATATTTGTTCAATTTGCTTTTTATTGCGTCTTGTATAAAATCAGTGCTTTACTCTCAATAGAGAAATTTACAAGAAGAAAAAAAGATTAATTGTTCGCAGTTTTAAGAGCTGATTTATTGGAATATTCATCTTCAAATTTCACCATCTCCAGAGCCAATCGATCACGTAAGCTAACAAGTTTCGTATCTAAATCTGATTGTTGATTTTTAAATCGTTGTCGTTGCGCTCGAACCGCATCATTGATCGCACGAAAATCATACAACACAGCTTGATCTTTCAAATCCGAAACCAACTTCAACAGTGATTCGAACGCACGTACCTAAAAACACTGCGTTTATTCATTCAGTTCAGATTTGCAACTTCTTACCATATTATGAGCTCGTACACGCATTTCAAAATCATCGGTTGTATTCGTTAATAATCTCGGCAATTGATCTTTGATTTGACTGTGTGCTGTCTCGTCTACTTTCATTAAATTAATCATTGAGATGAAATTATCCAGGATACATTGAAGATTATCTTTCGCTTGTTTATGAAAAGCCGCACCTTTGACATTAGTATTTCGATTACGATTTAGATCCATCTTGAAAAATAGAAAAGTGTATGCAAAGTATTTCTTAGGATATATGTTTTATTGGTCCTTAGTAAGCTTCTTTGTCAAAACAAAAAAAAACATAAATAAATAAAATCAAAAACAAAAAGCATGAGAGAATCTATAGATGATTTGAAGAAGAAAAATAGAGAGAAAATTAAAGATCTATATTGGACGAAAGCGTACTGTTGCACAAAGAAGAAAAGGAAACTAGAAGAAGGAAACTTCGTCAACTGGCTCATCTGTTCCCTTGAATTTATTCCCATTCATATCTGCAGATAAATGATTGCTTGAAGTTGTAGATGTTGATGGGTGATGACCGTTCTTTAAAACTAAAAAATAAGACATTTTTTTAGAAAAGATTTCGTGAATATTGAGTACGGTGGGTATGGAAATGGAGGATATATATGTATATGAATACTTAACAACAGAAAAACAAACCTGAAAGCTTGGAGGTAACATGCCTGTCAGTGCTTTAATGGTATTTTTTGTAGTTACAATGTTCGTGTAAAGGAAAAAGATGTCGTTTAACTTACCAACACGTTCAAGATTGTTCAATGAAGTCGATTTGTTTTGCATTTGTTGTAAACGTCGATCTTTTTCATTGCGCTAACAAAGAAATGAAATTTCAATCTTGGATAGTGCTTTTTCACACTTCCGCCTCCTACCTCTTGTCGACTCTTGTAAGCACTACCAAGCAAACGAAGTTCTTCATATAGTGCTTCATATCGATAGGCAATACGAATTGCTGGAACATTCGTTCGACGAATATCATTACCAGCAACACCAGATTCTTGGTAATCAGGACCGAGCCAATACATCTTGACCTGATAACAAAATTGAACGATGACAAGCTTTTTTTTCTCTTTCATTCATACTTCATGAGAGAAACCACTCATTAGCACAGAATTACGAGCTAATTCACACATGTCAACCGATGCTAATTTCCATACTTGAGCAGCAATGGAATATTCTTCCATCAACGGTTCCTAAATATAAACTTAGCGTTGACAAACTCATCCAACACAATCTAACTTTAGTGAAATGAAATTGCATCGGATCATCTGTTGATAATGATACACAGAGACCACGTTCAAAGTATTCCAACATTGGATTTCGATTATAATTGATAAATAAGGAATTATTACTCAGTGGTGACATCGCAATACCGATCTGACACAAATAAAACAAATATTGCAAGACAGGAGACTAAATATTCGAAAAAAGATTCATGAAGATCAGCAACTATCGAACAATGCAAGTGCTTGATATACTTTGCGTAGAAGTAAACCGTGAGAAATATTTTCTGCGACCATATATGCGGTTACTAGATGTGTAACGGCACCAGCCTCGCCACAATGTGGACGAAATTGAAATGTATTCAATCCTCGCGCTCTGCAAAACAAGAAAAGTGAGGAAAATTCTGCAGCTTGATTATAAATCTCACCTTCGAAGCTGATTTAAGGCGAGAATATTTGCATACATGTAAAACTAAACAGACAAACAGATAATTGCGAAGAAAAAAGATACAATTTTGTATTTTACCAAATAATAAACGTAAGGTGGATTGTCTTTCAGATCCCATTCTTCAGGATATGGCATTTCAGCTGTAAGAATGGGTCGTTCGGGTTTAGTTTCGTCGTCTACCGAATCAAAGCCAGTTAAATGATGCATAAAACGAAAGAGATCCGGATGTGATGATGGATCAATCGTTGCATCAAATAATGGCTGAAACAGATTCATCAAGAACTCTTGAAAATTTTTCGTTATACCATTGGCATGATAGACATCACTAAAAATATTCGAAGAAAATGTTTTATTTTTGTTTGTGAATGGTTTTGTTATTTACTAGAGACGAGGAATTTGAACCATCCAACTGACATTAGCTGAATACATAGTGTTCTTAACTGCCCAAATCGCTAATTTATCCCATTCGTCAATACTTTTGCCATAAATTGATAGACGAAGTTCGGCATGTTGATATTTGCTTTCTTCTAAATCGTACATGACTTCCTGAAAACAGATTTAATCAAACATTTAGTATACGATTAGCATCGAATGCTTACTTTTAGTAGATCAGCAAAGAATACACCTTCGATATAATTGTCTGTTTTGATGAAGATTTCGCTGAAAAAAAATCGATAAATTATGAACCAAAAACAAAGAAGATTTCATACCGTAGCGCACTTTGTCCCAGTGGATTATATTTTGCATTGAAACGATCGAAACGTTGAAAAGTATTTCGATCCTAAAAAGATGGTACGAGGTTTTCTTTCAATTCTACAATCTCTCTCCTCCTACCGCATGAACGCCCAACATATCGACACTTAGATCGTAAGCTGTAATCTTCAATTCGTCGAAGACTTCTTTCAATGTCATAACGCGGCCATCCTTGGTTTTGTAGACATGCATATCACCCGATGTTTTCATCTTCTTTTTCATAAAACGTAAGAGATGTTTTTGATTCATGGACGATGCTGCATGAATATGTGTATCAACTTTACGAACATTGTAGAAATCTCGATGTGGTGTGGCTTTGATCGCAGCCCATTCTTTGACTTCATTCAATAGACAATGTAATTCATACTTTGCTTTTAAATATTGTAATCGTCGGTAACAAAATGATTTTAATGGTCCATCAGTAATCATTGCTGATAGGAGTGTATAATCATCAATGAATTGGTTGCGATCCACGAAAGGATAATCAACAGGAACCCATTGTTTGTTGTTGTCAGGTATATAGAGACGATAGATACCCTTTTCTGCTTTAACACGAACGTCAACAGAATCCAATAGAGGAATATTGAATGCATCTTCACGTTTAATCACCGGTGGATGAAATGGATGTGAATCATCTGTTGAAGAGAAATAGAATGAAAATCTGTACTGAGAGTCTAGCAGAAGAAAACCAAGCGTTATTTCAAATCCACATGCACAGCAAACGGGTAGGTTATTAGAATATTTAGATGGAAAGGCGATAACTTAATTACTTTTCTTTGTAAAGAATATCTGTTTTCTATGAAGAATATTGGAGGGAAACTTATTCAGACTTATTATGTACCAGAATAGATTTCTGTTGATTTGACCTCGACACTCTTGTCTAGAGATGGAGAAATCTGATTTGGTGTTCGTTGTTGCGATGTCGTGCGTGAATAAGTAGTTGCAACAGTCTGTTTGGGAGGTGTTTGGCCACTAGCAGTAGCAGAATTAGTTCGTAATTTGGTTTCTAAATACAAAAAAGGTTTCACTGCAAACATGCAAACAAACGGTGAAGATTAAACAAAGGATAGTATGTGCTCAACATCGAACTAAGAAAGCAAAGTCGAACACCGCACACTAAAGCAACATAAGGCACAACTAGGAATGGTATCACACTCGGTATCATAGATGATGAGGAAGAAGATGATGAAAGAGGTGTTGGAGTTTGATCCCGACCGGTATTTGCTCGAATAGTTGATGATGCACGACGTGATTGATCTTCTTGTTCCAATGTTTTATTTAAAAACTTTGCCACTGTCGATGGAAACGATTGAAGACTGAAGACCATATATCTACAAGGCAACGAATTCGTTGAGAGTGAGACAAATATCACAACGATAGTATTGGCATACTTCTCCCGAATAACCATTGCCCGAAGTAGTGGTCCAACAGCCTCTTCTAGATCTTCTATGTGTGACATATCATGAAAATCACCAGCGATTTTGATTCGTTGAAATGCTTCGCGCAAACTTGATTTATCATGGATGCTCGTTCGTGTGCTTGACTGATGTTGATGACTGTCGAATGAATCGTTCATTGCACTTGGTTGATAAGGTTTTTCAGGACTGAGACCTTGAAACAGATTGTTTTCAACGGTCGATGGAATTCCTGTTGAATGTTGATCTGTATTTCGATCTTGTGCTGCTCTATTGATTCGAAAGAAAAATTAAACGATGAAAAACAAACTAAAAGAGACAAATAAACGAACCGATGCTGAACAGCACGTTCCAATTCATCTTGCAGTGAGCTAGCGATAGCTAATGGTATTTCTGTTTCAAACGAATCAATGGCTAACGGATCAGTAAAACGAATATTTCGTCGTTTATTCAATTCAGCTGGAACTTCGTTCAATGATGGTATAACTTCAGGATGTAGAACATGATTTGGGTAAATCGGTGGTTTCGCAACTAAACAAATAATTGGACCGAACGATGAAAGAGAAAGACTAGAAAAATAATCTACTTTTTCCTGTTCGTTGTTCAGTAGTTTGCTGAGATGCTTCATTTGACTGCTGCGTTTGAAGGACGTTGCGCGCATCGACTAGAGTTTGCTGATTCCATTCACCGTTTGAACTCGGTATTGGTCGGTGACCGGCGGTTATTTCGTCTACTACCTCATTTGCACGTGTCGCCATATTCTATTTTTCATAAAGTAATAATAACGATGATAAATTCCTTCGTTATCTGTACAATCTGGAAAATATTAGATGCAAAAAAACAACAATACACACAAGTTCGCAATCAGTTGGGAGTATGCGATGAGAGAGAGAGAGAGAGAGAAAAAAAAGAAGTAAGTAGTAATTTGAGACGCAAGACTGGATAGATAGAAAGAAACAAGATTCGACGATAATGGAAGATCACGCTAAAGGAATAGTTTTCAGCATGTCGACGTTTAGCTTTCTTGAATATTAACAGAAGACTGAGTAATAGGAAATTATGTTCTACATCACACAATTATCTTCTTTATCTTTAATATCTCTGTCCGCGCGTGCGTCTGCTCATTCTGTTACTTTTTCTCTTCGAGTTTCTTGCTCGTCTTATATACACCTCGATGAAGAGAAACAGATTAGTTGTTGTTGTTGACAGGAATTAGAATCATCGTTCTCTCTCTCAAATAGACGCTAAATCATGACGGTCATATTTCAATTCTCGATACAATTATAGATAATTGAAAAAAAATGCCCTTCGATTCTAATGCGAACGTAAAAATGAAAGTACAATGTGCTGAAGGGATGTTCTTTAGTACAAATCTATTCTTAGTAGCAACGCAGAAAAAATTGACGCAAAGAAGAAAGTGAAGATAAGTTTTTCCAAAGTTCCGTTTTTTTCTTCAATCCCAAAAAAACGTAAAACTAATACAGATGAACAATGAAGAAAATGAAGGATTAAAATACGGATAAAAGATTTTCGTGTTGGATCACAAGAAGTAAAACTAAAAGATGACATAAAAAGCAAACTAGATAGACTTTCTTTAACATCTTCAAAAATGTGTGCATGTTTTCCGGTTAGATTGGCTAAAACTGAGAAGAGATTAGAATAAAAACTAGTGGTTAGGATGCGACAGAACAAGAAAAAAGATGATGAATATTAATAAGTCATAATTCATCTTTTTTTATGCACGTTGTCTTAAAACAGCTGGCCCATTTTGTTGTTGCTGTTGGTCAAACGATTTCAAAGTAAGACCAACATCTTGCCAGACGTGTTTCAATGCGTCAACTAATTGATCGATCATTTCACTCGTATGATAAGGTGTTGCAGCAATTCTTAAGCGTTCGGTTCCACGCTCAACCGTTGGATAATTAATCGATTGAATGTAGATCGAATATCGATTGAGCAAATGATTACATAAGAGAGTAGCTAACGCAGCATTTCCTACCTAGAAAGACAACGAAGGTCTAATCGAAGAATCGATTGATATTACTTACATGAATTGGAATAATATGACTTGGTGACATCATTACCGGAAGACCTGCATCGATCAATTTTGATCGTAATTCGCGAACGTTTTCTTGTTGTTTACGACGTAATGAACGGCCTTCATCACTTTTTGAAATCTAATTAATAAACAATTCGCTTTTCATTTTCAAAATACTGTTGAAAACTTACTTCAATGGCTGTTAAAGCACTTGCTAGAACTGTTGGTGGCATGGATGTTGTAAAAATAAAACCCGAACCATAACTTCGAATAAAATCGGTCATTTTTGCATCGCCAGCAATGTAACCACCAATGCTACCAAACGCTTTACCTAAAAGTAGAGTTAAATGTATTATTTCCTCTCATATTTCATATCGACGTGAGCAACTAACCAAGTGTTCCTGATATAATGTCCATTTTATGGAGAACATGATCACGTTCACCAATACCCGCTCCATTGTGTCCATATAAACCAACTGCATGAACTTCATCAATAAATGTTATTGAACCATAGGCATGAGCAACATCTAACATTGCTTCTAAGTCACAGATTGATCCTATATAGAAAGATAAGCAAGAGATTTTCTTCGGAAAAAGCAAATATTTTCATGCACACCATCCATCGAATGTACTGTTTCGAACGCGACGATTTTCGGTACATGTTTCGGAATTTTCTTCAATAACTCTTCCAAATGATTGATATCATTGTGACGAAAGATGTGTTTTGGTACTTGACTATTTCGAATACCTTGAATCATTGATGCATGATTTCCACTATCTGATAAAATATGACAACCTGGTAATGCTTTTGCTAACGTATACAAAGTTGTATCATTAGCGACATAACACGACGTGAAAATCAGTGCCGATTCTTTTTTATGCAGCCGTGCGATTTGCTGTTCAAGTTTTTCGTGTAACGGACTTGTACCAGAGATGTTTCGTGTACCACCAGAGCCCGAGCCATGTGCCGTTACAGCATCGATGACTGCTTTTTTCATTTTTGGATGTTGACCGAGACCAAGGTAATCATTACTACACCAGACCGTAATTCGACGAGATTCGGCATCATCCTCGAGACTGCTCATTTCTTCTGCTTGAGGAAAACAGCCGCTTTTTCGTTCAACACATTTGAACACTCGATACGAATTGTCGCGTTTTTTCGCCTCAATGCGGTCATTAAAAAAATGATTATATTCAAATGCTTTGACATTTTCATGTTGAGAAGATGTCGTTGGCCGAACAAAATTGTCTATTTACAGAAAAAAATCTAAAGATAAGCGACGACAGAAACTAGAGTATCTACCTGAGTTTCGGTTGACCTCGATTGTATCTTGATCCATATGCACGCGTCGAAGTGCGATCGGTGTCGATTTTAAAAATGGACAAGAAAGATCTTCGCATTCCACCGAGATAATAACTTCAAAGTAAAACAATTCGATATGTTCAAAGAACAAAAAAGAAATCTTCTAATTTGCATACTTTCGCCGTATGGATTAGGTGTTTTCTTATCATGGAATGCTGTTTTAATAGCCGTTTTGCTTTTCAATGTTGCTTGTTGTTGATTTTTCTGTTCGAACACCTTTTCATGGACAGCCTTGATTTCATTCAAACTAAGTGGGCGACACATCGATGATGATGATGATGATGACGATGTTGTTTTTGATAAATTGCCTGTTTCTTGAACACTTGACGTGGATATTTTGCGTGCGAATTGACTAAAAATTGGACAAGATTCCATTCCGGCATTGAAAATATGCGGAGCTGATGCCCGAACTTGTTGTAATGTTAATTGAGATAAAAATGGACATTTCAAAGCGGGTACTGCCATTTTCCCTTATTGTAAATAAAATCAAACGGTTTAATACGCGAATACGCAAATACTAATCTAAAAGACAGGAAAAGAAAAGATTCGAAATATATCAGATGAGAGTCAAGTCCAGATTGGAATGTTTCCTCTCTCTCATCAATCAAACATTTTTAATAGCAGCATTTTTTTCGTTTAGATTATAAAGTACGTACGAGATAAAACTTGTGTTCGTACTCACAAAAGAAAGCGCAAACCAACTGCGATAATCATCCGATGATTCATGACATACTTTTTTGATCTATTTTTAATTGCTCACCTGTATATTGTGTCGTACTTCAAAAGATATGCTGTTCTCGATTGTAGCTGAAATAATGAGAAATGATTTTGTCGTTTAAGTACAGAGGAACTTTCTCGACGAACGATACTCTCATCCGGATAAGTTGTGTCGAATAGTCTTTTATTTCTTAGAAAATTTATTAAAAGAAGATAGGATTATTTTCTAAGGTTCGCGAGGGTTGTGAAATACGAAGAAAAGAAAAGAAAAGAAAAGAAGTCTACTGAAGATGATATGTGATGCAGAAAGGAAGGTGACGTTGACTGAAGGCTAGAATTAAAAGAAAATACGCAATAGATATACAGGAACTGTTGGAAGTACATAAACAGAAAAAGTCGTCTTCGAATCGACGCAATTGAAGTACTTGGAAAAGAATAAGTAGAATTCCTTTGGATACAATCCTAAATACCTCTAGAAACAAGATTCGTCTATGTGACTGAAAGATTCGACGACGACGACCACCGCCGCCTCGAAGAGATAGATAAATAAATCTATCCAGAACATGAAAAAAATAATTTGCTAGCGAATAAGAAAAAGAAAGCGCATGCTGTGACGAACATTTGCCTAGATGGAGCTGGTTATCGGGATTGAAAAGCACCAATGTTGTGCGAGTTAACATCAACGATGAGTAGTATTCTTGACTGACTAAGTAAACGGAGGTCGTTATTATCTCGATACTTTTTTTTATTATAGACAATAAAAAAAACGCCATGTCCCATCAATCAGGAATTACAGGTGAATGAAAAAAACGATGTTGATCGATATAATGTTGATTTTAATTTAGCAAATGAATCACTGCGAGCGAAATTTAACGAGATGAAAGATGGACACATTCGAGTTGTTGTCATTGTTATTGAAAACGGTCTGCCAAGATTTTCTTGATTAAAGCAAGCAGTAGAAATTCTTCGTATTTCTAGAAACTCTCGTTATCAAAGACGAGTACGCTGCTGAACATTCGTTCAATGAAGGTAGAAAGAAATCTTTCGTAAAGAAAAACTAAATTTGTTCTCATAGATTTCGAGAAACTGGTTTCGCCGTTAGTTCAGCCTAATCGTCCGGCCTACTATTTCGTTCGTCTTGATACAATCAATGAAATCAGTGGACATAACTGGCTATTAATTGTTTACATTCCCGATGAAGCGAAAGTAAACATTCATTGTATCCGTTTAATTCATTCATATTTTTTATCCTCAGGTTCGAGAACGAATGCTTTATGCCTCCACAGTTGCCACACTCAAACGTGAATTCGGTATAGCATATATCACCGAAGAGATTCGTGCATCGTCTATCGTAATTCAATATTTTCTATTTGGAAAACTAAAATTGCGAAGATTTTTCGTCTAGAATGAAATGACGCTCAATTCATTTCATCAACATATTCGTACTCAAGCCGCACCACCACCTCGAACAATGCGTGAAGAAGAAATGCTCGAAATCAAACAGCGAGAAGTTCGTTAAAGCTCCGTTCACTTCGCCCAAACGCGATTCATATCTCTTTTATCTCAGGTCACATCCGACATCAGCGTTGATTCGAAACATCAAACACTGCAAGGCTTAATGTTTCCATTCGATGAGAACGTTCTCGAAGCATTGCATCTATTCAAAAACGAAAGTGTCAATTACATCCAAATGGTAAATTAAAAAAAAAAGGAATCGAAGTTGATTCGACCGTCTGATGAGATGCAAATGAAATCTGCATATGTGTGTTTATTTGTTAAGAAAATAATACGGCTTTCGTGATCAAGGAGAAGTTTGAAATTTGTAAAAGTTCATCTCAAAATTTCAAGACTTTCATATATTCGATGAAGAATGATCTTGAAAGGAATAATTACAAACGCGTGCTCTTATTTTCTAGGAGATCGATCACGAAAAAGAACGAATATTTTTAACCCATTCGGAATCGAATGCCACGCCTGAAAGTATTCAAAAATCGTTTCCTGAAAATGCTGGACGATACCATGTTTATCGATTTACACACGAATTCAACAATGAAACATTACATTCCAATTGTAAAGCATCATGAAAGTACTCAAATAATCAACGAATTCTTTCTCTTTCAGTCTTTCTATATTCTGTACCCGGTCATGGCTCGAAAATAAAACAACGTATGGTTTATGCCAGTTGTAAAGAAAGTGTTATTGACAATATTGAAAAGAAACACGGCATCACTTTCGAACGCAAGGTATGTACACTTCATTGATTTTGCATGAAAATTACCACTGCGACGCATTGCAGTTAGAACTCTGTGATATCAGTGACCTTACAACTGATTACCTCTTTCAACAACTTCATCCGGAAGCAATAGCAAGTGCAAGCAAGAAGTCGTTCGCAAGACCGAAAGCGCCGTCTACACGTGGCCCACGCCGTTTACTCAAAGCAGCTGATAATCCCGATGAATAATCAACGAATTCTATTTTATGACTATGTTGTCCATTTTGATTCTACAAATTGTGATTAATTGAATTTGATAATAAAACTATGAATCAATTTTACTGGGATTTTTATTTAACTGTTATTTCTTAGTAATTGAGTGAATCATTGAGGGTTTTTTGATTATTTTTCGAAATAGGAGTTGTTATTTTTGTCGACTATCCTCGATTGATTTGTTATTTTAGAAGAAATTGTTTATTTAACTTTGTTTTTTCTAAATAATCAAAATAAGTTGTGCCGTCGATCGGTCTCGGAACTTCACTCAAGCCAAAACAAGGCAAATATTTTGTGCCTTGATTGACAATTGATATTATCATAACCAAAGATAAAATTTTTGACACTTCTAAACAGTTCTCTTTTTTTTTTCGTCTTAATATCATTAGCATAAAAACACCCAACACGTCATTCGATTAGAGACCTAAAGAGAAATGTCTTGTAACGATAGAACATTAATGATACATCAATATGTTTTTTTCCGCCTCTTATCAGGTAATTATAAATGCGATTTTTCTTATTTATTTTGGACAAGATGCTCTTGTAAATATGAAGTGTACAACAATTGAAGAGGAAAATAGGAGAACATTATATACGTATTTCTGGATGCTTAACAGACATTATATCTCCCTCGAAATAGTTTTGCTTACAATGTACATAGAAATGTTTATTTCATATGAAGATGAGACGGAGGGATAGCTATAAACAGATATATTCGTTGGTTGGATACAATGAAACAAATAGTCAAATAGCATTCTTCGTTGGATTTTGATCGATTGATGATGTGTTACCTCTTGCTCTTATCCATTTGACAGCAATCATCTTTTTCTCTGTTTTTTTTTTGTTTCTTTCTACTGACTAATATGTACATTTAACATCAACTGGATATGTAGAAGTTACTATTTTTTCCTTCGGGTTTTTTTGTTCTTTTTCTTTCTCCGTTTTTCTCTCTTTCTCCATAATGCAATACTTGTGCCGACAGAGAAGTGCGTATGCGTATGTTTGTGAAGAGAACGCTGACAAAAGAGAAAAAATAATGCTTGAAAGAAAAAGAAAATTCACCAAACTAGTGCATGATTATTCATAGATTCTCTATTTCTTTTTTTTTCTAGCCATAATCAGAACACATTCGTAGACGATCGGCTTATGAACAATGTTATATCCATCGTCGCGACCTCATCGTATTCCACCACCAACTGCTGAGTTACAGTATGATTCGACAGGTTACTCAACGTCGATTCATAACAAATGGCCACAATCATCGACTAAAACCAAAATCTATGCAACACAGAACGGTACATCAACAAATGATTCATTAGCATATCGATATCCACCGATGCGAAGACAACACAATCACGGAAGTGAACCACTTTCAGACATATTGAATTATGATTATTCTCAAGCTGAACAAGAACAACCCGTTTATACAACACTTAGTACACAACGACCTACAGTAAATTATCTTTTACCGTAAGTAACATTTTTTACGGCGCAAGATGAATTGTTTCTTGAGAATATTGCCAAATGGATTCTGTACAAATCAGATGCTTCTGTTTTGCCATATTTACTTTAATGGAGAGCCGTAAGGGCATATAACCAGAAAAAAACATTGTCTCGCTTATGTGTGTATATATATTGATGTATACAGACAAGAATAAAGAAAGAGAGAAAAAAATCATCGATGCATCTACTGACACATCCCAATGGGGATATTGACGCTAGGAACTTATCAACTAAGTAATCGAACAACTGTTTTTGATAAAGATAAGGGGAAAAAACAGGAAGATATTTCAAAAGAATAGATCTGTATCTGAAGCCTGAATCATTCAATTCACTTTCGATAGAATCAATCTAAGGAAAAGATAATCTTGTCTGAATAACAGAAATTTTTGGTTAAATGAGTCGAATAATTTTAGACCTTGTTCTGCTAGTTATCTTCGTGATAACAAGGGCATATGTACAATGTAAAAGACAGTTACTCTAGCTGAATAACAAAGAGCATTGTCCGCCTCGTTCTTCTCCTTTTGGTTTCTTAATGTTCCGTTGGACATGTTCTTGTCAATATGTTCGGTGATAGTTTCCGGCCTTCTCTACGATTAATACGATATTGCTATCTCAGTTTCTTTCTCTATCGCTCGTTCGATTTTTGCCGAATTCTGTCTAGGACAACTAATAGAAGGTCTAGTCCTTTTCCTACGTTTCTGTCTATCTTTGTCTCTTGTTCGTACTTTAACATGGGGCTGATAAGGTCATTGTCGGTAGTAAGCCGTAGACGGCATATTCAGCTTGTTACGACAAGATTCCAATACAACAGCAGTCAATTGTTTTCCTCTTCTTCGCATAAATCAACAAGTTCGCATCGACAATTCATTGAACTTTAATATTCATGACTTCAACAAGGTATGAATATGATATACGTACATATCTTCATACGATTGAAGAGAATAGGTAACCAGATCCAACGTAATAATTATCAAAGAAAAATGAAATCCAATCGAAACCACCTACATTTGATCTTTTTGAACGAATATACATTTGTATGTACACAGAGAAAGTCAACGTGACAAACAGTGCTTTCTTTCTTAACGAAAAGTCCACCGACACAATAATGAAATCTTTCGTTGTCATCTCAATTGTCTTCATCTTACGCAAGTGCTATAAACGAACTTCAATGCTATAAGCTTTTCACCTAGAACGATCGATCCCCATCATTATTCATTCACTCTCTCTCCCTCTCTCTTCCTTTTCGAGTTAATTATCAATAGTATCTTTCGGTATAATGAATATGTCAAATGCATAGTCTTGCCACAATTTATTCACGTTTCGCATACATTTCGTCATATCACTGATACTACAATCAAAGTCGAATGACGTAGTCTCGTTGAATGTTCACCTTTTTTTTCCATTACTAGTCATTATTCTTGTATATTAAAGTTTTTTCATTGACATTATTCCTTTCTCGCGTCTCGTTTATATACACAAAAAAACACAGAAAAAAAAAACTGATAGACTTCTCTCTCTTTCTCGTCATCATCATCTGTCATTTGCTTTATTTTGACTCTAATAGATAGATAGATCGATAGGTAGATAACAATCTCGACGTGTACTTATTTTTGTTATATAAATATGTCAGTTAACCATTCAATATTATCGCATATTTGAAGATTTTCTATTTATGGCTACTGGTCGTCTAAAATATGAAACGAACTATCATCATATAACTGAACCTTTAAAACAGATCTATTATGAACAACACCGTTCACATTCGAATGATGATTTATTAGTCAAGTAAGATGTAAAGAGTGTTTTGCAATGAATACAAATATTTTTCTTTTGCTGTTATATTGGCATTAAAAGGAGAAATAGGTTTACCTTTTTACATTCTTCCCCGCCTTCTTCCTCGAGCGATAAAAAACAAAAAATGTTATTATATATCTTTTTGTTTAACCAGTGCCGTTTTTCTCTTTATTTTCAAAACTCACCTTGGTGTTCTCCGGTTTTTTTTCTTGTCAGTATTCTGTCCTCGAGAAAAACCTCGAAATAACAAGCGTAAAACATTAGACAGAAATGAAAAAGACGAATATTGTTACTAAAACGTTCGATTTCTGTTCTTCTTTAGTTTCAATTATGTCGACAAAGCACACCTCATATCGCTTGATCAAAGCGACTCACTCGATCGAAGGATTAGCGTGTAGTTAAATAATTTTAAGATAACAACAATGATATACATGAATATTAGTTACACATGAAAGGTTATTGTTTATGTGTGTGGATTGAAAATATGAGAGAACGAAATTCTTCGCTGTACTTCGTTTTTTTCTCCTTCACATTTTCGTTTGCGGTTTCGTTTTAAAGCAAAAGACATAGAAAGAGAAATAAACCGAACAAGCGTCGTCACGTCGAGTCGGTGTGCTACTTCGTCAAGTATCGTTTCNTTCGCTTTACTTCGTTTTTTCTCCTTCACATTTTCGTTTGCGGTTTCGTTTTAAAGCAAAAGACATAGAAAGAGAAATAAACCGAACAAGCGTCGTCACGGCGAGTCGGTGTGCTACTTCGTCAAGTATCGTTTCATATGTTCGTACACTCTCGTCTTTGTTGAAAAGAGTACATAGAAGTTTGAAAAGAAGAAATTTAGAAAGAAAAAAAGAGAGAGAGAGAAAGAAAGAAAAAAGGCAAAGAAGAAGAAGAAGACGAAGGCGACGATAAAACACGATTTTCTGCTATAAAAAATACGAAATCATCCTCTGGACAATTTATTTCTTCACTTCGTTATTCTTCTCCTATATCATTCACTTCACTCGTACTTATCACTATTGTAAAAATAGTATAGAATAATTATATGGCTTTTGGCAATGTTCATGTCGATAAGAAGCAATAACAATTGTACGCGTGTATCTTTGGATTGAATAACTCTTCGATTCTCATTATTTTCTTCTCTTTCATGAATTATTCTACTCGTACACCTCTGACATTTTCGTTTATCGGAACTTTTTTTACGTTAGTTTAAGTAAAGGAAAACGAATTCGATGATTACATTACAAAGCACGGATAGAAGCTCAAACGGCTTATCTGATTATTATAAAATCAAGATGGGTCCTAGCAGGTAAAGTGTATATCTTTCATGAAAGATAGTTGCACGAAATTATAGGCCTTAAGGATAAAAGTTCATAGGTGTTCATTAGAGAAATTTGATGTTATCACACGTTCATACGTCGAAAAAATAGATGTTTGACTGGCTTTGACAGTCGAAGGTTCTAGTAATTATCTTCGAAGATAGTTTCGTAGTTGTAATCGTTTTTGATCTTTTTGTTTGATTATTGAATTAAAAACTGTTCGTTCTCTTTTTCTCAAAGGTTGGAAAGCGGAGGAACAAATGGAAGTACTCGTCCTCGAACACGTAATCACAACTGGTCTAGTTTAGGTAGTTTGAATAGCTTCGGTGATTCGACCGTCACTCCTCCTTCATCACAAGAACATACGGGTAGCAATGGAAATGCTCAACAACGTGAAACATTACACAGTCGATTTGATTTTAAGCAAACACTAGGCAAAGGCACATATGGCAAAGTCAAATTGGCTTTAGACAAACGTAAGAATGAACAAGTAGCAATAAAAACGATAAAGAAATCACGTATTGAAAATCCACATGACTTGGCAAGAATTCGACGAGAAATTGATTTTATGACTAGTCTAAATCATCCATATATTATCAAAGTGAAAGAAGGTAGAATGATCGATATGATTTGATTGTACAGATAAACTAATGTTCGTATTTGCTTTAGTTTATGAAAGTCGAGAGAAGATTATTCTTGTGATGGAATATGCCAGTGGTGGTGAACTGTACGATTATTTGAATCGTATGAAACGTATACCAGAATCTCAGGCACGAGCGATTTTTCGACAAATCGTTTCCGCTGTTCATTTTCTTCATAAAGTAAAATCAAGTTGATTGCTTTTTCATAAATACTAAATCATTTCGTTATTAGAATCAAATTGTTCACAGGGATCTTAAATTAGAAAATATTCTTATTGATCACAAGGGTGATATCAAAGTAAATTGCTTTACTAAGCATGAAGCACATTTCTTAACGAATTTATTCTAGTTGGCAGATTTTGGTTTGAGCAATAGTTGGTCACCACGTCGACTATTGTACGTTTGCAATGACTTGAATAGTTGTATCTATACGTGCTCTTCTAATATTTAACTTAGACATACATTTTGTGGTTCGCCATTATATGCCTCGCCTGAAATCGTCTCCGGTATTCCATACTACGGCCCTGAAGTATGTCTTTGCCAGCAGTTTTCAAAAGAAATGATATTTTCTTTTCTGAAGGTCGATTGTTGGTCATTAGGCGTGCTACTGTACACGCTTGTCTACGGTTCAATGCCATTTCAAGGCGGTGATTATAATCGTTTAGTACGAAATATAACAGCTGGAGATTTCATTCAACCGCGTGAACAATCAGGTAATAGAAGCGAATAGAATTGTCGATACGAGAAAGCATATAATTAGATTCCCCTAAAAAGGCATTCTTTTCTCCTCATACACATGTTTTTCTTGCAAAAAAATTTCGAACAAATCTCTAGGCGCTCTTACATTAATACGTGCATGTTTGACCGTTTTACCGTCGAAACGTTTGACTGTTGACGATATTGCTGTACATTGGTGGGTCAATTTGGGTTATAAACATCCACCTGTCTATCAGCCTCGTCATTCCTCAACACAGAAAAACGGTAATACAACGATAGCCAATACAACAGGATGGACATTGAATGGAACAAGCAAGCCAGCAGTATACATGATCGAAAGTAAATCGAAAGGAAATTCCACAGGTACTCCTTTGGCAAATCCACCTCCTTCCATTGGTCGTCCTTCAGTTATTGCATTGCCATCAATTATACACAACGGACACTTAGTAGATGTGGAGATGAAGTCGAGAACAAATACAAATGGATATTCTCAAATGATCTTTTCAAATCGTTCCGATGATCATACGATAACAAATAGTAATAATAAAACTGAACCGATATTAAAGTCGCACCAATCAGGTCGACGAACATCGACCGATAAACATAAAACTAATACAATCGCAGCAAAGCATTCGCAACCCCGTACAATGGCTTATTAAGAAAGAGAACCGACACCAACTAAGTTACCTAATCTCTATTTTCTTCATTTATTTCATTGTTTTTATTTCTGTTCTTCTTCGTCTATCTGTTAAACTTTCTTCTTCCGAGATCTAAGACTAATCTTATCACACGCTCAAGCATGTACATAAAGTAGTTATTCGGTGATGGAACTAAAAGATATCACGAACTTTATTAGTAGATATAAATATTTAAACCGTCTTCTCTTTATTCATATTCTTCTAGGTGCTCTTTCACTTATACGGTACTGTCTAACACCAAATGCTAGTAATCGTGCTACAACGAAGGATATTCTTCGCCATGAATGGCTAGCTCATGGGCCTACTCTGTCGATTCGACTCAACTCGCCGATGAAAACAACGGGCGTATCAACTGTATCGCTTCCTACGGATAATTACAAACCAGCGAATAATGATTATGAAAAAGTTCATCTTCGATCGTCTTCACCAACTAAAAAACATGATCGATCGGTATCACCAACAAACTCTCTTGTCGAACTCGAACTACACACCAGTTCGTTTTTTGACACTGCAAAATTGCGTAACAATCACAATAATAATAATCATGGCTCATCCGTCGCTAAAGATCAACAACGACGAAATCGAGCTTCAGCGATACCGGAATCCACTCGTTACTATCAATCGAACAACACAAAACCGACTCCTTCGTCAACATCCGCCTGTTCGCCATACCGAAGACCATTAAGTTTATCACTGGATGATAATCATTCCAAGAGCCCTATAGATTACCATTTTGCTTCGACTAGTGAAAAACCGTCTCAAGTAACAGCAGCAGTAACACTGGCACAGCCACAACCACAGCCACCACCACCACCTCCAACTTCATCGTCTCAAGCCTATCCTCGTCGGTCACGACGAACTGTATCTCCTTCGACAACAACAACACTATCAAAACACATTAATAATGATCGACTTAATTCTCCACAAGCAACTCAACGTTATTCAGTAGTTAGATCACCTGAAACAACAAAAAGACAAACGTCTCCAGTAACTCCTTCACGTTATCTCGTTTCCTATGATTTTGATACAACATTACGTGACCTAAAACGTAAACCTATATACAAATACACTCCACCAGCTGCACCCATTTCCACAACAGATTTAAATGTTGTTCCAAGCATTGCCAACTCGACAACATCAGCAGCTCCATCTGTATTTACAACATCAGCTAGATTTGCTCCACCGCCCGTCCGACGACGAAGTCCATACAAAGATTCTGATCCTACTAACTCCAATAATTCGTCGATAAATCCATCACGACTAGGACATAATTCGACAACTAATTCAATTTCTAATCTTGATGATAGTATTACTAATGCCTCTAGCTCTACTAATCCAAATCATCGTCGATCATTATTAACATCCCTAGAGTCACCGCCACCCTCAACCGCCATCCATAACTCACGTAAAAGTCGGTTATTAGATGATAATAATAATTTCATATCATTGAAGGTGCATGAATAATAATCTTTCTGCCTTTGCTTGTCCTTCCTACTTTCTCTTTCTCTTCATTTTGTCCCAGTTTCATCTGTGATACTGTGTGACTTTTTTTTTTATAAACAAAAACTAATAACAGTGGTAGACATTCATTTTTCTTTTCCTGTACATCTACCTTTATAATCGATGTCTTCCTCGTCTTCTTTTTTCCTAAAGTTTCTTGTTTATTTCAATAAGTTTTTTGTGTGCGTGTGTGTGCCCATCTTCTTCTTTTTTTATTCAGGTTGTAAAAAAACACAAAGAAACTAGTTTTGAGATGTTACTGCTGCTATGAAAATATTTATTTATGTGTGTTATGTTTTAAAAAGTTCGATCTTCTTTTGATATAATGAAAAAATGAGTGAAAATATAAACCTTGAATATCACATAATCGAACAACTCATTGATTTAGTCTTTCATCTGAATATGAACATTGATATCAAGGTTAACTTTATTATTAATGAAAAGAGAAAAGAAACGACGAGAGAATTCGGTTCATTTACTACTGGTAGAAGCAAGTTTAGTAGCTGCGGCTTTCGTATCATCTGTATAACGAGCGAGACGGAAATGACTTAAGCGTTCCTAAAAACAATGAGCTATGTAAAGTGATGAAAAAAACATTTCTATATACCGGATCAATGTCAACGACCGTATCAGATACGTCGTCGAGTTCGTCTCGAAGAGAAGACTCATTTGCCTGGAAGGAAACATTCAAAGTGAATCGATAAAATAAAACAAGCTTGTTTACGTCATTCGATGCAGGCAGGCAAGTCGGCCGGTTGAGACCGTACATTACTTGGTATAATTCTGCCAAATCATTTCGAATTTGATTATCGTACGAAAAATTTCTAAAAGAAACAGAAGGAATTGATTATATACATTTGATTGATGACGATACTTACGTCATTAATGACCATAATCGATGAACTGTACTTGAATTATTCAAAGGACATGTTTGATTCTGTCGAAATGGAGGATGGCGACATAGATGTTGAAGGATCTTACGTCTAAAATGCAACATTAACATATGAATTTCGAGAAGATATGACAAACCTTAAATTGTAATCAGGATCAGTCTCAATCAATGTCAATATATAGTCAAGAACATCTGGGTTCATTCGAGCTAAAACAATAAAATATCGAGTACATATTAATAAATCTATTTTCTTTCGAGTTGATGATTAAAATTCAAGTAGAACAGAAGTTCATATTATACACGAACATACTCGCATTCTCTAAAGAACACTTGAAATGTTTCGTCATTCTAACTTAATACTCAACAGCATTTGAGCGAATACTACTAGCTGGTTGACACATAAATCAGACAATACGCCCAGTATTGTAAACTTACTTTCAATTTGTTCAACGAGAATTTCACAGGCGGTTAACCGTACACGATCGAATATTCCATACATAGCATACTCATAAAAAACATTTATATCAATTGGTATACCACTAATCACATATAGTTTGTGTAAAATTTGTAAACAACTGCATGTAACACAAAATCCGTAAGACGGAATAATCTTGTCGAAATTGAGTTGTAGTAAAATCTCATCAAAGATTCGTTTTGTATTGTTGTCCAATGTATGATTTAAGAGCAGATCGACATTGGTTGTTGTACTGGTTAAACCAACATTTGTTAGAGTATTTCCGAGTGCATCGATTAATGATGAACGATAGAAAGCATCGGAGAAGCGATTTTTCGAATTTTCATTGTAATGAATTAATTCGAAAAGAAAATTGATTACCTCAGATGGACACACCCGATCTTTGTTTCGTTGCAACGCAATGGCTTGGGGAATCATTTTTTGTATCATATACATTTGCGAATTGGAGAAATCATTAATACGTACAATATGAGTGACTGGTGCTGTCGAAGACGAAGGATTCGTTGATGATGTTGTAGTACTCGCTGATGATGAGGTCGAATTTGTCGACATAAACACACGACGAAAAAAACTTAGTGTTGCTAGTGTACCTGTCCACGTATTAGCCATTGAATTGGCAATCTAAATTTGAATGAATTGGAAATGGATTATCTTTGAGTAACGAAGATACATACATGAGTGAGAACATGTGCACATTCGATTCGAACACGATAGAAACAAGTGGATGAATCTAATACAGTGCCCAGTGTTTCTCGTGTATTCTGACTAGGATATCGTTTTAGTGCTTCTAATGCTTCAAATTGTGAAAGAATGTCACGTTCATAACGTAGTTCGTATTGCCAATTGAAATCTGCTTGATCGAATTGTAATTCACGAATGATTTTCAAATCTGGATCAATTCGTATCCAAAGTATTGGACATTCGACACTTAAACGAAATCATCAAATCAGTTCGTTTTGCCTTGCGACAAAATCTCTTACTCCATTTGATTGAGATCCATATCAACTTCATCACCTGATAACAAAGGAATCTTCTTCTTCTTATTTCTAGAAAGCATATCTTCGATTATTTCAATGTTCCACCACTCACGCACTCTTACCGACGAACTTTTGAGTGGCATGTCAATTCATATTTTGTAACACTGTCTTCCAACAAGATCGTTTGACTAAATGAACCTTCTAACTCTTGCACACGAATAACCAATGAACCCTTGACGGAGAAGTATACACAGTAACAGTTTAGTCGTTCTTGTCAAAACAAATCGCTTACTAAGAACTTCTTTGAACCTTTGACGGTTGTGTCTTGTTTAATTTCTAATTCGACCACGTTTCGCTTCCGACTGAATGTAAAGCTTCCGATTAATCTTGGACATCCCGATTCATAACTAGAAAAGAAAACTCAATTTTGAATAACATCATTCTCTTCGAAACATACACCCATTGAGTCAGTAATGCTTGAATGTCTTTCGTTGTCAATGTGCTAACAACACGGGAAAACGACTTGCTCGATATGTGTAAACGTGAACGAGAACTAAGTGAAGCATCTTTTAAACACGCTGTCGTCGCTAGACACATCAACTTGTTAAGAATCTTAACAACGAAAGTATGTTAACGAAGAACTTTCGCATGAGAAAATCAATTACCTGCATCATTATTTCTCGACCGATAAAGTCATCAATCATACGAACAACTAGATGAGCTTTTTTCGCTGCAACCTAAACGATAAATTTTATCTGACAATGCTCACGATAAAATAAGTTCCATACTTCAAGATAATGCGACGACATCATTGTACCTCGACGATTATTTACATTGGAAAGATCAGATTCAGATTTAATCGGAGCGAAATCTAGTCGAATAGGATTCTCTTCGCGTTCATAACGAATGACTTCCATCATGTCCTAAATCAAACTATTCCAAAAAAACAAATATTCGCTTGTTCCCAAATTACTCGGTTGAGATTGTAACGATATTCGTTATTTCCAAATGCTCGTCTTGTGTATATATTAGTTAAGTACAATGCTAAGCCTTTTAATAACCACCAATCTCGCCTAAATGCAAGGAGAAGCGCCATAAAGAAAAGAATTGAACAAGTGTTAAACAAACCAAGAACGCATTGTGATAAAACAGCCGAAAAATTGATTAGCTAAAGCAAATGCCATCTGTGTTCTTGCATGCCATGTTGCTTCAATAACTGTTGATGGATACAATAAATTCACACTAAAATATCGCTCTCAATGCATATTTCTCTCCATAAAAACTCCGTTCATCTACTTGAAAATAGCCATAGATGCAAATGGTGTGCACTCAGCGAACGGTTCTGTCACGAAAACTTGTTTATAATTCGGATATTGACAGCTTGCATTTAATAATTCTTCAAAGTATTCCAATGGCTAAAATATCCAATGAAAAAAATCGTTTGAAAGATAATTTTTATCTCGTGATTACTTCATGAACAAAACTTGTTGTGTTCGTCAGAAGAGTTAATAAACCAGGTAGACAATAGTTAGTAATTTCTTGTGTATTAGAATCGACAACTGATTCAAAGGCGCTTTAGAAATTCAAATTTGATTCGAATCGTTGACTAAGCATTCAAACATACCCAATAGCAAGTCCAATAAATGGCGCTGGTGCAGGTGTTGATAGATAAAATCGATATGTTTTCATTTCATTCTGTGTCGTACATTCTACAAGTTCACCAGAAGCAACAACTGTTAATGATTCTTCTACGGTAACATCAATAGTCCATGTTGACGGTTCACAATAACTATCAACGCATGGAAACCAAAGACGTGCATCATGACCAGTTGTGAATAAATGGCGACTTAACTAGATAGAATTCATTTAGATGAAAACGAGTTTTGTTTGGTTAGCTTACACGGGAGACTTTCGCATCATCATCCGGTACGAAAAAATGAATGCCAGTTTCCGGTTGTTCTAATGAGAAATCAATGGTCACTTTATAAACGGTATTATTCAGATTGGCTTCATGATTGGTCGTTGCAGAGTCAGCATGCTGTTGAAGTGATGAAGGAATGAATATAGTCAATTCACCATTACCTTCATCAGGATCGACATATTCAGAAAAGCGTTGTTGACGTTTTAAAGCCGATGAGAGATCCCGCCTAGAGGAAAACATGAGACGAATTCCGATCGAACATTTTTTATCTTTCTCTTTCTCACCTTGGATCATCTTCTAGGAAAGTCTGCATGTTTGGATCATCATATGAAAATTCCACATTTCGTTCTCCATTGATCGTCACCGCATAAATAGCTAGGGAAGATCTGCTATACAAATCATTACACTCACATCTAACTTACTCAATTGTCGCGCATTTAATTTGATCACATTAAAATTTTTCACAAGTGAATGCAAAGTCAATTCCGTATAGCCCTAGACATATCCATACGAGAGAAAAGCACAGTGCAGATTGGCGATCAAGAAAAATAGATGCACTCACAACTAGACAACGCTTGTCGAAGCTAACACCTGTTATACATAAGGTCTGATGTGATCTAGATAAATAAATGTGGTTTGTTCGGAAGAAATCATCGAACCACGAAGAATTGAACTCACAGAACAAATGAACGCGTTACTTGACGTAACTCTTCAAGTTCCATACTGAAAGAAAAAAGTCGGAAAATTCTCTTATTTAGGAGTTTTTCTCAATATTCTTTTCTTTTTTTTCATCTTGTCGATAAACAACAATGCAAGCACGAGAGGAAAAATTACACGAAAAAAAAAGTTACAGAAACAATACACACACGCACACGCAACAACAACATTCAATCAGTTTTTCGTTTAGAGAATCTACTAAAAACTGTTTCCATAAAAAACATTGAACATGTGTACGTACATAGGAGAAGAAAATCAAACATATTTTAGTGTTTTTCTTTGTCTGATGGTAATACTTGACACAATAAGAAAAACAAAATCAACAACACGTACGGTTAATGTAGGAGTTTATATACATTGAAATATATCTAGGAGAATCTTGAATAATCATACAAGAAAAAACAAAACAAAAATCACTGCATCCGACGTCAAAAAAAAACAAGAAGAAGAAGAAGAAGAAAACAACAACCACAACACCGAGCAAAATGAGAATACAATATGTACGTACGAATGAGAAGGAACAAGAAAACAATGGATTACATATACAAAATAGTCTATTCGGTTTGTCTTGTCAAGAGGAGAAAGAAAGAAACAAAACAGTTCAAACAATTGCTTTAAAAAACAACTTATTTGAAACCTGTCTATATATGTATGTATATATATATGTTTTGATGCATTCGAAATTATTTATATGTCAACAGGCGAAAGAATAGAATTTGCTGACTAAGTTTCAATCAATCACAAAACTTGCACACGTTGAAGGCGTTGAGTTAGTTTTTCCGAAAGAGGAGAATCCGATGTCGATAATCGAAATAAGAGAAATAGACCAACTTTGTCAGCTGATGCAATCCAACCATGTGTACCCGGATTTGGATTAAATCGAATCTTTAACAGAACACAATACAAAGTGACTCACATGGAAATCACGCTTACCTTTCGATATGTATGCACTTTGTGAGTTTCATCATGTTGTGGATCAACATTTGCACCTCCATATTCCTAAACAAAAATATACAATAGATTATTCATTTTGAACAATTCGATGGGAATTACTGTTCGTTCGATGGATATTTGTACACAATATTGACCAGTTGGATTACCACACGCTGATTGACCTTGGTTATATTGCATACCAACAGGATCTGCAAGATTACCTGATGTTGCTCCACCTGTATTCGTTAGGTAAGTGGATAGTTTTGCCACGCACTAGAATGGATAGAATAATAATAATCACCTTGATTTCGATGTCTCGAAAGATCTTACAGAGCTTGGTCGAAATTTCGGATTGCCTTGTGGCCATGTTGATGTATCACCACGTGCTACCCACACAGTACCTAAAATAATTGGATTGGAATCGTCTTCTCCACGACTAGTTGTCAATCTTACCATCAAGATCAGCATAAGCCACAGAATCAATCCATTCTGAATAATCTAAACTAACAATTTGCCATGCTGATAACATCGATGCTTGTAGATGATTGGAGGCATTTTGTCCGGGTAACAAGATCGAATGCATTGGTACAGAAAGTAGTTCATTTTGATTACTGAGAAAATCCAAGGGAAAATGAATTATATTCATGGTAATCATAAAGTATTCGTTCTTACTTGGCATGTGTACAACCAGTGTACAATGTATCATTAAAAGTTGATGTAGCAAATTCGCTCGCATTCGACCAATGTCGATAGGAAAAGATATTCTCATCTCGTGTAGTCCATACTCTAGTAAAATCAATGGAAAAACAATAGATTTTGAATATTTAATTTAAAACTTGTGTTACATACGTCCAAGATTGTTTATTTTTCAAACTAACAGCAATTAAATGTTCGGAATTTCTTAGAAACTTCACATCTTGTATTAGCGCATCTTCAACAAAGAATCTTCTGACAGGATATATCAATGAACAATTCGTCGTCTAAATAATAACAATCAGATTCGATTCTTGTACTGTCAAGTTTCTTACCTGTTCAACGAGTGATTTCGAATTCACTTCCCACATAAGTACGATTCCATTTTCATAACCTGCGCATAGTTTATTCGGATTTTCATAACACCAGTCAAGTGCTGTACATGAACCGTACTCTGCACAACCAATACTACCATCTTTACGTCGGTTCAACGGTGGCACAAGTTGAGCACCACTACTTATCGTACAGAGATTTCTCGACGCGCCATGCGGTACACCAAATATAATAACAATTCCTTGACTTGTACCAATTGCTAAATAACTCAAATATGGATCATTGATAGTTGGTCGTTCCGGTAACCATTTCAAGCAGGTTACTTGACCGAAATCCGCAGCAACAGTAACATGTAAATTAGGCACATGTAGGCTTTGTCTTAGACGTCCACAATTAAGAATCAATAGCAGGGTTGAGCCAGGTGGTGAACGACGATCAGGATTTGTTGCATTGTAACTTCCATGCAATTGATTAGCATTGTCATACGACCATTGTTCCAGTGCTAAGGCAACGTATTGACTTCCAACAACGTCAACAGCACGTGGCAACCATTCGACGCAACGTATGGGACGACCAACGTTAAGAACAATAACATGTGACGCTGCAAAACTATCCAATGGATTCAAAAATCGATCGCATGAAAGCATCTAAAAATAAATAAGTCATAGAAAGATGTTGACAATATCAAGTTTCCAAATAAGATATTTACTCGAACACGTAAACAGCTGGCGCCATTGCTCAGACACGCAGCCGATTCATTTTCAGGTATGAGCTGTCCTATGGTAGTTGTTGCTGCAGAAAATGATATACGTCCATTCATCGGAAATTTATAACGCGCAAATGCCGCACGAAAAGCTCGATCATTGATACGACACGGATCCTCTACAAATCAACTTTGTTTCTCATTCTACAATCGTCAAATTGTATTTTACCTGGACACATATCATGTGAATCATCATGGTAAAGTTCAAGGTGATCACAAACACTGCTCACAGATGAAAATGGTGTACCACAAAATTTACATATGGCCATAACTATACAGAAATTCTCGTAGATTATGTATTCAAAACAAAGGAAGGTTCGTTTGACTTACCGGGACCTAATGGACAATCAGTTTTGAGATGTTCCTTCAATTTTTTCAATGCTGCGAACTGAGTTTTGCCTCGACAACGATGACATTGTACAAAACCTTCTGTGCGTATACGATTATTGATTTCTTGCTCTTGTTCAGGCAATAGCGAATCGGTCGCAAATTCAATATGCTAAAAGATAGCAGTGAAGAAGCGAGATGATAAATACGTTCTCAATTCAACATACTTCTCGCATTCGAGATCGAGCTAGTTCGGATAATTCACTGCTGATATCGATACCACGTGGAGATCGCATCGAAACAGCTTTTTGTGGATCATTCTAAGGAAAAATGGAATACTGGAATTGATTATCCGACCATTTCGCATAAATACGTACTTTCATATGTTGCTCATTCAAAATAACTTGATTATTGTTGATTGTCGGAGTTAATGTTAATCCAACAGGGTTCATTTGTGGATGCTTAGTATATGGAGCGACTGATGTTGGTCCATCAGATTTAGTTTTTGGTGGACGACCACGTTTACGCTAGAAAAAAAAAACAAAATTTCAATTCCATAACTTGTTACAAAAGAAATTCAAATTACTTTTGGATCTGAATCATTCAAATCAGATTTAATTATCGGTAAAGACATTGTTTGGTTGATCATGGTTGGTGGAAGATTGTAAGTATCGATTCCACGAGGTGATACGCCGGATGTCATCGCAAGCATTGGATTGATCATTTGTGGAGGAGTTGCGTCATTGGAGTTTTTCTTCTTCTTTTTCGATTTCTTCGAACCTGCCGTTCCGCCCGGCGTAGTAATCGCAGGTTTTCGTGACACATCAATTTTATCGGCAGAAACAGTTCCACCGTCTTCAGCACCCTGCAAACGCAGAGAAAAAGATTCACAAAGATATATCTGTAAACAATGAAAGATGATTTGTACTTACATGTCGAGCTAAATGAGTCCGCAATGAACTTCGATCAGCTAATTCACTTCCACACATTAGGCAACGGAAGAAAGCTTTTGGATATGGAGATTTGGTACAGGAATTATATAAATGGTAACGTATGCCTTCTTTGGATGCAAAGTCAACTGTACAAAATGGACAAACGAAACGACCTTCACGAAATGTAGCTTGTCGTATAACATTAAAATGTGGTAGATCAGGATACGAAAAAAGGCCTGATTGATGTCGGATGTGTGACCATGCTTGGGGAATAGGTATAAGATTTAGCATATCACGATGGATCTCTGCAATATCATGTTTAGATTTAGTTGTAGACTGGGATTGTTGTATATCATCAGCTGATATTGCGGGTTGATCTGTTTCCATTGGAAGTGCTATCGAGGATGACTGAACAAGAGGTAACTGTTGCTGTTCTTGTTGCTCCTCATGCTCTGGTTCAGGGTCATGGTCAAGTTCATCTTCTTGTTCAAGTCCATGATCTCGCTCAAGTTCATGATCTTGTGCGAGCTCATGTTGTTGATCTAAGACATGCTGTTGTTCGAGGACATGTTGCTGCTCTAGTACTTGTTGTTGATCAAGTTCATGATGTTGATCCTCGAGCTCATCTTGTTGTTCTAAGACATGTTGCTGTTCTAGTACATGATGTGGTTCGAGCTCATGGGTCTCCTCGAGCACATGATCTTGTTGATTTTCTAGTTCTTGAGGATTTTCATGCTCGATTTGATGTTCATGTTCTTGCGGATGTTCAAGTTCTTGATTAAGATCTTCTTGTTGATCGGATATGTTTTCTTCCGGTAATTGCTCGGATATTTCCTCTGCTGGTTCCTGATGAGATTCCTCATCTGTAGGTACATTAACAACTGGTTCATCATTCGTATTATCTGCAACATCTGCACCTCCACCAGTAGCAATTAAATGCATGAGACCGCTTGAATCAATTGCATTCTGCTGCTGTTGATCATCAGTTGCCCTAGAAAAAAATTTCTTTAAAAAAAAAATTTCTAATAATAATAGGATTGATTACCATGGCCAGTCATTATTTGCTGATGATTCTTGCTGTTGATCATGTTCTTGAATATCTTGTTGGTGTGATAATGTTTGTGGTTCATCATCGACTGGCGATAAATGATTTGTCGGCGAATCCGGATCGGCCATGGATTATTGCTTTCGTCGGTTTTACAACATTCGTGTTTTCTTAAATTCCTAATAAATGATGGCATAATGACAGATAGAACCATATAAAGATAATATCGATATCAATACTCAAAATTTGGGGATAGGATACGGTCATTTTTTTCTTTTTTTTTTCTTTTTTTCCTCTTTTTTTTCCTTTCACGACTTTTCCAAAAATCAAGAACACGAGAGAAAGAGAGGTGGAAAGAAACGCGGAGAGAGAGAGAGGGCGTGTGTGGTGAAGAAGAAGAAGAAAAAGGCTCGCATTTTTCGCCCCTATTTTTTCCTCGTCGTTTTTCTTGTCTGTCCCTTTTTTTTTCACTCACACGCACAGATGTTAAATATCCTTTTTCTGTCTTGCTTCGGATTGTCATCATTACTCGTACTACGTGCTTCTTCGTTCGTCAGTTCTTCGCTCTTCTTTGCGGAGGATGCCGGGAGAAGGAACAAAAATGAGATGAAAAAGAAGAAAGTAGATGATAGCGATATAAAAAGAAGGAGAAGAAGAGAAAAAAAAACGTCGCGATGTTGGAAGAAACGGACGGATAAAGGAAAAAAGAAAAATCAAAATAGGAGACGAGAGAGAAAGAGGAAAAGAGGAATGAATGAATGAATGAATGAATGTACACACGATATGAAGAGAAAAAGGTTATTGTGTGACACCATTAACGAGAACTTTTGAACTTGATTCAAATTGTCGAAAAAGAAATTGGAAAAGAACTTTTTATTTCAAATTTCTTCATTGAAAAAAAATACTTCAAAGAATTTTTATTTAGTCAAGTTATTGAACGATTATTGTGCATAGATGCTTAATATTCCCATTGGATATACATGAGCCAATCAATAGACGACAATGATTCATATCATACCACTTCTTGTCAATAAGTACATTTTCCATCCATGACCCAAACCTATCTAGACTGTCCTTTCTTTTGACGTCTAAATGTGTTTCTTTTTATTTGGAATTTTCGTCTGTTACATAATCCAGGGCGCACCTTATCGCTTTCGAATTACTATATTTCTAGATAAATCAATCATTCACATTCGAAATCGAATTATATCCGATGCATATCGATGATTTTCTGTGCTGTCTCTTACTACACTGATAAGATTTTATATTAATCTATGAAAGACTTATATTCATGATTTTAATCAGTGTTAAAACCATTATATGATTATATTATTTGTCATGAATCTTGTTCAACCATCGATGTTTCACAAGTCAGGATAAATCCAGTTTTGTGAATAATAATAATGTTGTACAATTGATGATGGTCATTAATGAAACCGAGTTTCATGTGTCTAGTGATTTGACAAAAAAAAAATTTGTATACACGATTCAAATGAATTTCTGAATGATTTACGTTGTACGAAATGAATTTAATATCCAAGAAAACCTTTATGCATCAAGGATATACGCATTAATTCGCATATTGAATGGAGGATCCGTCTTTTAATCTACAGCATTTCTCGCATGAATTTATATTTACCTTTTCTCGTCTGTTTCTTCCTCTCCAATCAATTGTAACATTTATGCGAATGATTCTTTTCTCTTTTCGTTTTTCTCCATCGAGTCGAACGTAAACGCATTCATTGTTATGATGATGTTTGTGCTAAAACCATACTTTTATTTTTGTTCCTAGTTGGTTTCGAATAGACGAACACGTGTCTTTGTTTTGTTTCTTTTCGTGGCCTTGTATGTCGTAGAACCAACTGAGCCCGTTGTGTACAGCCATAGAGGGTAACAAGCGAGCAAGAGAAAAGGAAAGGAGAAATAGGCTTATTGAGAAGTCCTCAATGATAAAGGAAAAGATTGATCATTAAGCAGAAGGTTTCCCATAAATTGATGATGACAATATCAGAATGCAGAACAGCAAGAAAGAAGGAAAGAAAGGGTATTACACTCGACTTTATATAGTATGAAGAAGAAAAAAAAAGTATCCCTATCATCTCATACGATAGTTGTAGTGTTTAGATGTACATTGTTGCTGTTGTTGTTCTTGTTGTTGTTGGTTTTTTTTGTTCTAGGACACATGAGAGTATTTGTTTGAATTGATTTTCTTAGTTTCAGATTGGCATCATGTTCGCGTATAAACTCCGAGATGACGACTGAAGAAAATTCGCAATCTTCGGATATAACGAAAAAAAATGGTGATGCAGATGATGAGAGACATGAACATGATGATGATGAATCAACAAAATCTGAAACATCTTCTGCACAACCGGTTAGACGATCGCGTTTTTTTCGTTCGAAACGAAAACAACGTTTAAATGAAGAACAGTCTCATCATGTCGAAACCAATGATGATGACGATCATAACACTTCTCTTGCTGAACCACCAACTGAGTCTTCCAAAAATTCACGTGAGAATAAAACGAACTAACTCATTAAAATAAACATTCTGTCTTGTTTTCATGTACTTTTAGAACAAACTTCTGAAGAAAATCCGTCAACTGAACCCGATGATTCATCAGTTGTTCCCACAACAACTAAAAGGCGTTCATTATCACCTCCGCCTCCACTTCCGTCTAATGATGATGATGATGATACTACTACTGAACAAGATACCAGTGGAAGTTCAGAAGAACCACCAATTTTTACATGTCCAATTGATGATATAGATGCGGAACGTGAAGCTTATCTAGCCAACAGGAAAGCTCATGAATTAAAAGCACTGGCTCAGTCGCGACCGTCACTCCCAACAGTTTTCTCTGGCTATCAGCGAAAAAAATCACAATCAGTCAAATTAGTACGTCTTGATCCGTTTGATGCGTGTCCGAAGAAGAATGTTCGATTTGCTGATGACTTTGGTCTTGATTTGAGTCAAGTTAAGGTGATTAAATCCGATGAACTACCTCATGTGCCGAGTGCTGCTTTCAAAGATTTACATATCAGTAACGAAGATAGTGCAACGAATGCTTATCAAGAACGAACGAAGATCATCACATATTTGGAACAACAATTCGAAAATCCACTTCATTCCCATGGTTTCGATGATCGTGTCTCACGTCATAAAGTTGTACTCGAACAAGCAAGTAAGTCGTTCGCTATCTATCTCAATCGATTCAACTTTCTGTTGGTTAATTCTTTTAGATGCGATTGATAATCGAATCTACGGAACAATCAAAATCCTTTCCTTCGGTTTTAATAAACGCGTTAAAGTTCGCTTAACAGTGGACAATTGGATGAGTTATATCGATCATGACGCAACATATATTCTCGATTCCTTCGATGGTACATATGATCGATTTACATTTACATTAGAAATTGCTCGAGATCGAATATGCGTGGGAAATAATATTCAATTCTGTATCGGTTATGAATCTTATGCTGGACCCGAGTACTGGGATAATAATTATCACCAAAACTATCGATTTGATTGTATTTCAAGGACGATACCTGATTACAGTAGTTAGGAAATTTTGTACTTTTTTATATTTTGAGAACGAGAGAACAGGTATATTGGAAGACCGGGATTTGCTGAAGTCAAATATGCTGACGAGGAACGAGACATTAGCGTTGGGAATTTTATTTTTTATTTTATCCATTTGCTTTTTCGAAAACTGAACGTTATTTTTTCAATAGAGAGAAAACAAATAAGAGAATTGTTTGGTTCGACTTATTTTTCGCGTTGAATTAGAAAATATTCTCGTTGTTTGTTAGTTTCATTTTCATTGATTTCTTTCTTTTTTTCTCCGGTTTTTCCTTTGCATTAGTATGTCTAATCATGCTCATCTTGCCACATGTACAGACTTTTTTGTTTTCTTCCTTTGTATACTTAGGATGGCTTTTTTTATTTGTTCTGTATATGAAATATACAACAAAAGAGAAGAACAGTCGAGCGACGATTTTTAGGAAAAAAAATAAAGAAATTTTCATAAACAGAATTGTAACAGTTGGTTTAGAAAGATGGATAGTGTCATCATTGCTACTATGGATAGAAATCGATCGGTCTTAAATAAAACTCAGCTAAGATATTCATGGTCTGGTGATCCGTTCATTAGAAAAGAATCAACGATAACGCAAACGTCAAGCTTTGTAACACATCAATTACTCACAAGATTTTCCTGCGTCCTTCTAATCCCGAAAAGCCTGTTATTGTGAGGAGAGCTAAGAATCGGCGATGAAACGCACATAACTAAGGTATTACATTGAGCACCGACGACATCTACTTTTCTTTTACTATTGAGGTGCTACTCTCCGCTATTCTTACATCTGTCGACAGTAGCGTTAAAAACGTATTCTCGTGTTGTATATACGAATCAAAACTCACATTCTGTATTTATTTTGTTTTGTTTTTTGGAAAGTTTTGTTTTATTTTGCTCGTTTAATCTACATCATCAGAGTGGAAAAGAACAAATAATACAAATCAACTTGACATTTTAGTTATTCGTTTTGAAAACGTTTTGTAATGTCAAGATCACTGTCGAATCGCTCGCCAACGAGGTATGTTGTTTAGCGTGAAAGAAGAAACACGTTCAAAACTAATTCACTAATACCTGTGTAGAATGCGCGTTGAATTAAATAACCACTCACCTACTTCTCACCATCGTAAAACGATGCCAATTATATTTAAAAACCATCGATCTACGCAGAGACAACTTTCAGCAATTCTAAATCAGGCAGATTTCGAAATTTGGTAGGTGCTCGCTGCTCGCTCCTGTGTTGTTTTCTTTTCTCCCCACCATGCTATCTCAGTTCAATTACAACATTCATTCATTTTTATGTTTGCAGTCAGGCGCCGAATGAAACTGAAATGTTGGAATTTATCCGAAATGGAAACCAGGAAAATGGTACTGCTACGAACAATTCATCTGATTCTGTAACAGTCGATGAAACAATCACTGACCGACAGAAACAAGTAAGACAATACTGTCGATTAATATCGACGATCATTGTTTATACATTTAGCCTCAAAGCACATATAACACTTCTCCCAGAATTGCTCATAAAAATCGATTTATATCCAATATAAAGCATTGTCTCGCATCGCACAGAAACGAAGCAACAAAGAAAGATGGGAATAACGAGGAAAAGAACCGAGGTTTCCTTCTAATCGATAAAGTTGACGCTGATCTAGTCTTGATACCGGGTGACCATAATGATCAACAGCATACGCGTCATGCTGAACCATGTGTACATGAACATGTCGGGGAAGATACACTAGATATGAATCAAATTCATTTAATATCAACCACTCCAGTCACACCCAGCTTACCACCTCCCCAACAATCCTTAGTGAATTCCTCGTGTTTATTACCAATCATACCCCGTAAGTCTAGCTTTCCGGAGAGTAAGGTATCGAAATCGTAATTTTTATTGTCAATTAGATCCACATAGCGAAGGAGATGTTCAAGCTACACAAGCTGGTGTAGAATGTGCGACGCCTGCATATGATGAATCCAATATGCAAGATACTCAAGTGTCAGCAACCGATTCAACGACATCAACAAATTCTTCCAATAATGATCCACAATACGCTCATATTGATCGAACAACATTGAATGATACTGATTATGGTAAGTCGATCGTTTCGGGAGGTCCAATATGTATTTTTGTGGTTTTAGTTATTGAACAGAAGCGCGATCTGGAACGGATAACAGTTTACGAAATAGCATTGAATAATGATCGTCGAGATTATCAACAAGATTTACCTCAAAATGAAAATGTAAGAAAGAATTGCGATGAAATTGTTATTATTTTCCGGTTCGATCTAGGATGAAATTGAATTCGATCTTCGATATAAAGATGCACTTCAGCTCAATTCCGAATTGAAAAAAGAACTCAAACGCTTAGAAGGTAAAGTTCACTTTTCTTTCTTAGAAATTTCACATAGTTCAAATAATTTCAGAAGAGAAAGATCGAATCTATGCGTCATGGAAATGTGAAGTTTGTACATATATCAATGAACCATATATAAAAACACGTAAATACGTCTGTGAAATGTGTGAAGGACCAAGTCCGTTGAAGAAGCGTAAGAAATACTTCTGAAAACAAATCGATCAATTACCATGTTGTTTTTTTTTGTTTGATTTCAGATGCGCTGACGAGTTAATTGCAATCGAGCATGTTCTGTACAGTAGAGTGAAAGCAATCCTGTTTTGGTTAATCCTCTGTCGTGATTTTTTTATTGAAAAAAAATATATATTCTTATCATGTGCTGCTTTTTCTTTTTCTTTTTATTTGGGTGAAATCTATTTCTATGCAAAGTTTTGTGATAAATTGATTTTCTAATAGAATGCTTTTAGATTAATCACAGATATTATGGCATCAGCAAGTGATTTACCAAGTAATGACTCATCAAATTACAAATTAGTTGATTCAGCTAACACCCTAGCAAATAATGCTGCTGATCTTGATCCGTCCAAAGAAATTCCAATGAATTTGCTACCAGCTGGTAATTAACTGCGCATAAGTGCGAGGGAAAGACTGTGATTTTTTTAAAGATTTTAGAGAAAAGTTTCTTTGAAAAGGTATTCACGATTTTGCTTGACATCGGTTTCTTGTTACTAACGTGTATCAATGTCCTCCAGACATTTCAGCTTAAAAGAAAATAATCTTTCCTGTTCGAATTAAACAACATCCGTTAGATAATTAAAGACATCCGTTTGCTAGAAAAAAAAAGATAGTCTCACATGCTCAGTGAATGATTATGTCAACTTGAGTAACCATGCATGTACGTAGATTGACATTGATTGTTCAATGAAGTGTTGCTTAGTTTCTTATGACATTATCGTCATTTGAAATAGATTGATTGAATTAACTGCTATAGAACAAGGTTCATAATCATGAGAATTGATTTGGAATTTAGATAAACATCCATACTGGAACAATGTACCTTCTGGACGAACAAATATTGAAGATCCTCCACAATTGGAATACGATGATCATCATATTGATTTAATAGCTGATCAAGGTAAGTGACTATTCAAATATTTTCATATTTAAAAAGACGCTTCTCTCCAGAAGTTGATGAATATGAATTAGAGTATGGTAAGGATTTCCATCTATCTACGGGAATAGTTACACTAATCATCTAACGCTTTGTTTTCTCATGGGATACTATTAATCTTCGTTAACATATTCTTTTCAAAAGCTTTTCGTTGCTTTCTAATATATTTTTTTTTCGCACAATTCTTCTCCTAGACGCTGCCGAGATACGGCAACATCTCGGCTATGACGATCACCAACATGATTTGGGTTTTAGTGGTGATGAGGATATTGGCAGTGGTAAATAATGCTTTTGCTTTACTGACGATTTGTCATGTAAAAATTCATTGGACTAATCGAGTATATTTTGCAACCTAGATGCATATGAGAATGATATTTCGTCGAATTTAAACAAAAATCGAGGTGCAATCAAAGGCAATATTACATCCGATGGAATTATTGATGATGATTTCGAATCTGAATTGGGTGGAAATGAGCCAGCAGTAAGTGCAAGTTGGTTTTCTTGAATATCGACACATTCGTTGATTCGCTTCAAGGATTTACAAGACGCCGACGATGCCGATTATCAATTAATGACTAAAATAGCTGAATATGGAATAGTTGAATGTTGCGGCGATGATAAATTTGGTCGAAAAACAATTGTTTGTTCAGCATGCCGTTTACCTCATGGAGATGTAATAAAAAACAGTGAATTTAAAACAGTTCAAAAATTCTATGATTGCTTATTAAAGTAAACAGACTATTTCATTTACTTTCAGCGAGTTTCATTTGGTTTTTGTTTATTTAGATATGTTTTGCGGACATTTGATCAATACGTTGATATGGATTATGTTATCATCTATTTTCATCATGGTTTGCGCTCCTACAATCGGCCATCGTATGGATGGTTGATGAAAGCTTATGTTAAAATCGATCGAAAGTAGATTTTTCTTGCATTGCTGCTTATTGACACAAAAATATCGTATGTTATTAGATATAAGAAGAATTTAAAGGCATTTTATATCGTACATCCGACGAAATGGATTAAAGTTCTTTGGCCGTTTTTGCGTTCTATGATCAGGTTGATAGGGTTTTTTTTTCTTTCCTTATCTAAGTGTCTTTAATGTGCTGTTTTTAAGTGCGAAATTCTCGCAAAAGGTCACATATATCAATCGTCTTCATGAGTTGGAAGAATTTGTTCATTCGGAAAACATTCGAATACCTGTCGAAGTGAAAAAGTAAGCTGGAAATATTTTGATTATTTCAAATTGAAATCTACGAGATGTTTTTAGTTTCGAGCCAGGTATTCCGACAGAAATCGCACGCAAACAAATCCGGCCAACAACTAAATTCCATGTTTCGCTTCAACAGTAAACTAATTCAATAGAAAATCTTGATCTTTTTTCAGCACATCTCTTTTAGCGTTTTGGATAACGAACCCGGCGAAACAGTTCCACTCGTTCTTCGACAAACGACTGAATATATAAAAAATAATGGTAGATACGAAATGAATCGAAACAAGATATCTTATCTTTGTTTGCATAGGATTGAACGAACCAGGTATTTTTCGACGAGCTGCACTTGTTTCACTGATTAAACAAGTTCAAGAAAAGTACAACGAAGGTTTGTCCAACGAAAAAACAAAACGATTTGCCTGACTAAGTTGTATTGATCAATTTTCAGGTCAACCAGTTCTATTCGAACAGTACGGCGATGTTCATTTAGCAGCTTGTGTTTTGAAAACATTCTTACGCGATTTATCTGAACCACTTTTAACCTATGGCTTATATCCCGAAATTCTCGGTCTCTCAGGTAGTGAGTATGTGATAGTAGTTTTGTGTGTATTTATCCTCGTTGTTGTGCACCAAACTATTAGTTGGACAAATCTCCTCTGCTTAAATACGGTACACGTGTATTATTTCATATTTATATTGCACTAATCTCTTCTTTAGCCTTAGCTGTTCATTTTCGAACTAAACATAATCCGTTTTCTTCTGTTTGCTTTAGCATTGAAACGACATGATCAAATTGATGTTATTCGAGATCTTCTCAATGTCAAATTACCAACACAGAATTACATTGTTCTAAAATATTTAATTGAATTTCTTAACTTGGTAAGAAAACCAAATATAACTTTACTTTGAGTCAGAAAAATCAAAAGCTTTCTTTTCCGGAAATATGCCTTTCTCAATAAAATTCTTTCTCCTCTAGGTGGCTAACTACTCAGATACAAATCTAATGACAACATCCAATCTGTCGATTGTTTTCGGACCTAATCTTGCTTGGTCTGAAGGCGATCAAATGAATACATTAGCAAATTATTCATTGATTAATACATTTACTGAAATCTTAATTGCACGCTATACGGAACTCTTTCTTAAATAAGCATGAAATCTTTTTATTTTTCTCCTTTGGTTTTGTCTTTCGTCTGACAAACATTCCATGAAAAAGAATCTTGAAAAACTTTTCTTTCATTTTTATTTATTCGCTATAGTCCATTTGTCAACAAACTTCAAATCTACATTCCACTGCGCAATTGATTGTTTTTTGTGTGATACGCACTTGTTTAGTGTTTAATTTTCAAGCTTCTGTGCATTTTGCTCTCGTTTTACATTGATTTAGAAACATACTCGTGTATATAAATAGAAAATATCTGCTACCAACTCAATCTTTTCTTCTTATTTATAGATTCTTATTTTCTCTAGTGACTCCGTTTTCTTTTCTAAGAAAAAGAAGTTCATAATAAAACAGGAGACTTCCTGTCTCGGATTATAGTGAAAATGGCGCCAGGTCCTAATCAAGATTTCGGGTAAGTTTTGTTTTCATATGCAGAGTTCAATGTGACTTCCGATTCATTGTAGATTGGTACCACGCATTATCAATGGTGGTATTGCTGGTATTGTGGGTGTAATTTGTGTCTTTCCCATCGATTTAGTAAAAACTCGTATGCAAAATCAATCAAAAGCAGTTGGTCAACCACCACTCTATAAGAACGTGTAAGTTAGATTGTACAAAGATGTGAAATGATATTTGCTTTGTTTAGTGTTGATTGCGCAATAAAAACGTTTCGTGGCGGAGGTTTACGTGGAATGTATAGCGGTAAATAGTTGACTGGTTTCCCTGATTCGAAAGAAAAAGAAGACTCGGTCTGGTTTGTATAGGTTCTGCAGTAAATATTTTATTGATAACTCCGGAGAAGGCGATTAAATTGGTTGCCAACGATGTGTTTCGTCAAGCTTTGAAAACAAAGTATATTCAAAATAATCGATATAATTTGTTGAATATATGAATGACAATTTTGTCTTTCAGAGACGGTTCTCTGCCCATGCATCGACAAATCCTTGCTGGAGCTGGTGCTGGTACATGTCAAATTGTTGTAACAACGCCTATGGAGTTACTAAAAATTCAACGGCAAATGGCGAAATCTCAAAGTGAATCGTAGATCATACTCGAATTTCGCTCAAACTTATTCATTTGTTAGATTCGGGTCAAGTACTCAATGCTCGACAAATAGCTATGCAATTATACCGCGAAAAAGGTATTGTAGGTTTATATAAAGGTGTTGGTGCAACATTCACGCGAGATGTTGTTTTCTCGATGATGTACTTTCCATTATTCGCCTATTTCAACGATAAGGTCTGTGAACAGAGAAAATTCATCATCTCATTTAATATTTTGTTTTCAAGGGTAAAACTCCTGGAAGTAACACAGTACCATTCTATCACTCATTTGCATCGGGAATCACTGCTGGTGCTATTAGTTCTTACCTAGCAACGCCATTTGATGGTATGTTCGTTTCCGTGACGGAGGGAAAAGTGTTCAGTAATGACTTGTTGATTGAGTAAGATAATGTTTATACAGTTGTGTTTCTTCTCTCGATTAGCATAGATACTCCTTGAATTTGAAGGTGATGTCAATAATGTAAGATTATTGTTTTACTTTTGTTTTTCAAATAACATCAAGGATATTATCGACATTATGCTAAATGAGGAAGCTATTGTCATAATGTTTGATTTGTGTCTCTGACAAGTGTTTCTGAGATGATATCTCTATTTACTTATCGCATTCGATGCTGCTGACATTTATTCTAATAATGATGTTCACATTCTTCGTGAAATATAATCAACACATTCTATTTTTCATTCAGTGGTTAAAACACGTTTGCAAACATTGGAGTATAAGAATAGATACTCGGGAATGCTCGATTGTACCACGTAAGTCTATTGTCTCTAAACGTTTTTTCTAAACAATCTCTTCAATTTCTTGTAGGAAAATCATGCGAGAAGAAGGTCCAAGTGCATTCTTCAAAGGTTCACTTCTGCGTGTGATGGTCATTGCGCCACTATTTGGTATCGCTCAAATGGTTTACTATTTAGGAATTGCTGAGGCGATGATGGGCCTTAAACCACTGGGAAGTGTTAGTTAAAAACGAGTTCAAATGAGAATCTGCAGTACGATAGTGAAGTTTCATAAAAACCCATCCGATTTATTTTTCTTTCCGTTATATCTTTACAGTACTCTTTGTAAAACGAGCTTAGGATTTATTTCCGCAAGAGAATCTTTTTTTTTCTGCTCACCGTATAATACTTTTTGACTAGAACTTGAACCTGTGTTTCCTATATTACTTATGCATTAGTTGCAGAGTTAGTTTTTCCTCGTGTTTTCCATGAATAGTGTGTTATCTTTCTTGGTGTATTGTATCGTGTGTGTGTGTGTGTGTTTTGTATATCAATCGTTATGAAAAGCGTGTCGTTTGCTTTTTTGCGATATGATAAATCGTTTAACAATCATCAACTAACATAGAATTGTTGTCAAGTAATGATATTGAATAGGAAATTTAATAGAGAAATGATTCACGATTTCGACTGACGTAAAAGGCAAAGACTAAGAAAAACTCGCTTTTTGATTGCTATTCATCGTTCAAGTAATCAATATCAAGCAAATAAGTAAGCTCAAATATTAACTCTGATCAAGAACAATACACCCATATACGTTAATCAGATTTCAAGTATATATCGCACAACGATCGAATATCAATAGCTTTCACGAGAATTTCGTTAGTCGGTATGAAATCAATTGTACTATTCTATTGATTTATCGCATGTGTTCTCACTTGAATTCCAACATGTTTTACCTAATTTCATATAAAATAACAGACGAAAAAGTACTTGAAATTCTCATTTGACAAAAGAAAAACTAAAAGTGAAGCACGCAAAGAAGTATATCAGCATTCACTGCATTCAGCAAGTCGAACAAGAATGAATAATCATCGTAAAAACAGATCATCTCAAAATGAACGTTCGAATACAACTCCGACCTTCCATCCAGTGTTTAATTTTAGTTCGTTGTACAATCGACAGTACTATCAATCTTCGATATCTTTTCAGCGGTTACTAACATCCTCGAATCGTGCTGTTGCTGATCTAGCAGAACCGTTATCAATATTTGATGAAATAGAAGTATCCAAACATCGACGTTCGCTCAATGTTTCTCCGATACCATCACAATCGGATCGACTTCCTCTGTTGAATAGTGTTCACCGGGACCGAGCGGAAGGTTTTCGGCAACAGTTATTGATTGATATCCAACATTCTATCCATGATATTGAAGAAGATTTAACTTCATTTGAAAGACAATCTTTAACATCTCGCCTTTCTTCATTGAGAAAACCGAATGTAACACATCAGATTTCCTCATTTGTAGCACTATTCTATGATTTATTGTAGGACTATAACAACAATCTTGCTCTGCGGACACGATTGCCACCGATCTTTCGAACAGTTCACGAACAAATGCAACTATTGGATGATGACGACAGAATCCTATTTCCAAGGCAATCAACAGCGGATGAGCCATTGTCGAACATTCCTTTGCCAAATCACGTAGTGCACAATAAATCTCCTTCAGATATAGATATTGGATACTTTCTCAATGATTCGGAGAATATTTATTCAAAGCCGACATTTGACGAATTTGAAGAAGAAGAAGCAATTCTTCAAGAAAGCATGAATGCTGATCAGTATCTCCATGATCTTACTGTTCCATCACATAATTGTTCCATATTTATTGATTCGGAACCGGTTAATTCTAATCAAGTCGAATTTCTCGAAGCAACTATCAATTTAGTCCCAACAGATCATGTTGACCAAGATATCGATGATTTAATGAGAACTACTTTCTTATATCAAGTAACACCAAGAGACAAGTCAAATACAGATAATATCAGATCAGAAGTTTCGCTTGAATCGCAATTTACTTCGCCGGTTCCATCTCAAGGTACAATACGTTTTCAAGACTCCTACCCTGATGTTCCAGCAGATGTCGTATCGCAGAATAATCATACTATTCCACGTCCGCCAACACGAAATTCGATTCTGATCACTGAAGATCCTCCCGAAAAACTTCCTGCCTTGCAACCAACATCTATCGACTCTCGTGTTGCTTCTCCTGCTGATAAAAAGGGTCTTTTTGCTGTTCATGCTTTGATTGAATCTGAATTTCGACACGATCGTAATCGTTCGACTAAATCAGTTTCTTCTCATATAGAAAATGGAAATCGATCTGACTCGTCATCTGTCACTTACTTCTCAACTAATGCTCGACAACAGGAGCAACAGCGAAACCATCCCTCGTCAATACCGTCAACTACAGGAAAGAACACTCGACATGTAAATACAGAAAAAAAAGAAGAAATAAAAAGAAAAAAAATCGATGTGACAAAGAAATCTATCGTGACTACAATTTCAATCTTACCGTCGTCGTCGTCATCGCCACTGAAGCAAGTGTTACCTACTTCCATTATCGACAACGTGCAAACGCAATTTACATTTGAAAACAACAGAAATAACAACAATTATAACGGAAAGCCATCAAATACAGCACTGAATAAAAATGCTGTTCATTTGAGTATAGAAGGACAAGAAGAGCGTTTTTATAACTCGCACAATTATCCTCCGACATCATCATCATTAGTACTTCAAATGCATTCACGTATACAGACCACAACGTTAGAAAATGATAAAGACGACACATACAGTCCATCACCAGCGGGTCATACACGTTCGAGTGACTTCAATGACAATGGATCTCACACACCAGAAAGAGATCATTCGATCAATGGATTAGTGTCACGTGCCACATCTTCCGCTCACAGTTCTTCCAAAAGCAACCGCAGTAAGAAATCTGTCTCTCGTCATGCATCATCTGTCGAAAACGATCGCCCTCATACTTCGCCAGATAGTGTACAGAAAACGCCGACAAATGAAAATGAAGAAAATTTAGACGATGAACCGCAATCACTACACGAGTTTGATCAACGATCATTAAGTGATCGTTCTATATCCCAACGTAGTGAATCAGGTTTAAGTTCTTCAGCAAATTCAGCGCTTCCTGTTAATACGGATGGATCTGATTTCGAAGACAACGAAATACCAAAATTATACATCTCATCATCGAAGAAGAAAAATCTTTCTCCTTCGAAAGGCCCACCGTCAGAACGAGAATCACCTCGTGCTTCTGTTAATGAAATACATTCTGAACGAATATCATCCCGAGCATCTTACAAGGCGAGTGTACCAGTAGATCGTGAACCAGAACATGCGTTACCAAGTCGACCATTACAGACAAAAGTACATTCACCCGTAGCCTTCGTCCCTAAACATAATGGTTTATTACATGAAGTTGAACAAAAATCTCAAAATCAATCATCGTCAATGTCACAAAAAAATAATACTTCAGCATCAAACAATAAACAAGAACAATTGTTACGTCCTGCACCTTCATCATCCGAAAGTAAACATGAGCAGAAGTCTGCACGTCAAAGTCCTTCAACTTCTTCTCCGATGCACTCTGATGAACGAATAACAAAGGAACAAATAACATCAATGTCTCACCCAGTTAAGGACGCCAAACCTCATCATCAAGCTCTTCAACATATGCATGCGCAAATTGAATCTAATAATAGTGCACGTTCGCCATCTACCACTCCACATCATTCCAAAGTACAAGATAATAATCATACATCTATGGATAATCACAGCACATCATCCCTGACTCTTCCAAACGAGCAGATGCATACATCGAATAACGACCATCATATAAAAACCAAACAAGCATCGACTCTATCACCAATACAACCAGCATTTGCAACTGAAATTCATCGACGTCCATCATCAGACAAATCGCGACTATCATCTCGTTCTCAACATGAACAAAAACCACCTATAAACGATCATTCATCGTCGTTTCCACGTATTGAAGTGAGTGTATGTCAATGTGAACAAATGAAGACAGTCAGAATGATTTTAGGCACGAAGTCCATCACCGGACGGTCATGTAGATGATGAAGACCAACTGGAACCAAAATCAGATGAAAGACAACGGCGTCGACGCGTTTCTTTTTCTGATAGTCATTCACATTTGTTTGTCGATGAACAACAAGTCGATCCTAATTGGCGTGAACGTGTTGCTTCAATTTTAGCCAGCAAGGTGCATATAAATACGTTCTTTATCTACTATTGGAATCCATCTATTTTCGATTTAGCATCAACCAAATGAGAAATATGCCTATGTACAAGCACGAGTAAATTCTTTCGAAAATTTTGATTATCATCCGAAAAAGATCAATACCATTCCCAAGAAAACCCCGCGCGCAAAGGTATGCTTGATTTTTCCATTGTGCAGATGAATATAACATCTCGTTCTTTCTCTGATAAAAGCATTCCGACAGCGAAGAAGAAAAATCTTTCGAACAAAATCATCATAAAGTAACGCGCTGTATCTTTTGAAAACATTTTACTATGTGCTAAAATGATTTTCATAGATGAAAAGACCAGAATTATTTATTCACGAACAAATCGGTGATGAACAACGCGTTCATTCTATCAAAGTATGACAAAAATGAATGATACTCATATATGAATCTGATGACTTTATACCCTAGGAAATGCCCGTGCAGATGTTTGGTCGATTGATGTTTCTAGCTGATGGGAGTCCAACAATTTTTCATGAACCTTTAGAATGGCATGCATCATCAAAACTAAAAGATTATCTATACGAAAATTTTCACCATACACCGCGTCGAAATGAATTCAAAGTAAGCAAGAATTTTTCCTCATCATTCATCTCAAACAAACAGATCGTTTCAGGTCTATAATAAGAAACCTCGATGGCACAGTGAATCTAAGCTGTCGGAAGTTCTCAAAGAATCACCACGATTTTATCAACGAGATGCTCTCGTTCCAGCTAGTTCGTTGCCACTGATTCCTGGTACTGATCAATCATATTTTTATCAACAACAATTCGATAAACGGTTACAACATCATTTTCCCAATAGTCATCCAAAACGTTCGATTTCACCCGTATGTTCATTGATTGTTGTCAAATTTCACCAGAAGTCGATTTTCCTAGATCTCATCAGAAAAACCTGAGCACTCTGGAGAATCAAAAGCACTGCAGAAAAGACAGGAGAAGCCTCCATATCAGGTAGAAATCAACAACAATCAGTCGATGATTCATTTTCTGTTCAATTAGGTTTACGAAAAAGTTCCTCAATGGAATTCTGTTTCGAAATCTCGAATACCACCGCCTCCAAAAATCCATCCATCGCGAACAACATTAAGCAATGGTCAAGTACGAATCTTTAGAATAAATCTTTTCTGTGAAGAAAATAAATCAATCGTGCATTGCTATTTAGATCTTCAACGAAAAGTTAAATTGGAATGCTCGAGCGAAAGTTCATTGTTGGTCTGAACTTGATCTTCGTAAATTAGATAGAAAGAAAGCTTTAGTTACAGTTAGTAGACAATATTTTTTGTTTTCTATAATTAATTTTCTCTTTTTTCAACAGTATCCTATTCCTAAACGAAACTATCGTATGTTAAGTCCAATCCATCCTTCGAAAGAGTCAAAATCATTGCGAGTATGTTTATCCGACTTTCGTCACTTTTGATTTTTGACATGAAATGTTTTCAGATGATCGCTGATCGACCCGCTCGGCCGCGAGATTCTCGTTTGAAAGATTACATTTGGGAAAACCACAAGTACAAGTCCCATCGGAAAAATGACAAGGTAATACGAAAGATGCTGAACGTCTTGGTTGCTATGCACGATAAATTACGTGATATAACAGGAATGCTTTCTTAAAAGCAATTTTCAAACCTATATATTTTTACTCGGGCGTGCGCAAAAGTAAAACAGTGATTAAGAAAAAGAAAAGCATCGTGAAAGAGTTTCTTTTTTCTTATTGAACTGGTTTGAATAGTAAAAGCATCATGCAAATATATGCATACGAAGTAGGCTGATTGACGATTTATTTTTTTCTTCTGAAGTATGTAGAAAACAAAGTGCATGCCAACTTTTTGCTTTCTGACAGTGGATACATGTATGTCTATTGTTAAACAAATAAAGAGCTTTTCACTCGCCGTGTTTATGTTCTGCTTTTCTCGTTCCACGATCATTATTTTAATAAGTTTACAATAAGAAAATATCGAGTCATAGTTACGATACATGATCGTTCCTTTTTTGATCATGGCAATTTTCAATTATTAGATACATACTTGTTTATTTCGACGTTTTGTTGAGTAACGACGAGTCTTCGGTACAGGTGTGTAGAGTGCAGATCTTTTGTTGTTGAATTACGAACTAGACAAGAGATGAGTGAAAATAAACTCTAGGGACATAGAAAGAATGGCGCTTGAGCTGCGTATTTCGAATATGTTCTTGTCACAGTTTCGACATGTGAACGTAGGTCATCGGAATGAAGAGTTTTTTCATTGATTGAGTCTTGTTTTTGTTTTAGACGCCGCCGAGAAAACCGAAATGGAACGCAGTTAGCAAAACACGCAGTCTCAATACTGTTTACAATCCGAAGATTAAACACAATGATTCGGTAGGATAATTTGAGAGAAAGATTTCGATTTTACCGGTTATAATTAGATTCGTCGCGGATGGGATCGAGAATCGCGACGGAAACGTGTGAACAAAGTGAGGCAAAGTTAAATATCTTACCTTAGGATATGAAATATGTTCTCTGTTTAGTTACCACCCTTGAAACGTAAAAAAGAACAGGAAGAATTGCCGCAATTACCATCCAATGATCAATTAGCTATTGATTATAGCTATGATCGTTCTCCGACGACGGTAATTTGCTTTGCTCTAGTTTCTTCTTGTTCTCGAAAATAAACTTATGCTTTCAGCAAGCACACGCAAATCGAAGTGAATATGGAATGGCATCTTCAAGACGATCAAGTAAAGCTTTGGTACCAATCAACCATCGTCAACGCTTTCCGGATCTTGAAGTAAGTTACATCAATAGTTTCATCGTTCATAATTTTATCTTTCATAAAGTTACCAAATGATCTGACACCTCGATCACATCGACCCATTCAACAAGAATGGTACGACGAAGCAACTAAATCTCGTCTCACTCATGTAAACTATCATACTCATATCTTTTTCTCGAAATTTTCAACTTGAATTCTGTGCATAGAGAATGGATGGTGAAGCAAGCACGAATCAATCGTTTCTACACTCCGTCACACCAGTTTATCAATCAAACACACCCCGAGATTTACTACCTTATGTAAATCATTTACTCATAAATTTCTTTTATTTTCTTTTCTCCTTCAGCGTTCAACACCTCGCAACAGTCAAAACAGTGGAGTGAGTGGAACACTACTTGATTCAAGTATTCGAACAAATCGAGCAACGGAAATCCGTCTTTCAAAAGACATGGTATACTATTCCTGAAAATTGATTTCTTACAATTCGATTTTTTTCTCTAGGACGAACACCATCAGCATTGCCATCATGTCAATCAGTCGATGCCACTCGAAATCCGTGGTTTTGAACTCGAAGGCACCCAATGTACCGTTCCAGTTGATGCGACTATTCGTCCATTGTCAAATGTAAATTATCGAACGAGTGAACGAGTGAAAAATCATCGTCTATATCCATGGAGTATGTTACATGGTCCGGGAACATCGAGTAGAAATAGTTCGCTATTACCAATAGCGGAATTTCGACGTCCGTCACTTGATACAACCATAACTGAAACTCAACATTCTTGAAGAATCAACAAAAAAGAAATCACATGGGTATATTTTCTAGTTCTTTATTTGATTTGATTTTTTTCCATTAGTATTCGATTATTTTCTTTGTTTGATTGTACAGATGAGAAAGAATGAAGTCTATTTTTTTTTATAAATCTTTCTAAAACATTTCCAAATACGATTTAAAAAAAGCATCACGATATTCGGCCGTTGTCGCCGTTCAGCATCTAACCAAAAGTTTGGATGTGTAAATCAGCAATCAAACTTTGAACATATTTGCTCAAAATGATCAATCGTTCGTCTTTCAATGGACAGCTCAAGTCAGGTGTTTGTTCTCCTCGGTATTGAACATGAAGAGTTGTACCGAATGAAACACTCTTTACACAAAACACCGGTTTGTACTGAGTAAATGGTAATGTTTGTTGAACCGCTTCGAAGATGGCATTTGTTCGACTAGCCGAAAGTTGGATGCTATTTCGGGTAGTTGTACTACTTGCTGGTGTTGTTGATGATATAACGGGACGAACTCGTGGTGCAACAATCCATGTGACACTTCCGGTGCGTTCTACTGTGATAGTATAACCAGCTGTGTTTGTCGAGCCAGAGTTGACAATACGAATACTGTCTTTGTTGGTAGATGCTGAGACAATTCCGAAGATGATTGCAACGGTGATGAATGATTGTTTAATCATTTTTGAAAAATTGGAGCGATACACTTTCGAAGGAGAGCATCTTTTTATACTAACTGTATGAGAAAATTACGCATCTGAGTTAATAGAGATTGTTACTCCGCATTTGTGCTTTTCTATTGATTATAAAAGTGCAAAGGGTAACGAAAAGCAAAGTCCAATCGATATGATATATAATTAAAAACAAAAAATCACGATTCGTGTTTGTCATCTAGTGACATCTTGTCAATGGTGTTTTATGATTAGTGCATTGTTCGAACGTTATCGATTGATTGTTTATTTCTTTATTTCTCTTCTTGCTTTTACCTTTGGATACGAGTTCTAATAATCTCGCGACCACTTATTAAGTATACATAAGCTTCTCAATAGATATCATTTACTCATGGGTCGTGTTTTTCTTGAACATTTGGGTGGTCAACGCATCTTTTCATGTGCACATTGTGAAACACCATTGACCAATCGTAACGAATTAGTTTCCACCCGATTCACGGGTGCGACAGGTCGTGCATTTCTATTTAGTCGTGTCGTGAATACAAAACAAAGTCCAGTTCAAGAACGAGTAAACTCAATCTGATCTCAATCTTTCTCATACTTGTTTTTGTGCTTTGCATAGATGATGTTAACAGGTCGACATTTTGTTCGCGATATCAGCTGTAAGAAGTGCGACACCAAACTTGGTTGGATGTATGAATTCGCAACTGAAGAATCGCAACGTTACAAAGAGGGACGAGTTATCCTCGAACGTGCCTTAATCAATGAATCTGACGGATTTTAGAAACGATTCTCGTTTGTTTTTGCTTTTTGTATTCTGTTAATAGATGTACAAAGTTTTCTTTAACTTATATGTTCGAAATAATAAAAGGCTCAAATTTGAACGGAATATTTTAGATTAGATTTGGCAAGAAGGCCATGTAATGGTGTACACAAAAGATAAATTAAAGATTAAAATTCTCGAAAATAATCATGAGGTGAGAATACTTTCGTTTTTCTTCTAACATATCTTCTAATCTACTTTGCTTTTTCAAAGGTACTTCCAATATTAATTCATGATTTCGGAGAAAATATAAAACCTGATGAAATTGCACTAGTTCGTTTTGATACCTATGCTGACTTACTCGTTCCCAAGGATGTCAAAGCAGACGAAATCGAAACATTAGACCATATTGTCAACTCAATTCAAAATCAATGTTGGATCCTTCCGGCTGTTTATCGAGGTTATCTGAAGAAGATCTTTTGGTTTAAACCACCATGGGCTCATCAATTTCAAGATGGATTCTATCAATTAAACGTAGGCAAATGTCAACAAACAGGTACCTTAAAGTAAGCTCTTCTACGACGAACTTCATGTAAATGCCGACTTCTTCCATAGAATTGCATCGACTATCCCATATTTTACTTCCAATTGTGTGTATTCATCCATCGACAAACTTTCCAATGTACATTCAGTTGATATTTACGTATCGACAAGTGGTTTAGCAAAGAACTATTCAACAACTATTGAGAAGAGTCGCGCGCCGATCTATGATAACGATAGTGGAAGTGAAAGTTTAGATAGTGATAATCGCAAGAAAGCGAAATTAGCCAATAATGACAGCAACCATAAAGATTCTCAATCGTCAACGAAACGAGTGCGTTCACTTGATGCTACACTAATGAATGAATTGTTAGAAAACAAACAATTTCTCATTGATATTGACCTCTCGTTCTTTTCCACCGACGATCCAGTACGTAAACAATTTGACGAAAACGAATATGAGATTCTCCGTTACGTTTACACACGAATTGTACAAGAACAAACAGATGCAGAAATCGTACAGTATATTACAGCACGTGAAAATGCTCTCGAACAAATACGTACATTAATGGACGAATATTTAACTGATCCAAAACTTGACCAAGCAATCACTATTGAGTAAGTGTTTGTCTGTTCTTAATCTTTGATATTCATTGACTTGGTTTTGTTTAGTAATATCTACCTCTCAGCACTGATTTCTGTAATTCGAATGAAGAAACTTGACTGGAAAGTAGTTCATAATTATGCAATGCATCTGGCAGATACAAGACCACCATTGCATGTCTCTTCAGAAGGAATGATAATTTATTTGACTGAGGCGATGACAAAAGTGTTGGAATCGATCAAGAAAACGCCGAGTTTGATTACCATTTCAAGGTAAATCATTACTGAAAGGAAAACAGAATGTTAATGAATTTATTTAGATGTGTTGATGACGGGTTTTGTTCGGAAGAGCAAGCTGATTTGATTCAATTGCATGTGGAGAAAAAACTCCGAAGTATTTATAAAATTGATGAAGTTCTCGGTAAAAGTTCATCTAACTCTCTACCGAATGAAGACGTTAATGAAGGAGAAGATAATTCAGGTCAGAAACATTCGGTTGTTCATCAGGATTCTCCCGCAAACAATGACACGTCAGAGAATCAAGCAGTGTCAATGGATCTATCAATGACGAGCAAGACTGCAGGTTCGAAATCTGAAACGAATGTTGATACATCATCGGCATTGAATTTATCGAATCAAATCTCATCTGCATCACCACGTTCGAATTTGTCACCAGGTGAAATCAAGCCAGTCTCACCATCGTCACTCTCCGAAGAGTCTCCTATATCAAATTAACTGTTTTCGTCATTGCTGGTTATTAAAAGCAAAACATTCTGTGACTTGTGTTTTTTTAAATTCCAAATGATCATTAAAAATGAAAAGGAAGAGAACATTTCAAGCTTTGTTATTTGTGTGTGTCTTGTATTTTTCTTTCGCAGTTTATTCTCTTGAGTATGAATGATACAACTCATTCATCATTTTTGGTTTGTAAATATATTCAATTGAGCTACTTTCTTTCTATTCTAGATTCGTTGTTGACGTTTCGCGGACAGATGATCAATCTTTCAGCTAATAACGAAGTAGGTAAAAGAGTGGAAGGTATGCATTGATGATGAGAGAAGATTCATCTAGCGGGTCTTTTTTTTATTGGAATTTTGTAGTCATTACGTTCGGTGAAATCGAACGAACAACGTTTGAAATCACTTGAAGAATATGAGCGAGAAAAGCAGAAGAAGAAACGTTTGATCAAAGAATCATTAACTCAACAGCAAAACAAAACACATTTTAAATTCGATTCGGATGATGATGATGCAGCTCAGCCACAACCGAAGAAATTTGTTGAGAAAAAAATACAATTATTTGATGATAATGATCCACCCAACATCGAAGAACATTTTGCTAAGAAGAAAATTCCGAAGAAAAGAAAGAAATTGCAAGATCTTCAAGCACGTTTGACCACAACAAATGATCCTCGTTTTCAATTTTCGGAAAAATTTCTCGATGACAAAGACCGCACAGCTAACGATGATGACGACGACGGCGAAGACGAAACTGCTGATCCAAATAAAGAGATTTCATTTGAAGAAGAAAGGAAAAAGTCGCTCGCAATTCTTGATCAAATAGCCGGTACGAAAAAGCCGGTCGTAAAACCCACAAGTAAAATGATTCGGTTTGATCCAAGTAAAACCGAACATCGAATTTATGAACTCGAGTCTCAAAGTAAACTCGATGACAACCAGTTCGATTCATGGGAAGATGATCAATCCAAATCAAAAGCAAAGCAAATAACACCTGCTGTGTAGGATGATTTGATGTTCGAGTATTCTCGCAACGGTTTGGCTTTGTTCTAGTGATTCATCAAGAGTTTATAATTTTGATCAAACAAAACTAAAATCAATGTTTGATAAAACATTGAATCCAACGAGTACCTCGAATGGTAACAGTTCATTTCAATTTCAATTTTTCGTCAATAAAGAACCAGTGAATTTACCTACGCCAAGTGCGTTTCATCGTCTGTTATTATTTCCATATATATATATCAACATTCTTTCTTTAGAAGCACCCACAACGTTAACTAAACCGATATCTAATGGAAAAGCAAAAGCGTTTTTGAGTAAACCTGATGATACATCAAGCGATGAAGATAATCATGAGAAAGAATCATCAGCCGAAGAGTAAGATTTAGATTTAGATTTAGTAAGAATAATTTCACTTTGCTTATTATTCATGCAGAACTCAAACGAAAGATGAAGTCGTCAATAATACATTTTTCTTCTTCGACATCGATAGTCGATTGAAAGGTACGTAATGTGACGCTTGATGAAGACTTATGTGGATGATTCGGGTTTAGATGGATTGGAGAGTTTCGTGCGTACAGAAGATTTAAATGAATTGGAACGATCATGGCCAACCAAACGAAAAGAAATCGCTGAAGTAAATTACCCTCTTTGTCTATGAAACACCAGTTATCACGAAGTTAAATTCATTTAGGCACTTCGAACGAAACATCGCAAAGCGATTCAACGTAAGGACAAACACCGAGTGTTCAACCATCGTCATCGACATCGACAGCAAGCAGCGCCTAAATCTGAAGTTGATTGAAATTTTTTTGTGTCTTTGTTTTCTGTTTTGTATTGTTATTTCGAAAGAAGGAAATCAACAGTTATTTGTTATTTGCAAGTGAAAATCTCTTCCACAAACTTTCTCTTGCTTTTCGTTTTAGAATTCATGTTCATTCCGTCCGATACCGGTGCATCGTCAAGTTCTGCTACTCGCCGAACAGGTCCCTCTCGATCACCAACCAAATGGGATTATGTTAAAACATTCTATTATGATCCAGCGAAATGGTAATTTGAACGACATGTTCGAGATGATTCTTTTATCGAATCACATTTGTTTTTCTAGGGATCTTATTAAAAGTATCGGCTGTTTTGCTGTTGCCATCTACATGATTCGAGATTTAGCATCAAATGATCTACTTCCGATGGAGTAGATTGCTTATTGTTTTCTTTTTTCATTTTTTGTTAGAAATAAAAAAAGCAACAAACAACGAATTTAATTAGAATGTTGCACATTATTACATAGGTTTGAAAACTTGATAAAAATTCACAACTTTTACTAACTGATTGGATTTGAACGATCGGTTGGAATAATGCCCGAAAAATTTCCATACGATAGTGGACAGCCGTCTCCTGTTGGTCCACCTGTTCCCCACCATTTAGAAAATTGAATACCTCTGTTTTGAAATAGGAAAAAGATGGCCATTACACCAAATGCGACGCCGCAATCCATTGCTGCTGAAAAAACATACGCGTATCGCTTCCACCATGATCGTGCACATCGAATTAGAACGAAGTTGAAAAGAAAACCAACCATAAGCCATGAAGGAAAATTTCCGGGTGGAGCTGGTGGCATAACAGCCGTAGCTGATAACATAATAGGAAAATGTATATATTTAAGCCATTTGATATTAGGATATTTCTTCATCAAAAGCCAAGCTGGTATTGGAAGAAGTCCACCAACAACAAAACCCAAGAGCAGTGGCCAATAGATAGATCCTGGACCAAACATTTTGGCAGGTCCTAGTATGAACGATAATATTGAATAGATATTATCGATTGGTCTACATACCAATTGCTCCCCATATGATTGATGCACTGTAGAATACATTAGCATTTGGACACGTCCAAATAGTATTTTTTAATGTACAAATATTTGGTATAGTATCCATTAGATACATAGCGGTTGTATAATTAACAATTCCAGCTACAATTGTACCTGTTAATTGAGTGACAAACATTGCTCGTGGCGGAATCTGAATGTTGACACGAATGATTCAGTAATGAATTATTTTTTCTCGCATACCTTCATGTAATGACCTAGTTTGAGATCAGAAATTAGAAGCAGAGCTTGATACTGTGTGATATATCCATAAGTTTTGAATGTTACGTTTGCCATGGGCTTGCCCGGCATGATGAACCCAGCAACAAATTCAGTGATAACATTCAATCCTGAAGGAGTCCTCAGTTTATGAGTGAACAATAAGTAAGCTACATCACGTACCAATTGATTGATTCGTAACTGCTTGAACAATTCCAGTCGGTAACACGAACACAAATGCAATTGCAACAGCAGCTAGATATACACATCAAAAGCGATTAGAAAAAAGGCAGTTCCCAATTAAATCTCGCGTGTTCTTCAACTTACTGAACATATGATACCATGGCATTAACGCAGCAGAATCACAAACGATGATAGCCAGTACAAATGCAACAACGAACAAAACCGTATACCTGATTGAGTGCGTATAGAAACCTACTATCCGTAACGAAAAGTTCATCTACATACCACCATTCTGGTGCTTCTTCATAACGCGACATCATTTTGGCATGGATATCATTCGTATGGTCTTTTAAAGATGATCGAAATTGTTTCACAATGGTCTTACCTTCGAATCAAAACGAAATAAGAAATTGTGTCCTATTCCATCGACTTACCGTGATATAGAACCGTATGAACGATAACGGCCATAATTGCAGCAAATGATACAGCATATGAAAATGCGAACATCACCGGTATTCGAAGATCACCTACAAAAGATTTTCGAATATATAAACTAGAACACATTACGAACAAATGGTCAACCATATGTTTTATAAGCAGTTTCGTTTAGATTTAAATTTGAATCGAGTACAGCCGACACATTATAATAATAGCCTTCATTGGTAAAAACTCGATTACTGACGATTGGCATTGCTTTGGAATTCCAAAGATTAGTATAATATGCCAAAGGTGTTATAAACCATGCTAATACAACAAAACCTATCAGGATATTAACTTGAGCCCTATATGCATACATGACGATAATCATGGGAACAGTTTTGTATAAAAACTACTCATACCAGAAAGGAACAATAATTGGCGAACCTAAAAATGATACCCATGCATTCCAATCTAATTCCAATGAGCCAATACCAAGACCGTTGATACCCGTAAGTTGTGAAATAATAATACTGTCTGGTTTTAACATACAGATCCAAGAGAACAGAGATAAAACAGGGAAGATATAGCCAGGAAACCAATACCATAAAAATTGACATGTAGTAGCGAGGTAGAAAAATTTTAGACGAGACATTTTCCACCGTGATCCTTCAGTAGGATCTTCCTTATTATCTTCATGTAAAGTTCGAAAAACTGCGCAGTTGACAAGATTTGCTGGCCAAATCATCGCAGCTGGCCAGACGAGAAATTTCCTCATAATGCCAGCTATTCCATAACCTAAAGTTTGAGATGTAATCACGAAAATAATGCCAAGTATGGGACGGATTGTTCGTTTGTAGAATAACCGTTCGATTGTTAAGACGTCAATTGCAGTAGCTGTACTCTATTTTACAAAGAGAAAAAGGCATGTATTGATTTTTCGTCGAATTCGCAAGCAAAATCTTACACATGTAGCATTTGCCATAGCCGTAATGATGCAATGCTCTTTGATTGTAAATGGTCCGGGATTGAACGAGAATTCCCAATGGTAGATTTTAAATTTTCGTTTTGGAAGATATTTTGCCATTGCTTTTGCTAAGGGAAACGCTAATAATTGAGCAACGAGTGTACCGACAAATAGCGGAGAAGTTCGGTACCAGAAAAATTGATTAACAAACGAAAGTATACACGTGAATAGAAGACCGAGAAACCATGATCGAAACGTCAGAACCAAAGTCGTCGGGTCGTCTGTATTGGAAACAGTAGAAGATACTTCTTCGTCGGACGCATCTTCATCATCGTGATCGGCAAAGGGTTTAGTCGAAGCGAACGAATCTTTTCGGTAGATATCATCCTCAGTGGGAGTAGAGGTGCTAAAAGTAACATGCAAATTAGCAATGTCATTATCTATCGGTTGAATCGACTCTAACTCGATTTCGGTAAGATTCGTCTCGTTATGTGAAAAAGTTGGATTATCTTCGCCACGATCAACATCAGTTGGCAAGTTTTTGTCATGATCGGGACTAGTCTGATGATCAGGTGGAGCGAAACGAGAACGATTAGTTGACATAGTGAATTTTAATCGATCATGGTTGCCTGAAATACAGTGTAAAATATATTAATTAGGCTATTAACACGATTTGACTTTTAAGCATAGGTAAAAAGAACATAACGACCTCAACATTTACAAAAAATGTCGAGCTACCGAACGAATATGATCTGTGCCACCACTATACGTTTCTTTATCGCCTAAATCATACATAGTTAGTATAGATACACTATTTTCTCAACGAAGAAAGTCATTCATCCGTAAACAAACACAGTGATCACGGTCTATTTTAATATATCTGACTGAGAAAAAGATACAGCGACAAAAACCTAGTTATCCTTTGTTTGAAGTTCTCTGCTATGCAATAAATAGAAACAGCTCAACACGATCAACTTCTAGCATGCTGAACATTTGAAAGACGCTGAAATGACATGGCTCGGTCACATGTGCACGCTGGTATGTCGAAGAATGAAGAAAAGAAGAATAAACACAGTGGAAGAAAAAAAAAGCGAACGAACGAGCATCGAACAGTGAGCGTAACACGCCGATGTAAATGTGTCGCCGAGAATTACAAGCGGCTGCAAAAAAGGAAAAGAGAAAAAAGAATTCAGTAGTTTTTCATGAGATCAACAGTGTCATGATATACTCTCTAGCTCGACTTTCTTTTATGAGGGAGATAAATCATTTTACTAATAAACAAATTTATCAACGTAAATTCACTCATGCATATTTATGAGAGAAAGAAATCAATACTTCATATTTGAAATACTTTACAAATTGAAGTTGTTTGATACACGGGCCGTTGTCTTCGCCATTCAATTGTCTAAAGTTGAAACATTTGCAAATTGTGTCATAATCATCACGAAAATAACACACTCTATAAATGCGCATGTGAATGATACGCTTGGCTAGTTTTCATACCGCTGCAGCAAAATAATTTTTTCCGAATCATCAATACAGTTCTGGTTCTGCTCGATACGAATTCTTTTTTGTAAAAGCAATCGTTTTTTTTTCTTCCGAATAAATGACACTACAGGTAGCTTTAGAATGAAATTAGCATGTATATAACTCAGTTCATTTATTCTCGATCATAAATCCTTTATAATCGATATTATTTGGTCTATATGAAACCTCGTGTATATATTCAATAAGGTTTATACCGCGCAAAACGTATTGACATGCATCGAGGTAAATAAGTAGCCTGGAATATTTGTTGATTATCAATAAGAAAAGTTTCTGCATAGAGACAATGGCAACATGTGAATGAAAAGAATGTTATTTGTATGATTTCCAGTACTTGAATTGAATTTTAATGAAGAGTAAAATGCCAGAATATCCGCAAATCGATTTTCACTGCTATGCCTATCCTGATTAAACGAAATCAAAGACAAACTGTTGATAAACATTTGTACATCCGTTAATTACTTCTCAAATTTCGAATGACGTATAAATAAAAGTTGTTGCTTCTTGCAAAAAAGTTTTTTCTTCTTCTAATGATTCGCCGGTCAATATAAGGATGCACTACTTTATTTGATTTCGAGAAAAATACAGAAAAATTCTGCTTCTGTTATTATTTTTCTTTCACATTCCGGATTATGCACGCAAATCGAACATACTTCTTCATGCTATTTTTTCGTCCTTGTTGGTAATTTTAACAACATAACAATCGTCTTTAAATAAGCATCTCTGTAGAACACTTACCTCAAATGCTCACTTCATCAACACCCTCCGCGTGCCCAGCGTGCTTGACATCTGTGGGATCGGCAGACGATATCAATTTCTTTCGAAAAGTTAGTCCGACTGTGTTCTTGTACATCGAAAACATCTCTCCATCGTTTGAGTTAGATTTGGCATAAGAAATGTTTTCGGTGTAAGACGTGCGAGAAGCAATTGGGCACTGATAATGCAACAATGCGTTATAACGATGACCAAACATTATATTGTGTACGGTGAGTGCGATACGAAAGATTTTTCTGTCAGTGAGAAGTCAGATGTCGGTTGCAGACATTTAGTTGATGGTACTACATCGACGGAGAAGATTAATTCGAAATTGATATCATCGTATGAGAAATTTAAACGTCCATTGGATTACAATCATCCTGAACGTTGGAGTATAGATGATGTTGTGCAATGGTTAAAAGAGGTTTCCTTAAATGAATGCATCGAAGAATTTCAAAGTAAGATTTTTTTTGTTCACGGATAAAATTGGAATTTGTGATTGAATCTTTATAGAGAATGAAATCGATGGTTCAGTTCTAGCTGACGAAGCAGATGGTCTTAACGAGAACATGATCAAACAATTAATCTCTCCCATTGGTACTCAATTGAAATTCCGTAAAGCATTACGCATCTTACGAAAGTATGTGAGACACTCTCATACAAGTTCATTTAGATATTATTTTTCTTTTGTCGGATCTTAATCAGTAATACAAAAGTCTGTCAGAAAACAAATATTGATCCGAAAGAAACGCAAGAGAAATCTGATGGATCACTTCAACTTCTTCATACTATTCAACAACAAACAGAACAAATCAAATCACTTGTTACAACAATTAATACTCAGGTAAATTCTTTCGTTCTACACTCATCTATTTTCAATTCACTAAACAAACACAAAATGACACTTTTAGACAAGACAAGTTGAAGATTTTCTTACACAAATAGTAAAAAACCAGAAATCTCCGCCGGTGAATTCTTTCAATCAACTATCTTCAACAGTTCAAAACCAGCTATTAGATCTACCGAATAACATATCACGAATCTCTTTAGCGCCACCCGGTTCATCAGCTTCTGCAATACCAGCAATCGATTCATTAGCGCCATCACTTCTTTCATTACCCGGCGCTAAGAATAATTTTTCGCGTGTAACTGCTGTTGCAACATCAACAGACGGCCCGAAAGGTTCAAATAGCGTTCTATTTCCCGCTGTTGTTCATCCAACCCTCGATGGAGTGGCAATCAAACCAGTCATTGATGACAAATATAATTTCGAGAATTACGGAAGATATTCGGTAACGATTTATGATCAACAGTCAGATAATGTTCTAGTTGAAACATTAGTTAATGTTGTACCAGAACAGGAAATCTGCATGCCGAAAAAATTTGTCCTTCGAGATTCTGTGAATAACATTTTGGTCGGTGCAACTGTGCAAATCAAGCTGCAAGGTCAAATTGTTTTCACTGGTAAAACAGATGCAACAGGAACGGTGGAAATTCCTTCAACACTGCCGAAAAACTGCTACGATGTTGAAATCAATAGTGGCAGTTCCCAACATAAAGCATCGGTTTTTCGAATGATTGTCTATGAAAATCGTGGTGCAGACGTTAGTACTCAATTCATTTGCCGACAGTTACAAAGTGATCAGCTAGAAATTGTTCTTAAATGGGGACTACTACCGCGTGATCTGGATTCCCATGTGTTCGTATCCGATGGTCGACATGTTTATTTTCGAGCGAAATATCAAGGAAATGTTTCACTGGATTGTGATGTTACCAATGGCAATGGACCTGAAACGATTAAAATTAGTTTACAGCCGAATTTGAAATATCTCTATGTTGTTCATCGATATTCTCGCGAAGGTCTCCTGACTAAATCCGGTGCAACGGTAACTTTTAACAATGGTGAATTAGGTAATTCAACATCGCCATATCAAATCGTTCAGATTCCAGTGGTGAATCAGCCTGATGCGAATTTTTGGATTGTTTGCGAAATCGATGGTACAACGAAAAAGATTCAAATGTTCGAAAACACTTTCGAAACACACAATTATTACAATACAGATGACATTGCGAGAAAATATTTTAAACAATAAACGAAACCTTTTAACTTTTTCTTCACATTTTGTACAATATAAGTTTGTAGTTTTCATATGTCAATAAAAGTGAAGAGAGAATTTGTTGGAAGTTAACTGACATCTATATGGAATGTGGAAGTGATCAGTTGCTATGTACTGCCTAGAGCTATAACGATGTTAATGGCATACAGGTAGCAATAGAGAAAGAAAGAGTAAATTGTCAAGTGTATCAGGTAGTTATTGAAGAACAAATATGCCGACGAGAGGTGGTCTGGAAAAGAAATCGGTAGAGATCTTCATTTATAAGAAGAAAACTCCAAGAGAAAGTGATTTTTTTCTATAGACTCAAGCGGTTGTGAATGGATCAGTTCCAGCTCCACGACGTACTAGTCAATTACCTCGAAATTCGATCATGGGAAATTTTCGGGTATGATAAAAGATATGGAGAAGTTACAAAATATCTCAATACAAAATTGGACTTATTCTAGGATGATGAACAAGATTTCGGCAACATGCCTGAACTTTCAGATGAAGTACAGTTTTCCTTATGTTTTGTTTGCTTCATAACTTTTGATGAGATAATTTCTACTAGGCTCTTCGACCTATTCGTCCTGACGATCAATTGAAATTAACCGAAGCGGTATTAGATACGTTCTCGTTTAGTTTCCAGTAAGAAATATCCAAGTTTTTCTAGGAATTAAATGAGGAACACACACGAATTCTAACAACACGTAATCCTCAAGCAGCAGAAAACATTGTTCGTTATAGCTATAAGGTGTGTAGCCGTTAAAGGCATAACAAAGAGAAATAAAATGCTATGAAATTTAGGATCGAATGTATAAACCTATTCCACATATTGATCAATTGGCGATTCATTTTCAACTTGATGGTAATCTGATTCTACGTGATTCTGATGAAGGCCGACGACAGATTGCACGAGATGGAGGAGGTAAATAACAAAAATTTATCTTTTCACTTGAGCAAAATCTTTTCTTCTGTAGAATACTCAATCGATGATGACGAAGAAGAAGAGGAAGACATTCAAACAACAATAGCAGCAACTGAAATTGATGAAGTATGCTATTGTTCGATTCACTACGGACTTATCTGTCAAGTTGGCTGTTTCATAGGACGCAGCTGCCAAGGAAGGTGACGAAGACGAAGAGGAAAAATCTCAGAAACCGAGTGCAGTTGTATCGAAAACGAAAAAGTTAACCAATCAATTCAATTTCAGCGAACGCGCTTCTCAAACATACAACAATCCATGTCGAGTAATGCTACTAATCTTCAAATAATAGCATTCCGGTCAGTCCTTTCTCGTTAGGATCGTGAAACATTTGTCGAGCAAACGCCACGTGCTGTCTTTTCGGATAATGTATCCCAATGGGCAATTTTCGATGCTTACAATGAAGATTATGACTTACAAGTGATTGCATTTGTCTGAATAAACGATTGACTGATAATTTCGTTTTAGCAAAAAGTCAAAGAAAAAGAGCAGAAGAAAATATTGGCGAAAAAAGATGAAGAAAAAAAGAAGAAATTTGTCGCTGTTGACTTATCTGTATGAAACGAATGTATACGAATGAGATGGAATGGGATTGTTTTGACTATCGTAGGGAGATGACATGGCAAAATATGCTCGCTCAAAAGCAGCAAGTGTGTCGTTAAAAATCATCGAGCGAATGATCAATCAAAACACATTCGATGAAATAGCCCAAGGTATGTTCTTTTCAATTTCAAGATAAAAGCAAACGCCTTATTGATCTTAGATTTCAAATACTGGGAAGATGCAGCTGATGAATATCGTGAGCAAGAAGGTAGTTTACTACCATTATGGAATTTTCAATACGAGTTAACGAAAAAGTTGTCCTGTACACATTTGACATGGAATTCGCAATATTCCGATATGTTCGCTGTTGCTTTCGGATCGTGTACGATTGAAAATACATTCAATTAGCTTGAGAAGTCCATGTATTCTTTTCAGATGATTTTCTTAAACAAGCTCACGGAATTATTTTAATCTTTTCATTGAAAAATCCCAGTTTTCCGGAGTATATTTATCAAACCGAAAGCGGTGTTATGTGCTTAGATTTCCATCATACACATTCGAATTTACTCTGTTGTGGTAAACAGATAATTGATCTAGACAAGATTTTGTTTACAACAAAGAGACGATTTGTTTAGGTTTCTATGATGGTTCAGTAGCGGTGTATAACGTGGCAGATGACACTAAACGACCAAAATACCAGAGTTCTGCTCGAAATGGTAAACATACAGATCCAGTCTGGCAAGTTCGATGGCAGAAAGATGATCTCGATGCAAATTTTAATTTCTATTCCGTCTCATCAGATGGACGTGTAGTTTGCTGGACGATAGTGAAGGTAAACTCACTCGAACGTACATCTGAAGTACAAGATTTTGTGATTGAATTTAGAGTGATTTAATGTATCATGATATTGTGCAATTGAAATTAGAGCAAGCAGTGGAAGAGCCAGAAGAAGCTGTGCCATTGACTACACTTGGTAATCGGTTTGCCAACTATACAATGTTGCGGTTTTGATGAATTTCGCGTTTTTCCTTGTCATAGGTTGTGGCACATGTTTTGACTTTAATAAACAACAGGATTATCTGTTTATTGTTGGAACAGAAGAAGGAAAGATTCACAAATGTTCAAAATCGTACAATAATCAATTTTTGGATACGTTCGACGCTCATCATATGGCCGTTTATGCTGTACGCTGGAATTGTTTCCATCCGAAGATCTTCATTAGTTGTTCGGCAGATTGGACTGTCAAAATCTGGGATATCAATTACAAGTAATATTTGTCTACACTATTTTTCTACATCGATCATTTATATTCATAGGGTCCCATTGTTCGTATACGATTTGGGCAGTGCTGTTGGTGATGTTGCATGGGCACCTTATTCATCCACAGTATTTGCTGCATGTACTGCTGATGGGAAAATCTTTGTTTTTGATTTAAATGTCAATAAGTACGAAGCATTAACTGAACAAATTGTTGTTCAAAAGAAACGAACAAAATTAACGCATATCGCATTCAATCAGAAACATCCTGTTCTACTGGCCGGTGATGATCGAGGCAATGTCACATCATTAAAACTTTCGCCGAACTTACGCAAAAAGCCTAAAGTGAAGAAGGGTCAAGATGTCAACGAAGGTCCAGAAGCAGAAAGTGTGAAATTAGATAAAATTCTCGCATTGATTCGTGATCCGGATGATACGAAAAGCAAAGCAGTACCACCTCAGCAGCAAATTGGTACAACACCATTATCAGCGACAAGTTAAACACAAACTTTCCCTATCTTATTTCTTATTCTTTATTCACCGCAATAATCTTTTTCTTTGGCGCGCTTTGTATTTATTCGTCTGCACTCTTTTACTCGTTCGCTTTAAAGATCTATCTAATCACAGTGTAATATTCTTTATATGTTTCACTTCTAAATAAAAATGTCTCAAGCAATCAACGATGTAAGTTTTCTCTTCCGTGGACACACTCGTTCAACTATCGATGACACTTCGAATTTTCTACCTAGGAGATAGTAAGTGCCATATACACGTGTGTTGTGAGATCTGTGATCGAATCACTTAGATTACCTCGGATCACAAACCAACGATGAAGTCGATGAATGACGAACGAAATCACAATAAACCTAGTGTTTGTTCGAAACTGAAAGTTGCAAAATAGGACAACGCTCATCGTTTTAGTGGACAAATCTACTTGCATCTACGCAATCTATGGACCCTGATGAGGAGATTACACGAGTCCTAACAACAGAAAACTTCCATGGACCAAAAAATTTAGTTATGTTCAGTTATCGTGTAGGTATGGTGAATTTCACTGAATTAATCGTTATAAGCAGCAATGGATTCCTTTCACAGGACAAACAATTCGTCCCGATAGCGAATACTGAACATTTGATCATTCATTATGCATACGATGGCAATCTGATTCCAATTGATTCTGATGAAGCGAAACTTTACTTACAAAAAGAATATCATCGTTTGTACCGAATGCAAACATCCTGTCAGAAACTATAGAGTGGTGCATTGTTTGCAGATGATGCACCCACTCTTCCAACAACATTACTGAAGATGAATAAAAATGAAGAATCGGTTAAGATCGAGAGCAGAGTGTCAGATGAAAATGTCGAATGTAAATAAATTGATGACATGTGATTATAATTACTACAGTTTTTAGCAGCACAGCAGACAATTGATGATGATGAACAGCATACAATTTCAAGTGATCTAACCGAACAGAGCGAAGCTGCAGATGATCTAGCAGTGCCTATCTATTTGAATAGTCATGCAGCAATCGAAATTTGATGTTTAGACACCAAGTAGTCAAGTGGAAACTTCGAATCAAACGAACAAACGAAAGAAGATCTTGAATCGTTTCAATTATTGTGAACAAGGCATTCAAACATATTCTTCACCTAGCAAAGTTTGATTGGTTCTACTTAGTCTAGCAAAACATATCATAATTCCAGGATGTTATGACATTGACTGATCCGATACCGAATAAGAAATTTGTTGGATTAGCGAACCAACGAATAATCTACCAAGAATATACGATTGATTATACCGAACAAGTATCTAAACTCTACTCTTTAGACAGAAGAATACTACCAGAATATTTTCAGGAAAAAGATAAAGACAAAAGGAAACAGAAACCAAACTATGGGCTAAGTAAAGACATACTGGACAGGAAAATAATGAAAACGAATCGCCTCAAGCCAGAAGTACGAAAAAAGACTTTGTTCACTGACTTACATAAGTCACATTTTCCATAGACTATTGTCAAGCGCCGTCAAGTGCAAGTTCTAAAATCCATCGAACGTATTTTGAATCAAAATCGATATCATGAAATGATTTATAGTAATCTTTAAACTCTTTGATATAAAACATAGGACTAACATTTTCATCTTTGTAGATTTCAAATATTTCGAAGATCAAACGGATGAAATACGTGATCCGATGGGCACATTATTTCCTTTATGGAAGTTTGCATCGACAATCCCTAACCGATCAGTCACAGCATTAGCATGGAACCCAACTTATTCAGATATGTTAATCATTGGATATGGACTCTGTAAGATCTTCTCTGTTTGACGTCAAACACTTGACATCTACTTCTCATTCACTCTGAAGATGATCGAGCTGAACGTGTTCAAGGTACAATAGCGATTTTTACGTTGAACAACAATCACCCAGATACGTTGATTCATACGGAGAGTACTGTTCTGTCTATTGATTGTTTACCCTCTCGATCGTAAGATATGATGATTGAATTCGAAATTAGACTCGGTCTTTGCAAATTTTCTATTAGATATCTTATTTGTGTTGGATTAATGGATGGTGATGTGATTGTTTATGATATATCAATCTCATCTGGTAAAGCTGTGTTTATCAATTCATCATATACATGTAAACATCTCGGATGTGTATGGCAAGTATGCAAATTTAATAATCAAGAATTCTTTCGTCGCAGTGATGTAACATATAGGTTCAATGGTGTACATCACCCGATGATCATTATCCTCGATTTTGTTCGGTGGGAAGTGATGGTAAAGTGATTCGATGGACATGTATTAAGGGAGAATTGAGACAAGTGATTCTATTGACTTTACCAAGTGCAACAAAATCAACGCGACTGGATGATGGTACCCTTTTGACTTTGCCAGGTTTTAGTGTTTGAATTTGAACTTCAAAGATTTGAAAGTATTGAGCAGGTCCTGCCCTTGCATTCGATTTCCAGCGGCATCATAAAGAGACATTTCTTGTTGGAACCGAAGATGGCAAGATTTATAAAGCGTCTATGAATGATCCGGGAATAATTGATATGACATTTGACGCTCATGATTTTGCTGTTTATTCAGTACGATGGAGGTAATGTAATGTTTCATATCCGATTGAATCTATTCTTTTGTTTATAATAGTCCTTTTCATCCGAATACTTTTGCTTCGTGTTCTGCTGATGGAACAGTCAAATTATGGCATGAACAATTATCGTTCGTTTCATTTTCTCTCGTTGACAAATAAGTCAAAATCGTGCTCTTCTGTTGCAGCGAATGTTTGATGAAATTCGATTTGTGCACAAGCTTACAAGACGTTGTTTGGTCGCCGTATACATCGACATTATTTGCTGTAGCTGGTGCAGATGGCAAAGTTTACATATTCGATATTCATTCCAATAAACTCGAACCTATTTGCGAACAACTGTTAGCAAACGAATCGGGAAAATCATGCACAAAATTGGCTTTCAATCCTATTCATCCGATTCTATTAGTTGGAGACGAAACGTAGGTTTTTCTCTTTCAATAGAAATCTCATTTTATCAAAGATGTGTAGTGGTTGGACGAATTGCTTGAAACTGTCACCTAATCTTCGCAAGAAAGCTAAGGTATGTGGAAACTCGTATTCTTTCGTTTATGCTCACTGTTTTTCTTTAAAGGTGCGAAAAGGTATCGAATATCCTGCAAATTATGACCCTGAATTGGATAAACTCGCTCAAGAATTAGCTCGCACGACTGCTGGTGATTTGATGCAAGATAGTCTCTATGTTCAAAGTAATAGCAATGAAGATTGATTATGTTTATTCAAGTTCGAATTCTTCAATGTCATTAACAAGTCGAGCAAGTGTCCCGAGTATCAAATAAAATCGTTCCAGTGTATCCGAAATTAAACTTCCCAGATAGAGTGTACTTTTCAAAGTTGGCATTTGAGAAATAAACTCAAGAAAGATATCGAAATTTTCTTGAATCTGTTTGAACAATTGTCGAAGAGTGTTCAAAGGAGAATTCGTTAACATATTCTCTTCGATAATCGATGAAATAGTTTGTTGAGTCGACTTCAATTGCGGAGCAAGATATTCTTCATATCGGTTAAGAATACTCTTCTGGATTCGAATGGATACATCCCCTCGGTTTTGTCTCAACGCTTGCAACCGATAAAGTGCTTGTTGAAGTAGAAAACAAGTCGAATGTAGTTGCTTTTGTATCAATCGAAGTTCATTACATAAATCATGTGAAAAAGCACAGTGATCATTTGTTTTCTTTTCGAAAAGATTAAGACTATCATTGGCAAGAACACGTTGCAATCGATAGGCATGTAGAATCGTTTTCGTTAGACGAAGAAGTTGATCTGTTTGACGAAAAGATAATTTCAAAATTGAGTCCATTCAAGACAAAGAAAAAAAACGCGATTCTATTATTCAATAAGGCGCATTCATTCTACCATTGTAAAAAGGAAAACTCCAACTGAGAATGAGTTAATGTCTTTATTATATCATCAAACCTTTTAACGAAAAAGATTGACTGAGTATATATAATCAATTGTTGGACATTTTCTTCTGTCTTATTTACATCTCGATATACGGCGTCGATAGGTCTTACGCTGAAATTTAATAACGACAATCTTGTTGAGAGAAAGAGAGAGAGAAAGGAAATGTTATAGACTGTTAAAGTCAAACGAAAGAGAGAGAGAGAAAGAAAGAAAGAAATCCGTTCTTACTTGAAGTGATTAGATTCTCTTGTATGAAGATATTTTATCCATCTTTGAGTAAGTGTCCATCTACCTTTCCATATGTAAACATCAAACTTCTCTTCGCTGAACGACTCATGACCTTTTCTTTTCTTTATCCTCGTTTTTTTGTCCTTTTAAAAGTTTTTTTTTGTCTACAACGAAATGTGTCGTCTGGTCAATCAACGATCGCCATGTAGTAGCAGCAGCTGCTCCTTTTTTCCCATTTAGTTTGACATGGTAATTATTATTCTATTGAACACTCACTGTTCACAGCTCTTTTTTTCAATTCTTTCTGTCTGTCTCTCTCTCTCTCGTTTTTCTTTTCTCTTGTCGTTCATACACGTGTACATTTTCTGATCTATGCCAGTCAGCTATAGGTTAAAAACACTTCATTTTCTTCTTATGAGTGAAAGAATAAATGAGTACAGTAGTAACGTTGATTATAGTCGTTGATGATTTATTCATTTTTTCCTTTGCTCGTAGATTTAATTTCTTTTTTTCTGCTACCGTAGTAATTGGTGTTCTAAGTATTATTGGACATACGATTAAGCGAGAAAATGACCTTGACGATTTCAATGAAAGTAGAGAATAATTGTTCTTAGCAAGTTTCAAAGTTTTTATTAATTCTTTAATAATACACACAGAACACTTAGTAGCGCACAGGAAAGGAAATAAACCTTGTCTTCTCTCATTTGATCGATTGAATTTTTTTCTTTTCTCAGTTTCTAGCACATAGTTATCAACATGTACACCGACGTGCTTAGTCTACGCTCCCAATTCGACATCGTTTTAAATTTTAGTTAATATAGTTGTAGTCAGATTGTATATCTCTTTCTTGTCTATGTCAATCATTATGATCATTTCTTTGTTCTTTGATGCACATTAGTAGATGATCTCATGTTTAATATCAATGTCTTCTTTCGAGTGAATAGATAGATAGTTGGAATGAGGAAAAATGACCTTTAAATTTTCCCTTGACCAAAGAATGCAAACGAGAAATAGTTAGTGTAGAAAGGAAACAAATGACACATCATGTTGATGTAATACAAAAGAAAATGCAATGATGCTGTTATCGTAACTATAATTTGATTGGGATCACTGAAACTAAGCGGAAATTAAGTCTATTTCCTTGTTCGCCTCACGGGTCTTATTAATATTGTCCGGCTTGTTTTCCTTAGGCGTAGGACGTGATTTGCGGTATCTTTTTGAAGTTTTCAGACAATCATAATAGTTATTCGTCTACAGATCACTGTAATTCCCTCTCGTTTCTTTTCTTGTGTATTTCTATCCAAGCTAATTACAATGTGCAGTTGTTTTACGCTTCATAGCGTTTTTCTTTACTTCTATCATCGCAATTATTGTTGAATATGATGATTATAATGAGAACATATGTTCATCATACAATCAAGTAAGACAGATCAAAACATATCTATCGAGTATCTGATCGGGTTTGAATGTTCATATTTGTCTAAGGTCGTTTTATTTCGAAGACAAGGAAAGAGCAGTCGTGATCAAGAGAGAAAGGTGGGACAGGTACAAGTATTGTATATTTTACTTATCAGCCAACGAGATATCATATATGTATACAAGGTTAGAGAAGAGATCATTTTGTTTGCTTTCATAAAGAAAGCATGCTGGTTTCTTTCCTCGCACTCAACAGATTGACAAGTTTCACGGACGATGTCCATTTGCTTTGCGTTTAAGATTCGTAATGTAGGCAGCATCATATGGATACGTTTAATGAAGTGATGAATCCGGTGATAGCCTATTCTTTGTACATACATATATACATATGCATATGTACATGCAGCATAGGAAACATTTTGAGAGCTGTGTCATCAGCAGAAGGCATATATATGTATGTGTATTGAATAAGGTGTATTTAACTAAGCTTAATAGCCGAAGAGATGCCATATATATCCGAAAAAAAGAAAATACTCTGTAGATTAGCTCTAACACGTTCGATGTTTAATGCATGTTCATTATTGTGAAAGCTTATACAGACATGTATGAAACCATCTGTTGAGCTGATCTTATTTCATTAATTGTTTTCAAGACAGAAAAATCGATCAATACTTCTCCAGCCAGTCAGTCAGTTATTGTGTTTATTCATATATATATGTATTTGGAGAGAGAGATGTACGCCTTATCTTCTTTCATTGGTCGAACTTGATTCTGATTTACCGTGATCTTTATCTTTTTTAGGTTAACTTTGAATTTTAGCGATTATCGATGTCAACGAATAAATTATCATCACATTATTATCAATTCGTATCATCGAAGTTTTTAAGTAGGAGCTCGGAGTCGTTGGCAAAGATCGATTCGAACAACGATCTTCAAGCACAAAAACAACCGGCAAAATCAACAAAAATGAAAAAATCTCAAACGGTTTTAAATGGATTCGAATCCAAGAACGGCCCATCGTCTCAATCTTTGTTCAATACTACATCGGTATTACGTCGTCGCTTCAGTCTTTTTCGTATCAAACGTCCACAACAGCAGCAACAGCAACAACAATCCGCAATAACTGATGCATCAAACGAAACTTCCAATGTGCAAGCTCTTCAACAAATCATTGATCAGCTGAGACATGATTTACAGATGAAAACTAATGAACTTGAAACAATGCGACAACGTATTGAAAAGAAACGCAGCAGCATTGCCGTCTCATCCAACGAAACTATTGGCCAAGCAATGCAATTGCAAACAATGTTAAATGCAAGACTCGAAGAAATGCTCGTTGAAAACGATTTACTCAAGAAAAGTATTCAAGAACTTGAAGCTTTTGCTTTGCAGCAAAAACGTAAGTCGTATACACTAGTCATCGATCAAAAGCTCTATTCTTATCCATATGAGACATATATAAATCATGTTTGATTACTCTTGTTGTTGACAAGCGAAGTCACTCAGCAGGAAGCTCACTTAGACGAAAAGAGAAGAGAGACAGACAACTCGTTTGTCTATACAAATGCGCAGAATATCATTCGAAGAAAAACATTTTCTGACATAATAGATTCGTTAAACTGATGTACTTCACAACGAATTAGCAATCGATTTCGAGAACTGATCTATCAATCTTATTTTACATTATACTATGATAAAATGTTATGGGGTAACTAACTGATCGAGGACGTGTGCGCTCAATCAACCGTTGTTGTATTATCGGGGACATATGTGACCAAGAATTGTCGTTTGACCGACCTTGTTTGGTGTATAATATGTCTCACACAAATAACTAAAAAAAGAAGAAAGAAAAGACGACAAACTTCTTCTACCTCACTTCTGCTCTATTTCTCTTCTCTTCTTATTCTTATTCTGTACATAGATGTACACATTAAGCTTCTCTTCTCCTTTGCACTTTCGTCTCCTTCGCTCTCTCCATCACACTCGCCACAACAACACGCACATCTTTATATACATATATACATGCATGTATCGGTCGAACTAAAAGCTGATCAACAACATTCCTCTTCTGATCGGTATTAGGAGCAACAATCGGATTGTCTTCGTTCCAGTTCCTATCATGCGTCTATTTCGACGATTTCGAAAACCACCAACACAATCATCTCCGCCTCCACCGTCTCACTCAACCACTGTACATAAAGGTAACAAATTGGTTTGGTTCAAAAGAAATCAGATATGCCTGCCTCTTCTCTTCATCCTTCCCCTAACAAAATCAAACATTTTTCAGTCGAAATCTGACCGCTAGACGATCGCCAGGTGTACATGTCAGGCAATTTAACCTAGTCAATATTAATCTAATGATTGTCACGTCCGCATGAAGACATACATATATAACCGATGATCGACAAATGCTCGATTTGCACGTAGTTAATTTCACAACAAAGAGACCAAACCTTGGCTTAACAGAAAGACAAATTCATCTTTCTAGGATAATTGGCCCGAATGTTTGAAGGTGGATTAATTGTTATTGTTATGTTTTAGTACATAGAAATTCTATTCTTTTCTTCAAGTAGTTCATGCTTTATGTTCTGTCGGCATTAGCCAATTAGAGCATTAAGCCTTCAAAATAGAATGAAAGAAAGAAGCTTAATGTTTGTGTATTTTCGTATCTGTATATTTAGACATGTATGATTGTCGATGTAGAAAAAGAAACAAATGATAATTACTGTTTGACTTATCTTTCTTTCGCATTTTCAAATGAAAAGACGAGACATTCATCCTATTTAAAATGATACAACATCGTCATCGTCTACCTGACATGTTAATTTCGAGTGACTCGATGATATTAGGCGCCCTACTCTCTTGCTCGTTCTTTGCTTCTTCGTTTTTCTTTTTTTTTATTTATCAATTATCGTTGCGCACTCGTCGCTGTCTATGTGCATCATATCATACACGTCAAATCAATTGATCACTAGTTATCAAATGTATTATTTTAAATGGAAACATCCGAAGCTTAATCGAGGTCAGTACGAAATGTGTATCCAATCGAAGAGTTCGAGTAAACCTGCCTATTTACATGAGTAATCCGTTGATGAACTAAGAAAACAGATCTGCATATTTCATTTTAAGTAAAGAGAGTTTACATTCATTTCTCTCTTTTTTTCAATTACTGTTAAGCCAAATAAAATAGAAATAAGACAGAAACGATTGATCAATGTCATCTGAATGTTCAGTGCTTATCGTTTACTTATTTCAAGGTAAAGAAAATAAAACAATGTCTGAAAAGATTTCTACATTGATATTTATCTTTTCTCTCAAGTACACACTGAATTGACAACGATAGTTGTCTCAATAATCGCTATTATGGCTTCTATTTCTTCTCTTTTAAGTAGAAAAGATCTTCTTCGATTGTTGAAAAGAAATCCATTTATTATTTTAATATTCGTTCGTCTTCGCCTTCGTGTTTACTGCGACCTCTCTTCTCTGATGCATGTCCATTAGTAGTGAAATGTTATCTTCAAACGATATATTTGTATTCGTTCATTTGCTCATTATATGAAGCACGAAAAAAAAAACGTTGTATTCAAGCAGTAAGAAAAACAAAATTGATTTCATTTTTCGCACTATACTTCACTTTCGCGTTTTCTATCTTATATAACATCATTAAAGGCTCAGTTCACCCTACGATATATCGCATATATACAGGGAGGCCAAGAAAGAGAGAGAGAGTGATCAGTGTACACGTATATGTATATACAGTTTTTTCTCTCTTTGCGTTCTGGTATATCGAACGTTTATTTGAAATATACGATGCATTTTAAAGTGGCGCGCCCGCGCGCATGATTGTCAAAATTACCACCTCTTGTTTAATATTCGATGGACTCCTGCCAGGCACAATATTCAATATATATACATATGTAGACAGATCGAAGGTGTCTATGCATCGTTGATAAGACGATTATTTGATTATTTAAATACTTCGGATTTATTTCATTTGTATCGCTTTAATTTTATTAGATTTTCTTTCTTTTTCTCTCTCTCGCCTTTTTTCCTACTTATATCCGTCTTTGATCTAATTACATCGAACTTACCATCGACTGATTTTAATTAAGACAAACCAAACCAGAAGAAGATTACTATTCGATCCTCTTCTCGTTCTTTACATACGAAAATGTTTTACGAAAACTTAATTCCTTATTATTCACCATACGAAGAACAAGTTCTTCTTCGTCAGATGCATTCCATCGGCCAACAAGAACATCAACATAGCCGACAAGAAAATTCTTTCTATTATCATAATCGAAGAAAAGAATTCGCATCATCAACATCTCTGATCAATTCATCTCTTTTGAATCATACGCCATTGTCTTCTTCTTCGCCATCATTCTTTCCACCATCACCATCCAATTCGCCACCATCGAAGAAGATGACAAATTCAGATCTAGATGCATTGTCTTTTTGTCATACAATCTATATTACTATTAAGAAAAATCGAAATTCTCTTTCTTGTTCATCATCGTCGTCATCACTGAACACTTATCCTCAGCAAGTGTCTGGAGATTCTCAGCTGCTTCTATTGCCCGACATTTGTTGTACGATACCAGCGAGTAAGTTGAGCTTTTAGAAATCTACCGCTATTGAATATCATCGCGCCGTCGACATTGTCTCTTGTTAATCTTCTCTCCGACTCGATTTCTTGAAATCCATACGTACTAGTCCGATTGCATCATCACTATAGATAATAGGAAAAGAAGAAAATCCTTGTATAGATGTGTTAGTTCATTACAACGTCATTTGTATATATATACGAAGTTCGAGTGACAAATAAACACTTGCGTTCTAACGTAAGGTCGAAGAAGGTATACATTTCAGTTGTGTTTCTTCTTCTTTTTTTTCAAATGTAATATTTCAATCTTGAGAGTGTGTAAATGATCATAGCAAAGTACTGCAAAATGATCTAATTAAAGAAATATTTATGTATATATATATATGTATTTCATTCTATCTCAGCGATCGTTGTCATATTTGAGTAGTCATTCGAATCAAACGAAAGAAATCGAACTATGTCTTCGCTTCGATATTGTACGTGTGACAATAGAAGACGATTCGAAGGTAATTTGTGACACTAACATTGTCACTATTACAAATATTTTGATAGATATAACTTTCTAGTCTATTGTATTTATCTATCAAGGCTCGAAGCACACCTCTCTATACACGACGGCGATGAGAGATGTATATTCATCATCATGATTGTTCTGACCTTATTAGATGTTATGTTTGTACTTCTATACTTATGAATAGAGTATCGAAGTCGATTGTAAGATCTAGTATCACGATAGAGAGACAAGTATCAATGATCGACCCTGAAATAATTGACATGACGAAGACGACGACAACGACAAATGAGAGAACAAAAACGCAACATTGTTAAGTTAACATAGGAGACAAAAGACGAGAGTGAACACGATTGAAATAGAGTAGATATTATTAAATACAATAGACGATCTTATCATGTTCAATAATTCTTCGACAACGATAGTTAATTATTGTTCGTTACAACCTTATGTATGGGTACCGATAAGACGTACACGATATCCGTCTACAATAACATGGCATGAAATTAAACGACAACAAGATGAAGAAGACGGTAAAGAGTTAGAGAACAACGAGTTGAGTGACTATACTAGAAATCGATATTTTTCAATCAGAGATACCGTTGATAACTTCGAGCGTTGTGTTTATTTTCGAATCGTTTTCTCTGTAGATATGTGTTCAAAGAGTTGATTAGAAAAAAGCTGATTTGCTTGACCCAATAGCTTTTCCCTTGGTGATTGATCATGAAGGGAAAAGAGCTCGATATAACTTATTCATTTTTCATCATGTTAAAAGTCATCTCATATATTTTGAAGGTTACAACTACCATTTGTGTTATAAATTAAAGAAAAAAGAAGAGAAAAAAGAAGACGAAGAAGAAAAGAAAGGCAAATTCATTTTAGTTCAAGAAAAAAAAAAGAGAAAAGACGATAAAAGCAAGGTGAAAAGATTTGTAAATATAAATAAGTACAGATAGTAAGAAATGAATCAAGGTAAAGAACAGATTAGATTTCCGATTTTCAGCACTTTTGTTTCGATTCAATATTTGATTTGTTTATCTTTTCAGCTCCAAACACATCTCCCAATAATTCTCTTCTTACTCCAAGTAGTTCCGAATCAAATAATTCAATAATTAAATCGACAAATTTTACCGGTTCAGTGCCTACTTCACGTGCTGAAATACGTCATAAGAGTGAAATTGAGATTGAAGTTAAACATGAAAAGCAACGGCAACTAAAATCAAATACAAATAATAACAATAATAACAACACTTCACCGTCATCGACATCGTCATTTCCTCCAGTTTTACGACCGACTGCTTCAACAAACAAACGTACGCCTACAATACTTTTTGATGAACAACCGACACCACAACAGTATCAATCAATCAAACGTCGAATTGTCACGAATTCCATCCAAACTCAAACTCCACCGTTACAATTCAATCCGCACGATCATCAAGCACAACAGCAACAATTAAAAGCGTTGACGGATGAATCTTTATCAAAAAACGAAAAGATCCAAGCGATCCTACGTGAACTTAATGATTGTCAGGTGAGATTGAAGATAAAGAGAATCGAAACATTCTCGTCTTGTGTTTATTGATTAGATTTTTCTTTTGTCTTCACATCACGTATTCACACACTACAAGTGTTAATCTATGCTTCGTCTCATACTCGTTTTTTTCTCTCTTCTCTTTTATGTTGGTGTGCTATGCAGGCAATAATCAAACAGCAGGAACAACAATTGGCGAACGGCAAGAAAGACCGTGATCAGTTGTGCTTTATTGTTGATGAACGTTCGAATGAATTACATAATCTAAAACAAAAGAATGAACAATTGGAGCAAATGATAAGAAATGGTAAATAATATAACAGATAAATCCTCTAAAAGACACATTAACTATCTCTTTCTTTCTTTCTTTCTTTTCTATCTAAAACTGAATGCGTTTTGTTTATGTATTTCAGAACACGAGCACAGTAACGACGAAAAGAAACTCTTATCTTTACTACAAGAATCTCAAGAGGAACGCGATGAGTTATTAAGTCAACAGGTATGATAACAAACTTCTCAAACACATCCGAAATTTGATTCAATATTCATCTAGCGACAAAACCACGAACGTATGCAAAAGTTAGAAGAGCAATTAAAACATTACGAGGGTGATGCGGCCAAGATGCGTGATAATGTTTTATGTTCGAAAATCAAACTTGAAAAGAAAGTAGATGATAACGAGCGTCTAATTAGTGAGTGTACCGAAATGAAGAAATTTTGTGAACGTTTCGAACAAGATAATCAAAAACTAAAAGCACAAATCGAAAATGAACGAAAAAAAGTATGAACACAGAAGTCAAACTCGATCGTTCACTTCGCTTTTCATTGTCTTCAGGTCGAAGAATGTTCCAAATCGAAAACGATAACCGAAATCGAGCTACAAAACATGCAAGATAAGTTACGCTCACAACGCTATGAACATGAGACCAAAATTGCAACATTGGATGACGCATTGAAATATGCTCAAAAACAAAATCAAACTTTACAACAAAATCAACGTACAATGGAAGATAAACATGAAAAAGAAATTCAAGAATTAAAACAACATATCAACGAATTGGAAATGAAGATCGAAGAAGTTATTAAAGACAAAGCATTAGCTTCGATACGCTGCGGAGAGTTGATGGAAGAAAATCGGCGATTAGAAAAGGCCTTGATTGATAAAGAAGATGATTACGAAGAGAAAATTGCTGAATATCGAGAGAAAAACTCGTTATTATCGACACAGATCGATGAAGTGGAGAAAAAACTGGCGGACACAAAGAAACAACTGGAATTAGTAACAATTGAAAAGGACGAAACATTAGCTGATATGCTCATTGCCGTGCGAGTAGCAAGTGAAATGCGATACGGTAATGATTAAATTCAAAATGAAGCCATTTCGATGATTTGATTGTTCTTTTAGATGCGGAGGATCGTTTGAATAAAGCAACGGATGATTTAAAACGTGTTACAGAGCATATTGAACAAGAAAAAGCAATTAATAAAGAAGTTCAACGAAGACAGGTAGACGAAATGCTCGTTGAAGAATGAAATTAATCTATAAATATTGATTCTTTATTTACTTAGATGCAATTGCCTTCAACAAGTCGCAATGGTGCAAACGGATTTTGTGGTGAGAAGAACGACTAAGGTCAAATCTTTGTTTCTATAATATTATTATCATTCATAGATTTCGGTCATTTGAGAATCAAGGAAATGATTCGAACATTAGAAGCTAACTCTCGAAACAGTAAGATTCATGTGTAGAAAAACATACTTCTCATTTATGTTTTATTCAGATTCACTAACTAGTCAAATGGAATCTCCTGTTCGTCAGCGTCCTTTATCTCAACCGTGCACTCGCACAGAAACGAATGCTATCTTAACAAACAATCACCAGCGACAATTCGGTACAACGACGGACGATGCGAAACTCCTATCCTCAGCAACCAAACACACTACATCACCCTCAGCCAATTGTCTGAATAGTAGTCAGCGGTCGGATACGGCACTTCGTTCGATAACAAAGTAAATAAGCGTAGGTTGTAGAATGATTTGTAAATGTGTTCGGTTTTAGTGAACAATATGATGAAATGAAATCAATTGTCGAAGCGGTATTTGCTCGAATGCCAGGAAGTGTTTGCAAACGTGATGCTCTATTGAAATGGTGTGGAGAAAAACTAGCAAATTACGTAAGAACGAATTTTTCACGAAAGAAAATGATCACATTGAGAATGCTTTTAGGGAATTTCGATAACAAACTTCTCGAATTCATGGATCGATGGTATTGCATTCTGTTCATTATTGCATTCATATCTTCCAGATTGTATTGATCTTGAGATAGTTAAGAAAGAATCTAAGGTAATGAAGAAACTTCATGTCAGACTGAAATCTCATCTCTTTTGCTTCTATTTAGAAAAAACGTTTCGAGATCGCTTTTAATGTTGCCAGTAGTGTTGGCATTGTATCAATATTGGTAAGTAGTAAACGTCATCTGAACATTATTGAATAATGGGCTTTTTTTTCGTCTTCAGGATGTGGAGGAGATGTGCGCATCGGAATGGCCTGATTGGGAACGCGTAATGTATTATGTAGCACTGATCTTTCGTCATTTCGAGGGATTATCATCGACTCAACCAATATCACCTGCAATGCCAATCCCACAAGCAACATCATCGCCTATCTCATCTTCTAACTCCTCACCAACATTCTCAAGTTCGTCCTCGTCCTCCTCCTCCTCAGCATCGTCTCTGTGTGCAGCATTGCGAACATCAAATTCAATTCCAACAACTCTCTGCTCAGCATTGCAAACTGTCTAATACTTCAATCGATTTTTAGTTGCTTTTTCGTGTTTTGATCCAACAATCCGATCTACTTAGTAGATTACATTCCAGAGCATATTTCTTGTCGCTGTCTTCCATCTCATGTGTTTGTATACGTGTATCCTAATTGTTGTATCTCTTATACGATTATGAATATTGTCTTTATATAACAAAACCTAAATTTCACCTATGTACTCATGTCTTTTGCTGTATTTGATGTTCTTGGCTGTTTTTATTATCTTATGTTCATGCTTGGAAATGTACTTGAAGATAACTTCTATTTTTTTTTGTCTTCTCATTTCATTTCTTTCTTTCTTTTCTTGTCTTCATTCAATACATACTTCTTATTAACAAAAAAACGAGCCCTTCAAAACAACAGGCATTACGATTTGCTCACTTGGAAAAGACAAATAAATTTAAGCACTTCGAGTGATTAGTTGAGATTATTTCTTGTGCGGATTTTTATAGTCGAACCAATACTTATTCTGTTTCATTTGTGTCTATTTCATCATGCAAGAGAGACTGTTATTGATGCAGTAATTACGATATTTAGCAGAAGAACGTGATTGTTAATTAAAACGTAACAAGAACTTCGAGGTCTTTGATTACACAGTAGGTGAGTTGTAACATACTAAATGTAAATAATTGATATGCAATTTCAGTAGTACATTGTTTTCTCAATCGTATGTATACGTTATTTGTTTCGAATCACAAATAAGTAAACATTTAGACAGACGACAGGACTACTGTTTAATAATCATTTTATCGTGAGCCATCTGGTTCGACTCGGGTTTAACAATAACAGCTGTGACTTCGCATGACTTTCTTCGCATTCGGTAAGAAATCAATCATACTGGACATTTTTTATCGTAAGAGTGATCGTTAATCTTGTTCTTTATTTCAAGATATAGCTATCAACGACTTCGAATGTCTACGTATATTTTGTTCATTTTTCTTCTGGCAAATCGTGCTCGGTGATAGTCTCTAACGTGCCTCTGTGCTTTTGTTTCATATTGTGTCGCATAAATAGAGCACATCATTGTATGCTCGCATTTTTTCTCCTCTTGTTTAGTGTGTGTACCCATGATGCCAGATAAGTTCGACAAAAAAAGGCGAAAGAGATTCGGAAGACGACAATGTACGTGTCTCCTCTCGGTCGTATATTGTTAATACGAAAGAGCAGGAAGAGAGGGAGAGAGAAAGAAAAGAAGAAGAAGGGGAAAGACAAATTATAACCGACATTTTCGTTTTTTCAACTTAGAGACTACGTTGACAAACTACTGTAGTTATTAACAAACGTTTTTGAATATGAATGCACAGAATACATCATCGAATCACACAGCAACAGAATACAGTCAATCTACGTATGGTGCACCTTCATCAACAAGAGAATCGGAAAGTCGAATTGACAAAGCTTATCTCACATCAATTCGTGCTATTCTCAAATTTGCTTGTCTAGTAAGTACGCATTTCTGTACAATTTTCAATAAACGACGAACATTACTCTACGAAGACACGAAACGCTTTTCTTTGAATAGTTAGTGTGTTTGATTGCATTTATCTGTTTGGTAGCAACAGCACAGTGCAATGGTACACATGTATTTCTTGCTACTGTAACATGGCTTGTAATTATCATGCAAGTGATGATTATCATTATATTTATCCTTCGATTACAAGTCAAATTTCCTGGCGTTGATTTTGAATTTCTTGTAAGTACGTTGTCTGTTACAGAAATTATATAATGTATTGATCAGTCGACGCGCCGAGAGTCAATAAAACAAGAGCGAGAAGAATAAGAGTGTTAGAATGATTGTTTGTCCACAAATACATAAGACACATCATCACTTCAAGTCAATAGATTGACAAAAGCTTCTGTGTTCTCGGTGATTGTCAATATACATTCACTGTGTAATATTTATTCATAGGATTTCTTTGCAACGTCTCATGATGCACTTTATCTATTGGTATGATCAAAGAAAAGTATTTCGTTTGATATTTTACTGCGTCTTCTGTGTATGATTAGATTTCGTCAAGTATCACCATTAACTATTGTCGTGTTCCGGGTCAGGTGGCTGGCGGTGTAAGTTCTCGAGCACAAGGAAGCATCAGAAACAATTCTTTGTTTTGTAGGTGATGGGACTTATAGCATTTCTATTGTTGACTGGTGATGCTATTACCATCTTCTTGGCACGACGTCAGGAAACAGTAGAGAATACCAATAGTAATACAGGTCGATGATTCGGTTCAATGTAAATTGAAAAAAACCAGACAATCTTGCTTTACTTGCCTTCCATTCAGAATATCTCGTATTGAGTTTTGAATACATTGGAATAGCTCCAATGAAATATTAGTGATCAATATGGTTAATTTTATTATTGTTTCGAACGGAAGAAATGCATCTTTTTCTCTTTTAATTTATGTTTGCAAAAACCAAATATATGTTATGCATGAATTTTGTATAGTTTTTAAGAGAGTTACTCTTTTGTTGTTTATCATGTACTGTGCGTTATATATTCGAAAGCGAGAATCGGGGAATAGAATATGAATAAAGAAAGATGTTTGTCGGTATATATTTATGCAAGGAAGGAGAATAAATGAAGGATTTGGAGTTGTTTCATTGTTAGTTGAAATTGCAGGATCAAGCGCGAACGCTCGATCCGTTGGGAAAAATGATCCACTCGAGAAGGTTCTATGTGAACCTTTCGCTGGCTTTAGCGCTGTCGGAGTGCAATGACAAGGCCTCCGCCAGGGGCTTCCTTCTTCTTGTTCAAGGAAGTTCCTGTGGCAGGTAAGTATGCTTATGAATTCGACTTCTTCATTATTATATAATATGCGATAGCGCACAAATTTCATAGTAGATGTCTGTTGTTTTCTCGTTGATGATTCATTTCTTTTCTGTGTTCTTCCATACGTATGAATCAGTGTGATAAAAATATTGTGTCGTGTCGTTCGTTCTTCCCCACACGACTGTCGCTGATTTCTTGTCGGTTTGTTTATCAAATGACTATAGACGTTTCACCGGTTTTGTTTCGCATTTAAACTTGATATAATAAATGAAAAATCTAAAGTACAAATCATACTTACTTTCGGATGCGGTTTCGAGGATCAAGAACCTCGATCCGCCGTGTGAAGGTCCGGCCATTGCACATCGGTCCACGGCTGACGTACGCTTTCTATTCATATGAATAGAAGAGATCCGCTAATTTCTTGACGCTGGCCTGCGTTCGCGCAGGCCATTCATAATTCTTAGTTAAGTACATTTCACGGTTCAAAGTTAACCAAAAATACGTTCAATGGATAATCAAGTCGACAGATATTTTACAGTCTATTTATCCATTGTCATCTAATATTAAAAAATCAAGTGCCCAAGAAATGAAAAAGTAATTTCGAATGTGATATAGTGATGTCATGGGACATCTCCCTCCTATAGATGTCATGACTCCCTTGTCCTTGTTGAAAATATCCTTACGAAATATTCGAGTCAAAGCTTTCCATATTTGTTTAGGAATGCGTTCCAGGTAGAACTCAACGAGCTCTATCTAGTGGTATGCTCAGTTGCGACCTAGTCCCAACTTTGGTTTTTCGGATCAGTACTGCCGTTACTGGAAGCCTAAAAATCAAAACTTGAGTTATGGAAAAACTGAGCATACACTAGATAGAGCTCGTTGAGTTCTACTTGGACCGCTGTTTGGAACGATTGGAACCCATTTCTGAACGAATATGATGCTAACTTCACCAACATGCTATTTATATAGTCACGATGTTTTCCTAGTGTTGTTCAGTTTTATGTTTATTTCTAAATAAACTTTCTCACCTCAAGACGTGGCATCGAACATGATAGTTTTTCTTACATTTAGTATTTGAAATTGGATGTCTTTTTCTCTATGTGCGTATGCATAATAATAAGAAAAAAAAACATGAAAGCACTGAGAAGAAGTAGATGTCGTACGCTGATGTCTTCTAATACGAAAGAAGAAAGAGGCCACATATTATTGAATGAATGGATACTTTTTGATCAACCATGTTCAAAAAATAATTTATCCTTCTCGATAATGATAATGCATATATTTTTTGTTGTCCTTCATTTTATTTAGTTTTTTTTGATAAGTTGAAATTTTCTTTATCGTTATTTGTCACACGGTTACAATCGATGAATAAGTATTTTTCTCTTATATAAGTCAAAAGAATAGACATCTACGTATTGTAAAATCTTGTGTGATTTGAATTGTATTGGAAAAGTTTGTTGAACATTTTTATTTAGATGGACGATCAACAAATTGAAAGTGAACGGAGTACGGATATCGATGAGATGGATACATCTGATGATAATCTTCAAAAGCCGAATATTTTCAATAAATATTTACCTTTTTATGATTCGATCAAACGACAAGGCTATGACTTGTTCGAGGAAATCAAAGAGAATTTATCGCGCATTATCCAACTCAGAGAATTAAGACCGGGATTTTCGCATTGGTCATCGAAGTTACAACGGTTCATTTCACTCTATGGCCTATGTTTCACCAAAACGGATCATATTAAATTGATTCATCTATATTTATCAGTTCTTTCTATCAATGATTTGGATTTTTCTCATGTTAAAACATGCTTTGACATGCTCTATGATTTGATGAGGTTTGTTCTTTATTCATCGAATTTTTACTATTAATTACTTCGTATTAGAAAAACACGGTTAATCACACGGGATGATGTCGTGGTTGAATGGCGTCTGTTATACAAATGGTCGAAAACGATTCTTCACAATCATGATGAACCATATTCATTAGTTTCATTACCGAAGTTTGTTTTCTCTGTTTTTTGTTCATCTTAATTCTTTTGTTTATTATTTTTTTAAGTGATATCGATAATTCTTTATTCTATTGTGTACGAGGATGTCGACCCTATTTTTCAGCAACAGCGACACAAGAAATTCTTGATGAATTTCGGCCATATTTATGCCCATTTGATTCAGCATTTTCGGATACAATGAGAATCTTTGAACTCTTCTTACCAGTTCATTTACCACCAGAACTACATGATCAAGGATTTAAGTAGGACACGTTCAGATTAATTTTCTCGAATCTACCAAGACACCGTGCATTTTAGACTATGGCTAGAAGAATTCATGGGCATTTGGGAAAGTGTCTATAGTAATCCAGCATGGGAACTTGTAAATACGAATTGATGAGATTTTCCCCTTGATTAACAATGTTTCTTTGTTTTTGAAGAATATGATTAATCTCTTCTCCCTATTGGCATGGTGTAATATTGGTTATATTGATTGGGAACCCTGGCTGCCACGAGTAATTGCTTTCGAAAATGGATTTTGCTTATCGGTCATTCCATTGTCACATAGATCTTCACTCGTATACTGAAAAGTTTTACTTTGCCAGTTGGAAAGATTCAAGTTTCACTTCAACAATATCGTTATTCGATGTCGAGTGTAACAACATGGATTATTGCTATGTTAGGCAATGGCAGCACATGTTTACAATATCTTCAGGATTTGTTTACCGCTATGAAAAGCTTCTATCATCCCTCGAATACGGGAAAATTTCAACATGAATTAATTAGCTTCCTTTCGAAATTATCTCAAGCATTAGTCGATCGTGTTCATCTGTGAGTGAATGAAAATCTCAAAAGTAAATTAATTGTTTTGATTCGTTTAGAGAACGTAAAGCAAATCCCATCTGGTATTTTACACCACCGGAATCGTATCGATTGACTGAACAAAATATAACAGATTTTGTTAATTGCGTCAAAGAATGTGCATTTATAGCAATTTTCACAAAGGCTCATTTGAAAGAGGCTGCTAAAGCATGTCAATACTTATCAATGCTTCGACCTGAACTGATTATTCCACCTATTGTCGAAAAGTCAGCCACTCTATTCAAATTTTTGTTCGAAAATAAATGTCATTTGCTGCCAATTTAGACTCTTCTCATCCATCGATAGTATGAGTGAACCACATCGATTCACGTCAATTATGACATGTTTAGCAAGTGTTGCGCGACAAATGGTGCGACAAACACCGTATTTTTCTCAAGGTCAAACCTATGTCTTGCCATTGTTGATGGCTGTTCTACCTGGTATCGATTCCAATGATTTCAAAAAGACAGCGGTTACTTTTCAATTTCTCAATGCTATACTCATGCTTGTTACATGTGTTGATTGCTCATCGGCTGTACATACTCGAAACGATCTCACCGAGGTGCGTCATACTTGTATCGAATAGTGCGAATTATTTCTTGTTGTTCACTTGTGTTAGATTGAAAAAGAGGTGTGTTTGTCAACAGCAAAGTTCGAAGATTTCATCAGTGAATTTCTCAATCGAACATTTCAAATGATTGATACCTTGTCAACCGAAATGTCAGATGCTGTTGTGGTTATATCAAAGGTGAATGTTGAAGATCATGTAACTGAATTAGCGTTGACATCGATGATGTTTGGCATCGTTCAACAATGTAGTAATAAAATCTTTCAGGTAAACGAATTCATTGATAATAAATCTGCTGCGAAGTATTTCTTTAGATGGTACGCGAGAAAATCACCAATTTCCTTGCTGGATCATTCTTTACTCCAAAAGTTGGAAAGCTTGTCACTGGTCTTGTACGAGCTATTCTTAAAGGCAAACCGGAGGAAACATTGAAATATCTCTTACCACAAACATGTGAACGTATTGAAAAGATCATGAGTCATTCGGAAACAACTATCTTGACTGACCACAAAGGGGATACTGAATTGACTTGGTGTTTAATTCTTTTCTCGGAATTAGTTCGTGCTCGTGGTGATACACTGCTCATCTATAAACCGATGATTCTGTCGGTGTTTCATCGATGTGTTCGTATCATTCATAAAGAAACACATGAAGCAGTAGCAAGTGCGGCGAAGAATCTACTCAAGTCATTATCTTATGTATATCCAACTGAATATCGTTTAACAGTGGAAAATATCGAGGAGCCCTTCACTGATTTTCTTCCTATTCGAGTAAGATTACTCGTTTTGTATGCATGATCATTAACAAAATCCTTATTGTACTGTAGGCATGGGGTCAACATGTCGAATTCGATAATCTTCAAGTGAAATTTCATGTTCCAAACGCCGAAGAGGTCGATTTCGCATGTGAGTTTGCCGAAGCATTTATCTACCCGGAGCTGCAATTGTTGAATGAAAAATGCTCGAAAATGTCGAATGACGAACGATTAAGATCATTTACTCTTGTTCATTATATGACTATTGGATGTTTAAGAATGGTACCACGTATCAATAGTAAAGATATAGAAAATCTGTAAGGAACTTTCAGCTATCGTTTGTTTGATCGGATGATCTATTCTAATTTTAGTGTTCCATCTGTTGCTCCATATGGTTCAAAATATCAAGCACAGTATTCAATCTATGAAAAAGAACCAAGTATAGTCATTGTATAAGCAAAGTGTTACGTTTTGTAAAACATGATCTTCTTTAGAATTCAAAGAGAATTTACGAATGCGTCTTTTAACTGACATCGGCAAATTACTCGGTAAAATTTAGTACACAAACTACCAGATGGGATATATTCATTTTTCATTTAGATATTCTTGTTGAAAATCATTCGGATGATGCCTCATCGATAAAGACGGCATTGAAAGTACGTTCATTCATCTCGATTACTTTGGAGACGATCTAGAAAATTACTTTTAGATTTATTCTCTATCATCGATTTATTATGGTGTATTTAAACACGATGCAGATAAGTTACATAAGCATTTTGAGGCTGCAAAGAATTCGTTCATTAACAAACTATACGGCGAAAGACAATATCCACGATTTTTGATGATTGAACGAATGACATTGCAGTGTGAAGTAAAGATCTTGCATGAAAACGATTTTTCAATCAATACATTTGCTGTGCTCTTTTTAGCAATTCTCTCTAAGTAACTTTCAATCGCTCACTGAGATCGATAAACAAGTTATTCTAAAATTATTTGATTTATCCATACATCGATACGGTGAAGTGAGTATTCTGATTCTCAGCTAATCTTCTCTTAACTATTCTTTGCTCATTAAGGTTCGACGTGATGCACAAGGCTATTTATTCTCTGTTCTTAATCGTTATTTATTTTCTTATCAAGTTATTGTCGATCGAATCATTGAATTGCTGAATAGTCCAGGCGAAGCAGATCACGATCAAATCAAAGGCTGTCTTTATATTCTTCTTGGCAATCAATCATTCTTCTTACCAACTAAACATTCTTGGTCAATGATTGAAAAACTTTGGCCAGCGATGGCACGAACCATACATGCGAAAAAGCCCACTACTCAACGTCTAATGGATCTTATCAATGAAACAATTGGCAAACAATTTGATACGCAAGCACTAATTGAAGATACAAATGACATAGCACGAAAAGCGGCAATCGATTTATGGAAACCATTAGACAGTGAGGCGTTGAAATTTCGAGATCAATTGAGGGAAGAAAGAAATCAAGCAAATATTCAATCCTATAACAATCTTATGGAAGCATTGAATGGACTACTAAAGGGTGATTCTCTGTAAGTCACGATAACGACCTAAAATACATTTACTTTGCCTTTTTGCAATGTTTAGAACTTGGCGACAACAGGAAACAACAATGTCATTAATGTGGTTACTTCTTCAGAAACGAGTATCAATCCCAACATCGTGTGTCCGCACGTTTGTCGATTTCCTCGTTCACGACAATGTTGAATTACGAAAGGTTACATTTTCTTCTTTCTCAATTGATTTCGCTTATCTCAGTTTTTGTAGATTGCTGAAGAAGGTATCGCAGCCGTTTGTCGTTTACAAAAACCACCTCGAATATACGTCGAAAAGACACTCGATCAGATTCTGCAGCGACCTGTCGATATCGATCAATGTCGTCCAGGCGATCGCGATGACAATCTCTGGATCACCATCAATGACTACAAACCATCTACATCTCAGCAACAATGGGAAGAAACTTGTTTCTTGGACAAGAGCTTTCATGGATATTATAAGTGGCCAAAAGTGATTCGATATCCGATGAACAAGCGAGAGCGATACACGAAAGAAACAATGCCAGAAGATGTGTTGATATTGTATGAGAGATTTATCGACCAAGAGTTCATAGGTAAATTTATCCAGTTTATGGTGTTGGATGAAGAGAAAGGAAAGATTAATTTCGATGCAAGACGATTCAATATGTTCAAAGTAAAGACGAACATTTACTTTTCATCATCTGAAATATTATTTGATTTATTTTCATAGGGATTGTTTCGTAATTTTGGTTTGGTTTTTGTTGATAATTTTATTGAACGATTATACACACTAATACGTGAGAAAACAAAAGAAAAACACGAAGGAAGCCATCGAGTCGCAGCCGAAATTGTAGCTGGAATGATTCGAGGTTCAAAGTGTTGGACAATAGAAATGGTTTGTTGCTGGGAAATTTATCTTTCGCAAAAAGAACCCGTCTCCTGATTTCTAGCTTGATGAGTTGTGGAAGAAGTTGACACCATTTCTCACTGAAGTGTGCTCAAATCTTGGTCCTGAAACGCTCTCACACTGGGGCACATGTTTTAAACTAGGAATAGTAAGTGGAAATGATCTATTCATCACTTAAAATCTCACGTCTTACTCGCAGGAAGATGAAGATCCACGTCGAATGTATCGTCCAATAGAATTTCTTCGATCATTGATAAATACACATGCCACAGGAAACACATTTATTGAAACTTCACGTTGGTATCTGGTGCAAACGTTGACCAATTTTGAGTGGCGCGTACCAGCTATGTGGTGTATGATCAATGAACAAGCTCGAGAGTTGATTGATCATCCATATAAAGCTTTTCGGGAACGAATCGCGAAGTAAGGAATTATGAGACAGTCATTTTGTACATGAAATCCATTTGTTCGTTCAGTATTCTATCGGTGTCATTGAGTTATGACGTCAAATTACCTAATGGCCAAGCAGATCGTCATCCGAATGCAGATAAGTTTATTGACGCCATGCGTGAACGATTGGATCAAGCAATTCGAGTGTATGAACAAACACCATTGGGTAAATAATTCTGCAAAGTGATAACTATTATATAATATATTCTATTTCAGCCAACGTATCAGGACAGGTGGTCGAAATCGATCCTGAAGCTCGCAAAGCTTTGAATTTCATTGAAACAGGTCAGTAAGCAAGAAAATGTTCTCCTCGGAAGTACAATTGAAAGCTTTCCACTCTTCAGTGATACAAATGCATACACATTTCTTCACCAGATGTTTACAACCGATGAAACTTGCAATTATTCGTTTATTTCCATCTGTATGATGTTTTTTTACACAAATATCAATGTAACACGTTGACTGTTTTAGCTTTGCGAATTAGAAAGCATCGTTGCCAATGATGATTTTATCCGAAAGAACTTAACTATTAGTCGAATGTGTGTGGCCATGACGTATTTACATACGTCATTCATTGAACCATTGATCGAACAACTCGAACATGTAAACAGTTCACTCATATATCCACATCTTTCACTTCTCTCCTCTTAGGTTTGTTCTAGCACGAAATGGCATGCACGACGCGCGGCCATCGAGTTCGTTCAGAACATGATCTTCTGCAATCTTTTCACTACCAGACCCTATGCTCAACGATTGCGACAGCTCGTCTTCAAGCGTCTTTTCGACGAACAGTTCGAAGTGCGAACTGTCGCCTCGGTCACTCTCTCTGGTTTCTACCAGTGTGGATTCATTCAAGTCAGCAACGATGATCTGGTATGCTCATTCTCTGTCTCTCTCTCTCACCCACACCCTCTAATTCATTGTGTCTGCTTGTTGTGTATAGAAACACTTTCGCGTGATGAGCAAAACTAGTTATTTCGTAAAAGTCGATGGCAAGAAAGTGACGTCGGCTGAGAACATTGTCAAACGACATGGAGGTGTTCTTGGTCTTTGTGCGATCGTGCTGTCGAGTCCATACGATATTCCCAATCATGTTCCTGAAGCATTGATGTTACTGTGTGAGCATTCACATGATCCTGATCTGATTCAAGTGAGTGTGATGAGAGTAATGCATTTGCAGGTGAATGAGTATTTGTTGTAGAAATCGATCAAGAAGGCATTATCGGAATTTCGTCGAACTCACTATGATTCGTGGCATGAACATCGTGAAAAGTTTACTGAAGATCAACTTGTGATTCTTGCTGATGTTCTCATATCACCTAGTTATTATGCTTGAGACATTTCAATGATTTTGTGCAGTGAATGTACTTCCTGTGATGCTTTGTTTCCCTTTCTCAAATCAAGAATCGAAATGATAAAAGATGCCCCGGTTTTTTGTTTAAAACTTGTTACTGTCTAGTGTAATCATTTACCATATCCACGATTGTTTTTCTTTTGTCTTCGGTGAAAACTTCATATTCTGCTTTTTGGTCGGCAAAAAAAAAGAAAAGAAAATATCGATTTTTCGTTCCTACGAAACGGAGACAATTCTTTCGTGTTCTTTATTCTTGTTTTTTATTCTACAAATATATATATGTGTACATATATATTACAAAAATCAGGAAAAAAAAAGAATTTTTTTCTTTAGATGAAATATCGATTGATTTAGGCGTTTACATATATATAATAAAGGCTTCATGACGTTGGTGAGATTTGCAGTGCATGAATATGAGTTAACCTTAGACCGTAATCCGACCTCGAATGCATGTTTTACTAGTCTATAACTGGATCCTACCTGTATGTCATCGAATAGAAAGCACACTATTTACCGGATATATATGTTAGGTTAAAACTAATATAATTCTATTACAATACACGTCATGTTCCATAGAAATAAAAATCTAGATCTTTTCTATTATTCACTCTCACTTTTCTCTGATGACTAATAGAGTGTCGTGCCATAGGTGTAGTGTTTTTTATTCTTTCTCAGCAATGTGTCGCCGCATATAAAGACTCATAGAAGTGTTATTATGTTATTTTTCTTTAGATTATTGAGAAACCATATCGATAAGAGTTTTATCAAGATAAAAATATATACTCTCATAAATGATGCGACTTGTCTAAGTAACTCGATGATTTCTATCATATATTTATCGACTTCATTAACTCAATAAACGAACGAATGACCTGATTGTATCGAATCATCACCCTATTTTTGGTGTTAATGATTTAGTAGTTACGCTCATGTGATAGATAAGCTATCGTGATAATGAATCATCATATGACTTCTACTTCATTACATGTGACGTTCTTTTTTTTTGCAAACGAACATATGTTCTCAACTCTTTCTTTCGTTCGAAAAATCAATGTATATTTCTTTTGTTTTCCATTAGATAAATAAAAACCAATGACTTATGAAAAAACTAATCTACAAAAACCGAATGTCTATAACACATTTTTGCCATTTTATGATACCATCAAACAGCAAAGTTTAGAATCATTCGAAGAAATTTGTGAAAATCTTTCTCGAATTATTCAATTACGTGAATTAAGACCCGGCTTTCCATTATGGTCATCGAAATTACAACAATTCATTTCACTCTATGGTTATTCATTTACGAAGAGCGATCATCTGAAATTAATTCACTTGTACTTAACCGTTCTGACAATTCCGGACTTGAACTTTTCCAATGCGAAAACAAGTTTCGACATCATGGACGAACTCTTAAGGTGAGTCTACCTTCATCCGACGTTCATATGTTCCAATCTATATTTTAGCAAGTCTCGTTTAATCACAAGAGATGATCTCATTATCGATTGGCATATACTTCATACATGGATCAAATTGATTCTTTTCAATAACGATGAATCCTATTCATTAGTAGCTTTGCCAAAGTTTGTATTGATTTTCGATGCAAACGAAGTCATTTGTCCTTCACTTATTTAGTGATGTTGAAAAATCGCTTCTGTACTGTGTCCGCAGTTGTCGACCGTATTTATCTGCCACAGCAACACAAGAGATTTTGGATCAATTTCGACCATCCCTATGTCCCTTTGATTCAGCATTTAGTGATGCGATGTGTTATTTTGATTTACTATTACCTGTTCATTTACCACCGGAACTACATGAACAAGGATTTAAGTACGAAGCCTCGATACGAATGAAAACTTTGATGGATGAATGCTCTGTATTTAGATTGTGGTTACCGGAATTTCTGAACATCTGGGAAAGTGTAACAAACAATCCGGACTGGGAACAAGTTTGTTTTTTGTCTACAAAATGAATCCGACAATTTCGAGATGAACTCTTTTAGAATGTAATCAATATATTTTCCTTTGTGGCATGGTGTAATATTGGTTACATTGATTGGGAACCTTGGCTTCCAAAAGTATTGTTTCTATACATTATCACGGTTATGTTTATATAATATCCTATGATTTCTCATTAGATTTTTACACGTATATTGAAAAGCTTTTCACTTCCGGTTGCCAATGTTCAAGTATCTACTCAATCGCAAAATTATTCGTTGACAATTATATCAACGTGGCTTGTCGCGATGATGGGCAATGGAAGTTCGTGCTTACGGTATTTGAAAGACTTCTTTACGGCAACAAAGAGTTTTTATCATCCGTCGAATACGGGAGATTTCCAACGAGATCTCATTCGATTTCTTTCGAAATTATCGCAAGCATTCGTCGATCGAGTTCATTTGTATGTGCAATTCAGTTTCGTTCTCTAATTATGCTGATAAATGTCTTCTAGAGAACGAAAACCTGATCGTGTCTGGCATTTCAAACCACTTGCGTCGCATCAACTTACCGAAGACGATATTACGGAGTTTGTTAATTGCGTGAAAGAATGTGTGTTCATTTCGATATTCAACAAAGCAAATCTCGAAGAAGCAGCGAAAGCATGTCAATCTCTATCTCAACTTCGACCAGAATTAATTGTTCCACCATTAGTTGAATTGTTCGTATTCGTTTTGCTTTTTCGTCTTCAAATATCTAATCGATTGTTTTTTTAAATCAATTGTCTAGATTATTTTCTTCCATCGATAGTATTACTGAGCCACATCGTTTCACTGCTGTTATCACTTGTCTGGCTGGTATGACAAGACAGATTGTACAGCAAACGCCGAGCTTTTCCCAAGGTCAAACCTATGTCTTGCCATTGTTGATGGCCGTTCTACCTGGTATCGATTCCAATGATTTCAAAAAGACAGCGGTTACTTTTCAATTTCTCAATGCTATACTCATACTTATCACATGTGTTGATTGCTCATCGGCTGTACATACTCGAAACGATCTCACCGAGGTGCGTCATACTTGTATCGAATAGTGTGAATTATTTCTTGTTGTTCACGTGTGTTAGATTGAAAAAGAGGTGTGTTTGTCAACAGCAAAGTTCGAAGATTTCATCAGTGAATTTCTCAATCGAACATTTCAAATGATTGACACTGTAGCAACTGAGATGTCCGATGCAGTAATGTTAACGAACGAAACAAATTCTGAAGATCAAGAAGCTACTCAAGAATTGACTAACATGATTTCTGGCATCACTGAACAGTGTAGTGATAAAATCTTCCAAGTATGTTTTGTTCATCTCAACTATTCGATCCCAACACATTGGAATAACATCGATTTAGATGATTAAAGAGAAAATAACAAACTTCATAGCAGTATCTTCATTTTCGCCTAAAACAGGCAAATTTGTTAATGGTTTAGTACGAGCTATTCTTACAGGGAAACCCGAAGAAACACTTAAGTCTCTTCTACCACAAACATGTGAACGAATTACAAAGATAATCCAGCAATCCGATTCGTTGGTATTAACTGATCATAAGGGAGATGCAGAATTAACTTGGTGTCTAACATTATTTTCTGAACTTCTTCGTGCTCGAGGTGATACACTACTCGTCTATAAACCAGTGATTCTTTCGGTTTTCCATCAATGCATACATATCATTCATAAGGAATCTTATGAAGCTTTGGCCAATGCGGCAAGAAACTTGATCAAATCTCTGGCCTACACCCATCCAATAGATTATCGTTTAACGGTAGAAAACATCGAGGAGCCCTTCACTGATTTTCTTCCTATTCGAGTAAGCTTACTTGTGTTGTATGCCAGACCATTAACAAAATCCTGATTGTACTGTAGGCATGGGGCCAACATGTTGAATTCGACAAACTTCAAGTGAAATTCCATATTCCAAATGCTGAAGAAGTCGACTTTGCATGTGAGTTTGTCGAAAGATTCATTTATCCGGAATTGGAATTGTTGAATGAAAAATGCTCGAAAATGTCGAACGATGAACGATTAAGATCACTTACATTAATTCGATTCATGGCTATTGGATGTTTTCGTATGGTGCCACGTATTGATAGTCCGGAAGTGAAAAATCTGTGAGTCATATTTGAAAACTTCGAAACTGAAAACTATTTCGTCTGTAGAGTACCATCTGTGGTACCAATTGATACGAATAAACGTGCCAAATGCGCGTTATACGCTAAAGAGCCTCGTAAGTTACGAGTAAATCAAAAGAGTCAGTTCTGATCGTAAAGATATTTTCCCAATTTTTTAGATTTCAAAGAAAATCTACGAATGCGTCTATTAACCGACATTGGAAAGTTACTTGGTAATTGCTTAAGCGGTCAAATGAACTGAAATGTATATATTTCTTGTCTATTTAGATGATCTTGTCGAAAATCATTCTGATGATGCTTCATCGCTAAAAACAGCTCTGAAGGTAATTTTGATGTTTAGTATCTCTTCGCGAAAATTCGTCTCCTCTTTTTGCTTAGATATATTCAATAACATCTGTCTACTTTGGCGTATTTGAAAATTATGTCGAAAAACTATGCAAAAGTCTCGAAACGAATAAAGCATTATTTAAAAATAAATTAGTTGGCAAACGAAAGCATCCGCGTTATATCATTATCAAACGTATTAATGTTCAATTAGAAGTAACACTTTCATCTGCAGTAGAACATTGTGATATAGCCGCTTTTTGTTCATAGTTGTTTTCGGTCAGTAATTATCAAAGTTTGACTGAAATCGATAAACAAGTCATTTTGAAACTATTCGAATTATCAATCCATCGTTACAGTGAAGTAAGCCGAAAGATACTTGATCCGTCGCTGAAATATCTTCTTTCAAGGTACGACGCAATGCGCAAGTGTACCTGTTTCATATTTTACGACGTTATCTCTTCTCATATCAAGTGATTATTGATCGAATTCTGGAATTGCTCAACAGTCCAGGTGAAGCAGATCACGATCAAATCAAAGGTTGTCTTTATATCCTTCTTGGCAATGACTCGATTTTTATTCCAACAAAACATTCATGGACATTACTTGAAAAACTATGGCCGTCACTTGCACGCACGAAGCACGCGACGAAAATCAGCACACAAAACCTTCTCGATCGAATTATGGAAAAAATCGGCAAACAATTCGATACACCTGCGATTACTGAAGATACCAATGATGCGTCTGTACAAGCTGCTGTTGCATTGTGGAGACCACTGGACGCTAGTGAATTAGTATCACGAGATCAACTGAGAGAAGAACGAAATCAAGCGAATATTCTGTCTTATAACAATTTGATGGAAACTTTAAACGCTCTATTCTATGGAGATGTATTGTATGTTCTCATCTTTTTCTTCTCTCGACATACTATGAATTCTTCTCTTGATATTTGAAGAACATGGCGACAACAAGAAATGACGATGGCTTTTATTTGGCTACTCCTACAAAGACGTATTCCAATTCCAGCGTCCTGCATTCGGACATTCGTCGCTTTTCTCATTCACGATAATGTCGAACTACGAAAGGTTTCTCTTTTTTGTTCTACTCCAACGTATTCATAAATAGTCTTACGACTTTGTGTAGATCTCAGAAAAAGGTATCGCAGCATTTACTCGCATTCAAAAACCACCTCGAATATACGTCGAAAAGACACTCGATCAGATTCTTCAGCGACCTGTCGATATCGATCAATGTCGTCCAGGTGATCGTGATGACAATCTCTGGATCACCATCAATGACTACAAACCACCTACATCTCAGCAACAATGGGAAGAAACTTGTTTCTTGGACAAGAGCTTTCATGGATATTATAAGTGGCCAAAAGTGATTCGATATCCGATGAACAAGCGAGAACGATACACGAGAGAAACAATGCCAGAAGATGTGTTGATATTGTATGAGAGATTTATCGACCAAGAGTTCATAGGTAAATTTATCCAGTTTATGGTGTTAGATGAAGAAGAAGAAGAAATCAATTTTGATATTCATCGATTTCGAATGTTCAAGGTAGATTGAACTTGTACGCACCTAATCATTGCAATTTTCATTTTGCATTCGCAGGGCCTCTTTCGAAATTTCGGTTTGCCGTTAGTGCATAGTTTTATGAAGTATTTATACGAACTTATTCATGATAAAACAACAACACAAGAAGGAAGTCATCGAGTAGCAGCTGAGATAACAGGAGCGATGATTCGTGGTTCGAAACATTGGACTTTAGACATGGTATGTAGTCAATTCAAGAAGTGGAGCTTTCACTCACGGCAATTCTATGTTTAGTTGGAAGAACTGTGGAAGAAGTTGACACCATTTCTCGCTGAAGTTTGTACAAATCTTAGTCCAGAAACGGTTGGACATTGGGGATCTTGTTTCAAATTCGGCATAGTTCGTACTAAGAAAGATGCACTCTGTCATCAAATACATATTGTTTTACATTTTTAGGAAGATGAGGATCCACGTCGAATGTATCGTCCGATTGAATTTCTTCGATCATTGATAAATACACATGCTACAGGAAACACATTTCTAGCCACATCGCAATGGACTCTTGTACAAAAATTAAGCAATTTCGAATGGCGTATTCCTGCGATATGGTGCACCATTAATCAGTATGCAAAAGACTATCTCGATCATCCATACAAAGCCATACGAGAACGGATTGCCAGGTATAACAAGAGATTTTTTGTGACTAGCGAATGAAAAGTTCTATTTGTCTATTAGTATTTTATCAACTTCCTTGAGTTTTGATATGATACTATCGGATGGTCAATCAATTCGTCATCCAAAAATTGATGAATTTATTGATGGCATACGTCAACGATTGGATCAAGCAATTCGAATCTATGAACAAACACCATTAGGTAGTATATCTTCGTTGAATTATTTTTCCATCAATCTTTTGCTTTGATTTTCCTAGCAAACATCTCTGGTGAACGAGTTGAAATCGATTCTGAAGCACGTAGAGCGTTGAATTATATCGAGTCAGGTACAAATTTATTCCCTCTTCTATTAACAATACATTCGTTTCCCTTTTGACATAGTTGTTCAACTACACACACTGATGTTTTCTGGTTACCTTCAACCGGTCAAAAGTTCGATCATCCGTCTATTTCCTCATGTACACTTTTTTTTATCCAATTGCAAAGATTTATGCATCATCAATTTCTTGTCTATTTTAGCTCTGCGAAATTGACAGTATTATCTCTAACGATGACTTTATTCGTGAAAGTACTGTTATAAGTCGAATGTACTTAGCAGTTACTTACCTTCAAACGTCATTCATTGAACCATTGATCGAACAACTCGAACATGTAAACAGTTCACCCACATATCCACATCTTTCACTTCTCTCCTCTTAGGTTTGTTCTAGCACAAAATGGCATGCACGACGCGCTGCCATCGAGTTCGTTCAGAACATGATCTTCTGCAATCTTTTCACTACCAGACCCTATGCTCAACGATTGCGACAGCTCGTCTTCAAGCGTCTTTTCGACGAACAGTTCGAAGTGCGAACTGTCGCCTCGGTCACTCTCTCTGGTTTCTACCAGTGTGGATTCATTCAAGTCAGCAACGATGATCTGGTATGCTCATTCTCTGTCTCTCTCTCTCACCCACACCCTCTAATTCATTGTGTCTGCTTGTTGTGTATAGAAACACTTTCGCGTGATGAGCAAAACTAGTTATTTCGTAAAAGTCGATGGCAAGAAAGTGACGTCGGCTGAGAACATTGTCAAACGACATGGAGGTGTTCTTGGTCTTTGTGCGATCGTGCTGTCGAGTCCATACGATATTCCCAATCATGTTCCTGAAGCATTGATGTTACTGTGTGAGCATTCACATGATCCTGATCTGATTCAAGTGAGTGTGATGAGAGTAATGCATTTGCAGGTGAATGAGTGTTTGTTGTAGAAATCGATCAAGAAGGCATTATCGGAATTTCGTCGAACTCACTATGATTCGTGGCATGAACATCGTGAAAAGTTTACTGAAGATCAACTTGTGATTCTTGCTGATGTTCTCATATCACCTAGTTATTATGCATAAAATAACTGTTTATACATAAATGTTCTTGTGAACCTATGTGTGATAGGTTGAATGTTTGTGAAGCTCAGGCGTTAGTTTTATTTATCCGCGCTTGACAAATATTTAGTTTTTTCCGTTTCGTAACACTCGATGATAGTGTCAATCCTATTTATTATAACAAAGATTTGTTTGTTTAACAATGCTGAAAAAAGTGAAAGATCGTTCTATTTTTACGTGTTGAAATTTATCCGAGATTTTAGTAACAATATACACCTATGCATATATGACTTGTTATTTTATATCTAAGTTTCATAGACATGTAGATAGGGCAATTACTGCTTGATTGATGTTTGTTTTTGGATGAATATATTGAACCATGAAAGATAACTATACATATATTGTAGATGGATAAAAAGAAAAAGAGACAATTATTACAAAATCGTGAAGACTTCATCACTCAACTTTATCAAGGTAGTTTGACTGAGAAATATGTTGATTGAAGAATGTTCATAATCATTATAGAATGCATATCGATAAAAGAAATAACGAAATGGTCACAATTTGAACCAATTTATGAGAAATTGCAAAAAGTCATCGATGTTGAAAAAGGTAAAGTGATGTACATGATGATTTTCAACACGAGTTTTGTTCTAATGAAGATCTATCAAAATCAAATCCAACATCAAACCGAGAAGAACGATTGAATGATTTCAATGTGTGGCTACATTCGAATGGTGTCGATACTTCAAATGTTGAGATCTGTCTATTTGAAAACTATGGCTTTGGCTTAAAAGCTCGGAGATCGCTTTCAGTAAAATTGACTAATTTCCTTCTTTCACAATTTATCTTTTCATTTATATTTAGACCAACGATTGTTATCTAACTATACCACTTTCCCTTACGATTACAACAGATACAATCATGAATTCTCCATCACTTGCTTCGTTAGTGACAAGTGATCAATTACTTCGTTCTATGCCAAACGTCGCTTTAGCACTATTCCTTCTTCATGAAGGTTCACAATCAAAATGGAAACCCTATATTGATGTTTTGCCAAATGAGTTCAATACACCATTATATTTTAATCTTGATCAATTAAATCGATTGAAATCGTCTGCCGTACTTTGTAAGAATAATTCTTCTTGATTCATTTGTCCAACTCAATCATTGTTTAGGCGATGTTTTAATGCACATACAAAGAATTGCCAGACAGTATTGCTATCTACACAATCTACTCAAAGTACAATCTTTCGAAATAATTCTATTTCGTATCTTATTTGAGCCTGTTCACAGGGCCAACTAGCACTTTCAAAACTTGCGGAAAACTTTTCATACGATGCATATAGGTACGTTAGTACATTCTACTAATGACCAATTTAGGTTTCACTTTCGAGTGTAGATGGGCAGTAAGTGTTGTTTCAACACGGCAAAACAATGTTTTGAATGACCAAGGCGAACCTCGATTAGGGCTAATCCCACTTATGGATTTTGTGAATCATCAGAACGGTCGAGAATGCATTCACTATGATGAAAATCTCAAACAAATCGAGTGTAAAGCAATGAAAGATGTTGAAAAAGGTGAACAAATATTTATGTTTTATGGAAGGCGAACAAATGCTGAATATTTAATTCACAATGCTTTCGTTCCTGATCAACATAATCCACATGACACATATTTGTTAAAATTAGGTAAGAGAGTATAAATTCTAGTAAAAATGGCTAACTTCGATTATTTTAGTTCTCCCAAAAACGGACACAGCGTTCGACCGAAAGAGTGAACTTCTCCAACGATACGGATTCGAAACGTAAGAAAATGTGATCAGTCGAAGTTGTTTGTAACGGCTTTTCTCTTGTTAGATCAGAGAAGTTTCCCTTATTCGTCGACAATGAACTTTTAAACCCATCGATATTTATTTTTCTCAAAATATTTCTTATGAATTCGAGTAAATACATCCGATATAATCTATTCTTTTTACTTGAAGGCTTTCTTTCTAGACGACGTATTCAAAGTACTTGCAGAAAATATGACGCTGGATGATTTCTTCGATAGGTATACATTGGACAAAGATAACGATATTCGAACATATCTCAAAACACGTCTACAACTGCTAATTCGTTCATTGAATGTGACGTCTTTGACAAACAATGATTCTATTGATCGTCTATTAAAGTGTGAATACGATATGTTAGCGAAAGCCTTTCAAAAGCTTGAAATTCCTTTTTGACACTAAGGAAGCAAAACATTATAGTTTGAAGTGTTGTTATGTTTTTTTTTACATTTATATCCTCTTATATCGAATGAAAAGATATCAGTGTTTATACTTGAATTTGTTTGACTGCTTCTAATTGTCGGGTTGAAATTGTTGTATGAACACTTGAATATATTTGTCCCATTGATCGAAAAACAGGAGCTATAACAGCATCGCATATTGCTTGAATGTAAACACCAATTTCACCTATAGCTGATATACTTAAACGACGTACTGGTGTCAAAATCCAAATCATAGCAAATGTATATGTACCAAAAATAAGACCCCATATCAACATCAAAGGCAAACCAACAAAAATTGTTAGGAAACGATAGATAATCACTTTACTGTAGTGATAGACCTTGCTGGCACCTTTATGTAATAATGCGAAACTATAAGCACTTCGATCGGGTTCACCGATGACGCGATAAAAATCTAACTAAAAAAAACGAGACACACGTTTTGATACAATCGTTGAGAACAATCTTATATTTATACCTGGAGATGTGTATTGATTCCGTGTGGATCACGGCTGTTGGGCTCACACGCGTCCGACGCACGAGCATCGGGCTCTGCAGCTGGTAATGTCGGATAAAGTCCAGGTTTTGTGTCAGAAAAGTTGTTCATGGTTATTCTAGCTGTAGTGTGTCGATGTTTTTCAAAAACCAAATGAAAATATACTTCTTGTTTTATATAGTTGTGACAACAAGAAAAGATAAGGATAAACACCTTGTCAATAATATGACTCATATCATAATATCTGTTTCTAGATTGTTGAACGACCTATATTTTCAACTTTACTTTTCATTTCTTGCGACAGGCAAGCATGCTCATTAATAATACTCAAATTGAATTGTTAGGTAAACAATAGTTTTACGATGTTGAGTGTAGACTGATGAGTCGATGTGATCTATTAGTAATACATTCGATATTTTTGATAACATCATATTATCTTCAACCTAGATGAGTCATTTCGATTCTTATCATCGCGAGAAAGGATGTCCTTTAGCTCCCTATACTAGAATCGATCTTCTAACAGTACAATCATGCACACTACGAATTGGATTAGAGCAGTATGTACACACACAGTGCTATGTTATTGCGCCATCTCAAGCCAATAGCAGAACAAGAACGGTATTCAATATATGTATAACTGGTGGTCCGAAGGTAGCAGTTTATCACGAATATCCACAATTCAAACATCACACTGTTACCACTCCATGACCATCATTTTTTTTTCAAACTATTATTTTCAATGACGATGATCAAATTCGTCGTAGTGCTGACTAATACTGCATATGAGAAATATTCTGTTCTCTTACGCTCGAGATATCCTTTCAAAACAAAAGCAATTTCCATTTTGAAACCAAATTAAATATCAATTAAAAACATTAATTTACATCAAAGCGAACAAAGTACCATTTCGAAATTTATCTATGTGATTTACTTTAACAAAAACATTCGTAGAACTGTCTTCGCTGCTTCTAATTCATTTCAAACAGCTCATTTAAGCGAATCATCAATTTGTCCACCTTTTCTATTGACTACACCTGCACTTCCGAACATTCTTCTAATCATTTATATTTTTGTCAAAGCTCAACAAGAACAATGCTTGTGAGTTAATTATTCTTTCAATCTGACATGGAATAGTCATTCGAGAGTGAGAAATCACGAAGTAATTCTTCAAACAAATCGAAGTGAGCAATGGGGAGCACGAGATATGACACAATTTCAATGCACTCAGAATTTTATCAGAAAATCTTACCTGTAACAATTAAAAAGAGCGAGTGACGAAAAAAAAACTAAAATGATATAAAGCAACTGATCTATTTCAAAACAAACCAAGAAAATAAAATGCTGTAAGTTGTGTTGTTAATTGAAGTCGACTTTGCATGGAAGATGCAATGCTAACCTATAGACTACAAACGTCAGAATACAAACGAAAGATTATACTGCACATAGAAAGAGAACGAAGCGCTCGACTAAACAAAAGATCGTAAGATATAAGCTTACCTCTTCGCGAATAAACTATTTCTTGCGTCATTTTTTACAAACGGGAAACCTTCATTCAAAAAGTTCACTCGTTTGCAACCCATACTGATCTGAAACACACCAAAACAAATCATTGTAAACTCAAACATTTTCTATTCGTTCCACCAGGATTCGAATCACCTACATATCACTTTCACTCGAAACATTAAGTCTTTACGAAATCATTGTGCACCACAATTCATACCCTGTAACCAATCAGTACAATTAAACATCAAATTCGCCTTCTACTTTTATTCATACCTATCCATTAAAATGTTTACTACTACATCAAGCAAAACCACCTACAACTACTCACCCAAACTTCTATCCATCAACACAAGTATCATACCTACAGCATCTACATAGAGCACTCTCAAGCCAACCGAATATATCGTATGAAAAATCATTGTTATTGCACTATTTATGCGAAACGACTTTCCATTTCCAAGCATTCCGTTTATTAACTTTTATTCGAACAAAACTACATTTAGCAACAGAAAACAACACAATCCTACTCTGTCCGTTTTTTTTGAAAACGTTTGCGGTGATACCCACGCTTGTTTATTCGTTTTGTCGAAGATTCTTTCTGCGAAGCACCACATCTAAACACAAATCATTGTTAAAACATTTCGATATTGATTATTCAACCTACCGTAAGGCTTCACTATTTCCCATACGTTTTTCGATTTCTGCGGCGATGCGATCTTTCCAGTACTGATCACCTTGTGCTCGTTTCAATTGAACTTCGTGCATCTTCTTCAGTTGTTCTTCTCGTAGTTTAGCTAACTCTTGCAGTTTCAATTTTTCAGCAGCAATGATCGCCTTGCATCGAGCCAAACCTTCATCGCAAGCTTTCCGCTCGGCTTTGTAAGCATCCATTTCGGCGTACCAAGCTTCTACTTGAGCATTGTGTGCTTCTACTTCGGCATTAATTGACTCCACTTGTTTCAAAGAAACTGCTTCAAGTTCATTCGCCGATTGTATCATATCGTCCGCTCTTTTCATTTCAGCCAGCCAGCCGCTTAATTCATCTTTTAATTCATGAATCTTTTCGTTGAATTTTCTCATGTTTTCACGATTTATTTCGCGTGCTTCGTTCAGCCATTCTGGTTCGCCATTCTAGAATCAAAGAACTATTTCATAATTGGATGCAAAATATCACTTCATATATTTCGTTATAAATAAAGAGTCACCTTTCATCAATTCTAAATAACTATCGTGTACTCCACTGCTCACGCACCGATCCATGACTTCCAAAGATTACTGTCCATCCGTACTCGCGAACGATGCATTGATCAAAATGAATATTTCTGTTGTCGAAACTACCTTACACAATTCATCTCCCATAGCAATATTTCTCAAAGATCTGGAACATTAGCTATGGTGTAAACGATCTTGTATCCGATTTGTGTTGAAACAACGTTCGCCGTTGTAAAGAGCGTTTATGCAGAATTTATCTCGAAACGCAAACGATTTAAGAAAATAGAAAGTTCTTTTACCTGTTGATCCATATCGTTTCTGATCCGTTGATAACGCAATTATGTGTAAGAGAGAAAGTGAAGTAGCTGAAAAGAATGTGATTGTCGACGATGTTGGCTGTGAATCGGATATATATATGTATATGTTTGAGCATAGAACTGTTCAGATCAGCTGACTATTGTTCAATGATGTTTTTCGTCTAATTTGTTGATAATGTGATTGTGTAGAAAGAGAAAATCATTGATAATTAATTGATGGATAGTGAATGAGTGTCATTTCGAACTTTGTTGTCGCAAATGAAACTTTTCATTTAGGAGAACGATCTTTTCTCGTTTGATTTGAATTTGTACGTTGAGACGACACGTTCTTCTCTTTCAGTAGTTTTCTTTCCTTCAAGTGATGACTGCTAAGTAAACTAAAAAAGACTGACGTCATTATGGATATTGATAAAATGAAGATTATTTAAGTCTTCTTTCTCAGTTTGTGGAATTGATAGCTTCGAATCAAAACAATTTTCATCGTTTGTTTCGAGGAAAAAGATTGTAGTTTTACTTAGAAATAGGTTCATAGAAGTGAACTTCTCCAGAAACGTCTGGCGTCTATTTGATTGATATTTATATGAAATCTCTAAGTGAACTAATGTGATGAAAAACCAACACTTGTCCACCAAGCATTTTCTCGTGCTTTTTTTCACAGAAAGGACTTTGTCTAAACATTTCCAATTGAAAAAGAAGAACTCATTTCATTCAAAGAATTAACAAACTATTTCTTTTATTTCAGGACAAGTTGATATTCGTCCATTCAATGAAGATTTAACATTTGAGATAATTGCTGCTGTATTACTCATTGATGTTGAACTATCAGATGTATTTGGTTTAGTTTTTGAAGCAATGAGCATTGCTACGTGTTTATCAAGCAAAAGTATTTCCAACGTTTATTACAAACATCGTGAAGTTGTTTACAAGTGAGTTAGTTCATCATCATCATGATCTCTTCTCACGATGTTTCACTAATTTCTATTCGAATAGGAGTAAATTTAATTTTGCTTCTTGAACATTTTGTGATTGCCATGCGTTTCTCAATGACTATAAAGTAAGAAAATAATCAACAATTTGGAACATATGATCCTGAACGTCGTTGAACACAATTACATAGTGTTGACCTAAAATGTTTACGAGAGAATTGACTCAATCTTCAAGTTTGTATTTATGTTTGCGCATACCCAATGAAGAAGTTGTTTGCTTTTTTTAGATCACTATCGCTGGTGGATTCTATCTGAACTTTGATATTTGTGAACCGATTCAGCTGGAAGCTGTGGACCAACAATTATGGTAAAGAATAATGTTCCATCTTCAAGATTTCTGCTTTTCTTTCCGTTTAGGTTCGAAACATTTTTTAAATGAAGGAGTTTTATATCGAAATCAAATTGGAGAATAATTATAACGCCTAGTTGACGTGGAGGATATGAAAATCACATTCGATAATATGAAGTAATACTTTTCGAAGATTCCGAATGAAATCTTCTGTTTCTCTCATAGACAATTGGTAGAATTTGCTTCTCCATATTCCACACGTCAATTAGTGAATTCATCTGAATTGCCAATGGATCAAATTGTCAGCGTTAGTTTAGAAGAAGAACAACATTGTAATTATCGTCGTTTACTTGTATCGTATGGTGCTTATCTTCCGCAAAAAAATACAAATTTTTTCACTTCATTATATAACATTAATGCCTCCCATTCATGGATTGCCTGCATTGATTGCAATGACATTTGCACCAACTATGGAATTGAGGTAGAAGAAAATGGCGTGTTAATTCAGAAATATATTGTTTCGTTTCACACTTGATGAAGAAGGTCAATTGAAAACTTGTGTTCTTTGTGGTCTAGACTTCAGTTCAGTTACAAACACTTCTCTCTATCTAGATCACGATATGGACATTGGATTCGATGTGCAAATATCTACTGAAGGCCTTGTTTAAGTAAGTTTAGTATTTTGTAGTGTTTTCATGTTCATTGTTTCATGTAGATCAATAAAATTCGCAAACAAATGAATTTAGCATTGTACAGTGCTGAATCTGCTGAAAATAATGATTTGATGAGATCGGTTCGACGAATCATCGTGCTGAATTGCAATAGTTAGTGTTTTTTACCTTTTGTGATGTTAAATCGAAATTCATTCTCTGAAATCGTAGATTACTTAAAGTAAAACAACCACCAAATCGAAACAATTAATTTGGAATATTTTAATGAAATAAGGTAAGAGTAGTTCTTATACAATAGCTCCTTGTCATATCCTGAAATGCTTCAACTGTAGATTAACTAACGGGTGTCACAAAATGAATGGCCCTCTCAGTATTTTGCAAGTATCTCTCTCAAATTGTGACGTATATACTTTAGTTTCTTTTCAAAAGATAGCCCATGAAATTCTCTACAAAACCCTTATGAAGAGACTTCTTCCAACGAACAGCTATGGGGTTATGTCAGATCAACATTTTAAGACTCCAAAGGAGCCAACTTTCAAAGCATTCATTTGCATATTAACGATGTTGCGCCAGTTTTTCGACATGACACAAACAGAATAAATAGGCTATTTTGTAGCCCTCGAAAAGCTCTATCAGTTAAGCGAATAAATTTTCGTCACATACGATGAATTTACTCGGAGAAAACCTTTTCCTTATTCTCTTCTGTCCAAGTCATCTGAACCTTCCATTAAGGTTAATTACTTTTTAATTTTGTTCTGTGAAATAGAAAACTATTATGCATTCAGATTTATTACAAAGTTGGAGAAAATACTTTCTCTATCATTTCGATGCGCACAGAATGCTATAGTGTTTTTCTGCAACGCTTGAGGTGTATATGAGGAACGATCAGTGGTTTCGACTCGTTTATTGTTTAATGTTGGTCTCTGGAAACTTGCAATTGCTTCTGGATGTCATCTTTTAAGCTTTGTTAAAAAGAGTACGCTTAAAAAAATAGGAAGCTTGCATTAGAATTGCGTCTCGTATCTGTTTCGCTAGAAGAAATGACGTCATTAATTTGATAAAAATGTGGTTTTGAAAGTGATCCATTTTATGACATTGTAGTGTTGACGGATATAACCCTATAGCTATTCGTTGGAAGAAGTCTCTTCATAAGGGTTTGTAGAGAATTTTATGGGCTATCTTTTGAAAAAAACCTAAAGTATATACATCACAATTTGAGAGAGATACTTGCAAAATATTGAGAGGACCATTCATTTTGTGACACCCGCTAGGATGATCGTATTTCAAAAATGACTGAAGATGTCTCACCTGATCATCTTCGATTGTTTCCACTTCATGATAATGCGATCGCACGTACAGTCAAAAGCGATAACGAATATCGTCGTACGATGATGTACCATCTAATTTGACTAAGCGAAAAAGTGACGAGGTTAGCCTTCTTTTGTGTTGATAACTCGCTTCTATGTTGATTTTATTCTTTTGCAGCACAACATTTACGTGTGAAGTAGTCTGTAAGCTATGTGAATTTCAATTGTACGTCAGATTTACTGCCCCATTTATGACTGTGTCAACATCGATAGCTTATTTGACAACTTGAACTTACTAGTTGCGTATAGTTTGTTTTCTGTTTATTTTTATGTCGTTATATGTGATGTTTGCTTTGTAAATTTTTGCACCAGTATCAGTTTAGTTTTGTTTTTCTTCACAAATATATAGCTTTTCCCAGGTCGAACAATCCGGCACGGAAACGGCCGGTTCCATGGTATTCCCGATGAGCGGATCCGATGAGCGGATTTATCGGGTTTGGACCGGAACCGACAGAAACATGTCAAAAACAGTAGCCAGAAATGGTTACCGCTTTTCCCCATCGGATTCCTGGCATTTTCCGGGCCGGTTCCGCTCAGAAATGGTGAGTTTCCTCAGGGATTTTGTCGGAAATTCATGGAATCCTGCTTCAGGAATCATCGTCCTGGGTTATTTCTTTTAGTGTAAGGTGAAGAACCAAACTTTATGCCGAAAATAAAATAGAATTAATGATAAGAGTAAAGGTTTATTTGATAAAGGGCAGTGAAATGTGAATCAATCAATGTGTATTCGACGGCAGCTGGAAAGGAAAAGGTATGTATAAATGCATTTGTTCTAGAATTTATCATGATTTCTAATAGTTCAATGTTTCTTTTCATCTAGTTCGGTGATAAGGAATAGTTGGCGTTTTGAAATTAGTTTTTGATAATGATCACATATATGTAGAACTTTTTTTCTAGTTGAAATGATATATTAATATGAAAAGAAAAACCATTTTGATCTCGTTCTTCGACAAAGATTATTTTATTGCAAAAATTGAATTAATTCAAAGTTGAATATTAATTTTTTATATGTACAGATCGGAAACACAGATCGAAAACACAAAAAAATCAATTTAACAAAGCAATGTCCATATGAGCACAAGGAAAAGACAAAGAACGAAAGCTATGGTATTTAATGACCAACAGCTTTCTGCAAACGTTTCACCACCGCTTTCTTGGACGAGGCACCGCGACTGAAAAGTCAACGAAAGAAAATTGTTTTTCTTGAGAAGGTCACTCGTAAGAGGTACTTATGCACTTTTTATTTTAGGCTACTCACCAAAGATTATTCAATCCATGTTCTTGGATGCGTCTCTCGATTAAATCGAGGAAGATTTCGTTTGTTTCTGCGCGAAACTTTTTAGTTTCCTCGAATTTTTCACGCATTCGTGCAGATTGAATCTTACATGCTTGTCTCATGGATTCACCTTCTTGTTTGTGTTCCATTGCTAAAACAATGTTTTCGTTAACCAAGTTTTTCTGATAATTGATCAGTTTCTGCTGTTCATTCAACTGCTCTTGTTTTTGAGTCCATCGTTGTGTGTCAATATCTGCCGTCTTTATCATATTTTCTGCTAGAGCATACTGATCCTGCATGTTATCAATGCTGTCGCTTATCTCCTTTAATTCAAAATCAGCCGTTGCCAGAAAGTCACGATGGTCTTTTCGCAGGCCAGTGAGCCACACAGGTTCATTTTCCTTTATAAAAACAAACAATGAAGAATGTAAGAGCAATAAGTTCCTCTTTTCCAAAAATCAGTGCCCTTATTAACATTTAGATTTGGATGCTTCGTTCTTATCTCAAACTGGATTAGTGATGCTTGGGGAACCACTCTTCTATCTATTTTTTTCTCACAACAAATGAGTACATCGTGTAAGTTATACACATTTGAGTACAAATTGTACCAAGAAACTATTCCATCTATTTTCTCATTCAATAGAATTCTGTTCCGCATTAGTCCAGAAAAATTTGAATATTTATTTTCCTTGTAGAACTCGGGTGAATGATTCGTTCATTACTTTGTTAATCGAACAAACACGAACATCATCTGACCTCAGCATTTGAGTGGTGATGGTCATCCTAATGAAAGCCAAATTGTCAGCATTTGAAAAGATTATGTGAAAATCATCGCTTACTGTCGCACTACTTGGCTCAACTTGGACACATCATCAACTTGAGACGTCAAACGATCGGGTGATGATGATGAATCTAAAGTATCAAAAGGAGTCTTCTTTTTGTTGATATCAGCAAGCTTTTTCATCAAGAAAACACATTGGTTTCTCTTCAAAAACTTTAGATTTTGCATTGATCGGTCGATATAGGATTACATAGAACATTTTGAAACTAGTCTCCATTGAAAGATTAAGCATCATCAAAGTGAATAAATTATTATTATCAGAAGTATCATTGCTAACATAATTCATCGTTAGAAGTATATATTACCTTGAGCTGAAGCTGCAGCAGTTGTTAAAGGCGGTAGTGAATGAATTGTGGGAAGTTGCAAACCAGGAAGTGAGACTGCTGAGTTAACGAGTGCAAAAGATGTCGAAGCAGTAGTTGGTGGAACAACAGTTGGTGCAGACGGTGGAGCAGTTACTATTATTGTTGCAGGCTGTGGTGGTGTTAAAACTGGAGAAGACGATGCCCAGGACGATGATTCCTGAAGCAGGATTCCATGAATTTCCGACAAAATTACTGAGGAAACTCGCCATTTCTGAGCGGAACCCGCCCGGAAAATGTCAGGAATCCGATGGAGAAAAGCGGTAACCATTTCCGGCTACCGGTTTTGACATGTTTCTGTCGGTTCCGGTCCAAACCCGATAAATCCGGTCACCGGATCCGCTCATCGGGAATACTGCTTCCATGAAATCTCCGGAATACCATGGAACCGGCCGTTTCCGTGCCGGATTGTTCGACCTGGGTGGTGCCATCGGAGGTGGAGTCATTGACAAAGGCATCGAATCCACCGATGAACGAATAGACGGCAGTACAGGTGGTTTTCGACGAATAATAGGTGTCTTCTGTTCGATGACTAGAATAAAAGGTGAATAAAGAGATAAATTAGTCTCAAATCTACGTTTCTTTTACCTCCATTATCAAAAATAATCACTATTAGAGACAAGAGGTTTGTGTTTTCGGAACTTCTTAGTTTATTGTGAAAATGAAAAAGTTACACGCGTGGAAGAACACTCCTCTCGTTGCTCTCTTTCTTCACACTATCACACGTACATATTTATATGCCAATGTACAAAGAAAAGTGAATAGACACCACAAGAACAAAGGAAGATATCACTAATACAAAAGATCTAGGCAGAGAGAGATGTCACCTATAACAGTCGACCCTTAACGAGAAAATTGTGTGTCCGCACACATATCTGACAGAACGAAAGAAAAAGTTTAACACTGAACATGATAACGAAATGCAAAAAAAACGAAAGGAAAGGAAAAACTTATATGTTGGTGTCCAATGTGAGATTTATACCAATCTAAGATTCGCCTAGATCAATCCTGGATTGGACTACGACATATATATGTATACGTTTGAGCATAGAAGTGTTCAGATCGGCTGGCTATTGTTCAATGATGTTTTTCGCCTAATTTGTTGATAATGTGATGGTGTAGAAAGACAGGATCATTGGCAATTAATTGATGGATAGTGAATGAGTGTCATGTCGAACTTTGTTGTCGCAAATGAAACTTTTCATTTAGGAGAACAATCTTTTCTCGTTTGATTTGAATTTGTACGTTGAGACGACACGTTCTTCTCTTTCAGTAGTTTTCTTTCCTTCAAGTGATGATTGCTAAGTAAACTAAAAAAGACTGACGTCATTATGGATATTGATAAAATGAAGATTATTTAAGTCTTCTTTCTCAGCTTGTGGAATTGATAGCTTCGAATCAAAACAATTTTCATCGTTTGTTTCGAGGAAAAAGATTGTAGTTTTACTTAGAAATAGGTTCATAGAAGTGAACTTCTCCAGAAACGTCTGGTGTCTATTTGATTGATATCTATATGAAATCTCTAAGTGAACTAATGTGAAGAAAACCAGCACTTGTCCACCAAGCATTTTCTCGTGCTTTTTTTCACGGAAAGGACTTTGTCTAAACATTTTCAATTGAAAAAGAAGAACTCATTTCATTCAAAGAATTAGCAAACTATTTCTTTTATTTCAGGACAAGTTGATATTCGTCCATTCAATGAAGATTTAACATTTGAGATAATTGCTGCTGTATCACTCATTGATGTTGAACTATCAGATGTATTTGGTTTAGTTTTTGAAGCAATGAGCATTGCTACGTGTTTATCAAGCAAAAGTATTTTCAAAGTTTATTACAAACATCGTGAAGTTGTTTACAAGTGAGTTAGTTCATCATCATCATGATCTCTTCTCACGATGTTTTACTAATTTCTATTCGAATAGGAGTAAATTTAATTTTGCTTCTTGAACATTCTGTGATTGCCATGTGTTTCTCAATGACTATAAAGTAAGAAAATAATCAACAATTTGGAACATATGATCCTGAACGTCGTTGAACACAATTACATAGTGTTGACCTAAAATGCTTACGAGAGAATTGACTCAATCTTCAAGTTTGTATTTATGTTTGCGCATACCCAATGAAGAAGCTCTTTGCTTTTTTTAGATCACTATCGCTGGTGGATTCTATCTGAACTTTGATATTTGTGAACCAATTCAGCTGGAAGCCGTGGACCAACAGTTATGGTAAAGAAAAATGTTCCATCGTCAAGATTTCTGCTTTTCTTTTCGTTAAGGTTCGAAACATTTTTTTAAATGAAGGAATTTTATATCGAAATCAGATTGGAGAATAATTATAACGCCTAGTTGACGTGGAGGATATGAAAATCACATCCGAAAATGTGAAGTGAGTCTATTCAAAAATCGTCAGTCAGATATTCTGTTTCTTTGATAGAGCATTAGTTAAATTTGCTTCTCTACATTCCACACGTCAACTTATAAATCTGTCTGAATTATCAATGGATCGAATTGTCACGTCGACAGCTTCACATAGGAATATTCTCCCAGCTGTTTATTTGACTGTTAAAGGGAGAATGAGGAATCACAAAATAAGCCTTGAAACATTCGGACGTCTTCATTTGTACATGTCGAATGATGCTATCGAAGATCAAATGTTTGATCTTGAACGAGATCTGTTTGAAAACGATTTCAACAACAACTGCCCGATATAAAATGTGTTCCAAGTATTGTTGATGTAAATCATTCCTGGACACAACACACTGATCAAGAAAGCAATGCAGAAATGAAACAAATCAACAAGATATTATCATGTTCATTAACGTCTTTGGCAGCAACATCTGTGGAAATTGAAATGATGTGTGCTGCATCGTTCGTTCTTGTTTCACCGCAAACGACAACACCTTCCAATAACGAAAATCAACAATTTGTTAAACGAGATGAATAGTATTGAGCGAGAATTACGCATCACATTGATATTATTATCATCGAGGTTTTTCTTTGTTGGTTGGAAAAACACTGAACATTTTCTGCGTTTTAGTATGTATTCTTGAGCCAGCATTATTAAAAATTGTTTCACTTGTATTTGAATGTCAGTTACGGTCAATTCGACCGCATCAGTATTATAATGAAATGGAATTTGGATACAGTTAGATGGAAATAAACTCTGCTAAAACAGCAAATGGGGACGTTTCATTCGTGAGAAAGATAGTAATTCTTTTCCCGCTAGGTAACATGGCTATTGAACAATCAACAAATAAATTTACTAATAGTCATGTTCTAGACGGTCAAAGAGACGAAGCAGGTTTTACACAAACCAATCAGACTTATCAATATGGTACCATCTCAAGCAAATAACAGAACAAGAACGAATCCCAATAAGTATACAGACGGTGGCCCGACGGTAACAGTTTATCAGGAATCATCCTCAGTAAAATATGACATTGCTAATATTCTATGACCATCATTTTTTCAGAGTAGTATCTCAAATGATAACAATCGGTGCACATACATAACTCACTCTTGCATTCAGATGAAAATCAACAATAAGATGTAAGGATCCTTTGTTTTTATCTTTGATGTTTCCTTTATTTTATTTTCGTTTAAGCAGACAGACGGAAAAGACAATAGAAGGTGACACACGTCATGAGTGTCCAAATGGTTAAAAATAAACAACAAAACGTTTTGTCTGCGATCTATTCTTTTTTTTCTTATGTGATACTGATGATCTCTTGTTTATTTGAAGATTTTGCCTTGGTTAAATTTTTTACCGTTGTGTTCGCCTTCCCAAAGGAAGTATTGATTAACTAATTGTTTAGTTGATTCATCATCAGCTGATAATTTTTTCCATGTATAAGATTCGTAATCAACTTTCCAATCAGGTGAAAGCTAAAAATAAACAGATAAAAATAAGCAGATAAATGTCTTCGAATAAATCTTACCTCGAAGGCAAGTTCATGACCACGCCAAACCCAGATTCCAGCAATTGTATTGTTGTTGTTTTCACCAAAAACACACATGCTGGCAAATGCATGTTTACGTAATTTGTCCAAACGTTGAAAGAATCCCGATACTAAGTTACAGGTCATGAAGACTTGAGTTAAATCTTCGGGATATTTGTATTCGCAAAACCAGATTGAACAATTTTCTTTGTCGAAATGTTGCCAGAAATATGGAATTGCTTTTGTAGCTGTATCTTCATTAGAATAAACACGTTTGAATTCATCCATATTGAGTGATGTTTTTGGCATATCAGCGAATGGATCCTTTTGTTTTGGTTCATTGGCAAGAATATCATCTTCTTCTTCTTCATCGTTAGCTTCAGCAGCTTTTTCTTTCTTAGCCGGTTTTGGAGCTTCCTTGGCTGGTTTTTCTTCCTTAGCTTTCTTCTTGTCAGCTTTACCATCATCGGTGGATTGTGAAACGTTCTTGGCTCGTCCTTGTGCTTGGGCTGGTTGTGCTTGACGAGAAACTTCAGCATATTTCTTGGCTAAATGAATTTTGAAAAAAATGATATCTCGAAAACGACTTCCTCGGATTTACCATCAAATTGTGCTGTTTTTTCGCATAATTTGTAGTCGTTGCCAAGAACAGCTTGAAATTCCTTTTGGTTGATCAATGTCAAGAACCAACGAGTAGTATGTGGATATGGTTCACGTAAGCTTGGTTCGACGATCTATAGCAACAGAGAGCAACTGTCTTTTTACACATCGGACTGATTATCTGGACATACCCATTGAAAGAGTAATAATAAATCACAAGCAACGGCGATATCGGCTAAAGTAATACGTTCACCAACAAGATATGTTCGGGTGTGAAGATAGTTGTTCAATAATTGTAAGATATGGTTTAATTCATCTTTAGCACGTTCGTGGTTTTGTTTGTTGAACTGCATGATGCCCATGCATGGATACACCAATGTAGCTGATGCAGGATTGATTTCTCGTTCACCATATTCAATCCATTGAAGAACTTGAGCTTGTTCTGCAGGTGTTTTACCGCGAAGTTGTTCATTTGAAACTGGATTAATTGAAAAAGAGAAAACGTCAAAGCGGAAGCATCATTTTGTATACGTACGAAAATGAGCAATAGCATTGGATTCAAATAATTGAACACCGGCATCATTCTCATAAGCCGGAACCTAGACGTATGAATAAAGGATATGTGTCTTCTCGTTTTTCTTTATTGTTTTCTCCTCAACATACTTTGCCTGTTGGAAACTTTTCAAGGTATTCTTGCGATCGGTTGGTGTCATTCATTTTGAATTTATCATTACCAGCAATTGTTAATTGTGCTCCGCTGTATTGAGCTGCAATTTGAGCTTTATAAGCACGAAAATTACCGGGAAATGTATAAAGTGTCTAAAAGAATCACTACTGAAAGTAATCAGTTATCAATGTACAGTCTATCTTACGCCTTTGCCTTGGTTTGCTGCCATTATTGGTTCGTAAATGACGTAAGAGCTGACGGATGGTTAAAACACTCTAGAAAACAAATAAGTAAGAAGTAATGGAAAACCGAAACAAGAAATGCGCATAAATGTTTGGATAAACAAGTTCCTCGTCTTCATCGTCTTCTGTATTATACTATGGACTAGTTTGTGAAGCAAACGTGGTATAAATAAAAAACAGGTTCGGTAGACGAAAAAGATTTTTAAGATGGAGGCATTTTGTTTACCAGCATTGTATTGGTCTGTATGAAGGACAAATGATCAAGAAGGAAAATATTTTATGGATTTCTCTTTCTGTTCTTGTATCACGGAATGTTAGGGATATGATGCTAGTCGAACAAGTTTACGATTTTGTACTACTGAAATGAATTTATATTTCAAGAGCTTGAGGAAGTACTAAAAGATGATGCAATTGAAGTTTTTCTTGCAAAAACTTACGATAGAATTGATAATGAAGAAAAGTTATGCACATGAATTACATCATATTTTCATCTTGAGTAGCTCAATCTTGACAGATGCGGGAAAGGATGAAACTATACTGTCTTAGATATACATATTTCTAATCGTTCCAAAAATAGTTCTACTGATTAACACTTTGACACACGATGAATGTCACTTTGATCATCATGCAGAAGATCGATTTGTCAAATGTATAAAAACTATCCAGTTTGATTTGCAAATTGTTCTCGTGAACTACGTCAACTTTGATTATTACTTTTGAGAAATAGCTACTGGATCTATTTAATACCCAAATAATCAGACTATAATACGTCCAAATATTGGAAATTAGTAATGACATAGTAGTAATCAACAACGAGCGATACTTGCAAGATTATTTCTTCGTCATTTTCGATCTATTTGTTAATAGAATACCCAATCTATCTTTCATCTTAGTAATACACGACAACACTAAAATGTAACACCCTGACAATACAGTTAAAATTAAAATGTTGCCGCTATCCGTAGTGAACATCATTCTTCTTATATGGGCGATCGAAGTCTCTTCTATATAATATTTTTGGCATGATGCACTGCAAGAAAGTTAATCTTTTCATAATAGAATTAAACACTTGACAGAAATTCTATTATTATTATATTTGACATCGATCTATTATCTATCGAGCATTACGAGAATTCAGATAAGCATCTATCACACTAACATGTCTTTTCTTTCATATAAACTTTTAATCATTTCAATGTAAGCATGTACTCGTATTACGTCGAGGTATTGAAGATGCTAGACGTATCTTATGGGGTCACAAGTTCATGAAAAATCCTGATTTTCTAACGAACAGACTATAGACAATACGGAATTTTGTCTTTCAACGAACGACATCAGTTCCAGTGTTATTTTATTCAGTACTTGATGTTTGTATACGTATATTCACAGATAGATGGAGAGATACATATACATATAAATATCTGTCATAGTTGTTATTGTCCTTCGAGACAAGAAGAAAGAGAGAGAATCTTTGCTAGTTGGAGCAGATGATGATGATGATGATGATGATGTATTTTGCTTTCTTTGTTTCAGATTGGTTATAACAAACATCATCGGCAATTTTTCTTCTTTTCATTACTATGCTTTCAATCGATCACTTGCTTTACTCCTCGCCTGCTGGTTTCTTATCTTAACGATTCCGCCATGTATGTATATATGTATTTGACACTCTCTCGCGCGCGCGTGTCTCTATGTATGCGCAATGTCGCTTGCGTATTCCCTTTCCCACTTTCTTCTTCTCGTCATACATATGTGTATAAATATAATATATTTTTGTGTTTCCAAGAGTCATCATCTACCGTTAACGATGACGATAAGTCAACGGAAACATAGAGATCACATATCTTTTTGCTTTTTTTCCAGCTTTTTAGTCGTTCGTCTCACATATATTGCTGCTTGTTTGCTTGCCTGCCAATGTGCGCATTGAATGCAAATTAGGTTAGTAGGTTGCTGAACATTGTGAATGAGTATTTGACATTGTCGCAATCATTTCATACACGCATTCAATTTCTATCTTTCCTATTTCTTCATCGTTTTCTTTTATGAACATTCTTGTGTGCATGTCGTTTTTGACATTATCAGCTGTCAACAAAGACGGTAAGCAAGCAAACGAACAAATTTCTCTCTTCTTTTTTTTTCTTTATATTAACATCATTATAGTCTATATTTCGTTGTCAATTGTTCTTCAGTTTCACATATCGCCATCATTAAGCATATTTTGTAATTTTTCTATACCGACATCAACATAGATATATACGTACATATGTGTGTAGGCGTATAGAGAACAAAATACAATATCAACGAATGATAGTTGTAGTAGCGGTAGGGTGAAGTAGAGAAATGAATTGTGTACTTCAGTGTCCTCGTCTATGATATGATCGCAGCACATATCTACTAACATATAAGCATTCGCAAAAGGTTATTGTTTTCACATCTTGTCGCAACGCTGACAATGACAGCAACTACAGCAATTCAAGAAGAAAAAAAGACGACGAGTGTATATGTATGCGTATATATGTTATCTTTTACTATACGACGTATGAAAGCGAGAAATAAGGATGATGGTTGACCATATTGAATTTGTAAATGAATGCGAATGTTACTATTAACCGCCTTGAACAAGCAAGCGGTCAATCAGCAGACACTTACACCGATCATAGACAAAAAATGACTGTTATTTCTTCTAGACAAAAGAAAGGAGAGAAGAAGAGAATGAGAAGAAGAAAAGATAGAAAAAAGCGTTTTAGATTTAGGATTGATGCAGATTGGCAAATCATTATCAACATCGACGACAGCATCATCTCTCTCTCTCTTCACTGAAGTAGCGTGCGCCATCGCTTTCTTTTCTCTTTTTCTTAGTCTGTCTGATTATTGTTGTGTGTTACTACACGAAAGATGTGGTGTGTCTCTTCATAAAAGATAGAAATCTGCTTAAAAAGAGAAACAGAGTAGACGGCGATGTATGTGTGTGTGTGCAAACGCATGTCGATGAGAAAGGAGTAGAAAAAGACTACAACAAAGTAGTAGTTGCGAACGGTTTTGTTTAAATGCGAAAGCCTAAAAATGAGAGCAACAGAGTTGCATAAAGAATATGTATATTTGTGTATGTGTGTGCGTGAAAGAGAGAAGGAAGAGTTAGATGTGCGCTTTTTCTTAGTATATTTGTGCTGTCATTCTTTCGTTTCTTATTTTCTCCAGTACCATGATATGATTCGACATCGACATAGCATTGATGGTATGTACACGGGAAATTACTATACCACTCGGTGACTTCTAGATGTTTGGTAATGATGTCATTGGTTAACTGACTGATTGACAAGGATCGTAGATAAGTAAAAGTAAGAAAAACAAGAATTTTATTAGGTATTTTATAATAATCGAAAAAACACCACGTGTATTCTTATAAATATATATATGTATGTTTTTTCTTTTTAAATAAAAAAAGAAAAAGAATCTAAGTAATGAAAAATGTAAAAGTAATCGAGAGACATGCATGTATACACAATGATGTGCTGCTTACTTGTCGATTTGTCTGCTTTATCCGTGCACATATACACGTATACACAAGGGTACGGCATACACGTCAGCATCGAATGCAAAGAGATGAAAAAATATAGAAACAACTCTCTCTCCCCCTCCTTCATGTTCGATAGTTTGTCTGCCTTCTCACATTCATCCATCCATCCTTCTTTTTTGCTCTTACGATTAGAAGCCACTATTTCTATTACTACGACGAATGCCATCGAACGCACACACTCGCATATACTATACTCTGTGTGATCATTATCATCAACAATAACATAAGCAGTGAACGAGACGGCGAGCAAGCGAGTTTTATTTTGCAGTTAGAACGAGAGAGAGAGAGAGAGAGGGAGGGAGGGAGGAATCGTCTTTCTTGACGTTGTCGTCGTTTCTGCTACTATTGAGCATTTTACTTGTTCTTGTCTTTTGTCGTGTATATAGAGGGTAGATACCGTTTCCGGTTAATTGCAGCGGTCGTAGTCGATTTTTCCTCTCTTCTTTTCACACACACTTTCATTAAAGTCGCTCGTTTTCTTCCTTGATTTTATTGCCAAAAAAAAAAAGCAAAATGAGAAACATTTTTACTCTTCATGCATACGTACTTGTTTTAATTCTTTCTTTTTTTCTTCTTATGTCACAACTCATCCTTTCTTCTTGTTTGTTACATACGTTTCTTTTCTCCAATTCTGTCTTATTCTTTTATTCCTAACTAAACGTTTTTTTTACTCTTGTTTCTTCTCATACACATTAACAAACAAGATCGTACTTGCTCATCAAACACTGCACCATCGAATGTCATCTCATCAAATTATCCTTCTAAGAAAGAAACTCTGTTTAGTGATGCTAGAAATAAATCAACACATCCAGGCAGCAAAATCAAATTAAGACGCGCACAGCTAGTGTAAGGCTATGTATGCTCATAGAAGAGAAGTGTCAATAATGGATGTTCAACGTCGTCGACGGCGGCAAGCGGGCATAACCTTGTGTGTGTGTGTTCATTTTTCTCTCTACTCTTCTCATGCCACTATTACTGACCGATCAGAGGGAGAGAGAGAATAATGTGTGTGTGCACTTCTTATTTCTAGATGTGATGTTCATATGATGATGCTGTGTGCAACAACAGAAGAAGAAAAGAGATTCATCTTTCATTCCCGGTGGTCGTGTGTATTGTATATGTGCATCATATTCATTTTTTGATCCGCAATAACAACGACCATGAGCAATAGCAAAGAAACAATGACAAAAAAGCAACAAGATGACCTTGCTTCAAATTTTAATAGTATGGTTTCTTTCTTTTCATTAGAAGAATAAGTTTTTTTTTATATCTATAATGCTATTTTTTAGATCTCCCTTGGGGTTTGCCTATGGGTTTTCCATCGATGGCACCATTTGGAGTCTATCCACCATTTGGTTTACCTACATCCAATTTTCCATCGCTGAACAGTTTTCCACCTCCTCCACCATTGTCTTCATTATTATCATCGAGTAATTCGACAAATCCTACTGCATCTGATGTTTGGCCAAATGGTTTATCTACATCTAATTCTAACATTGATTACAATGAATACGCTAAACAATTAGGTTTACTTATGAATGCATTTAATGATCAAACACAGAAGACAGAAATAGACAAATCAAAAAGTAAACAATGTCGTTTTATTTAAATCGCTATCATTAAATAAAACTGTTTTTCTTTAGCACCACCGAGTGTTAAATCGTCTAAATCAAAGCGAACCACCCCAGCTACTAATACATCGTTAGCATCAGCTAATGCAACACATCATAAAACGTCCACATCGAAAATTACCGATGAATCATATCGTCGTCCTACATCTACATCCTCATCGGCGTCCTCTCGGCCTTCCTCGTCAAATAACCAAAAGAAATCTTCCCATTCAAAATCCTCGAACTCGACAACTTCAACTAAAACACCAGCGAATACCGATTCATCACTACTAGATCCACTTGCCTTTGCTACCGCTGCAGCAGCAGCTGCTGCTGCTAGTGGCGGTAATCTCACGGCATTTCCTTATTTTCTTCCATCATTACTCTCACAACCAACAGGAACAAATAATAATAATAATAACACTGCGACATCATATCCTTTCTCTACGTTGTCATCATCGTTAATGAATCCAACTGGCAGTCTTTATCCATTTTTATCACCCGATTGGCTCACAACATCGCCAGCGTCAAAGCTTCTCGAGGGACTTAGTGGATCAACTGGTAAATACATTTTTCGTTGTCTAAACTTTCTTTCACACTCTTTTTTTTCAGATTCAAAAGACTCAACTTCACATCAAACAGTAAATAAAACTTTATCGAATAATAATATTTTCATTTCATTTTCTTCATCAGTCTAAATCAAAACAATCACAAAAACATATAACACCTGAGAATAAACATTCATCGACTCTCAACTCTCTACTTAACGAATCACTTTCACCTTCAAAAGTATGCAACAAAAGAAAAGATCCTTGACCAATAGTCACGAATTATCATTCCGTTATACTCTTTTAGTCAAAGAAACGAGCCAAATCAATTCGTGATCTAGCTGAAGAACAGGAATTGAATCGAGAACGAACCTCGCCGAATAATTCAGCAAGAAAATCTCTTACAAACAATCCGAGTCTTCTTCATTCTACATTGGTAAGTCGAACATGAGATTCCACCTACGACAAAATATATATTCCAATCAAAGATAAAATCCTCATCGGATGTTATTGGATCATCTTCCCTAACATCCATTGATTCTTTATTCAAACCAATTCTATTCGATCAACAACCATCTGATCTCTGGGCATTTAAGCCTATTAAAGACTCGAAAATAGATGATGTGAGAATTGATCGTTTGTCTCTGTGCCTTAGTGTTGTTAAGAAGTGTTTCAATAGGAATCGAATTTGAATGTTCTTTTGATTTTTAGGCTGATTCAAATAATGGAAACGGTCTACGAGAAAATCTGTTGAATTTAAGTCGACGAAGTAGTAACAATGATACACCAGTGAATCATTCAGCAGATGAATCTCGATCAAATGATGGCGGTAGATAACGACTGATGTTTTCTTTATGGCGGTTGAAACTTGATTTCAATGTTTTAGATGATTCCGATCCAAATCCAAAACGACGAAAAACAGATGAAGTGAACGAAGCACTTGTTCGAATTCCATTGAGTCGAGGGTACGTCTTGTCTGTTGGAATTTCACGAGGTATTCATGTTCGTTGGTTTCGTAGATGGAAACGTGTAACAATCGTTCGAGCAGTGACCCGGACTGGTGTACGTGGTGATGTTTCATACTATGCTCCATGTGGAAGAAAATTACGTTCATTCCAAGAAATTGATCGAGTAAACACAATGAAGGTCTTCGTATAGTGATTCACTAAATCTGACTTTATCTTAGTATCTGGCAAAAAAGAATATCACTGATTTGGATCGTTCACACTTTACATTCAGTTCTAAAGTACATATTGGACATTTTCATGAACCGAAAGAAGGTCCAGATGGAAAGGTAGATATATTCTATTAAAAATTCTTCAACAGATGAATCACTCGATGATTTAGACAATCTTCAATGAATCCACAGAGGATGAGATTGTCAATCGCATTTTGGAAATCAATCCCAAATTTCGTCGTATCAAATTTGATTACGAAAGCGAAACGCCAACGAAAACATCTGCTGTATCGAGTCCGTCGGTCACTCCAAGTCATCACAACGGTGATAGTTTTCAACAGATCTATGAAGAAAACAAAAAGCTTCGCCTCGAGCAAGAAGGTCTGTTGAATGTTTCTATTGAAACGAGAATCAGCGATAATCTCTCATTTGATGAATAGAAATGGCGAAACGAGCCGCAGAAATCAATACAACACGTGAAACCATGCGTTTATTGCAAAATCTAACTGGTGACAGTTCGAAAATATCGGAACATCTAGCAAGCAGTCAATTTCAAGCAAGCGAGTTTCTGAAGATCTTCATGGAACAACAAAAACTAGTTCAACAGCAAGAACTTGAACATCAACAGAAGCTACAGGCAGAACAACAAGTAAGATAATCATTGATGAATCGGATAGGATCGAAATGCTTGAGAATATTGTTAGGAACAGGAACGCAAACGTCAAGAATTGACTTATTTAAAACAATTAGAATTGAAGAAACGGCAGGAAGAAAAGCTTCTCCTAATAGAACAACGAAAGGCAGAAAAAAATGCGGAACGTGAAAGAAAGATTGTAAGTTCTTGTATTCTTGATTACTCCATCTACTTCAATAACTTCTTTTTCAGCAAGAGAAATATCTAGAAATCGTTCAAGCAAAAGAAATGAAAAGAATCGCTGAAGATATGCAACTACGAGATCTTAAAGTAGGAACTATCCTTTTTGTCTTGAAACATTACTGTTGCTTTCTTTCAGCCACTTCCGACACTAAAACCGGTGGATAATATGCGTTTATCAATTGAAGCCTTTGCTAATTCTTTAATGATAATTCAATTTCTCAATAATTTCAAACATATTCTTCATATTCGTATGTATTCATCGTGCCCAATGTGATTCGTCAACGATGTTTTCTGTTTCTAGCTGATAATCTAATTCCGACATTAAACAGTCTTCAACAATCGTCATCATCATCATCGCGTGATATCAACTCTCTTTGCCAAGTTTTGCTTAATATTGCATTGGAAGATCCGGGTATACCTAATCCGAAGAAATGTATAACGAATCTTGGACAAAAACTGTCAGAAATCGACATTAACGAACATACGTTCGGTGAAGTTCTTCGATTGTACATTCGAGAACGGAATGGATTTGATGATAAAGTAAGAAAAACAAGTTTTCCGCCGTGGTTTCACCTAACAATCGTATTCATTTGATAGATCACTCAAAATCTGTCAGATACATCGTTTCAATCGTTAACTATCGATGAAAAACTGGAAATCTTAGCATTCTTATGTAATGATCTATCAATGAATAAACAAATTGTCGAGTAAGTCGTCTATCGAACGTCTGATTAGATTCATTCTGTGTCATTCTAGAGGAGTAGATCATAATCTCGATGAATTAATTGTTCTAAAACATGAAAAGTTGGAAATCGAAAAACGACTACGTCGTTTAAAGTTCGAAAAATCAAACAATGCAAATAGTAACAATACCAAAAAATTGGCCGCATTGATTCGCGAAAAAGATATGAACAGTTCAGATAACGAAAGTCCAGATGAAAGTGATGATGATGGTATGTGTATAGAATTTCTTTTGAATCTTTCATTCATCAATGAACTGCTTTTAGAATCGCCTAAAAACGACGAAGATACAACAGTTATCAGCGATCCAGCTGCAGATACAGCAGACGATCAAGATATCGAAACGATCGACGAAACTAAAATCGATGATTTAGATAAGCGTTTAACATTAGTCGGAAGAAAATATACCTTAATTAAACGCCGTGCCTTCGATAAATATTCTCGCATACGTGCACTTCATCTCGGACAAGATCGATATCGCCGTCGTTATTGGTACTTTTCGCATTTACCAGGAATCTATGTCGAAGGTTTGACATCAGGCGACATATGTGCTAACTTGATCAAGGATACTGTTGAAAATGCAACAAAACAAAAATTGGATAATACGGTCGAAGTTACTACTTCATCGCGTTCTACACAACGTAAAAAACAACAAGTAAAGACCACGGATCCGACTCCCACGCCACAACAACTATCATCATTGGAAAGTTCTGTTGAACAATCGACACCAATGGATTTGGATAAAGTCAAAACTGAACAGATTGATAACGAAGAAGAACAACAACAGCAGCAGCAGAATGCATCGAAAAACGCGCAAGCAGATTTTTCGACGATGGATTTATCTGCTTTCTGTATGACTACGAAACAAGACGATGAAAACGATGTAAAACTTGAAGACGTCAAAGACGAACAAGCAGATGTGATTAAATCTGAACAAAACGATGTGGTTATTAGCAATAACAAACGTGATTTGGATGATAGCGTCGATAATGGCCTACCACTTGATCTTTCTTGTTCCAAGCCGAAACGTTCATGTGAAGACGACTATTGGACAACTCAACATACACAGGCTGCGCATTTGTTACCACCGACTGCTAACAAATATGATCAATTTCACGAATTAAATGGCAGTCTTGCTTCTACGTCAATGCTATTTGATAATATCAAACAAGAAAATATACTTTCAACCAATATCCTTAATTTTACAAATGCGAATGAAATCGTCTCGCCCTATGACTTCTCGGCATCCGTAAAGCAAGAATCTGTAATGAATGCTTACAAACAGATCGAACAGACTATCCGAGAGAAATATCAATACCCACAACCATTACCAATTCCTGAAGACGTTCAATCCGGTTGGTGGTGCATTCAAACACCTGACGAGTTGCGTCTGTTGATTAAATCTCTCGCTAAACGTGGCCAACGTGAGCGATATCTATGTCGAATGTTGCAACGTTACTTTGATGTTATAACACATTTGATGAAACAACATAATCAATCTAACGTTAAAAATGAAAGTACACCTGTATCAGCAACCGAAAATGAAATGGATGATGATAATCATGAGCGACAAGTATCATTAAATGATCTCAACGAAATTACCGATTCAAATGTTGATGTGACACACGAAATAGACGTTTTAAATGAAATTTATAATCTATCCGATCGAATTATTTCGTCCAGTTTTCAATGTCGATCCTATGATTCGGATACTGTTCGTAAACGTCTATCTTACTCTGATATTCAAGCCAAAGGTTCAGATGTTCTCGACGAAGCTAAACATCTTTTAACAGAACTCGAACGTAACATTGAACGACGCTATTTGAAGCATCCATTCGTTCGTAAATGTGAAATTAATCTGTCTTCATTGAATCGTATCAATCAAAATAGTACATATCATCATACATTAGACAATTCAACGAATGAAATAGTATCGTCATCAAGATACGATGAAGTACCACAACAACTTGAACGGTGGAGACGAACAGTTAATGAATCACGTACATCAGCACAAGTTGCGCTATGTTTAACACAATTAGAACGCTGTATCGCATGGGAAAGATCAATTTTGCGGGTCTATTGTGAAATATGCAATTCCGATGATGACGAAGAGAAATTATTATTATGCGATGGATGTGATCATGGTACACATACATATTGTTTTCTTCCACCAATGTCGAGTATACCGCCAAATGATTGGTAAGACTTTATCAGTTGAAATTTGATTTCCAATGGTTGCGAGATTATGTTTCAGGTACTGCTATGTCTGTATTGGTAAGGCAAAAGGTGAAAATTTGTGTTTTGTCTGTGGAAATTTCGACAATGATCAATTAAATCGATGTGAACATTGCGGAAAATTGTTTCATGAAGGATGTTTGAAGAATGCCAAACAGCAACGTGGCAAATGGTTGTGTGTGTTATGTGCTGCTAATGATCCTTCGTTTTCAAATGGTACAACGTCAACCAAGCCGGTAGGAAATTTGATTAGTATCACCGATTCAAAATCTGAATTTATCTTTTTTCAGACAATCAGTCGTCAGACATCTCGGTCGATCAATTCTCGACAGACGACAACAGCAAGCACTACCAATGGCGAAACAAACAGTCAATTGCCATCGACAACCACTGCAAGCCGAAACCGGTCGAATAATAATCGAAAATCGAAAGTGACTAATCATGAAAACTTATCCTTACAAGAATCACATTCAAATTCATCGCACGCTGATACAACCCTGAATAATACCAATGAAACGTCGCCAACGGAAAATAATGATCTCGATGATGATATACCATCGCCGGTAATTGGTAATACAACGAATAATAACCAAAAGAAGAAGTCTTCGAAAAAGCCAAAGACAAATAACGATATCAAAGCTTGCCGGTAGAAGTATTAGATTAAATTATGTTTCTCTTCTAAAGCAAACTTTCCCGTTTAGAACTATCTTAAATGAATTACTAAAAAGTGATGTGTCATGGCCATTCCAGACGCCTGTTGATACCAAAGAACATCCGGAGTATTATGAATGTATCAAAGAACCAATGGACTTCTCCACGATGAAAAAGAAAATGCGTCATAATCAATACATAAAACGTGACGATTTCTTTCATGACATTGAACTTATTTTGAATAACTGTGAATATTACAATGAAGATGAGAGTCCCGTTGGTCAAGCCGGACATTTATTACGAACATTGTTTCAATCCCTATGGACAAAGCAATTCGGTTGAACAAATGTTGTTCGTCTTCTTCTTTGCCATGTGCCATTGTACATACGACATGAAAACATATGTGTATTTCTTTCTTGTCTTAATAATGACTAGAATGAAGTTCGAAAAAACGATGTTTGTTTTTTTTTGTATTGTGTGCATGTTTGAGATAAAAGAAGCACAAAGAAACTAATATATTTCTATTGTGAGATCAATGAATGTTCATCTCTTCTATCTTTATATCATATTTTGTTGTTTATCACTATCTATACCGTCAGATCTCATCGATATATATTTGATTGTAAATGTATTTAGTTGAACATAGAATAATACTAGAAAACTCTGCGACGGATACAATTACTTCTCAGATGTGATATGGCAACTGATATTCTTGCGTTCGATTTCAATGAAACGAAATAATTGTGCTTGCTGGCGGTCATCTGTGCAAAAACAAAGATGTGCCGAATGGCTTTTAATATAAAAATTGCCGGTTGGTGAACGGGATTGAAAAACAATGGTTGAATTCGTTCGAATACATGTCGAATGATGGTCGAGTTGGATAATTTTTAAATAACGATTAACTTGTTCTTTTCCGTATTTCATTCGAAGAACTTTTTCATTGGATAAGTAAAAGTTTGACTTATGACCATCGATTAGAAGAACATATTGCTCAGATCTTAAACATCGATGTCGACGTGGTGTACCGTTGTTTGTTACAAGAAACAATGCACCTGTTTCATTCTGTGATGTTGCAATGCGAAGTTCTCGATCAACAATAATCACAGGTAGATTCGTATCAGCAGTAACGAATTTGACATAAGTTATCACACCTGATTGTCTTTGTGACCATTGGTGTTGAGTTTGACGAAAGAAACCAAGAACTGGATAGTGATCGGATAATTCTAAGAGAGGAATATTTCTTACGTTATAAAATGAATGGTTTCGTCCAAGTAAATGCCACTGTTTCGATGCTAGCCGATCAGTTATTGAATTGTACCAAAGCGAATCTTTAGGCGTATGATCTTTACGAAGAAAAATATAATCCAATAGTTGATTGTCGTGTTTCGAATTCGTCATTGCATTGTATGAACTGTCCCAACTGCAAGGAACGCTGGATGAATGCAGATACTGTGGAGTGACGTTTAAAATTTCCAACATTGTTTCATACTGTTTTGAATGATATTTATTAATATTCATATCTCCAAGAATGAAAACCAGTTCGTCTTGTGAAATATTTCTCGATTGAATAAATTCATGTAACTCCATCATTTGCTTCTCACGGATTTTATCTTCGCCATATAAATAACAACCACGATGATCATTCGGTTGTAGATGCGTGCCAAATACGTGAATTGTAAAGTTCAGTTTCTTCTTATATAGAATCTTCGTATAGACAAAACCAGTTCGAACAAACGTATGCGCACTGCAGGCATGTTTATAAAAATATTGTCCGGCATAGATAATTGGCCATTTACTCAGAATAGTTACACCACCACTAACGAATTTCAATGGATTCGAACTAATGTGATCATTCCAGATATCATTCCATTCATCTCTGTCTTCATCATTGCCAAGTATAGGTGTGCTGTATGAATATGTTTTCATTAATGAATCGAGAAGAATCTCACTTGGCTTATTCTCAAACACTTCTTGTAAACAAAGGATGTCACTTGTATGAAGGAATTTTGCTTTTGTTAAAAGATGAGCACGTGTTATTTGGTCACGTTCGAACACAAGGATACTTGGTAAGAGCATGACATTATAACTCATTAGAGTTATTTGGTACAGATCATCACTAGCTTGACAGATGATTAAAATTGCGAATAAATAGAAAGATTTCATTGTTGAAAATGAAACACAACTCAAACAAACTTTATCTTATCATTTGATATTTTCATGACGAAATGAAAAATCTAGTGCGAGAATGTTTTTGATTAACAATCGAATCACACGTGATTCGATTGTTTCAATATTTGATAAATCTCGTGTCTAAACTATTGCATAAGGTCGAAAATATGACTTCGTACAATCGTCCGATCATGTCTGACCAATATCCTACATACAAAAATGATCAATAGACAGCTTTTTCAAACCCAATGTTTATATGCATTATGACAGATATCTATTAAGATAATCATAGAGGATACAGTAAAAAATGAAAGAGCAATCATTTAAAACGATAATCTCGTTCGATTCTTCAATACGTGCATCGATAGTTTGATATATTATCACGTATTCAATCTTTCATTTCTAATCAAATGTACATCTAACATACACATATCATCCATTGCTTTTTTTTTTATATTGAAGTTCATAGCGTACAGTAGTGCATCACGCTTCCTGTGTTCATGCATAGAAGACAAAAAGGAAAGATTACGTAAGACCCATCGATTTGACCGGATGCTCATACCGTTGATAGGGTGAGGATGTGTTTACATCACCTTCGTATGTATACAAATGCGAATATATAAATTTATACACACATTTCTATTCTTTGTCATTTTACTCGTCTTCGCATAGAACGACAAAAGAACCGTGAACAAGGAGTGCAACGAACATCTTCATCATCGTCGTCAACATAAAAAGTAATGAACTTTGAATTGAGCAATTGAGTACGACAATTAATTCAAAGAAATATGCTCGCTACCGCTGATTGTACAAATCATTATATGGAACAAATTGTATATGAGAGTAGTTGGTCCGATAATACTTCCAATGGGATATCATGGTTCAATTTATTGACAACGGAACCAATTCCTGAAGAAACAGATATAACTGATATTTCTCATACACCTGTACGAAACAATAGTGGAAGAAGTTGTTCCACATCATCGATTGAAAGTTGTTATGTTGTTCTGGAAATTCAACGACCACGTTCAGATACAGAACTATCAAAGAACATCGAAAGACAACAAGAAGACGACGCGGAAGAAGAAGAAGAGATGGAAGAAGAAATGGAAGAACTACATTTTGCTCAAGCTAAAATTGATGATCACTCGATCGATTGTGAACAACTGACGGTTTCATTGACACTCGAGGTAAATTTTTTCCATCTTGCAGGTATCAAATACATTACATACGTACTGTTTTTCTCTTATCAAGTTTCCACAGAAAGAACATCTTATCGAACATATTCAAGAACAAATTTACGAAGTAGAAGAGCATGCTGAAATAATTCAACCGCCCATCCAAGAATTCTCTAAGCAGCTGTTTTTTAATAAAGCAAAATCGTTAAATGGATCTACCAAATGTATGAAAGCGATGACACATGTAGCCAAACGAGAACAATCTTGTTCAATATTAACTGATGATGAACAATCGAACACAACAGCAACGCTTGAGCCGATCCAAAAAATCATCGAAACTTCTATTCAAAAACAACAACAACAACCAAAAAGTCCTGTACGCCATTCGAATACAAGTCTCGATTCGATTGAAAGTAAACTTTCGCCTCCCGTACCAACTCAAATACGAACGACAACTACTTTCTCAACATTGTCAACTCAACGTACATCCAATCCGTCTCAAATACAACGACCTGGTCTTAAAATGGGTACGACAACACTAACACGTACCTTTGCATTCGATCGAGCATGCATGGAGAAGTACGGTCGAAATCCAGAAACAAAACCCGAACCCGAACCCGTCCCAGTTCCCATAGTTCCTGTTGTTGAAACTCCTGTTAAAAAAGACATCGGCTTACCTCCTCGACAACACAAACCGACGTGTGTATAAATTCATTTCTTGCATAAAAAAAGGCAAATGTTTTTTTTTTCTAGTGAGCCACCTTTAACTTCCCATAATGGATCTAATTTGTACTTTCGCAACACTGGTACTCCGAAGCAATCACGTATCGACGATGAAGTAATGACTATGCATGATTCAATCTACGAGTATCAGCAATCGCTACCTCCGATGAGGTTCGACTCGCAAAGTCTCTCAAAGACGTCATCAGTTCTATGTTTAATGAAGAAATGTGCTCGAACAGTCGCATCTGAATACCGACTAACCACTAATCATGATAAAACATTTACTGAACCAAAATTACTTCAAGTGACATATCTTGACGGACGACTTCCACTGAGAACTGACCCAATGGCAGAATTAACTCAAAAATCTCAAACATTATCGAGTTCCGTAGCTTCTCGTCTGAATAAGCTTGGATTGTCGAAAATGTCATCAACGCAAGATATATCTGGTTCAGTGTCGTTGAATGGTTCCTATCGAAAACGTGTTTTAAATCGTTTTCGAAATTTGATAGAAACTCATCCCAACGACTCATCATCGCAAGCCAGACCATGGCAACATAAGACAATTATTGAACTATTCAATGATAGAAAACAGAAACAATGAATTGAATAGATTAAGTTATTTGAAATTTTATTTAAGAAATAGATAGATCATTATTCTGAATATAAATGTATTTGCACACACACATTCAAAGATAGTGATTGGTAAAAGACTGTTTAATGTTCGCGGATTTCATTGACAATCATTGAGAATAAAATCATAAGAGCACGATCAGCTGTACCATAGACAGTTAAGTCATATGTATGATGTAAATGAAGGGCTTTCTTTTCAATTGAAGCAACCTAGAGAAAGCAGACATTAAGAATCGAATCTTTTCAAATCAATTTCAATCCAAATATTTACCTTTTCACCATCTTTCATGATGCTGTATGAATAGTTGCCGAAATCACCTTCGATTTTGTAGGTACCGAATGAACCAGTGGCTTGCATTAATGATCCAACAAATTTAAGTTTGTTTTCAATGGTGCCGACTTCTTTGCCACTGAGTGAGTCAGTGATGATCCATGTTGACATAATGTTGGTAAGATCATGACGAACCTAGACAATGAATCATCTTCTATCACATAGACGAAGGATAAAGTTCACGTACTGAATAACGTTCTTTGCCATCTTCTAATAAGTAGAGTTTCTTTCCAACGCTTAAGAGTTCATCACGGACGGTGTATTTGTTTGGAGCATTGGTTTTGCTTTCAACATCGTATGTACGAGCAGCACTGATGAAGCCTAGAATTGAAACTATATGATCAAGTCTGTTAGAAATAGACGGGTTACATACTTTGTTTGATGCGATATTCAGCAACGTTCGTGTTGTCTGTACATTGAACGAAAGCCAAAAGCATACCAAAAGCGACTAAGGCGATGATTGTTGATTGCATGTTTGCAGTTTAAATCGTAAATAAAGTGAGAATAATGTGCGTATGATGAAGTTAACACGAATTTTCATCTGTTTATATACTACCGACGCACAAAGCATCTGAAATCCAGACTGCAGCGAGATGTTATATTACATAACTTTAACGACATAATTGTATTAGGAGATCACGTAAAACAAAGACAGTTTGTATTTGAATGCCCTCCAGTCGGCGTTGCAGTCATATGTGTATAGTCAGAAAGAAACATTCCAGGGAAGGTGGGAGGGAGGCAGGAACGGACGGACGGACGGACGAGAATATACAGTAAAATGTATCATTGCTTCTCACATGAAGAAGTAAACAAGAAATATTTTACGAAAATATAGATATTTTTTTCTTAAACCTTGCTTCACATGACAAATTAACAGTAAAATGAATGCAAAAAATATCATGCCGATATCAAATCATCGAATCAACTAAATTTTTTGAATAAAATCATGGCAACATATATCTATCATTGATCTCTGTTAATGAAAAACAAGCAGTAAACGTCCCCGGGCAAGTCATTATCATCTCCGCTTAATGTACATCGTAGTCACAGGTTGAATAGCGAAACCTTGATACAATCACTCTTTGACAAGTTGAGGGAAAAAATATGTTGAAGTGAAGGGAGTGTTGTCGATAGGCATGTATATCATCATCGTTTATGAATCACTGATCGATGATAAATACTCATGTTAAAGTTAAAATGAGAAAATCGTGAAGAATTGTTCAGTTGAATTTCAATTAATAACTATGCGTTATGGACGATAAATATCAAATATTCTTGTAATCTGATCTGCAATTGCATTTTCAATTAAGTTTGTATCTTTTTCTTCTTTCTAATTTGATTCGGATGAATATTTATATGTGTCAAACGAGAAAAAAAAATAAGACAACAATTAATGAAATTTGCGTGTACGTAAGCGAGAGGAATGAGAAAAGTTAAGTACAAACAACCGTAAAGATATAACGACTACAGAGTGTTCGCGAATTGAACATAATATAGGAGAAGAAGGAAGACTAGCCGTCCTCAGTGGATTGTTGTTCATTGACTATTTACGAGCTTTTTTATGGTATGTATTGCCAGTCGTAGTTGGCATCGAGGAAAAATGTTCAGTCGAAGAGCGTTGCCGACTTGGAACTGTTTGAAAGGTTGTTGCCGTTGGTGTAATGTATTGAATAGCGGAGACTGATGAATCACTCAACGTTTTTCCTCGTTGGGATGTTGGTTCTTGCAAATTTGTAACATAACCTGAGTTGAACATCGAAAGACTATTTAATTGTTCTAAATCAGTCGGTTTCTTTCCATTGGATTTCATACGGACAGTTCTAGGTACGCCATCATCAATTTCAGTGTCTCTTAACTTCAATTCATCAGATGTCTATTAGAAAGAGAAATCTTCGATATATTTAATAAAGATAAGTCAAAGAATTTACATCAAAGAGTTGTGCTTCAGTCGATCGATTTGATTCATTGATTCTTTCTTGTAAGGCTTGTTGCTGTGTAATATAGTCTTTCATCGCTAAGTAAGCGAATAAATATTGATCTTCTGTTTGAACACTTCCAGCTCGTTCTGTTCGCATTTTCAATACTGTTGTGGGAATGTCGATAACTTTCTTTTCCAAATATCTTTTTATTCCAATATCAATTGCACAAAATGTACCCGTACGTCCGATTCCAGCTGAACAATGAAG